CTAGACTAATTATATACTTAAACTTGAACTATATATTAAATATAATTAATTAAATTATAGATATAGATAAATAAGTATTTTTATATATTTTTTAATATTTATTCTTATAATAACTCTTTTAGAGTTACTAGCAAAGTTATTCTAATAATATATAATTCTAGTATATACTTCTCTAGCTACTTCTTAAAAATAAGTATAAAATAAATAATTATATAATCTAGTATCCTGTAATATAAGGATCCTAATTCTATTATTAATTAATTAGTATTAGGCTTCTGCCTGGCTATGCTGTCTTTATGGGGTGTTAACCATGTTAGGTTTCTGTAATAATAATTAATAAATTATTTAATACTTCTTAGATTTCTTATAAGAAACTTATTAAGTTAGATTATATAATTAAGAATAATTATATATATATCTTTAGATTATAATACTATATTCTAACTTTAATTTTATTAGCTAGTTTAAATAAACTTATAATAATTTATTTAATTATAAGATATATTATAATATTAATTAACTTTATTCTAGTCTAGAAGTTAGGAATAATTTTAAATATAATTAAATTTATTTCAATCAATAATATAAACCTTTAATATATCTCTATAATATATATTCTTACTCTTATATTTTTTTATAATATAATAAATAATTATTCCTATACTAGTTAAGTTAAGATTTTTATATATTTAATTAATAACTTAAAGACTAAGTTATTAATTAATAATAATATTATAATCTTATATAAATTTATTCTTAATTTTAATATATATATAATTTTTATAACTAGTTATTATAATTCAATATTCTTAATTATTATATAAATTAAACCTAATTATATAAAGAGCCTGTTAGTTTATATTATAATTAAAATAATAATTTTTTGATAAAGTAGAATATAAATATTTATTTAGATTTATAAAAAATTATTTAATTAAGATTTTATATTTAAATTAAAAAATCTAGTTATAATTAAAAAGCTATAAATAATATTTTATACTTATTTAATAAATAAAGAATTATTTTTTATTAATTATAATACTAAGTCTTTTTAATTTATTATTATTAAAAAAAGACTTATGTAGAAATCCTAGAGAAGATTAATATAATAAATATATATTAAGTAAATCTAGTTATAATAAAGCTTATATAAATAATCTATTTACTTAAGATAAATAAGATATATAATTTATAATTTCTAGAAAAGAAATCTCTAGTAATAAAAAGTTATAATATTAGTATATAATATAGTTTATTAAATAAAGTAATTATTTATAATCTTATAAATATATCCTGATAATTATAATAAAGAATTAAGAAATATCTTATTTAAAGTATATATTTTAATATAATTAATATATCTAGAGATAAATAAATATATATTTTATTAAGGATTAGAAGAATAAGATTTCTAAATATTAAGTTTATATACTTAAAAATTATAATAAAAATTATATAAATTATATATATAATCAATTATATAAATATAAGTATTTAGATTAAATAAATTAATATATTTTAATTATATTTCTTATTTTTATAGCTTGTTATACCTGTAATCTTATTTTTAATAATTTAATAATTAATTCTAATTATCTTATAGTTAATTTATAAATAATAAATTATATTATCTAGTTAGATATATACATTCTACATACTTAAAATAAGATTATTCAATATATATATAAAAAATAGTTTATTATAATTATTGATATAATTAAATTCTTTTTTTAATAGTAAATATACTTAGAAAACTAAAATAAGATTATTATTATATTTTTTAAAGACTAGAAGTTATTTAATATTATACTTATAAGATTTATTAATTTTATATCTTATATATAATATTAAATAAAGAATATATTATAAAAGTATAAGTAATATTATATAATTTATATTAATAATATAATAATTATATTTAAGGTTCTAATAAAATACTTATAATATTTATATATAATAAATAAAATTCTTATTAATTATAATATATTAATTAATTCTAGAAAGTCTTATATTAGTTTTTCTTTAATTTAATTATTAAAATAATATATTAATACTTATAATCTTTTTATGATAGAAGAATATTTTAAGAATATTTAAGTACTAAAGTTCTTAGATATCTTAAAATCTTTAGAATAATATCTTAGAATTATTAGTTATATATAATATTAGATTAAATATTATATATAGAAGAAATTCCTATTATAAAAGACTAAGATATAATTATTAAAAAGTATCTTTAACTTAAGATAAGCTTGTAAAATCTAGATAATAAAAATAATATTATTAAATATTCTAGAAATATATATAATCTAGAAAACTTTATAGTATAAATTTTAATAAAAATTTACTTAATTCTTTTTCTTAGTTATCTCTTGATTTTTATAAAATCTTATGATTAATTAATAAAACTTAAGTTATTAATACTTATCTAAATATTATAAAAAGTATAATATCTGACAGAATTTATTTATAATCTTCTTATTATATATATAAATTACTAATTAATTATTAATATTATTAAGTAATAATTACTTAAAATAATATTTTTAATTAAAATAAATCTTTATATAATACAAGTATTATTATATATTTAATGATTTAGAATTTATGTCTTATCAGTTAAAAAATAATAATATAATTATAAATATATTATCCTACTTATTATATTAATAACTTAAGCTAGTAATATTTATTATATTTAACTTAGATTTTATAAATAACATTATAAGTAATTAAAATAAGTCTTAATAAGTTTTAAGATAAGAATATTAATTCTAATTAATAAATCTTTTTTTTATTTTTTATACTATAAAGGCTTTTTATATAATATTTATTTTTATTATACTTATAATTTATTTATTTACTAAGTTCAAAGACTACTTATAATAACTATATTAAAAAAATACTTATTTTTATTTAATTTTTTAATATATAGAATAATTATCTAGAATCTTATATAAGATTAAGAATAATATATTATTTATATATTATAATCTTATAAGTAATAATAAGAATTATTAATTATATATCTCCTAGTTAATATAAGAGAAAATATTTTAATTTATTTATAATAATTTAGATTATCTAGGATATAATTATAATATAATTATTATAAAAAAATATATAATATATAAGAAGACCTGTTACTTTAAGAAGTTTATTACTTATTATTTTCAATATCTTAAGAATTATACTTATTATTATTATTTTTATAATATATTATAATTTATCTTAATAGTAATAATCTTATCTTAGATAATTATAATAAATTTTATACTTAGTCTCTTTAGTAGTTAGTAAAAATATAATAAAGTTATAATATAAATAAATAAGATAATTAAAATAATAAGTATAACACTTAATAAAAATATCTAGATAGCTTAAGACTAGATATAAATTTATTTATATTTCTAGATAATAACAAACTAGAGTATACTAGTATTTATTATATTAAATAAGAATTTATTATTTCTTATTAACTTTTAATAAATAATTTTTTATAACTTATATATATAATTATAATATTTTATTATATAAAATTCTTAATTTAATAATTAAATTAAATATATAATTTAAATTATTAAAATTATAATAATATATTTGATCTTAATCAATCTTAGAATAAATATTAAGAATCTTTATTTCTAATTTTAATTATATCTAGAAATAAAATATAATATTCTTATAAATTAAGACTTATTTAAAAGCTTAGTTAATATTATATTAGCCTGTTTACTATCCTAGAAATTATTAGTAAGAATATTTATTAACTAGATTTATTATTTAATATTATTTATTTAATAATTAATATTATATTTCTTGAACCTGCTCTTAAGAGTCTAGATACTTACTTTATTAGTATATTTATTATATTAGTTATAATTGAATCTCTTATATTAAATATCTAGTATAATAAAAGAGATATAGTCTACAGAATAATATATAATAATAAAAAAAAATTATAATAAAAAGTTAATAAGCTTATAAAAAATTCTTACTAAGAAATTATATTATATTATTATATATTTTTAGTTATAACTGAAATTTCCTGCTACTAATATTATTATATATAATTAATATTATAAATAATACCTTTTAATATTCCCTTTATTTATTACCATCTAATAATTCTGCTAGCAGCCGTCCTGAGTAATTAGCTTGTAATATAATAGGATTTAGCTCCTGCTCACCTAATCAGGACTAGCCCATGTTATATTTCCATAACCCACAGACCAAGAATAGAAGATCATCTTCTTCTTCCCCAACCAACTGAGTCCTATTATGACAATTAGGATATTTAAAAAAAAAAAAAAAAAAATTATTATAACTAGAAATATAGACTAAATACTTAGCTTAATAAAAATAAATATAAGATATTTTTATAAATAAATGATAAACTAATAATAAACTAATATCTATTAACAAGTAGAGGACTAGCTGCCTAAACAATATCTACTCCTAATCCTCCCTGACATCAGCAGCCGCCACTTATATATATATAATAATATTTTATTTTAATAAATTATTATTTTATATAGCTAGAAAGTAGCTAAAAAGAGAAAGACTTAGTAATTTTATATAAATTAAGATTAAAATAAATAATTTTAATCTATCCTATATTAAATCACAGGGTAGATCTAGATTAAATTCTTTAATCCAGAAATCCAGTGGATCAGGATCCAGATCCACCCTATTTGGAGGTCTACCTGTAAGTAGTTCCTGAGTTATAATCTAGAAAGAGATTATTATATTTGTTATTATTATAATTAAATAGCCTAATAAAATTAGTAATAAATAGTAGTAAATAGAGATATAAGTAACTAGTGAAAAATCTAGTTGAAAAGGGCTTGATTTAGGCGAGGAATTTCAAGAATTCGATTTTGTTGTTGAGCTTGACTCTGCGGGTTCCATATTCTCTTGGATACTAGATCTAAGAATTAGTCTTGTACTACTAATCTATACGCTATCTTACTACCCTCACCAGCTTTACGTTGTGTCATCCTTACCCAGTCGTCCTTTTTGTCTATTCGGTATAGACCATAAGGTCCATAACAGATCTGCTCGTCTTTAGGGCAATTGCCTCTTGTATACCCCCACCGTCCTCTCCGGCGGCGACCTGTACTCTTCTAGACAGCAAACTACAGTACCATGTCTCGAGGCGAGCCAACTGTCTCGGCTCGACGCCTCGGCTGAAGGGGTCTAGGCATGCTAGACTTATCAGTAGCTCATGTGTTTCCAGGGACCACATCGTGACAGGGTGACTTTCCCCAGCAATAGTCTCGTGACACTCGTTGTCAACCTCCTCATGGAACACGGGGAATTTAAGTATAGACATCTAGGGATTTACTCTCCAAGTTATCTATGTAATTATACCAGGCTCTTCAATGCCTGCTGACAGGTTAATCAGGTGAGTATACGGGAGTATCACAGCGCACTGGGGCTCTGGGCGGATGCTCAGTTTATACCATATACCCAGTAATTTGGGTTGTTATATATGGCTCACATATATACCTCAAGAGAAGTATAGATAGGTATAGCCGCATGAGTACTATCTGCTCAATGAGTCAATAGCTCGACGCCGTCACGCGAAGGGAAGGTCCATTTAATGTGGACTATTATGCACATTGGTCTTGTGTAATAAAAACCATAAGCTGTTTTTGGTGTTGTAGTATCAGAAGGCTTAGCATGTTGACGATATAGTTGGATGCTCATTTAATGCAGAGCCTGTGCTTTGCTGACTGTCAGCTGGTCAGGCAACTTGGCTTCAGCCTTCAGACGCCAACCTCAGTTCAGGTATTGGTTTAGCGACCAGGTATACAAATATACAAGATAAGTGAACTATATATGCGTTTGATTTTATGATAGGATGGATGTAGGCCTCATTATATGAAATGATTAAGTCAATCTTGATCCTAGGTATCTAGCAAAGACATCTGCAATCTCCAGAGTACATAGTGACCTACTATCTCACGTGGAGAGAGGAGGTTGTGTACTCCGTATACAATCATTGGTTGATATTACTTACAGCATAGCCCCACAGTGGAGACTATCTACTACACATCCACTGCCCCCCCGCCTTGTTGGCCATTTGACCCACACTAATCGTGGCTGTTGCGTCATGTGGAAGGTATCAGTCACTAGGCACAAGGGCGTCTTTTTTTAGAGTACCTAGGTAATAGATAATACTGCCTAATATACTCTGTACTCTTCCTTTGATTACATTGATGTTACTGTGTACCTATTACATCTCTAACTTCTCGGTCATGATTTTAGACTCGAAAATATGTTGCTGGTATCTTCCCTCAAGTATAGTTCATATCAATAATATTAATGCTAAAAATTATTCTCAATGTAGTTGTAATAAGAGATATGATAGAGCACTGTCCTTTGTAAAGATACGGTAAGTGCTAATACATACCATGCGATAACCCCGCAGTCTCGTGAACACTGATGTGCTAACTAGTATTTAGTATCCTAGTCAGAGTCAGCCCCAATCTATGAGTCAAAGGCACTCATAGTTCAAATTCCTTGATAAAGCTTCTAGGTGATTCACCAAAATCATAATCTTATATATCAACTATTACTGCAGCTGTTATTTAAGTATTGTTCATGTCTTTTTAATCCATACAGCGAGTCTCCATACTTATCCCGCAGTGGTTTTGGTATACATCGGACTATGATCTTATCACCAAGCTTTGAACAATATCTTGCCACCATAGGTACCTAAACAAAGAGGCGACTGACAAATCACTTTCACGTGTGTTTCGCCTGCCAGTACTGCCAACACTCTTTCTTGCTGCTTTCCATGAACACTACATTGATACAATCTGGCCACTGTCAATCGCCACCTAAACATTATCTGTGACAATCCCAGGTGACCGTCAATCAGCTGGACAGCGTTCCTACCCCGCGCCTCTACCTTCTTAACTCTCGCGCGAATCCCTTGAGGAAAGGGATCTATCTCACAATGACCTCACCTTCCACTTCACCACTGCTGGATCGAAGCGACAAAGTCAAAATGAAACATATGCCGTCGGTTTCTAGCCTCATGTCGCCTCCTGAGTCGAAACCATTCGAAAATTTTAATCCGTCATTGTCATCATATGAAGACTCGCAGGATCCATCAATTAGCCATGATATGAAACTTCCCCCAATATCAGCCGATCGTAAGCGAACGCAATCGGAAATGGACCTGCCATCGCCGCCTGTTACTCCATACACCGGGAACAAGAAAAGGAAGACGAATTTCTCCGAACTCGCTGAAAATGATATCGCCGTTGGCCCTATTAGAGATCCTGTTCTTTTTCCTCGCCAGGAGACTTCATGTGATATTGTTGCAGATGAGCCTCTGTTCGCTCCCATGCTCCCCCCGGCAGCAGAAGCGCTGGTTGACCAACACATCAACAACCACATGGCAAGGTTTGAGAACAAGCTAAACAAACCGACACGTGATGAGTACCTGTTAGCTCTTTCATGTGTACCCATTGTCTCAGCGCAGTACAATCGCAATCCAGGAGCATGGGCCAAAGAAGAACGTGCAACACTGGAGCGTCAGCTGATTCTGATGCACCGACCCCAACCCCAATTATCAGAGGCCAAATTGAAGAAGATTGCACCTGCCCCCGCGAAAAGGACACTTACAGGCCAGTCTCGTGTACAGCGAACTACTAGAGTCAAGCGCACACCAAAGCAAACACCGAAGCAGAAAATACTGGATCCATTTGACTCACCGCCCTCGTCGTGTAACAAGACATCCCGTGCTCTAGGTACAAATCGTGATGACACTGATTATGATTCAATAAAAGACTATGCTCCTTCGCCTGAGACGCTAGGTGGCAATGCCAAAGCGTTGAAGGCAGATTGGAAAGGGCAGATGCTTGATCTCACTAATGATCCAGATAGGCTCTTGTTGAGCCCTGCTGAGATCAATCTTGCCGCGACTCTGAGACTATCCTGCGCCACATATCTCTGCAGCAAGCGACGTATTTTCGAAGCCCGTGTCAGGGCCTTGAATGTTGGAAAAGAGTTTCGCAAAACTGATGCGCAGCAGGCCTGCAAGATTGATGTTAATAAAGCAAGCAAGCTTTGGACCGCATATGAACGTGTTGGTTGGTTCAGACCTGAACATTTCCAACAGTACCTGAAGTGATCACCTGTCGTTTAGCTGGCTTTGCGATGTGAACCTGTTTACAATGCTTATAGTACAGCCTTTCGCTCCACTTGTTTAGCATCGTGGTTTTAGCATGATCGCAATGTCTTAGCACGCTGTTTGACAATTTTGATGTCATACCCCTACCGTTCCTTTCTTTTGGGGGTGCCGGTCATCGGACACAGCTGGTCTATGTTCGTACCTTGATTCCGACTGGAAATTAGCTTGGCTACTGGTGTTTTTTGAAGTTTTGGGAGTTTGCTCGAATGATATTTCTCATTATGCTCATGCATGGCTTAGGTTGTTATGGAGTTAGTGCTGTTTTTTTGATAACAAGGATAATCATCGCATGTGTTCACTGTATAAGAAAAGAATCTTTCTTGCCTAGCTTTTCTTTTCCTTCCCTTCTTTCAATTGCTCTTTGTAGCCATAGACCGGGTATCTTATAGTAATATTCCTTGCTTATGAGGGTGTTTGATATCCATGTTAATTGATTGGATTTGATATAGAATGCTTGCCCCAAGAACCACATATCTTGGTTAGTTCCTACTTACCACGACCGTTGCCAGCTTGAGCAACATACATAGGTGTCATCAAACAAAAAAAAATTCCTAATCAATATTCACACCAGGGTAACTGGCAAGTAATAAATAATTCCATTGCAGCTGCCGCCGCGCGGTGGCTAATATTCTCTACTGTTGATAATGCGGGTTTGTTGAATTGTAAAGTAGTTCTCTGGGACATTTTTTTTTAAAAGTTGAAAAGATTTATATTAGTACTTTTTTCTGTTAGCAACTCCACATATTTGTATCAAAGTGATGTGTATCTCACTATAGTCTCCACCTGCTTGTGACACCAAGTCTCAACCTCATCGAATGCGCAAAAGCTAAGTTATGTATATATGACCTTACTGGGGATTGAGTGTATAAGTTTAGTCATTTTTACTATGGTTTAAGTAGCTAACAGGGCATTTTCTTCATATCGTCACCATCTTTTTCAAATTGGCAGAATGACCCAGTTTAATACAATTAAATAACTCGCAATTGCTCACTTGAATCTTTTCAATAATTTTAAATATAGATTATACTATTATAGTTTAAGTTTAGTTAGTTAACTAACTAGTTAGTCGACTTAGTGTTTGGTTGTGATTAATAATATGTTCCAATGATGCCGATGGTTAAGGAAACCTAAGAAAACACTGTGGACCCCTTAAGTATGCTTCGCATCAGGTATTAGAGGATTCAAAACTAACCAACTACTATGTAGGTACGCAATCTTGTCCGCATCTTGAAGCAGCTCCGCGGACATAAATATTACTCTTTTGTCTTCTTTGTTGTCTTCGATCATTGACTGATAACCGCCAAAACAGTTTTCATCTCCCTAGTCGAACATTATCTTGAAATTGGCAAAGCAAGCCGTGAATACCATGTCGCGAGCAGATGTTTCTCACACAGAGTCCTCGGGCGAACAAGATCCTAGGGACGATGTTGAAAATGATAAGAAATCCAAAAGCAGAAGACCAGCAAGTAAGACACCTGACCTTACTACTGTATCGAGGAGCCTGTTATTTCTTACAGAATGATAGACACCGCTTTTCGACAGCAACGTCTGAAAGCATGGCAGTTAGTTTGAGCTGTAAAAATTCGATTGCTGCCTTTACTGATGCTTTGACAGGCCTATTTTGACACCGAAGAGTGTATTGCCGCTTTTTTTTGCTGTTGGTGTTATATTCGCTCCTATTGGAGGCCTGCTTTTATGGGCGAGCTCTCAAGTATGTTCCTGTGTCCGTCTGGCTGGAGTGTTCTAACTTACATGGACAATCGAAAGGTTCAAGAGATTATCATAGATTACTCTGAATGTCACAAAGCGAGTGATCATCCCGTTGACATCTCCAATCAAGTCACTTCCACCTTTACCATGGACAACCGCCCGACATGGCAGTACAACGGTTCAGTTTGCACCCTGCTTTTCGAGATTCCAGAGAACATGGGTCCTCCTGTTTACATGTACTACCGTCTCACGAATTTCTACCAGAATCATCGGAGATACGTCAAATCTTTGGATATAGAGCAACTCAAAGGAAAGGCAGTCGACACCAAAACTATTGACAGTGGCTCATGCGATCCTCTCAAACTTGACCCGAGCGGCAAACCATACTACCCATGTGGGCTTATCGCCAACTCTCAGTTCAATGATACAATTAGCAGCCCCGTGCGGCTGAGTTCTCTCGACCCCGAAACGTACCAGATGACCAATAAGGGGATTGCCTGGGATAGCGATAGAGAGCTTATAAAGAAAACACAGTACAAGCCTGGACAGGTTGTTCCACCCCCGAATTGGGAGAAACGCTTTCCAAAAAAATATGTTGATGGTATTCCCGACCTTCATGACGATGAAGAGTTCATGGTTTGGATGCGAACTGCAGCGCTGCCTGATTTCAGCAAGCTCTCTCGAAAAAATGACAACACACCCATGCGAGCAGGGACCTATCAGCTGAACATCACGCACAGTATGTCTGAGCTCATAATTGTGGATAACTGGTAATGCTAATTCCGGTTAACCAGACTTTCCTGTCACAGATTATGGCGGCACGAAGTCGATCCTCTTAACTACGCGCACAGTTATGGGGGGGCAAAATCCTTTCATGGGGATTGCCTATGTTGTTGTTGGTGGAATTTGCGTCCTACTTGGGGCCCTCTTCACTGTTGCTCATTTAGTACGGCCTAGGTAAGGCTGCCATCTTGTAGTGAAAACATCACATTCATTCTAACAAATGTGTAGAAAACTCGGCGACCACACTTACTTGACATGGAATGCTGAGCCGGAAGGCGCCGCTGTTGCGACAGGAAGAGATACCAGGTATGGGTCACAAGCGCCTTGAAACGCCTGCTTTGCAGCCCATAGCAATTTTCTTCAACTTAGCCTAGCTCAAACTATCTTTCAACTGGTTCTGTATATTACAAGGCGCTTTTGTTGTTACGTTTATATTAGCAGGGCGAGACATCACTGGTATTTTGGATTGTTTCGCCATGAACGGGCGAAGGCGTCAAATGGAGGAGTTTCACTCTGGTCAAAGTCTGGTATAAGTGTCTCACCCCTTCTTTTGTTTCTCCCTTGCTAGCATTCATTCGTCTGTGACGGGTTTGTTTATCATTGTAATTAAGCGTTAATTCCAGGAGAAATGTCTCACCCTTTGTAGCATTCTAACTGTGGTTTACGGCATTCTTTGCTGCAGGCCAAGGATACAGCCTCGATACCGCACATAATCTGTGGCATCGATAAGAGTCTGCTCCCCCCTATTCACCCTGTGAAATTATTTGCTTCATAGATTGAGCCCAATGTTGAGCCCAAGGTTCTGCACAGCATGGCGCGATCGTTCTTTACACGACTGATCACTCTGTTTTTTATCTTAACCGACCTCCAGATCCAATGCTGGGCCTTTGGCTTTCATCAACGAGGATTTTGTGCCACCGGTCCTCCAAAGGAATCTTTGAAAAAGGCCCATCAAGATCTAAGCGCGCTGGAATCGAAGCACGATAGTGCTTCCGAATCCAGGGATCGCCAGATAACGAATCAAATTGAGATCGATACCTGGTTCCATATTGTTTGTAGCGAAGCAGATGCTGAGTTGGTATCAGACACGATGATTGCTTCGCAGGTTAGTATAAAGCCCGCAGCTCAAATTAGACATGATTTCGTTCAATTGCACATAATTCTAACCGCAGGCAGCTTTCGCACTTGCAAGATGCATACAGGAATGCCTCAATATCATATCGGCTAAAGGGAGTCACACGAGAGATAAATGACACTTGGGCTCGTAACGACGATGAAATAGGCATGAAAAATGCCCTTCGCAAGGGAAGTTACAGCACGCTGAACGTGTATTTCCAAAGTGATCTTCATGCATCATCTGAGGGCCACGGCCGGTTCACATCCGTTCCCAGTGAACGTCAGTCCGAGATATCAAACCAATTGTCATCTAGTATCCTTGGCTTCTGCACCATGCCAGACCCTAGCATCAATTCCAGCACCCCCCGGGCAAGTTATGCTAAGGATGGTTGCAATGTTCTCGCTAAAACTATGCCAGGTGGTTCCCTTGCCCATTACAACAAAGGTGGAACTGCAATCCATGAAATTGGCCATTGGAATGGCCTTTTGCATATATTTGAGGGGGAGTCCTGCGCCTCGGGGAACGAAGGAGACTACGTCGCAGACACACCGCAACAGTCCGAGGCAACGGATGGTTGTCCCGCCCAGAAGAATTCGTGCCCAAACCTACCCGGCTTCGATGCTATCCACAATTTTATGGACTACTCGTCTGACGACTGTTATGAACAATTTACCCCTGGTCAGACGAAACGGATGCGGAGCATGTGGTCGGCTATGAGGGAGGGGAAATGAGTTGCAGCACGTGTCTCATCTGTGATCTTTTCTTTTTTCATCAAGCTGTGTGGGATCTTTGAATCTATTTATATTAATGTATTGTTCTGTTTTACCTCAATGCGCGCAGTCATGTGTATATACGTCATGCTGTCGAATTATTTCCCTTCCAAATCATATCACGGGTGCTACGGATGCCTCCAGTCCCTTGGGGTTTAGATGAAGAGACAGAGATACACTACAGTATTTGGCAAGCCTACAGGGATAGAAGCGATAGACAAACTTGGCCCTTCTCTTGATCAGTACCGAGTAGTTCAATCGTACCTATTAGGGCCGGATCAAGCCTCATGTCCTCGAAGAGATCGCTGCAAATCTCACATAGAGGTTAAACCATTGGGCCGGAATGCAGCATCAGAGCAGAGAACAATTTGCTTGCAGGGGTTAATGTCACAGGTGCTCGAGTTCGCAATCGGGCATCACGACCTAGAGACTAAACCATGATACCAAGCATTTTTTATGGATGATAATCCCTCAATTACCAGTAAACATCTAATACATTCATAGAACTGTAGCACAACGTGCTTGGCTACTCAACTTTCCTCCCAAATTGACAAACCTCAAAAACCACCATACCAGTAAGACGGAGCACAGCATGGGGATTAAACAATTGCGACAACTGTTTATCGTTTTCGCTTCTTACCTCGGTCGTCGTCATCCAGATCACCTTCCCTGTCCTTCTTTTTAGCCTTCGTTTCCAGTTCATCCCAGTCCTCACCGCTGTCCTCATCCCCACTGAAATCTTCACTAGCCTCAGCACTCGCATCGTCGTCAAATTCACTTTCATCTTCGGAGCTCTCATCTGCTGCAGCCATTTCTGACTCGGATAGCTCGAATGCAGACTCTTCGTCTTCGGACCCACCCTCCGAGTCCGACTCCGCAGCAAGAAACGACCAACCTCCATCAGCGAAGAACCCGTAAGGATCACTGACAACGGTCTTCATTATAGTTGTCCAATTAAGGTTCAAAGGGCCCTCTGTGAATGCAATGTCAACAGAATCAAGCCAATCTTTAACACCCTCCAAGGATTCAACTGGAATAGTGTTGACGTGCACCGGAGGCCTGTGGAAATCTTTGAACACGAAGACCATGTCGAAATTTTTGAGTCCAAACTGATAAGAATTAGCACCATGGCCGTTGATCACCAGGCGGATAAAAACTGCATATCACATACCTGTACTCTTTCAAGGTGAGCAATCTCAATCTCGTTCAAGGTGATCACAAGGAAAGGAGGCTCCGTTAACTGCACGAGAGCATCTGTAGTTGGCTGAATCAACACATTTGAGCGATTGGGAACACCGGTAAACCCAATTTCTCTGAACGGAATATCGACGTCAACACCTTCGTCTTTACCAGCATCTGCGACCTTCTCTGCGAAAGCCTTGAACTCCCTGTCTAACGCCGCTCTCCGCCGCCTCTCCTCCTGTTCAGCCTCGAATTCTTCCTCATCTCCGTATCGATGTTTCCGTCTTCGGTTGCCAGTTTCATCGAATTGCATTTCTGTCGCCTCACGATAAAACTGTACATCCCTTGTTTTTCTCTTTCCGATCATGATAGGAGTTTTCAAGTGGACATGGATCAGAACGATGAGTTCGTGGGCACAAGGCTGGAAGAACAAATGCTTCACATTGCTGAAAAGCACGTCAACATGTTCATTTCGGAAGGGCGACATATATCGTAGTCCATTTTGATGTATCTCCACTTCACCAGGAACACGTTTTCCGTCCAATGGTGGTCGAAGGTAAACGTCGGGCAATTTTACAGGGCGGCGATCTACCGTCAAGTTAGCTCATATCAAGCGATAGTATGATCCGAATTACTCACTTCTGATTTCCATGAGCTTATCTTGCTCAACCACGTCTTCCATCTCCTTCTTCTCCTGCTCGCGCCTCAAGGCATTTTTCCTTAGCTCTGTAATGTCCAAGGCGACTTGAGCAAGACGATTGTTATCCTTGGAACGAAGAGTAAGATTCCTCAGAAAATGTGCCGACAAATCCTCGAAAGGCTGGTCATCTTTCCTTCCAACGCCTTGCCCGGGAGATAGGAAATTTATTCGTAGGTATGCATACTCCCCCTCGTCGCTTTTGCTGGCATTTTTTATGGTGCTGATGTGGAAAGGTACCGGCCGACCCATTATGGGAACAATGACAGTCGAGGCTTTGTGATCAACATAGATAGTGAGGTCCTTCACTCGGGTTGGTAGTTGATTATCTCGTTTGTAGGACTCAAACCGCTTGAATTTCTTTTGGGAGATGCCATTGTCATCCCCTGTTGTGCCAGTGAATCGTTCGAGGCCCTCCCTTGTCTTCTTGCCAGCCAACTCCTTCTGGTGCTCGCGTCGTCGAGCCTCCGCTCCTTCGTTGATTTGAGTGGGTCGTTCGGCACGTAGTTTGGTGCGAGTCACATTGCGCCCAGCGATAGCGCTGGACTTGATCTCTTTCTTCTCTTTAGCTGGTTTCTGTGGCTCTTCCTCGTCTCCAAAATAAAACGATACAGAGTCCATGTCGACGCCTGCATCTTTGGTAAAAACATGAGGACCATGTTCTCCAACACGGATGGTATCGGTGATCACCATCGAGTAAATGGTTTTGGTTTTGTCTTTGGAATCCGTGTTCTTAACATCGGTTATTCCAACCGTGACAGAAAGAGTCATGCCACTCTTGAGAACCCTGTTGTTTTTCCCATTGAGCAACATGTTCGAATCCCTGAGCTCGATTCCGATGCCAGACCCCACGTTTTTGACAAAGTGATTCTCCAACTCAGGCTTCTTGGTTCGGACTATACCAACTGCTCTTGCATAGATATCCTTGGCGATTGCCCCGTCACGGATATCTTTGATGATTGTTTCATGAAGATTCAACAGGAAAGCGTAATTTGCTTCCTGTGACTTGCTCGGATCCACCAAATAAGTACGTGCAATGATTGAGCTGTAAGTTTTGTATCGAATTCCGAACCCTGCAATTATAATTCCGGGCTGGAGATTTTTGTTATCAGGCTGAGCTGTAAGTTTGAGGTCGTAGTTTCCCCCACTCTGGATAACGGGTCCATAAGCCCAATCGATTTGTTGAGGATCGAACTCCGACGGTAGTTTTGCGAGCTTATTGAAAAATTTGGTGTCGTCGATCTTGGCATCAATGCGCATAGAAAGGGCTTTGTGAGTCATTTGCTTCTCTTCGTCAAGTAGTCGAGACATCTCATCGACGAAGTATTCGGACATCAAACCACTACAGGCTCTCGAGGCATTGCGGATGGACACCTTCATGAGTGATGCTGTTAGTAACCGTGTAGCAACACACATATTATCTCCCCTTTATTTTTATCTCGATTTTCTTTCTTTTTTGGGCGGGAGGCGAGGATGGAAGAGGGCACCCACCAATTCATCAGTATCCTTTATCGAGAAGGCGGCAGACGAAAGGGCTGGGGAAATGTCAATTTCTTCGAGTTCTTTCGATGCTTCCTTGAAAGTTTGCTTCCAGTCTTCCGCGAATGGGCCAGTCGTAGTATCCTTCGGCAACACACCAACCCTTTTCTTCACATAACAGTTAACGACCGCAGTCCGATTTGTAGTTTGAAATAACTTACACCAGCTCCTTTGACTATATCAATACATTTTTCGAATATCTTGGTTTTCTCCGCTGCATCTTTGGTCACCACCAAGATTTCCACCGGAATCTTGCCCCCTTTCAATGGTTCAAGATGTTTGGCTAGGAGTGGACGACAAAGTCAGGATAATCTGTTCTAGAAATCAAGATTCTTGGGCATACCTTTTTTTGCAGTCGTTACGACATACATCATTTCTGTTGTGAAGATCATTAGTGTCGCAGGAAATTCGTAACCTAGAAGCCAAAACTAATATGACAGAACAAGATGATCAGTCAAAGAGCCGCGGCAACGATCAAGAAATCAGGCAAAGGATAACCTTACATGCATAGCATTATTTTTTTGGAAACTATTGGCCTCATCCGTTTTCCCCATGAGGATAATGATGGATCCAACACCACTGAACGCAGTGTTGCTCGATCGTTTGTCGGCTTTCCATGCTGCGTAGAAGCTTGATAGTCGATTAAAAAACACAGCTTTGTCAATCACAATCTCGTCAGCCATTGTGACCGACCAAGGCGCCCCCGAAGGCTCAGGCTATTGGTGGTAAATGGTCTGGGAGAACGCCAAAACGTGATGTCTATGCCAGATCAGAGGTCTCGAATAAGCACTCTCCCTCTCACGAGGAGAATAACTTGATATCAACACTTGACCTTTCTAAACTGTGGTATAGAAAGGGATTGTTGGTGGAAAGGGTGTCAGATGGTAGTTCTGTGCGAATGGAAAGAGTGACGAATTCTGGTTTGAATAGCTCGGGTGAACGCGACTTGGTCGCGTTCCAGCGAAATAGGTTCGTCGCAAGCTGTTTGCATTGTTTGCATTGTTTGTTTAGCTGGCTGCCATAACCAGATGTTCAACCTTCTCTATCCTTGCATGGCTATAAGTTTTTATAAGTACACTTAAACATATATACTTCAGGTGTTTATCAACTGTGAAATATGTTGAGATTACAAAGGATCCCTGTGTCTTTTTGTGACTAAATATCACTGTTCTTCTTTTCAATACTGTACAAATAATAATGCTGGTATTCTGATCAGTGTCTCATTGTCCTTAGTATTCTGGCAGATTTTCACTGCATACAGATAGGTGCTTTTAACCTGGAATTCACCCTCATTTTGCTACACTTTTCTGTGTTTTTTGAATCAACTAATATGAATTTATACTAGGGGTAACAATGGCTTCTCAGGAAACATCCAAGCCAACAGCCCATGACAACCTCTCAGACTCAGATCCGGGGCTCTCCCCCAGAAACCCACGAAATAACGCCGCCACCGGGGCCTCTGCTGCCGGTGTTCGTGCCCTCAGTGCCCAATTAGTTGCTTTCTATTTCAAAGCTCCGATAAAGGCTTTTTTTCGCACACGAGTTGAGTATGAAATGAAACCCTGGTCCTCTAATACAACATGTTGTATCATGAGTTAATATCAAGCTTCTCAGTTATATGGTACATAATCCAAACCCTATGCCACCGACACCTGTTGAATCTGGTATCTATTCTTTGACTTGATAGCGATCACTATCAACTAACCCTAAATGCGACGTGGTCACGTTATAGGCGTTTGCTAGAGCTGTCAGTCCCCACGCAGCTGACAGTCGTTGGTCATTCCGCACCACTACTCCCGGCTTACTCGTGCATGCTGTTCGTGTTTATGGTTGGCAATTTATTCCAAAACAAGTCCTTCCCCCGCTTTTGGCAAATGCTAGGTATGTTTATTTGCCCTGCCCCGATAGGCATATAATCTGACATAGTAGGCAGCGTTGGAGCTGTATTATACACTTCTTACCTTCAAGTTCTGGGTAACTTGTATGAGCCAGTATCACTGGGAGTCAAGCGGGTATACCCCCCACCAAGTCCCACAGATACGTTCGCTGCAGGTTTTGCAGCTGGGGCTATCCAGTCAGTAGTGGCTGCACCTCTGGACGCTCTCCAAGTCCGCTTCAAGGCAAATGACGTCCTCGAGGGCCAGTACCAGAGCATGTGGCATTATGGCAAGCACAAACTCCAACAGATAGGAGCTCGCGGAGTTTTCGCTGGCTGGGGTCTCTCGTTTTTGCGCGATTCCCTCGGTTATGCGGTGTTCTTCTCCTCCTTCGAATATATCAAATCGCAGGCATACTATTCCTTTGTCACAGGTTACTACGGGTCACTACCGGCACAAAATGTGGCTACACTGCAATCTTCTCAGTCCGAGAACCATGACGTACCTCTTATCAAACCCCACTACACCCTGGAGCCGTGCTTTCTGATGCTTGCTGGCATTGCAGCATCTGTTGCCCAGCAAGTAATACAGCATCCACTGAGTCTCATACAGGATATCCATGTTGCAAGGTTGGAATATCTTGACCATCAGGCGAGTCTTCATCCCTCGAGGAACCGGATGCTGCGACTCTACTATCTTGCGTACCAGGAAACATACAAGCGATGCAAAAGGAGAGCTTTAAGAGCCGGGGGTTGGAGTCGTTGGCTGTATCGCGGATTTGGAAGAAGTGCCCTCCGCCAAGTTCCTAGCACAAGTGCTGGTCTGGTTATTTTCGAGTTAGTCCGTCGTAGGTATGCTATCATGGCAGAACCTATATATATTCAGAAGGACGGATATGAAATCCTCTTAACATGAGCCTCTCCTTATACGTTATACCCACATGATGGTTGTGGGAATTGGAGTGACCAATGAACAGATATCGACCAACTTAATCTGCACTGACTGCTGACTGTGCTATCTATAAAGTATTCAAGAATCATCAAGTATTGCTTATTAAAATTGCAATATATAACCGATCTTCCCGCCAAAAGAGGTACTTCAGACCCAGGGGGTTGCAGTTCAGCATGGTTCTGGAAAAGGTCAGCGCAAGTCAGACAGAATCAGCCATTGGAAAATGGTTAGCATGGGTCGGAGACGTCTCTCCGTTGATTTTCTCCCCGAACGACGCCGAGCTGCAACCTGCTTCGGAGCGTATTGGGTGTCAAGATAGCTTCCCTTGTAAAGCACCTTTCATGGTGCCACCTCAACGCAGAAGAAAACAAATCAAATGAACTAGAATAGAATAAATCTGTATTGAAATCAATATTTTGAAACATACTCGGGGGGAAAAAACCAGGAAATTCTCCTCAAAAGGGGGTGACCTTACATAAAAAGCGGTGATGGTCCTCCTGACTTTGGATACATAAGGTGATGCCTGTGTGAGTGGCTTTGGGTTCCCTTTCTCTTGGGGGGTCCTTTGTGAGCCAGGGCTGGGCCCAATGGTTCTCCTTCGGTGGGGAAGAAGCGGGTGCGGGTCCGTGACGGGCAGGTCTTTGAGCAATACGATGATACAATTACTCCGCTTCGCTCCGCAATTTTGGCTATGACCGTCGATGCTGTCTCGGCACTGATATCATTGTTGTTTAGCATTAGGTACTCCTGGTCTTGTTCGTAGCTTGGAGTAGGGGTCCATTATAACATAGGACGTACGAATACTCAAGAGGTAGGTATGAAACGCAGTGACATCTAGATATGCAACCACATGCTAGAGACTTAAAGGTTTCGATGAAAGAGTCTCTGGATGATCGTTGACCTTGATCAGATTTTGGATATTACGTACAAAGCAATCTGCCTTCACCTCCTTGTCATAAGCCCAAGATCAATCAAGTCTATGCATGCCCAGCCCAGGGGATTAATTAATTAGGTAACCTAGAATGTGGAACAGCCTGGTTGGTTCAATCCCAGTTTGTAACTTTCCAAGCCTCCGACAGTGGAAACGGTCATAATACCGAAAGCCAAAACCCGCCTCCCAATTAAGCCTGTAAATATGGAACGGCCAGTACCAGTTATGTGAGATTGCGGTCCAGTCCTCACTGAACACCTACTCTGTATCCGTAGTCCGCATCTGGTTCTCTTTATATCTCCATAGTCAGCATAGAATCATATTTCCATCTGCCACCTTTTGCTTTGTTGGTATTCTAAATACCCTTGGATCCCACCTACCAATTATCTGAGTCGTCCGTCTGACACACTCCGCCTCTTTAGGCTGTATAGTTGACAATCGTGTTTGTCGCCCTGGGTTGATTATCTACCACTGGTCTCGTGGACACAATTTCTTGAGCACCAGCACCATCGCATCCAGACCTCGTGCCCTTGTACACTGCCTGTTGTCTTTTTCTTTACTGGTCCTTGTTTTGGCCGTTGTTCATAATATTATCTTGGCAATACTTTTTATCCACCAGAAGCACATGCCCTCGTGACTATCCCCCAAAGCAACCATCCACATCAGATGACTTTGTGGTGAATGTTATGACAGGATCTGTTTGGGGGACTGTGAGGAAAGCTATCCTTGGTCACTGATCATCTATTTCAGCTTTAGTTTGTTCAGGGCACCAAAAGCAGGGCTGCTAACCCGGCCCACCACAACCGCAATCATTCCTCAACAACCGCAGTCTCCACGCATCTCCCTAACCATCCCCTTGCATTCACTATATCCTCAACCACAGTCTTCGCCTGGCCAGTCACTCGGGGCTTTGGAATCAGCGAGTGAGAAAGGTAGCCGGCGTTCCGCTTCGGCTCACTCTGTTGAGTCCGAATCCTCAACTTGGATCGACACTGGTGACCTAGCAGAACAACTTCTCGATGCGGAGGATCCCCTCCGAGATTGCTCTCTAGACCGTGATATCACTAGCCATAGAGCAACGAAGACACGCTTGAGACAGCAGAGGCCGGCCCGTTATTCGACTGAACTCACCACAGCGCTGGTTGAAACTCACTCAGAGAAACCGTCAATTGAGATACCTCGACCACCACCTCGGCATATCTCGCGGGTTGAGCGATTTTTGGCTACCATAATGTCTCCCAACAACCGGCGAACAGCCCAGGTGCATGGCTTGGTTGGAAAACCGTTGCTGTAAGGAACTTATATATAGCATGAATGACAACCGTTTCGCATACTGATCATATCCAGGTACTTCACCAGCGTCTTTGTCTCATTGGGTGTGTTCCTTTTTGGCTACGACCAAGGTGTCATGTCCGGGATCATAACGTTCGTTTCAATTGAATTAAGATGAAGACGTATCGATACTGACAACATTGTAGTGGCTGGTATTTCAAGGAATATTTCAACCAACCTTCAAGAGCCGCTATCGGTACAGTCGTCGCGATCTTGGAGGTCGGTGCATTCATCTCCTCTTTACTTGTTGGGCGGCTTGGCGACTTGATAGGCCGCCGTAGAACCATTCTCTATGGTTCTATTGTGTTTTTCATAGGCGGCGCCCTGCAGACCTTTGCCAATGGATTACCAATGATGATGCTAGGTCGAATCATTGCAGGCTTGGGAGTCGGAGCTCTGTCGACAATCGTCCCAGTCTACCAATCTGAGATATCGGTAATTCTAGCCCCGACCAACCGTCTCGTACCAAATTGCATTTGCTGACGTACAGCCAACAGCCTCCCCACAACAGAGGAAAGCTCGCGTGTATAGAGTTCACCGGTAATATTTCTGGCTATGCTGCCAGTGTTTGGGTCGATTACTTTTGTAGTTACATCGAGGGCAATAACTCATGGCGACTGCCGCTGCTGTGCCAATGCATCATGGGTGCCCTTCTTGGAGTAGGGAGCCTCGTCATCTGTGAATCACCCAGGTAAGTTGCAAAAGTCCCCTATCTCCTCGCCAACATATGATCCTCACACCGAACTAGATGGCTTTTGGACAACGACTATGATGAAGAAGGCATGGTAGTCATCGCCAATCTCTACGGAAAAGGAGATTTGCACAATGACAAGGCCAGAAAAGAATACAGAGATATAAAAATGGATGTTCTTCTGCAACGACAAGAAGGCGAGCGATCATATTCCGACATGTTCAGACGATACCAGAAACGGGTGCTCATAGCAATGTCCGCGCAGGCGTTGGCTCAACTCAATGGTATCAACGTGATATCATATTACGCTCCTCTAGTCTTCGAATCAGCCGGTTGGGCAGGCCGCGATGCTATCTTGATGACAGGGATCAATTCACTCTCGTATCTCGCATCCACAGTGCCCCCTTGGTATCTTGTTGACCGTTGGGGACGACGGCCAATATTACTTTCGGGAGCAATTGCAATGATCATTTCGCTTTCCTTGATATCCTATTTCATCTTCATTGATGTGGCAGCTACGCCAACTCTTACAGTGATTCTCGTCATGGTCTATAATGCTGCCTTCGGTGCATCTTGGGGCCCCATACCGTGGCTCTATCCTCCTGAAATCCTACCGCTGAGCATCCGTGCCAAGGGTGCCAGTCTCAGCACCGCTTCAAACTGGGCGTTCAACTGGCTGGTTGGAGAGGTGACACCAGTTTTACAAGCTGCTGTAAAGTGGCGGCTCTATCTTATCCACGCATTTTTTTGTGCGTGTAGTTTTGTTCTTGGTGGGTAAGCACTCTGTGTATTAGTCGTCGAGTATTCACTAACCCGCTTGTCTAGTTTATTTCTTGTACCCAGAGACCAGCGGCGTTCGCTTAGAAGACATGGATTTGCTATTTGGAGATGCAACGACTGCCATGCCCACACCAGTCACACAGGGAGAGCGTGACTCACTTATGAGTGCCGGTTCGCCCATTCCTTCACTCGATATTAGACGGCAGTATGGCCAGTCTGCGGCGGATAGTGCCATACCCGGTCTAGATATCAACCCACCGAATATATCTGCTGATGGTACTGGCAAATATGCGCGACAGGTGCCCCAGGGAAGCCGTGACAACAGGTCCGAAGGTTTCGGCGGCTGGATATCAAGTATGGTCAACCGACACAAAAGTTCAAAGCAGCGAGCACAAGTCGACGAATATAGACGTCTCGACCAGGAAGATAATGAGTGAGGTACGGCAATCATTCTGTCGCAGAAGTTTCCTGGGCCTTCTATTTCAGCTACAATGCTTCCAATTTTGTGTCTTTTCCGTCTTCTCTTTTTCGTCGTGTCTGTCTAGGACCCAGTGTTACTTTCTTGTCCCAATAATCACATGGTTGTTACTCTGTCTGCTTTCTTTCCATTGCATCGCGATTTTCTAACTAGATAGAGGGAATGTAGATGGATGAAATGTTGAAATGGCCGAGTACACAAATGATGTTATTCCTTCAAGGAGCGCAGGTTCAAATGTGTGCTGACCAGTAAAATAACCATAACGGGGGTTGAAGTCCACCAGCGGACATCAATGGGAGGGTGGACACCGCTTGACATTCCACAAAATCGAACCCGAACTCACAGTTTATGGATTGTTTGTTCTTTTCCCTCAGTTGTTGGGGAATGTCTCATGCTGCATGTTAATAATGTCACGTGGTCTTTTCCTTCATGGGCACTGGCTCTCCCATAGTAGGCAAAGAAACTACGCCAGGGTTTATATCATGTTAGAAGGTGTGTATGGGGTATTTGTTCAGAGATCGATGATCCAAAAACCATGGCTCGCACCTGTCCATGGTCCCTCTGGGTGACATGTGAAGTTGGTAGTACTATCTAGCAGGTAAGGTCGCGCCACAACATTACGGATTCAGATTCCTTGTATTTTTCGGCTTATGTTATTTTACCACTAGAAACTTTCACCCTTTGTGTAGGAACAATAAACAAACCTAACCAAGAATCTGGAAGTTGGTTTGAATGCTCGTTTGAGGTTAGAATAGCCTCGTGAAGTTATATACCTATATATGTATCTTAAACAACATACTTTTGCGGACACGGAGGCTTTTCGCTTCTTTTCAAGCCTTCTCTCTATATGCTGTGGTTGATCACTAACCACAGACTGTGCTGCGACCTGCAGGACTTGCTTAAGATAGTAGCTATCTAGCTTGGCGACCTGGATCCTCAAGTTTAAGCTCCATGTACAAATGCGTTAATTATATAAATGGCGGGCGAATTTCGACATACATCAACTACTGGCAAATCAAGTTACCAGGTCAGTACCACTGCACTAGGTTTTAGGAGTAAGTTACTAGGTTGGATGTCTCGGAAGGACTAGAAGCTGAGGCGGGGCGCGGTAACAAGCTCCGGAGGACAGCAAGGCACGCCCGGTTTTTCCGTGCTATCTCCAGGCCAACTTTCCATTTACATTTCCGCCCAAGTCTTTCCATATCATCTACCCACCGCAAGGTCGCTCTCTCTTGCCTTCCTCTCGTTTATTCCGTCAAATCTCATATCCCCTTTTCAATTCTATAAGTTCCCCCATTCATACGACCAGAAACGGCCCAGACGCTCCCTGCCACCGGGGTATTGACCATACGCGATTGATGCGGTTAGAGATGATCTGATTCTCTGATTGCCCCCCTGACATCTCTCTTCCCTTCTTTCCTTTGACCTTTTCCTTTGTCTGTACCTTTAATATCTTGATCACTCCAGTCGATCACCGCTTTATCCGTTAGTTCCATTATATCCAAAATCCGACCAGCCTCTGATCGCTTGGGGCAGTATAGGAGAATCGCCTTTTCACCATGACGGAAGCAGATGTTGCTTCAAGTACTGGCACCGATCTGGCCCCTGGTCTCCGTCAAAGAAACCTTCCACACCTAGAAGAAAAGACAAAGACCGGAAAGGTTGTCAGTGAAGCCCACGAATATGACAAGAAAGCAAAGCCCAAGGTATCGCCTTTTTCTTTTCTTTTTACAGCAACTCAATGTTTGATCAGCCACAAATGATGCCAACTGATCAATGTCGCAGTCTAATTCATACCTCTCTGCATTGGACAGCTGGGAGCCTGTCCTTGTGCCTATTATCTTAACCGCTCTATCAATCTTCACGCGCATGTACCGCATTGGTCGCTCAAACATTGTCACTTGGGATGAAGCACAGTAAGAACCGGACCCGGCCTATTTCGCAGCGCAATTCTCATGTCATTTCTTTTTTCCATTTGCAGCTTCGGCAAGTTCGGGTCTCATTACCTGAAACGCGAGTTCTACTTCGATGTTCATCCTCCATTGGGAAAAATGTTGGTGGGTTTGTCTGGTCTCCTCGCCGGCTACAACGGGTCGTTCCCATTCAAGTCGGGCGAAACATACCCAGAGGAGGTCAATTATACATTCATGCGCGTTTTTAATGCGGCTTTCGGAGTAGTATGCGTACCGCTGGCATACTTTACCGCTCGAGAACTTGGTCTTCGCAGGGCTACTGTTTGGCTCGTCAGTCTGATGGTGCTTTTCGAAAATTCGTATGCCACCATTTCGAGATTCGTGTTACTCGACTCTATGCTCTTGTGCTTCACTTTTACAACAACACTCTGTTGGGCCAAATTCCACCGACTACGGCATGCCAGTTTTACACCGGGGTGGTTTTTCTGGCTCTTCTTGACGGGCATCAATATCGGGTGTGTATGCAGCGTGAAGTGGGTAGGGCTCTTTTGCACAGCGATCGTTGGCCTCTATACCGTTGAGGATTTATGGACCAAGTTTGGTGATTTGAAGATGCCAAAGGTCAGTCTTCAAAGCGCGTTGCAATTAAGTTCACCGCTAAAGAGTTTCTAGGCTGTGCTAGGCAAGCATATCGCCGCTCGTGTAGTAGGCCTAATCGTTGTACCCGCCTTGGTTTACGCATTATCATTTTACGCACATTTCTTGATCCTGGAGAACAGCGGACCTGGCGACGCTCAGATGAGTTCTCTTTTCCAGGCGAATCTGAAAGGCACCGAAGTTGGCAAAGACAGCCCCCTTGAGATAGCTCTCGGATCGAGGGTCACTCTCAAGAATATGGGCTACGGTGGTGGTCTTCTCCATTCACATGTTCAGACTTATCCGGAGGGATCTAAACAGCAACAAGTGACCTGTTATCACCACAAAGATGCAAACAATGACTGGTTTATTTATCCCAACCGCCAGGAGCCCGATTTCGACCCTTCCAACCCCCTGAAGTTTGTTGGCGACAGGGACGTGATTCGTCTAATCCATGGCCAAACAGGGCGAAACTTGCACTCCCATGCCATCGCTGCCCCAGTTACCAAGTCTCATCATGAAGTTTCCTCTTACGGTAACATTACCATCGGCGACGATAAGGACCATTGGGCTATAGAGGTTGTGGATGATGTTGCATCGAGGGATCGAAGCAGAATCCGAACTTTGACAACGTCGTTTCGCTTGCGACATCCTGTTCTCGGATGCTATCTACGTGCTGGCAATGTCAACCTTCCGCAGTGGGGGTTCAAACAAATCGAAACAACATGCGTGAAGGAGAATAAACCCTCTGATGTCTACACACATTGGAATGTTGAGTCCCATTTCAACGAGAAGCGTGAGTCTCTTTCTTAATTTCCTCGTCCTTTCTTCGTTCTTCTTGATTAATGATTTCCATGCAGTGCCGCCAAGCGATCCGGGGTCTTATAAATCCCCATTCTTGAAGGACTTCATCCATCTGAATGTTGCAATGATGACATCTAATAACGCACTTGTCCCTGATCCCGACAAGCAAGATGATCTTGCCTCGAAATTCTGGCAATGGCCAATCCTGAATGTTGGACTTCGTATGTGCTCTTGGGATGACAACATCATCAAGTATTACCTCCTTGGGAACCCTGCCGTCTACTGGGGGAGCACAGCGAGTCTCGCTGTCTTCGGGCTTCTGGTCCTATGGTATCTTGTGCGTTGGCAGCGAGGTTATAAAGAGCTTTCACAAGCGGATATCGATTTTATCCATTATGCTGGCTTGTATCCAGTCATTGGATGGGTCCTCCATTACCTTCCGTTTGTTGTCATGGCGCGAGTGACATACGTCCACCATTACTACCCTGCTCTTTACTATGCCATCCTAACTTTCGGTTTCTGTATTGACTGGCTCACCCAATCAATGAACAACCGTATCCGTTGGATACTTTATACATCCCTGTATATCATTGTCATCGGGATGTTCGTTCATTTCAGGGTGATCGTCTTTGGTATGGAGGGTCCAAGTCAAAACTGGGCTCATCTGAATTGGCTGAGCGGCTGGCGAATTTCGAATTAAATCTGGCTTATGGCTGTTGTTATTCTATCCAACAACCTACACTCTTTTCCCTTTCTCGGCAAGGATCTTGCCCTGTTTCTCAATAGTTGTCTAATGTGAATCTCAAATTGTTCCCTGCCGTTTGGAAGGTTGGCAAATGTCGTTGGGTATGTGTGCTAAAACTCAATTTTGTACAACATACTGCTTGTGACTGTCAGTGACATTTATATACACTCTAGTTCTTGGGTCATCGAGCTTGTACGCTGCACCTGCCAAAGCACCCATTATGTAGAACCTCTTTGTATACCCTAACTAATGGCCCAAGCAACAAAGTGTGGAAAAACCATGTGACCCCCGGTAGCCCATAGAGTATTATGTCAATGGATATATACGTAAAACAAAGGAAAAGCACATTCTCATAAGCTGCCATGATTTAGCAGCAGTTCCCAGCCCAGCCATTCCCACCCCTACGCATTGCATCGTTCAGACCCAAGGTAACAACAGTTTTTGGGCCCCCATTGCTTGTTTGGCCTGTCGCACCAAACCCTTTGACCCCACTTCTCCGGTCGTTCAAGTCATATTTACCCGCCTCTATGTTGCGGTAAATCCTCTCGGCTGTCTCGAGAAAGGCACGTTCAACGCCGTCGCCGGATTTTGCGCTAGTCTCAACATATCCAACGACATTGTTCCTGTAACACCATTCCTCTGCTTCTTGCCTAGTAATTCGCCCCTGGGCTCGATCCGAGCCATCTTCCACGAGATCGCTTTTGTTGCCAACAAGAATGACCACGATCCCTTCTTCAGCAATCTGCCTCAAGTCTTGAAGCCATTGGGTACATGAAACAAATGTGGCAGGTCGCGTTATGTCGAAGACCAGGAGAGCTCCAGAAGCACCTCGAAAATAGGAGCGAGTTATGGACTTGTAAGTCTCTTGGCCAGCCGTATCCCAAAGCGAGAGTTTCATTCTTTTCTGACGTTCCGCCGTCTTCTGTGGTGGGGATGGGAGGCCGGTGACCGTGTGGTCTTTCGAGGTATCAGGTAGGGCACGCAGTGGAGAGGGACTAGTAGACGGTGGAATGCTAAAGGAAGGCTTGTCTGCCTCCAATCCTAAGCTCCTCGAAGCGGGCGGACCAACTGGAACAATGCGTGACCCGAACTCAACACCGATTGTAACGTCATGGGATGGTGAAAAGCGTCCTTCACAAAGCCGAACGGTCAACTAAGAGAATTTGTCAATGTCAACAACGCAAGTGGCCTGCTACCTGTTGGGCAGGCGGCTGGAAAAGAAAGCACTCACACTCGACTTCCCAGTCCCGGAATCACCAATACAGACAAGTTTAGCGATGTAATCCCATGGCTGTGACATGAGTGCCGAAAAGATCTCAGACCCGATAGGCTTATGAAAGGTTTGCTTAAGACAACCGATACCAGCTCCTTCAAACGTTCAGAGAGCTCATACTATGCGGTCGCAAATAGTTGGGCCTGTGGATATCCAGGGTTCCAAGCTTCGTGATCTCCAGGCGATCGTATGACGTATACCAGTTCGGGAGACAGATACTAGACACCAAAAGTATACCTCACTAGTTTGCAAGATGAAACAGCAAAGCTGAACTGCTTCGGGCAAGATATAGCTTCCTATATATTACCTACCTAGCTATTTGCTATTCCTGATTGAGTATGGGTGACACATGGCCCGCTGGAATGGGTGGGTTGGGTTGGGGTGGATTAGTTAGTTAGCAGTTGCACCGCGGTCGTTTGCTGAGTCATCTATCGCCGTGACCTTGCCTTATGACGCTTGCGCCTCGACTTACCTCCTTCGGCCTTCTTCCAGGAATGTATGATCACCGTCCCAGGCTTGGGCTTTTGATCCTCACTATTTGGACTGCAGCATCGCCTCTTTCACTCCGTACGAAGGCTTTATTTTATCCTTGAAGTATAATTTCCTAGGCCATCTACTTACTTTCCATTCTTTATTCAACTCACCCCGTTCGTTTTGGTGGAGCGCCATTACTCATAAGTATTGAAGGTCACCGCCTCATTGTCCAGCATTTCCCGAAATCCAAACCGACTGTAGAGGATTGGTGGGACTACACTCAGTATTTCTAGCTACTGGACAAGTAGCAGGGAGAAATGTTCTCTGAATGTAGGTAGTTCAAGCCATAGCATGACTTACCTCCCTGCGCCGTACCAGTGCCGCTATGTTTGCTCACAAAAGATACAGATGCCTCCCGTTTCCTGGCTCAATCACAGTCACGATTAGGCATCCAGCCCGACGAGACGAATAGAAGGGGCTATGGCTATCTCATGCCTCGTCCAGTAGCCTCTCGTTTCTCTTCGCATTCCTTCTTACATCAAGGGAACCCCGACCCTTATCAACCGACTGCATCCCAGGCTTCCAACTTCCATTTTAGCTCTCGCAAAATAATACAACCAGCACCACTGTTTCACAGTGCAACCGATGATTTCAGAGAGGAGGATGATGAAGCTGAGCACGAGCGTGAAATAGCAGATTTCTATGCCTTGCAGAAGTCGAGGCGGCATTTTGGCAGCAGCGACTTGAGAGAATCTTCGGAGGTCGATGAAGATGATGACCAAAACTCCTCTTTAGGTGGAAATGATGCTCTACCTAATAATACATCTGGCAAATTTGCGGTTAACGATGCTCGTTGGACCAGAAGAACATCGGGGTATGGGACGCGGAGTGTGGCTGTTTCGCCTCCGGCCAAGGCAATTGGAAACAGAGACGGGGGCCAAAAGAATAACCAGACCAAAGAGGAACTGATCGATATACGGCTTGAGGATACCTTGAAATCCGTTGCTGATACTCATGAGACCGTCGATTTTGATGATGAACCTCCCCCTTCGGTGCAACGATTTCGAGAGCAGCCGCAATCGGCCAAGGGTCGTTTCGGGATAGATACTTATTTTACACCAACAGGAAACCAAAATGGAATACTAGTAGACGGCCATCGACCCACAAGCCCAGCCGAACCGCACCAAACGTCAATCACACCGACCAGTGTTGAATCCCCCGCTCAAGATCTATTCTGGGGAAATCTTTTCTTAATATCCTTGGCTTGTCTTTTTGCTACGTCTTTCCTCATCTACCTCCATACATCTGCTCCTTCCGGAGACAAGTCAAGATGGGGGGATACGGTGTATTTGACCATCCACGGCTCGTTCAAACTTCTTGGGAGTTATACCGTCGTTTCGGTGCTCGTATCATTGCTCTGGCTTGCCTTCTTACGTTCCTACGTTAGGCAACTGGTTTATGTGGTTATATTCGCCGTTCCTGCTATCCTATATTCATTCTCACTCTATCCATTTGTCTCGAGTTTCAAAGGTGCGTGGGGCGGAACTAGCCTACAGGACAAGGTCATGAGATGTGGGTCTATCGTTCCCTTCATCATGGCTAGCGTGTGGATCTACAATGTTGTTCGAGGCCGCCATGTTATAGGTAAGGCCGCTGGGATTCTGGAGCTTGCATGTCGGATCCTCACTGCAAATGCCGAACTTTTAAGCCTGGGGCTTGGTGTTCTTGTTCTCATAGTCTCCTGGACTTGGGTGTGGATCCTCATGTTCACCAGAGTGTTTCTCGGTGGACATTTGTCTGGTTCGAAGTCATTTGTCGTCAACCTTAGCAGTTGGTGGCTGGCAATATATTTTGTTGCTGTGTACATATGGTCACTGGGAGTCATTGCCGGTATGCAGCGTGCAGTGACCGCCGCAACAGTGAGCCAGTGGTATTTCCATCGCCTTGCGGCACCCGCCCCGGCTTCTCGACAAATAGTCCAAGCAGCCCTCGGGCACACACTCTCGAAACTGTTTGGTACGATTTGCTTTTCCAGACTGATGACGCTATTGATCCGACTCCCCTTTTTGCTGCTTCCGAGACGCGTGAACTCAATTCTGAGCTTATTTGCGTTTTCACTTGTTCCCACCCCCATTACCGCTCTCATAGACCCTCTTGTCATAACTTACGCCGCAATCCATTCTCAACCACTTACTGTGTCGGCTCGTGGTCTCACGCAAATGACAAACATATCAGCTTCATTGGCTACGTCGCCACTACATCCCCAGTCTTTTGCTTGGTCTCGGGGAGGTGTTTCACCTCTGCTTGCTTATCGACTTTCAAAACTCATCCTTCACGCTGCACGTTTCATGATGTCCCTTGCACTTGGGTTTGGGGGCTGGGTGACTACTGCGCGAAGCCTTGCCGTGTCCGGAGCTGGCGGCGCAGGCCACAGTGGCAGTATGTATGCGTACGTGGTCGGGCTAATTGCTGGAACAATTGGCTGGAGCATCCTTGGTGCTATAGAGGGCGTGATTGCAGATATTGTAGATGCCCTGGTTATCTGCTGGTGCAGTGAAGTCGGAACCTACAATCGGGAAGCAAGGTATTGTCGAGAAGCGGGTTGGCTATTCGGCGCACAGTCCCCCGAGGAGAGACCTGGCTTTAATCAAGCTGAGGCCTGAGCATTTCGACTACAGTCGTATCCATTTCACACCTCTAATATTGACATTATTATGATGAAAGAGCTTAACGGGACTTAGATGATCAACTTGGCGCTGTTCCTGGGGCTCACGGGTTGACGAATTTCGAAGCGATGAACAATTATTCTTCTTTTCCTGCGTCGCTCCTTTGATAATGAAGAAATGTCTGCATGGACTTGAGCGTTTGAAACACTGAGATTGCAAATTATTTCCCGGTATCGTAAGTCCCACCATTGGTGATATACTGCGCATTGCATTTGCCTAGCTGGGGTTATGTTTCCGCATTGGTTGTTTGAAGTTCAATATTGGGTTTTCTCGGGACTTTGGGGTCATTCGTTTCTATTTTTAGAGTCTTTCAAATGGATTGCTGCTTCTAGTAGGGGGCAGTTATATATTGTTGCAGTGTAAGTACGGACAAAGGCCATGGGCGAGCAACACAATAGTGTTATCACGGCATGCCTTTGAGAGTCCTCTATACGGGCTCTAGATTGCTGCTACATGGAAATATCATATGGACGAGCATCTGTCAGGAACAAATTATATGAAGCTTCTAATATGGAACCTGAGGTAGCATGGCATGACACAAGCTACAGTAATCCACAATCATATACCAACCGCTCCACCACCAAGCCTTAGAACACCGATAGAGAACGACAATGACCATCAATAAGAAAGGAATTGTATTATATCGAGATGTAGAGTGAAAATGAAGAAAGCTTGACGGTCACAGCCTCAGCCGACCACTCCAGCCGACATTCTCTTTGGCACACCATTCCTTCAGCATAACGTAGCCAAAGCGCACCATTTCTACGGGCGAAGTAATCCTCCCAACCGGCAGGAAAAACTCCCCTGCAAAGTCACCAGCTTTCAATTGTAAAATCCCCTGCTGGGAGTAATCCATAGAGCGCTTGGACCAAGTACCGGGGAATTCATGAATAAGAACATCTTCGGAGAGCGTCCGTGACCCTTCGAGCCAGAGTTTCTGTGACTTCTTATAGATATCCGGGAGTCGTTTTTTCAAGTCGGACAATTCCCTCTGGTACTTTGTGTTCTCGTCCGACGCGACAGTGTTTCCGTTGCTACCCGGAGTCGACACATGTGTGGACTCCCATGGGAGCGGAGTGACGGTAAGTCGCTCTAGGTCAAGAGCGTGAATTGTACTGTATGATACAGCACCGAGGAGTAGACAAAGGCTATAAAGTCGGGGATACGGGATACTATTCTTTTTCACCACACGCCAGTATGCAATGATAGAGAGCCATGTTGATGAATCACCAGTCTGACGAGACAAAAGCTTGGACTGATCATCGGCAACAAAAGCCAGTATAAAGCATAGAATAGCTTCGATAGCCGTCGCGACAGCAAGCTTTTCATCAGCGTCAGTAACATCGTCTTTGGCGGTATGTCGTTCCGCAGCATGTTTCAGCTCCCGACCGAGATTCCCGTGTTTTTGATATTCATCTTTCCAACTCTTCCGCTCGCCAGTTCTTGAAGACGCGTGGTTGGATGATTGCGGAGGGGCGTTAGCCGCAGAAGACCTCGGGTCGCCAAACGAGGTTTTCACGGCGGACTGGGCACTTCTAGCCTCGAGACCAGCCGTGTCTGGGCGATGTGTTTGACTCCGGTGATCTCTCACCGGCGTCATCGATATCTGTTTCATTCTGTCTTGTTTATGGGGCGCATTACTCGGTAATAAAGGAATTGGCGTCCTTGGTTTTTCTGGGATAGGAAGTCGTTCCTTCGGACTTCCCCTAGTGGGAACGACTCCTGCATGTTTGGAAATTCCCGTCGTCTGCTGGATTTTGCGATCGACATGGGTAAGAGCCGGGGCGTTTGTCGAATTCTGGTCGGATTTGGTCTCCCACAGAGACTCGTCGTCGGAAGGGTATTTTCTGGGCGAGTTCGACGGTGCCGGCTTTCTCTTACCAGAGAATTTGAGAAGTGCTTCCACACGTTTCTTGTTTAATTTTCCATATTTCAATCTCACAATGAGCTGCTGTTTGACCACAGTATTACGACCGACGGTCCTCGGGTAGTTTGCCTGCGATGACTGCTCGTCGACCTGACAAGATTCGGCCTTAATACTTTGGGAAGAACGGGGGCTTAGAAGGTCCACGCCACTAGAAAGGCCCTTGTCGGAGGTTTGGTTTGTAAGATTACTCTGCGGACTTTGCAGATCACCAGTGGGCCTATGGTGAAGCTGCGGGGTACCATGGTCAGAAGGCCTGATTTTTGGGTGTTTCGCTTTCAAGTTATCGCCAATTGGTGTATTTCTTTGTTGTGACGGTTCGATGGTCAAAGGCTCTTCGCCGAGTTTGGCAAGTTCTTTTTCGATATGGGGAGGGAGGGTCGGGGATAATAGCTGAGGTAGTCGAGGACTGCCCGATGCTGGCGGAAGAGTAGGTGACAGTAGAGCAGGAAGTCCATCGCAGTTCGCGCCGTCATTTCTGACTGGTTCCGGTGGGCTTGCGGGTGATAATCTCGGTTTTTTTGGAGAAACATGTTGTGGGGGCTTCCTTTCCTGAGGCTTCAACGGTTCATGGTCGCTCCCAAACGGTCGCTTACGCTCCGCTTTCTCGGAATCAATGCGCGCATGTTGCGAATGTGATATTCGTTCGGTCGACCTCTTGGGATTGCTTCGAGGTGAACGGACGGCGAGGTGTCGTTGATTGGCTTCGGTAGGGTGCGTCATCGAGACGCCTTGTTTTGTTCCTTTGGAACTAGGAGATAACGAAGCGCCGTTCTTTCGTTTGCTCTTATAATCGTTCAAGGTAATCTTTGGCTTGACAGATCCGCTTGGTGGTGTGCTCGTGGTGCTTTCAGGCCCTGAACGCTGGTCGGGCATGGCGTTCCCTGACTCGTCTGACCAATCGCCAACAGGAACAAGTAAAGATTCGCCTTCCTGATGTGTGAGGAACGTCATGTATTGCAGTTGCTGTTCGTCGGGAGTAAATGGCCCGTCATTACCCACTGCCCAATTGTTAACGAAACGGCCCCCAAGGCGAAAGGGCACATCAGTAGGAACGGTGAGGAGGAAAGGGTAGAACGGAAGGATCTCCTCTTTCAAATGACTCAATTGTCGATCGATTAACTCCGCCTCAGATACAGATGAACGTCTGCTGTAAGTTTTGGAACCAACTATATCATCATCCGTGAAGCACGAGGCAGGCTCCACCGACATTGCAATCCGTCGAACAACTCGTGTAGGATGTAACGAGGGGGGACACCAGGCCCCCAATGTTATAATGAACTTTCTACCACACTTGCGTGTTGTGGTCTTTTATCATCGGTGTCGCGCGAGTCGCTGGCTCTCCTCCTATACTGTCGCTGTTGGAAAAGGTAGGAACCGAAGAGGGAAGATATGGGCGCAACAAATAAAGAGGGTTGCGTATCCAAGGGTTCGGCGCTCAGCGACGACTGCGAGCGCGAATTGGATGGGAACTAGGCCCAGAAGACCAAAACTGCGAGCAAGCTTGCTGCCAGTTCTTTGGTCACATGTATTGCAATCTGGACTTTTCGAAGACGCCCGTCGGCGACTGCGCAAACATCGGCTGAAGTCCTCCTACCATGTACATGAAAACACCCCTTCGCAAGGAGAGTACCCGAAAGACGCTAGATATATGTACACTTCAGTATACTCCGGTCGCTGGGCGACAATCCGCATTGACCGGGTCGTTACGATTGGTTCGTCTATCGGCTGCGAAAGTTGCGACTGTGCCAGACAGCCAGAGAACGGTGGAAGGATAGGTGTTGTATAGATGTGGGTATTCAGAGGACCGTTATACCGGCATGTTTGAAGCGCTTGAATGAAAATCAGGAACAGCTAGTCATAATGTCCCGTGGAAAGAAAAGCGAAATGAGGGGGGACGGTGGTCTTTCTGGAGATCGGAAGGCGCGAACGTTGGATTTGGGCTGGAGCCGAATCGGAAGACTTGGCAGTCAATAAATAATACCAGAAGAAATACGGATACGGATACAAAGCATCGACATCTCGGTAATACAGAATGAGATCTACAGTTCTACACAACAGCGAACTACCGCTTTCATCGCCTCGGTCTCACAGACTTTAAATACTGAATTACTCTCTATTCCCTGATCTATGTGTCTTGTGCCTTTCGGGGCTTCTTATCGGTCCTTCTCTTTCGTCTGAGTGGGTGAGAGAGGAGGACGCGGCGTTAAAATCCGATGGTTATCGCGTAGTGTGTCTAGTATGGACGTCTCTTCGCTTGGTGACTGCATAGTACAATCAGGCAATAAAAACAAATTACCCATGAGAAGGACATCTTGCGTACCCTGTTTATCGGGAGGGCATCCGCAAGATTCGTCACCTATAAGAGCATAATACAAGGGACGACAAGACAATCGATAGGATTACACTATGGGGTAGAAGTATCCCCTTCTCCAGTATCAACAATCCATGGAAACAAGCAACTGACCCCCACACCTTCTCCACCCAATCGCGGGGAGTCAAAAAACCAGAAGGAGATTGTATCGAAATACTCCAGGCTCACAGTAATCCTCTATCTTAGGAACGATCATCAGGCGCGAACTTATCTTGCCAAAAGGTCCTGAAATGCTTTTGGCCTCCAAGGGTGGAGATTTCTTCAACTTCCTTCGGTGTGAGTTGGAAGTTCAGAATCTGCAGATAGCTGCTAAGGCGGGCCTTCTTGCCGCTGGTCGTGATCGTGATAGTGCCACGGTCTACAGACCATCTCAACAGAATTTCGCCCTCACCAACGGCATACTTTTTGGCCAGATCTGACAGAAGTCCATCAAGGGGCCCACCTCGAGCCCGGGTGGTGGGTGTCAACGGCCCGTAGCTGGCCGTCGCGATCCCTTTGGTTTCATGGAAGGGAACTAACGTATCATGCTGGAGATACGGGTGGTATTCAATCTGATTGACTGAGGGGACCACCTTTGCAGTCTTCAATAGGACATTCAAGTGTGTCTGCAGGAAGTTTGATACTCCTATCGAGCGAGCTTTTCCTGCAGCCTTGACCTTCTCCATTGCTTCCCACGCCTCTTGTAGTTCACGATCCGATTTGGCAAAGAACGGCGAGTGTATCAGGTACCTACCAGAGATTTGATGAGAATGTGGAAAAGGACCGGCGTATGATGCGGATATGATGGACTTACAGGTCAACATAGTCAAGCTGGAGCTTTTTGAGGCTCTCGTCAATCGCTCTCGGGATATCCGCAATGTTCGTCATCACCTTAGTCGTCACGAAGAGGTTCTCGCGCGCCACGCCACTCTCTTTGATCGCCACGCCCAGTTCGGGCTCAGTGCCGTAAACCTCTGCCCCGTCCAAGTGGAGGTATCCCAGCTTGATTGCATCTTTGATTGTCTCGACTAGCTCACGGTTAATGCCCGTGTCTCCTGTTTTGAACCAGGCAGTGCCTGTGCCATAGCCAACCTATTACCCTGGCATTAGAAGCTTTGTCTATAGTCGAATCCGAAGCCAAACACTCACCACTGGAATGGAGGTACCATCGTTCAAGGTAACGTTTGGGATAGCTGTCAGGGAATTGGCCGCCATTGTTAATCGCGCTCAAGTAGAAAGAGTTGTGAAGGAAGTATTCTGCGGGGTAGAAGAGGAGCGGGCCATTTATGTCTAGCGTATTTAACTCTCGAGGTTAGGCTCTTCTTATCATTATCATCGGTATTTCGTCATATTCTTGAGGGCCGCCTAGTACGTATATGGTTGGTTACAATTAGTCCAGTATAGAGTATACTCATAACCATGGAGTGTAATATATATAAATGAGCCCATTGCAGATCACCCAATAGTACTCTATACTTATGTGTCGCATTTCTTTCCCCATCTTTGATCATCATTATCATGGTCCTATTCACCCCTCCTATGTTGCTTATACCCTTCGGTAGATTCTACAAACGCATGTCCCAGATCTTCTCGCTCCGCACCCCCCAATGACACACATGGTCCTCTGCACAAAACAAGCCCATCTAGGATGTTGCCAGTGATTCATTCTGGATCAAATGATATATAAGCTCAAATTGTGGGGCTTTCAAAGTTGATGCCATCGTGTTTGATGCAATATGCAGTGATCGCCTGCAGGATATACTGTGCTGCATGGAGTTTTGTGGGAAGAGCAGGCCCATTACAGCCCTATAATAAACCCGAGCCACGTGATGCCGCGTGTGGAGCGTGCGACCACTTTTTCAACCTCTTAATGCTCACAATTAAGTAAAATGGGCGCTGAGAAACCGAGGAAAGCGAGTACTTATCAATAGGCCGGACTCAGGCAACAAATACCATTTGGTCTGGTAAATTTACCCGAGGGAAATACCAGAAAGTTATGCAATTTGTCAGCCATGGACTTATGATGTCACCCAACGATGTTTACTCTTCCGGTTTGGCTAGTGGGGATGATGAGATCGGCTACTCATTAACATCTTAATATCCGACCCAACACACTGTTATATATAGGAGCTTCAACGAACTCCGACAAACTCTCCATACTATACATACTATATGGCCCTTTCCTTTGTACCTCTGGTCAAGTTTGCATCTGTCTTGCTGAAATTTCCATCATACAATAGATAATCACGTCATTATCTATATTTCCGGCACGGTTATTATATGTCTTTGCGAAATACACTGTACCAGACACGGGCCATCCAGACTCGACTGGGACAAATGGCTCAGCAATTCTCCACCACAAGTGGCGTCCCAGGTTTTTCGTTGGCCGAGATCCCCAAATCCAATGTCTTCACGTCAAAGCTACCTGCAGACCCGGCTTTCGAGACCCCGGAGGCCTCTCATCAAGCGCCGAGGCAAACCCTCGGGCCCCGTGCTGTCAGGGGTGCCTTGTATACATATGTCCGCCCCGAACCAGCCGAGGGGCCGGAGCTCCTAGGAGTCAGCCCCAGGGCGATGCGTGATATCGGTTTAAGGCCGGGGGAAGAATCCACGGAGCAGTTCAAGGCATTGGTCTCTGGAAACCAGATCTGGTGGAATGAGAAGGATGGGGGGATTTACCCCTGGGCACAGTGTTACGGAGGTATGCTCAAAACTTGTATCGAGGTAGCGTAAGTTCAATGGTTAACGACTCACAAGGCTGGCAATTGTATGTTTCATACCATCCAGGAAGTATAGGGCGATGATCGTTGACAGCGCATAGCGGCTCATGGGCAGGCCAACTTGGAGACGGAGTAAGTTTAATCTCTCAATCACATGGTACTGGCTTGGGTTGACATTCGACTCTAGCGCGCAATCAGCCTTTTCGAGACCACCAACCCGGCAACAGGGGTTCGGTATGAACTGCAGATCAAAGGTGCTGGGAGGACGCCATATTCGCGGTTCGCGGATGGGAAGGCGGTCCTTCGTTCTAGCATTCGTGAATATGTCGTGTCAGAAGGTGAGTACTGCTAACAGCTATATGTTATAATGATGTTCAACGTTTTCTAAGATCGGTCACAGCCCTCAATGCACTAGGTATCCCGACAACCAGAGCGTTGTCACTTACTCTCCTTCCCCAGTCGAAGGTTCTGCGCGAACGCATAGAACCCGGGGCCATTGTCGCGAGGTTCGCGGAGACCTGGTTGCGAGTTGGAAGTTTCGATCTTCCACGAGCCCGGGGCGATAGGGAGCTCATCAGAAAGTTAGCAACCTATGCCGCCGAAGAGGTTTTGCACGGATGGGAATCCCTGCCATCAGCGGTGCCACTAGGAAAGGACGAGCCCCCCTCTTCTGTCGACAGTCCTGCGACAGGAATCCCATGGGACCAGGTACAGGAATTGGAAGGCGTCGCAGAAAATCGATTTGCGCGATTGTATCGCGATATTGTCCGGCGCAACGCGAGGACCGTCGCTGGCTGGCAAGCATACGGGTTCATGAACGGCGTTTTGAATACTGACAACACGTCGATATACGGGCTGTCGCTTGACTATGGCCCCTTCGCTTTTATGGACAACTTTGATCCTCATTACACGCCGAATCACGATGACCATCTTCTGAGATACGCATACAAGAACCAGCCGTCCGTCATTTGGTGGAATCTGGTCAGACTCGGAGAGTCCCTGGGAGAATTGATCGGGGCGGGTCCCGACGTGGACCAGGAGTGGTTTGTGAAAGAAGGATTAACAGAGGAGACCGCGCCCGACGCCATCAAACGCGCCGAAGAAATCATCGACCGAACCGGAAACGAGTACCGACATGTATTCCTAAACGAATACAAACGTCTGATGGGCCGAAGACTGGGACTGAAAACCCAAAAAGAGTCCGACTTCCAGAAACTGTTTTCCGAGATGCTGGATACCTTGGAGGCCTTGGAGCTCGACTTCAACCATTTCTTCCGCCGGCTTTCCGGCCTCTCACTTGCCGACCTCGAGACCGAGGCGCAGCGGAAGGAGGTAGCCCCGATATTCTTCCACACGGAAGGATTCGGTGGAATCGGCTACACGGAAGACACAGCGAGAGAACGCATTTCCAACTGGCTCGAGAGCTGGCGACTGCGGGCTTTGGAGGATTGGGGTCCCGACAGCGACGAAGCGCGACAGGAGGCCATGAGATCAGTCAATCCCAATGTAAGTTGCGTGTCTGGAGCCCTTAAAAACAGGACATGTATTTCTAACCCAGCAAAAACCAACAGTTCCTACCGCGTGGCTGGATCCTGGATGAGATCATTGATCGTGTGGAGAAGAAGGGAGATAGGCAAGTCCTTGGCCGCGTGATGCAGATGGCCCTTAACCCCTTCAACGATGAATGGGGTATGAACCAGGCTGAAGAGACGCGTTTCTGTGGCGATGTCCCGAGATACCAGAGGGCTATGATGTGCAGCTGCAGCTCTTGAGGTAGTGTGCTAGTACATAGCTCGCTGGTCATGGAGGTTGAATATTTGTGGATGTTATCATCCAATGGAATGGTCATTGTGTATATTCAACGATTTTTAAGCTTTCTAGCTGGGTACCTAACGTAAACGAGAACCAAGAAATGGAGCGAGTGAGAGACTACAAAGTGAGCAATGAGACCTGCACGTGAATTCATGAAGCGCACAATATTTGCACGCCATGCTACTCTCTACTGTAGATATACTATGCACAGGCCATAACTAAGATGCATGGATAACCGAAGTAAGAGTAAGGACCCGAACGTACAACCCTACCCAATTTTGGGCACCTACTTGTTTTTATACCCTGGGTGAGAATGAGTGCCCGACAAGACAAGAATAAACGAATTAAGTTGGTAGAAGGTCAATCAGAATTTCCAGTAAGTTAAGAATCATTGCTTTTCGTCGCCGACCCGTCAATCACCATCGATGGTATGTTTCCCCCCTCTTCCCCTTTCCTGAATAATTTTTTTAATCAACTCCCATTAAACCCCGCAATACACAAAAATTTCATCACATTTGTCCACCCACAATCCAGACAGCTTGTTAACTTCGACGTCAACTTTGCTGCTCACTTTCGGAACCAGAAGAAGCCATGAATAGGTTCCATGGTAAGTGGATATCTTTGGGAGATATCCCTGAACCGAAGGGGGCGGGAAAGTCACAGAGGAGTAAGCCAAGTTGTGGTTTTGGCCACTGAAGAATTGGGGATATGAACATTCAAATTGCTAAGAAGAGCAGTGTCTCAAAGGAGAAGAGCATCTTCAAGCCCTGGTCCCGCGCACGATAATGTGACAAGAGTAGACAAATGATCCAAAACCGATGTCGACTTAGTTGGGACAGGCAGCCTGGACATGCCCGGGCTGCTTGCAGTTGTAGCAAACGCGCTCGCCCTTGGCTTCAGTGGGACAATCCCGGGACACATGGCCGATCTCGCCACCTAAAGTTATATCGTAAGTACCGAGGGATAGAAATTGAAAATGAAGGTGGGAGGTAAGTTGAACTTACAGTTGTAGCACTTCTGGCCCTGAGTGCAGTCGCGAGCCATGTGGCCAAAGCCACCACAAGAGTAGCAAGTCTGTTGACGGCCACCGAAACCACCAGCACCACCGAAACCACCACCGTAGCCGCCGCCCTGGGAGCAGTTACGGGCAATATGGCCAACACGGCCGCACTTGTAGCATTCCTGGCCGCCAGCGGCAGGGCCGCCGAAGCCCTCGCCCGCGGGAGCGCCGCTCTGAGGGCATTCACGAGAGATGTGGCCCGTAGCACCGCAGCGGTAGCAAGACTTCTCCTTGGGGGCTACCGTGCATTCCCGGCCTATTGGAAGAAATCGAGTTAGTTATCCGGTCCACTCCGACTGATGATGATCAAGAAGGGGAAAGGGAACTAGAGAAAACAAAGGCGCGCGAAGATAAACTTACTGACATGGCCCTGGCCTATATCCCAATGATAGATCAGTAAGGATGAATCACAGCAGAAATACGAATTTTAGCACAAGGACTAAAACATACCACCGCAGTTGTAGCTATGAGATTCCATGTTAGTAACCGAAAAAAATTCACGGGGGAAACACACTAACCAGGTAGGAGTGCCCTTCTTGGGACAGTCGCGGGCCTAGTCAGAGTAAGAAGATATTCTCGTCGCAAAAATACAAAAATCCCCAACACGTGGAGCATATGATCGACATGGTTGACAATTGGGTGCCGGGGAGATATTTACCTGATGCGTAGCATCGCCGCCTGAAGTGAGAGCATTGTTAGCGTTTCTTTCATGCAAGGTATATTCAGTGTTTTCGGTTCGCCAGCACTAAAGAGTCCGGACTGAGAACTAAAGGCACAGATTTGTGTCCTCGGGCATTCGCGCACAGTGGCTCAATAACCGCAATATCCACAGTTTCAATCGAAGACAAACAGCACAGGGATTAAATCCGAGAGGGGATAAACATCAAACACAAAGAAATAAAAAATTAAATGAAACGGTCTCGAAGCCAGACAGGGGATTGTGATCTTTTGGTAGATCAACGTTGAAAGGGCGTCAAAACGCCCGAGAAAAAAAATCACAGCAATTCGGCTGGCTGGAAAGATTCAGAAAACTCACAGTTGAAGCAGCCACGGTTTCCGGTCTGGAAGCTCATTTTGACGATCTGGAAATATCGGTAGGGAATGGAGTGGAAGGGAGAGAAGAAATCGAAAGATGAAGAAGAAAGAGAGAAGTAAGTGAGGGAGGAAGAAAGGGCTGTTGGCAGAAAAATCCAGGTAATCAGAAATTTACGATTAGCAGGAACGAAACAAATTTAATACAAGATTGTAGACGGAAGGGTTGGTGCGGGTACGGTGCGGGGAACACGCTCGCTGCGCTCTCTTCTCTTCCGACCTTGGCTCAGTCTCGGTCGATTTCTTCCACCAGGAATACGGATTCTCTCTTATTTTTTTCGTAATTTTCCCATGGAATAGAAAGCAGAACAAATCCAGAGAAATAAAAATCAAGAAAAAGGAGAAAGAAATGAAGGAACGGGGGATGACCACAAATAATATTGCAAATCAAAAAAACTACTCTCTCAATCTCTGTCCCGGTAGTGGCGGATCTAAAAATGAAAATGCTCGGATCTCACAACGGCCGCAGCGAGAGGGCTCGGAGTAAATTATGCTGCTAATGCAGGTGGTATTGAGGTCGAGGTTGGAGTATGAGGATATAGTGCTCCTCCGTCGGTCAACCTTTGAGTGTGTTCCGAGATGGCTGAGAACAAGGAACAAGAAAGCCAATAGTAGTCCCCGCCAAGTTCTTTGTTGGCTGATTCCCAAGTACTAGCACTTGGGAAGACAAGTTATGATCTACCTATCTCGATGCGACGCCATGGTGGTGCTTTCTTCGTGGCTTGGAGTACATATAATAGCAAACGCTTTCAAGCATCAACTTCTGCTAAGCCAGAAGTGACGGTACACTTCGTACTTTATTGGTCGAATATATGGTTCATGTAAAGTCGTAACATTCGAGCATTTGCGCCCCCAGTCTCCCCTCTCGCAGCAAAAGCACACGCTCGTCATCAAACCCAATGCATCCGCGCACAACTAATTGATTACTTATATTCAAGCGAGCATCCATGGTCTCACGCAGACGAGTCCCAGAAAGCAGACCGGCACGATTTCTGTCGGGTTGTGTCTTATTTTCGGGATTGATCTGGATACTGTTTTCTTCTAGCTGCCGCTGGGGCCCGGCCGACGACATCATGGACTCAAGGTCCCATATTCGGATTTCGTCACCGCGTGAGCTGACGGAGACTGCTTTACCGCGATCACTGACATGCACTGCCGAGACCGATGATGTGTGACCCCAAAGTCTTTGGCCGCTTCTCACGGATAGATCTGCGGCTGTGGAAACGACAAGGTACACTGTTAGGGTGTTGTCGGGGTGAGATGTTAAAAGATAGGGATGGGAATAGGACACCGAAGTCGGCGGTTCGTGATGTAATATAGCTGGCCCCGGAGAAAATGAGTGAGAAGGAGGACTCGAACGCTCGTGGCCTTCGGACGACCGATTTCCTCCCTGGAAATAGCTTAGGGGTCGAAAGCTATACTGGGAGTCCACCGTGGTGGTGAGCCGTGATCGGATTTGTTGGCCACTCTTGTTGAAATGTAACTCTTGTATACCAAGAGACCAACCGCAGCCTATGTGGAAAAAGCTGTACACGATAGATGATATGATGGTCTCGGGCCCCGCCATGCGAAGAGACAATGACATCGACGCAAGGATGCTATCAGCCTTGAGAGATGCAAGCAGACGCGCCGTCTCCATTGACTCAGTTGGACGCGCCCCACGGGACTCGGTGGACAATTTATATAGCGATAAATGTTTGTGCTGAGAGACCATTAAAAGATACGGAAACGACGACGCCATCGCGGTTATCGCCCCGTTAGCAAAACCAGGGTGAGAGAAGCGTAGACTCAGTCGCAAAGTGTCTGGGTCCATGTCGTAGACGTTGAACTGGCCATTCTCGAATCCAACTACAATTTCGATTGAATTTGGCCGCGGACCACGGTTGGTTGTCAGCGCCGTTGGGACGGTAAAGCATTGTTGTGTACTGTCTGTGAACTGGACATTCGCAGTACATATCTTGGGGGTCACGGCAAGCCACACTCTCAGCCCATGCTCCAAATCTGCAGTTAGAACAAACCCGCTATAGAAATTGACAAGCAAAGGTGGACGCTGTGGCTGAGGAACTTCGACCTCTGTCACACGACACAGCCCTCTCGACCAGTTATGTCTAAGGCGGTATTGTCTTTTCCAATTTGGAGTTCGTCCTTCATCGACTAAATGACTATGATCAAGCCACGTAGACACCCGAGGCGAATACTCGGCATTGCCTTGCGGAAAAGTCACACGCCTAGCTTTAACTAGCCGGCGCGCTCGAGGTCGTACCCATCGTGAATAATATCTTCGTTTCCAGAGCTCCGAGTCCCCGGCTAAGGCACGAAATCTCCGTGACAGTCTAAGAGGATAGAATGGAACGAGTGAGCAATCACTTCAAGTGTACCATAGAAGGGAAGGAAGGGAGACTATGGGTCTATCGTGATGTATTTTGCCATACCTTTGACATGTAAGTAATGAGCTAACGGGTAAAAAGGACAGTATATGAAGTAGGACTTCGTTAGTCAAAACGGAGAGGCGGTCGGTAATATCATCGGTGCGAGCCACACGAGCCCGTTTCCTCTGTGAGCTCAATATGTCTCCATCATTAGACCTCTTCGGCATCTTGCTAAGACGCTAGAATTCGGTGGTGGGCATTGAAGATGGCGAGCGATTCCAATGGAGAGATTTTGTCTATATAGTCTGGTAGTATGTAGTTTGGAAGGTTGATCACCAAGACATCACTGAGCGCTTATCGGAAGACCGAGGGACATTGATAAGGCTAGCGGTTGACCATGACCGATACAGTATCGTGTATTACTATGTTCAATAGTAAGATATACCGGCAATTCATCCTCTTTAAATAAGGGCAGTACTCCAGCGCACGGTAAGATATGTGGTACCTTTTCTGTAAGGTATTATTACCAACCTGCATCGAGACTCGCGAATACATAAATACTTGACTAAGCCAGAATCAACGCTTCGAGTGACCACCAGGAACCGGAGTTAACGACCATGGCGGGAGACCTTTTCTCTTTGTTCATTGTTATTGTCCCAGCACGTTTTCACACTTTGGGGGCTTATTGTCGATGGAAGTCCTTCGACAGCTTCACCATTCGGTCGCCCAAACATTCGAGCATACGTTCGATAATGCCTACAGAGAGTTGAACGCCCAGCTTGCTACCCGTGATGCTAGAATCAAGGAAGCCGAATGTTTAGCGGAGGCTGCCAAAGAAGAACGGGATATAGTCTCATCAGAGGCAGACAGTTTGAGAGATGAAGTTATCTTTCTGAGGAAGGAGCTGGGCCATAATGATGTTGGTTTGGAGGATGACAACATTCCTGAAAAATCCGACCAACTGGAAAAGACATATGCACCCCAGCATTTTTTGCGGCTGCGCGACAGCAATGGCGAGGAAGATCCAAGCTCACGCGTCAATTCAACAGATTCTCTAGCGGATAAGTATGTTGCATTATATGCTGAGGTGCAAACTCTTGTTCAGGTCTCTGGGGAGCTCAGGAAACAAGTCAAGCGACATAAGAGAAAGTTATTGCACTTGCAAAAATGCTTTAGCAGAAAATCATTTACGCTTGTTCTCGAAGGGAACCCCGTCACATTTGAACGGAGTACCAAAATTATCCAGGGAAACAATGGTCCCATAGTGGATAGACAGTCGGATTCGTTGAATGCTGGAGAATCGAAACCAGTTGATCATCACGTTGTGAAAGAAGAAGGCGTTTCGAGGGATCCTACACCCAAGCCTTTTGTCGCGCCTGGTTCGCAGTCGTTGAAAAGGAAAGCTACGATGCTTGGGCCCTCAATAGAGACTCCCGACCCTAAGCACCCGGATAGAAATGAAACGAAACAGTCTGTTACAACAAATTGTGAACGTACCCGTCCTAGACTGTCCCATAATTCATCGTCCCAGGGGGGCCCTGATGAAACACAAGATTTAGACGAGGTCCGATGCACGGTTGAAACACCTACAAAGGACAGAGGGAACCATCAAGGTCGCTCTGAAAGTTGGTCTGTCTCCACGGAACCTCCCTCAACCAAATCTCCGTATCCGCAATTCAACGGCCTTGAAACTCCTACAAACGGCCGAGATCACCTTCCTGCATTTCAGTTTTATGGGAAAAACCTACGAAGTGTCCGTGAGACTAGCCAGCGGCAGCCTGGCAACCGTTCAACCAAAAACTCGGAGAAGATGGCTCGATTTGCCGTAAAGTCCATAGCAGAAGATGGAAATGAAGGAATCCAGGACCTCCCAATAGGCGACGAATCCAAGTCTTTGATACCTGGAGTTCAATCTCCAGGTTCTTCGAGCACAAACGACCCACAGGCCCGTCGGCGGCTACAAAATCTCCTTGAGAGCCCATTACGTCCAAGACATCCGCTTGGACAAAATTATGACCATGGGAACCGTGCGGATACTTTACAAAAAGCACAATGTCATCCCGATGAAGGCCGGAAGGACCCATTACCGAGGGATGGAGCAGGTATGCTTGCTAAGTCAGTCGAAAAGACGACATCGTCGCAGACCCCCCTTGCTTCAAAGATACAACAAAGCACCGGATTCCACCCCAGGCAGCCAAGTCCCAGCATGGAAAACACGGATATCCACCCAGAGGATGAACCCCTTCGAGCTCGGCCGCCACATAAGCTTGACCTCAGTCATTTCAGGATTAACCCGGAATATAACCAAGGGTTGGACTTTGCATTTGACTCAGTCCTTCGCAAGAGAGAAGAACGCAAATGTGCCGATGGGTGTACTCGTCCATCTTGCTGTGGTGAAAAATTTCTTGCCATGGCGCGCCTGGGCGGGATTTCAGCCAGTTCAGCAACTTCTCTTTCACTGGAAGGTGATGACAAGAGTATTCTCGAGGAATACATGGGAAAAGACGCACATCTGCTAGATGGCATGAAACCCGAAGATCGCCAGGCCCTTCTGTATGAAGCGAAAGCAAAGCTTATTGCCAATCGATTCGGGAAACATAGAAATCAGCATCAACGTCCAGCCTCACCGCCTGGGTTCTGGCGCACGGATATGCCCAGCACACAGGAGCTAGATTATGACCGTGAAGAAGCGAGACGAGTTGAAAGAGACAAGGTCAGGGAACGATATAGAGAGGCAACGCGGCCGGGGGGCCTGTGGAAATTTGCGGACGAATGAGCCAATGTGCGCATTCCATGTGAACAGGCAGTAGAGCTTGAATTTTGATGAAGTCAGAAGTGCCATAATTATGCCTTTATTACTTGGGCATAGGACTACTATCTCGAGTGCTTTGCTTGGTCAATAAATCTGGCTATACAAGCATCGTAGTATTTAGAACCTTTGATTTACCCCACAACTACTGGTACGTTTGAGAGTGGTTTGATAAGCCGCTAACCTCGGCATATATATCTTGGCAGACGCGGGACACGTGCCTTACGGAGTCCGGTCTCTACACTCCCTTTGCTGCTCACAAGTGACACTCCGTTCCATCATCCTCATCAAGTTTGGTGCCTCTGTAAGGGGAATGATTTGACCGTACTCTGGTATCCATAATTTTGTTCAAGATGGATTCTACACGCGATACTAAGAGCTCGATTCCTGGAGTCATTTTACGTCCGTCGAAATGGCTTCCGTTGTACGAGGACTTTGTCACCAAGAACGCTAGCTCTGTGGGCCAAGTAGAGTCTGCACTGAGATCTCTAACATATATCATCCCAGGTAAGAACCGGAGTGATTTGAACTGTGCTCTGATTATTGAATTCTGATGATTGCGATCCATTAGGACGCTACCGGGATTCCGAGATACCCTCAGAATGTGGTATGTATACAGACGACTATCTACCTATGTTGCTATCTACTGACCAGATTTTGTAGTACACTCTGGTGTACAGTTATTAACGCTTTATCATGACTCTCTTGTTTCTCGGGTCGCTTCCGGTCTCCCACCCGCTGCTCGGCCGACGCCAACACCTCATTCTCGGTATACGAAATACTGGACCTCGCATTCATCTCTATATCGCAAAACTGCCCTTGCACTTCAGATGGTCCAATATACGGAGATACTCTGGGAAATGACCGCGCGACGCCGCGGTGAGAAAGTTCGTTGGCGGGTCGTTGTTTTGATTGAAGTCATTAAAGCGATGTGCCGTCTCTTGTTGCTTCGCCTTACAAATTCCAGACCCCTTGTTAGCCCACCACTCCCGGAACGCGAACTTGACCCTAGGTCAACACAAGAGGAAGATGACAGTGACTGGAACGGAATGGAAACTCCTGTCAGCGAACGGCCATCGGACTTGAATTGGAATATGCCCCGAACGGGCCTGTCGCTTCCTTCGCTTCCCGATGTGAATGATATATCAAACTATCTCATATCGAAGGTTCTTACCGCTGACGACATCAAACCGCCAAAGTCTCTTTTGCATCGTGTCACTGGCCAAGGCCAACTGGCGGAGATTATGTACATTCTTCGACCGGTGGTTTATGCACTTGCAATGCAAAGATGGTATAAAAACAAGCAGAGCTGGCGGCCCTGGCTGATCGGCTTTGGTATGGAGTATGGTTGTCGACAGCTCGCGAAGGCTGATTTCCGGGAGAGGGTCGCTGGCGGCCTCAGAGGACTTACGGGCCTCGAGCGGGAAGAGCTAAGGAAAAGAGGGTGGGCGATGGGTTGGTGGTGTATGCGCGGTGCATTCTACGACAACATCACTAGGTAAGAGTCGGCGCCTGCAATAGAGAAGACAGAGCTAACATAAACCAGGCCTTGGCTGAACGGAATGGTTCGGAAAATGAAGGGCAAGCCTCTACTTGACTTGGTGGGAAGTGTTGTGGAAGACTACGAGTACTTGTGGGATAACTTCTACTTCCCAACCGCGACCCTGTAAAGGTCTTTTTAATCAGTTTCCACTGGTTGGCGCTTCACCATCTACGCTTAGATGACACCCTACTAACCATGTTCTTTACAAACCATTGCTCCTTGACGTTAAGTGAGTGTTGAAAACACGCATTTCTGCACCAAGGGGTAAATATTGATACCCGATGAGGCCTTGGTCCCTTTCTACTCCAGTCCTTCTTTCTCTTTAACGATATTCTATCCAGTGTTAGATCTGCTTCATGTCTCAAATATTTAATATGGGGTATCTCATTTGTCATGCATCTTGTATCATAGTTATACAAAGCGTTTTATATCTAATCCTCAAAGGACCTCGGCCGTCCTAGATCCAAACCAGTCTCGCAGCTCTAGATCCGAACCCCTTAGAGAGCCGTTGGACGTCAACAAGAAGTCCGTCAATTGTGTGTTCTCGTCATCTTCCATAGGCCAATCAACGTTTGTTCCACCCTTCGACTCAAGCATTTCTTTGGAAGTTCCCCAGCTAAACCGGCATTCATTACCCCATCCAAAAACAGGCTCCATGTTGTTTCGCATCCAAGTGACGCATTTCGAGTCGGAAGGATAACCGCTGCCCCAGCTAACGGATGAAGGAAGTTCCAAGTCTACCTCACGTTGCTGGGCTCTCAACACTTCTGCGTGACAGAGATCGAGCGCCACATCCCTAGTGACCTTTGCAGCAACACTTGCAGCACTGACACAGGGGTATAGGGAATCGGCCTTCTTAGCGACTGTGATTTTCAACGTGGGGAATATCCGTTCCAACTTTTGCTGATAGACCGCGGGGTTGCCGATGGTATCAATATACACCTCGCGGACGTTGATCTTCCTGACCTCGACAATACCGCGAATGATCTCAACCGTTGCGTCCATAGCCTGCGCATTCAAATTGTAGACCCCCGGCGCAGGACGCATCATTCCGGCCGAGATATCTCGAGCAGACAGAAGCTTTGTCGCAAATCCACACGACTCGAACAACGGGTTTCCTGGTGTACAAATGAGTTGCATCAAATTGGTGCGTACGGCTGGTGTGAGGACTTTGCTGTCGTCGAAGCTGTAGTCCCGAGCTAGGAGTGAATGGTGGAGTTTATGGGGTAAATAGAAGGCGCTGTACACCATGGGACCCAAGACAGGGCCGCGACCGGCTTCGTCGACACCTAGGACAAGGTAGTCCTCTTCCGATGACGTGGATGGGCTTGTCGGTGTCTGATCGGGTACCGGAGCAGTTGTAGAGGGCTCATCTTGGGGTGTGATGGCGCTAGGATATTCCGAGTAATAGGCGAAGGAATCGCCGGAGAATAACCGATTGCAGTCTATGCTTGGAGGAACGAAGATGGAAGAGGTCTCATGAGGGCGAGTGGAAGCATCTGGTTGATTTGAGTCTTCCATGATTGTTGTTTAAGGTGCGAATCCAAGAGTGCGAATTCACCACAAGTAGGAGCAGGCCAATTGTAGTAGGGATGACTGGATACTATAAAAATCAATCAACTAAGCATGTACCTGTTCGTAATAGAAGAAAAATGGTGCGAATTCTTGCTCGTGGGTGAAGTTAAAGAAGCATGCAGACCAGCCATCACTGGCTTCTGGGACGCGTTGCGAACCGTTCCGGACTAGCGGCCCTTTTGCGCGTTGTTCGCTCGCCGCCATTACAGAATCCCGCCGGTTCCCCTCCACAGTCTCCAACCAAACTCACGTCGTTCCTCAGCTGGGTTCTACACCTCTAGCCCGATTTTATCGCAAAAGGGTCGACTAATAAGCACAACTACTTTCGACCGTTATACCGCAACCAAAAAGCGGTATTCCGCCGATCTGGTCTCGACGAGTCCGCCCGCGGGAACCACCACTCATTTACTTCTGAACGTCCGGTCGAACATTCGCAACGATGGCTCCTCGAGGGTCCTTGAAACCTCGCGAATATGACTTTTCGAACGTGGGAAAAGCTGGAAGGTGAGCGTCCCCACATGGCCTGCAAATTCCGTCATCCACCCTGAAGGGGGAGCTAATGCAAGTCGTGGACGGCTACAGGCGCACAGGGCTTACCCTCAAGGAAGGGAAGCGCGATGAATACGGAATGGAGGAAATCGAAGGAATGTGGTCATCTCCTGAGAAATCGCCCGTAGGAGAGAACGGTTTCGACAGCAGGCATGAGGTTTCCGACGGCTCCGATGGAATGTCTATCGACGAAGGTACACGCGCGCACACACACAACAAAGAAACCCCGGTGCTGACATTTCGCTTTGTGATTTTCAGGGAATGGCCCTGCTCCTGCAGATTATCTAAATGGCCTGAACAGCAGACGCAGCCCTTTCTTCCCCCCGCCCGTTGCACGTTCTCCCGTAAAGACCGGCTTGAGCGGCTCCCCGCGGAGGACCCCCGGCTTGCGATCGTCCCAGAGTCCACAGCGCGATATACCGTCTTCCAGCCCCTCGGATGGTAAAGGCCATGGGAATGCGAGAGGAGACTCCCGGCCCGATATTTCGCCCCTGACCAATCGCTCTGTCAACGCGCCGTCTCTCAACCAAGTCAATAACAAGCGGAATAAGGCGAACGCTAAGGAACCGGCGGCTGCAGTTAATTTTTCGGACAGCGACGCGAACAGCCCATTGAACGGAGATGAGAACGCAGATGTAATCGATCACGTACAAGAAGACTTCTCAAATAGCATCGACGGCGGTGATGAGACAATGTTAAGCGACCACATGGAAGACCCGGACCGGAATCGCGAGGATGAAGAGCCGCTGTCGCCTGAGGCCCCTAACGCCAACGAAGAACAAGCCCCGGATACCACCATCAAAACAAGACGGAACCCACCAAACAAGAAGTATAAAGCACAGGACACAGCGCAGCAGAACAAGCCCGAAGCAGAACAATCGACGAAACGCAAGCGCCCTGGGCGCCCTCCAAAATCGCAAAGTACGGGAGATGCCGATGCAGAGGGGCAACGCGCATCAAAGATGGCTAAGTCGTCCTCGAAGAGAAGCCGAGAGCCGGAGGCCTCAGGCAACCCGGAACTGGATAAGGTCGTCGAGAACTATGTCAGCCGTACAGGGCCTCTAAAGGGTCGGAGCCTCCACATCCTCAAGCGGGAGGCACCTAGCGAAAGCGGCGCTACGCACACGCGGTCAGGCCGTGTATCTGTCAGACCGCTCGCATATTGGCGCAATGAGCGGTGTGTTTATGGGGACGGGGATGCTTCTGAGGGCCAGAGATACCCGCTCTCTACGATTAAAGAGGTCATTCGCACAGAAGAGCCAGAAACCGGGACAGAGAAACGGGGCTCCAAAAAATCCAAGTCGAAAAAGAAACGAAATCAGGCTGACTCTGACGACGATGCCGAGTATGCGGACGATTGGGAGAAAGATGCCGGAGTTCTCCATGGCTTTATCAGGAAGTGGGATCCGGAAACTCAAACGGCCACAGAAGATGACGAGGTACTCGGTATGGGCAATGCTTTTCCATTCCGAAATTCCTATTCACTGACCTATTTGTGCTCACAGACATCGCGTATGCTCCTGTTGGCATTGAGACGAGAGATGTCAAAGGCTCCAAGTTCCGCTTCGCCAAACTTCTCAGCTCATCATTTTTGGGTTCGGGCATAGTTGAGCTGCCTCCCGGGGGAATAAAGAAGCCGAAAAATTCCAAGAAGATGCATATGGTATTCTACGTCGTGAGTGGCAGGGTCCAAATCGACATTTCCGGGGTGCAATTCAGTGCAGGCAAAGGATGTGTATTCCAAGTCCCTAGGGGTAAGTCAGATGTCCTGCAGATTTCCATACGCGCGGTTAGTCGGCCACTTACTGACATACTTCGTTCGCCTCAATGCAGGGAATTATTATAGTTTCGCCAATACACACGCGAACGATACTCGACTCTTCTTCACCCAGAGTTGTGTCCCGACGGAAAGCGAAAGCGACAGCCCCGGGCCCGATCCCGATTCCGCATCGAAGTTCGGCAACATCGAGGATGAAGCCGCCACGCCAACCGAACGCCCAGCGAAAGGTGGAAAGGGCCGGCCTAAGAAACAGAAGGGCAAGGCTGGCGGAGCAAAGGCTGGTTCCAAGGCTGGTTCCAAGGCTGGTTCCAAGGCTGGTTCCAAGGCTGGTTCCAAGGCTGGTTCCAAGGCGTCCAAGTCATGATGGAGAAGACCCGACACCCTCAAGAACTTCATGCAGTCTAGTCTTCCCCTCGACTCATTCTCTTTTCTCAAGTATCCTTTCTTTCTCTGCTATTCAGCCCATTTTTTGCTCCATTTGGGACCTGTGGGCGGACAGTGTCTTCTTCTGATACACAATATGCTTTGGAGTTTTATGTTTTGACTTTAGCGATTGAGTTATATGGTACTGTAACTGTTTCATTAAGCTGCTGGTATATTTTTCTTCCTTTCTTCCCTCAATTTCAAGAATGTAAACTGGCCAATCAGGAAATACTTTCAACCAGTCGCTTCAACTGCTTTACCACATCCTTCTAAGTAATTTGTCAGAACACACAATAAGACATGTCTAAATTTTAATAAGAGTCTTTACGTCGTCGCTCACCAGTCCCCCCCCCACTCAATGATCCCCTAAAACCACCCCAATCACATCCCCCTAAATCTCCTCCAACTCATCCAACTCATCATCAAGACTCAGAGGCGGAAAATCACCAACCTGGACTTTCTCCGGCTTGACGAAAACGCCCGTCTTAGGCGGGCACGTGAAGTAGCGCTCGCCGCCTACGCTCCCGTCGTTCTTCCCCGTCGGCTCATCCAGCTCGATTCCGACCCAGATTGGGCGCGCACTGGACGGCACCTGCGCGTCGGTTTCTACGCCGGGGAACGGGATCGTGGGGACGGGGCCCACGAATTGAATGGTGCCGCGGCGGATGTGTGGCGGGGAGGAGGGGAGGATGATTGCGCGTTTGGAGGTGGTGATGTCTAGTAGATTAGTCTCTTTTTCCTTTGTGTCTCTTCCTTTCCGTCTCAGGTTGAAGGTGAAGGTTAAGGTGAAGGTGAAGGGGGATCTCACTTCTTTGTTGGACGTCCTCAGCGTCCTTTTGTGCCTGCGCTTGCATCGACTCCTCCGGGGACGAAGCATTAGGGTCAAAGCGGCCGAGCTTCTGGTTCTTTTTCCACGCGAGGACAGAGTTAGGAAGAGTCTCGTAGGTCGACTCCGGGAGAGTGTACTTCTCCACGGAGGAGAGGTCCGTGAAGTTTGGGCGCGCGCCCTGAGGACGGGAGTCGTGGACCTGGGCGATCAATTAGCTATTCATTATCCATGATATGGTCACGTCGCGAGTTCGCGACTGCAATTGATAGAAAGAGGAGGGTGCAGGGAGCGTACTTCGATCTCAGACCCCTTGTTCAGGCCGTAGTTACCAACACTGGAGTCCTCCGCGTCAAGCCATTGGTCCGGATGTCCCGGCGTCTTGAGCCGCAGTCGTTGGCATCCGGGCGGAATCCCTGTCATGGTCTCCAGTTTGCCTTTGAGCTGCGTGACTGTCCATGTTGGGGTGACACGGCGCTCGGTGATGAACTGCGGGCGATCAGTCGCGTTGGCGGCTGGTGTTGTGATCATGACGGAGATGTCCGTCGGGGTGGGTTGGAACGCCATGTTGGTTTAGAGTTGGCGGTCCAGGAAGTTGGCTGGTTGATGCTCTTTGGGAGATGATGTGGCCGCTTCTGGGCTGTCTTTTAAAACACAAGGTCAGGTCTGAGTCCTTGATGATGTTGGGTACTGGATGTATAGTGGGGGTGTGAGGGGCAGTGAGGATGGACAGAATATGTGAGAATGCTCTGGTCTCTCAGGGTGTTCTCTTGTATTTCGAGAGAATAGCAAGGCTCAACCCCTTTCTTGCCTACAGCCTTGTCGGCTGTACTAGGTAGATTTGGCAGCTAACTATATAGCAATGACTCACGTTGTATATAACAATCTAATGACAATCTTAGTTCTTCTGTGGTAGTGTATGTGGAAAGAGTGTATGTAGGGAGTGCTAGCTATAAAGCGAGGTCCTGTATGAACATTCGTACCTGTATTAGGGGTAGTAAGGTCGTGAGTGGGTCGTGGAGAAGTGGCTACTGAGGAGATAGTCGATAAATAGACAGGTTGATACTCCGTATAAGGCGAGAATATCGCCGACTTGCATGGAATTAAGTTATCCACGCACGTGGCGTGTTAGTCAGATATTTGATGTGCACAATTTATGGTCATTATTTGCAAGGCATCTGTTAGACTCATGACTAATGACAGTATACGCCTTGCTTGACTCGCTATACATACAGCAATGACATTTCCTCATCATCTATTCAAATCATATTATAGACAAAGAATAATGGCTCCTAGTTCAATCAATCAATATTGTAAAGTAAACACACGATCAACCACGGCATATCAGATCAACGAATTCCTCAAAAGTCACCTGACATCAAACCAAATGGATGATCCATCCTTCCACCACTGACTGACCAGCCAAGGAAAAGGCATAGAAAAGACCCCAAAGGAAGACACCTCGATCGACCTATAAGATACCCTTCATGGATAGACCCTACAAACCCAAATAAATCCTCCGAATTGACTACATCCTCATCGTTCTATCTACACCCGCCTTTCATCATTCTCGTTAGCCGTATCTTCGATTTTTTTTTTTTTCCTTCTCCCCCACCCCACTTCCCGTACTGGTCTTTCTCTTTCTTGTCCTGTCTTGTCTTTCTTCTTGGCTATCGTCTTTCCTGGTGGAAGCAATAGATCATACCTACCTAGCAAACCCAACCCCAATACTATCTACCCACCTATATACTATCTATCCCACAATGTCGTCATCCGACATACCTACACCTGATCAAGCGAGTCAACACCCAGACGAAGTAGAAGAAAAGAATGTCCACGAAGTGTACCAACAAATCGCAGGCCATTTCTCCTCCACCCGTCACAAGGTACCTACCTACCTACCTATCTATCTTCCTCCCCCTTCATGCCCCCGTTCTCTACTGTGGCTATAGGTGCACGTTGCTAATACAGCGCTACCGCCCTAGCCATGGCCGATGGTGGAACGATTCCTCAGCGGCCTGACTCCAGGCTCTGTCGGGCTGGACGTGGGATGCGGGAATGGAAAGTATTTGCCGGTGAATCGCGATGTATTCATAATTGCCTCTGATCGGTGAGTCCTTCCTTGCATTTTCTTAAGTATCATCCGCGGTGGGGATCACGTGCCACTATTGTACGCCCCATCACTCCTATGTACGTTGTTTGCGTAGTTTGATATGCCCCATCGTCAAGGGGAAAACGTGATATTGTTTTGTATGTGCTATGTATATCCTAGATTGACCGATAATGCCAGTTCCGACAAGCTTGCCCAGATTGCCGTACAGCATCAGCCACATTCCACCATCGTGGCTGATATCCTGAATCTACCGCACCCAGAGTCCTACTTTGACTTCGCCATCTCAATTGCGGTTGTGCACCATCTGTCCACCCCGGATCGAAGGGTCCTGGCGATTCGCGAGATTCTCCGCACTCTGAAACCCGTGGACGAAAACGGGTCCGGGGGTCGAGCGCTGGTCTATGTCTGGGCCCTGGAGCAAAGCACTAGCCGCCGAGGCTGGGACAAGGGCGACGCACAGGACATCATGGTGCCCTGGGTCATGAAGGGGAAGCTGGCGCCCGGAGGCGCCCCCACTGTCGAGCCCAAGGTATTCCACCGGTACTACCATCTGTATAGCGAGAAAGAGTTGGAACAGGATATCCACGCCGCCGGGGGGCGTGTCGTGGAGTCCGGCTATGAGAGAGACAACTGGTGGGCAGTTGCAACACGAAATGACTAAAGAGCATTGTAACGGAGAACTGTAATATGTGCTCCGAGATCCAGTCTCGGAGTATCGGCACCTCTCATCATATTGGATTCCGTAATAGACGAGAAAGAGACAAAGAAATCGTCACCTCGGAGTTCACATCCGAGCCCTCCTATTGCAGGAGGGCCCAGTAATAACAAACAAACAAAGGAAAACAAAAAAAAATAAAAATAAAAGATAAAAAAAAAGGGGAAGCGCGCACATATTCACAAGAATAATCTATGAAAAAAAATCACCACAAGGGTTGCCTCCAACCAGCGCTATGCAATTCGTAACACGCAAAATAAACACATAGATGTCGTAAGATTTGACCCTAAGGAAGGGTCCGAGGGGGCGGGCCAAGCGCAGGGCCCAGGTGACCGTGACTGCTAGCCATATCTAGCGGTCGTCCTACTCGGTAGGGGTCTCGTGGAAATGCAAATGGCGGCGGCGTAGGCGCATATGCGGGAACACCAGCTGTGAGCTCTTCGACGGATGGGAGTTGTGGGGGGTGGATGGCGCGCGAGACGGATGGTTTTCTCGGCCTGGATAGAGACGTGCTCGCTCTGCGGGTTCTCGGGGCTGGCGGGTCGATGGCCGTGCTCGACAGCGAGAAAGGAACAACACCGGCTCGGCGGGCCATCTCCTGTTCTCCCAATTGCCAATGCATGGCCTCTGCCGCTCTCCAAGGAATCGCCATTTCCTCGGCCACCTTGGACCACATTTCGGCTTTGAATCTGCGGTTGTCCGACGTTAGCCTTTTATCTGCACACACCCTTGCCTGGAGTTTCGTTGCCAATATCGAGCAAGGTTTCTTTCAAGCCAGGCTCTGTTTTGGTACACGCTCACCGTGCGTAGGGAAAAAGAGAAAAAAAAAAAAAAAAAAAAAAAAAAAAAAAAAAAAAAAAAAAAAACATACCTCTCATATAGTCTCGCAAGTTTGTTCTTCTTGTCTTCATCCCATTCGCTCCTGCGCTCTAGATAATTCTGATAGTGGAGGCGGCAGCTGATCGCACTTCGTCCAGGAAGTCGCTTGCTGATATCTTCCCACTTCATGCCACTCCCCCGTAGTTCGATGATCAAAGCATCTTCTTCGGGAGACCATTTAGACTGCTTTTTGGCGGGCGATTCCGCGGCGTGACCAGGATGGAGGCGCTTGGCCGGCACGGAGCTCGTTGTTTTGACCGAGAAAGGTGCCACCGTCGAGACCGGGTTCGGGGCGGGTACTGACATCGCAGGCACCATGGGCGCCGGCGGCAGTGGATTCGGTGGAAGGGTGGGCGCAGAGGTCACCGGTGCCGTCTCCTCCTCATCTTGAGGTTTTAGTAGTAGTGAGATATCCACTTTGGCGGGGGGTAGGATAGGCTGGTTTCGTAACGCAATCATATGCGCGATTCGCAAGGAGAGATCCCTTCTTTTTTTCGTCTTTGCTTTAATGAAAAGTGAAGGAGGGGCCGTCCGAGTTGGTCCAAATGTCCGGCCAGTCCTCGTGGCGAAATCGACTCAAAGGAAGCCGAAGAATGGAGAAGACTTGAGTATGGGAGAAGGAACCAAGATGATTTGAGGTTCCAAGCACTCTGCTTTTTATTCTCTCCTTTTTATATTCTTCTCTCTTTCGTTCTTTTTTTTCTTTCTTTTAATCTCGAGGAGAGATGCTTTGTCCGGAACTCAGTGACTCGATCTCAACTGGGGAGATGGATGGTTTGTGGAAAGTCAATGAATGGATGGTAGGTGTTCCGTGTAGTCCCACGTCACCACAATCGAGTCTATCAGAAGGCGGATATGGAAGATAGAGTGTCTGAAAGAGTTGATATAACCAAGAAGTAAAGGCTCAAGATATCCCAATAACAAAATAAATAGAAAGGATGGCTATGGATCTTGAAGGTCAGTTGAACCTAGGTCTAGAATGCTAACCAACGACTGAGGTAGAAAGGAAATCGAATCAAGTAAATGAAAAGCCGATGACCGATGGTGGGAGGATGGGGGGGGGGAATAAGAGAGAAGAGAGAAGGAAAGAGGAAGAGAGAGAGAGAGAGAGAGAGAGTGTGTGTGTGTGTGTGGGAAGAGAGAAAGGAAGTAGTTCAGAGGGGAAAGGAGGAAGACGGACGAGATAGATGAAACACACTTTGAGATGCATAAGAGGTGATCATCGACGGTGACAGCTGATCTAGCAGCGCAAGACAGCAAATGAGAGGGCCAGTAGTAAGAGAACTGGGACCATGGAAGGTGGGATAGGTATGGATGGGGAAGGAAGGGTAGAAATTGGACCAAGCTAAGAAGTAGAAGCCGAGTCCAGCCAGTCCGTCCAATCCACCTGTGGGCTCGGAAGGTCGTGAATATTCAATTCTCATTGAGCAAAGGATAAGATGGGTATGGGGGAGGGAGGGGCGGTCGAGACGGTTGGTGAAAATAATAATAACGAACTGAGTTCCAGGTTTGGCAGTTATGGGTCCATCTGGTTAAAATGAACTAACTTGGACTCTTGAGCTCCTACGGGATACGGTACCAAACTAACTGATGGAGAGAAATTAAACATAAACAATAAAATAAATATAAAATAGAATCAAAAATTCAAATAATAGTTAGACCATGATGGAGAGGAGAGAATAATCAGGGCATGGAAGTGTCTTCCATAGCACCATGGTCAAACCACCACTAGGGAAAGGACCAACGGTTGACGTTTCAAGAGACGATTAGGATCCTTATTCTATTGTAATATCATCATCATCATAATAATAGTAACAGTACTATCATAATAATTCATGACTATCAAAACGGGGGTTGTGGTTCCACCCCGCGGGTACTATAACTCAAAAGGAAGGCTTCACTGGCGGTCAAACCCTCTGCTTCTCCTCCCGAACATTCGAGCCCAGACTCGGTTTGGATTATGACTCGGTGGTGAGTTGGCTGGGAGGATTCATGTCGTTGACCTAAATTTCTGCCAGACTGGGCTGCATCGTTATATGAGAAGCAGAAAGCATACACTCATCTTAGGAAACATGATATCAGATTCCGGGAAAATCCGACTTGATTATTTTTTGAATGATTTATCTTGTAGGGAAAGAGATGACTCTGTATGTGTATGGATTGAACAATGATAACCCTTTGGATATGATAATAATAATAATAATAATAATAATAATAATCAAATATAAAATGAATAAAATAAATCAAAGGAAAAGACGGTCTAAGCCACCAGCGACTAGAATCTTGCATACCCGGGAACCCTGGTATGCTTTCCCTCTAGGAGAATTTTCTTTTTCTTCTGTATTTATTGATTTTCACCTCCTTTGAGTATAGGGCAAGATCACAGAGGTTCGAGACAATGCCAACTGTGGGAGAGAAAATATTTGAAAATTAATAAAAATAAACAAAAATAAAATAAAAGAAGAAGAGAAAGAAAGGAAAAGGAAGTAAAATTCAATAAAATAAAAACCGAGTGGGGAGCTGTATTATTGTGAGTTCCGAACCAGAGCTGGAAATAGCCTTCCAGAGAAGCTCCAACCAAGGTGGGATCGTAGGCAATGATGCCCAGAAGTATGCGTAATAACTTAACCACAGCTAAGGTTCTTCTCATTCAAACCCTTGTCACCTGTCAGAATAACTAGAATACCAACAGCTGGAAGGATGAAAGGAGTGGTCTTAAGGAAAATGAGATTGAAGATTCTGAAATTAAGAGACCAATAGATAAAATAAAAGGAGAAAAGGAAAAAAAAGACATTATGTATCAACATTTCCGCCCAGATGTTTATACTAAACATCCTCTCCCGTCATAAGATACCATGGCTGACTGACTATTCTCTTTCCTCTCCTGGTTGGCTTCCGATAAAAAAAGAAATGATCAATAAGTCGAGATTGAAGGTTCCAACTTTCCTACAATCCAACGGTCGAGGACCAACCAATTAGTGGCATGCGACGACCACAATGGATCTGTCAACGGCGAACGAACCCCAAGCCCCGAAAGGCAGGTATCGACCTAGGTAATATTGCTAGGGAAGACGCTACTGGGATCTCTTCGAACCGTTCGCCTCGTCCGACGTTCTGCACCCCACGGCCTGGCTGACCGAACTTGTCGACCCATGGGCTAATTCTTCTGGTTACCTCGTTATTCGACCGAATTTCTTGGTTCGATTAATTAAATAATCAAAACAAATCTATATTTATAGGCACTGGTATGGATCTATACGGATCGAAATTTACACCTTTGCAGCTTTCTTCAGAGATGAGGATAGTGGATTGTTAATATCGACTACGTAGTACGTACTCCATTCTACCTCTGCTTCTTTCTTTCTTTTTTCTTTTTTTTTCTTTGTTGGTTTATTCAATTTGACATCATTTCTTTCTCTTCCATTGCGACGGAAATTAAATAACACAGTCAGCCTGTCATCGAGATGAAGATGTCCCGTAATAATGGCACAGCCCAAGTGATACATCAACCCGTCCACCACTTTCCGTAGTCTTGGGACGCGGCAGCTCTTCCACCGTTACCCTTACATTTCCACTCTTCTATTCTTCTACTTGGCATTCTTCTGCTACGCTCGATGAGTACGGAGTACTCCGTACTAGATGTGCCATTGCAGGCCGTTGTGGACACGGACATCAAGGTGGAAGAGAAACGGTCTGATTACCGGATGTGCTTTGCAGCTCAGCATCGTGTCATGGCCCAGGACGTCTGCGTGCGCCATCCTGTCACACCCCGACCAATTCGAGCCAGATCCAATCATCAAACGAAAGGGTCGACCGACCCAGGATTCCGATGTTTGTTTGAGATGAGACTCCAGTGAGGCCCGGGGGTCATTTCGGGCTCAGTTCAACTGCGGTTCGTGATCTTGTCTGGAATTACTTACTGTGGAAACAGTCGAAAAAAATAAAAAATAATAAATCAATCGTAAGAGAAGAGAGATTTCATCCTGTCGCTTAACCGTCCCGGGAAGCGTGGACAGGAGCGGCAGGATTTCATGCGATCTCCGGGTCTCGACAAGTCCCTGTTTAAAATTGGAGACCGTTGATCGTGTCGGGCTAGAAGCCTGGAACCGCCAAACGCAAGCACAGTACATCGATCCAGGCCTTTTCATTATTTATTTTTCATTGTTTTTATTGTTTTTATTTTCTACGATTTATTCGCGTCAGCGAGATTACTGCCGACGAGTTCTTCCGACCTGCAGAGACGACGGCGTCTTGTGCCCAGAGTCTGCAGATCGATCCTGCCTCTCCTTGGTGGTTTCCATAGTATTGAACGCCGACGAGGAACGGACTAGTTTGTGGCTACTGGCTACGGGCTACAGAACAGGAGGTCAGTCCTCGTGGTGTCTTTTGGACCGCTCCATGTCTCCACCACGGGAGATAGAGAGACCTAACTATCGGCCGGCGTGACCGAACCGTACTCCGTATATAGGTTTGCACCCCCATAGCGGAATAATCGTACCTACTGCCTAGCTAGGTAATCGGGAATAAGTACCTAGTCCAATCAACGAAACACTTGGATGATAGACGTGATGAATACCTAAAACTGAACAAGATACCAACTTGAATACACTGTAGCACACACTAACTCCTCAAGACACATGGTTGACGGACAGGTTAGCAGTCAGCTCAAACAGGCGGTAATGTGCGGAGTATTTTTGGACCAAGGGTTGGGCTTGCTTGTTTTTTCTTTCTTCGAACGACGGGGCTGCGGGAACAAGGGGGGGGTTTCCGCCAGACTGCAGTGCCTGCAAGATTACCTAGGGACCAACGGGGATCCACTTCAACGGTGTCCGCTTGTCTAGATGGGGGAAAGTGTCTACTATTATTCCGACAGTGGCGGTGGAGAGGACCCAGCGTTGGTAGTCCAACCAGCTGTCTAGTTGATGTGGGGCTGTATCTCTTTTTCTTTTTCCTTCTCTTCCTTTTCATTATTATTTTTGATTTAATATTTGTTTATTACGCAGGACTCCAGTGACGGCGAACTGGCGGTTTGAAAGGCCACTCGCTACCATTTCCTAAAGCCTCATCCCGGGGAACGAAGACATATTAATCACCGATCAATTTATCAATCGATCAAATTAAATGAGATAACCTTCTAAACCAGGCAGATTCATCTCCGGGGTACCTTGGCTTTACAGCGACCACACGTGCGGAACGCCTGAAAGGATCTGAAGATATCAATCTGGAACAAAGAGTCCGGGATACGAGTATATACGGAGGACTCCATTGTAAGGTTCTCTATCAGAGAGTGTTGTAATAAGTCAGTAAATAAGAGAATAAATAAATCAATAATGAAGAAATCATTGATAGATCAACTGAACCCGTGTTCAATAAAATCCAACTACTGCGTACATGGTGTTTAGACCTGTAAGTGTGACTGCATGATATTCGCTGGAATAATCTCCGAACGCTCCCCATACCCACATCATGCACATGTGTACATACATATCTAGGATGACACTATACACATTCTTACGATCATCTATACAACTTCTGGAACCAGTCATGTTGACTGACACAAAGAAGATCATGACTTGGATTTGATTTCATACATATAATATCCATCTATGATCCTCTAACATAGACCCGACAATCGAATATCTACCGAGGCTGATGATACTTCATCAGGGCCAGATCCAAATCATGATAGGTAACTTCAATGGTAATTGGTAGTCATCGTGCATAACACGTACACCACTGTATCCATGGATATATCCGAGGTCATCTCATTTCTCTCCCTCCCCTCTAGCCCTGTGACGTATCGGCTCACAGAGATAGATAATCCAGCGTTCTCCTATTGCGGTAGCAGGAAGAACCCGAGGAGACGAGACACCTATTACCCCAGGGGGAATAAATCTAGCAGGATCAGACTATAGCATTCAGAAAAAGATCACGCAACCCTGCTAGGAAGGAGATGGAGAACAGTATCTCGACTATCACTCTCAGCACACATAATCGACCCTCATTCAATCTGGAACAAACCCAGTCCTTGGACCATCCAGCTCCTGCCATTGGTCACCATGGCGTGGAACCCCCCAACAGGGATACCGCTACTATATTCTATTCCTGGCGCAAAGTTGATCGTCACTGAACACGCCCGAAAAGAATTAAGAACGTCAGCAAAAAAATGTCCGACGCGGCGACGACCCTTTCAGGGAGGGGGAGGAGTGGGGGGAAGAGGCCCCAGGCTCCACATCGTCTCTAGTCTTTATTGAGTTCGCTGTTGAGTCGTAGTGATCCATCTCTTTCCTCTTCTAACAGTCGCCTAATTATCAGACGATATTATCTTATTCTTCTTATTTTGAATTTCTTTTGTTTATTTGTTTTTTCGTATTCAACTGCTGTCCTATTTGTTACTCTTGCTAGTTGCTACCCATGACTACACACCGCCTGTAGGTGATCTGTATACCTACCTACCTACCCACCATTGACAGTACACCTACTGGTAGGTACCTGGGTACCTGTACCTACCTAGCTACCTAACCCATAACCGGGTTTGGCCAAGATTAGGTACCGGTTTCCAAACATGCAGAGTTTGGTACACTCGTCGTGGGAATCAATCTTCCTCACCGGTTCATACGGTCCTACCCAGATAGATTAACTGATTGACTACAAAGTACTCATCAAGCCACCGTCCAAAATAAAAACAGAGACGATGATGAATCCATTGGCCCGCAGGACCCTCTGGAACGGGCGCCCTACTCCGTATGGAGCAGGAGCTCGAGTGGGAGTGGAAATGGGGGGTTCGGGGTATTAGGAGCTTGGCCAAATGGGCGCGCCACGAAGAAAAGAAAAAAAAAAAAAAAAAAAAAACAAAAATGAAGGATCAGGAATCTCAACAAGATGAAACGGCCTACCGATCGTCATTATAATTATTATTGTTTTCTTTCGTGGCAAAGCCGGAAAGTGGGCCGGCCCTGAGGCTACGGAGAAAACGGTTGACAATTCGACGCTGCCCAACTGTGTGGGACCCGTCGGCGGATTTGAGTTGCTTAAGGTCTAGATTTGAATCGGCAACACGATTTGTCGGACTTGTTAAGCTCTCGGTAGTCTTGTTTTCTCCTGACGTACTCCTATGGAGTTGTTGGTATACGCGGGTGATCCTGGTGATTTCTTCCGGTATATCATTTCTCTGTGTGGCGCTGATGCTGGGAAAGAGGCGCAGAGTGTATATTGAATCAGAAGTCCGGAGGAATCTACACCAACTCGCGAACCGAGCCGGTCGTTCGGAGGGAGTGATGTTCAAGTTTGGGGTCCCCGCCTCTATATTGATTGGCTCAGTTGGGGTGGGTAAGAGGCCAACGCTGTTTGGGGCTTGTCAGGAGCCATTCGGGTGGAACTGCGCTGACAGAACGCCGAAGTCGAGACAAGAAAGAAACATACATCCTGGTAGGCTGGGATCAATTGAAGTGGCTGGAGACAAAGATGGCGTTCTTTGTTGCCTCATGTATATGACCGCGGCCTGAACCATTCGATTCGCTATAGGTTATCATCCGAGGTGCGGGAGAAGGGACAAACAACCATGACAACCACCAGACATGACTCGACAGTCGACAAAGGCGACACGGGAATAGTTCCTACTAGAGTAATTCGGGCGAGAGCACTCGTGTGGGAAAGAAATCCGCTTTTCAGAAAGATGAAACCAGAGTGTGGGGAAGAGTCTGGCCCTGACAGGCTGACACCACTTCCCCCCGATGCTCCTACCAAGCCATCGAAACGGGGATTGTGGACTGTCATCATATCAGCATGGCCATGGTCATGATCCAATCTATCCTTCCACATTTCCAGGGAAAGAACGGGTTCATGACGAGTCCGAGACCGTCCAAGCATCTGGTCTAGACTACGGGCTTCCCTGGTTTGGGACTCCGATGGAGGGGATCAAGGCCACAATTAATTAAACTCCGTAGCAGGAGAGCTCCACCGTTGTTCCGTCAATATCCAATATAACCGTTCACCGGAGGTTCTTCAGAGAGCTGCTGCTTCTTTCTATCAGATGGAATATTGATATGACAACTAGGGGGAATCATCCGACATCATGAAGTGTATATATATGTATGCAGATATTATATGAGTGAAAACAGTTTAGAACGAGGACTCGAGTTGTAAGTATCTCTAGTATAATAGTATCTGGGTACATCCAGCTGATACAATCATGTTGATCCTGGCCACAACCCAGTCCCGCATCTCATTTGCTCGACACTTCCCGTCCTGGTGCTGCTGGGAGACCTTAACCCTTGTCGATGCATTATTCACAAGTCCCAGTCTTGCATCACACACTTGAAACCGGACTAACTGCTCACTGCATCCCTCTCCATATCATGTGATGGAGGGGTCAACTACTGACTTGATTGAACCTCGTCGAGGACCGAGGTAGTTTGATTCGCGTAGCTCTATACAGACCGCCTTAGTGATAGGAGACCCATGGAACTTCAGGTTCCTAGCTTCACTATTTTTCTATTGTATTATGAATTGGAAATTCAAGTCTAGTCTATTATCTAATCGCTCACTGTTCATGTAAATACTCTAGCCAAGTTGTTCTGTCATTGGAATCATGGTCCTCGGTGGTATCTCAGGTAAGCGATAAGAACTTGATAGCGGGATGAATCAATCACCTATGACATGCAGTCCCAACACCAACACTCCCTATCCCAAGCACGCCCATGACTGGAGAACATGAGTACTCTTGATCCTTCAACTCATGAGATACCGTCCCCCAACACCGTCCAGTTCGTCGACCATCTGGTCTCGCAGCTTCAAGACTACACCACGGCCACCACCACTGACCCCGATGGGAATGACTACTCTGGCTCCTTACGACACCCACGTCTTGTGCAAAATGCGTCTGCTTTCCCGCGTGCTCTCGCATCTCGTATGCCTCAAGTGAAACAGCTGATGCTAACCCTCCACTGCCTCTTTCCCAATGAACTCCTTCTTGCGCTGGATATTCTGGACCGGGGTCTGGTGAGACGATATCAGGTTGAACATCAGCATCAACATCAACAAGACTGTCATCGTCATCAGGCTGTAAATGAAACAGCGACAGACTCGGAGTCTCCTGATAATGCCCTACACGATAGACAGGAGGCCCAAAGCCCAGGGAATACACCACTCTCAGACGGTGTCTTCTTCGTGATCTCCACCTCCTCCCCCGGACCGTCACTCACACCCGACACAAGGTCTCGTGTCCCGTGCACGGGACAAAAAGGCTACGAAGTCCGACTGCATGCATGGAACTGCAGCTGCCCGATCTTCGCCCTAGCAGCGTATCGTGACCCAGGGCCTGAGGACACCCACTCTCACCTGCCCCCGTCGCCAACAACAGCACCAACGCACCAGTCCAACAGCAGCAGACCGTGCTCATTCGGCGGCGCCTTGACACACGGCGCGACGAAACTGACACCGCCCGTCTGCAAACACCTTCTGGCTTGTTTTTTGGCTGCGCGTTGTCCGGGGGTTTTTGACGGCGAGGTTTCTTCTGCGTCGTCGGTTACCGTTCTTACGGAGGATGAACTGGCTTGTTGGTGTGCGGGCTGGGGGGAGTGACTCTTTTTGCTGTGGGTTTCCGGTTGAGGATGCATTCGTTGTCATTCCTACTCATAATCATACATATGTTTTAAAATGATTCTTTGAGCTTGTGGAGGGTTGTCTAAGCTGAATGAATACTCGTTGCATCTATTAGTTTGTATTATTTCACAGCTGGGTTTATGTACGTGTCACAGGTGAGGAAGTTTGTATAGCAAGCAAGGTCCTCGGAGCAGGCTCATCGTGTAGATGGCACAATGCCTTTATGAAGAAAACTGCATGCATGGCCTGGTCGAGAATGATTTGGAAGACACCAAAGTCTGCCTCATAGCGTGGTTCATATGGTCCATACATGCCCAGCTTGAATTGCTTCCATATATATACTACCGCTGATACGATCATTACTGTCACCGTGGACATCCACGCGTCTCGAGACTGTCTTTCCAATACCGCCATTTCACTTGGAGTCGGCATTGCGCTGGGGAAGATATATATCCACGAGCACATAGTATACATTCCACAGCAATGAATTGTTCTAATGAATCGTTTCACGTAGATAGCAGCTATCCCCCCGCTTACTCCTTCCTCTTAAGCTTGTCCTTGGACTCGTCCTGCTCCTCCTTCTCTCCGTTTGCCGCGCTCCCCTTCTTCGCGGCATCCTTCTCGCCCTTGACCCCATTCGTCTCCTGCTCCCTCTTCTGTTCATTCTCCGCCTGCTGTTGCCGGTTTTGGATTTTGTTCTCGATGAGGTCGTGGAAGGCGGTGATGGCCCGGATCAAGCTGCTCAGGTAGATGGCCATTAATTGATCGTTGGTCTTGATGCTCATGGCGCGCGCCAGTTCGCTGTTCTCTGTCGGCTGCTGCTCCGAGCCGCTAATCCGTGTCGTGGCCGGCGGGGTCGACAGGTTGGGCAACAGGTTGAACACGTCCTGGAGGTTGCCCAGAATTGCGTGGTTGATGGGGAGCTCACGGTCCAGAACCTTCTGGAGGTATTGGCCGATGTCACGCAGGCGTAGATGCAGACCCTGCAGCGATTGCAGCTGCGAGGTTATCCGGGTGGAAAGTGTGCCCACTGCAACGTCACGGATGTCTCGAAGAAGGTGCTCGACGCCGATTTCCTCGGCTTCTTCCGCCTCGATGGTCGACGGGGTGTGGACAAAGGTCTTGGAAGTAGTAGTGCCGTCCTGTAGAACGATTTCATGTAAGCCACAGCCCAAAGGTGGGACAGGTGCGCCAGTCCATCACACGGGGAGCACTCACATCCTTGATCTCATCCACCGCAAAGTAAGCATCCGTGGGCACGCCGACCTCCTTCGGTTGGACATCGACAATCACCAAGAGCGGGTTCGGAGTGTACCGCTTAAACAGCTCGTTGATCTCCAGATCGGAGGCTCGCAGCTTCGGGCCCGAGTGGTACCACCCAATTAACTTCTCACGGGCGTTGATCTTCTTGAACATGTCTCTCATCGACTCGACAAAGTTGTGATCTAAGAACCAGACGGACGGGTCTTTCTCATCCTCCTCGAAAGGAACTATGAACACGAGACGCATTAGTATTTATGAGTGGTATAGGATATTCCAGAGAAAGCTTCACTCACCAGCAAAGCTGTTCGATACCCGAACGACATTACCGCTGTTCTCTCCCAACAAGACACCTACCACACGCTTCCGGGTACCCTTGGCTGAGCGCCCATAGTGATCTGCCACGGAGAGAAGGACTAGCGGAGCGACCGTGACGGAGCGCTGGACGAGGGAGAGAGTTTCCGCCGTAGTGGCAGGCATGACGGAGTTGATCGAAGGCACGAGAACCAGTAGCCGATATAGACGGGAACTCCAAGGACTCAATCGGGATGTATTTTTCCTTTTAAAAGAAAAAAGGAAAAAAGGAGTTAAGTCAAATCGGAAGAGGAGGGAACAGAGTAGAAGAAGAGACTAGTATTATGAGATAGGAGGGGAGAAGGATGATGGATTAAGATGGATATGAAAGTCGGGGAGGTCGAGAGAGATGACGATGAGCTCTCTTACTATTACTGTTACTGGTGACTGCTGAACTGCTGACTGCTGGTGAGCCACATTTGGACAGCCACACCTGTGGCTGGTGCCTTGATTGGTGCCTGAGGGGTTTACTGCCTGAGGTGTTTACTCTGTAGTGCCTCAGGTGTTCAGTGCCTGAGGTGTTAATGCCTAGGTGTTTATTGCCTGAGGCGACATAGAACACCACGTGCTCCGGAAAGGCATTGTTGGCCTCTTCATGTTGTTGATCGGACAGATAGATAGATGTAGAAGAAGAAGCAAAAAATTAGCATCATCAATAACATTGATTACAAGTTTTCTCCAACAAAAATCAAAGATCCTATGGAGATCCCTCGTCATAGCCGTGCTCGGAGGTCCCGCCCAGTCCAAACGAACCTCGGAGACGCGGGTGCGAGACTCCGCTCCCGGTCGACCTTCTTCCACCCCAACTTATTGCAGATTCCGTCTCTTCCATTTCCCCGTTCGTCGTTGCGTCCACGTCTCCCATCGTCCCTGATTCAACCTCCCTCTCCCAATCCCTTTCTTATCCCCTCTATTCCTATTCTCTTTAAAGGTCTTCCTTTAATCGTTCTGTCACAATGGCTCCTATCACGGAAGACATCGTTACCGGTCTGAAGGACACGATCGGCAAGCTCGAGAACCGCATTGAGGACTTGGAGGGCCGTCTCGGCTTTGAGACGAAGCCCAAGTCCGTTGCGGAACAGATGCGCATCATCCTGATGGGTCCCCCCGGTGCTGGTATGTTGGACGAGATTGGGTTTTTTCGTCGAGTTTTTTTTTTTTTATGTCCAGTCCTGACCAACTTGTGAACAGGCAAGGGAACCCAGGCGCCGCGCCTGAAGGAGAAGTACTGTGTTTGCCACTTGGTGAGTGCCGTGTATAACCAACCCGGCTAGAGAGCGGACCGCTAATACGGATAAATGATAGGCTACCGGTGACATGCTGCGGTCTCAGGTCGCGAAGAAGACCGAGTTAGGAAAGGAGGCCAAGAAGATCATGGACCAGGGAGGTTTGGTCAGCGATGAGATCATGGTCAACATGATCCAGAGCGAGCTGAGCAACAACGCTGAGTGCAAGAACGGGTGTGTATCTCCATCTTGGCATACGACAGATGATTCGGACCGAACACTGACCAACAAACGTGATGTAGATTCATCCTGGATGGTTTCCCCCGCACTGTTGCCCAGGCCGAGCGTCTGGACGACATGCTGGTCGCCCGTCAGCAGAAGCTCCAGCGCGCCATCGAGCTGCAGATCGACGACTCTCTCCTGGTGGCTCGCATTACTGGCCGTCTGGTTCACCCCGCCTCCGGCCGCTCGTACCACAAGATCTTCAACCCGCCCAAGAGCGACATGAAGGACGATGTGACCGGCGAGCCGCTGATCCAGCGCTCGGACGACAACGCCGAGACCCTCAAGAAGCGTCTGGGTACCTACCACGCCCAGACCACCCCTGTGGTCGACTACTACAAGAAGACCGGTATCTGGCGCGGCATCGATGCCAGCCAGGAGCCCGGCCAGGTGTGGAAGAGCCTGCTCGGTGTTTTCAAGAACTAAAGCATTCTCTTTTGTTGAGGACGCCACATCGTGGTGTCCAGTGGCGTATCGATATACCTCGCCGTATGCCTCGGATCTCTATCTGAGATGGGACAAGAGGACATGCATGGTAGGGAGGGCCGGTGGTTTGCGGGTCTACACCTCGTTTTGAAAAGCTTGTCTTTCGCGTCTTGGTGCGGACGCACCTCCCGGCAGGGATCCGAACGTCATGTATAGTAATAGGTTACTTTTTTTCCTGGAAGCAAAATACAGCCAATTAGACGAATCTCGTTTACTTTTCTTTTTCTTATAGAACATAAGTAATTCTTATTCAAGGCCCCATGATTCTCGGATTTGTCTTGGTATGCATACTATATACATCTACAACGCCGTCGGATAAACCGTCGACTCAATCTTCTCAGGATAAGTCATCCCTCCCTGCCGACGAACCTCATCCATAACCTCCATAATCGCAATACTCTCCTCCCAAGGCAACCCCTCACTCTCCAGCCTCCCATCCCTCAAACACCTTGCCACCTCATCCGCCTCCCAAAACATCCCCTTCCCATCCCCAGGGACCCGCACCTCCACCTCCCTCACCTCCGCCGTCTTCCCCTTAGGAATCACGCGGTACCGCTCAGGCCGGAACGCAGGCCCATCCACCTGGATCTCGCCCTTGGTGCCCTGGATGCGGATCGCCGGGCGCGCGGTGTTGCGCTCGTCCGGGTCGGTCGACACCCGCAGGTGCGTCATGGCGATCGCTTGCGATTCGCCGGGGTGGGTGCCGTTGGAGGGCGTGCTGGTTGGGAAGGTCAGCAGGATGGTGGTCGCTTCGTCGGCGCCGGTGAGGTGGTAGGGCGTCATGTGGGCGGAGATCTTGGAGGGTGCTTTGCGGGTTTCGCGCGGGAGGGTGTGGTAGAGGGTTTGGAAGACCCAGGTTAGGGAGTAGATGCCCACTGATTTGTTAGTTTCATTCCTTTCTTTTTCCTCTCTTAGAAGTGAGGAGGAAGGATTGAAGGAAAAAGGAACATACAATCCAACAATGCCCCACCCGCCAAATCCATGTTCACCATGCGATGCTCCGTCCCCCACGCCTCCTCAACATCATCCCCGAAGCTCGTATCCGCCATAACACGGAACACCTCGCCGATGGCACCGTCGCGGATCAAGTTCCGCACCTGCACACTGAGCGGGAAGTAGCGGGTCCACACAGCCTCCATGAGGAAGAGGTTCTTCTGGTGGGCGACGTCGCACAGGATCTTCGTCTGCGCGGCATTAACGGTGAATGCCTTCTCGCAGAGGACGTGCTTCCCGGCCTCGAGGGCCAGCATCACGTTCTGGAAGTGGTGCGAGTGCGGGGTCGCGACGTAGATGACCTCGACGTTGGGGTCGGAGACTAGCTCCTTGTAGGTGCCGTGGGCGGCGCATGGGGCTGGGATGCCCGTGTCGGAGATGAACTTTTCGGCGCGCGATGAGGATGTTGAGGATGCTACTGCTGTTATGGTGTGGGTGACGTCTGATACCCCGCGGATGGTGGGGTCGCGGAGGAGATCGCGGACGAAGGCTATGGGGTATGTTAGAAATTGTGCTTGGATGGGTAAATGGGTAGATGCGGTGTCTATCCATAAGGTATGGGATACGTACTGTCTGCGATCCAGCCGGTGGCTATACATTTGATCCAATTGTGTCAGCTTCGCCTATATGTTGATTGTCGCGGGGGAGGGGAGCGTTTCATACCCATAATCCCCCATTTGATGTTGTGAGGCGCCATGATGGTGGAAGCTACAGTGACAGTAATAGTGACAGGGAATACTATGTAGAGAAAAAAGAGGGAGGAAGAGAGGGAGAGATCGAGGCTAGATCAGGAACGGAGGGGTGTTTATATTTATAATTCAATGAAGTTAGTATAGTTTCAACCCACCAAGCCCCGCAGCGAATGACATAACCGCCCCTCCCCGAGATCCAATGTTCTATAGAGTATACTACGGTAGCACCGAACTAAGGCTAAAAGTGGGACAGATAAATATTCAATACGACAATGGGATTTATGAAGGCTTTCGATTATGTGTATCAGCTACACAATCCACCCAGATAGTTGCCTGACTGAGGAATGACACGGTGGATGGTTCAAGATATACGAGGTCAATTCAAGGTGATCATGGCTTGTACAGGAATATATATGTTCATCATCCTTAATTAACCGCCCAACGCTCGGGTGGAAAAGAGCTTCGATGCAAAACAGCCGCCGGCTAAATGCACAAGGATATATGCTCGTCGCAAACAAAAGACAAAGACACGACGGGCACCGCGATTAATATGCGACAAGGAGAAACGAATGTCCATCTCGAATGCTTAAATTGCGTGGGTTTTCTTTCAAAGCCCGCGACCGGCCTTACATCGGTTCTGTCTTGACACGAGCATTCTGCCCTGGCGATTCCACTCCCTAGAAAAGTCGGAAAGTCAGCAATTCATCACCCCTGCAATTCGTCATGGCCGGGTTCTTACCTCTGCCGCTTTGCGCTTTCCAAGCACGGAATCCGGAGTCCCTGTTCGCCCGGCCGGTGTGCCTCGCTGCGCGGGTGTAGGCCCATCCTTGGTCACTTCGGAATAGCAACTGGCGTGGTATACGCGATTGCCCACCTTGACTGCATCTTGCCAAATCCAGTCTTGGACGTCTTCGGACCACGTAGATTCGAATTTCTCTTGACAGATAGGGCAAGGGGTATTCCTCAAGGTGGCATCGTTCGGTGCACGGATCCACTGTTTCGGGGGTCCTTTGTGGGCGGATTCACCATCCCCCGCAGTTGCGCCCTCGTTTGGCGTTTCCGTGTCGAGGTTCTGGTCGTCGACCGCTTCTCGAGATTTGATCCAATCCTAGCCCAGCGTCAGCTTCGTTGCACAACAGGACCAACTAAGACGGTGAAAACTTACCCGCTCGTCGACATACCAACTGCGGTTCTGAGCGCGCCGAGCAGCGTCTGCCATCCGTTGGTTTGTCTTGAAATGCCAGTCCAAGTGACGGGCTTTCTTCTCCTTGCCCTCCTCGGTTGCGTGAAAGCGACGGCCACAGGTGCCACATCGATTGGACTTCGCTTCATAAAGACTAGCCAGCAGCCCGGGTCGGGGTCTGTGATTCGGTAAATGTTAGATTGAAATGATATATTAGCAACGGATCGAGCACTCACATTTTGATAGATGCAGTGTTCATTTGAACTTCCAGTTGGCCATTTGAGATGTTGGAGGGCTGGGGAGTCGAGACCGGAGGAGTAAATCGTACTTGACCAGGCATGACTAACGGAAAAGCAGACGCGAGATTTGCCGATGGGACGGCGGAAGCGGCTGGGGGAGCGGAAGCCGAAGGCAAGAGACCGCGGGCCCGGAGGGCTGCAAGAAGAGGATTCTCTGGTACCGGAGTAACACTAGGCTGAGGTATGCTGCTGTTCGTCGCCATCTGGGGTAGGATATTGGGGATTTGGGGAGGCGGAGTAGGCTGTTGGCGCGCAGCAGTATTCTTTATCAGTTCGGCGAGTGTTCCAGGATTGAGAAGCTGTTGGAGCGGTTGTGAGACAGGTTGGCCCGCAGGTGGGGCCATGGGCGTTGCGGACATGGCGGGGAGATTAGGAAGATTGGAAAGATTAGGGAGGTAGGACTGAGGAGTCGAGGTGGAACGCTTGGGAGTCAGGACGGAGATCTGATCTCGGACCAACTTCAGCTGCTCCTGTGTAAGCTCCTGGCGCTGTAGAATCCCCTGGAGATCCAAAAGAGCCTTGAGACGCTGTTGCACCGACGGGTCCAACGGGTTGGTAGCAAAATCCGCTCGAGCACTCGTAATGAGAACCTCAATATCTCGGTTCAACGCGGCGAGATCAACCTCACGGTGCTGCGGAGGCTGTGGTGTTGACGATGAGCGCGGATCACCCTGCTTCTATGGTCAGATATGTACGGTGCTACAGCGCCCATGGTAAAGATAAGAACATACCGAAGCCTGGTACCCATGGCCTGATCCATTCCGAGAGTACGGCATGGAAGGCGGATGCCGAGGTATCCCCTGAGGGGGCGTGGGTGTATTGCCCCAACCAGGGGGAGTTCCGACTCGACCGCGACCAAGAACCTCTTGTTGGCCCCGAGCCTGTTGTTGCTGCAGGGCAGCCGTTCTCGCTTTGATCAAAGCGCTCTCGATACTGCGAGTGATGTCAGGAGGAAAGACTGGCCTGGTATCCAGTGACCCCGGGACAGGCTCTTTCCACGTTTTCAACATCTCATCCAGTTTCCGGCGCGTCTGCGAATCGACCAAGGTGTAGGCGTTCATGAAGGTCTGGTACATGTTCCGGCCTAGGAACAACGTGTAGGGAGTCCCTACGTTTTTGACGATCGAGTCGACTACATACAAAGCAGGAAGTTTCTGCGCCGGCGGTGTCTACATCACACGCATTAGAAAAACGATCCAACCAAGTTCGAACTACAAACAGTCCTGGATTGGAACAAGAAGAACTGGGAAAGCTTCTGTCACCTACTGTTCGAATGTGATTTTCCAAGACGCGAGAAATAGCCATCGCATGTTCCGTGTTCTCCTTCGCGATGACGGTCAAATTGCTGATCTGAAACCTGTCATTGGTAATTAGATCCTCCAAGGAGTTCTTGTAGTCCTCGGCCACTTCGTCCGAGGCCAGCCCAGACGACATGATAGGCAAATACGCAGATGAAAAGGGAGGGGGGGATATGAGGAATTGAGACAATCGAAGATTGTCCCCTGTTTCTTGTTTCTTTTTTTCTTCGTCTTCTCTTTCTTTTTCAGTCTCTTGATTCTTTTTTTTTCAGCTGTTATTCTGTGACTTTTCTTCTGTTCTTTTCTTTTTCTGTTTATTCTTCTTTGTCTTTTTTGTCCGTTTTTGTTCAATATTGCTTTCCCTTCCTAAAATTACCGGGTGCAATGTCCTATCCTTGCCTTTTGTCTTCCACAAGCAATGGCCTCCTGCGAGAGCAATAGATGGAACGAAATGGCGGAACTTGTCAAATGCTTGCTAGCTACCTTGGGTCAGAATTCTTGGAGACAACAACACCAGTACGCCAGCACCAGTTTCCCGCCCGACTTCTCCTAGAGCCGTCAACAGTCCTCCCAAATCCCCTTTTCAAAAAGCTCTAACCGAGAGGATATTCCACGCTGATTGACCTTTCCAGAAGACAGTAACCAGCAAAAGGAGCCTACACCGTTCGTTGGGACGCAAGGGAAGGGAGAGAGCTGTCAACGCGAGAGGGACGCCGTGAATATGCCTGAGGTCCACGAGGTTGACTCGAGGATGATGGATCAACTAGAACGAGGGAAAAAGGGCGAAAGGATAAAGCAAGATCTAAATGGAACAGAGTAGAATGGTGAGTAGGGAATAAGTGTCGACAGGAGTGTCAACCATGAACAGAATCAAAGGAGAGAGGAAGGTCGAAGTTCAGCTGCGTGAAGGAGTGAGAATCAGATCGAGATTGAGATGGGGTTAGTCATCACCATTAATACCATACGAAATGATACTGAACAATACCAAACAGGTGTATTGCATAATACCCAGGGTAATATTCCTAGATTAGGCCAAATCTGACTAATCAGCTGATACCGTACGACTGGCTGAAACGTGACCTGCAGCATGACGTGCCCGAGGCTGCCACTTCCTTCATGGATGGTTCCCAATCTACTTCACGCGGGGGTTACATCAGTATCAATCATCAAATGCCTATCTTCCATTAGTATATCTGTCCCATCTGTCCCCCTGATCTTGGGCTGTAGGCTCTCATGATCTAGAAATTCCGAACTTCATTCATCATTTAAACCTGAGTCTGTCAACTTGAGTACACGGATCCTTCAATATGCGGCTGTTACTCTTGGCTCTTCTTCCATTGGCCTTGGCCAAGTCCGTCTTGGTCACTTTCCCTGAGGGTACCCCCGATGATGTGATCGCTGAGTCGAAGGAATCCATGGAGAAGGCTGTATGTCAGACCTAGGCCTGATTGATATCCCAGAGACTGGTCACTAACTGCCTTGTGCTTGCAGGGTGGAACAATCACTCATACCTTTAGTATGTTATCTCCCCTCTTCGGATGATGAATCTCTCTGTATCACAGGCTAACCGCTGGCTATCCGCCGAGATAGATCTGATTAAGTCTGTCCCCTTGCTGCCTACTGTCTTGTTCCTACCCTGGGCAAGTCCTAACCCTTCTGTAGGGGCTATTCCGCCGAGGCTCCCGATGTGGCGATCCAACAGGTGTCCCCCCAGTCGGGCCCTTATAAGGCCGCAGTCGAGGAGGATTCCCCTGTGTCCATTTCTTAGGACAGGATCGACCGTGCACCGCGCCGGAGCTATACACTGAGGTCTTACAATGTCTCGGGCAGATATGGGCCAATGTGGAATGATTACGTTAAGTTAGGATAGTTGTATGTTATTGGAATTGGAATTTTATGTGGACCTCACTTGCGACTTGACGCTTGCGCTTTACTCTTATTTGGCTCTGCGGGTAGTGATGTACTCCAGCGTATGCGAATATATATTGCCGCATATACTCCGGAAGTGTGTATACATACATACTTCAAAGCGTCAGGGTATTAGATTGGTTGTCTTGCGCCAGTATTCAGCCTCCAGATTTCTCCATTTTTAATCCCTATTTGAAAAAAATCGAGGCAAGGGGTCTAATTACTCACCACTGAAATAACCTGCAGACTGCAGATGAGGTTGATCTCGTGCGGGTTGGCTCGGCTTAAACCTTAGCTTATCAGACGCGTATCGTAGATCCCGCGTTGAAACAACCCACTTCCGACCAAGTCGCGACAATCTCATCACAATCCCCCATTGAGTAAAGTACCACGGTGGGTTCCGTCCGATTTGATATATGCTCTTACTTTACTCCTCCTTCACCGAACCCACCTCCCGCTGTGCCCGACCGGCAGGTTGCAGATCTACCCGCCGTTTCGTCCTCCGCGCTTATAGCACCGCTCACCCCTGAACATTCCAGACCACCCCCCGATCGATTGCGAACGCACCGCCTTGCAGTCCGTCCCCCCCGGCGCTCCAAGCAACATGGCCTCGGAGCATACCATCACGCAGGCCCTGTTGGAATGGATCAACAGTTTCGCCCTGGGAAAGACGATCCGAACCACCGACGAACTGACCGACGGGGCCATCATCTGGGAGGTGTTGCAGGACATTGACCCTCAATACTTTCTCGACGAGTTACCCCACCAGGATGCCTCCGAAAATCTGCTGTCGAAGCTCCAGAACCTGAAATACATCCACAAGACCGTCGTCGGCTACATCCGCCAGCAGCCCGATGGCCTCCCCTCGGGCCTGGACCCGAACCCGAACCTCGAAATCGTGGCGGAAAACAACTCGGTCAAGGAGTCCAACAAACTGCTGAAGCTGGTGCTGATCTCTGCGATCAACTCGCCCAACGCGGGCTTGTACGTCGAGACCCTGCAGAAGTTGAGCACGCCGACGCAGGAGACCCTCAAGCATGTTTTCGAAGTGGCGCAGTACGACCAGATGGATGGCTCCGACGTCGCGGACGAGATGAAGGAGGAAAACCGGGATGCGTCCGTGGACCTGGAGCTGCGGTTTGAGGAGCGGATGGGGAAAATGCTGGCCGACCGGGACCGGCTGACCCACGAGAAGAAGGAACTGGAGAAGACCCTGGAGGACATGCATAACCGCCTGGCGCGACTGCAGGAGAACAACGACACGCTGCAGAGCCGGTTGGCCTCGACCGAGGATCGGTTGGTGAATCTGAAGGCTGGGAAGGGGGACCTCGGCTTCAATGCGAAGGCCCTGGAGTGTCGGTCCCGCCAGCAGGAGGATATCATCGCGACCCAAGAGGCGCGCTTGTCCGCCGCCCAGGACGAGGTCGACAGCCTGCAGATGTCGGTGGAGTCGCTTCGCGTCAAGAATGAGCGGTACCAGCGGCTGCAGGATGACTATGATGTGCTGAAGACGGAGCGGGACCAGTTCGCCCGCAAGGCCAACGCCGCGGAGAAGTATCGGTCCAAGTTACAAGCCAGCCAGGACTTTGAGAAAGAGAACCAGGCGTTAAAGAATCAGATCAAGGATATTCAGCAGCAGTTGAAGGACGCAGATGCGCAGCAGCGAAGGGCCACGGAACGCGACGTGGAGCTTGAGGAGTATAAGCGAGTGCTGCCGCGCATTGAACAGGAATGCAGCGAGATGCAGAGTCTGAAGAAGCAGTTTGAGTTCAACAATCACGCCCTCACTGAACGTCTTAGCAGCGCCGAAGAGCAGCGCGAGAGAGACGACGCCCTGATCAGTGAACTCCGTGAGCGGATACGGGAAATCGAAGGATCGCCAAGGAGCCCATCTCTCACCCCGAGCAGTGAAACACCACGTATGCAGGGTACATTACAGAAGGACTTTGAAGACATCGGAATCCAAGAATCGCAACTGTGAGAACTTTTATCCCGGCGATCTTGGAACCCGAGCTGACAGCGCACAGGAAATCCGAGAACGATGACTTGAAAAAGGAAACCGAGTCATTGAAGGGACCCCCGACCCGGGTATGCTTGAACATGGTCCCTTTCTATGTCGAGCGACTGATATACTGACAACCTGTTGTAGCCCGGCTCGCAAATCGATGGGTTCTCTGAAGCCTTTGGCGAGACCCTACATCAGGCCCGCGAACGATCCACTCAAGAGTAAGTCCAGAACCACCAATACCATTTGAATGCTAATTTCGGCGACAGCGAGGAGTATTGGAGACTTTACGATCAGTACACGTCTTTACTCGCCAAGACGGCGGAGACCCAGGATTCTCTTGCATTGGCTAAGAGAGATATTACCGACATGCAAACGTTGGGTATGTAACATGGATATACTTCGCCTCATATCCACCAAGGATCTATCTAATACTCGCAGACTCACTCTCCAACAAAGAAAAAATGGACATGATCAACAGTGCCAGAGAGAGCAACGCCGAGGAGCTGGCCAAGACTCGCGCAGAATGCGACGAAGCTAAGCACAAGATCTACGTTCTCGAAGCGGAACTTGATTCCACCCATACGTTGGTCAGACAGACTTCCACTGAGCGAAACAAGCTGCAGGAGATGCTCGATACCCGGCAGACCGTGATCGCCGAAAGCCGCGTGGAAGATGACGAGACTATGAGTGAAATGAAGAAACTGCTCACTGAGATTGCTGCGCAAGAGAGCGGTGATGTTTCTGAGGCTTCTCAGAAGTCCGGAGTTGAGCTTACCAAGCAGGTCGTGGAGTTGATCGAAAAGAACCTGGAGCGGCTGGCTCAACGTGCAGAGGTTAGTCTGCATCCCATCTCCTCTATCTTGGCTTCTTCCTGCACGGACTGGCAAATGGCTTTGATAGTCTCTTGATGACGTGTGTGGTCTGCGGCTAACAACCTAATCATAGTATATCCACAACCAAAACGAACACATCAAATACCTCCAAGAGCGCATCAAGCATTTCGAAGAATTCGCCGAGGACGGTATTAGCCGAGAGCGCGAGGTGAGTAGCATGTCTTCTTGCAGATAGTGGAATCCTTGCCTGTGTTCTTCCTCGCTGATCCAACCTTCACCAACCCCACAGGTCGAGCTCCAAAAAATCATCGACGCACAATCGCGAGAACTCGCCCTGATGTGTTCCTCCTGGTACGAAGTCCAGAGCCGGCTGATGAACAACAACGTTACCAGCTCCCGATATCGCAACGGACTAGCGGACGCCCAAAAGGGCTGGCTGGCAAGACAACGGAATATGGTGGCTGGCCGGTAGTCTTGAGCCTTGTTTCGCATTGCAGTCGCTTTACTACTATCAACGTCTCCAATCTAGCTGGGGACTCTCCGGCTGGTGATTATTTTCTCCTCCCTCCATGTTCCTTTTCTTCTCTTCATATATACATATGCGCCTTTTCTAGACAGTTCGAAACTTCCTTTTCCTTTTATTGTGCACCCATGCTGCTTCTGCTCGCTGGGTCTGTATATATGTGTATATACCTGATATTTCACCTGACAGTATACTCTACTATTTAGAAGACGACGTGACCTGAGTTATAGCTGTTCTTAAACAGTAAATAGAAAGCAAAAGTGGCTTGTACTCTGATCTATACTGAAATGTACACTTGTCCAAACACCCTACGCGTCAGCCTGACTACGGTAGGCTGCACGCCTAAAAACTTAGTCCATGCCGCCATAGTGTAGGCTCGCATGGCCAAATCATTGATCTTCCCAGTGACCATGCCTATTTAGAAGTACAATTTCCCCCACTCCCCCGCAGTGCAACTTCCCATCCCATATTCTGACATTCGAGCAAGTCTCTCGGCTAATGCCGTACAGCAACCCTTCTCCGGACTCACACCCCAGCCAAGATCAAAATGGACAGTCAACAAAGCACCCAACGAGTTAGGCTCACTGCTGTGGACCACACCCAGCCGAAGCTTTACGTCACCCTGTTCGCATCATTCATTCTCGCAGATATCGAAAGCGGCCTCCAGAGCCTCCAAGCCGGCGTGAAAACGCTCTTCTCAGAGATCGATTTCCTAGCAGGAGACGTCGTCACTCATCCCGAACTTGAAGGCAGGCGAAACGTTCGCCAGATCCATCCGCCCATCGGCGCGCTCGCAGACGTAACCCTTCTCCAGGTGAAACCTCACGGGAGTGCCTCAACTGCATCTGCCATCCTTGAGTCCAGCCCATCCTTCCCCGATTACGCTCCCTTCCCGGCCCTGATTGCGCCAACGGAGCGATGGCCGGTCCTGCGGTTCCAGGCGAATCTCATGCGCGACGGGATCGTGCTCGCCATGAGTTTCAACCACGCCGTATTCGACGCGACGGGCGCCACCTTTGTTCTCCAGGCTCTATCCGAATGCTGTCGGGCTGGGGGCAACGGTCTTAAGGATACGGAGCTCCTGTCAGCGATCCAACGGAACGAAATCAGCTTACGACAAGAGATTTACCAAACCCCACCCAGCAATACAACTCAGGGAGACGTCTCCAACTACTACGGCCCCGCAGCTATTGTCCCCGACCTACAGCCCGAGCAATGGACCGGCTTCATGGCCTCGTTGCAGGCCACCCTCAGCACCCGAAAATTCCTCTTCCCCGCAAGCAGAGTCGAGCAACTAAAAGCCATCTGCAGCGATTCCATCGCCCGGGCCTCCCAGCAGACGACCCCGACCCCCAGCAGCAACACCGTGATCTCCGCCCTCTTGATAACCTGTATAAGAAGGATCCTCGCCGCGCCCTGCGCCGACACCGAGACAGCGCACCCGGCAACGTTCGTCATGCCCGTTAACCTCCGGGGACGGTTGAAAACCCCTCGATTCAAAACCTACCTAGGCAACATGATCACCGCCCTGCGCGGATCCACACCCAGCACTGCGGATGTAATCGACGGCGCCAGCGAGGGCCAACAACAGCTGACACATCTAGCTCGTCTGAGCCTGCAGATCCACCAAGGCCTGGAATCCATCGACGAGCAGCACATCCGCGAGACGATCGCCTTTCTCCAGGCCCAGGACGACTGGAGCGCTGTGAACCATAAGCCGGCGGATATCATCCTCAGCAGTTGGAGACACCTCGGTGTGTATGATCTTGATTTTGGGGCCCCCTTGGGTTTCGTGGATGACTTTGAGATGGACTTTGGCCTGGTCGAGCCCCTTTGCTTTTTCATGCCGAAACGGCGTGTCCGGGGTGGTGGTGGTGGTGACGTCCCGTGGGAGGTGCACATCACTCTGAAGAAGGGTAAATTTGATGCTTTGCTGGCGGATCCGCTGTTTGGTTGGATTTTGGGAGGAGACGCTCTGCCTGCTGGTGACTTCGCTTTGTAGGTTGCTGTTTTGATTTGGTACTCTCATGGGTTCTTTTCACTTCTGAGGATTGCATGGTCTGTGGCATTCGTTTGCATAGCATTTTGCTGCGTATCCTGTGTGTTGCTCATGGGGAATCCCAGGTTGCTCTCTCTTGTTACATATGCTAGTCCATTTAACTTACTCATTTTCCTTTGTCTTTGTTTGCTCTCCCTCCCTCCTTCTTCCTTCCTTTTTTCCTTTCTCTCGCTTCTTTCACTATTTAGAGAGAGATATATTAAATATCTGGGCGCTGAAAATGCGAGTCAGGGTTCTCGGGCCCGCGGTTCGGCCGAAAGATCTCTGGATCCCCACCGATCTCGTGATTCCTGCCGATGGACCAGTGGTGTGGAAGGATGATCGCGTCCTTGCATATGCGATAGCCCATGTGTTCGTCGTCAGCGGTGTGACCGTGGGGTCCCCCAAAGGGCGTAATGGGCTGCCAGCGGAGCGACGTCTGCGAAACCTGGTAACCAGTCTGGTCCCACGGCCGAGTCCAACTCCCGCTGGGCCTTGCGGACCGCGTCGGGATGCTGAACGCTGGCCATTACGAAAACGCGGAGAGCTAGGGCGGCCGTGATGTTGGTGGCCATGCTCGGTTCGTCGACGACGTAGCATAGCTGGACCCAGGACAGATTGTGCGTTTCGTTCCTGTCGACTAGATGACGGTGTGCCCGGTAACTAGTGGGAGAGTTCTCTGGTGATACCAGCCACCCACTCTTCGCCATCGGGAGAAGCCACCCGGGCAGTCGCTGTAGGGTTGGGACGATATCGACTAGCATATTGGCCAGTGTGAGTTCCGGATCAGACAGTTCTCAGTTCCTCAGGTTCCTGGGTATGCACGTGCCTTTTCCCGTACGTCAAGACGAAGGCGAGGATAGCTGCATAACGCTCAAATTGAGCTAGTGGAGCATTGGACTGCACAGGTTGAAGATGAGCTCCTTGGTTTCCAGATCTTGAACGGCCTGGTACGCATCCACACCCTTGGGCTTGAAGAATGCTGCCGTGACACGACGATGGAGGTGCTCCCAAGCTGGACCGTACCTCTGGAACCCTGATTTCAGGCCCATGGTCATGCACTGGTCGAGAACAAAGAAATTTGGTCGGGAGTTGTATATCGTGCCTCGTGTGTCTAGAAGGTCTCTCATGACTTCGTAGGTTCCTAGGTCGCCTGCATACATACAGCCACCCACTCCTGGGTTTAGTGGTGAAGATGATCCCCCCCCCCTTGCGCAGTCAAACCCAACAGATTTATTTCTTCAAAAGGCAACACCCGACGAATTGGCAGAGATAGGGGCTCATGACCCAATTATAACGTACTAGGATGTGTCCAGGATGAACACCGTCAGACGGGATCGGATCTGCCTCGTCTGCGGACCACTCGCGCAACTGTTAGTTTTCCTCTTCCTCGCCATCCCCCACCTCCTGCCTCCTAAAAGCCCATCGCAGGACCCCACCGCGGTGGTGGAGCATTACTCCAGTCACCAGAATGTCCTGAAAGCAGGCATCTGCCTGTTCTAGCCGAGCTCGGTCCTCTGGTCGTTCTACGCCGTGGGGATCGACAGTCAGCGAGCCCGCATATCGGGGATTTCACCGACAATCCTCTCCCTCCAGAGGGCATAGGGCGCACCTTTGCCCTCACCTGAACCTGGTGGCAATCTTCTTCGCCGAAACCACCCACCGTCTCGGCCGGGATCCCGTCATCACGCAGTTGGCGAGCGACCTTGCGTGATTTCTATACAGCGGTATCCCTGGCCCTTTGATCGTGGTGCATCGCCATGTCATGGGGTATAAAAAAAAAAACTAAAAAAGAATAAACCCTTTACAAGGAAAGTCAAGGCAATGGCGGTCAAGTCTCTAACAAGTGGCCTCTTAAATATCATGCTCCGAGTCCAACGGACCATGTAAGCCCTTCCTGTCCCACATCCTGTGGTTGCAATTATGACGATGGAGCATCAAGACTATGGTTAGGATTCGTTCCCTGCCTTCTTGTCCATGTATCGACTAACCATACCTGCTGCTACTAACAGAGCGCCTGTGTCGAGCAGAGGACAAGGCTGATCTCCTGCCCATCCACTACTGTTATGACTGGATCGGTGGACTAGCCCCATACGTGCAAAGAGCATCACTCAAGCTGAATAGCCTCATCCAGAATTCTCAAACAGATGGCAATCCTTCTCGTGGAGGGTCCTCGCTGTGCCGAAAATCGGACACGCCGCGCCTGAATCATGAACACTCCATTGTGCTTGACCCTGTGGCAGCCAAGCTGCCATGGACAACATCAATAGACCCCGTTCGACAGTCCAAGTACTGGAAGGCTGCGGAGGAAGGATACGTCAGAATCCTAACCCAGTTTGCCAACGACGAGACGGCGAAGAGGACACCCCGGCCGGATACCTTCACCGTCGCAGACATGGCTCGCAAGGAGCTCTCCAGGCTGGAGAGTGGCTGTGTCCGCTTCGCCACTTATATGTGTCCTTTTGCGGATGAGCACAAGGTGCGGTTGCTTGCTGAGATGCAGTCTCTGTCGTTGATTTTCGATGGTTGGTGTCTTCCATTCTAGTGATCGTTGGGAGAGTGGAAAAGATATTGACATGTCGGTTCAGAATCATGGGAGATCCACGAGCACGATCACGTATGGACTCCCAGACCCATGACAGACATCTTCATCTCTGACCGTTATATGTAGAACGAAGCGTTTTTGAGATCCCTGATGCCCCCAGAGAACCACAAAGATCTCACGCCCAAAACACCCTTGCAGCAGGCCATCTGGGACGCCATCGAGCAAGTGCTCGAGCGGGACCGTAAAGACAATGCGACGGGAGGTCAAGAACTGATCGACTTCCTGACGAGCTATATCAGCCACCCCACGCCAACCAAGGAGTTCCAGACCTTCGGCGACTTCATGGAACATCGCCGAAACGACGCGGGAATGATGTGAGTTCCGCCCCACACAACGATACCAGCCTGATATGATGCCCTCTCATCTGACATCCCCACGCACGGGGCCCATCAGAATATGCTGGACGTCCGCCAAGTTCTCCATTGGATCGCGGGTAGAATTCTACGGGCCCAAGCTAGGCAACTTAACCCGGTTACTGGGGTACCAGATGCTCGCCATGAACGATATCGCTTCGTATGACAAGGAGAAGATGTACTGGCAGCGGGGCCAGGCAAAGCAGTTCGAGACGACCAATGGCGTGGTGATTCTCCGCAACCTACTCGCTCTGCCTAGTGATGAGGCCGCGAAGGCGATGGCGTACGCTAATCAAATGGAAAGTGAGCGGAGTATTGACTTGGAACTGCAACAACTGATGCGATCCGGTAGTCTGACCGATGAGGACTGGATGCTCATCGAGAGCATGATATATAGCGTCACGGGGAACATGATGGCCGCCATTACCATGTCTCGGTATGGCGGGGAGCGGGCGAGACTGCGAAAGAAGGATGTGGTAGAGCATTCCAGAAAGGGAAATGTATAATCTGTGGGATTGGCCAACATGTCAGCTGGCTTCCACTATATTCCCCTCCCGATTGTTTTTTGACCATTCATTTTCATACTCGTCGCTTCAGAGACTAAATATTTTTGGATTACATACAGAAAGCACAGAGTCCACTGCGTTATACTTACAAACGATCCAGAACATATGATTGCATTATACATCGGGCAGCAAAAATCCGGTGATGGTACAGAATAAAACACGATAGGCGGGGGAAATGCCTCTACACCCATTGCCGGGGATGCCTCAGCACGTCCATGATCTCTCTTTCCCGCACCTTATCTTCACCCTGCTGCTCTTCTTCCTCTGTAGATGCTTCAGTCCGGGTCCCGGACACGGCATCCATGTAGGCCCAGCCGGCAGTCCGCGGCAGACTCATCAAGATACTCTCGATCCGAGCATTCGGGGTGCGCAGGCCGAAACTCGTGCCGCGGTCGTAGACCAGGTTGAACTCCACGTAGCGACCGCGCCGCAGCTGCTGCCATTCTTTCTCGGCGGGGGTGAACGGCATGTCCTTGCGGCGTTCGATGATGGGAACGTAGGAGGGGAGGAAAGAGGCGAGACCGTCGGAGACGAAGGAGAAGAGCGTCTCCTGCGGGTTTTGCGACGAGGTCGCGGAAGATTCTAGGAAGCTGGCGTCGAGGTCATCGAAGAAGATGCCGCCAACGCCGCGAGACTCCTTGCGGTGAGGCAGGTAAAAGTACTTGTCGCACCATGCTTTGAAGCGGGGGTAGTAGGTGGCGTCGTGGCGGTCACAGGCGTCCTTGATGGTCTGGTGGAAGTGCTTCACATCTTCGGGGAAGAGGTAGCTCGGGGTCAGATCCGTGCCGCCGCCGAACCACCAGTTCTTCTCCCCGTTGATAGGGTCCTTCGGGTCCGAGGTCTCGAAGTACCGGTAGTTGAGGTGGACCGTCGGGGCCATGGGATTGTGCGGGTGCAGGACGAGCGAGAGGCCCGCGGCGAAGAAGCTGAGGGACTCGACGTCGGCACCGACGAATGACTTGTGATCGGCCCGCATCTTCTCGATGGCCGGCCGGGGCAGCTCCCCGTAGACGATCGACACATTGACACCAGCCTTCTCGAAAACGTTGCCATCCTGGAGGACGCAGGAGATTCCGCCGCCACCGTTTGGCCGGTTCCAGGTGTCCGAATGGAAGGATTTGCCGTCGATTCGGCTCAGTTCCTCCACGATCTTTTGCTGGTGTTCTTTGATCAATTTCTCCATGCGCAGACGCATGGGGGACGTTTCGCTGATTGTCGACTGCTTCTTCAAGGACTCATCGAGCTCCACGATGGAGGGGGAGTCGAGCTCGGTCACTTCACCAGTCATCTGCGCACATATGGTCTGAGCATCCATCACCCATCACCCAATCGTTATCCAGCATGGGAGGAGAGGCTTACCATGGAGTATATCAAAGCACCGATGAATGGGACCCCAACGGCCAATCGCAAGTATGGCCTCCACACGGTAAACGGCTCCGGTTTGGGCGGCTTTCCCTCTGTCGAATACTTTCGAAAAGAAACTCGAGAACCAGTGCGACTCGTTCGTGGTGCAAGGTTCAAGATTGTCCTCCGCAGAGGCATATAAGGGCGAGGCACGGCCATCGCGGAAGGATCGGTAGGGGATTGACGAACTCGCCGGGGATCAGGTGGTGTTACGGAGGACAATGGAATTGGGTGATCAAGAACATGCGATCCTGGAGAAAGCCCACGTTGGAAAGCCGAACGAAAGGCGAGAAATGGTGGATTGCCATGAGTATGGGGCCACCCGCGGCGCCGGATAACTGCCGGGATAAAATGTCATACCAGTCAAGGCACTGTTTGTTTGGGTTGCACTGTTTGCACGATTTGTGATGTATCAAGTCACGTGATATGACCGACATCGGCTCATGGGAGCCAGTCTGCATGAATCTGGCTACCCCTGCATTATGCTCTAGAAGAAGAACGATGCAATTCTGTCATCATGAACACCATTTGCCCATCATCATTCCTGTCCTGGCATGCGTTTTATGATGACGCTGTCCCGTAGCGCCTAGCTGCGGGTCCAAGTGGAGGCTGGAGCCTAAGTATATCTGGACGGGCGGTATTGATCAGCCGATCTAGTCGGCTGGAACATGGTACGGGGGTCAGGGAGTCATAAGAGGAGTCATCTTTCCTCTTACTCATAAGAATGGAGATTAAATTAGATCTTCCTAATGGAGTAAAGAAGGAGAAGAGAGAAACAAATACACTACTTTCTCCAGATTGGTTCGATGACCAGAGCACATGACCTGAGTCATTCACGTGTGGGGATCCCCTCACCGCCTCTCCCCGTGACCAAACCGCTGCCTTATCACTCAGTCCAAGAAGTAACATGACGCGGGGCTTCTAGTCAGTTGCCGTCACTCTCCTCATCTTTGGTCATCATCGTCCTTCTTCTCCCTCCTCTTCTCCATCTACTTCCTCCCCACCATCCACTTTGTCCCTCCGTCATCTCCACTACTTTCATCCATCAACCATCTATTTTTGCTTGGGATAGCCCATCCTTATCTTTCCATTACATTTGGACTTTGTTCCTGTTGATTCCATCACTATGCGCTCCAAGTTCAAGGACGAGCACCCCTTCGAGAAGCGCAAGGCCGAGGCCGAACGTATTCGCCAGAAATACGCCGATCGCATCCCGGTACGCATCATCCCCATCTCTGATAGAGCTCTATCGCTTTCTTTCCTTTTCAATACATTGTCTGGATGTCTGGAGCGCCGGACATGGGCGCCTCCTTCACCGCCTCTTTCCTATCACCAGCCGTCACTAACCATGATCCTTCCGTTATTCTAGGTCATCTGCGAGAAAGTCGAAAAGTCCGACATCGCGACCATCGACAAGAAGAAGTACCTGGTCCCTGCCGACCTGACCGTGGGCCAGTTCGTCTATGTGATCCGCAAGCGTATCAAGCTGTCTCCCGAGAAGGCCATCTTCATCTTCGTCGACGAGGTCTTGCCCCCGACGGCCGCTCTGATGAGCAGCATCTACGAGGAACACAAGGATGAAGACGGATTCTTGTACATCACGTATGTTGTCGCCTGGTTTTGCATCCTCACGTTGAGACACTGACCGGATTTAGGTACTCCGGCGAGAACACTTTCGGGAACTGCTAAGCCCTGGTCGGCCTTTCTTTGATCGATGTAGTCAAATCCAGTATTGCGGCGTCTTTGGACGATCGAATGAAGATCGATTCGAGCAGGATGGGGCCATAAGGGCTGGTTAGACCTTGCGGCGACTTGGGTTCGAGTGTGGCAGGCGTTTTCTCGGGGGTTCCGTAATCTTCAATGTCTATCTTGGCGACGCTTCTCTTACTTTAATGGAACGAATGAATCAATTTGGTATCTCATTCTTAACTTGAGGTAGGCGCTATGGGAGACTGTTGCCTATATAGCTGTAGATCTATAACGTGCCACTGCCAGAGACGCACGGATTATTACAAGAGATTCTAGACTGATCACAGCATACTCGTTCTGACTACAAACCAACCCGGCACATCCGGAAACTCAACTGCTGCAGTGAAGCAATCGTGATTGATATAGTTCGGGTCTTATCTGCTGATCTAATCAGGGACCCGTCTCCGCCTGAGGCCACATCGGGTTTAGCGCGGCCTGAGCAGTTCCGAGTCGGCGCAGATTTCATTCTTGGATGGAAAGTTGACATGAGCGGATCTTTCTCTTCTTCCTCCTCGGTTGCCCGTTTTTTTTTCTTCTCTTCCTCTCCCACCGTCTGCCTCCCTCTCACCCTCTCTTTCTTTCTGGCTTGCTTTGCCAATTGTCCTGTTGGATTAAATCGATCTCTGTTTCTCAATCAAGTGAGCTAAAAAAAGAGAGGGAATAAAAAAGAAGAAAAAAAAGAAAACAGTCATAGTTCATACTCCATTCACCAACCGTCAGGAACTGAAGAACTTCTTGTTGGAAAAAAAGACAACAACCCGAATCACCCTCATACAAAATGTCTCCCGCTATTGTTCAAGCCGGCGCTGGCCCTGCCTCCAAGGATGTCAAGAAGGAATCCGCGGTCGCTCGCCTTCTGGGTTCGGGTATGAGAACCGGCCGAAATCCATGTGCTTTTCACTGTGATCGTTGCTAACCTGATTTGTAGGTTCCGCTGGTATCGCCGAACTGATGGTCTTCCATCCTGTTGATACCACCGCGAAGCGTTTGATGAGCAACCAGACTCGGGTAAGCTCCACAGCCATGGAAAAGCGTTGGCCCCTCAGAGCGCAGTTTGTAGGCTAACTTTGATCTTTTCCTTCTCTATCAGATCGCCTCGGCCACCGAATTCAAGCAGGTTGTTTTCAAGGAATACGCCACTGCTTCTGTCGGACAGAAGTTCACCTCTCTCTTCCCCGGTCTGGGTTACGCTGCTGGTTACAAGGTGGGTGCCGGATGCGACACGCGCTTCCATCAATGACGACCCTAATAACGCGATCTAGGTGCTTCAACGGATCTACAAGTACGGTGGTCAGCCTTTCGCTCGCGACTACTTGGCCAAGCACTACGGTACCGAGTTTGACAATGCGTTTGGTAAGGGGACTGGCAAGGCTATCATGCACGCCACCGCTGGCAGGTTTGTTTCACCCGTGGATAAAACAACGATATCATATACTGACAGGGATCTAGTTTGATCGGTATCGGAGAGATCGTCCTCCTGCCTCTGGATGTCTTGAAGATCAAGCGTCAGACTAACCCCGAGGCCTTCCGCGGCCGTGGTCTGTTCAAGATCGTTGCGGATGAGGGCTTCGGTCTCTACCGGGGAGCTGGCTGGACTGCTGCCCGTAACGCCCCCGGCTCTTTCGCGGTACGTTGAAAATCACCAATCCATGTGGTGCATGTTGATACTAACGGAGAGATTACAGCTCTTCGGTGGCTCCGCCTTCGCCAAGGAATACATCTACTCCCTGCAAGACTACAACGCCGCCAGCTGGTCCCAGAACTTCGTCGCCTCGGTGTGCGGTGCCAGCGCCTCCCTGGTCGTCTCCGCTCCTCTGGATGTGATCAAGACCCGTATCCAAAACCGCAACTTCGAGAACCCCGAATCTGGATTCCGCATCCTGTCGAACATGTTGAAGAACGAGGGCGCCGGCAGCTTCTTCAAGGGTCTGACGCCCAAGCTTCTGATGACCGGACCTAAGCTCGTTTTCAGCTTCTGGCTGGCTCAGACGTTGATCCCTGCCTTTGGCCAGGTTGTATAAAAACATAATTACAAAAAAGGAAAAAAAAAAAAGGCACATAAAAAGGAACAACCCCACAGCGGGATTTTGGAAGCACGGGACGATTTATATTAGCCAGCTCGGAAATTCCCTCTATCACACGGTTTTTATCTCTTTCTGTTTGACCACGGCTTTTGGCGAAAGTGATAGAGCAAGCTTGCTGTTGAGTCATTTTGTATTTTCATAGATAAGATTTTTGCTTCGGAAGTTATGGGTATGGGACAGGACTAGAATACAATCCACTCTCTAATTATCATATTTTTATAAACCAGTAAGCATGCATAGAATAATCCCTCATACAGAGTACCCAAGACGCATAGAGTCTTGACGCATAGAGCATTAATTACCGCAGGAAACAACCACTCTGGGCTACTTTGGGCGACAGGCACATGTGAGATGTCTTCCGATAGAACCCCTATCACCACGTGACCGCAGCAAGACCGACTTATCGTGTCTCGACATCGGAGTCGCACCCACGGAGCTTGCTTCTTCCATGCCAAACTGGATCAATCTCACAACCTCGGATTGATTCGTGTCGCTGGTTAGGCTTTACTCCGGGTATACACATACAGCTACCCCTCATCTGCAAGAATACCATACTCCGCATCTACTGCCCAAGTCACCAACCACCACCACCACCATGCCTGTCTACCTACTATCCAAGTACGTTCTATTCCTCCCCTCTCTCACTCGTTCTCGCGCAGCGTACTGCACCTCCCAAATGAATACACTCCCCGACCCCAACCTCCCTCATATCAAGCAATACAAGCAATAATAACACCCAATACTAACAATGGTGCAATAATGATAGACTAGGAGACCCCCTCTTCGCATTTACAATCGGCGCCTCAGCCGCCCTCCTCCGCATCCAGCGCGACCAGCGCGAAAAGAACCCCGATCGGGCGGCCCAGATCGGCATGGGGAGTGTGTTGGGGGATGGGGGGAGGAGGGTGCAGAGGTGGTGGAGGGGGGATTTTGTGGGGTTATAATCTTTTCTTTTTTCCTTTTCTGTTTCTTTCGTTTTTTTTTTTTTTTGTTGATTTTTGGTTCTTGATTTGGATTGTATGTATATTTGTGTATGTGTATGTGTATGTGTATCAATTGATTGAGCGATGGTGATTTGGGCCTTGGGGTTTATTGCTGTACTCATGAGGTACCTATAAGGGATTTGTTGATGGTGTAGAGCCTTTCAAGAGGATGAGTTCATTCATCATGGCGTGAAAGACAAGGCATGGAATTGTTTGGTCTACGTTTGATGGAATGGCTACTCAAACTACAATTAAGGTAGAGATACAGGTAAAGTAATAAGTAACGTGAATATTCCTGTATTGTCATACGGAACTTTTCCCTCCCAACCTTCTGCTCAATATTGCAGAGTATCATGCAGAACGTGAATCTATGCAGTCACGCAAAAATAGAACAAAAGAAACGCAATCCCATAATATCGTGAAACCATCAAGAAAGTACAGCAGAAACCATGAGAAAAGAATAAGGAAAAAGAAACACCATTAGGGCCGACCGATCAGCCAAGACTAACTAAGAAGGTTGAAGAAAAGAAGATAAGGGTCAAGACATTTAGTCAAGCTCCTCAGGGCGCTCCTCGACCTCGTCAGCAGTGCGGGTGGAGCCACCGGGGGCAGCACCGCCGGGGGCGGCACCCTCGGGAGCGGCACCACCGTAGGCAGCGGAGATGATGGGGTTGGCAACACCCTCGAGATCCTTCTGCTGGTCCTCGTACTCCTCCTTGGTGGCGGTCTGGTTGGCGTCGAGCCAGCCGATGACCTCGGAGACCTTCTCCTCGACCTTCTTCTTGTCGTCGTCGTTGATCTGCAGCTTGCCCTCGTTGATGGTGTTCTTGAGGGAGTAGGCGTACGACTCGAGGCCGTTCTTGGCCTGGATACGGGAAGACTCGGCCTCATCCTCGGCCTTGTACTTCTCGGCCTCGGCAAGCATGCGCTCGATGTCCTCCTTGGACAGACGACCCTTGTCGTTGGTGATGGTGATCTTGTTGGTCTTACCGGTGCCCTTCTCGACAGCGGAGACGTTCATGATACCGTTGGCATCGACGTCGAAGGTGACCTCGATCTGGGGGACACCACGGGGGGCCGGGGGGATGCCGGTCAGCTCGAACTTGCCGAGCAGGTTGTTGTCCTTGGTGCGGGCACGCTCACCCTCGTACACCTGGATCAACACACCGGGCTGGTTGTCGGAGTAGGTGGAGAAGGTCTCGGACTTCTTGGTGGGGATGGTGGTGTTACGCTTGATCAGCGCGGTCATGACACCACCAGCGGTCTCGATACCGAGGGACAGCGGGGCGACATCGAGCAGCAGGATCTCGTTGGTGGACTTGGACGAGGTGTCACCGGACAGGATGGCAGCCTGGACGGCAGCACCGTAGGCGACGGCCTCATCGGGGTTGATGGACTTGTTGGGGTCCTTGTTGAAGAAGTCGGAGACGAGACGCTGGATGCGGGGGATACGGGTGGAACCACCGACCAGGACGATCTCGTGGACGGAGGACTTGTCAACCTTGGCGTCACGGAGGACACGCTCGACGGGCTCCATGGTGCCACGGAAGAGATCCTGGCACAGCTCCTCGAAACGGGCACGGGTGATGGAGGTGTAGAAGTCAATGCCCTCGAAGAGGGAGTCGATCTCGATGGAGGTCTGAGCAGCGGACGAGAGGGTACGCTTAGCACGCTCGCAAGCAGTGCGGAGACGACGCAGAGCACGGGCGTTGGTGGTCAGGTCCTTCTTGTGCTTGCGCTTGAACTCGTTGACGAAGTGGTTGACCAGACGGTTGTCGAAGTCCTCACCACCCAAGTGAGTGTCACCGGCGGTGGACTTGACCTCGAAGATACCCTCCTCGATGGTCAGGAGGGACACATCGAAGGTACCACCACCCAGATCGAAGATCAGGACGTTGCGCTCACCCTCGGTCTTCTTGTCCAGACCGTAGGCGATGGCGGCAGCGGTGGGCTCGTTGATGATACGGAGGACGTTCAGACCGGCGATGAGACCGGCGTCCTTGGTAGCCTGACGCTGGGAGTCGTTGAAGTAGGCGGGGACGGTGATGACGGCGTTGTTGACGGTGCCACCGAGGTAGGCCTCGGCAACCTCACGCATCTTCACCAGGATCATGGAGGAGATCTCCTCGGGGGTGAACTGCTTCTGCTCGCCCTTGAACTCCACCTCGATGACGGGCTTGCCGGCCTTGTCGATGATCTTGAAGGGCCAGTGCTTCATATCAGCCTGGACCTCAGCGTCGGCATACCGACGGCCGATGAGACGCTTGGCATCGAAGACAGTGTGGTGGGGGTTCATGGCGACCTGGTTCTTGGCGGCATCACCGATCAAACGCTCGGTGTCGGTGAAAGCCACGAACGAGGGGGTGGTGCGGTTACCCTGGTCGTTGGCAATGATTTCAATGCGGTCATCACGGAACACACCCACACAGGAGTAGGTGGTACCCAGATCAATACCGACAGCGGGGGCCATTGTGAAAGATGTGGGGTATGAGGGGTTGAGGGAGAGGAATTAAGGAAATTCGTGAGGAAGTAGTGTACAATAGACAAGAAAAGTCTCCCTTCAGATGATGGAAAGAGGAGAAGTACACAAGAGAAGAGTGAGGAGAGTAAGAGGGAAAGAGAAAAAAAGCAGGTAGAGAATTTGTGCGAGAGGTTTGGTAGATATAGTCAAGGGCGGTGAGCTGCGAAGTCGAGCGAAGCTTCTAGCAAGAGCACAGCTTGCCGTGTATCCATCGGGTTCGATGACCTTCCACCTGGGTCGGATTGCCCCGCTTGCCGTTTCGGTCTTGCTGGTTTTTCTGTGTATTACGAGTACCTTTGTTTGATTCTGGTTTATTCTGCCCCTTTCTTTTTCTTTTTCCTTTTCTATTTCTTTGTCTTTCTATATATTCTGATTATATTTGAATTCTGAATATATTCAATATCAGGATATCATTCTGTGACTGTGTTATCTATTGTTTGTCAATGAAGATAGGTATAGTGGTGGGGCATTGATGATGTAAGAGCCTCAGGTTTTTTTTTTGCTGCCAGGACAACAGAATGATACCGTACTCAATACGGTAAATCACTGTATAGTAGACAGTCCTGTCGTCACCATGACCCATCCAATTTGCCGCTTTCCATGGATGGAGCAATAATCAGTGGGCCTGAACTAGGACGACATCATCACTCGAAACATCTTGGGCATTCGGCCGTATTCGATTGCTATGAAGTCACCTTCTTCAGCTTTCTTTCATAGTGATCCACTGACATGGTAGATAACTATGACTCAGGGATTGTTGAAGCCCTATTACTGTCTACTCTTTACTGAACAAGTGGATATCTCCGGTCATTAGATTACCACTAAAGAATCTTTGTCTAAGCCTTGCCTGTGGCTTAGGTATGGCTCTTTTGTCGCCTTATTGCAATTGATTGGTCATGTGCAATGAATTGTGTAGTGGTACCTTACCTACCTACCTTAGGTAGGTAGAAGCATCCGAGTCTTACTCTTTCAATCAGGCTCAAACATCGGAGTACTTCACAGCCTTATAGACTGAGATTGAGTTGACAGATATTAGTTAACTAGTTGTTATGTTGATTCTCTTACCTAAACAGTAATCTATACTGGGTACCTACTACCTACCTGAAATTGATCCATAGAAGAGCCCAATCCTGTCCAGATCTGCATAGAAACCATACCTACCTTACTGCCACTCTATCCAAAGTAATACCCTGTAGAAAAAGACAAATCCCCAGCATCTGCTGTGGCAGACTGATCCGGTAGGATGTTTATTATGATTCTGAACCCGATCCAAGTCCCAACAAGGGCTAGATCCGTCACGGGATGATCGATCACCTGGTCCAGCCAATCAGCAGAGGGAAGTCACGAGTGATTCTTCTTCTCCCCTTGCGACGGATCTCAAGTCACTACCTCCAATCTAAACCACGTCTTCCCCTTCACTACCTTTTCTTGATCTTGATCTTGCTTGAAAGCAGCCTCTGAATTCTTGCTGCAAGAAACTTCATATCCTACTCCCTTCCACCAGTTATACCCTGATCTACTCGCTCTCAATCCCCGCCACTACACAATGGGTGACAACAACATGGGCTCTACCCTGGGCAACCAACCCTCTGGCAATGCCCCCGGTGCACTTGACAAGGGCAAGGGCAAGTCCGTCGAGGACCCCACCTCCCATGAAATGAGCGTCGATGAGGACGACAGCGAGAGCGAACCCGAAGCTGAAGAGATTGTGAGTCCGCGCGTGGGAAACAAGGGAAACATAACCAGGCCAATATGTGACTAACGGTGTCAATTTTCTTTCTTTGCGACTATTCAGGTTGAAGGTACGTCTATCTCTTTTCTTATGCTCCCTTTTTCTTTTCCTTTCCCTCCCAGACCAGTGACAGCCGCTGACTCCTTCTAATCAATAGATGAAGACGAAGACGACGGAGGCAACCTCGAGCCCATCTCCTCCGAGAACATCATCAGCGGAGGCCGACGGACGCGCGGAAAGACCATTGACTTCCAGGAAGCGGCCGAGAAGCTCAAGGCGGACGAGATGAGCGATGACGACGACGACGATGAGGACTTCGTCGCTAACGACGACAATGACGATGGAAACAAGATGCGCGACTAAATGCGGCAACTTTACGAAACTGTCAAGGACATGACTTGGGAATGGGGAATGCGAAGGGAAAACTGAATGGCCGGCGCAGGGTTTCTTAGGGGGTCTTTTATTGTTCCAGACCGATCTTACTTTCCTCTGATGGAAATCTCACCGGACAGCATGAGGCTATGAATGCATAATGATTAATTCGCCATTGTTTTTAGCTGTCATTGATCGCCGTTAGTAGTTGGTACTGGTGTGCTATATATCAGGTGATATATCGATATATCGGTGAAGGATTCGGTCGTGTAGCCATAGCCCCTCTGGGGAAATCCGCCCCAGCCACCAGGGAATCAACAATTAACTTCTCCAAGACGAGTCAACATCTCTTTCCTGCGCTATCTATTCTACAATGTAGCATGTACGACATAATGACAATAAACCATAGTCATATGACACGTGACCTCGACCGCCTTGGCTACGTGTTAGTAAGAGTCAGCTTGAACAACGCGGAGTAGCTGGAGGTATGGGGTTCGTCGCCGCAACCAGATCTCGATTACAACAATAGATCTACACCTCCTTCTCCTATTCTCTTTCATTTGCAGGCGCTTTTCTTCTAGGGAGAAGAGCGACAGTCATCCTCTATTTAAAGCTCTTACTCCCGCCCGCGATGCGCCCCGACTAGGCTACTACTACTTCGATACGCTTCTTCCCCTTTGACGACTGTTGAGTGGCGCTTGAAAACACCTTACGACCCGTTATGGCATCACGGTTAGTTTTCATTTTATCAAATGATATAAGCGCACAAGCTAACGACTCTGCTAGATTCCCACGTCAGCGCGATCCCCGAGCCGCCCCCTCGCTCTTCGACTCCTACGGTGGCGATTCCCGGCCAGCGAGCAAGTCGCCTGGCCGTGTGGGCGGATACGGCTATGGCGGATACCCCGGTGCGAGCGATGGATCGGTGAATGGGACGCCTGGTGGATATCGGTCTGCGACGCCGGATAAGAAGTGAGTGTGGGAGAGTACCGGGTGTTGAAGTCTGGAGCTGACATCGTTTTAAGGGGCCATTACTCCGATGCCGTTCTTTCGCATCTGGAATCTCAGAATGACGCCGAGGTTGAGGGGATCACTGCCAAAGTGAAGATGCTCAAAGATGTAGGTTTTACTTCTCCTGATTGCGATGTGATGACCCCCCGGTCTCCCGCTAATGATGATCGTATTAGTTGTCCGTCGCTATCGGTGACGAAATCCGCGATAGCTCCAGCCTGGCCGAGACGCTGAATAACGCCTTCGATAATACCCGTGTGCGCGTCCGGGGGAACATGAACCGTATGCTCCGTATGGCGGAGCGGACCGGAGTGGGCTGGCGTGTGTGGCTGCTCTTCTTTCTGGCGGTCTTCTTGATATTCTTCTACGTTTGGTTGTTCTGAACGGGTTGAATATTCAAAGCCCTGGCCGGTTCTCTAGGCCTGAACACTCACCTTGACCACAGTACTTTGACACAGCTGCGGATATACGTCTGCAGACGTGGACTCCTACTTCCGCACAACTACAAGCCATAATACCTACAATCCCGTCGCATTCGCACCATCCGGTAGTCTATTGGCATGTACAGCACCTTGACTGTACCGTCCCGACGTTTCCACCTCGTTTCAGCGTCGTCGTCAATCATTCCACTTCCACGACGTGGCATATCGTGATTCCAATGTCGCCCTCACTCTACATAATACTTACCATCTATCGATGCATCTCCGGTGTTTGTGTAAGCCCGTCTGCAAAGCGTGGCTTGGTTTTGGTTTCTAGTACATTGTACATTCTACTGTATATATTACTCTGAGAAAAGTAATGTTTTACTCACTGTCCTTTTGGTATTTTACCCGGGGTGTACTGTAGCAGCTTATCTCTGATATATAGTGTATAGAGCAGCGATGCATAAAGGCCGAAAGCTGTCCCATCTTGAATTGACCTGGTTAAAGACTCAGCTGAGTGGAAACAATAAGCTCAAAGTAGTAACAATTAATTGATTCAAAGTAGTACGGTAGTAAAGCCATTGAACCTCATGACCCCCGCAAAACGCCCATTTGCTCTACAGTCAAGCAAAACTCCACACGAGTCCCGACGCCGTCGAATGCTCCATAGGGTATAAACACATCATACATGCAAATGCAACCTCGATCCTCAGCTAGAAACCCGCATCTAACTCAATCAGTAATGCACTCAATACTCAAGACTATCCCTCGGCCCCCCGTCCGCCGCCGAGGGAACCGCCCAAAAGCACCCGCGCCCGCACCCGTGCCCGTACCCGTCCCCGTACCCCGACGACTCGTCTGGCTGGTGATCGACGAGCGCAGATTACTATCGTCGTCATCGACAAGCATACTGCTCGTATCAAAGGCATCGCCGCCACCGCTCCAGCGCTGGAGAAAGCGCCGCTGCGCCTCCGTCTCGCGGTGTCTCCGCACGGGGGCGGCGGGGGCAGACCGCCGCGGCTGCTGGTTGTGCTGGCGCGGAGGCTCTGCGCGAAGCTGATCTCTTCGTCCTCGTCGTCGAACTCGGCGTCTGTGTCTGTGTGTTGCCATTCGTCTTCTTGGTCGGAGCGGTTCTCGGCTGCTTCGGGGATGTCGTCGTCGAGGTCGTGGTCCATGCCTTGTTCTTCCTCTTCTTCCATGCTTTCGTTGTCGTCGTCGTCGTCGGCGGCGCCGCTGGGGATGTCGTCGTCTAGGTCGGGCTGGTTGTTGAAGTCGTGCTCTTCAAACTCGTCTTCCTCTTCCTCCTCTTCTTCTTCTTCATCATCATCATCCGGAAAAGCCTCCGGAATATCATCATCCAAATCCCTCTCCATATACCCCTCTTCATCAACCCCATCCTCCTCCTCCAGCCCCTCCTCCCCCTCCTCCACAAGCCCCTCCACATCATCATCAGCATCGGCATCAGGAATATCATCATCCAAATCCCTCTCCATCCCCGTATCATCCTGCCCGTCCCCACCAGCCTGACCCTGTCCCTGCGCCCCCATCTCATCCACCCCCGGATCCGCCGCCGCAACAGCAGCAGCCATCTCGGCGGCCGCAGCAGCAAGCGCCTCCTCCCTCTCCGCCTCCTCCTCCTTCATGCCGAGCATGGTCTTGGGACATCCTGCAGGCCGAATCCACGAGCATCCGAACGAGGCGATGTTGTTTTTGCGCGCTCGCAGCGCGCGCTCTTCGAGGTGCAGCGCGGAGAGGACGTTGTCGGGGGCGCTTGTCGTTGTGGATGTGCGTCCGTTGTGGTGGTGGTGCTGGCTTGTGCGGCGGAGGTGGTGGTGGTCGGTGGGGGAGGAGTGTGGGTGGGAGGAGCGGTTGGGTTGGGAGGAGCCGAACCAGAGGTCGTGGGACTGTATGTTTGTTAGTCTGTCGTTTGTAGATTTGTTGAGAGGGGGGTTTGAGATGGGTGGACGTACGTCACGAGGGGTGATGAGTGGGAGGGAGAGCATCGCGTCGGAAGGGAGAGCTTGATTTGTGGTGGAGGGTGTTTTTCATGGATGAAGTCTATCCAGTTCAGGGTCCCAGAACCAACTGATTAAGCTTGAGAAATAGGCAATTGGTGTCTCTCTTTCTTTCTTCTTTCTTCTTGTTATCTTTTTTGTATCCGTTAGAGGGCAGGTGAAGTTGTCGCAGACCCACTACCTACCTTAGTTTGGCGGATACAAACAAACCGCTAATCACAGATACAGTAATTGGCAGCAATCAATCTTGTAGTGTTCATTAACAAAACAGAATTGCTAATAAAGCAAGAAATGGAAGATGTTGACATGAAGCGCAAGAAGCATCACCAAACGGCAAGCGGCAAGAAAGCCGAGCGAAACAAAACAAACAAACAAATGGTTAGCTCCGAGATCGAGTCCGCTCCGCTCTGAGCGCAAAGCGGGGAGGGCTAGACCTTTTTACCTACTTCGACAATCTAGACTTATAGATCTGTCGTTGGTTTGGGTTCTGGTGGAAGAGGTCTTGTTTTTATTTTTGATGTTAGTACGGAGGAGGAGGATTCTTATGGTTGATAGTGTATGATCCGATTTGTCTTCAATGGTAGTTTTCTTCGTGGACTTGTTTGGATTGAGCTACGAGGGACGGCATAGATGGTTGGTTAGTACATAGTATTGAAAAAGTTTGCTCTATCTCTACATCCACCTACATGATTAGAGCCTCAGTCGAAGTAGCAAGCCGTTTGCAACTGCAGCCCAGCTAACTATTCCTATTCCTAGTCCGTTTGCTTCTCGTAAGCGACAGAATACGATGGACCACCAGCCAGCTGCGTACCAATCGCAATGCCGTAGACACTTTGCCATAACCAGACCTCTCATGCCTTCAGAGAATAGCCTGACTTGTGAATGACAAGTAAAGACGAGTAAATTGCAGCTGACTGAGCAGGTCCATGCAACCAACAAAGTACGTCACAGTAGCGGTAGCGGACAACCTGCAGGACATCCCGAGGAGGATTGAGGGACAAGTCATCTCGTGTGCGGAACCGAGGAGCGTGCCAACTGCCAAGGGATTCCCAGATTGGACCAGACGAGTAAGTGACACTCCCTCACTACAGAAGAGAAAGGAGATGGTCCGACATCTCCCGATGGATGGTGGTCGTGCAGCATCCTGCGGGCGGGATGGTCGGTGAACCCAAAGCGGACAAGACCGATGCGGACATGTCGGGAGAATGCGGGAACATGATATTGAAGAAGGTTGGTTAGTAGGCAGGCAGTGGGATAAGCTAGGTCGGTGGCTAGATATTGGATGCACTGCGCGTGGGATCATGTGATACCTCCGACATGATGAGGTGACACTGCATTTCCATCTCTTGTTTTTAGAGTAGTTAGTAGGGGGTATGCTGTACCATCACCTTCTTTTCCCCTTGGGATACTGTAAGACTTGTATAGGAATCAGGTATGATCTGGGGAATGACGCTGGAATGAAAGACCGAGGTAGAAAGAAACGTGTGGAAAGTGGAGGCGGTTGGTTTATGTATTAGTATTAGCATCACATTATTCGTATGGCTGGGATTAAGCTCTTATCAGGACTGGGTCGGGAAGACAGTCTAAAATCGAAAATAGTACGGACCAGCCTCTAGTGGCGTATTGAACCGTTTCCTCCGTACCATCCTTATCGCAGATGTTACTTCGACCCGTGGTGGAAGTATTGATGAAACCTGATGTAAGGACTCCTGATGCTCCTGACCGCTTCTTTTATTGGAGTGTTTGTTCAATTGAGAGTTAATTACACACTGACCAAGTTCTTGAAGCATTTAATCGAGTCAATCTGTAAACGAAGGGTTCATAATTCAACCACGCCGATTGGTCGGGAACCAGCATGTTGAGAGTGGAACAAACACCCCGCGGAGTATCATTCCATACGGGTGGGGATTTGAGGTATGGCCTTCGGAAGACGCTAGAACTAGACTCACAAGTTGATCATCAACCACCACTCATATAGTGTACAGAGGAAGGCTCCGAGATCGGGAGAGGAGGCGGATGGGAGGAAGACTTCCAAGGGCAGGGCAGTGGTTGTCGATAATACATATCATGTATACGCTTGTAACGAGCAGGTAACCCAATGATCGCCATCCAGCTGCAACTTCACTTCCAACCGTGGGGTATGCAGGAGCATGCAGTGTCCTGTAGGGTATTTTCGTTCGGGTTGGGGGAGTTGAGCCGGCCATTGAAAGGTGATCTTGGCAGCTTCGGTTGCATAATATCAGTTTGATTCATCCGGAGTACCTGGGAAAATAAAGAAAACCAAATCAATGGCTCTCTACTACTCCATCCAGCATAATAGGGCACCATGTAACCTTGACTCGTGCAGTCGCACCATTTCCGAGACCCCATTCTAGTGCCTGCCAAGCATGGAGGAAGGACCCCTCAATACTGATATTCCTCGGTTGCTTTGATTGAACCACAACGGTTTGGGGTCAAATCGGGGATAAGCACCATACCCTGGCCCAGGCCCCACTTGGGGATAATCCACCCACTCGGGTCAACGTATGATTGACTTGTGTCTGGCTATCATCTGAATAAAGGATTTCATGGAGGGTTTGATTGGGGGAAATGTTGCATGACTGTTTGTCTCTCACATGAAGGTCCTGGAGATCTGGACGGATATGGAAAGTTACGATACCGACCCGTACGGGCAAGTGGGTACTGAGCCCCACCGGGTTGGATCTTGACGTCGTAGAAACCAGCAACCTAATCTTCTTGGTCAACAAGGTTGTAAAACCAGGTTTCTGATTGGATGTGAGAGTCTTATCTTTGACCTCGGGAGTTGGATTAGATTGATCGTCATGGCCACTAAAGTACTGGTAGGACATCATCCTGTGAACTCCCTAATGGAAAGAATGCTGGTCTCCGAAAACGCTTTCACCAGAAGGAAGAGGAGAAATACTGAAGAGTACCTAGTAGTAGGTACAAAGGGGTACTTCCTTTTGTAGGTACGTACCAGGCATGATCGATGTACCTGTACTCCATACCTTACTTGGATGGATCTCGTCCTTTGTACGGTACGATACACATCCTCTGGACCGTGGTCTACTCCATACTTCCTACTCAGAGTAGAATCAAGTCACAGCTGCAATTTGCCACGAAGCTCACCCTCATCTCCACCATCCTATCCTATCACCGTGTAGTTTCAATAATTCTTCCTGTCTGTCTTTCTTTCCTAGAGTATCCGTCTTTTTCTTCAATTCTTTCATCTTCCATTGTCCTGGAAGATCAACCCCATTGGAATCTCTAGAATACTTCTAGCCCATTGAATGAACGACCCAAGTACTCCCATAAGAAAGATCTCCTGTATCGGAGGGTCAGAAGTGAATACCTTACTATAGGTCTCCCCGGACCTCTGCCTCCCGTCCCGCCGTCCTCGTCCGCCTTGGATTATTTGATTATTTTATTTTTATTTTCTACCCCACCATATCCACCACATTCCCCGACTCTTGTCTTTCTCTCCTTCCGGCCATTGCACTTTCTTCCCTCTCTCCTTCTCTCTTCCTCCCCCCTCAAGCACTCCTCAACCTCCTAGACCATCCTCCTATCAAACCTGGTTGAAGCGGAACTCATCGTGACGCCATTTTAACCGTGCATACTTACCCTTCCTTATCTTTGACATCCCTGACGAATCACCGTCCCCCCATCACCTCCCCGAAGCAATCCGCCGCGGGACTCCGTTTACTATCCTAGTCCCATATACGACTCCCAAGTTTATCTCCTCCATTCTCTGTCGGTCACCGGCGGAAGAATGGGTCTGAACTTGGAGGAAATCTATGGTCAAAATCTAGTCGATGAGCAGAAGCCCAGCGAGTATTCCGAGTACCAGCCAAAGCAGGGCTATGGCTGGGCCAACACCTTGCCCGAGAGGCAGGGTCTCTATGATCCCGAGTATGAGAAGGATGCCTGTGGTGTAGGCTTTGCTGCGTACGTCCTCCTCCATTTGGGGCTGTATTGGGGTTGGATCTCTGGTTTGGGAATGGGTTTACTAACCGGAGTGAATCGACAGTCATATCAAAGGAAAGCCTAGCCACAAGATTGTTAGCGATGGTACGTCGTCTTGAATTCAGCTCTTAGTCTACGCTCATACTGACCCCTTCGTGAATCGACAGCTCGGAATCTACTCTGCAACATGACCCATCGAGGTGCCGTCGGTTCCGATGCCCGAGATGGCGATGGTGCGGGTGTCATGACCAGTATCCCCCACAAGTTCTTCATCAAGAACTTTGCGCGCGAGGTGGGCGTGGACCTGCCCCCTCTGGGTCAGTATGCCGTGGGAAACTTGTTCTTCAAGCCGGATGAGGAGACCCTCAAAGAGTCCTCGGCCACCTTTGAGGATCTCGCGAACTCTTTGGGGCTGCGCGTGCTGGGATGGCGTGAAGTCCCCCGCGATTCTACGATCCTGGGCCCCGCGGCCCTCTCCCGGGAGCCCGTCATCATGCAGCCCTTTGTGGTCCTGAAGTCGGCCTACGGGGAGGGGAACAAGCCCGAATCCACCGACCCCGAGACGTTCGATGAGAGGACCTTCGAACGTCAGCTGTTCGTCCTGCGGAAGCGGGCCACCCACGTCCTCGGACTCGCCAATTGGTTCTACCTGTGCTCCCTGAGCAACCGGAACATCGTCTACAAGGGTCAGCTGGCCCCCGTGCAGGTGTACGAGTACTACCACGATCTGGTCAACGTCGACTACGAAGGCCACTTTGCCCTGGTGCATTCCCGTTTCTCGACCAACACGTTCCCCTCCTGGGACCGTGCGCAGCCGCTGCGGTGGGCTGCCCACAACGGTGAGATCAACACCCTGCGAGGCAACAAAAACTGGATGCGGGCCCGCGAGGGCGTGCTCAAGTCGGATATCTTTGGCGACGAGCTGGACTTGCTGTACCCCATCGTCGAGGACGGCGGCTCCGACTCCGCGGCCTTTGACAATGTCCTGGAGCTGTTGATGATCAATGGCGTCCTGTCGCTCCCGGAGGCCGTCATGATCATGATCCCCGAGGCGTGGCAGGATAACCCGGCCATGGACCCGGCCAAGGCCGCCTTCTACGAGTGGGCCGCCTGTCAGATGGAGCCCTGGGATGGCCCCGCCCTCTTTACCTTCTCCGACGGCCGCTACTGCGGTGCAAACCTCGACCGCAACGGCCTGCGTCCGTGCCGGTTCTACGTCACGGATGATGACCGGATCATCTGCGCGTCCGAGGTGGGCGCCATCAGCATTGACCCCGAGCGAGTGGTCCAGAAGGGCCGTCTGCAGCCCGGCAAGATGCTCCTGGTCGACACCGTCGCTGGTCGCATCATCGACGACTCCGAGCTCAAGCACACCGTCGCCCACCGTCAGGATTTCGCGGGCTGGTTGGACAAGGAGCTCCTCAGACTCCCCGCCATCCGACAGCAGTTGCTGGAGCAGAAAGTCGATCTGGGCTACACCCTGGACGCCAACACCATCCAGAATGACCCGCGCCTCATGGCGTTCGGTTACTCCTTTGAGCAGGTCAGCCTGCTGCTGGCCCCCATGGCGGCGGACTCGAAGGAAGCGCTGGGCTCCATGGGCAACGACGCCCCCCTCGCCTGTATCGCGGAGCAACCGCGCCTTCTCTACGAGTACTTCCGCCAGCTCTTCGCCCAGGTGACGAACCCCCCGATTGACCCGATTCGGGAGGCCGTCGTGATGTCCCTGGAGTGCTACGTGGGCCCGCAAGGCAACCTGCTGGAGATGGACCCGTCCCAATGCCACCGCTTGCTCTTGCCTTCCCCCATTTTGAGCATCCCCGATTTCAACTCTTTGAAGAACATCAACCAGGCCCACAAGGACTGGACGGTGAAGACCATCGACATCACGTTCGAGAAGAAGAAGGGCACCGCCGGCTACCTCGAGGCGCTCGACGCCATCTGCGACGCGACCACCGAGGCGATTCACAATGGCGACAAGGTCATCGTGCTGTCCGATCGTGCTACTTCCGCAGACCGGGTCCCCGTCTCCGCCTTGCTCGCGACCGGCCTGGTCCACCACCACATGGTCCGCAACAAGTGGCGATCGCTCGCGGCCCTGGTCGTGGAGACGGCCGAGGCGCGTGAAGTCCATCATATGTGTGTCATCCTGGGTTATGGCGCGGACGCCGTGAATCCCTACCTCGCCATGGAGTGCATCCTCAAGATGAACCGGGAGAACCTGATCCGCAAGCAGCTGTCGGACGAGAAGATCATTGAAAACTACAAGGCATCGTGTGACGGTGGAATCTTGAAGGTGATGAGCAAGATGGGTATCTCCACCTTGCAGTCGTACAAGGGTGCCCAGATCTTTGAGGCTCTCGGAATCGACGACAGCGTCATCGACCGGTGCTTCACAGGGACGGCGAGCCGCATTCGCGGGTTGACGTTTGACCTCATCGCCCAGGACGCATTTGCCTTCCATGAGCGAGGCTACCCCTCGCGTGAAATCGTGGAGATTCCCGGACTTCCCGAGTCGGGCGAATACCACTGGCGTGATGGCGGCGAGCAGCACGTGAACGACCCGGTCAGCATTGCCAACTTGCAGGACGCCGCACGCACGAAGAACGACAAGTCCTACGAGGCCTATGCCAAGTCTGAACATGAGCAGATCAAGAACTGTACGCTCCGCGGCATGCTCGACTTTGACTTTGAGCAGCGGACCCCGATCCCGATCGACCAGGTCGAGCCGTGGACCGAGATCGTCCGCCGTTTTGTGACGGGCGCCATGTCTTACGGATCTATCTCCATGGAGTCCCACTCCACCCTCGCCATTGCCATGAATCGGTTGGGCGGCAAGTCCAACACAGGCGAAGGTGGTGAAGACGCCGAGCGGAGCAAACGGATGGAGAATGGCGATACGATGCGGTCTGCCATCAAACAGATCGCCTCGGGCCGTTTCGGTGTGACCTCGCACTATCTGGCCGATGCTGATGAGCTTCAGATCAAGATGGCCCAGGGCGCCAAGCCCGGTGAAGGAGGTGAGCTTCCTGGCCACAAGGTCGTCGGTCCCATTGCCCACACCCGTTACTCGACGCCTGGTGTTGGCCTGATCTCGCCGCCGCCCCACCACGACATCTACTCCATCGAGGATCTGAAGCAACTCATCTACGATCTCAAGTGCTCCAACCCCCGTGCCCGTGTCTCCGTCAAGCTTGTCTCGGAGGTCGGTGTTGGCATTGTTGCCTCGGGCGTTGCCAAGGCAAAGGCCGATCACATTCTGATCTCTGGCCATGACGGTGGTACTGGTGCATCTCGCTGGACGGGCATCAAGTACGCTGGCCTGCCGTGGGAACTGGGTCTCGCTGAGACACACCAGACTCTGGTCCTGAATGACCTCCGTGGCCGTGTCATTGTTCAGACTGATGGCCAGATCCGTACCGGCCGTGATCTTGCTGTCGCCTGTCTGCTGGGTGCCGAAGAGTATGGCTTTGCAACCACGCCGTTGATTGCCATGGGGTGCATCATGATGCGCGTGAGTATTTCCTTGACGATCCAATCCCCACTCCTTTATCTGATATGGTTACTGATGTTTCTTCCCCCTAGAAATGCCACCTGAACACCTGCCCCGTTGGTATCGCCACCCAGGATCCTCATCTCCGTTCCAAATTCCAGGGTACACCTGAACACGTGATCAATTTCTTCTATTACGTCGCCAACGAGATGCGCGCCATTATGGCCAGGCTGGGGATCCGCACCGTCAACGAGATGATCGGACGTGCCGAGCTTCTCAAGGTCCGGGACGATATCCGGACGCCCAAGCAAGCGAGGATCGACCTCTCCCTCATTCTCACTCCGGCTCACTCTCTCCGCCCTGGTGTTGCGACGTACAATGTCCGCAAGCAGGACCATCGCCTGCATACTCGCCTGGATAACAAGCTCATCGCCGAATCGGAGCTTGCCTTGGAGAAGGGACTGCCGTGCCGGGTCGAGTGCGATATCGTCAACACGGATCGCAGTCTGGGTGCCACTCTTTCTTACCAGGTCAGTCGCCGCTTCGGTGGAGACGGCCTTCCACAGGACACGATCCATGCGAACATCAAGGGATCGGCTGGCCAGTCTTTTGGTGCCTACCTTGCGCCTGGTATCACCCTCGAGCTGGAGGGCGACGCGAACGATTATGTCGGCAAGGGTCTGTCGGGTGGCCGTCTCATCGTCTACCCGCCCCGTGGTGCGGCTTTCAAGGCAGAGGAGAATGTCATCGTTGGAAACACCTGTCTCTATGGCGCCACCCGTGGAACATGCTACTTCCGCGGTGTCGCTGCCGAGCGGTTTGCGGTCCGTAACTCTGGTGCTACGGCTGTGGTTGAAGGCGTCGGCGATCACGGATGTGAGTACATGACTGGCGGCCGTGTGCTGATCCTCGGCTCCACCGGCCGTAACTTCGCTGCCGGTATGTCTGGTGGCATTGCGTATGTTCTGGATATGAACCAAGACTTCTACTCCAAGGTCAATATGGAGATGGTAGAGGTCTCTTCTCTGGAAGACCCGACCGAGGTCGCCTTCCTCCGTGGGTTGATTGAGGACCATCACCACTATACCGGCTCGGAGCTGGCTGCCCGCATCCTTCTGGACTTCACCCGGGCATTGCCCCATTTCGTCAAGGTGCTGCCTATTGACTACAAGCGTATCCTGACGGAGGAGGCAGCCAAGGCGGAGGCCGCGAAGAAAGCCGAATTTACCCTCCCGCGCCTGCCCAGCACCCCGGCCAGTGCCGAGAAGCCCAAGGCGAAGGTTGCGGATGACGGCAAGAAGGCCGAAATGCTGGACATTGAGGACAGTGTGACCGACTCCAAGACCGAGAAGAAGCGGTCCGCCCTCATCCTTGACAAGACCCGGGGCTTCATGAAATACAACCGGCGCAGCGAGAAGTACCGCAACCCAACCACTCGCACCCGTGACTGGGGGGAGATCTCGAGCCGTCTCACCGAAGATGAGCTCAAGTACCAATCGGCTCGTTGTATGGATTGCGGTGTTCCTTTCTGCCAGTCTGATACTGGATGTCCCATCTCCAACATCATCCCCAAGTGGAACGAGCTGGTGTTCCAGAACCAGTGGCAAGACGCCCTCAACCGTCTCCTTATGACCAACAATTTCCCCGAATTCACCGGCCGTGTCTGCCCTGCGCCGTGCGAAGGGGCCTGTGTCTTGGGAATCACCGAGGACCCCGTGGGTATCAAGTCGATCGAGTGTGCCATCATCGATCGCGGATTTGAGATGGGTTGGATGGTCCCTCGGCCACCTCAGACCCGCACCGGGAAGACCATTGCTATCATTGGATCCGGCCCCGCTGGTCTCGCCGCCGCAGACCAACTCAACCGTGCTGGCCACAGCGTCACTGTCTATGAGCGTGCTGACCGCATTGGTGGGCTGCTCATGTACGGTATTCCGAACATGAAGCTTGACAAGAAGATCGTCCAGCGTCGTGTGGACTTGATGGCCGCGGAAGGTGTCAAGTTCGTCACCAATACGTCTGTCGGGCCCGATGACAAGGTGTCGCTAGATTCTTTGCGTGCGAGTAACAACGCAGTCGTCATCGCCACCGGCGCTACCGTCGCTCGAGACCTGAAGGTGCCCGGCCGTGAGCTGGATGGTGTACACTTCGCCATGCAGTTCCTGCACCGCAACACCAAGTCCCTCCTCGACTCGGAACTTGCCGATGGTGCGTACATCTCCGCCAAAGATAAGCACGTTGTGGTTATTGGTGGCGGTGATACTGGCAATGACTGCATTGGGACTTCGGTTCGCCACGGCGCCAAGTCCGTCACCAACTTTGAGCTTCTGCCCCAGCCTCCTCCCGAGCGTGCCCGTGACAACCCATGGCCGCAGTGGCCCCGCATCTACCGTGTGGACTATGGCCACTCGGAGGTCAAGACCCACATGGGCAACGACCCTCGCGAGTACTGTGTCATGTCCAAGGATTTTGTCGATGATGGCAGCGGCCGCGTTAAGGGCATCAACACCGTCCGCGTTGAGTGGACCAAGAGCGCTTCGGGTGGCTGGGACATGAAGACGGTCGAAGGCAGCGACCAGTTTTTCCCGGCTGATCTGGTCCTTTTGTCTATGGGTTTCCTGGGTCCTGAAGACCGCATGCTGGGCGATGAGATTGAACGGGACGCCCGCAAGAATGTCAAGACTCCCCCGGGGCAGTACGCCTCCAACCTTCCCGGTGTCTTTGCGGCGGGAGATTGCCGTCGCGGACAGTCTCTCATCGTGTGGGGTATCAACGAAGGTCGCCAGTGCGCTCGTGAAATCGACACCTTCCTCATGGATACCAGCTCGCAGCTCCCTGTTACTGGAGGTATTGTCCGCCGGCCGGCCATTGACTCTGTCCCTCGGGTAGCGCAGCCTGTATGTGCTTGAACGGTTAATCTCTGGACGGCTTCCAGGTGTTGGGTTTCTCATGTGTCATGCGGACAATGATCTATGAATATTTCAACGCAACCGAAAATTTCGTCGAATCTGTGGTGTAATCGCGGGGGAGGTGCTGTATCTTTCATCACAGTTATCTAGACGATCTGTCAAGGCTCTTTGTCTGCGAGCGAGGCTTTCATCATTTTATCATGCGATATTCGATTCTACTACGTGATCATGGTCTTGGTTTTGGTTCATTATTTATGTTTCCCACGGGGGTGATGATATCTGGTTTGGCTGTCTTCCCGCTTCTTTTCCTTTGTTTACAAAATGAGTGCAAGGTGTCAGAGCGTTTATGTGTTTCTTGAAGTTCTGTTGTCTCATGTTGTACATATTCTGGCCAAGTGCCAGCAGGTGTTTACAATTTAGCCTCCTATACTTCGTTATCTGTCTTGTTGTAGGTTACGCCTATATGTTCGCGGAAACTGACATGTCTATCGTATATCTATGTAAATTTATTTCCTTCCAGCTCATGGTAACAGGCTGTTAGAACCTCTTATGATCATCCCCGAAAGTTAGTCCATGTCTAGTGAGTACTAACAATGCCACGGAGAAATATCCGACTAGACCAAGCGGGGGACACAATCACCTCATCTAGCATATATCTCGCTCAATCAAGAAGTCAATGGACTCGACACATTCCCGAATACTAAGTTCCTAGAATCATTACACCCCAAACCCACCAACCCAACCTACCATGGAACAAAACAACAACACCACCAACGACTACAACCTCTCAACCCCCATATCCCCAACAACCGGCTTCAAACAAAACCTAACATCCTACGGAGACGCACACTTCTCCCTGTTCCTCCGCAAAGCCTTCATCAAAGCCCTGGGATACTCCGAAGACGCCCTCTCCCGCCCCATAATCGGCATCGTCAACACCTTCTCCGGCTTCAACCCCTGCCACGCAAATGTCCCCCAGCTGATCGAGGCCGCTAAGCGCGGGGTGCACCTCAGCGGTGGGCTCGCGATCGAGTTTCCTACTATCAGTGTGCATGAGTCGTTTGCGGCGCCGACGAGTATGTTTTTGAGGAATTTGATGAGTATGGATACGGAGGAGATGATACGGGCGCAGCCGCTGGATGCGTGTGTTTTGGTTGGAGGTTAGTTCTTTTTCTTTTCTCCCCTCACGCCTTTTTTTGTTGTTGTTTCTGTGGTTGTTGGGTGGGGTTTAGTGTGGTGTTGTTCGCTTGGAGGAGGGAATAGGGGATAGGACCAGGCTGATGCGTGGTCTTTGTAGGCTGTGATAAGACCGTTCCGGCCCAGTTGATGGGTGGCATTTCGGCGAATAAGCCCATCTTGCCGCTTGTTACGGGTCCCATGTTACCTGGGAGACATCGCGGACGGCGGCTCGGTGCGTGTACGGATTGTCGGAGTCATTGGGCTGCGTTCCGCGCGGGCGAGATCGATGTTGAAGAGATCGCGGCGGTGAATGAGGAGCTTGCTCCGACGGTAGGCTGCATCTCTTCTGGGGTCCCCGAGTGGATATGGGCCAAGCGTAAGTTTGATTGTAGTACTGATCGATTGTCGATACTATAGGTCGGCACATGTGGTGTTATGGGCACGGCCAGCACGATGGCGTGCGTGACGGCGGCCCTGGGCATGATGCCGCTCCGGGGGGCATCGGCGCCTGCTGTCTCGTCGGCTAGGATTCGAGTCGCGGAAGAAGCAGGCGCTAATGCAGTTGCGGTGGCGCAGGCCGGTCGGAAGCCGCAGGATGTCTTGTCCACGGAATCATTCCTGAACGCTATCACCGTGCTGCAGGCGATTGGGGGATCAACGAACGCCGTGGTCCACCTGATGGCTATCGTCAACCGCCACCCGCAGGCCCAGGGCACGATCACCCTGCAGACTTTCGAAGACATCGGCAAGCGGACACCGCTGCTGATCGACCTGAAGCCGAGCGGGGACAACTACATGGATGATTTCCACAACGCGGGCGGCATGCTGGCGCTGTTGCATACCCTGCGGCCGCTGCTACACCTGTCGGCAATGACCATCACCGGTCGCACATTAGGGGAGGTATTGGACTCTTCTCCCTTTCGGACGTTCCCGCTCTCGCAGCAGATCATCCGACCCTTGTCCGACCCGCTGTACCCAGCGTCGTCGCTCGTCGTTCTCCACGGGAACATCGCGCCCAAGGGCGCCGTCATGAAAGCGTCTGCGTCCAAAAACCGCACACTCCTATCCCACAGCGGACCCGCAGTGGTGTTTGAAAACTCCGCAGATTTAGCACAGCGCATCGACGACGCCAACCTCCCGGTCACGCAAGAGTCAGTACTCGTCCTCAAGGGCATCGGCCCAGTCGGAAACCCGGGGATGCCCGAAGCGGGTCTCATCCCCATCCCACGCAAGCTCGCGACACAGGGCGTCCAGGATATGCTCCGTCTGTCGGATGGCCGTATGTCGGGGACAGCGGGCGGGACCATCGCCCTTCACATTTCTCCCGAAGCAGCCCTGGCCGAATCGCCATTCGGCGTCGTCCAGACGGGCGATTGGATTACCTGCGACCTTGAACAGAGGAGACTGCAGCTGGAGATACCTGACGAAGAGCTGAAAGCGCGCGTGGAAGCGAGGAAGCTGGCTTTGGCTGGCGCGGGTGCCTCCGAACAGGGGCCGAGACGAGGGTACCGTGTTTTGTATGAGCGATCGGTGAACCAGGCGGAGGAAGGGGCGGATTTCGACTTCCTGATGGCTAGGGGGATAGCTAATAGTTCTTGAGAGTAGACAAGATGGAGGAAGTTGTCCAATAGTAGAATGAGATCATACTATAGAACTGGCTTAGCCCTGATAAAGTGCCCTATGCCCTAACCAGTACCCGATTGGGTAAGAGTGAGTCGCGCCCGGACGCGCTCGACGCGTTGGGAGGCGATGAACCTCCGATCAAATCAGATCAACCATCGGCGTCAGACTACTCCATACCTACGTACATACCTAGGTAGACGTACGATTGTTCTGATCGGCTTGAATACTGACGGATTGATAATCGTGCCGGCGACCAATGTGCCGTGTTTAGCTGAGCTGGCCACTTTCTTTCCATCTCATCCCTAACGATGTCCTCCGAAGCACTCCGACCTAGGGGTCGGCCAGCGCGTAAGCAGCCAGAACATCGTTTACTGCGCAACTTGCTAACTCGAATCGAATCATGTAGATACCCCCGGCTCGACGGTTCTGGCGTACACCCCCGACGGTCGCCGCGTGATCACGGGCGGTTCCAACTCGGCGATTCGTATCTACACTGTCGGCCAGGATGGCGAGCCGAAAACAGTTGACGAAGGTGTTGATGGACATATGGGTATCGGTGCTACGGTTCGTTGACATATCTCTTGGGAAGGCGGCGGGGTACTAACGTACAATCGATAGAACGGGTCGTTCATTTTGGGCGCCGAAGACGGAACGGTATGGCAGTACGAGATAGGATCGGGACGAATGGAGAAACTGCTGGTTCGCTGCGCCTTGCCTGTGCGGGACATTGCTGTTTCGAGAGATGGCGAGTGGGCTGCTGTTGCGAGCGAGTATGTCCCCGTGACTGACCTCTGTGAGCCTTATCTTACAGAGCTGACATATACTGCAGTGAACTCACAGTGAAGATCGTCAACATCGAGGACATGACCAAAGTGAAGTACCTGCGGGAGCAGACCAAGGGCAGCAAGCACGTCACGTTCGACCCGAACGGCCAGTACATTGCGGTTTCGTGTACAGACGGTTTCCTCTACGTATACTCGATCGCGTCGGAGGAGCCCGAGCTCGTGCAAAAGCTAGACGGCGTCATACAGCGACTGGAACCGGAGGACGAGACGACATCGAGAGCGGTATGGCATCCGGACGGGACGGCGTTCGCGTCGGCAGAAGCCACGCGCGACATCGCGATCTTCTCGACAGGCCAGTGGAAGAAGGAAAAGGTGTTTTCGGGCGGCCACAATGGACGGATCACCGCCATCAGCTGGTCGCCTAATGGGGCGCTTCTTGCGACCGCTGGCGCGGACGGCCAGGTCCTGATTTGGGACACGCGCACGCAGAAGGTGCTGCAGAGTCATGATTTTGCGAACGTGGTTAACCTCGCCTGGCATCCGACGACCAACTCGCTTTCGTTTACCACCTCCGATGGAGAGTTATTCATATATGATGGGATTGTACAGTCTGCGCACCAGCCTCTGCTGCAGAAACCGCTCCAGGCTGCTCCTATTTTCCCCGGCCCGTTGGCAGAGATCTCTGATAATGTGCGGCGACCGTTGGCGAGCCGACCGAAGGAGTCTATTGAGCGGAGGGACAGGCTGGGGTCTCCTGATTCCCTGGACGATCTTCTCGCCGGTGATCAGGGAATGGCGGACTTTGTCGATGATGACGATGGAGCGGGCTATGCTGAAGACGAGGTAAATGAATTCGGCAAACGGACGAACCGGCATTTGGAAGGAATCGATGGCCACGCTGATAAGCGGATGATCGGCTCGTTTGGAAAGCCTAAGGTGCATCCCCCTCTCCAGCCCGGTAGCACGCCGTGGAGAGGCAACCGGCGATACCTTTGTAAGTGCATTCCACATACCCGTGATGATTGACCAGTATGCTGACTCGCCAGGTCTGAACCTGACCGGCGCTGTCTGGACCGTGGACCAGGAAACCCATAACACGGTGACCGTGGAATTTTACGACCGGGAACTTCACCGCGACTTCCACTTTACCGATCCGTATATCTATGACCGGGCGTGTCTGAGTAAGTGTACTTGATTCCAGCTGATAAACTATGCTGATAATGGTAGACGACAATGGGACATTGTTCTCTAATAACCCCAGCGACGGCAGCCCTGCCACCATCTTCTACCGTCCCCACGAGACATGGACTACGCGGGCGGACTGGCGGACCCAGCTGCCCCAGGGGGAATTCATCCGAGGTGAGACCTAGCAAACTAGACACCAGATGGTTCATGCTGACGGCGACAGCGCTGGCGCTAAGTGATTCTTACATCGTCGCGGTGACTACGAAAGACTACGTGCGCGTGTATACGCTATTTGGCACCCCGTTCAAAGTCTACCGGCAGAAGAGTCCGGCCGTGACATGCGCCGCCTGGCGCGACTACGTGATGACGGTCGGAAACGGACCATTGGGAAGCGACGGCCGCACGGCATCCCTGCGATACACGGTCGAAAATGTCAAGCGGGACGAGATCTGCCAGAACGAGGACGTAGTGGCGCTCCCGGAGGGGTCGGAACTCAAGAGCGTCTTCTTTTCTGATACCGGGGTAAGTGACGACCACATTCATACTAGTAAACCGACCATGACTAACTCCATACAGGACCCATGCATCTACGACACCGAGGGCGTGCTGCTGATTCTCCAACACTGGCGCACTCCCGGCCAGGCGCGCTGGGTTCCCCTGCTAGACACCAAGCAGATGGAGCGTCTAGCCAGCGGTCGCAAGGAAGAGACGTACTGGCCTGTTGCCGTTGCGCAAGACAAGTTCCACTGTATCATCCTGAAGGGCGGCGATCAATACCCATACTTCCCCCGTCCGTTGCTAAGCGAATTCGACTTCCGGGTGCCCATCTCGGACACCCCCGGGCAAAGCTCCGGCGAGGACGCAGAGCGCAACGAAGGCCCGCGGTTCGAGGAGTCTTTCGTGCGAGGCAACGTCATGCTGTCTCTCTTCCAGGACTTACTCTCTTCCACCAATGCGACACCCAGCCAACGTGCGGAGCTCATCCGCAAGGAATTGGAGCTTGACAAGATCCTTCTGCAGCTGCTCGCTGTTGAGTGCCGAGAGGGCGAGGAACGAGGTATGAAGGCCCTGGAGTTGGTCCAGATGATGAGAGACCGCAATGGCAAGATGGTGGAAGCGGCTGTTCGGATTGCGGAGCGGTATGGACGGGGCGTGTTGGAAGATAAGATCCGACAGATGGCGGAGAGGCGACTGGGTGGTGATGATGATGATGATGAGTTGGCTTGAGTTGGATACCAGGATATGATACGCGTTGATTGATCTATACATGCCAAGCTAGACTGGTATTAATGAATGATGGATATTTTATATTGATGCATTGAGGTAAATAACATATAGAAAGAACTATAGATAGGGCAAGTGATGTCATCGCCGAAAAAGGCAAGTCGCACGGGATCGGCCGTCATCGAATCGACTCCGTCCAAACCACTGCAACGACTCCAACCACTCTCACAATCTTGTTCATCAGCTGGACCACCCACTCATCCTCACTACATGGCTTGAACCATCCCCAGTCGCCGTCATCAGTCCGCGGCCTGTACTGACTGCGCTAACCCTTACACCCACCGTCCATCACCATGCCCAAGCTCGTCGCGCCGCCAGCGCCCATCCGGAATCTCCTCACCACGAAAAGACCATCCACATCCCGCACAGTACCCTGCCAGTTCTTCGTCTCCTCGCCCATCCGGCCCCTCGCGCACCCGCAGCACGGCATCCTCCACGAACCCGAACACTGGCAGACTCCCCCGCTGCGCTTCTCCCCGTCGGGGCGCAACCGGAGCATTTCCGATGAGCTGGAGGGAAAGGGCTCGAACGGGGAGCGCAAACCGCCTGATGAGCGGGTTTTGAAGCTGGGGAAGAGTATGCTTGTTCTACTGCTTTGCTGCAGCCGATGTCTTCTCCTTCTCAAACATTTTGGATGAATCCGTGCTAACCAGTCGATCTATATTATAGCCCTCCGAACCCTCTCCCCCCTCCTCCCCACCCTGCTCTTCAACCCCCTCCCAACAGAAATCCTCTCGCCACACGTAACCCTCCACCTATTCCCATCCACCCACCCGCACCTTCCCACAGTCAAAGGACGGACCCTCTACCGCGCCGCGCTGTGGACCGTCCCAGTAGCCTGGAGCGCCCTCCCACTAGTCGGGAACGTCAAACTGCAGATACTAAGCGAGCGCATCGTGCGCGCAGGGACAGTCCTCGATCCTGAAGGGAGCAGCGACAACAACGACATCGGCGACGAGCGGCTCGTCGTGCGCTGGAAGACGGAGCCGCGCAATGAAGACCACCAGCCGTCCTCTTCTTCCGGTGACGCCAGCCAATCCCGCGTGGCGTCTTCGTCCTCTAAACCGGGTATCAACCGCAACCTGAGCGTTCTTCTAGGCGGCGACGCGCCCATCTTCAAGCTCTCCAAGGAGGAGCAGTTCACGGGATTGTTCATCTTCTCGTTTGATGAAGAGGGGAGAATAGCATCTCATACGATCGAGCATGCTGATGATGCGAGGGGCTGGGAACGCACTGCCAAGTTCGTTACATTGACGGACTGGTTGATCGGCAAGGCGAGGGGCTCGTTGGATCCTGCTCCCGCCCCGGGTCTGGCTATGCAGGGTTGTGAGCGGTTCTCTTGGAGTTTGGGGAGGGAGGATTTGTATCATCGTCGATGATTGGGCGTTGTGTTGATGTGTTTCGCTGATACTGTCTTTGCTGTACTGTGGGATATGTGCGGATAGTTACGGAGTACTTCGTGGGTAGATGGGCTGGGCTCCTCTCTTATCTTCTCTTCTCTTTCCATCAGACTAGGCATGTTATTGCTCTAGTTTATCTTGTGGTCCATCTCTGCTCAGTTTATGGTGTCGATGTACGTTATACCAGTGAGGGGTGTTCTATCTATTCTTCTTTTTTTTTTTTCTTTCGGCGTTCTCTTGTCTGACTCGAGTGTATCGAATGTATTTTTTTCTAGCTATGTACAACCTCGTCGCTAACCAGCAGCGCGGGGCTTGATATCAGATACTTAAATATTCTCCTGTCAAAAATGGCAATCCTGGGTAATGTAGTATACATGTTTTTATGAAATCACACCATACCTGCGAGAACTGACAAGACGTAAACCAAAACAAGGTAACAGACATGGCAAGAAGGGGAGAAAGAAAGAACGAAATAAAGGAAGAAGAGAAGCAGACAACAACATCACCCAAATCAATCACACCCTTCACTTCCCATTCACAGCCGGCGACCTAAGCCCCGTAAACACAGCAACACAAACACCCAACATAACACATCCCCCAGTCGTATAAGCGACTTCACGCCCCACCCACCAGAAAAGCGAACAGAACAGGAGCGGACCAGCCGCGCGGCCGACTTGGCCCCAGCTGCGCAGACGGCCGAGCACCGCACCGCGGTCACTTTCCTGCGCTTCGAGACTGCCGAGGCTGTTGAGGCCCGTGACGACCGTTGCGCTGGTTATGGCTAGGAGGCCGCCGACGGTGTAGAGGCCTGTTAGGGTGGTGATGCGGCCGAGGAGGAAGAAGGAGACTGTGCAGGCGAGGACGCCTGCGCGGACGATGATGAGTGGGGGGAGGCGCCGGACAAGGGTTCCTTGGAGGAGGGAGGCGATTAGGCCCATCATTGAGAGGAGGCGGCCGTTTAGGGCCGATGGGCTGGCTTTGCTACCGGCGTAGAAGGTTGCTGTTAGGAAGGGGAGGGAGAACTCGAGGCCGGAGAAGGGGAGGAGGAAGAGGAAATGGATGAGGTTGAGGATGGCGGGGTTGTTGGTGTGTTGATGGGGTCTTGTAGAGGGAGAGGTGGTGGCTTTGGAGTTGGAGGGGTTCTTGTTCGTGGTGGCGTCAATGTGGTTGAGCTTTGTTAGACGCGGATGAGTCTCAGGGAGACAGTAGTATATGTATACAGTCTCGAGGATTATTAGGAACAGCGAGACACCTGCGGCCGTCGCAAACGGGTTCGCAGCGACAGTCGTGATAGTCGCGAGGCCCGCGCCGAGGGCAGGGCCGAAAGTAAACGCGATGCTGAAGCAGGCGCCGACGAGAGCCATGGTCGAGCCGCGCTGGCTGGGATCGCTGATGTCCGTCGCGATGGCATTGGCGAGCTGGACGTTCCCTTCACTCAGACCACCGACGATGCGACTCGCGAGGAAGGTCCGGAAGTCGGTGGCTGCAACCCAGAGCGCGACGCTCAGCGTATTGCCTACCATTGAGCAGAGGAGAGCTGTCCGGCGGCCATGTTTGTCGGAGAGGCGGCCGATGACGGGGGCCGCTAAAGCTTGCAGAAAAGAAAACAGAGAGCCAAGGGCTCCGCCGAGGAGAATTATATCATAGCGAGAGTCAATTGGTTTGGCAAAGGAGTTCTTGTAGGCGTTAAGGTAGTGGAAGATGCGATTCAAGAGGGAGGTCGGCGAGGGGTCTTTGGTTCGGTAGAACTCCAATAGAGAGGGAAATAGCGGCAAAATGAAGGTGAATGAGATCTAGCAGTTCCTATCGTCAGTCCGATGCACGTTGACTTGGAATTGGGAACATACTAAATCCAAAAGCAGCGATGTCATCAACACCTTGAGAATCCTCCGGCGCTGATCCGCGGCTAGTACCATGGTTGCGGCGGAGCTCAAGATTTGGTAGTGATAGCGAAAGGGGTAAAAGAAACCAAATGAGGGAATATGAAAAAAAAAGATCAATCAATCATGAGGATGGTTGCGCCAATGGACTGCTCTAGCAGGAGATTCAGGAGGGGAGATGTGAAGTCGAAGAGATGCAGGGGAAGATGACGATGTGATGGACCCCGCTTACATAATGCGGAGATAGTATAAGTCAACTACGGCATATCCAATATAAATGACTACACGGCATATAGAGACCTCGGTATATACAACCGACTACTGATCTAGCAAGACGAGATGCGGTCGAATCCCACTACAGGGTTCTTCCATTGTCTACCACTGTGACTGACTGTTGTACACCGAGGTCCGTCCCCGTCCGTCCACCCAAATGTGAACAAACCCATCTCCACGTCCAGTGCCCCTCCCGCCATATGTCATGAAATAAAGTACAGGAGAATGGAAATATGTGTGAAAAGCAGATAAGAACGGTAGTCCATACCGCCCAAAGATAAAGGAAAAAAATGTCAAATATATGCACGCTGAATAACTGCGAAACATGTACAACGAGGACTTTTGGGACATCCATGATCCAAAAGAAAGATGCAGAGCGAGGAACAGAAAAAGACACCACGGTCCGTTGCCACCCGCGCGCTGCGACTCCTGCTGTAGACCTTTCAGGAAATTCATTGCTTTCGTGAACCATAACACCACTGTGACCCATAGCCTAATTAAGATAGTGACAGTTAGAGGGAAGTCGCAGAGTACATGAACAGTGCACCTGAATGGCGAGCCCGTTCGGAGAAAACGGAGGCCACCCAGAGTGTGGAGACGAGGAAGTCGAAGCGACCTGGCACCGAAGCCTCCCCCAGTAGCAAGTCAACCGCAAAATTGCCCCCCTTTATTGGGGTGCAGTAGGGGCGGCCCCAGGAGAGTTGGCGCCGCCGCGTCCACGGCCACCTCGACCACCACGACCGCGGCCTCGGAACTCACCGCGCCCGCGTCCACGGAACCCATCGCCTCGTCCGCGGCCGCGGCCACGGCCACGGAAACTGGGTTGCCTCTGGTGGGAAGCTGCCCCAGCGGGTTCACCGCTCGGGGGGTTGGGGGCGGTGGCCGCCTCGGCGCTTTGGTTGGCAGCATCCGGAGCGGTGGTGATGTTACTGAGACCAGCGGCAGCTGCCGCGGGGGTGGCCTTGAGACCGTTTTCTGTTTCGGCAGGGTCACGCTGCACTTCAACCCAGCTGTCCGTGTTCGCAGAGGATGCGAGCGAGCCGGGGGCATTGGCATCCCAGTTCTTCTCCGCGACCTGGTTAGCCGCATCGGAGACAAGTGTCTGCGGTGGGGGGTTGGTTTGAGACGCGTCGCCCGTTGCTTCGCTGGCGGGCGTGGCCTCGGTGCCATAGGATGCATCCTGAAGCTCGGTAGATGCTGCATTGGCCACCGTGGGGTCGGAGGCAGGTGCACCGGTAGTCGCCTCTGCCGGAGCATAGCCTTCGGAGATCTGCTTCACCTTACCGTCTGGTTTTATGACAGTTAGCAGCCAGGGACGGACATAGGATTGGACGGGCATGACTCACAGGTGACATCCAACTGCTCACCCTCAACGCTCACGATCTTCTCATCCACGCCACCAATCAACTTCACCATAGACTCGACGGCCTCGTTCGATCCCCCGTAGACCTGGTAGAGAACGCCCTCAAATGCGCGGCTCTCACTCGAAGTCTCATCGCCAGAGCGTCTCATGGCAGCAGCAGAACAAAGGAACTTGCTCAAGCTGAGTAGACGGCTCCGATACTCCTTCTCGCGGGTCTCACGAGCTTCCGCGTTGGCGGCTGCGCGAGCGGCATCCAACTCGGCCTTGTGAGCCTTCTCGGTCTTCGTCTTCTGGGTGGTCAGGCGTTCTTCATAGTGGACCGCAAACTCCTTGTAACGAGCGATCTGCTCCTCATATTGAACAACGGAAGCTTGCAGGGCCGGCTTCTTCAGCACCTGGGCCTTCTGATCGGTGTTGATCTTCTTTTCAGCGACCAGCTCATCGAGCGATTTCTTGGGGTTTTCGGCGAGGATGCCATCAAGCTTGGCGGTAGCGTTCTATTCGAGCCGAGCGTTAGTTATTGTTAGGGTAGACCGAGAGGACGGTTATTGGCGACGAACCAGTTTCTTCGCGGCGTTGCGCAGGCTCCTAATGGAAGTCCATCCGTTAGCGTCATCTTGACGGTAGATGTACCCTATCAGGTAACAAGCTTGAGGGGGAATGACGCACCTTTGAAGATCCTTGAAATGCGGGAAGTCGAGGTTGTCCAGGTTCGCCGCCGCGCTGGAGGGAGACGCTGGAGTTTGCTTGAGCTTCTCCGACGTCGTCTCGGACGGTGCTGGGGACTTGCTGGGGACAGGAGCGGCGGCCATGGTGTGTTAATGATATGCGGTGAGTCAAATTGGGTCACCTAGAGATATGGGGGGTGTGAAAGATGGGGATCGATCGTTGAGAGAGTTCGTAAGAGTATAGAATATTCAAAAAAAGGTGAAATGACCTAACGGACGAAGAAGAAGAAAACAGGAAGCTGGGGAAGTGGAAGTTGGGAGAGAAAGGCTGAGGAGCGGAGAGTAGATGCGGGTGGAACTTTTCCGAATCCCAGAAGCGCCGCCTTTGTCGCGTGTCGCTGCTTTGGCTTTGCTTCTTGACCAGCCCAACCATCAAACAAACCAATCACTTCTTTATTTCTATTTGATCTGTCTACTACCCTGTATTCTTCCACTACGCTCGTGTTCTAGTCGCTAATACACCTTAGTTCCAATTCAAACACCATCATATGGGAGAAGCTCAACACTCTCCTCTTGGGTATATAGACAATCCAGAATAAAATCAAACGCCAAACCCCTTTCGCCATTTATAAAACATCACAATCACTACAGAATCCATCCTGCAAATGCGCGCGAACTGGAGGAATCGCTCTGCAGTTCAAACCCAGGGAACGCGACCCCCTCCAGACACCAGAAGTCATCAACAAACAGGGTCTCCCTTCTAGCCTTTGAATTTCCGCAGTGTCCTCTACAAGCCAAGATTTGAAATCGTTAGTACCGTAAGGGAGTGAGTCGCATGCGCGCTCGAGCCAATCAATCAATCCACATACCTCCGTCACCTTCCGCACTGCATTGGGGGAGATGTGCTTTTCGCCAGACTTGCGCGATCGGATGGCGGACTCGCGCATCAATCTGTACAATCAGGATATATTAGGCTGGTTTCTTCTAGTTTCGTGCGCGAGTTGCAGGGATGCGAAGAGTTGGGGGATGGCTGGCTATAGCGTGACTTACTCTTGCATGAATAGCATGTAATCCAGGAAGATCTGAGTGGAAACAGTACAGTCAATAAGGAGTGAAATGGGCAATTCATGACTGGGGTCGCAATCGTACCAGGATGTCGGCGTTCTTGCTCACGTTGCGATTCGATTGCGCCTTGACGATACGCTTTACTGTCGCGCGGGGGTAGAGCTTCTGGGTTGCTGCCATGGCGGATGCGACTGTCTTTGTGCGGGAAGGGATAACGTGTCGGCAATTGAAATAGCAATGGATGGGATCGCCTGATGTATTGTCGACTGATTGATGGACCAGACTGAGCAGAAACTTGGCAAGTCGCTTGTTGATAAACAGTTGGAGATGGAGATACGAAGTCATGTTTATGTAACTGCGTAATACCGCACTACCAGTCTGGGGAACTCAGAATGTGTATTTACCAGACAATACCAATACAACAGGTCTATGACAAATTTACAGGTGTCCGCAATGACCCCACATGCAAAATAATCGCAGAGCACAGGGTTCACCGGGTATAGAAGCTGTTCTAAACATTACAAAGAAGATGTCCTGCCCAACCTGGCTACCGTCGGAGTAACTTCCACGCGGTATATCCGGCCACAGAGCCCAGAGCGGCTCTCCATGCAAGGTAGATGTAGATGGCCGTCCGAAGTCGGTCATAATACCCCTTGAGCATGATCCCTACAGCGTATGCATTCCCATCAGGACTCCGGTCCGACGATCCGTAATATCGACCCACCCCAAGGCCTCCGATGCCGACGTGATTGCGCTCCGACTCCGCATCCATGATCTCCGTGACCGGTAAGGCAGCCGTCTGGCCGTCCACAGCCGTGTTGCTAGCTCGTCGTCCAGAGCGTACTCGGAGAGTGTTTTGCTTGCGCAAGCGGTATGTCATGAGACTCACGATCAGTCGGAGATCAGGGGTGGTGAACGTGGGATACTTCCACAGCGTCACCGCCGAGTGTGGCGGGAGCATGTCGAGAAAATCGGCCAAGATACCGAGGGTCAATCCCCAGAGGAGAAGTGGGGGAGCTCCTTCGCTGGAGCCGCCCTGGTGACCCCCGCAATGTGCTTTCCATCGCTGGAACCAAGGGGTCGGGCTGAGTTTAGTGTCGGTGGGGATGAGTCCAGGGGTAGTGTTGCTGTACAAGCTCTCCGTCGAGACCAATCGGATGGCCGAGAATTGCATGAGGCCCATAATAGCGCGGCAGGCAAGGCGGGTTGCGAACCCGCCCACGGTGGGCAGCCGCTGAGACATATCGACATACTCCACTGTGCGCAGTGCCGGGGAAAGAAGGGCCCGGAGAGGGACCCAATGGGTTGATGCTACTTCGGTGGGTTGTAATTTCAACGAGGGTGATTCGGGGCTCGTCAACAAGAAGACAAACGGGCACAGAACCATCAACCTTGTCCATCCAGTTAATACTACATCACCGATAGGAAGGTTTCAAGAGAGACATACGGAACAGCGCCCCAGCTGGTGGTCACCACCCGCTCAGGGAGATTGCCAATGTATATACAATTGTTTGGCATCAGGTCCAGCCCAATCTCTTCCGAGGTCTCCCGGATGGCCGCCGCTCGATCGTCCGCATCCTCGGGGTCTCGTCTCCCTCCCGGGAGCGCAACATGGCCGGTCCATCGGTCTCCCACGCGCGAAGCTCGCTTGATAAAGACGGCTTCTGGATCTCCGTTTTGCACCCAGGGTTGTGAAAAGAACGTATCGAGTTGTTGCTTGGTGGACGTGGAACTATCCGGCGACGGGTTGAAAGATGCGTCGGGCCAATGATTATATGTCGGACGGACTCGTAGAATGAGAGCGACGGAGGCGCGCTTCTTGCATGACGGGGGGTTAGGGACGTGAGGATATGGGTGTCGGTGCAAATCCACCAGCACGTCGTGGAGGGAGTTAGATATAGGTTCCATTATAGGCGGTCAAGTATGAAGCCGAGGTAGTGACCGAATATTGGCTGCGTACAAGGACAGTGATGTGGCTTTGGATTGATGATACCAGCGCAAGAAATGAGAAGTGACGAACACAATGAGTGTATAATAGGAAGTAATAGTAGTTATATCCAAAGAAAGAAGAAGAATCTAAGCTATACAGATAAGAAAAGAAGCATAAGATGGTGTTTGCCCGGAGTACCTCCGCAGTCCGCACTCTGGTACGCAATGGAAACCGCGGTGAACTTGATGGATGAGTCATGATCTTGAAAGAATAGGGTCATGTATCCGTATTACACTTAAGTACGGTATCGATCTGCATGAGCCAAGATCGGCCAGGGCGGTGGGAGGCAGCACGTGCCCTCCCTGGGCGCAATAAGAGGAGCCAATTCCTTCAGGCTAACCGGAAAGTATCCAGACAGCTCCATTCATACTTTCCATCTTAAGCTACATCTTTTCGTGATTCTCTTTTTTTTTTTTTTTCTTTCATCTTTCTTTCCTCCTGTCTCTTCTATCCATTCCATTTCAAGCTGTCTTTCTTTCCCTCAAGTGTTAAATTCATGGTGTACTGACCTATCACGACTCCACAACCAATTGACCAGCCTTCCTCACTCCACCACACTTAAATAGCTCGAGTTCGGTTTTAAACGAATAAGTGCTTTCATGATTTGAACATGCGGTTCGGGAAAACTTTGCGAAAAGCTGTCTACCCTCCGTGGAAGGGCAACTACATCGACTACCACAAGCTCAAGGTCCTTCTAAGAGAAGATGATGTCACCGGAGATGCCAGTGACTCGGAAAGCATCCCGTGGACCGAACAAGATGAGGAGGCTTTCGTCCAGGAATTGATCAACGTCCAACTCGACAAGGTCAATGCCTTTCAAGTCGCCAAGGTGCAGCAGCTAAAAGAGCGTACATCGGCGTGTGAGGAAAAACTGCGACCGTTGGCGCCGACGCCCGACCAGAAGTCTTCCGGTGTCGAGGACGAAGGGGAAAGAAAATCCATTGCCTCCGGGGTCATCCAGGAGCTGGATAGCATCACCAAGGAGGTGAGTGAGCTTGAAAAATACAGTCGCATCAACTTCACCGGTTTCCTCAAATCTGCCAAAAAACATGACCGCAAGCGTGGAGCTCGGTACCGCGTGAAACCGTTGCTCCAAGTGCGCTTGTCGCAGCTGCCGTTCAACTCGGAAGACTATTCGCCCTTGGTCCGCAGGCTGTCGGTGCTGTATTCCTTTGTCCGTGAGATCCTCAGCCAGGGCGTTGTGGAGCCGAGGGAACCGTCGGAACCCTGGTTTGGCCAGGACGCATACTCCTCCTTCAAATTCTGGGTCCATCCGGATAATCTTCTCGAAGTCAAAACCTATATCTTACGGCGGCTGCCGGTCCTGATTTACAACCCAGGCACGTCCAAGGATCTGGAGACCGTCGCCGACGACCCCACGATTACCTCCCTGTATTTCGATAACCCGCAGTTTGATCTCTACAACCAAAAAGTGGCCCGGGCGCCGGATGCCGGGTCCCTGAGGGTACGTTGGACAGGCCACCTGAACGAGAAACCCGCAATCTTCCTGGAGAAGAAAGTCGCCACAGACGACAATCACAGCAGGGACGTGAAAGTGCAACTGAAGGACAAACACGTGAAGGAATTCCTCGACGGCGAATACCAATTCGACAAGAAGATCCATCGGATGGAGGACAGGGGCAGCGGGGAGTCCGAACAGGTCGGACCTTTCAAGCACGATGTGAGCGAGCTGCAGTCCTTTATCAAGGAGCACAACCTGCAGCCCATGATGCGGGCCAACTATACCCGGACAGCTTTCCAAATCCCGGGAGACGATCGGATCCGCATCTCTCTCGACACCAACTTGGCATTGATTCGGGAGGACTCGCTGGACCAAGAGCGGCCGTGTCGCGATCCCAGCCAATGGCATCGCAGGGATATCGATGATGTGGGCATGGAATACCCGTTTAGCTCCATCAAAACGGGCGAGATCGCGCGATTCCCATATGCACTGCTGGAGATCAAGCTCCGCGGGAGCTCTGCTCACAACGCCGAGTGGGTCCAAGACCTGATGTTCTCGCATCTGGTCAAGGAAGCGCCTCGCTTTTCGAAATTCGTCCACGGTGTTGCTCAACTGTTTGAAGACTACGTGAACAGCTTTCCCTTCTGGCTGGGCGAACTGGAGAGCGACATCCGGCGGGATCCCGAGACCGCATTCCACGAGGAACAAGAGCGCCTTGCGAAGCGTGCAGCAGACAATATGGCTATGGGTAGCTTCCTGGGGAAGGGCAGTCCACCCGTTCGACCCATGCTGGGGTCGTCCATCCCCCGATTACTCTCGGACACCGGCTCTCCGATGATGTCACGTAGACCGACACAGGTTCTCTCCCCATCCGCTAGACCGTCACTGTCGGGGCCCGCGGAACGTCCCAAGATGCTCGGACCAACCGACGAGCAAGAGCCAGCCTCGCTCTCCCGGATAACCTCTTACTTCCCGTCACTCCCCACGTCCCGCGTCAACCGCGCCAATCAGGCCGACGCTGTGCTGCCACCCGGGGTCCGGGATCCGGGTACATGGATCAAGGACTCGGGGCCGGTCCGCGTGGAGTCTAAAGTGTGGCTGGCGAACCAGCGGACATTCATCAAGTGGCTGCACATCAGCATTCTTCTATCCACCCTATCTCTCGGCCTTTACAACGCAGCCGGAGAGCACAACGATATCGCGCGCGCCTTGTCTATCGTCTACACGGTATTTGCCATTTTCGCAGCCGCCTGGGGCTGGTTCATGTACGAGAAACGGTCCCGACTCATTCGAGCGCGCAGCGGACGTGATCTGGACAACACGTTCGGGCCGATCGTGGTGTGCATTGGACTGGCGGTGGCGCTAGTCCTGAACTTTGTTTTCAAGGTACGCTGATTTTACCCTCGATCCATCCTTCAGCTGCTCACATCTACATATAGTACAGTTCCACACTCGAAAAGCTTCGCGGAAAGCAGCCTGGCGCGGATATGCCGCAACTTGTCGTGCAGGGTGATCATCTCTGATCTCCCTCTCCCCCCTTTTATAACTGTATCATTCCGGACCGAACAGTAAAGCAGTATATTATTGATAGGGTCTGTAAAAGTGGCAAATGTTATTACAAGCATGATTTCTCGGCGTTGTCTTTACTTTGGTACAACCATGCATAATATGAATATGAGTATGATAGCAAGACGGGGTATACATGTCACAGTTTCCTTCCTTAGTAGCTAGCAATAGTAGATACTATACTACAACGGTGGATGGCACGGTCAATAGTACATATAAACACATCTACAAACCACACAAGCCTAACCAAAAAGTGTATCACGTATATTTTCTATTCACAGAGTGATCAAGCAGCGGCGCCCTCTCACCCTCTACTGTACTATCCCGCCCTTCGACAGACTCTGCCACTTCCCCTTCTCCCGGGACAGACAACCTCCCCTGCTCGGGGGAAATGTAAAGAGCGCTCGGGACGAGGTTTTCGAGGGTTGCGCTGTGTTATGCGTCAGAACTTACACATAGATACATATGTACAGTGTGTAGTGGATGGGTATGTTGAATAAAGAAGGAGGAAGAGCAGAAGAAATACCTATCCAAAAACCCACAAAACAACCACAGATAGACCGTGCCCAAAAAGGCAATAACCCACTCTAGGATTCCAGCCGTGCGATACTGCGCGTCCTCTGGGACGATCAGCGAGAGAAAGACGACGCCGAGGGTGAGCTCGACGAGGATGAGTGCTGTTGAGAGGGAGGCACTGCTATCATTAGCCAACACTTACTCCATGTTTATATATCTTTTCCCCACGGAAGAAAAAAGAAGATAGAGGGGGAACATACAAAACCCTCACCCTCGGATTCCTCTTCCCCGTATAACTTTGCCACCGCGCCCCATGACACAAATAAGCAACGGAATCAAGCACCTCATTAGCATACACGATAGCCGTGCAAGCGGACTGGATAGCCAATCCGGCGAAACACAGTCGGAGGAAGAAGTGGTGCAGCGTCTTGTACCGGAAGGTGTCCATTACGCCGAGGAGGATGAGCGCCGTGCTGGCTGTGCTGGCTGCGAGGATGGCGAGGAGGGAGATGAGTTTTAGGGTGCGGGTTGTGGGGTCGTCTTCTCTTTCTTCGGATTCTGGGGGTTCCTCTTCGAGGATGTCGTGGCTGTCGATGGGCTGATTTGGGGTTATAGAGATATGGTCATCGCTTAGGGCCCTTTCGAACTGGGGAGATAGCACGGGGGTATCTCTCGCTCTCGCTCTCGCTCTCGCCCGCGCCCGCGCCAGAGCAAACCCGGGCTCATAGTAAACGACATGAACAGCAGCGACAGTCAGTAAGAACCCCACAGCAGTCATAGATGTTCCAATCAAAAACAGAGGTTTGAGCTCAAAGGACGCAATATCCGAAATAAACCTACAATCCTATCAGCCGATCTGCCTACCCCAACGCACTTAAGAAGGGCGGCACAAACGCAATATGCGGGTTACTCTGCCCCGGATACCGGGGCATGCCACGGGCAATCCACGTGAGAAGCAAGGACGCCAACGTCAAGAACCAGACTGAACCTGCTAGAGCGGGGAAGAGGGGGAGTCTGGTTGGGGGGACGTCGAGGATGATGGCGTGGAGGAGGGACCAGATTGCGTTGTGGCATTTGATGAGGAGGGATTCGATCATTGATATCCTGTCCTGTCTATCCGCTAGTACCGTACCGTGTAGGGAAATGAATAGGCTTTTTCTTATTTTTTCTCTTTCTTAACATCCTTGAAGATAGGATCATATAGAATTAATAGATTGATATCGGTATCTGATAAAGCTTCCCCGGATTCGATCCCAGTGCCGATCCCGAGGATGATGATGTCATGGTGGGTCTGCTGTATAAATGCTGCTGACAAATTGATCATGATATCCAGACTGATAGACTGTATAAAGCATTTCAAGTATCTTGCTTCTGTCTACTCTGTTCAGACCTATATCTAGATAACTAGACTATAGAGCACCATGATCAACTTCAACATCTCCATCGTCTCAGACGCCGTGTGTCCCGTACGTTTCCGCCCTTCTCACATCCTATAACATGAATAAACAACACACCAAAAAGAACAAAAGAACCCCCATCCCTCCTCTCTCAACCTATAAGAATTAACCAAAAACAAACAGTGGTGCTACATCGGCCTCCGCCGCCTCACCAGCGCAATAACCAGCTACAAAGCCACCCACCCAGCCTCAAAATTCACCCTCACCTGGCACGCCTTCTACCTGAACCCCACAGCACCGGCCTACCCCGGCTTTCCCAAAACAGAACACTACTCCGCCAAGTTCGGTGCGGACCGCACGGAGGCTATCTTCGCCCGGTTGGCGGCTGTTGGGAAGAACGAGGGGATCAATTTTCGGTTTGGGGGGAGGACGGGGAAGACGAGGGATGCGCATCGGTTGGTGTGGTATGCGGGGGGTTTGGAGGGGACTTCGTCTGCCACCGCTCATGTCGTGGAGGGGAAGGCGGACGGGGAGATTGGCGGACTGCAGACGAGGGTAGTGGAGAAGTTATTCAAGGCGTATTTCGAGGAAGAGAAGAACATTACGGATCGGGGGATACTGGTTGAGGCTGCTGCGGCTGCGGGGTTGGATACCGCCGCTGTGGAGAAGTTCCTAGCGGGTGAGGAGGGGGGTCAAGAAGTGGATGCGGAGGCAGAGAAGGCGCGCGGACAGCTGGTATCCGGTGTGCCCTTTTTTACGATTCAAGATCGGTATGTGGTTGAAGGGGCGGAGGAGCCGGCGGCTTTCTTGGAGATCTTTGATAAGGTGGCAGCGGAGCTGTGATGGGGTTGGATTGATTCTAGCGAACCCTAAGTAATTCGACTTAGCCTAACCTAGTCTAAGGGTACAATCACTTGTCTTTCGTTGACGGTGGGAGCTCGCTCTCGTGTTATTCGCCCTGGCATGCCTTCAGGGTATGTCCAGGACTGGACGAGATCATATCCCACGGAACCTCCAAACAGCGTACAAATCTTGGGAACGCCGGTAAAATGCAAGATCAAGACGCGCGACCGTACAGATAACCCCAAAAAGACAGAAAATAAAGAAAGCGAGAAGGAAAGAAAGTAAGGGAGAAAGAAGGAAGACACGCTGGGTTGTCATCGCGAGATAGGTCCCTCCGGGAATGACGCCAGACCACGAGAACAATCGATAAAGGGTACATCAGGTCATTAACAGTCATTACAAACACAAGACATCGGAGATGGATGGAGATCCGGTTAATAAGCACTCGACTGGCGAAGCTTGAAGCCCGGAATATAGTCAAACCAGTCCTTGTCGGGATTGTAGCGGTACGCGCGGAACTCCACCCCATACGGCTTCGGCTCCAACATGTACAGCATACCCAACGGCACGTCCAAGTCGGCCACCTCGTCGCGCTTGAGGCCCAGGAAGTACGCCAGCAGCACACGGGAACATGACCGGTGAGTGACGAGGAGCACGTGGTCCGTCGTGCGCTCCACCTCGATGATCACCGCCCGCAGCCGGTTGATGACGTCCAGGTATCCCTCGCCGCCGGGGCCGGGATACCGGTAGAAGAGCTTGTTCTTCTTCCGCGCCGCGTACTCCTCCGGGTACTTCTCGCGGATCTCCTCGTAGGTCATGTCCTCCATCTTGCCGGCGTAGAGCTCGTCGAGCATCTTCATCTGCTTGACGTCGTAGTCTTCCTCGTTGAAGTAATCCACCGTCTGGATCGACCGCTTCAACATCGACGACCAGACGCAGAAATTGCGAGGCTGGTCGCGCGGGATGTACGACGGATTGGGGGGCGTGCTGTCGCCGGGGCGCGGGGGGAATTGCTGCATGGCTTCCTTTTGCCGTTGGTGGGACTCCCATTCCTTGCGTTTGGAGTCGATGAAGCGGCTCAGCGCCTTTCCGTACCGATGGCCGTTCTCGCTCATCTCGGAGTCGCCACCGATGCGACCGGCCTGGTTGTCGTTGCTCTCCCCATGCCGGGTGATCCAGAGCTGACGCGGCGAGAGGTTGAAGTTCAGCAAGTAGTAGACAATCTGGGACGAGAGGAAGCCGTGGGTCTGATGCGAGACGACCTTGCGACCCACGTCGATCATCTGGATATACGCCATATTGTGGCGTTCCTCGTATTCGCCGAGCGGCACGTACGACTTCTCGTACAGTTGGACACGCTTTTTGAAGTCTTCCAGGGCCTTGACCGGGTCCTTGTCTCGGTAGTCGGGACCCGACAGCTTCAAGCGCATGTTCCCCTCCAGCAACTCCGGATCCACGCAGCTGCTCTCGAGGAAGAGGATGTTCAGCTGAGGACCCGCGCGCTCCCGAATGTGATCGACGATCGCCTTGCGACGCTCCATGGTGCTGTTGGTGGCATCCAGGATGCCCACGCTGCCGCCCTGATCCATGACGTAGTCCAAGAGCTCGTCCAGCGTGTCGAGGGCCACCAACTCGCGCACCCGCACGGCATCCTGATTGTTGGGGTCGAAGAATTCGGCGGACTGCTCGATGGGCTCGGGAGGACCGTCCATGCCTTCTGGGCTCTCCATGCGCTCGGGAGCTGCCCCGCCCGTCGGCGGTAGGACGTTGCTGGGCTCTGCGGAGACGGCTTCTTCTTCAACTTCGGCCTCTTTGCCGTTGACCAGGATCTTCGCCTGGGCGAAGGGAATCGAGGCGCGTTGTGGATCGATCTCGGGCGGGGAGGTCTGGCGGCGGGACGGCGCGCGGTTCTTACTGTTGACGCTCACACTCAGGCGACGCACGGAATCGATGAGATCCTTGTGCACGGAGCTTTTCCGGTGGTCGCGCGGCTTGGCCGGGGTGGGGGACTTGCCGGCCGCCACGCGACGCCGTTCACCGACGTTGAAGATCTCGGTATCGTGTTGCAGCCAGTTGAGATAGCGGGCCAGCTTCTTGGTGACGTAACTCTTGCCGCGCGCGGGCAGACCGACCATTACAACCACCAGCTTCGAGCCGAGATCCCGCTGGGCGATACGGCCATCGGGAGATACTTTGGATTTGGTGAGACCGGGGATGTCCAGCGTGGTGGCACGCAGACGGCCCGAGCCCGGCGTGGAGGCCTGGTTGCTGGCATTACTAGGGAGAGGGCACGGGTCAGCATCCTCGCTTGTCACCTGAAGACAGAAGATGTGGAGACCGGAATCACAGGGAAGATGGAAATAGAGAGAATGAATTGAGTATGAAGAATGCGGAGTTATTGACGCTACGAAAAGAAAGAGCACACAGGTGGGGGAAGACGGGTTGCGTGCGGAATCAGACGGACCATCAACCGCTGATCCGTTTCACAGTGAGGGATCGACCTTGTCGAATCCGGCAGGACGAAGAAACAAGAGGAAGACAACGGACAAGTGCCTGACGAGGAATGACGTGCGTGTACTTACATCTGCGGAGACGACGGAGCGGTAGAAACCGGAGTATCCGTCAAGGCGATCCCCACGCCCTCGTTCGCCGACGGGGGTTTGAGGCTTTCGGAATGCAGTTCGTTCCCTAGCGCTCGACCAGCCACGGTCTTGGACGGGGGCATCAGCGAGGAGTCGTGGGCCCCATCCGGCCTAGGCTTTCCGGTCGGAGGCACCCCATTGGAGGTAGCGGAGGAGGGATCGTGAGAAGGACTGGGATTGGTAGCATTCGACATGATTGCAGTCCGAGCGATGTTGCTATGTTGAGCCATCCCCAATTGGGTGGCGCAGCACTGCAGCAACGACGTAAGAGGGGTGAGTTGGAACGAGTTCCTGCACAGAAGCAGCAAGAACTTGAAAAAAGTAAATAAAGGATATGTCGACCGCCAGGGTGTACGCAGAAAGCAGGGAATCTGGACTTTCAGCAACGACTGTCTAACGGTAAGACTGATCGAGGTGGGAATCAGAAAGATGAAAGGAAGAGGAGGAAGGGAGGAAAACAAGGGAGGGGAAGAAAATGACGAGAAAAGATCCAAAGATCCACGGCGGGCGGCGGGATGACTCAATGTTGAGCTCCAACACCAAAAACTGGCTGTGAACGGAGCTGGTTCAATCCACCACAATTCGGTTTAAAAGATTGAGATCACAATGAGATAATTGCTTCTTTCCCAAGGGGTATCAATAAGAACCAGGAAAGCACCACACAAACCGAGTCAACAGTGGTGGTCGAGTCAACAAACAACGTGATGCTCAAGGGAGAGGCGAGGAGGCGAGACAATCATGGAACAATCACAGGAGCAGAAGAGAATAGATATAGGAACCGAAAGATTCGAAAGACTTGAAATATTATAATCTCCCCATCCCGGCTGAAGAAAAACAGCCCACCCGCCCGATGAAGTCACTGCGCTGGACTTGCACGCGGTGGATCTCCCGACGGGCGTTGATCGACCAGAATCATGGATGAATGATGTCAATCATGTCCAAAATGTTCCCGAGGTGGAGTCCACATGGTGACCTCGGAGGGTTTCATTTCATTGCCTTGGATGTGAGAATATCCCTTGCGACTGAATTCTCGACCGTCGTGAGATTCATGGAGGGATAGATAATATAGCATTATTCAAGGCGACTTGGCTTGGCTCAACTGCCCGACAAACACCCGTGATGGTCCAGATGGCTTGGCACATCAAACCATGGATTGTGGAGTTTAAGATCAGGGAAAAGATATAAAGAATATACAGATGGCGCAGGATGAGCAAATGGGTGGTCCCAACAATTCCTGGCCATCTCACTACTAGATTTAGGTAGATGGTTTCCATAAGAGCAAGCAGCCACAGCTGAAGCACGGTGAAGCACACTGTCGAGCACTCATTTAATTAAGCAATCATCAATCACAAGAACCTGCGGGGACTAGGAGAGAATAGACTGGAAACCTCCCGTCGCGACCACCCCTGCACCTGATTCAACCATCATCTTGGCGCCGTGCTTGTCCGGAGGGACGGTGGCTTTTCGTTGAGATCACATCAACGGACTACAAATCTGGGGTGGAAGTAAGGCGTCCCCTGTGTGACCGCCCCCTCCCCTTTCGAGTACGGTGGTCCATCCTCACGGTTCATTTGGCTGGAACCGGAGTTTGTCAACTCTGGCTTCGTCCGCTCCGGTGTCTTGACTCTTCAGCACCGTACCCCGTCGGTCATCTGTAGTGGGCCAAGCCGGGTGGGTCGTCCGGAGCCCTGTCGTCCTTTGTGGGTAGTCTTGGCGCTTGGCAGTTATGCCAGTTACGCATCACTCGTCCAGAGACCCAAACATCGCTATATACAGGAGTAGAAGTAGTAGTATGTGTTTCTTGTCGCCGTCAATGTTGTAATCGCACGGTGAGTCCAATAAGCGTCGCATAAGCCGCGACACTGAGCGCAGTCAAGACGATCACCGCATTCCCACTGGTCCTAAACTTATGTCGATGCACCCCGTCCTCGCCCACCTCGGAGAAGAACTGTCGATTGCCCTGCTGGCGGCGGAAGAGACCAATAACAAGGATCCCGGTACCGTAGATGGCGAACAAGGCACCGGTGCTGTAGAATTCGCTCGTGAAGATCTTCAGCACGACCAGGGCGAAGGAGAACTGCGACAGCGCCGTGCGCACGTAGGCCCCTTCGAAGGTCCGTTGGGCCGCTCGCACCTCGACGATTTCGTCCGACGTCAGGGCCACCGTGCGAGCCCGGTGCATTCGAAGACGATAACGATCCGCTGCGCCGCGCTACAGAGGGTTAGATCGTTGGATGATAATCCCAGCAAGTTGCGGGGTGGCAGAACGAGGGGGATGAAGAACGGGACAGAGAATGACATCGATTCCAACGCACTTCAAACATAGTGACAGTCTTCTAACTGAGTGGCAGTATGTACAGCGTTGTTGATAAAAGGTCGCAACCAGCTAAGTAGGTTGATAGGAGTGCCTGGTTGAGTCAAGGTAGGGTAAACGGGATGGCAGAGGATGAATGTCAGACAGGTATTAGACAGGTAGTAGTAATGTTAAGCGACAATAAGAAAGAAATATGTAAAAGACGAGGCTAAAACGCGAGAAAGACGAGATATCACAGCTTGAGAGAGATGCGCCAGAGCAGATGACGAGGTGAGAATTAACGGACCTCGTGATGTCAGGTTAGACCGTACTGTATCATACTGACTGTATTACAATGTACGGTAATATATATCATTTATCCACGAATCACAGCTGTATTTTCTGTAATCATGACTCGGTCAGCTCCAAGTCACACGTACTAAATACAATACCATACCTACTCTGTACCTCTGCGTGATAACAGATGATTACTAGCCTGAGGTACTCCATCCCCCCATCCTTGGAGTTTCCCCACACTCGGACTTGACTCCGGTCTGTTGAATCGGCCTATAAAGTGGAACGCGTTTGAGGGACAGATCTTTCGATGTTTTCTATTCCTGGTCAACTTGATTCTTTCCCCCGTAATCAAGACAATTGATTGGCTTCTCTTCACCATGGCCAAAGTCTTTGATGCCGCCGAAGGTGAGACTCCACTGTCAACAGATCAACTGAATCCCAACTGATCCAATTGCCTTCAAGTCGCAAAACACAACACCCCCGAAAGCTGCTGGGTCATTCTTTATGGAAAAGTATACGACGTAACGAACTTCATCTACGACCACCCAGGCGGCGCCAAGATCATCCTCAAGCTCGCCGGGAAAGATGCCACCGAAGACTACGACCCCGTCCACCCGCCAGGGACCCTAGAGGAGAACCTCAAACCGGAGCAATTGCTCGGCACAGTCAACCCCGACACCCTCCCCAAGGTGCAAGCAGAGCCGGCGGCACAGCAGCAGGAAGGCCCACCCCCCATGGAATCCCTCCTCAACATGGACGACATCGAAGAGGTCGCCACCAAAACAGTCAGCAACAAGGCCTGGGCCTACTACTACTCAGCGTCCGACGACAAGATCACCAAGCGCTTCAACACCGAAGTCTACCGCTCCATCCTCCTCCGCCCGCGCGTCTTCATCGACTGCACCAAATGCGACCTGGACACCACCGTCCTCGGCCACAAGCTCGGCATGCCCATCTACGTCTCGCCCGCCGCCATGGCCCGCCTGGCGCACCCCGCCGGCGAAGCCGGCATCGCAGAGGCCTGTCGCGACTTCGGCGGAATGCAGATCATCTCGCACAACTCGTCCATGACGCCGGAGCAGATCGTTAAGAACGCAGCGCCCGGGCAGACATTTGGGTGGCAGATCTACGTGCAGATCGACCGCAAGAAGAGCGAGGCCTCGCTGGCGCGCATCAACAAGATCCCCGAGATCAAGTTCGTCGTGCTCACGCTGGACGCGCCCGTGCCGGGCAAGCGGGAGGACGACGAGCGGCGCAACACGGTCGGGGCGTCGGCGCCCGTGCCGAGTGCGACCGTCGCCGCTGAAAAGGCCGGGGAAGGACCCAACCAGGGAGGCGGCGGCGTGGGGAGACAGCTCTTCGCGGGGACGGACCCGTCGCTCAGCTGGCGGGAGACGCTGCCGTGGCTGGCTAAGCATACGCACATGCCGATTGTGCTCAAGGGGCTGCAGACGCACGAGGATGCTTACATTGCGTCGCTGCATACACCGCAAGTGAAGGGCATCATCCTGTCGAACCACGGCGGCCGGGCCATGGACACGGCCCCGCCGGCGGTGCACACGCTGATGGAGATCAGGAAGTACTGCCCGGAGGTGTTTGACAAGCTCGAGGTGCTGATCGACGGCGGCATCCGACGGGGGACGGACGTCGTCAAGGCTCTGTGTTTGGGGGCTAGAGCCGTGGGGATTGGTCGTCCTGCACTGTGGGGCTTGGGCGCTGGGGGAGCCGAGGGGGTCAAGCGGACGCTTCAGAGTATGTCACCCATCACGGTATAGGATTTTCAGTGGCTAATGTGTCTAGTTCTGTCCGACGAGACCAAGACCGCGATGCGGTTACTGGGGGTGGAAAGGGTGGAAGATTTGGGGCCGCAGCACGTACGTCAATACCTCGATATATTGTGTGAATGCAGAGCTAACGAATTTACAGATCAATACCCGTCTGGTAGAGCAGCAGATTTACGATGGACCGTCGGGCCTGGAGCCGCTACGGAGTGTTTTCCGCTCGAGACTGTGATGTCAAGGACGGGGATAGTTATGTCTAGAGTGTGATTCAACATATATATATATATATATCGACATATAAAGCGATAGACCATCAAACAACATCAACCTTTTCCAAGACACAAAGTAATAGTTACCCTTATCAAAGATCCACTGCTATCTTACTAGCATTACCCGAACATCACCTATCTACATATATATGTACTCCCTACCTAGATCCCCGAAAAAGACACTCCCACAGCGTCCCCTCAAAGAACCTCCTCTCCCTCCCCCAAGCATTCACAACCAAATCCCTCCCCAACCCCACAAGCCCCTCAACCTGCCCCTCATCGCCCCACCCGGGGACAACACTCCCAAAATAAATAAAATGAACGCCCACATGGATCAGCGCCCGGAACGCCACGTCTTCGCTGAGACCGGGGTATGCCTCGATGAAAGCGCGCGCGATCCACTCGCCCGCGTCGATGTTCTTGTAGAATTTGAGCTGGTACAGTTCGGCGAGCATCTGGCCTAGGTCGAGGGCGTGGGGGCCGACGTGGGCGAGTTCCCAGTCTGTGACTAGGAGGGTGGTGGTGGTGGTGGTTGGGTTTGGGTTGGAGAGGAGGATGCTGTTCTTGTTGTTAATATAACCAAACAAATGAAAAGACAGAGAGAGGGGAATAAGAAAAGATACATACTTCCCCGACCAAAAGTCCCCATGGATAGGCCCAACCCCTGCCCCCTCAGTCTTTCCCACCTCCGCAGCAGCCATATCGCGCACCTGCTCGAACACAGCGCGATTCTCGCCCAGCAAGCCCGGACGCGAATCCACCATGCCGACTAGACCATCGTAGTTAACGGAGAACTTCAGATCGCGCATGAGATGGTTCTTCTCGAGCTGCGTCGCGAGCGCAGTTTGCGCCGGCGCTGCGGACCACGCGTGGAATGCGCTGAGCCAGGTGCCTAGCCCGCGGCCGATAGCCACGGCGTGGGGCCGGGACAGGGCGTCCGGTGCGCCGACGAGGAGAGATTTGAGGTCTGTGGCGTTGGGGAGACATTCTAGCACCAGGGTGAAGGTGTCTAGATGGGAGGCGAGGAGGTGAGGGGTTCGGACGGTGATGTGGCGGGTTTCGCCTGCGCCATCTGTGTTTGTGTTTGTGGACTCCGAAAAGTGATTCAGTGATTGTAAGGCGTTTTCTTCGATGATCTGGATTATGTTAGCTCTGTATTACAAATTAGGGTGTTGATCGGTAGATAGGGGTGGGTATGATTACACAACGCTCTGTAGACAGCGTAAATTCTCGTTTCGACGCCAAATAGTCCTTGCCATGTTTGAAGACGACAGTGTCGGTGCCATCGGGTAGCGGATGTAACAGAGATCCGCGATAGACAAAGTTGGCGGTTCCTCCACTCAATTTGGTGAGGCTGGTGCAGGCGTATGGGGTTTGTGCGAACTGGGCGAGAATTTCTGCGGAGATTTCGTCGGACGTCATGGTGGACTGTAGATCAATTGATGTAAGTGTGTGTAAGAGGAAGAGGAAAGTTGGCGGGTTGGATGGTTATATACGGGATGGTTAGGGTTAGGGAAATGGATGCCAAGTATCGGGCACTCTTTCGGGTAAGTCATCATCAGCTATTTATATTAAAGTAGATATATACATATTCATTAATATGTCAACATAGACGTATATAAATATATATACAGACTATAACCATGCTCATTCTCCGTATATCTAGATACTCGTAGTCTTGATGTCAGACTGTTATGCCACTCGCTCGTGCCCTGTCTTGCTTCCACGTCTCTATATGTACTTAGTAGCAATGTCAGTGGAAGTCAAGCTTCTTTCTCTGATTTCCTCTCTCGTACGTATAAATACGTTAGTAAGTTAAACCAAATCTATCGTCCACGTCGGACATCCCGAAAACGTAGCACCTAGAATGCCATCCGCCAGTCCAATGCGCTCTAAAGCACCAGGAGTGCGCATCGAGAGACCCACGAAAAGAACCAAATGCCGCGCCATCCTCCGTCCCAGGGAAATCGCTGCGCAGGGAGCACTCCACGACTGGTCGGGCGGCATCTCGCCGTACGGGACACGCACGACAGTCGACACCTCCTTGCCGTCGATGGTGGTATACCATGGCTTCAAAGGCACGTCTGCCGTGATCGAGAGGTCTTGCTGGTTGTCCGCACGGCCCTTCAATTTGTACTTGCACGGCCGTTTCTGCTCTTGTTCTCTGCCGTCGAGACAGGACTCCTCGACGACGGCGTGGAGCTCGACGAAAACAGCGCGTCCACTAATCTGGATCCGTTCAGAGTCTCGATCAAGGACCTGACAGGTCAGGTCCCAGCGCATGGATCCACCATCCATCACCGAGACAGCATGTGTAGCAGGCGGCGTAGCAAGCGCATACGAAATGGGACCGACGACGCTCGCCCAGCTCCAGCTCGGAGCGTAGTGCGCAGGTGTCATCTCACAGATGGAACCCTCCGCGTGGTAGTCCGCTCTCCAGCCCAGACCACTAGGTAGCGCGTCTTCCCATACGCCCCAGAACGGTCTCCACCCCGTCCGCTCCGCAACTCGCTTCATGACAGCCTGAATGGCAGGCAACCGATCCGACGGACGGGTGATATCCCTCCGCATGTACTCCTCCACCAGCGCGGTCCACTCGGCCTGCGTCGCCCTATCAAGCCGCGCAGACCACGAATGACCGGTACACCCGGGGGCAAACCCCTCCCAGACCGAGTGGTGGCGACATTCGAACTTGAGCTCACCCCCAGGCGTGAAAAACACGGTCCGCGCGGACAGAAGTCGCTCCTGCCAGATCCATGCGCGCCTTGATATCGCGCCGTAATCGCCGCCGTCGGGCTCTTGTCTTAGCGGGTGTGATCGCCGTCGGAAGTGCAGTCGCAGGGTGCCGATGCTGCCGGCGGCGCTGGCTTGGAAGTGTCGAGTCATCCGGGACTGAACCATCCGGTCATTTACGCTGCTGGCGGACGCCGCCGCGATGGTCAGAGTGGCGTTGCCGAAGATCTCGGCCATCTGGGCCGACTGCGCGTGGAAGTCTCCGTCGTGGCCCTGGAGGATGCACAGACGGTCGATCCAGACGTACTCGATAGCGAGGTGGCGGGCGAGCATCACCACGTCTTGAAAGAGCGGGGGCAGCTCGTCAAACGCGATGCCGGCTTTTCGGGACGCCAGGGTCTGCGCGGTGGTGCAGCAGGCTGTTGCGTCCAGCGACGATCCCCAGCAGTAGCTGAGAGTCAGGTACAGTGCGCGCACATTCTCCGGCTCGACCAGCTGGATGCGCGTCGCGTTGTTCGCTGCGACCCATAGCACGCGATCAGGTAGCAGGGGCACAGGGCTGTTACGGGCGCATTGGTGCTGGCGCACGCACAAGCTGACCTGGTTTTTGATGAACGCCAGACGATGTTGCATCCCACCGTCGTCGGGGATGTCCTCTGCAAAACCGATGTTGTGCACGAGGGGGGCCAGGGCAATATCTATTCTCTTAGCAGTTATCTCATTGAAAAGACCAATAAATAATAGGGCCAACCTACCACTAACAAGCTTCAGGCCCTCCGGCACGACAGGTCTATAAATCTCGATATCAACCGTCGACTTACACTCCGGATCAACAGTCACAGACCACCCGACATCTTGCCCTAGCGGTAAATGAAACCCAAGATCCCCCGTCGCCTGGCTGGCCAACATCTTGGTACTCCTGGTGCCAAACTGCAGCCTCACAACGACAGGAAGACCACTTGCCAGAAAGATGTCCAGAAAGGTCTTCTCAGCCTCCCACCCGGGGTGGATAGCTCCTAGCACCGAGGCAACAATAGGACAGTGGAAGCATCCATTCCGGGCAGACTCGAGGAGTTTCGTGGGCGTATCGATCTCGACGATGGCGACGGAGGCATCGTCGGGAATCCGGTATTCGGCTCGGGCCCATGCCTGCTCGAATTTGCCGTCATCGGATGGCGCTCGGCGCGGGTCGAGGTTGTAGCAGACCGGACAGAGCATTTGTTCTTCTGGGAAGACTAGGATCTCACTGGGATCCATTAGCGAGGCCGAGAGTGGCTGCGCTAGGAGTCTGCGGATGCGCTCTGCTGGAGGGTACTGAGCTAGCGCGGGGTGCCGCAGCACTGCGTGGGATTTGGTTCCCATGACGCGGTTGGAGAAGGGGGGCATCTTGATTATTTTGCTGCAGCTGTGGTTAAGATAGGTTGCGTTGCGCGGACTGGAGGGAACCATACGAGATTTAATATACTATTTCTACGGTGAATCCCCGCATCTAGCCTACTTAGGCTGGTCAGACTTGTCGGATATTATAACACAGGTCGTATCTAGCTGTTGTTATCATCCTTGACATATCTGCGTGTGATTTGCCTCAGCCTCATCCTGAAGTATCCAATTTATATCGATAGGGTGGAGTTACTTGACTCTATATAGCCCCCAGTGACAGGGCCTATAAACAATGATCAGCATGCCCCTGGGGATTCCCCCACCAAGTAGGAAACGGCCTCTCCTTCCCACTCGCACCAAACACCGCAAACGACAGAATAAAGATAACAATCTGCGATCCGCCATCCAGCGCAGCCCCAATTAGATAATTATACTTGTTGTACACAGCCGGCATACGACGACGCAGCCAAAACTGCGAGAACAAGCCGACGGCAATACTCGACGAGATCCACGCGGTCGTCCCATAGTAGTACAGGCCCGCGGAGGCGGCGATGATAGCCGTGTTGAGGTGGATATCGCGCAGGCGCGGGAAGAGTCTGAGGAGCACCCAGTGGAAGGCGGGGAGGGTCAGGCCGATGAGCAGACCCAGGGGCACGAGGAGGTATCTGCCGCTGGGGCCGTAGACTTCCTTTGCGAGGGCCCAGGTGATGGCCTGGGAGTTGAGGGACTGGACGTTGGAGCCGCTCCAGACGGAGTTTCCGGTGGGGTCGAGGAGGATGGCGCGCTGGTTGGTGACGATGGTGGCCATGACGGCGTAGTTGAGGCCTGCGCCGAGGAGGGTGCCGTAGATTTGGGTGGCGAACATGGTGCGGTGGGGGACTTTGGTGTACTGGCCGATTTTGAGCCAGTTGGAGAGGTTGACGGAGAGGAGGATGACTTGGTGGGACCAGCTGGCGAAGTAGAGGTTGGCGAGGGGGCGGCCCGGGTGGATGGCGCCGCCGACCATTTTGGAGAGCTGGTTGGTGGCGACGCCGACGCCGTAGAGGCCGTAGAGGACGCAGGAGAAGGGCGCGATGAAGGCGCCTAGGAGGAGCGCGATGATGTAGCCCCAGACGGAGAGGGTCGTCTCGCCTTTGATGTTCACGATGAGGCCCGCGACGAAGGCGAGGATGAATAGTGCGAGGTACCACCACATGGGCACTTCTTTGTAGCGGCGCATTGCTTGGTAGTGGGGGTCGGGCTGGGTGTGGGTGCGGGCTTGCGTCCAGGATTGGCGCATGTCTTTGGTGAAGAAGATGAGGACGTGGGCGATGAGGGCTCCGATGGCGAGGTTGGCGGTGAAGTAGCCCCAGACTGTGGACGAGGTGAGATAGGGCAGGCCGATCTCCTGGAGTTTGGCGTAGTCGACGGTGCCGCGGTCGTTGAGGATCGAGGTGGTGGACATTTGCGTGCCGTTGGCGAGGAAGAGCGAGGTCGACATGAATGGGAAGCTTTTGGCGCTCCACGCGTTGCTGTAGTACAGGCCCAGCAAGGACGGATAGTAGATAATGTAGCCGATCCAGGTGTTGAGCTGCTGCTTGAGCGGCAGCGAGAGGTACGTGCTCTGAATATACTGCCAGTCGAGGCCAAAATTCAGCAGCCCCAGTCCTTCGTTCGAGGAGGCGCCTCCGAATATCGTGGCCAGCACCGTGCGAGTGCCCTGCGGGGCGCGCATGGAGGCCAGACAGGCGACCGAAAATCCACTCAGCCAGGTGACTATGTACGCAGGGAAGAGCTCCCAGATAGCGGCCAGTCCCAGCGCCCATCCGAACTTGGCGAGACGCTCCTTGTTGGCGCTGCGGTCGAAGTGCAGGTTCTGGTAGAGCACGACCTGGGGTAGAGTTGACCAGTAGACCATCTCGGAGGGATACACGATCAGCGCGCGCAAGACGCCGGCCAGGACGAATCCGCAGAGCGCCATGGAGAAGGTGCCTAGCACGGCGGTCGTGGCGGACACGCTTCGGTCGTAGAACAGTCTCTCGATAGCGTAGACTTCGACTCCGTTCAGCCCATTGTTTCCCGAGGACGCGATCAGTGCAGCCACCACGTGCTCCTTGATGCCGAACGGTTGGCCGAAATTCAGAAAGCGCAGGACTTTTTGCAGCCCAGTCGATCGAAACCGCTCCGGACGGGGCGTGGACAGGGCCCATGCTTCCCCAAATACGTAAACCAGGACTAGTACAGTGAGACAGAGATATGAGAGTTTAGTAGACTCGAAACCTACGTTGCAAAAAGACCGCCGAGACCTGCATCTGGATGGGCTTGAACGTATACAGCATCGTGATGACGCTCGATAGCGCAGTGAACGCGGAGCCCAAGACGATAGAACGAAAGGTTAGGGCCGGATCGCCATCATCGCGCACAGATACGATATATTTGGAGACATCGGCGCCTGTTCAATTAGCTGCGTCCCGTAGAGGGTTGGGGTGTCTACCATTGCGAATGACCGGATGTCCTTTGACATAGTGAGTATCGCCCTCTTGTGAAGGACAGTCTTCACCATCCAGTTCATGGGCACCATCGACTTCATGGGGCACAGCCTGTGCCTCTTTCTTGGGGTCTATTTCGATATTGTCGGATTTCTCTGTGCGTCTCGCACTGAGACCCTCAACATGGCCCGTCATCTTGACGTGGATCGAACGATGGGCTGTAGACGACGAGAGTAAGTCTGTAGAGAGAACTGGGTGGAAGCGGGGTTAAAACAACAGACCAGGATATCAAGCTTTCCACTTGGAGATAAACTACTCGTCTTCAAGAACAAGAATCGCATCATTGGGTTAATTGGCCCGAACGAGCTAGCTGGGATGGTGCAGGTTACATCCCGCGTTGATGCGATTATCGTGTTGATGATGCGATCGTTGGATACCGGTGATGAAAGCTAACTCTTCTTTCTTTATTCAGGAATACTCTGGATGTTGGCAAGATGAGTCCAATTTCTCTGTAGGTCAGAGCTCAGCAGGACATTCACCTATCCCCAGAAGCTCAACGGTCGTGCTTGTTGACAGTGCCCTTGATGGCTCTAACATCCTCATTAGTCTGCATGTATATGCAAGGATGACAACCTATCAATCCACTCGACGCTTGGGAAATTTTATCCACAAAAGGTCAATCATGTGAGCTACTCAATGGATCAACAGTGGAGATTCGAGTCAAACTGTATTCAACAGTTGTTGATTGAATGCTTCTTCATTGTGGGTCATACTGCGTGAGCTATAGAGGCATGCACAGTTGTCAAGTATCACTACTAAGTGATAGTTCTTACTGATAGCATGTCTATCTTGACCACTCGAACAAAAATACCAATCAGCGAGTGATAGGGTGTTGATATCCAACACTTACAATGTTCAGTCTGGTATGAAAAGTCGATGACAGACATTATATATCAACGGTGAATGCAACCAATTCAAGCAATTCGTAGCCATACCGCTCCTGAAAAACCATCACAAATATATAGACAGATTAACCGCAACAACAAACATACCACTCAAACCCATATCCATCCATATTTACCGAAATCCCTCAAAAATTCTCCCCCGCAATACTAGCCTGCGAATTAGCATGCTCATCCCCGGACCAAACCGGCGCCACCAGCTGCTTGAAATCCTCCACATAAGCCCCGGACATCGGTTCATACCCACTGAAGGGGACATTTCCTGAAACCACGTTCAGGATCTCCATCACGTCCTGACGCGCTAGCTCCTGCTCCGTGCCTCTCCACGCGACGTGCGTATCGGGACGGACCAACACAAGCGGCTTCTCCCAGATGCGGTGGGCGTGGGGCTCGTTGCGGAGGATTACCCGCTTGAGCGGGAAGGCGAGCTGTTCGGCAGCGACAGAGAAGACCTCGCTGGCGGAGGAGTCGTCAGCACCATCAACGAAATGAACGAGTGTCCACTCGCGCCCGAACAAATCGTAAGTGCTCGTCGTGCCGTCCCGGAGGAACACATGGGGCACGCGAGAGCCAGGCCGCGTGCTAGGGACGTATCGCCGCGGGGACCACTCTCGCTCGGGCGAACCATCCTGGTAAATCACGGGCGAGTGGTACCGGAGGTCGAGCTCGACGCCGCGGTCGATGGTGTCCGGGCCGGACGCGGTCAAGAAGTCTCGGATCTGGCGGCGGAGGGCATCGGCCTCGGGGGTGTCTTGCTCGAGCACGGGGCGATCTGCTGGTAACATTGCGTGGAACTTGACGTGTTCCATTGCGTGCCGGTGGGAGCGCTCCAAGGCTTTGATCATCATCGGTCGACGTTCGAGGTCGTACGATCGCAGGAGTAGATCACCGCCGTAGCCTTTAAGAAGGGCTGATAGCCGCCAGCCGAGGTCGAATGCGTCTGCTACGCCGCTGTTCATGCCGTAGCCGCCGTGGGGTGGGCTGCGGTGAGCTATATCACTGGTTAGATACAGTTGACCTTGAAAATACTATGAATTTGTTCAGGGAACGGGCTACTTACCTGCATCCCCAGCAAGAAAGACCTTCAAACTCTCGCTGTGATAGCGTTCGGCAACGCCAAAATTCGGGTTCCATTGGCTGTGGACGAGCACCTCGTCGATTTTGATTTCATGTTTCTGGCCGAATCCGCCCAAGAAGCGGTAGACAAGCTCGTACGGGTCGATGGGCCCCGGAGGGAGTTGGTCGACTGCAAGATGGGCCGTGAAGGTATCGCGACCGTCTTGGTCGAGCAGGAATCCTCCGTTAATGGGGAATGCATGCCAGAAGCGTCTGCCGTTGAGCTCGCGTGCAAGCTCTTGCGATCTGAAATGGACGAGGTGTAGCCGGAGGGCCTGAACATTTAGAACAGTGATATACAGACGTCAATCGTCTTTGAACCGTGATTGGAACTCACATAGGACCCCCAATCATCTTAATACCCGCCTCCTTCCGCACACGACTACCACCCCCGTCGCAGGCAACGAGATATTTGCTCCGGATGACATGCCTCACGCCAGCCTGGTCGACGAAGGTGGTCGCGATCCCGTCCTTGTTCTCCTCGTGGCCGAGGTAGGTCCATCCGAATTTGCTCTCGACGCAGCTGGTCCGGGTCAAGACGATCTCCTTCATCCATGCTTCGAAGACGATCTGCGTGCATCGCTGTCCTGTCTCTGCGGGCTGGCTGCCGTCGTTGTTTTGGCGGATGTGGGCCGTTTGGATTCTGACAGAGGGTTGGTTCTGGTTTCATCAGAAGTCTTTTAATCACATACACTTCGCTGTATATTAAACAATAACAAAGAAATAATAAGTAAATAGAAGATAACATACCCACTCGCCCAAAACCCTCCTCCCCTCACCCAACACCTTCGTAGGAAACACGGAATCGAAATTGGCGTCTATATCGACCGCTCCCTCCAGCGCGCGATACTCATCCGCCAGACCGAGCACGCGAAGGATCTCCATGCTCCGCGTGCTGGTCAGGTCCATCTTGGGCCATTTGGTGGTGTGAGGGTTTCTTTCAGCTAGTAGATGAGGGATTCCCAGACGGTCTAGTTGCAGGGCCAGTAGCATGCCCACTGGACCGGCGCCGACCACCGTGATGGGGACATCGATGTTGTTTAGGGGGTGGTAGTCGCCCATTTTTATACATATATGAAAATATAGACGTAGATAAAGGTGGATTTGTGTGAGCTGAAATAAGAGTTATGAAGAAACCGGGTCAGGGGCTGATCCCAAGCAAGAACAAGAATCTGACTGAGTACATGCCGGATCAGCAAACAGACTGCCAGCTTGGACAAAATACCTCGACGTATCTCACAATCCTCAGCCCCAGCCTCGTCTTTCCAACTCTAATACTATATGATCTAGTGGCTGGGAATCCATCACTGATCGGCCCCGCTTGGCCCCGCTCTGCTAGTTGGGACGATCGATCTTGTCCACTGGTTCGTGGAAACTATCTTGGCTGTCTGTACGGGGTAAAGCATAATCACTAGCATGGAATAAAGTAAAACAGGAGAAATTAAGATCAAATTAGGTGCCAAGTCAATTATCATTTATATCACTGCGAGCAACACCATTGTTTCATATATCTCATCCTCTAACTACTATCTGGTCTTTGGATATCTTATTCTACTACGTATCAACTTCCAACTATATCTAACAGGACCTGAGTCCTTTCTATCCACCCCTACACTTCATCCTGATGACTGCAACATACCTCCTCCCCTCCCCTCTCCCCAGTTAATATACTCTAAATCGACCGTTCCAGACCGACCGACGACCCTTTAGGCGTGCTAGGGCCGGTAATGATCAGATTGACCGGTCGCTCGGGTTCTTCGACATTCCCGGTCCCCAGCATCTGGCCGTCCTGCTGTGAAGACGACGGCTGCACGACGGATCGACCAATGCGAAAGACGGTAGGCTGGGGATCATCACGCCCACCCCCGCGCTTCCGACCGCGATTGTTGGCACCGTTATCCACATTCCGCGTCGCAGTGCTGTGGGTGTGAGGGGTACTCGCGATGGTGACGGGTTCGGAGTCCACGGCCGTGCTAGTGCTGAGGGCGTTGGAAATGGTCCGCGGGAGATTGTATCCGGCTTTTACCAACGGGATGGACAGGCCGTGGACCACCTGGCTGGTTAGAAATAAAGGATGGAAGAAAGAGAAGAAGATGACGAGAATAACTCACAATACTGCAGACGACGAGAAACCAGACGATGATATTCACCGCTTCCGACAGCCGGTGGGCATCTTCACGGACCTCGCCATTGACCTTAATCTCACGGAGATACTCGCGACTGATCGACAGGTAGAAGACCGCCCCGACCCCGATCGGCCCAAAGAACCCCACAAAACCAGCGTGGTAAATGTTTTCGATCTGGTGGATGTACCGATGCATCGCGAAGATGATCGGTATGCGCCGCACGAGCAAGATCAGAATGCCCAAGAAGACTAGCCGATAGAGGGGGATGGTGTCGTTATTGAGAAAGGAAGACCACGGGCAGACTGCGCCAAACCAGATGAAGATGGACAGATTCAGAAGCATGTCGATGGTCGGCTGCAACGAATCGTCCATGGTTTCGAGGCGAAACCAGTCGCTGATCCGTCAGCAGACAGTTCTATTCCAGGGACTTGAGCAACTTACTCTTGGGTGAAGACATTTCCGGCAACAAAGCACGCGAGAAGGTCGTCTGTTCCGATAAGACCGCACGTGCCGACAATAAACAGCTGCAATCATGTGTTAGCAGCGACTGGAAAAGACACAGGCTCGACATACCGAAAGGGCAATGGCAAAGACCAGGAAGCTCTCCCGATCGACATAATGCTTCTCCTCCGCCCAGTGCAAGAGCTCCCTAGAGCACCAACCGACAAAAATCCCATAGATCACACTCAGAATCACCGTGTAAACCCAAGTTTCATAAAACCAAAGGCCCATAGCCTTCCCCGCACCGCCGACCTGTCCGGCGCCTCCCATCCCAGTGTACTTAACAAGGTACATCCCAAAAAAGAGGAACGGATACCCGAGACCATCATTAGCGCCGGACTCAGCGACGATGATCTTCTGCAGCGGCCGCGGAACATTCTTATCGGCGAATTTTCCCTTCACGATCGAGTTCGACAGAACGGGATCGGTCGGGGTCACACAAGCGGCGATCACGAGCGCATGCAGGAACGATAGGTTCGGGACCATCGCCCAGATGACAAGACTGCTACACATCCACATGGCGCTCATGCCGGGGCCCAGGAGAAGAGACAAGCTTTTCCATTCAATCTGGAGGTACCGTTTGGGGAGCTGGACCCCAGCGAGGACCAGCTGGACTCCTAGGACGAGCCTGGTAAAGTACAGGGTGATCTCTTCTAGGTTCTGCTCGGAGCCCATTGCATATTCCGAGGGTCGGATGAAATTCGCTGCTGCTGGGGAGAAGACCACACCGGCCAGCAGGGAGATCACTGGTACTGTTAGTATTGATTTCATCGAGACAAGAGGGTCAACGTACGTGCTTCCGAGAGGTAGAATCTCTCCTTGAACAGGTAAGATACCAGCCCAAAGATCGATATGAACCCTCCCAACGTCGCACAGACAATGTTGAAATTGATCAACGAAAGAGTCGGCATGCTGTTTACTTCTTCCTTCGTGCTCCTCGAGCTGTTTGAATGAGGAACAGGAAGCTCTCCCCGCGGTAGGAAAGGGTTCTACTACCCACAGACAGGCCGGGAAAAAAGCTCTTGGTTAACGTAGCCCAGGTCAATGTGCTCGATAAGTCAATGATAGTATATAGACCAGCACGTGTTATTCAACCATGGTACGAGTGGGATTCCAGCGCAGTGTCTGCAGTGTCATTTGAGAAATCCGGTCGGTTTCTCAGTCTCGTCACAGACGACGATGTCTCGGATCACACGAATGGAAAGCGGAGTGGAGTGCAGGATTATCAGCAAGGAAACAAATCAGGAGTACCCAACAGACAAGATGATATCAACCGTAAAAATCCGATGTTCAGCAGAAGCTGTCATTTGTCATACACATGGGAAGGGGGAAGAAAGGAATCAAGAGGGGAATGTGGGAGGGAAAAACGCCATCGGAATGCGGCCGTGTCCGATCCATCCCCGTTTGGGGAGATAAACTCCAGCTAGTTATCTAAATAGTTTAGAGACACGGGATTTGTAGATTGAATACGAGCCAGACTAATTATCATCACTTCAATGCATGTTTCTATTCATTACAATCAATCATATATCATTCCAAATGTCATCGTGCGAGTATAATATGCCAAAAGTCCCTCCACAAAGGATAAGAAAACCAGTCCAAGATCCAGGGACAGAAATAATAACCAGGAACGAGCTGATCCCCATCCTTTCCCCACTCAAGGGGAAAGAAGTGGGGAAGACACGAGGGAAGGAAAAGTCATAAAATAGAAATAGACATAAAGAGTCCGTCAGGATACCATCATCATCAAACGTAGAATGAAGGAACAACACCAAATACACTGGATAAACAGAGATCTTGCTTCCCTTCCCAGCCCCTTGATCTTCTCCCCTTGCTAGGACGCTTAGAACAGTTCATCCTCCTCGTCAAACGCCTCGTCAGGGATATTCCGGGTGGCTTCTAGGGCCGCTGCTTTCTCCGACACGCCCCGCTGGGCTCCGTTGACTGCTAATCGATCCGCCGCCACATTGCCCGGATCGGCGTTATGCCCCTTGACCCATTGAAACCACGTCTTGACCTTGAGCTCGTTGCGCTCCTCGATCTTCGCCACGATGGATTCGACTAGATCCTTGTTCTCGACCGGCTTGTTATCGGCCGTCATCCACTGGTTGCGCCGCCATTTGATACACCACACCGTCACGCAGTCAATCGCATACCGGCTGTCCGTAAAGATGGTCACGTCCCGATGACGGGGCGCGATGTCCAGTGCGCGGAAGATGGCGGTCAACTCCGCGCGTTGGTTGGTCTGCCGGCCACCTTTCAAAGGCTCCGAGACGTTTCTGCTGGGGAAAAAGGGTTGATGTCAGCGAAGAGTGGTTTAGAATGAGGACGGATCGGCAAGAATGAAGACAAACCTTGTGTCCCCGGGACCAAAGTAAACGCCGACCCCGGCCGACGCAAGTGGTTGGCCGTTCTTCAACGAGCTCCCGTCGGTGTAGATCCGCAACATCCCCGGCGGGCCGGTGGCCTTCAATTTCGTGGCATTGGCCTGGTCCGCCGATCGGTAGACAACCTTCCCGGTAGCAGGATCCAACAACAGATTGGGATCAAACCCATCCTCTGCGCCCGGAGGCAAGGGGCCGTCTCCCGGTTCTACGGGGGCACCTTGCTCGTCTCGTGGCACATCTTTGAGCATACCGGGAGCACCGGGAGCCTGCCCAGTCTCAGCCTCTCGGACAAATTGTTCTGCCTCCTCCCTGGTCGCGAACTTCTTGTACCGCGGTCGGGGGAACCCTTTGATCTGCTCTTGCGCCTTGGCCCAGTCCGTGTACACTCCCGGCGTCCGTCCGCGCTGAATGCCGTAAAATCTCGTAAATTCGGGGTTGGAGGGGCCACCGTCCTGTCCCGCAGGGAGCTTGGTGCCCGTGAGAAAGGCGTTTGCTTCTTCGAGGGTGGGAAACGCTTGGACTGTGAGGCGGACGAGTTTTGTCAGGACCACGTCGTATTGCAGACCCGAGACAAGAGAAATGTGATGAACTTACACACCGCGCCCTTAAACCCAGTCACCTGTTTCAAACACCGATTCCATTCATTGTAGACCCCAGGCTGATAGCCCACCTTGACGGCGTAGAATTTGGCGGCGGTCGTGCGCTTGCGTTTGGCCCCGGCGGCCGAGTTCGACGGCGATCGGAGACTGGGGGAACGTTTGATCGCAGGGCCCGGCGTCGGAGAGGGTGTAGTGGTATTCATGTCGTCGTACCAGGTCGAATAGGGTTGGGATCGCAACGGGCGTGGCCGGAAGGGACTGAGGCGGGGGGTCGGAGCGGGGAGGAAGTCAAAATAAAATATTCTTGGCAAATTGAACAAGCTTCGGGGCCGGAGGGGCTGCAGTCTTGGGATGTAAATCCCCGACCTGAAGCTTATAAATGGACCCTGAAGACCCAGTTTCGCCGCCAATGTCACTGGAGGGAAGGGCGATCAAAAAAAAAAGATCCCGCCGTGATAGTGAGAGCACTAGCCACAGCACTAGGCACAGGGCTGAACCTTTATCCAACCGCTTAAGACCGGTCGACAGCCGCGCAGTTGATCATGGAGAAGACGTGTGTAGGAAGGAGTAGTCTTCAGGTGGTCTGGTCAGTCGGCGATTTGCGAGAGGGGAAGAGAAGCAACGGGCGGGGAGGGAGAGCGCTGCAGGATACCAGAGTTGGTAAGAGGGCATACAGAACTGTAGGGAGGTCACGGCAGAGTGAGGAGGTGGTATGGTGAGACGCAGGAGGTAAGGAGACTAGAATAATTTGTAATATTCCAGAGAGACAATGAGAAGTGGCATTTGAAGTCCCCAACAGTGAGTCTTCAGCCATTGAATGCTGTGACCAGTCTATCCTGAGCATCTCATCCTGGGCTCTCTCTGCTCTTTTGGTTTATCTCCGCGATCACCTCCGGGCGTGGTATCGGCATTACGGTATATTACCGCTGCTGAGATAAACATGCTGAGTCATATTAACACGTGCTTTAGTTATGCTATGTCAATTACTAATATATATACCAATGCAGGTGATCGACATATCAACCCCATATTTTGATGTCTTCGCCAACCATCTTTCTATTCGACGACGACGCGACCACTTCTGTCTTGGCAATGTGTCATAACTCTAAAGGAAGACTTCGTATCGAATACGCAGCTGTCGGCCGTCGAATCACAAGCGTCGATGCCCTACACCATCCCTCTTGTACCTCGTTGCGAAAGTGGAGAAAAGCCTAGGCATGATGGTGATTGTCGGAGAACGTGAGGAAGCCGAGACAAGGGTGTACATTGCCATTGCTTGCTCGCCCCAGACGATCCTACACCTGGAACGGAAACTTTGCCATCCGAGATGAATGCCGGAAGACTTCAAAAGGCAGAGGTCCCGCCCAGTGTGGCGCTTGCTTTTCCTTACACTGGAATCTGATATAGTTCCTCGTGAGCGATCTTTAGTATGGCGTTTCTGATCAATCAGTTGGGCACTTTGGCCGTTGCCATCATCGCAGCCGTACGTACTGCCCACCTCTGTCTGGTCTTTCTTATCCCACTAACCTCATTCAGGTGATTGTCCGTGCGGTGGGAACGGTGATCTATAATGTCTTCTTCCATCCGTTGCGGTCGTTTCCAGGCCCACGCAGCTATGCCATGTCCCGGCTTCCGTACTGCTATCGCCTCCTACGGGGTACATTGCCCTTCGATATGCTAGCCCTGCACGAGAAGTACGGGGATATCGTGCGGATAGCCCCTAATGAATTGGCCTTCTCGACGGCCGACGCTTGGAAGGACATCATGGGCCATCAGGCCGCAGGCACCGAAGAGGTAGGGAAGTGGGCGCAATTCTACCGTGCGATCGACTACGTTCCAACCAGCATCATCAATGCCCCCCGGGAAGAGCACAGCGTCCTGCGTCGGCAGATGTCTCACGGGTTCTCAGAGAAATCGATGAGAGCACAAGAGCCTCTGATCGGGCAGTATGTTGATCTGCTCATCCAACGACTACGGGAGACGTCTGGTGGCTCCAACCCGCTGGACATGGTCGCTTGGTACAATTTTACTACGTTCGACATCATTGGAGACCTGGCGTTCGGGAAAGGCTTTGATTGCTTGAAGAATTCATGCTACCACCCATTCATTCCTCTACTTCTCAAGTCGGCACAAACGGGCACGATGCTGCTGGGCCTAGGCAGCCTCTTTCCCAGACTCAAGAGCTTTCTTCTCTCTGCGATACCGAAGTCGATGACGAGAAAGTTCGAAGAGCAGAGGGAGCTCTCCTTTGCCAACCTTCGTGAACGGATGCAGGCGGGAAAAGGCCGCGAGGATCTCATCGAGGGGCTGCTGAGGAAGCAGGATGAACTGGTCGGTTTGATGTGATGCCGCGAATCCACTGGTGTCTTGGTTGCTGACGTTGAACAGGGACTCACTCTTGATAAATTGGAAGCGAACAGCACCATTTTGCTCATTGGGGGGTCCGAGACCACGGCGACGCTGCTCTCTGGCGTCACTTTTCTGCTGGTTACCAACCCAAAAGCACTGGCCCGGCTCGCCGACGAGGTCCGCAGTTCTTTCGCCAGCGAGGACGAGATTGACATCAACTCCGTGGGCCGGCTCACTTACATGATGGCTTGTCTGAACGAAACCCTGCGGATGTATCCTCCAGTCCCTGCCGGATTACCCCGAGTGGTACCCAAGAGCGGGCGCCGAATCGTGGGCCACGTTATCCCCGAAGATGTAAGCAACCCACGGTCTTTCTACCCCATTCTATCTTCACTTCCCGTCTATCCCCTTCATCTTCGCCCGGAGATATGGAGAACAAACACCCACAATATCTGACCAACCACCAACAGACGGTCGTCGCAATCCACCACTGGGCCACATACCACAACAAGAAGCACTTTGCCGACCCCTTCGAATTCCACCCGGAGCGTTTTCTCGGCGACGAGCGGTACTCCAACGACAACTTTGACATCCTGCAGCCCTTCCACGTGGGTCCTCGCAACTGCCTAGGACGAAAGTGAGTATCCCCCCCTCCTACGGTGCGGTGCAACCCTTGCCTCTAACAAAGCGATATAATATAGCCTTGCGTACGCCGAGATGCGTCTGATTCTAGCCCGCGTGATCTACAATTTCGATATGGAGATTGCGCAAGATAGTTTGGATTGGATGGAGAGGCAGAAGGTGTACTTCCTTTGGGAGAAGCCTCCTCTGCATGTTCATCTCACGCCGGTCGCGGCTTGACAGTGTGGTGAACACACCCTGTCGCACGGTCTGATTGTGTCTAGCTTAGCTTACCGAGATCTGTTCTGCTTCGAATTATATTATCCCTACGTGTCGTTATCCACATACTATAACCCACGAAGTTGGACTCTGCCATACCTTAACACCTACGGGACATCCCAAGAGATCCATCCTATATCTCATGACTAGGGATGCCACATTTCATCTGCCCATCCCACGCGAATCTTCTACAATCACGTAATTCCAATAAGATCAGGAAAGTCATAGAAAATTCTGAATAAGTTTCCTATCACACGCTTTTAGGATCTTCGAGAAAAAACCCTCCTTATCCATCCTAGGTACTAAGGCATCACACCCCCCCTTCGTCCCATTGGCCTAGCTAGTGAGTATAATAAATCCTTTGCATATCCACGCTCATATCATTCATCCACACCAACAAAACATCACCTCCATTTTTCCTTCATTCCTTCCATCGATCCAATCCATCGATCCATCCATCATTCATTCATTCATCCCCGGGGTAGACCCCATACACCACCCGTACCTCGCGATTAGATAGTGTAAAAAGAAGAAAAAGATTAGGGGAAGATGAGAAACCGAGGGGAAAAAAGAAAGGTTGTAAGACACGGTAGAAGGATAAGAGAGGACAAAAGTGACAAATATCCATCCATCGACTGGTCTTTTCTTTTTTCTCTTTTTGATTTCTTTCTTTTGGGAACTCTGCTGACTCCAGCTGACAGAGTTCCAAACCCGGACAGTCAGTCAGTCGGTGCTGTTATCTCCATGTCAATACGTCTATGGGAAATAAGGTGTAAAAAAATCGTGCAATCGTTATACTCCCCAGCCCATATCACATCACCTGGGCAAACACATTTCACATCAGATACTCATCTTCACTCGTGAGCCAATCACGGAGCAGCACGTGTGAAAGGTGAGGTATATAGGAGAGAAGCGGCAATGGCCAGCAAAACTGGTGGATACCGCAAATGCAAAATCATGATCAAGGGAAACGGGCAGAGGAAGTTTGTCGCGGTAGCGGAAAGAAGAGATGGTTATAGGGTATCGCGTGTGTCGAAATCCAGAACAGGGGTAATATGCAGGAGATCGCCCTTTGAGGAATTTGGCGTGTATGAGAAGCAGATAAGTTGGGGAATGAGGCGAAGGTCGCATGTATCATGCATGCTTTTCCCTCCAAATGCAACTTTGTTAGGCATGTTCAACAGTCCTGAAAGATGCATGTCGTATGTACAGCTGAAGTATGAACAGCCAAACCCCAGTGCAAGTCACGAGGCAAGATTGTGTTGTTGTTCAACACCAATTAGACGGATAAAAGATCGATTCAGCCGATTGTGATGAACAAATTTGTCGCTGAAAAAGAAAACATGGAATCGAATGGTTGCGGGCGAAATTTCAAATTTTTTGTTCTTTTTTCTTTTTATTCCTTTTTTTGATGATTTTTCTTTTTTTCCTTTTTCTCCTTTTCCCCCCTCGGGAGATTTCTTTGTGTCTCTGCATTGTGCGGAGAATTGGTGGCTGTTAATCGAAGACTGACCACACTGGATATTGTGTATCGGCAATTCAAAGCGGTCTAGTAGGTTCTTCAAATCATGCAATGCGCTGGTAAAACAATAAGTATGCCACCTTGTTATCCTGAGATCCGTACCGCCCAAGCGGAGTCCGAACCCCGGACGAGGGTCCAGATGGTGCAGCCCCGTTTGCAGCACCGGTAGATTTCTTGCTGGAATGGCCAGATCCCGTGCCATTCACTTGGCTCCAGCCACGCCCACTGTCGGAATGCTCCATGTCATCTTGTTCAATGTGACCGTAGATGTTGTTGATGTTCGGATCTCTATCGTTTCGGTGCTGCTCCAGCGCCGCAGCAATAACCTGAGGATCTTCCTCACCGCCGGCTTCGGCAACGTCTTCGCTTCTAACGCGGCGAATGACTGTGTCGTCAAGGCGGATCCATTCACGACCCTCTTGGCGGCGAACATCGACCGTATAATGGCCGCCGCTCGCGTTCTTGCCGTGGTGGTAGATGACGCCCATAAGTCGGTACTTGGGCAATCCACCTTGCGCCATCATGATGTTGCGTTTGTTGGACGGGAACACCTCGCGAGGAATTTCCAAGTCGAGCGGATAACCGATCCTCTTCCAAATCTTCTGCGTCCCGTTGGTGACGCTATCATACTGGAACCGTTTCAGGTGGAGGATAAGAACAGGCGGCAAGTTTTCAATGAACACCTGTTTCGTTGCCGTCACATTGGGGCCGCGAGGGGAGTTGAAGTCGCCTTGGATACTTTCCGGCTTTGTTAGTCCCTTCAGTGCGTCGACGATGTTGTGAATATGGGGTGATCCGATATCAAGTTGCAGGGACTGATAAGGCTCCAAAGTCACTGAGGTCTTGTTGCCGGGAACTTTAAACTCGGACCTGATTTTGCCGCCAAAGATTCGTGTGATGGGGGATTCCAGAGTGATATGGCCGGATGACCGAGTGACAGCAGCCTTCTGCTTATGACCGACCTCCAGCCAGCCATCGCCGGACTCGCCATCTGCAGCCGAAGCTTCGGCATCCGGTAGCGATTCATCCACCTTCGTCGGAGGTACGTCCTTCGCGGCCCGAGCACATTCCTCGTGCATCTCTTCGAGCAGAAAACCGAGGAACTCCTGGGCATCTTGCTGGTGGCCTCGCTAAAATCAGTGACAAGATGGGTTAGCAAAAGTTTGTGAAACTTTCTCGTATACATAACGGAAGAACTTACGCGCATGTCTCGGAAGCGTGGCAACTGTCTGATCACCTGGTAAGCAAATTCCGGGGTGAACGAGTCTCCATATTCTTCGAGCTCATTCGGCTTTAGTCGAAGCTTCAGTTGCTCTTCAGTCTGCGCAGCGTCAATGACACGGAATTCCTTCATGAACATGATCCTTGTAAAAGAAAAAAAAAAGTAAGCAGCTGGCTCTCAATGATAGTTGATTTCCATCCCAAAGGTGACTCACATGGCGTCAATCATGGGGAAATCGCTCTGGAAGCTATGCGAAGCGCGTCGTCCAATATGATCCAAAAACTGATAGAAAGGCACACACGAAACCAAGATTTGAAGAACCTGGGATGGGAGTTAGCCAAAAGTCGGGGAATGAACAGGTGCAGAGACGACATACAGAATTCATGTAACACATGTTACCCGTATTTACAAGACCTCTGGGCTCAAGGAATGCAACCTTATCGCTGTACTGAGAGACGTCTACTCCAAGACTCGTGAGGACATCCGCCATGGTTTCGGTCTTGACGTTCACTAGGCCATTCGACACAACGGGCGGCGCACCTCCGGTGCCCGCACCTTTGGCGATTGCCTTGTGTCGGACGAGGTCCGCCCACGATTTGGGTGTCGCCTGAGGCGATGGCTTATTGGCCTCCCCGGCAGTGGCCGAGTCTGCTTCTGCCGCAGCCCCGGTAGCTTTAGGAGCCTCGGGAGAACGACCAGCATCATCCGTGGGGGCCTGGCGTGGGGTCGGGGGGCCCGGGATAACAGGAACAACCGGTACCACGGGCACCGCTGGTTTCGACCCCTTGGACTGCGACTGAGACCGCGCGGGGAGGTTGGGAACCGCCGAGGAGGGAGTGGTGGGTTGCGTCGAATTCGCGACTGACGGAGCCGCGGACAAAGCAGGGGTCTGGGGTTCAGAGGGGATCTGAGCCGGGACTTCGCCTCCTTTCGTTTCCGTCTTCTCCACAGCACGATGACTCTGCTGGCCGCCTTTCGTGGGAAGCTCTACATCGATCGATGAGGACTGCAGGTTCCGGCCTTTTCGACGTCTGCGCAGGGTTCTGGCGGGGAAGGGGTGATCGGGAACCGAGAGCCATGGAAGCTGAATCATTGCTCGATCAGCAAACTGAGACCTGGAAAAACCAGGGAAAGAACAGGAGATGAAGGGACCCACCGGTGCATGGAATGGCTCTCTCGGAGGCGTTGAGACCCTGACAGGCGCCGAAACAGGGGACGACACGGCGGGACTGGGGACATATTGCAGCGGAATAGCCGCGGGCGACTGTGCTTGCATCGCAATTGGAGCCGGGGCGGAACCCACTGACGGGGACATGGTCGCTTGCAGGGGGGTGGAATTCCGGGGTTGTAGGGGTGGTGGCGGCATGTGGGCCGGGGCCATGATCGGCTGAGCGGGAGGAGGGTAGGAGGACACGAACATCGGCGCGTACGGAGGTTGAAAGGGACGAGGCGGTTGCATCTGAGGGTATGCGGGGAACCAATGCGGATATTGCTGGGGCGAATATGCGGGCATGTGCCCATTCATGTGAGGAGGGTAACCCATGTACGCCGGCGGCGAGCGCATGTTGGGAGGACCGGCCGAGTATGGTATATCCTGCTGCCGCCGGGGGCCAGACATGGGTGGCTGCCCAAGCGGCATCGCGGGCAGATGGTGATTCATCATGGTCTAGACACGTCGGAAAAGTCGCCTTGACGGTTCAACCACGAGGTACCTCAACGGTAGCCATACGTGATGAAATCGAGGTAAGCCAAAGTTGGAAAAGCTATTTCTCCCGTCTATGCTGCCATCCTAGCTCCCAAGCTAGATCTGCGACGTAGACAAAGGGAAAGTTGACGACGGCGACGGTATGCGGGCGCTGGGCGGGATGATGGACCTGCTGCGGTCTTTCAAAGGAATTATTAACGTGAAATTTGCGCGCGAAGACAGAAAGATCCCAGGAGAAGAGCGTGGGGGGAAGGAGGAAGGTTGAAGTGTGCGGGTGTAGTGGGATTGATGGAAATTCGACTGGGGTGCACCCACCTGCAGTAGGACTGTGGATTGAAAAAGAGACTAGAAATAAGAATACCCCCAGGGATGTTCGGGGTCCAGAGAAAGAATCCAAGGTAAGATCGAGGGAGAAACACGGGGAGGTCTGAGGGAGAAGTGAGATACGGAGAGGAAGGAGAAGCGGTTGGCGGAGAATGAGATGAGATGATGTTTTTTTGGCGGACGGGGGGGGCACGTGCCTGAGGCTGCCGACGGGATGCCAAGCCGGGAATCATACCGTACGATCGCCGTATTTCAGTATTATCGGCGTATTACAGGTGGTATTCTGGTATATGAGGTACGGTTACATACGAAGTATGACTCGCCCCTCCTTCCCTCTTCCTCACTCAAAACTACTACTTATCAATCATCTCCAACCTCTCCTCCTCTTCTTCCATTCCTCGACTGGAGAAGAGATCAGGAAGGGTCTACTCCTCCTCTCCTACTCATCTGGTTCTTCATTACTCCTTTTATTCCTTTTCTTTAGCCTTTTTCTATATCATTTCCTTCTTTTCCCGTTCTTTCGCATGTTAGATTCCCCTCCTACCACTGCGCATATTCTCTCGACCTCATCCCCGGCATTAGAAGGTAGGCTGCTCCACTTCAGTCATTGTTGAGCAATGTCGTCCAATGCTGGCCAGAATTCCTCTTCCTTTAAAGCGTCAAACACCTCGAATCAACCCGTTTCCTCTTCGTTCCACCAGTCGTCATCGGTAGACAGTGGCTCCCAGCGCCGTCCGGGAGGTTCTGGTAGCTTTGGGGCAGGGTTTTCATCGCGAAATTCGAGTTCGCCCCGGCACAATCAGTCTCGGAGGAAACAAGTCAGGCAAAAGAAATCCCCGGAATTGTTGGACGATGAGGATTATAGCGAGCTGGTAGGTGTCCCCGCGCGAATGCGGTCCCGGCTCTTGTTGGCGAGCCCAATGACCCCGTGGGTTGGCTGGTTGACCTAACCAAATCGTGTGGGTACAGGCCATCATGAATTCAACAAATAGTCGCAAGGGACAGACGTCTATCACGCACCTGATGAACTTTGCCCTTCCTCCGCGGCCCCAGTACCAACCCCCGCCACGCAACACGCGCCGCTATGCGTCCTGGGGCCTCGGCTCCGGGTACCATGCCATGGATAAAGCCCGTTACGTGCACGCCAATTACCGTTTTATTGTGGCGCCAAATCGAAATTATTATGCGCAAGCGGCCAACGCCGATGTCCATTTAGACTGGGATTCGGTGCTCCAAGTGCTGGTGTCGGCTCAGACGCAGTCCGCTAGCTGTCCCATCTGCCTGTCCATCCCGGTGGCGCCCCGCATGGCTCGATGTGGCCATATCTTCTGCCTACCGTGCCTGATCCGATATATGCATTCGACGGACGACCACAATGCGGGGCCCGAAAAGAAACCTCGGTGGAAGAAATGCCCCATTTGCTGGGACTCCGTGTACATCTCGGAGACTCGTCCAGTCCGGTGGTTTCGGGGTCAGGAAGGAGATCTTCCCTTTGAGGGTGGCGACGTCGTGTTGCGATTGGTCAAGAGAGACCCTAGCAGCACCCTGGCCTTGCCTCGGGACGGCGCGGAGCCTCTTGGGCCGGGAGAAGATATACCTTGGTACCATGCGGCCGAAGTGTCGGATTATGCACGCATTATGAAAGGTGGGGAGGAGTATATGGCCGCACAGTACGATGCGGAGATCGAAGATATTCGTCAGCAGCAAGTAGAGGATGAGCTTTTGTTCGGGGATGAGACCACCTGGAGCCGCAAGGCCATCGGTGCCATCAATGACGCCAAGTTAAATCTCCAGGGCATCGGAAACCCACCTGACGTCGCACGGCAGCCTGCACCTCTCACGTCACCCGAGGAATCGGTGTCAGTTCAGCCCCCGCCAGAAGAAGCGGTCCCGACAGATACATCACAGGATACTATCAAGTCCGGAGAGAGCTCCTCATCCGGCCATATCCCAACGTCTTCCATCCCTGCCGTCTCCAGCGACATTGATGGGATAACAGAAGCGATGGACAGCACGAACATAGGACGGGGGCGTAAAGCGAAGTCCAAGCAAAGAGATCCCGGAATTGGTCGAGGTCACCTCCCGTCGGCTCGGAACAAAGATACCCACGGACCTCATCCGCCCGATCACCCCTACTACTTCTACCAAGGCCTCCCTCATTTCTATCTCTCTTCCCTGGACATCCGTATCTTGAAAGCCGCTTTTGGTGACTATCCTATGTTCCCGGCCACCATCCTCCCCCGAGTCGAGCACATCTCCACCGGTCATATTGTCGACGACGAGCTGCGCAAGCGCGCCAAGTATTTGGGTCACCTCCCCCAAGGCTGCGAGGTGAACTTTCTGGAGTGCGATTGGACCGATGTTGTTGCTCCTGAAGTTCTACAGCGTTTCAGTTCGGAGATAGGGAGGCGAAGGAAGCGTAATCGCGAGAAAGAACACCGTGAGGAAAAGAGTCGGGTTCGCGCTGAGAAAGCAGAGGACGCGGAGCGATGGGCGACTATCCGCAAGGAACATCCCGGCATCGAGACCCGTGAAACGTTCTTTTCCGACCGTGATTTCCAACCACTGGCGAGCGGTGCCGACGCTGCATCCGTGGATATTGGGGTCTCCGCATCGCCCCCGCAGTCGTCATCTCATCTCGGGGCAAATTCCTCCCCCTCCACTAGCCCTCCAGGATCTCGGACGGTCTGGGGAACCACAGCGATCGCGCCCCCTTCAGGGACGCCAGACCTCCACGCGGGGGCTGTTCCGCATGATGGGTGGCTTCAAGGATGGGAGGACGAACTCATGGCCCAGCGAGAGAGCGAAGTCGTCGCTGAAAGCGCCGCCGCCGCGGCGAGCGATGCGGCTGCTTCCTCGGCTCCTACGGGCGGGAAAAAGAAGAAGAAGAACAAGATCACGTTAATGTCGACGAATATCCAGCGAGGGGCGTAGAGACCCCGATTGATCTTGTTGCTTTGGACTGATCTCACCGCCCTTTTTGGTTTTGATTCCTTTCCTCCTTTCTATATTTACGGTTGGATATATGGCGTATTTTCCCGACGAAGCGTGCGTGGTGTCTTTGAATTGTGTTTATGAAATCATATGGGACCGGAGTCGGCCGGGGCCATCATCTTTGCATACTTGTCTTCATATGTATTTGGTTCTACAGCTCAACACTCTCTAGGCGAGTAATCTACGTAGGGCAGCATCAATAAAACACGACTACTACTATGATTCAGACGCGTAGAGAGTCCTCATGGGAGCTTAGCTCAACCCACCATATCTATGGAGAAGTTGTATAGCGCCGGGGTGTTGCTTCACGGAGCACAATCATCCATTCCATTGATGATGCCACCTCTTTGCTGAGTGAGCAATACCAGATGACAGTCAGAAGCGCGGAAAAGGAAGAGACACGATCTACGAATCTAGGTAGTGTAGCTCTAGGTAGCGTATCATACTCCCCGCACTAAACCCCATTGCACGACAGTTGATCTCCGCGCCTGCAGTTCCAGATGCCCCGCCGACTTACTCAATTCGGTCACTAGACGAACCTCCGAGTTGTACATATCTTTCCCCCATAGGGATCATGTCGTATGTAGTTGTGATAATGAACGACTGGTACATAACTCAGGATGTATTTAACCACACAGAGCTGTCTCCTCGAAGGACTTGGTTCCATCATCTCCGACCCTTCTGCCAACATCTGCGCTAAATTATTTCCACCTGAACAACAGCTATGGCCATCGCAAAGAAGACAATCGTTGTGATCGGCGGCACCGGCATGTACGGCGGCTCAGTCGCCCACTCACTAAAAGACAACGCCGAATTCCAAGTGCTATTGACGACACGAGATCCCAACTCTCCCAAAGCCCGCCAGCGCCGCGAGGAAGGATTCCTACTCGTAAAAGCCGACTCCTGGAGCGCCGCGGAGCTCGATTCAGCATTCGCAAACGCCTACGGCGTATTCCTCAACACCGACTCGGACGACGCGAACTTCAAAAACGAGATCGGGGCCCCCGAGTCCGCCATGGGGAAGATCGTCATCGACGCTGCCATCCGACAGGGGGTGAAGTACTTTGTTTACTCGGGTCTTCCGCAGTGTGAGCGTCTTACGAACGGGGAGGTGTCGATCCTGTCGTTTAGCAACAAGAACGCCATCGCGAACTACGGACGGAAGGCGGGCTTCGAGGCGTTTGTGGAGGTGAATGCGGGGTGGGCGATGGATATCTTCTTCATGGAGACGTACGGCAAGGCGTTTGGTGGGTTTGCGACGATTCCTGACGCGGAGGGCTTTCTCAGCCTGAAGACGTTCTCGATGGGCAATGACCCGGAGCGCATTCCGTGGTCCTCTGTCAAGGATGATTATGGGGACGCTGTGCATGCTGTGTTCCTGGACCCGGCCAAGTACGCAGATCGGATTATCTGGGCCATCTCGGAGGCAGTCGGCTTTCAACATGTGGTTGATACGTATAACCGCATCACTGGGACGCAGGTCGCGCGGTTTGTACCGCAGACGGAGCCCCTTAAGGCTGCCACGCCTGGCAAGACCAAGGAAGTTAATGGATTGCGGAACTATTGCCACTACATGAAGGGGGATTACTGCAATGGTCAGGTTACGGACGATCGCTTACTGGAGGAGATGAGAACGCTCAAGGCGCTGGCGTCGAAGGCGCGTGGGAAAGGACATGCCTCGACCCAGACTATTGAGGGCTTTCTACGTGAGAATAGTTCGGTCAAGGCGCGACCATCGCTGTGAGGATTAGTTGTGATAGATTATGAATGATCAATAAGATTTCAGATAAGCGTCTACTCTGTACTACACAACTGCGTGGTCCCCGTAAGTCCATAACCGTCCGGATACCATTTTCAGTTATAAGATTCAGAGTCCGAGTATACGACGACAAATAACAAGCAATGGATCATGCTTACTTTACTGAATATTCCCACATCCCCAATGAGCGACTGATCAATGCGCCAATGCCCACAGTGGAGACCCGGTCATCGGGGTTTCGCCTCCAACCTCAAACAGGTAAGTTCGGTGCATCATGGATACAATCGACGCGTCTCGGGTGCCTCACTGATTAGGAAGGTAGGCTATCCTGTTACAAATGTCATCTATACCCCACACCGAACAAGTCACTCGATATACTCCATACTGTTAGGTCATGGACGTCGCAGGTGCTAGAAAACCCCCACCTGAAGAGACCCTGGGCAAAGATATAAGTTAAGGCAATGCGTCTCCCTGGGAAGATGTTGTGGTCAAAGTATATATCTGCGATCCACACTCACAATGTCCAGTTTAACCCAGACTATCAACGCTCCTAACGGAGTGAGCTACCAACAACCCACCGGTCTCTTCATCAACAACGAATGGGTCCCTTCATCAACAGGCCAAAAGCTCCCGTCCATTAACCCCGCGTCAGTACCTCCGCCCCAAAATACCATCCGATGGTTTGAAACTGACATTGATTACACTCATAGCACAGAAGAAGAAATCACCTCAGTCCACGCCGCCACAGCGCAAGATGTCGACAAAGCGGTTCGCGCAGCCCGCGCTGCATTCGAGGGAGACGAGTGGCAAAGCGTGGTTGGCACAGCCCGTGGCAAGCTGATGCTCAAGGTAGCCGACCTGGTCGAGAGCCAGCAACACGTCCTAGCCACGATCGAAGCTCTGGACAACGGCAAGCCGTACTCTCAGGCGCTGGGCGATATCGAAGAGGTCTTCTCTGTTTTCCGGTATTACGGCGGCTGGGCGGACAAGACCTATGGGCAGACTATTGAGACTGGTCGGCATAAGTTTACGTATACTGTGCGGGAACCTATTGGGGTTTGTGGGCAGATTATCCCGTGAGTTTTCTTGTTAGTTGGATAATATGGACAGCCTAGTTGACTGTGATAGATGGAACTACCCCCTGGGAATGGCAGCTTGGAAATTAGGCCCTGCCCTGGCTTGCGGTAATACGGTGGTTATCAAAGCCGCCGAGCAGACCCCTCTGTCTATTCTTTATTTTGCAAACATCCTCGTCGAAGCAGGATTTCCACCCGGCGTTGTCAACATCATCAACGGATATGGCTCGGAAGCTGGATCAGCCCTGGTCCAGCATCCCGAAGTTGACAAGGTGGCATTCACGGGCAGCACACCAACCGGCAAACAGATCATGCGGCTGGCCAGTGATACCATGAAAAATATCACACTCGAGACGGGAGGGAAAAGCCCTCTTGTCATCTTCGACGACGCCCAGATCCCCAACGCAGTGAAGTGGGCGCACTACGGCGTGATGGGCAACATGGGGCAGATCTGCACGGCGACATCGAGAATCTTCGTCCACGAGAAGATCTTCGACGCCTTCGCTCGAGCCTTCAAACAGTACGTCGCAAAGACGCAAGTCATCGGGTGTCCATTCGACGAGAAAACATACCAAGGGCCCCAAGTATCCAAGGCCCAGTTCGAAAAGATCCTCGAATACGGCCGCATCGCCGAGCAAGAAGGCGCGACGATCCTGGCCGGGGGCAAGATCGCTGAGTCCCGCCCCAACGACAAAGGCTTCTTCGTCGAACCAACAATCATCAGCGACGCGCAGCCCCATATGAGGGTTTACAAGGAAGAAATCTTCGGCCCATTCGCCGTCCTCGTCAAATTCTCCACCGAGACAGAAGCAATCCGGCTGGCGAATGGGACGGAGTATGGTCTTGCCGCTGCTGTGTGCACGAGTGATATCACGCGCGCTCACCGCGTGGCTAATAAGTTGAAGGCCGGCATGGTCTGGATTAATTCTAGCAATAATAGTGATTTCAGGGTGCCGTTTGGGGGAGTCAAGCAGAGTGGGATTGGAAGGGAATTGGGACAGGCGGGACTGGAGGCGTATTCGCAGCTCAAGTCGGTTCATCTGAATTTGCAGTTGACGGAGCAGATTTAGCTGTGTATGTAGTGAACATTGAATATATCAACAGGATACGGAGAATGCCAGATACGTTTCCATTTAAACTATTGGAGATATCCGTCAAGTCAAGCCCTTCTAAAGTGCTGTTCAGCGTTTTGCATTTTGCTATAATGGCCATTATAGACTGCTCAGGATCCTTTTGGCATGGCAGTATTCATTCTAGTTAACATCTCTTTTCTTCGCCGAGTTAAAGGGATTGGATTAACCCTCTACATCCAATATCATCTTACATCTCCCAAGACCCTAGCTTCAGTGAAATATTTCAAGTCTCTATCAAAGCCGTGGACCTTGAGTAGCCTGGTACCACGACTCCAGCACCTTATTCGGTGCATTCTGTAGACGATCTGCAGTCTCCTCAAAGACACGGGGCAGACCAGTCTGACGGTAAGACACATCCCCAACGATCATCTCCGCCATTCCCTTCGCCGCCAAAAATATCTGAGGCATGCCGTGGCCCGTCCATCCAGCCATGATAAACATTCCAGGCCTGTCGGGTACAGGTCCCAGCCTTGGGAGTTTATCACGGGAATAGCCCATGACTACAGGGTAGAACGATCATCAGATCCATTGAATGGCGTTTGAACAGGTGATATAGGGGAGGGCACTTACTACCAGTCCATATTTCAGAGACCTCAGCACCGCTCTTCTCCCACCCCCGAAAGTTTCGTTGCATATACCCGTCAAAATACCTGCGTGTCTCTTCTATGACCTCGTCATCGTTCGTATTATCATACCACAGGTCTTTTTTACGGAAATAGGCGGAGCGAGCGCCTCCCACCACTATGGTGCCATCGGGCCGGGGAATGAGATAATCGAAATCCCAATCCTTGAAGCGCAGCGCGTAGGTATTGACGAGGAGTGGTGCCGGGCCGGGTGTTGTGATATGGCAGCTCACGCCGCGATAGGGGATGATTTGCTCCTTATACTCGGGGAGCAAACTGGACGTATAGCTATTTGACGCCATGATTACCTTGCTGGCTTTGACGGTTCCTCGACTGGTCTGGACCGCCCAGCCACTTTGGGAGTCTGGGGCGGGGGACACAGAATTTACGAGTGTGTTCGTCTGTAGGTTTAGACCTCCATGGTTCAGCGCCTTGGTGAACATGTGGTGGATAAGTTTGTACGGCCATAGATGTGCAGCGGTGAAGCTGATGCATCCCTGGGCGCCTTTTACACCTGATACCTGATATCAACACATGATGGTTAGACAGCTATTAACCCCAATGTTTTGGGGATCTATATAAAGAATTTGAGGAAACACGAACTATTTCGGCATGGTCTTTGGCCACTTCTGACACCTCCTGGGCGGCAGCAACTCCCGCTGCTTTGAATCCACGCAACCGCTCCTTGATTCTGGTATCTTGAGCGCTGGAGAAATGGACATCGATTGCCCTGGTAAGTACAAAATCACAGTCAACGCCTTCACGCTCAATGTACTCTTTTGCGGCCTTCAAGTTGGCAACTTCGAAGTCAGCGACTTCCGCTCCTGCGGCCGGTCCATATTGAGCGGCAACGTCGGAAGCATGGAAATAAGGATCGGGTTTGATGTGGCCTCCTGTTAGGTTGTTTAGTACGCGGGAATAAGGACAAGGGAAGAAACACTACCGTTTCGTCCCGACGCCCCGGAGCATAGCTGACGAGCCTCGAGAACTAAAATCGACGGGTGATTGGGATACTGTTTCTGGATGTGCGTAACTAGTGCCGCAGCACTGTATCCTCCGCCTATTATCACTATGTCGCTTTCTTCCGGGAGGTTTGGCGTGGACTGGAAATTGTCCAACTCCTGTGGCTCAGTGCGCCAGAAAGGCACTGTGCCATTAGCAGATGGGAACGAGCGTGTCATAATGAGTCTGACTCTGCCGAAAGATTCAATAGAGCGTGAAGTCGTTGTGCAAATGCAATTTGATCCTAATTGTATATTAGTAGTGAGTAGAACCCGCGGTAAGGCGAAAAACATACGTTATCTAGCATCGCCGAACAAAGACCATGCCGTGACACAAATGTTGCAATTGATGCCTATTGTCTCGATGGGGTAATTGTGGCTATCAATGATAGGCCTGGGCCTGAGACAGATGTTTGGTACTCGGTTTCTGCGGAGATCTCCACTCGCCCAGATCTTCGGCGATGATCGAATTTCCTAATCGGGACAGGAAGCGAAGATGGAGACGATGCTTACGAACTGCTTCATGCAGTGTTCGATGTCTCAATGACGACACTTTTACGGTTCAAGAGGTTATAGTCAATTTGAATCATAATATGCCCAGTACTCTTTTTCTACTTTCTTCCATGCACGGAAGTTGACTATTTTATCCTATACTGCACTGTTATTGGTATTATCACCAACTTTGGTCGTCATGTCGGACTTGCATATTGACCTTACAGCACCCAACGGCTTGACATTCAAGCAGCCGTTGGGTCTATTCATTGATAATGAATGGGTGTCATCTTCCAAGGGCGCAAAGATCTCGACCATAAACCCTGCGTGAGTTGAGTTCCAAGATTAAATGATAGTATCTGACCTAGTATATGAACAACAGAAACGAAGAGGAGATATGTGCAGTACATGCAGCCGACTCGAACGACGTTGACAAAGCTGTCGAGGCTGCCCGTCGGGCGTTCAATGGAGAGTGGCGAGAGTTGGACACATCCGTGCGTGGTGAATTGCTATACAAGCTGAGTGATCTAGTCGAACAGCATGGAGATGTGCTGGCCACTATTGACGCTATGGATAATGGTATAGACTCTTTCCATCTTTCTATTTTCTGCCCCCCGGCCGATGGATGTGTCTGATATATCTCGTGTTGCAGGAAAGACTTTCCAGGCTGCCCGTAACGTAGATATCGTGGGGGCCATCGCGCTCCTCCGATACTACGCTGGGTGGGCGGACAAAATCCACGGCAAAGTCATCGATCCCAATCCCGACAAACTGGCATATGTGCTGCGCGAACCGATCGGGGTTTGCGGAGCTATCATTCCCTGGAACTTCCCCCTGCTCAATATCGTGACCAAGCTGGCCCCTGCCCTAGCGGCCGGCAACACGATTGTGGTCAAGGTGGCCGAACAGACGCCCCTATCAGCTCTCTACTTTGCCAATCTGGTCAAAGAGGTTGGTATTCCAGCTGGAGTGGTGAATGTGCTGAACGGTGCTGGTAGAGAGGTTGGCTCTGCCATCGCAGCCCATCCCGGCATTGATATGATTACCTTCACTGGTTCAACACCCACGGGCCGACAAGTTATGAAGACCGCTGCCGGGACGCTCAAGCGTGTCACCCTGGAGACGGGTGGAAAGTCGCCATTGCTGGTATTCCCGGATGCAGACTTGGAACAGGCAGTGCGTTGGGGCCATCGAGGCATCATGTCCAACCAGGGCCAAGTGTGCTCAGCAACGAGCCGTATCCTCGTGCACGCCGATATCTACGATACTTTTGTTATCCGGTTCAAGGCAGAGGTTGAGAAAATCTCCAAAGTCGGCGATCCTTTCCAGTCGGACACCTTCCAAGGACCCCAGGTCACCAAAGATCAGTTTAATCGAGTCCTATCGTATGTCGAGGCTGGGAAACAGGAAGGCGCACAGCTCGTGTGTGGCGGAGCTGCATTCAAGAACGTTGGAGGAAAGGGTCTCTATATTGCTCCCACTGTCTTCGCGGGCGTAACAGACAGCATGGCCATTGCGCAAGAGGAAGTGTTTGGTCCCTTTGTGGTCATCGCACCTTTTCATGACGAGGCAGAGGCGATCGAACGAGCCAACAGCACCATCTTCGGTTTGGGTGCATCCGTCTTCACCAGGGATATCTCACGCGCCTTGAGGGTGTCGAAGAAAATCCAGTCCGGTAGTGAGTATTGTCCGCTCTCTTGGCTCTAACAGGTACTAACACGGTTTACAGCAATCTGGGTCAATAGCAGCAATGACGACGATGTGCGAGTGCCATTCGGTGGGTACAAGCAATCAGGGTTCGGGCGGGAAATGGGCGAGGAGGGCATCGAGCCGTATACTATTACCAAGTCTATTCATGTCAACCTGAATTCGAAATTATAAGATTTGGCTATACTCAGGTTTATGTACTTATCCATGATGAAGCTGAATATGATTCCTAAAAGTCGTGGCGCTTTTATCTCTAGTCTAATATAGATGTAGTAGCAAGTCTAAGACGCTCGGGGGGGGGGGGGGGGTTGTTTGGCCACAGCATCCATGCAGCCCTAATATGTTATATTGTCGCTCTAGTGCACGTACTGATGGTCTCCTGTATACTCTCCATGGTATCCAACTATCAAAAGGGTCTCAAAGTGTTTAGGCCTAATCAGTAGCTGTACAATTGCCTATCCTGTGAATTAGTCGTTCTAAAAGTCCCTTGATCCCCTCGAGTGGCCGCGTCCGTGTCCATCGCTTAGCAGCCTAATCGGGAAAGTTGACGATGCCCCACAGGCTGAGGAACAGACTACAGAGGATCATCAGGCCGATATGCTGACCCTTGTCGCCTGGATGATTGACTACGGTTTACATCCTTGTGGGAATGCCACCGAATTCTGTTTCTTTCCAAACTTGACTTCGACACGAGCAAATACAGCCCTCGTTCACCGTCATCGAACACTACGCCATTATAGGTCGATCCACTCTGTCTCCCCTGAAACGAGTGATGATGCTTCATGTATCCTACTGTGTGCTTGAAAAGTATAAGTATCAAGTAGTGATGCCGTACTTGTTGACTCGTTTACCTTCTTCTTTACGACTGTAATCTGGAACGACGGCCTACAAGCTTGCAAGATGGAGCTTCACGTGTCCTTTATACCTCTCCTCGCTATTCTTGGAGCCCTCATCTACAGGTTTCTGGTCTATCCTCTATTTGTTTCGCCTCTTTCCAAAATTCCCGCGGCTCACTGGTCGTGTCGGTTCTGCTCGATCTGGATCTACTGGATGAGATGGACAAACCAGGAAAATCGGGCGGTTTATGATAAGCACATGAAGCTGGGAGCTGCAGTTCTTCTGGGCCCAAATCTTCTCGGCATCAACTCCTTTGACGATGGGGTAAAGAAGATATATCAAGGCGGTTTCCCTAAACCTCCTTTTTACTTCAATGGATTTGCCATTTACAAGTGAGCATGGCTCCACGAGGTATATAGGATAGAGAAGCTAATTCTCGACAGTACGGAGAATATTTTCACGTTTGAAGAAAACGCAGCACATTCTGCTCGGAAAAGGATGATCTCCAACACCTTTTCCAAATCCTTCGTCATATCGTCTCCGACAGCGCGTGCAGCCACTCGTGATGTCTTGTTCGGCAGGTATCTCCCTATGTTACGAAAAGCCTCCAGCGAAGACAAACCACTCGAGGTACTTGGAATGAACTATTCCTATTCAATGGACACATTTGTCCAATGGCAGTTCGGGCGCTCCTTGGGTAGCAACCTCCTGGAGGACCTCCAAGAGCGAAAACTCTACCTGGACGGGTTTTTCGCGCCCTATCCGTTCCTGTTCTGGATGTACTATTTCCCCAAGCTTGCCAATTTCCTCCGCAGGGTGGGGGTCTACCTCATCCCTAAATCAGTTGACGCGAAATTCGGCGCCGCAGAAGACTGGAACCTTGAAAAATGCGACAGTGCCCAACAACTCCTTGCAAGCTCCGAGCCTCTTCACAGTGAAGACCAGCCGGTCGTCTTCCAGCAAGCACTCCAGTCGATGAGCGAGCCAACGGCCACCAAAGGAGCATACCCGCGCAGAATGCAGATCGCAAGCGACATGTTCGCCCACAGCTCCGCCGCATTCGAGACGAGCGGCAACACCGAAACATACGTCTTCTACGAGATGTGCCGAAACCCCGAATGGCAGAAAAAGCTTTACGAAGAGCTACGTGGCGTGAAGCTTCCCCAGCGCGAGGACTTAAACCGGAAGATTGAAATCGACGATATTACAGAGCCAAAAGACATCGACACCCTCCCCATCCTCCACGCAATCATCATGGAGACGCTTCGTCTCTGGCCTGCTGTCCCCGGTGGTCAACCTAGAGTGGTTCCCAAAACAACCTCCCTGGGGGGATACGCCAACATACCAGCCGGCACTATCGTCCAGTCATACGCGTGCGTACTTCATCGGACCCCTGAAGTCTTTCCAGACCCCTTCCAATGGAAGCCCCAGCGCTGGCTTGATGCTTCGCCTGCCGAGCTCGCCAACATGAAACGCTGGTTTTGGGCGTTCAGCAGTGGGCCGCGGATGTGTATTGGGAGCAATTTTGCATATTACTGTAAGTCGAAGACCGAGATTCAGGCCTGAGAACCGTGCTAACAAAGGGTAGCGATGAAATATCTTGTTGCCGCGGTTTATGCCAATTATACAACTTCTATACATGACCAGGGAGATATGGACTTGCTTGATTCTTACCTTGCTGGACCGAAAGGCCATCATTTGGAACTGAAGTTTCATCGTGTGCCTAAACATGTGGTTTGAAAGTTAGTAGTCGGTTCAAGAGCAGTTCGGAATTGAAAGTTTGAGGAGTTGAGCAACGATGGATTCCGATTACCTTAGGAGATTTGGTAGCAATTCCAATATTTTTCTTTTGAGTATAGCCAGGAGTAAAATCCACCCCACAAACAGTTTTGGTTTCTTCTCACCCTGTGCAGCTTCTGCTACATCTGCTTGAGAACTACATTAATGTGAACTGGTAGGGAAAGTCTCTGAGACGGAGTAAATATGAATAGCTCGGGACTTACTTCTAATATCAATAGACTCGACTACCCTGGGCCATTCATCTTGAGAAGTATGCATTGATAGTTTATATAACTATTCACTGATAAAAGCAGGAAAACCATTACTGATCTGATCCTTCACCCAATCCAAATAGCTCTTCAAACCCCCAAAGTAAAAGTTCGTACTCGGTTTCCGGCCAGGAATATTCTGGCCAAAGATCCAGCTCGCCGTCGAAGTGAACAATGACCCTTCAACCAACCGATTGCACAGATCAATCCACTCTGTCTCTGCTTTATTGGACACCTCCATGATTCTTGGCTTTGCCCTCGTCACAGAAGAAGAAGCGCCGTTCGCCGTGCCATTGGTGACACCATTTGTTCCTCCCACGCCCGCGGTGGTAGTCCGCTCGGCATATTCAATGCAAGCCATGATGAAATTAATCTCACTCTCGATGACAGGCGGAAAATTGGCAAACGGGCCCTGAGGACCAGCGACGATGAACATGTTGGGGAATCCCGCGCAGGCGATACTCCCAAAAGCCTTGGGGCCCTTCGCCCAGTGCTCTTCGATCGTCCTCCCTCTCCGCCCAGTGATTTTAAGCCGCATGTAGCTGCCTTGAATGGCGTCGAATCCGGTGGCAACGATGAGAGCGTCGAGTTGGTGGGTCGTTCCATCGGCTGTTTGGATGCCCTCGGGGACGATCTTCTCGATCGGTGTCGCCTGGAGATCGACCACGTCGACGTTCTCGCGGTTGAAGATCTCGTAGTAGCCGGTGTCGCAGAGCGGTCGGCGGGCGTAGAGATCTTTGGGCTTTAGGATCGCTGCCTTGCGGGGGTCTTTGACCATTTCGTCGATTTTTCCGCGGATGAACTTGCATGCTTCTTCGTTGGCTTGCTTATCGGTGGTAAGGTCGCCGAAGGCGCTGAACATGAAGCGGAACCCGTTCCCTTGGTCCCACACCTCCTGGAAAGCCTGTTGCCGCTCTTCGGGGGTAGCCTCCATGGTTTTGCGCTTGGACTCGGGGACGCCAAACCCAATGGTCGATGACCAGACGCTGTCCCAGATTTGGTCGTATGTGGTGTTGACCCTGTCGCGATACTCCTTTGCAACGGGGCGCTGCCCACTTGGAACAGAGTACTGAGGGCTTCGTTGGAAGGATGTCAAGCTTCCCACGATGGGAGCAATGGCAGTCATGACTTGTGTTCCTGTCGAGCCATTCCCAATAATGCCGACCTTCTTCCCCTCCAGCTTCAACTCCTCTGGCCAGCGCGCCGTATGGACCAGATCACCCGCGAAGGACGAAAGACCCGGGATGTTAGGGTAATTCACTTTCGAAAGCAATCCAAGCGAGTTAACCAAGTAGCGGGCGTGAACGATCACATCCCCAGACCCAGAGCAGCAGGCCACGTCCCACCTCCCCGTATCCTCATTCCACGTCGCAGACGTCATCTCCGTCTCAAACTGCATATACTTCCGCAGATCATGCTTCGCGACGATATGCTGCAGGTATTTCAGAATCTCCGGCTGGTAGACGTAGTGGTGTGTCCACGGGTAGGTTCGCAAATCGTCCTTGTCCCACGAGTATCGGTAGAGGTAGCTTTCGGTGTCGCTCATGGCTCCAGGGTATCGGTTCCAGTACCAGGTGCCGCCGACGTCGCTGGCCATGTCTATACATTTGACGGAGAGCCCCATGCGCGATAGGCGGTAGGTGGAGTAGATTCCTCCTACGCCGGCGCCGACGACGAATGCGTCGATGTCGATGTGTCTGGTCATGTTTGTGGTAAACAGGAGAGAAGTGAATTACTTGGGGGAGAGAGAGAGCAAAGTTCGGGGGTAGAGAATCTTTGTACGTACCAGTATGTTCATATCTTTTTTATAACAGGGCGTCATGAATGACGCCCGTCACTCTCGGTCTTGCCATCGCGTACACTCCTCATGTGGAAAGTCAAGGCTGATCCAGCTTGGAGTATGCACGGATAAGCACATATTTCCAGAAACAGTCATTAGTAGACAGCTAGGTAAGAACTGAATGTGACTGGGGTATCAGTCGTGATCATACTCCAAAACTTGACCTAAAGTTGCCTATCTAGGCTAGGAAGCGAGTGGCGGGGCACGTCAGACATGGACAAGGTGAGGAAGTAGGCGGGGTTCCATATCAACTTGACTGTATATCGGCGCCATGGGTGGCGATCTATCTATATGATTATTGGCAATGACTCTTGAGGTCCAATCGTGTATTCTTGAGTTGACTTCTTTTATCTTGTCCTGTTTACACGTCATTCCCGTGAGGATGGGATGGATCTGTTTACTACTAACCAATGTACATGAGAACGACTGTCATTTGTAAAGGTAGGAACTCTGGAGACATGCAAGATAGATGGAAGCGACCATGTAAAACAACAACGGTGAATACAGTACAGATTTACAATGTCAGAGTTGTCAGTGATGAGAGGAACATATCAACATCACAGTACAGCCCGTTCTGCCCGACCCGCATCCTCAATAATAAGCTCGGCAGCGCGTTCCCCAATTGACAACACTGTAACCATAGGGTTGATAGATGTCATGCAAGGAAACACACTGGCATCCGCAACACGCAGGTGTTTGACACCCCTCACCTTCAAAGACGGATCCACAACCGCCATCCGATCAGTCTCCACATTCCCCATCTTCGCAGTGCCACAAGGATGATAAACTGTATTATGGACCTTACGACCATACTCGCAAAGGTCCTCGTCAGAGACAATATGCACCCCCGGCGCAATCTCCCGCTTCAGATACTTCTTGAACGGCTCAGCCTGGGCCATCCGGCGCGTCATCTTCAACATAAACAAGTTGCTCGCCTTATCGTATCCCTCCCGATCACTGAAATACCGCTGGTCGAGCGCCGGTTTCTCCTTTGGATTCGCAGACTTGAGCCATAACCGGCCGACGGACGCCGGGCGGGGCGTGTAGGGTATGACGCAAAAGGCATTCTTGGGCGTTTCGTAACCCATTGGCTTGGTGTAGGTGTCAAACGGGACAGTGAACATGTGGAAGAGAGTGTCCATGACACCGTTGTCTTCGCCGCGGGCGTTGAACTCCTCCCGACGTAGCACCATGACGCCTTCCGAACCCATGGAGATCTGCTCGGGGGGCACAGCGTCGTTCAGCTCCCACATGTACATCGTCTCGGCGTGGTCTTGGAGGTTCTCCCCGACTCCGGGGATGTCGTGGACGAGGGGGATGCCGTGTTTAGCCAGCTGTTGACGCGGACCGAGGCCCGAAAGCAGCATCAGACGCGGGGTGTCGATTGCACCGGCGCACAGCACCACTTCGGTCGTGGCGGTAAGTGAGTACTCCTCCCCAGCGTGAGTGGTAGCAACGGCACCGGTGGCAGTAGCTCCCTGGAACAAAATCCGCGACACCCACGTATTCTGCAGAATAGTCAAGTTCGGCCGTTTGACCTCTCCGCGCAGAATGGGGTGGATATAAGCCACGCTGGCACTGCTGCGGTGGTTATCGCCAGGCGTGTAGGCAATACTGAGAAAGCCGCATCCCTGGGTGAGGTTTCCGCGGGTTTCGATCTCGCGGTTGAAATCCTCGATATAGGGGACCCCGAACAGATTCGAGCAGGTCTGGAGCCAGTCCTTGACTAGCTGGCTGCGATGGCGCTCGTCGACGGGGATTATATTGTTGCGCAGCTTGTGCATAAGACGCAGCATTTCGGCGTGTGTCCAGCCCTCGGCGCCTAGGTCTTGCCACCTCTTGCAATCGTATGCTAGCGGCGCGAATGAGATAGCTCCATTGTGGCTCGAACAACCGCCTAGCATCTTTGCGCGGGAATGGATGATATTGCTGTTTCCTTCATGTCTGTCAATTACTGGTTGGCAACTTGGTGTGAGGGTTCGTACCATAGGGTTGCGGTACAGAATTGTAAGCATAATCATATGCTTCAGAACCCCATAAATCAGCCGCGCCATTGAGATTCAGAATTGATTCCTTGCCCAGCTCGCTTTCGCCGCCCTCGATCATAAGAATAGTGGCATCGGGCAAGCTCTCGGCGAGTCTGGCAGCGATGACACAGCCCGCTGTGCCGCCGCCGATGATTATATAGTCGAATTGCCGCCGACTGGCAGGGAGCTCTTCCACTATCGTGGGGAGAAAGGAGGAGTTCATCATGATGTTGGACGAAATAGAATGAAAGGGTTGACGATAAGCATTGCTTGACAAACACCAGTATGTCCAGAAATCGGGCAAGTCCGTATTTATTTAATTGTCCAGTGAATCCATTTTACCTTAGTGGTCACGTCGGAGGTGAACCTAAGCTTGGTACGATCTAGCACTTCGTACTAGTACTGACTACCAAGCTACTAATTTACTAAGTACAATCTACCTTTTACCCGATTAGGCGATTTAGCGAAGACTCATCGCCGAGCCGATTCTCAAGTGCCGGTCTTGAAGAGGCCCCGATGCTCTCTCCGACACACACTGGGTCAATGATTCCTTGTAGTCAACTGTAGTAAATTGACGCGTCGATGGATATTTATCGAAGGAGGCACTCTCATGCTTTGTTTGGTTATGTTGTGTTTCAGCAAAGAGATCATTATTTTACAAGGGAATAAATGGTAGTGCAGTCTGAATTAGCAAGGAAGACCGGAGGAGCAGGAAGTGCAGTGTTTGCATTGATACATTGAAAAGCACTATGTCTTGTTTGTGCGCCCATATTGAGCCAAAACCAAGACATCATAGCTCGGTTATACCACTCTTCTTAGGAATTCCAAGTAGATTTACCGAGTATGATCAATATCACTAGAATCAAAGGTAAACTCGTATCGAGCGCGGAACAACCAATCTGCGGCTCCAAAGATGAACGCAATACCGTAGATGACTGTCACATAGTTCATGTCTTGGAAATATTTGTCAGTAAGGTGATTCGCAAACAGGAGGAGGGTTGGTATACTCACTGGACACAGTAACCGGCATCTGATAGGGAAACGAGTACATGATGATTGTAAACAGGCAGAAGATGACCGTAATCACCTTAGATACTTTTCCAAGCCAGCCGAGATTAAATGGGCCCCTGGGCTGCTCTTCACCGCGAAGAAGAGAAAAGATGCAGGGGGCCAGGTAGGTTAGGTACGGGAATGTGATAACACCGGTGATGAGACTAGGTAGGCCGGTAGTTAGACATGATACGCCAGGAAAGAAAAAGGGAAAGAGGGAAAGAGAGAAAGAGATGCTCACCTATTAAACGCAGTGGTAGAGGCAATATAGATCAAGCCAAGTAGAAAGACAATGCTAACAGAAAGCAGATGGGCATAGAGCGGGACGTCCGACGTAGGATGAATTTGCGACCAAAGATGGGAGAATGGAAGCCCCCGATCACGAGAAAACGCCCAGCAAAGTCGAGATTGGTAGGCTTGCTGCGGGAGAAGTGAGAAGAAATAGGCCACCGTGACAAAGGTGATTGTAGCGAATGTGGCGGGCTTGCTTTGGAAGGCGATATTGAAAAGCTCTACCAGTGGAACGCCCGTTGGCGTGTTGATAACAGCGGTAAGATCCGTGAGAGCGTACATCAGCACGCAGGCAAAAGGAAAACCGGTGATAAAGCCAATCACCACTGTAAACAAGATCGCCTTGGGCACGTTCCGTGCAGGATCCGGAGTCTCTTCTGCCAGGTGGGTGGCACTATCAAGAGCAGCAAAAGCATAGTTAGCGTTAATTAGGCCGACTATGAACGCCATAGCATCGGATGACCAGCCACTATTGTTCTCCAGCGTGGCGAATATGTAACCTGGTCCGGTGTGGTCGTGGGTCGCTACAGGCAATGCAATTGTGATAGATATGCAAGCGAGCAGGCTAACCCACAGGCCGATGGAAACACTGCGCGAGACGACATGCTGCCAAAGATTGACTATGGCTGCTAGTATAGTCAACCCCATCGCTCCTAGGTAGATTCGCCATGCGTTCACCGTGCTGGTAAATCGAAGAGCTTGAGGTTATGAGTAGCTCGAAGAATAGGGGGCAAAGGAGTTGCACATACAGGTCTGGGTATGCGAGCTTCACATTACCAAAAACCCAGGTGCTCACGGCGATTGAAGTGCTTGTAGCAACACAATAAGCAGCAAAAAGATTGCAAATACCGGTCATGTAAGATAGAAGGCGCGCATATCCCTTTGGAGCCAAACGCATGGCCCAATAGTATTGGCCGCCAGCATTTGGCATGGCACTAACCAACTCCCCCAGGGCAATGCCTACAAATGAGTTGATCACAAACATCAAAATTAAACCGTATATAATACTGGCCGGCCCGGCCGCGGTGATACCTGTTGTAAAGGCACCGGCCACCCCCAGCCAGGAATTGGTGACCGTATATGCTAAGCCGACCAGTTGCCAGGTGCTAAACTTTCGTCGACCTCGACTGTTCCCAGCATCTGCAAGCAGACCTGTCAGACCCTATAAGGTACAGGTAAATGCGGTACTCACGTTGCATATCGAAGCTATCCCCGGTACTAAAATCCTCCACTGGTGCGTCCTGGTTTTTCTCCTTGGTTTCCACGTTTTGGGCCATGGTGCATTTAGATCAATTCACAAATCGGCTCAACCAAATGTTAAGTTGAGATGAGTGGACTGTAAGAGATGTGAAAGAGAAATGAAATGGTAGTCATATAGATACCGAGATATGGGACCGCTGGCAGGAGTCAACTAGTTTTAGGTTAGGGCTTTGATAAATCGACCACTGACAGTATATAAACCCGGATAGACCCCTCGGCCAACTTGTCCAACGATAAAGCAAGCTTCAAACAATCGATTAAGGTTATAAAAACCAACAGTCCGGGGCAGAGGCACCAACCCGGCGCCATCACTGAGGGGGCGCTATTCCCCCACACTCCTTATCTCGTGGCAAAGACCCATCCTGTTGCCGAAGGTCATATGCGATATGTTTAAATATCAAGATCGTCACGCAAGGATTCGATCACCGGGGTCGGCCAGGTGGCCTTAGCGAGACCAAAGTTCGGGTAACCGCCGAGAAAGGCAGGTAGGTGTAGTAGCCTGTAGGTGGTTGCGAGATCCACTTTTCCCCAGACACTCTGTTGATAGTTTAGCAGATTGCCAGGGTATGCTAATCTATAAACCGTTACACTAGTGACTCCCTGTTCATATCCTGTAACCATATGGTCGTTTAGAGTCCCTTATATATCTTCGGTTTGTGGGACTGGAATTATCTATAATCATACAATATTAGCACTGACACGTAAACAGTCTGGGGATATGTATATGACAGCCTCACTGTTATTCAAGTAAGGCAGCCAGCATAACTCTTCATTCACTAAAACAAAAAGCCGAACAGTAGTTGGGGAGAGCTTGAGGTGACTGACATTCCCAATATAAATCACTCTGTCGACCTCGATCCTGCAGACCATTTATGCTTGTTCAAATTCCACTTCATCTTCCTCACGAACTCAATTTTGGTCCTGACCTGCCTCGAGACTAGAGCCATATCCGCTTTTCATATCTCAAAATAGTACCAGCAAGTGTGAGCTAGAAGACCACCGTTCGCTTCTGGCATCTGTATCTTCTTTACAGTACTGTAAGTGTCGAAAGTCGAATACAGAAACTGTATATTCTAACTACTTCTCCATTAGCGTGACTTGGCATCATTCTAAACCAACGCCAGAGTTTCTGGGGATAGGCCGGTTTCTCAACCAACCGTATATCAGAGACCATATCTTGATGTGGGGCGCTGTCCTTGGTCTTTGGAATCGGCCCCAAACCAAGTGAACCAAGTGGTTCTGTCCATATCTATCGGCGTTGAAATCTGGCGGGTTCATGACAGTTTTCCCCGCGTTTGTAGAGGTTGGGAGCAGATAAGATAACCAGACAGATAGAGAATGATGTTATTCCCCCCCCACTACGGAGTACTTCTGAATGATTTCTCCCCTCGTCACTCCTCTTCGTCCACTTCTTACTCCTAACCCTCTCGTTCTTACGTTCTATCTTCTACTTTTTCATTTCCCACAGACACAGGCCCGATGGCTTCCTTTCGAGTGCGCTTCGCTCCCCAGCGAACCTACCATCTAGACCAAACTGAGAAAACTACGGCGGCACCGGACAAATCCCAGTCGAAGCCCACTCACAGTCGCACCCGGTCGGGTTGTCGAGGCTGCCGTCAAAGGCGTGTCAAGTGTGACGAGACGTTTCCGGTGTGCTTGCGATGTCGTCGCCGGGGTTCCATCTGCCAACCCGTCCTCCCGGTCTCACAATGGCAGCCCGAGGTGTGGTGTCTCGCCACCGCGAACCCCTGCACGCAGCTGTCCCAGCCGATCAACGCGAATGCCGATGTGAACATGCGCCTGCTGCAGTACTGGTTTGAGCGCATGTGTCAAATCATGAGTCTCGACCCCGACCGAAATCCCATGTCTTTCCACCTGCTCAAGTACCTGTCTGCCTCGAGTTCACTCGTCTATGTCATCCAGTGCGTGAGTGCGGCTCATGAACAGTACTTCCAGCCCTCCCAAATGGCCCTGTGCCTCGAAGAGCGAAGCAAGGCGTTGCGGGACCTGCGCCAGGAACTGCAATCCCAGAGCTCCGGCTCGCCCCTATCCTCGCTGATCGTTCTCATGCTGGGCATGTCGTCTTCTTGGATCACTCCTCGGCCGACAGACTACGGCCGGGAGCATCTGGTGGCCGCCCAGGCCTTTGTCGATATGGCCTTGGAGCAGCCTGTCCCTGTGGATGATGATTTGATGCATCTGACCCTGGGATTCTACGTTTATTGGGACATGGCCTGCTCTTTCTGTCTCGACCTCGCCCATCATCCTCCCGTCTCTCGACCCCGACTAGCCGCCTACGTGACGGCCGCTCGCTCGCGCTTCCACACCATCACTTCCCACTCCATCGACCTCTACTATCTACTCGGGCAGATCGGCCGATACTGCCGTACCGTCACCGAGGGCCTGCCCCGAGACTTCGTCCGCGAGACGACCTTCGAAGCCGACCTCAACTCCTACTCCTCCGCCGAAGAAGACCCGTACGCCAACCTGCTGACCGAGGCATTCCGCAACCACGGTCTCCTCATGCTCTACCGTCTCTGCGGTCGGACAGTATACATGGCATTGGAGGTTGAACCTGACGGGGAGGAAGAGGAAGAAGAAGACACCAACGAAAAATCCCCTGTTCGAGCGCTGGCGTTACGGACTCTGGAAATGCTACTTGTAACTCCGATTAGCTCGCCACACGTAAACCTACACACAATTCCGTTGCTCACTGCGGGGGCAGAATTGACATCGAAGGATACAGAGCTACGCGAGCGAGTGATCGAGCAGCTCCAGGCTGTCTATTCCACGAACCGCATCCCGCCGACGCTGTGGGTCATCGAGCTGCTTCAAGAACTGTGGCAATTACGCGACTCTGGGGTTGAGATGACATGGCTACAACTCATGCTCGCTAAAGAGTGGCGGCTGAGAATTGGCTAGTACAATCCATCTTATTCTTTCAAAGAAACGAAAAAGAAAACACCCATGATCAATAAGTAAATCTTCACATATAAGCAATCAAACAAGCGTGACCCTATCCTCCAAATCCATAAACACAGCCACATTCGCAAAATCCTCACTACACTCAAACGTAATCGTCTGCCCCTTCCTCATAACCATCAGATCACCCTTCGCCAGCGTGAAAGTATCACCCCCATGCACTTGGATATGGATCGTTCCCTGCGTGACGAACAGGAACTCGTCGACCGGCCAAACGAGCGTGTCCTTCCCCTTCTCGCGCAGCATTCCCACGGCCACCTTGCCGTCTGCGGAGCGGTAGATGATGGACTTTGTGCCGGAGTACATGGGGAAGGGTTGCGAGGGGAAGGAGTCCCAGGCGCCGTAGGGGATGGCGCTGGGGTCGGCGGAGCCGGTTTCGTTGCCTTGGTTGCGGGGCATGATGGTTCGTTCTTGGTTGTTGCTGTTGTTGTTGTTTTAGTCGTAGTCGTAGTCGTAGAAAGCTTTCTGTTGCGTATTAGCTGAAGTCTATGAGGGATTGGATGGGGGACCATGCGGTACCAGGAAGTAGGTAGTTGGGCTGAAGTTAGTAGCATGGATGTGAAGTCTTCCTGAAGGAAAACCCCATGTCTATACTACATGATAAGTATTGTCAGGTAGTGTGAACTGTCTATACTACATGATATAAGTATTGTCAGGTAGTGTTAACTGATACCACTTCGACTAACTACAGCTCATTAATTGCGCCTTCGCTTGGAATCCAAATCAGGAAATGGATATGCAGCACGCTGGGATGGCCCTCCCCGCATGCCACTGAAGTAGCATTAACATGATAACAGACATTCTAGATAGAGCCAGTAACCGATGCAATCCTGACCATATGCCGATTGGACGTTCCCAAATGCGGGGATACACTTTTGGGGGAAGAGATATAGTAAAGCCGGGGCTCCACCCTGCCCGCTTATGTTCTCAATATGGCAAGCTGTGGTGGGCGTCTCGTCGGCCCGCTTAGCACGGTAGCTCTCGCTGGAACTATGCAAATGAAGCTATCAAGTCTGTGCTTGTGTATCGCCTGATCATCGCCTGGCTCTTACTTAAGGAAAGATGATCAGGATGGGGCCTAGGGAATGTACGGGCAATGCCTTCAGCACTAACTAGTCTGTTCTGAGAAAATCTATTATATACCTACTTAGGGGTACATATTTTCGCTTTCGCCCATAAAGACAGTCTTTCACTGAACGAGATTACTTATTCTTATTTACGTTCCTCAAACGGTTGTGCCAGCAGTAACTTCTTCCCAACATGTCGAAAATAACAATATTGGGGGCCGGGTATGATAACATCGCATTGCTACCTACTACTCAGAATCAAACATGCTGATAACATTGTTAGAATCACCGGCATGGGAATCGCCAGCCAACTCCCCAAAAGCGCCTCCATAACAATCCTAGGCGAATTCCTCCCCGGCGACGCCATGGACCAACGCTACGTCAGTCAATGGGCGGGAGCCATCTGGCTCGGCGTGCACGATTCCACCCCCCGAGAGCAAGAAATGCAGCTGAACTCCTTTTCCGAACTCTGGCGCATCGCCGAGCGACACCCCGAGTCAGGCATCCGGCAGATCGAAATGACGGAGATCATGGACAACGGGGACCCGGACAAGGTGTGGTATCAGGGGAAGGTCCCCGGGTTCCGCTTTATGGCGCCGGAGGAGCTTCCCAAGGGCGCCAAGTTTGGTATGAAGTTCCAGACGGTGATCATTACGCCGCCGACGTTTCTGCCCTGGTTTCGACAGCGGTTGGAGGCGCAGGGTGTGAAGTTTCAGCGGACTTATGTCAAGTCCTTGCGGGATCTGAAGGGCTTGGGGGGTGATGTGCTCATCAACGCCACTGGGTTTGGTGCGATGAAGCTGTTGGATGTTGAGGAGAAACGCATCACTCCTGTGCGGCAGCAGAATATACGGCTTCGCAAGGAGGGATATAATCGGTGCTATATCCGTCGTGGGCCGGACGGGTACTATTCCACGGCGTTTGCGCGCGGAGATGGCACGATCTACATGGGTGGGATTAAGACCGTTGGAAAGGTCGACTTTGCTTCCTATGAGGATCAGCGTAAAAAGGTGACCCCTTCCCCCTACCTTCCTCCTTGCCTTTTTTGATCACTGTCCATAATTGCGTACTTCATACTTACAAGGTCAAAATTTTAGATCATGCAACGCCAGCACGAGAATCAACCAGATGTCTTCCCGTCGCCGAATCCCCTCGACTACGACTTTATTACAGACCATGTGGGCGTGTTTCCTATTATCGAGCACCAATTCGGTGGCGTTCGCGTCGAGAAGGAAGTCCTTCATGGACAGAAAGTCGTGCACGCTTATGGCCAGGAAGCAGGTGGTTATACCTTCAGTTTTGGTCTTGGGAAACAGGTGGCGAGCGATGTGCAGGAATATTTGACGGAGATACCCAAACCTGCCGATACACCTATTCCTAGTAAGTTGTGAATCAATATTGGGGTTGAGACTGGGGATGTACCCGTTTGTATTCAAAGATGAACCACATTTCTTCATACTTCTATAAGATGTTGTTTGCCTGTGAATTCAAGGTGGCTTATATAGATGTTTCTCCCACGTTTAAGATAATTAACAACATACTCTGTGATAAAGATGTAGTTATCTCAAACCACTCAATCAGTATATATAGTAGGTAGTATAAACTCTATTTTCCATGATAAAGACTGACAAGGATGTCCAAACTTTGTTATATTGAATTTCAGATTGCCGATCGACAACGGGATCATTGATCCATGCTCTGTATATCAGATTGGAATAAAACAATGACCATTTACACAAACAGAAGACAAATTGACCACCTCGTGCAAGACAGAAGACAGAAGACAGTAAAAGGGATTAATCCCTGGGTAAAAGTGGGTCCTCACTGAACTAACGAGGAAAAATGGCCAGAAACCGGGGGAGTTGCAGTGCTTCCTTACCGATGTTGTGTTAGTTCCATATCGGACCAGACGCCAAAACAATTCGTTCATTTCTCTCTCCTGCTTTTCCTTCTTTCGCCTCCCTCACTTTCGCTTCGGCGTTTCTTCCATTTCCACCCCTCAATTGAGGTTTATTGTACTCGATTCGATTTTTAATTGAATGATCAAGTCGTCATGAGAATTACTCGCTCCCAGACGGGGAAAACCCCTAAGTAAGTTATTGTTTGTTTTCATTAAAAAAGTGTGGCAAGGGGGAACCAAGACAACGGAAGGAAGAAATAATTATTGTGTCTACTTTTTTTTTTTTTTGTTTATTCTTCATAATTCATTCTTCGCGATGCCTCTACTTTTTTATTGTCTGCTCACCCGCTGACTTGTTCGGTGTTCGTGTTAGAAAAATGGACCGCCCCGGCTTCATCGAGACACCTGGCCGGAAAGCCACCCGCAGCGGCACACAGTCCGTCGAACCCGAAGAGCGCGAAATGTCCACTCCCCCGAGTGAAACCCCGAGCGGCGCTCAGTCGGTATCCCGACGACGGACGACTGGAAAGGTGAAGGAGGAAGACGTCTCCGAAGGACGCGCCAATGGCTCCGCGGGCAAGAAACGGCGGATCGTGGACGGCTGGGAGGAAGGACTGGATGCCAAGGTGGATTACAGCGGCCACTTTGAATTCGGAGGGTCGTTCGGAGTCCTGGCCATGATGATCGGCTTTCCCATGTTGATGTACTACATGTGGATTGGCGCCACCTACTACGATGGCAAATTCCCTCGCCCCGCGGAGGGCCAGAGTATGTCCGACTTTGTCGCGCACATGGGCAATCTGGTGTATGAGGGCGCATTCCCGACCCTCAAGGCCTGGACCGTCTACTGGGTCTTCTTCATCTTCGAGGGTGCCTGTTACGTGCTTCTCCCAGGTATCACGGTCATGGGTCGTCCGCTGCCGCACGCCAACGGAAAGCAGCTTCCGTACCATTGCTCGGGTACCTGGTCCTTCTACCTCAGTATCGTGCTGGTTTTGGCGCTGCATTTCACTGGCCTCTTCAAGCTGTACACCGTCATCGATGAATTTGGTTCGCTCATGAGCGTCGCCATCCTGTCCGGCTTCCTAGTGTCCTTTATCGCTTACTTCTCCGCCCTGGCCCGCGGAGCCCAGCACCGTATGACTGGTTACCATGTCTATGACTTTTTCATGGGCGCGGAGCTCAACCCCCGCATGTTCGGCATCCTGGATTTCAAGATGTTCTTCGAAGTCCGCCTCCCCTGGTACATCCTTCTGTTCACCACCATGGGAGCGGCTGCCAAGCAGTACGAGATCTATGGCTATGTCTCTGGCGAGGTTGGTTTCCTGCTGATGGCGCACTTCTTGTACGCCAATGCCTGCTCCAAGGGCGAGGAGTGCATCGTGTCGACCTGGTACGTGTTGTATATTTCCCCGGTCATGATGTAGCTAACGATGGGCTAGGGATATGTACTATGAGAAGTGGGGTTTCATGCTTATCTTCTGGAACCTTGCTGGTGTCCCTCTGAGCTACTGCCACTGCACGATCTACCTGGCCCAGCACGACCCGGCCACCTACCACTGGAACCGTTACTTCCTGGTGGCCCTCTACGTGGCATACCTCTTTGTGTACTGGGTGTGGGACACGACCAACAGCCAGAAGAACCGGTTCCGTCAGCAGGAACGCGGCACCATGGTGTTCCGGAAGACCTTCCCTCAACTCCCCTGGCAGACGCTGGAGAACCCCGAGACCATCTCCACCGATGCTGGCACCAAGATCCTGGTCGACGGTTGGTGTACGTGAACTCTCTAGTAATCTCAACACGTTGGAGTCGCGCTAATTGTTTTATAGATGGCAAAGCTCGCAAGATTCACTACACCTGTGATCTGTACTTCGCGCTCAACTGGGGCCTGATCACTGGTTTCGCCAGTCCGTTCCCCTGGTTCTACCCGGTCTTCTTCGCCTGCATGATCAGCCACCGTGCGCTGCGCGACATCCAGCGTTGCCGGACCAAGTACGGAGAGGCTTGGGCCGAGTACGAACGACGGGTTCCCTACCTGTTCATCCCGGTCAGTTTTCTCTCTTTACGGCAGTCTCTTGAAGACCAACCGGCTGACTGCTCTTTTAGTATGTGTTTTAAGGATGTGCGAGTACGCGGGATGCTTCATTGCATCGCATATGCCAGATCACAGGAGCAACTCTGGAACAGTCACGGTATATTCATCCAGAAATTCTCCTGCTGACATATTTTCCCTTGAATTCCGTGCTCATCCATCACTTAAGGGCACACGGCTCATATGAACAGCCGTGGGATTGTGCTAGAGCGTAGACGCTCTTCCTGTCCCAACCCTATATAACCCTTTCCCCAATCCATCATTTTTCCCCGTCCTTCTATATTCGTGTATATTCTTCGGATGCTATTTTTCTTGCCTTTGATTCGGATTGGAATCTGCAGTTCGTATTTTCTTTTTGTACCACCAGCACACATATAGCCCAGCCATCTTTCCTTCCTCTTTTTGGTATCATCCGGCGGTCGGTCAGAGGCTGTTTTGTGGAATAGCCTTCTTTACAGCAAATAATATATAATTATCCACAACTGTTACAATTGAAGAGAGATGCAGTAGGATTTCTGTGGCATGGAGCTCCACCAGAGCTTGTCTCGGTCGATCACATGACGTGGTAGCTTATCGGCCAACATGAGCTTGGCTGCCATATCACCCCACTATCATTCTACTCTCAGTCTACTTTAAACTTAGCACTTTAGTGTCAAGGTTTACTACTTCGAGCTGAATTGTGGAATCATACAAGCTAACCAGGCTTTATCTGATATTCTCTACCCATAAGTAGCGCATTGTCCACCAAAGCTCACTAATAACCCACCATGTTGATCCAAGAGTCTTTCCACGATGTGCCCACTACGGCGGATGGGAAGGGGCAGATGCGTATGCTTTCTTTGTTTCCTCCCCTCTTAAACCCGTTTCTGTTGGGATACTAGTGCTCGAGTTCATCAGTTCCTCAACAGTCACATTCATCATTTCCCAAGAGCTCAATCGCTGATAGTCAATACAGGCATCTATGTATTCCACCCCACCATCCCAGGCTACCCGAAGGCGCGGTTCCCAGGCGTCGTAGTCTTCAGTGAAATCTACCAAGGTGGGTAGTGACCAACCGTCGTGGTCATTCACTGCTTAAATTCTTCGAACATCAATCTAATACCCAACAGTGACCGGGCCGGTTGCACGTTTCGCACGACAGATCGCGGGCCAGGGCTATATCTGCGCCGCTCCGTCCAGCTACCATGAGTTTACGGGGCCGGAAGGCTTGCAGTATAATGCTGAAGATACGGACAAGGGGAACCAGTGGAAGATTAGCAAGGTATGCATCTCCCGCCTTGAGCTAATCCGAAGCCCGTGGATACAGCTCGTGTTAACATGTACTGGGTAGAAACTCGCAGCCTACGACGAGGATGCCTCCTTGGCTGTTGACTATCTGCTCTCGCTTCCCACGTGCAATGGACGTGTCGGAGCGACGGGCATGTGTCTGGGTGGACACCTTGCGTATCGATGCGCGCTGGATAGCAGGGTGAAGGCGTCGGTTTGTTACTTCGCTACTGATATCCATAGTAAAACGTTGGCGGCGGGGAAGAATGACGATAGCTTGGCGAGGGCGGGGGATATTAAGGGGGAGTTACTTATGGTAGGTCTTTTCCTGGTTTCCCCACTCATGATTAGGATTTTTGTTTTGTGGAATCTAACGGCGTGGCAGATCTTCGGAAAAAACGATACGCATGTCCCGCCTGAAGGGAGGGATCTGATTCGAAAGACCCTCCATGATAAGGGCGTGCTCTTTGGATTTTACGAGGTGGCTTGGGCGCAACGTACGTACTGCATGAGACATGTCTTGTCTGCAGAAACTGACAACGATCGATAGATGCGTTTATCCGCGACGAACTCAGCAAGGGTCGGTATGACCCCGCGATTAGCAAGGTGTGCTTTGAGATGTTGCTGGAGCTGTTTGGTCGTACGCTGAAGCTGGATCTGGGAGAGCATGATGGAAAGGAGCTGAAGGTGGAGGATGTGTGTTGAGTCATTCGTACCTGGGTACTTTCCTACCGAGCAAACATCTACGACACCTGATGTCTCCCCTCCTACCCGGGATGGTGGGGTGGAGTGCATAGATGTCTAAGTAGCTTTTAGTTTCAGGTAAATTTTTTCCAAGGACAAGTTTTATGCGGTCAAGAGCATGGATATAGGCATAGAACCTCATACGCACGTCATTCAAACGTAAGTCGCGTGTTTGCTGGCTCTCTTGGAGAATATATTTCAATGGATGTAGTTGCAATCGAGCTGTGAAGTCATCGTTACAGAACAAACGCATAACCTGACCGCCACCAACGTGATTCAAACCTAGACCAACCCATCGGTTTGGAGTTGCATATACAGTTACCTCAGGTAAGTGGTCTGTTTGACCTCCCATCAACGAGACATACGTTCGGTCATCATATTTGACCTTCCACTTTCCCCCACTATGTCATCCCTCTCCACATGTCGCAGTTCGGTAAATAACGCCATGGATCTATCAGACGCCGTGTACAGATTCGACCCTACGAGTGAAGATGCTGCCCAGTACCGGGCCAGTGGGGATGAGGATGAGTTCAAGTGGAAAGATAGGGACAATCCGGCCTCCTTCTTCGAAATGCTTGACCTGCCTAGACCGTCCTCATATCCAACTACAGAAGAGGTCCGCCAAGAGAGCAGGGACAGAGCGACCCAAATCTTGTCGACCTGGGAAACTCTGAGCAAGATCGTCGAGCGCCATGAAGAACGCATCCAGAAACGGTGGCGCCAAAAGACGCAGCACAAACGCCGGCAGATCCTCCTCACGGCGTGGCCAAACATGCCAGAGGTCCACCGGCCTGATTTTGCAGCGTTCAAAAAGGGAGTCCGCGAGCAGGCGCGAGAGGCATACCTATGGCCTTACATCAACCTTGAAGATTTGAGGCGACCAAGGCCCTTGCTCCTGTTTCTCAATGCCCGGGCCCGCAACCCACCACACTTGTTTGCCCAAGCCGATTTTGACGCCCTTCGCCTTGGTCGTGGCTCGAGTGTGATAAGACCTCCCTTTCTGAACTTGCATACCATGATGTTCGCTGGGAGGACCACACCGGAAACATACGGAGAACTGCTTGCATGGGATAAGAACCCCGAGGCAATGGCGTGGGCTATCGGCGGGAGAGGAATACTTCCAGGACCCGGCTTGTTGATTTTGGAAATCCAGCAGCGACTCTATGAGTTCCTGTTAGAGTGTTGCTACCGAATCTTCCATGATATCCCTCGGGAGTCCATCATCGTGGACTTCCCTGTTCAGCCGGAGCCCACGATCAAAGACGAAGGAGACTGGCAATCACTCGTGGCTATCACGGCAGACGCCCCTTACCGTCTTCCCGCCCAGCTGGACGTACGGGCCCTCGAAGACGTGGTCGATGCCAAACGGTCCGCAGCAGAGGATCATCTCCTGGCATTGCGGGAAGACCCGGGATACTTTGCAAGTGTCGTCGACGAATACAAGGAGCATCGATCGGAAATGATTTCCGATATCTATGGCAGTACCCATCCAACTCTGACGCCGTGGCCTGATCGTTTGTTTTGGAATCGTGTTTTGCAAAATGTTGTCGCAGAGGCTTACGTGGCCCTGGAGACATGGGACACTCTCCGTACAGCACTCGCCTACCTGCGTCGCCTTCTCTCCAAGTATCAGGGCCAGCTATCTCTCACTGAGGACCTTCCGCAGGATCTATACGAGGCATTTGTGCGTACTCGATATTTCCTGGAGCAATTCACGCGCGGTCCACTTGACCAACTGAAGGTCGCTGTACCGGCCTCCCCACCCCTTCGATCGCTCTTCGCGCGCCTGCCACCTATCCGAGGCTCTACAAAAATGCAAGTAGTATACAGGGCGAATAGACTCAGGTCACAGAGCCAGGATGAGCTGCTCTGGGTAATGGAAACGCTCTGGGGATCTAGTCTAAAGGTGCAGCAGGCCGGTCGCAAAACCCTCATGGACGAACTCGACCGCCTCGTTCAGAGCGACCCGAAAAACAAGGACCTCATATCGGGGCGAGTCGCCAGCATCGTTTCAGACCTGTCCGTCCTGTCCGAATGTCTCCACCAGATCGAACTCTTCCAACCCTGGGCAGCCACATTCGAAGCTGGCTTGACCGACGAGACCAGGAAGGAATACGCTGGTCTAGTCCATGGCTGGGGTGGGTTTCTTGTCTCCTTTGAAGGCACATCGCTTGGCCCTCTCGAGGCCCCGGGAAACCTTCGATTCTACTACCCCGTTGAGAAGAGACGAACCCGGGAGAATGTCGAGCTCATGCGATCCGCCGAGGCGAATCTGGACGCCTTCTGGCGTGCCGTGGACAGGCATATGCCCATCAAGAGCGGAATGACTCGTCAGAACGCTACCTACCGGATGCTGGCCCGGCTTTCTGGAAAGCTTCAACGAACGCCGGTCTGGGTGGAGCCGGAGAGGCCGCGTCCCAAGACGAAGCCTTCGGAGAAAGACGTCGCAGAGAACCAATTTGAGCTCGAGTACCGAACCAAGAAGACTGCCGACTCGACCCGCCCGGTAGCAGCAGCCACCAAGAAGGTGAAGGCACGCGGAACACCAGCTATCTCCGAGCAGCCTCCCGTGGAACCATCGCCGCCCCCGCAGACCGACACTCAACCCACATTCGCAGTCGACAAACGCTCCTTGAAGGTCTTCTCAACCCTCTTCTTCCAACCCTCACAGACAGCCCAACCCGGCGAAATCGCATGGACCGACTTCCTGCACGCGATGAGCGGGACAGCGTTTAGCGTGCAGAAGCTCTACGGGTCGGTGTGGCAGTTTACGCCGAGGAATTTGGATGTCGAGCGCAGTATCCAGATTCATGAGCCGCATCCTGTGGCGAAGATTCCTTATCAGTATGCGAGGCGGATTGGGAGAAGGTTGTTTAGGGCTTATGGGTGGCATGGGGGGATGTTTGGGGCTGCTTAGTTGGGGTGATTCCCCTGTGTCATTGTTGGGGGTTTTGTCTGGATTATCTTGAGATGGTAGGTCGCGATGATGTTTGGGAAGTAGATTTTGGTGATGTGTAGCTGGTTGTTTCTAGTATATTGTTTTTTTTTTTTTCTTTTTGGAAAAGAAGAATAGCTCTATCAATTCGTTGAATGTTAGAACACTATACTACACTCTGGGGTGTATGATATATACCACTAAACTAGAATACCACTATGACAAGCTTGAGTCCTTGGCTGACATCCCCAGACTCCCCTTATCTAGTAGGTGGTAGACTATAACATGGCCTGCGCCTCCGCAGGGCTCATAGATCTGGGGTCAGGCTGCACCCTGCGGGCTCATAACCATGAGTTTATTACTGACTCGCTCTGCTTCACATGGTCCAGCGACAACGTCCGAGAAAGGTATAAACTTTGGACTGGTATAGCTGTGTAGGTACCTTACCTCGTACCTGGAATACTGCATGCTGGGGTTCCTACAGACGGAGCAGCCAAATCAGATAGCCTTATTGAATTTGGAAATTGGACTGGAGATTAGGATGGAATCGTTACCCAAGTAATAGATGATGATAATCCTGTTGTCTGAATGTATGTCCGTCGTGGTTCCTCGGACAACTTCAATAGGAAGATTAGCAAGTAAGGCATCACTTTCTCGTCGGTTAAAGTTGTTCTGTTCGTGCCTTAGGTTGCATGGATTCTACCTTAGTAGAATCTAAGTAAGGGAGTGGGTGGGGGTAATGGTACGGTATGGGTGTCTTTAATACACCTGGTTTGTATGGTGAGTGTCAATCGTACCGTGTAACAGTGTTCTTGTCAGCTGTATTGTGGCTGGGTTGCTATGGATATGTCTTCTTTTTGATTATCCTATTTAATTCATCTGTCAAATGCAAGATGAAATCAGGATCTTCTGTCAGTTGGGAGGATCATAGATCGATCGACTTGGATTCTATCTTATTATATGTGTTGGGGGATGATCGCTGCTTTATCCTGTTGATGAGATCCTTATTTGCAGCAGCCATAGACCTAATCACAATAAACATGATAAAATGATTGAATCATACTAATAATAGTCATCATAGGATCATAATAATATATTGTTATTATTATTAAAGAAGACTGGACCATGGATCTGACCGGACAACCACAGGAACCAACTGGGTCCCTGACTGTTGATATAGCGTGGATTTCTTCGTTTTATTAATAGGCCTGGACGGGTCTGATTCTGGCCTGAATATCCTGGATTTCCACCATTCATTCAATCCTCTTCAATCTCTCTCTTGACCACATCTTCCGTCTCTCTATCTCCAGCCTTTTTACTTCATTGACCACGACACTACTCCGTACATCTCAAGAATATTGCACTGTCAACTGCATCAATCAATCATCACGGCCCTTCTCCCCTCGGGTCTTAGACCAGAACCAACAGACCATCGCCTCCTCTAGCGTCCTCTCCTCTACCTATCGAATCCCCCCATTTTTCTCCATTTCCCCATTCAATTCCACTAGTTGATCTAAAGTAACCTCTCGTCTTCCTTGTTCCCTCTTTTTTTCCTTCTTTTCCTCTCTCGCTTTCTTTCCCTCTTCCCGGTTGTTGTGTTGGCCCATCCCCTCTCAGGCTATCCTCCTCAGGCTATTCTCTCAGCCTGGTCACGTCAACTCGACCGTCCCCGTACATACATACCATCTCTCCTGCACATAGATCTGCTTTTGCATTTTTCCTCGCAATCGTCAGGCCGTCCACGTCGGAAGGATTATTGTCCTTTCTTAATTTTGGTCGTCTTCGTCTCAGTCGGATTATTGGACCTTCTAGGCTCCCTCGTTTTCTGTTTCCCACGGATTTTCGTCACATCCACTGCTCCACCGAACCGACTGACTCGACAACCAACGCCTCTTTTCGACCTTTTTCTTTCTTTCTTTTTTCCTCTCTGTTCTTTCCTCTCTTTCCATTCGAGTCATCGACAAGACAGATCGGGTTTAATTCATATCGCCAATATTTAATCCTATTCACTGGTCCTTTGCGCCCCTCAGATCTGCGACCAAGTGCTCCATAGCGTGGGTCCGAGGCTATCCATTCTTTGCACAGCTCAAACGGCGCGCCGGGTTTTCGCCGGTTCTCTCTCTTTTTCTCTCTCTTCCCCCGCAGGGACCTCCGGTGTATGGTCTATCGCTGTGAATTTCGTGCATCATGGGTTCGACGCAGTTCGGGAATTTCAACGTGAGTTGTCGGCATCTTCACGGTCGCCATGGGATGTGTGGGCTGACGGGTGATTGCCCACGCGTGTAGGACTTTTGTCGAGACTCGACGTTACCGGTCTGCAATGTATGTGCCGATCCACCATGAACTCCTCCGACCTCATGTCGCTGACTTACCTTGCGCCAGCTCTTCGTCCCCAGCAACCAGCCTCCCAATAAGGCGTTTGATGGGTGTCCCTTGATTGGCATTGACCTGAGCGACGACCGACATTTGAGCAACTTGGGTATGGCCCCGCGGCCCCGACAGCGGAACGAAACAGAATTGGGGGACTAACGTCGGCACAGGCTCGATCTTATTGGCGTTCATCGCTATCCTGGCATCTATCTTTCTGCTTTGGCGGTCGGAACGAAAACAAGCGGCAGTGGGACGAAGGTACGAGGCGTGGACGCACCAAAGGCCGAGGGAATGAGACGCTGACAGGGATCGCGCAGGGAAATTCAACTGTTCCTCCTGGGATTCATCATCATTGAGATATGTGAAATCTTCACGGTCGGTGGTTTTCCACTCGACGAGGCAGTCCGGAAGGTTCGTCAACCGCCCATTCGCCATCGGTCCCGCCGTTTCTAACCTTATTATCAGGGCTTCACCGCGATTCACGTGGCCGCCATCACGGCAACCTGTTGGATCTTGTTCTTGAACGCCATGGTCGGATACCAGTTCCTCGATGACGGCACGCCCGCCTCGCTCGCCCTCTTCGCCGTGTCCGCCGGGGTCTTGTTCATCGGCACGGGTTACATCTCTCTCGACACTGCGTTCAACTGGACGGGCGAGTTTGCCACGACTGCCTCGAACAACTACCGGAATATCGCCCTTTACGTGCTCTACCAACTCTTCCCCCTGGTGTGCCTGGTGGCATTCTTCGTGTTGGAGGCGGTCTTGGTGGTCCGGATTCTGGGCGAATTCCGACCGATGTGTATGTCTGCCTGATATGGTATTCAATGATGAAATCCTAACTGTGTCTAGTTTATTTGGCCGGCGCCGCTCTCCTATTCGCCATCGGGCAGATCTTCAACTACGTCATCAGCACGCATCTCTGCAACGCGACGGGCGGGAAAATCAACGGCGCCTTGTTCGAGACCCTGTTCACCATGCTGTCGGTGGTGACGATCTGGTTCTTCTGGAGCAGCATCACCGAAGACGACTGGCCGATGCCCGCGGGGCCGATGCAGGTGGGGACGGGCGGGGGATACAGTTGATCTCATCGATCTCATTGACCTTCGACTTCCTTTCTTTCGACCTTGAACAATAATAATCTCGCCTTTCTCGACATTCCTTTGGCCCGCCCCATGATACCCGCTCCTTGCCTCGCTGCGTTGTACTGATTTTGTTTGATGTTAATGGCGTCTATGAGAGGACCGCTCACGTCCGATACCATGTTTCTTGTTTTTCTTTTTTATCTGCTGCTGTATAATTTCATGTTTTACGATCCATCTGACGTCTCGCTCCGTCCATCCTGATCTATCGCCTGGCCTTTTATTGGTCATGGGTTGGCATCCTCCTTGTTCTTGTTAGATACCTATTTGCTTGTAATAGTGCATGACTATATCTAATTTATCTCATAATCTGTTTTTTTTTTTTTTTTTTTTCTGGTTTGATTGTAACATACTTTCATTATAATATTATTCGGAGAAAAGAATGGAGGAAAAGAGGGAAGTCATGCATGTATGTACACTCATTCAATTTGTAGGAGGAAAGGAAGAGATCTAACTGTAACAGGCCCCTGATTCCTTGACTGTTTTGCCCAGCATTCAACGAGTATACCAATAAATAGTGATATTGAACAGCGGGCTAGACAGATCAACCTCTCCCTTTCTTCCCATTCTTTTATTTCCTTCTTTTCCTTGTATACTCCCCATTTACACCACGCTCAGGGTATCAACCAGCCCCACCATCCACCCATCCACCTACCCTTACATACATAAAAGAGGAAACAGCCAGCTAAAGAAGAAAAAGTCATACTAAAGTCTAACCTTAACATCCACACAAGGAAGCGTCCACTCCCGTCTCCCCAACAAACTCCGCAACCACTCCAGCCCAACCCCGGTCCACTCCTCCTGCGCGGGGAGAGCCGCTGCCGCAGCAGCGATAGACGACCCATTCGCCGCAAACCGACGCTGGGCTTCCTCCATAGCGGCGCCTGCCAAGGCCTTCGTCGTGGAATTGATCGAGTCGAAGACGAACCCGGCGAGGGAGTCGCTGTTGGGGTAGGTCATTGTCGCGGCAGCCCCGGAGGGAGAGGAAGAGGCGGAGATGATGTCGGAGGAGGAGGTAGACGAGGAAGGGAGACGCGGTGAGAACCAGTCAGAGCGGAGGTCCACGAAGCAGTGGTCGGACCAGTTGCAGGAGGAGAGGAAGAGGATGAGGAGGAGGGCGGAGCAGTAGATGCATGGTCGGTGGAGGAGGTAGGTGAGGGTGACGAAGGAGAGGATGAAGAGGGGGGAGGCGTTGGTGGGGATGAAGAGGAGGGGGAGCCAGCTGTTATTGTTAGTTAGTATTGTGTTGCTTTATTTGATTGTTCATGTTTATATCACGAATGTTGTGTTTGTTCTTCTTGTGTATTCGAGAGTCTGGGTTGCTTACCTCCTCAGACAGAACATGGTGCTGTGGGATCGAGTTGAGCTCGACTGTTTGCTGGCTGCTATGACAGGGGGAGAGTAGAGAGAGAAAGGTCTGAGACCAGCAGCGAGGATAAGTCAGAGAATATGGGTCTAGAATGCAGCCATGATGTTGACGATGATGCTTTTCCACTCTGTTAACTTCGCCGCTTTTCGTCATTCGGAGCCTCAGTCAGCGAGTGCCTCAGGCATAAGTATTCTATTACACAATACCGTCATGGCTCTGTATTGTTGCCACTTCACGCCCTCAATGAAGCTCCGACCGTGGTATGAACAATACACGACTCAGCACTCAATTTGCTACTTCAACTTTCTCTGACGCCAATTCCATTTTGTTCTTCTTCTCCCTCACCTCAACCTCTCTCTCTCTCTCTCTCTTCCTCTCCTCACCTCTCCTCTCTTCTCTTTCTTTTCTCTCAGTTCATCATTACTTTTGTGGTAATCCTTTTTCACAAGCTCAATCCATTGGGTTCATCATTGGGCTTAATCATTGGTCTTGTTTGTCTGTGCGTTCTTGCAATCAATCTTCCTCGACCCTCCGTGGGCGTACTGCTCCATCGCCTCTCGAAAGAGAGCTCCTCTCAAACCCCCCCAGACCTCGAGTTCATTCGTTAGTGGTCGCCATTCCCCCGGCGAGTGACAGAAATGTCCACCCCAAATGATATTCAGGCTCTCCTGGCGAGCATCCGTCCGCGTCCCTCTCCGACAGGTACCCCCGGTCAGGATGCTCCCAGGTCTCAGTCTCAGTCTCAGTCTCAGTACCCCCAGCAGTACCACCACCAGCAGCAGCCTCCCTACGATGGGCAGAGCTTCCCTCATCCCTTTCATCAGCACCACCTGCATCCGACTCAGCGTGCTTACCACCCCCCCTCGGTGACTTCCGCTATCCCTAGTCCCTCGCCTGTTAATACTCCGCCCCATCATGGCTCGGATATTTTGAGTCCTCGGGGTGAGATGTTTTCGCCCCAGCCCCAGCTGCATCAGCAGGCTCAGGCTCAGGCTCACGCCCAGGCCCAGGCTCAAGCTCAAGCTCAGGCTCAAGCCCAGGCTCAGGCTCAGGCTCAGGCTCAGGCTCAAGCTCAGGCGCAGAACCCAGATCGTGCGGCCAATCTGTTGAATTTGTTGAAGTTCAACCAGCCTGCTGCGTCCGCTCCCCAGGCTCCTCCCCACGCCTATGGCATGGCTCCTGAGGGTGCATCCCCGTCTCACGCCAGAACTATCTCCGCGTCGGACTTGGTCGCCAATCTGTTCGGGAGGTCCGGTCCGTCTGCGGCCGCTCCCGTGAGACCTGCCGGCTTCCAGTCAGGTCCTGGTCCAAGCTCCTCGTCGCCCGCCCCGACCGCCGAAAACACCCAGGAGATGCTCCTTCGCTTGCTCAATCGCCCCAAGCCGGGTCAGGGTGCCGCCGAAGGTCTGGCGAAGCCGGTGTCTCAGCCCTCGGCCTCCGCCTCGCCCCAGAAATCCCCCGTTTCTGAGGTTGAGCCGGCGACCTCGACCGCTCGCCCGGTCCAAGCGGTCACGGATTTCTTGGTCTCGAGCGCCCTTGGTCCCGAGGAGATCTTGTCCGGGAAACCGGATGAGGTCGCACCTCAGGCGCTGGGATCTGCGTCGGCGTCGAAGGAGTCTCTGTTCACTTATGTGAATCCTTTCGACCAATTGGCCGCCGCCTCCCCCCGGAAGGGGACTCCGCAGCCCAAGTCTCGCAGTGAAACCCCCGCCGTCGAGGCCGTCTTGGACGAGCCCGTCAGCGTCGCTGCCTCTGAGCAACCCGCGACCCAGCAGGAACGCTCTACGTCGCCCGTGCTGGCCGACGAGCAAAGGGAAGCTGTGACTCAGGTGGTGGAGGATCTGGTGGGCCAGATCGTTCGTGACGTCGATGACGTCGTGGCTCAATCCACCAAAGAGGGCAAAAAGCCGGCGGTTGCGGCGCCACGCAACGACACCCAGGAAGTGCTGTCGTCGATCGCGAGCCATCTGCGTGACACTGTTCCTGAAACCAAGGAATCAGCGAAGCAGGACGGTGAGCCGACCGGCAAGGCAGCTCCCGCAAGTGCCAACGCCACCCCCGCTGCGAGGGAGACCTCCCAGAACGGCGGTGATGTGTTGGACAGCTGGGAGAGTGCCGAAGATAGCGCCGAAAAGGAAGAAGAACGGATCGTCCCTGTCTACAACTTCCCTCTGCGCCCGTTCGTCACCATGACGGTCAAGCCCCAGTCCGGGAAGCTCGTGACCCTCCGCGACGACGGAATCATGGACATCGCTCGGTTGAAGAAAGACTTTGACCAGCTCGACCGGTCGTTGACCTCGGCCACCTCGGACTACATCGTGTACGCGTTGGCGAAGAGCGGCGGCCTGCGGATCATCCGTCAGGACGACGGGAACGACAAGCAAGCCTTCCGTTCCACCCGAGACCGCGTGTTCAACGTGGCCGTGTGCACGTCCCAGACTACCAGTGGCGAGTCCGATGAGCAGGCCGTCCTGGGCATCGGTGTCAGCGGCACGGTGTACTGGGCCCTCATCTCGCGGGCGGAGAAGGACCTGTTCGAGATGGACGCGCTGGAGAGCGAGAGTCTGATTTTCCCGCCGTTCCCTGCGTCGGACGAGAACACCTCGGGTGGTCAGCTGAAAACGCGCGCCAAACGGAGCTCTCGCCATCCCGGCTTCTTTGCCATTGGCCGGGGGAAGAACATCTACGTGATCTCCCCCCAGGCGGCCTCCGACGCGGCCTATGGCGTGTCGGGGACCCAGCGCACCGTGAACACGGAGAAATTCTTCCGCGAACGCGCCCTCAAGATCTCCACCGGCAAGGCTGGCAAGGATTTCATGTTCAGTGACGATGACACCGTCATCGCGTCCCTCGATAAGACCGGCCGCCTGCGCTTCTGGGACATCCGCGACGTGGTGAACAACCAGTCCTTCTTCGCTGCCGCCCCCAACCCGAGCGAGATCCGGGTCCCTCTGAATACCTTCGTGACGGGCTCCCCCTCGGAGAAGTCGTGGCCGACCTCTGTGCTCTTCATCGACAAGCTGCGCCCCTACGTCAAGTCGATGGCCTTGCGCTACGTTCTCGTCGGGCTGAAGCAGAACCACACCTTGCAGCTCTGGGATATTGGGCTGGGCAAGGCCGTGCAGGAGCTGCAGTTCCCGCATGAGAATGAGTCGGATGCGATCTGTAGCGTCGCATACCACCCTGGATCCGGCATCATCGTGGTCGGCCACCCCACGCGCAACTCCATCTACCTGGTGCATCTGTCGGCGCCCCGCTACAACCTGCAGGCCATGTCGCAGGCCTCGTTCATCAAGCGGGCCGGTGAGAAGGATGCCACCCTGCCCAAGACCGAGTCCACGGCTTGTCTCAGCGGTCTCCGCGAGATCTCGTTTGCCTCCAAGGGACAGCTGCGCAGCTTGGACCTTCTGCCGATCACCAAGACGACTGGCGAAGAGAATGGCCTATTTGAGCTCTACGTCATGCATTCTCGTGGCGTGACCTGTTTGAACATCAGCAAGGAGGACCTGGGCTGGAGCACCGATAACAAGATTATTCGTCCCATCAACGCCCTGGAGCAAGGGCTCGTTGAGATCGCCCCGCTGCAGACCTTCCCCACCTACGTCACGGATGATCCTTCAGTCAACGGGGATTCCGCTCCCGCCTCCACGCTCGGCAAGTCCGCGCCCAAGGAGGTTGCCAAGAAGCCCGAGTTGAGCGCCGATGTCACTACCGCTGCCAGTGCCGCGACTGGTGCTAGTGCTGGCGACTCCCGCATGCAATCCCCCACCAAACCGCCGTTGAAGAAGAAGATCTCGGAGGGGCCGAGCGAGCCAGCCAGCGTGGCGAATGGTGCGGACAAGGTGGACAAGAAGAAGAAGAAGAAGGGTGCGGTTGCGGCTAGCGAAGGACCGGCCAAGGTGAATCAGCCCAGCCCCGCTGCATTCACCGGTGCGCCTGAGGGGCTTGCTGCCTCCACTCAGACCACGGGCGAACCGCTCAACGGGAATGCCCCGGCCAAGACACCTGTCACAATGGCCACGCCAGAGACAGCTGCATCCGAACCCGGTGTGTCGAGCGCCTCGTTCATCAAGAATATCGAGAGCCTGCAGAGTGGTGTCTCCAGCGAATTCAACAAGAGCCTCGGTCGCGAGATGGAGGGCCTGTACCGTCGCTTCGACGACGAGCGTCGCAACTGGGATGCTGCGTCGGCGGCCAAACAGGACCAAGTCTTGCGTCTCGTCTCCAGCACCCTGTCGGACAACGTGGAGAAGAACCTCACCCGGATTGTGTCCGACAGCATCAAGTCCGACGTGCTGCCGGCGTTGTCTGATCTCACGTCGACCGCTGTCAGCAACCAGATCTCCACCGCCGTCGCCCAGCAGATGGGCAGTGTGCTCCCCCGCGAGTTGCAGCACGCGCTCCCTGACGCCATCGGCCGGGCTCTGAAGCGTCCTGATGTGATGCAGGCCTTGTCGGACGCCGTGAGCCAGAAGGTCTCTTCGCACCTTGAGGGTGAGGTCGTCAGGGCGATGCAGACCGCTCTCACTCCAGCCTTGAAGAACCTCTCCCTGCAGTCGGCCGAGAAGGTCGCTGCGGGTGTGGAGAAGCAGAACCAGGCCCGCCTGCAGGTGTACGAGAAGCAGCGCCGTGACGATGCGGCCAAGATTGATCGCTTGACGTCTCTCGTTCAGGGTCTGTCTGACACCGTTTCGTCGATGGCTGCCGCGCAGAGCGGTTTCCAGAACGAAGTTCTCCGACTCAACCGTGCCGTGGCGTCTCAGGGTGGACCCGTGGGCGGACCCACGAAGGCGGCTCCGCAGACTACGTCCGCCCCTGCGGCGCCTGCGCCTGTGTCTGCCCCTGCCCCTGCCCCTGCCCCTGCCCCTGTTCCTGCTCCTGCCCCTGCGCCTTCAGCGCCCGCCGTACCCAGCGCACCCAAGGGTATCAAAGACCCCGAGCTGGCGGAAATCGCACAGATGATGCAGGAGGGTAAATACGAAGAGGGATCCGTCAAGGTATGTTTACTGCCATAGTGTTATCAAGACTAAGCTAATGTCCGCGCAGTGGCTCCAATCCAACCAACAGGCCGATCTGTTTGACAACCTGTTTGTCCGCTTGAACCCGGCTTATCTGACCGCGCTGTCGCCCATCGTGGTGCTGTCCGTCGGTGTTGCCGTCACATCGTCTCTGCAGACGAACACGGCCCAGCGTCTTGCGTGGTTGGACGTTGTTCTGCAGACTGTCAATGCACAGGTACGTATACACCGTCATATATTTATTTTTCGATCGCTAATATTGGTTCAGGACCCCGACATCCAAGAAGTCGCTCCCAAGATCATGGAGATCCTCCTCCAACGCCTGGACAGCCTGTACATGTCCGTTGCGCACGCCGCTCCGCACGAGCCTTACCTCCGCCGCATCCCAGCACTGGCTCGCCGTGCGAGGGAGTTGCGTGGGTAGACTCAATCAGATCTGATGATCGACGACGACGTTCACCTCACGACGCATGTTGTCACATGAATAAAAGATATCAGCAATGACTACGGTCAACATGAAGATAATGCAGGACTTGTAATTTTTATTTGGGTTGGGAGTTAGTTTTAATATGTATGTATGTGCCTATAGTACGTACTTGGTTTTCTAGGACGGCTGCAGACTTCCTCTTCGGGACACTGCCGCTTTAGTGAGGGTGCTTAGGGGTCTATATCACCCATCACCGCTCACTGAGCACTCAGCCTTGGCCCTTGAGAAGTCACATGTACTCACTGAGCCGCTCACCCCATCTATTTTGTGCGGGTAGTTCAACGACGGTGTTCAGTGCGCGATCCGCGTTATTGTGTGTACTGTATCCATCAGACAGGTATCTGAGTCTGTTGGAGAATAGTACAGTAAAACACTTCCATTTTTCAAAGATGTATTTGCTACAGTCGAGGCACTCCCAAGAGACAGAGCCTATCATGCTGGAGAAAGTCAATACCTTGGTTGGCCAACATAGTAGAGAGGCCGCAACGTACTTCGTGGTTCTCTCGTAAGACGATTCAAAGCGCTGGAGACAAGGGATTCATTCAATCAAAGAATGCTTAGATGATAACATAGCCATTAAGTCTTTTAAATAGCCTGGGTTCAAGTAATTCAAGGCTACACGACTGCCAGAATACGGGTGTGCTGCTGTGGAATAGCAGAGCCCTATGATAATTGAGTGATACCAGGCGGCTTGACGCATGGACTCGCGGGCTGATATATACTACGCTATGTCCCCTATCTGGCTGTTTAGCGGGCTATGGACCTGTTTGACACTGTTAACATGTAAAGTCGTAGGGATCAAGATTTATCAACATTCCCAAGAGATAAATAAAGGACACACCTATATCACAGTGTGAGATGTCAGCGCTTCAGAGGAAATAATTAAAAGGATAGAATAATAACGTCAATTCAGGGGCCCAATCAGCTTCTTAATAAGTTACATAAAGGACTGCGAAGACTATCTGCAGAAGCGGACTACATAGAAAGTCCCCTTCCTGGCAGAGGCGCGAGGCCTAATCAGGCTATTTTCAACATGAGATACTGAGGCTATGGCGACCAGCTAAGTTACCGGTGATTCCTACCGCACACCCCGGTGAACAAGAAGTATGCTTAGCAGTCAATCAGTCTATGATGTTACAGAAAAACCTGGCTCGTTGACGAGCGTGGCGATGGGTATTTCAGAGGAACCCCTGATGACCAATATCAGCCAACCTGCACTCTCCTGTACTTTGGCAACCGATGCAGACGACGGAGCTTTCATCGACTGGAACAGGCTTGGTCTGATGTCGCCGCTTACTGCTGCCGGGGAAGTCTTTCGCTACATGTCTGCGACGCTGCCATGGAATGTGCCCAGGCGAACCACTGCAGGCTGAGACATACCCAGGACCAGAGCGTGCGCTGGATCCGGAATGATTCATTCGGAATCTGACCAGTTACGTTTGACTTTGGAAAATGATAAACGTAAGTTCGGACCGACCTTGCGAGGGATGTTATTGTTGGAGCCCAGGCGCCCCGAAATCCATAGTGGTAGCTGAGATATGTACCATGATTTACTAGTATTCTAACAGACAACAGACGTCAAGCGGGGCACCTGAAAGGCTCTTTTTCTTTCTTGCGTTGGACTTGCCTTTCAACCCCTGGTATCCGCCTAAGCTGCGTGACTTGCTAGTGTTATAGTTCAAGCACAAAGGTGACTAGAATCCACTAGTCCGACGATGGGTAATACTTTATGCACAGAGCAAGACGGCTCTTGTGAACGATGACCGAAGGTCCGAAGAACTAACACAATGATCCGAGGATCAGAAACAGCAGAGGTAAAAGCAAGGCCAAGCAGGTACGTATACGGGCTAGTATTGGTGATTGAACCCTTCGAACAATAAGCCCCTCGCTTATCCTAATGGTAGGCCTCAGCATAGGTCGGGGGGGTAAGGTAACAGCCGAACAAGTAAGCACAGCAAGGATGGAAGTAAGGCCTACTATGGACAAGTCCTAATTGGGTTCAAACTGATATTTCATCCCTTACAGAACATGCAGCCCCAAGCTGCTTGATTCCAAATCCTATACGAGTGGTAAGATCAATCTGCTGTGTTTCTTTGCATGCGACTACTTTGGTAGACCATACGCTTACCCACGGACGGTGTAAGACAGTAGGACGCCAACGAAGTATCCCCTACACCAACATGATCATTGAATTCCTGGTTGTATAGTCAGCAGATTGTTTTGACCCTCTAGCCGTAAACTTCAACAAGTAGAACCAAAGAAGAAAGATATAAATACTCCCTTAATCTCCTTGAATATCTCAGTACAGAACCAAGCAAGAATCCAACATCTCCTCCTCTGTCAGTTTTATTCCATGCTCCATCTGTGATTCAATCAGCTCAAAACGAAACCGAAGGTCTTTTACAAGAATATATCAACACCTTTGCAAGAAAGATGAAGCTGTTATCCACTCCAGTTACAGCTCTGATGCTGCTCGCTTCACTGTTGGCCCCAGTCCTGTCGACTCCGGTCCAGGCGGAGGCAAATGAGGTGAACGCCAGCTGTTACATCACCAGCAAAAAAGGCAAAGACTGCAACGCTAGCTCCTGCAGACATGGCGGGGGCTCCTGTACATACAATGGATCGACTAAGAGATGCCGAACAAGCGGAGACTGGAGTAAGGTTTTCGAATGCAAGACAAACTGTCGATGTGCCAAGGGCAGTTGAGGGACACGACCAATCTGATGTGACTGCTCAAGGTTAGTAGATGAGTTTCCAGCTCTGTTCATATTCTTGTTAACCGAAAAAAGTAGGCTCGTTGAGGAGTGATTAGCCGGGCTATGGGGATCTCTTTCAACAAGAGACCAGTTCCAGCTTTTTGTGGAACTTTACGAGGCAAAAATATAAATGTCATGTTGTTGTTATTGTTTTCTATGTTAGGTAGCTACCGTCGCTTGCTACAATTGGGTTGTCAATCAATCTGGCTAAAGTTTCAAATGTATTGGTGATCTACGGGTATAAGTGATAGACTATCGTGTCACCGGGGAATGTAGTTGTCAGTAGACAGGGTCTGTAAAGGAATTCAACATCTAGCATGCATCTGGACTCTTCTTTAGTTCTCCATGCTCAGCAGTTAGGTGCGGAGGTGTCATATGTCTTCTCTACGTGTCTACACTATCTTCACCCGCTAGTATTTTCGACATATCATCCACATTTTAGGCAGCTGCAGGTGGCATTGTCAGCCATCGAGTTAGGCAGACAATTTAAATATCATTCAAGAGAATAATCCACGACAATGCTTCAGCCCAAAACCCACCCCATTCCTTTTTCACGTGACCGTCAGATGGTCTTATAAAGGTTCGTTTGGACTTCATCCCTTTCATCAGCGAAACCCATCCTAAATATCCTCAGTTGCTCTAGTAATATCCCACTCTATATCTTCTCAGTTAAATTCTCTCCTGACTATTGTTCCGATCACCCCATTCCTTTCCCTCCCTACCTTCCAGTCCTTCAATATGGACCCCACCCTGTTCATCTACGATATCAACAGAAAGGCGGAGATCCAACAGTCAGCGCAGACCGGTGATAGTCTGTTACAGGAATATATCGAGACTTTACAGCTCTTTGCGAAAGATCAAGATACTGTCATTATGCACGCCAGCTACAGTCCTGAGTCCGCCCATATTACGATCGACTCTACACCTGTGAAGGAGGACGAGGCTTCCACTTCCTCCTAGGGACGTTCTATCCGTGATCATGACGGCCAAGGCCCAACAATCAACGGGAAAGAGACCTGATGGTAGTGCTGGGGTTTGGGGGGAGCGTGGCGGGCAAGAGTAGACTGCGAGTGGAGAAGCGGGTATTTACTATCTACCTAGGTAGTGAGCACATTGTATTGAATGGTGGATTCAAGATAACGCATAGGATAATATGTCTATTTGTACTCGGGAGTTTAGAGTGGTAGTATGATCTGTAGAATATGTGTAGTAATGATGTAGCATCAAACTTACTATCTTACATTTATACTGTGGATGGGAAGACAGACTTATTAGTCTGGACATGACATTAGTATAGACAGACACATTGCACGAAGCCAGCAATAACAGACAATAGTATTCTATTGACTTGGGATACAAATCAAATGACATGCTATGCTATGTATAATTGATACACAAATGAATACACCCTCCATACTACCACTAACTAGCTATACAACGCTCATTCATTGATTCATCCACGCAATAACCCACAACCAGTCAATCAAGCATGAAACTGCACACTTTCCCCATTACCATCAGCGCCAGCTATAGCCTCCACAAACTCAAACCCCAACGCCCTCCAGTTCAACTCTTTCCGCCAGTGTAGGCCATAATATAACCTCTCGTTCTCATTTCCTTCTTCTTTACCACTCCCCACATCACCCTTATCTTCTCCTTCACCTCCTTCATTATCACCCCCCTCCCCAGAATCAGCCACAGCTACAGGCCCAATACAAGGCTCAGAAGCCAACCCCCCCGTCCTCATCCTCCCACCCCTCGGGAAAATAACCGCCCTAAACCTCGACAAAAGCAAACCCATAGAGCAGCACAGACACGGCTCATGGGTGAGGTACACGTCGAGATCCGTGCAGAGGTAGCCTCCTTGCGTGCGGGATCGGATTCGTGGGTTGGTCTCTGGGGGTGCTGTAGTGGAGGTGGATGTGGGGGTGGGGACGGAGGTGGAGGGGACGGGTATAGCGCCTGATTCGGTTTTTTGGAATTTTTCGGGGTTTGTTGGGGTGTCGGGGTCGGTTTCTGGTGTTGATGTTGATGTTGATGTTGTTTGGTGGGTGGGGTTGGAGGTAGAAGAGAAGGTGGTGTCCGACTGGGAAAGGAAGTGCGCTTCCAGTGGTCTTAAAGGTGGTGATGCTGATGTATCATCATGGTCATCGGCGCGCCGTTTCCCAGCGATTAGATCAACGACCCTCATAAGCGCATGCAATTCCGGCCCGCCTTCAACATCAGCGTTATACATCAATCTGCTGGGATTAGGTCCTGTCGACCCTTCCAGCCGAGAATAGCGCGCATCTCCAGCGACGGCGACTACCGCGTCTGACCACCTCTTATCATCCCCCTCATCATCATCGATAATCTCGTCGTCTAAACGAGCATCAATCTCCGGGTCAACGACAACGGCGCCGACCCCCCTCCCAAGACCAGACTGTTCAGCTTCGCGAGCTACTTCGTATGCCAGCGCGAGATACCGCCCCGCCTTAGGCTGGATTGAGTCCCGTGCGCGAGTCAATATCTGAGGCGGGGGCGCGACGAAGCCGCGCGGTGCAGCGGGGTTGAAGAGCACAGGCCAGAGAGATTTGGTCCATTTATCTGCTTGGGCGCTGTTGAGCGGGGCGTAGAGGGGGACGCGGAGGGTTGTTAGGGTTATGTCGCTGCCCGGGGGTGCGAATGGTGTGAGGAGGTCTTTGAGAGAGGCAACGTCTGGGAGTGGAGGCGGGATTAGGACGAAGATTGTTTGTGTTGATGATGGGTCTGCTTTGAGGAGGGTGGATTGGAGGGTCGGGGAGAGGTGCTCGTGTTTGGCGAAGCGGCGGAGGTGGTTGAGGGGTTGGGAGGCGTCGCGGGGGTAGGCTTTGTCTAGGGCTCTGTTTATCTATTTGTTAGTGAGTGGTTCGGGGGGATAGCGGGGAGATAGGTATGTGAGGGGTATGTACGTACTTGATTACTTTGGAGGCGCATTTCAGGTTGACTTCTGCGGCGTATGCGTCGGCTGGAGATGTTAGTTTTGGGTAGGGTTACTGTGTTATTGGGCAACATACCGAATTCTTCTGGTGGTCGTGTCTCTTGGACTGTTCTCACTGCGGTGACGTCCCCTGGTATCGGCTGGATGCCGCGTAGGATATCTTGTACATCCATAGTTGGAGGTTGATTGAACGATATGGAGACACGGTGGGGCGGCGGGATGGCGGGCACGGACTGGGCTGGGACAGAGGAGTAGATGGCTTGGTATGCGAGGCAGTTGATCGGGACGATCCCCTCGGATTAGAGGTTAATGAACGGTTCAACCTGAAGATCGGACGCGGAGGTGTTGAGATGGAACTTTTCGCGCATCTGTATACCCTCTACCCTAAGCCCTAAGCCCTGATTTCTCCGGAGGCCATGGTTACGTAACCTATCCAGGCTTCCATCCAATCTACGTCATGATCCTTAGGTCTTACTAGAAATTTGGTATGCATTGAATCGACCACGACGCCATGGAATTTTGCGTAACAGTAAATCAGATAAGGAAGCTCAGTAAGAGCAGAAACGCCGGATATGATGGCGGAACTATACAGACGGAAATGGAGGGATATAAAGAGACAAACACCACCTATCTACAACACCATGCCTGTATCTGCCGATATCTAGTTTGGTGACCTGATCCATCACGAGTCGCGTTGGATCTCGTAGCCATCGCACCGCTCCACTAAGCTCTGGTAGTAATCTACCAAGACCTCAGGCTGGGGCACGATTCGCCACTCCACGCGGAAGAGGAATTCCAGCTCGAGGAGGGCCAGCTCGTTCATGCTGATACCACCAACCCGGGAATAGGTCTTGTTGGTCCAGAAACTGTCGCTCAGGCCTTTACTAGCCACAGTGGCGCTGGCGATCAGGAAACGATGAATGGTCAGACTGGAGACGGTGAAGGCCGGGTACAGCGCACAGAGCCGGTCGATGTAGTAGACCATGCTCAGCAGGATCGGGGGCGACAGGGTGGCGTGGGTGGTCAGACGCTGCAGGTAGTCCTTCACGGATATGCGGGGCGGCGAGCGGGAGTGGAAGCGCGTCAGACGGCCCTGGTGGAGGGGGATCTTGTCATTGAACTGGATCAGTTCCATGAGCATGCTGGAGATCAAGACGACCAGATCCCGCGGGTCGGCCTCCTCGTACGAGACGGGCAACACCTTGCGGTCCGGCTGGGACGGTCGCAGTCGCTTGGACTGCGAGGCTTCCCGGTCGGGGTCCCCCGAGGACTGGCCCCCACGGGGTGCCGCGGCATCGGCGTAGGGGTCCACCGGGCTATTGCGCTTGTGGGAGGAGGCGCCGCCACTGAGGGTGGGGTTGGAGTTGGGGGCAGGCATGGACGGCGGTTGCGGAGCAGGGATGGAGGTGGGAGCTGGAGGCACAGCGGCCGATCCGTTCTTAGTGAGCGGGTCAGGGACGACCGACGGACGGGCGACGGCGCTGACGGGGGCGGCGGTACTGGACAGTCCGCCCTCAAGGGTCGTCGGCCCGGCGGACGAACGACCGCACGGCAGATCCCCTGAGGGCCCCGAGGGGGATGACGCAACCGTATGTCGGGTTAGAGCCGATCGCAGTTCCTCGATGGCCACGCGGGGGGAGGCAGAAGAGGACGGGGGAGGACCGTTCGACGCAGCAACGGGGTTGGTCGCAGGCTCATAATGCTGCGGCTGCTGCGACTGGTGGTGGTGGGACTGCGAGGGCAGTGGAGGGTGGTGACCGGTTGAAGTGGAGGAGCGACGAGGGAAGGAGGGAGAGGAGGAATGATGAAGGGAGTTGGAGGTGGTGGAGGCGGAGGTAGGGGAAGGACGTTGCAGGGTGGAAGGTGAAGGCGAAGAGACTAACATCTCCGTCCAACCAAACCACCACGTGGGTGACTTGGAATTCTCGACGCGCACTCGTTTGCTGCAGCTATGAAGGGAGTCCCCTGACGCATCATGATCCGGACGATCTTCAGGAGTGGGAAGAATGTCCTGAGATGATGGAGGGATCTTTCAATATCTTTTTTCCGTGAATCTTTGGTGGAGGAAGAAGAAGATAAGAAGAGAGAGAGAGAGAGAAAGAGGAAAGACGGAGGAAGAAAAGGAGGATCGAAGGCAATCCTGATTTAGGGCCGTATTTTTACTCCACTTGAGGTATTTTATAGGTATTTCTGTGTATCGGTACAGCCAAGACTCCATTCCATCCCCGCCCATTCGTGGAATTGCTGGACTTTCCATCCAGACTCGGTAATTAGTCGGTCTCGATCGATTACCGTACATACCGGTATGGCTCGATACGCCACAGCCCTATCATAGTATTCCCTCATATTATATCAGCTAGAAGAGATTCTAACCGACTATCACTAGACTATCACTAGACTATCACTGGAGTATTACTATATTATAACTAATACCTATAAATCCATACAGAATAGACCATATCAAGTATAGACCAGAATCGTAAGGCTGCCCCGGATGCGGTGACCCATTGCGTGTTCAACTTTATGCGGCCTTATCCACCCGCTGACTCAGCCGCAGGTCATGCCAAGCTTCATCCTCACTGACCTCACTGACCTCAACTTTCTGTCAATCGTCAATCGTCAATCGTCTGTTCAATCTGCTCTCTCTACTCCTCGTCTAGTCTCTTGTGGTTCTCAATTCTTCCGTTCTTTGTTCGATCGTGTTACGTCGATACCACCACAACATCCTCAACCCCAGACATCTCCCCATCAGTCCCACTATCAGCCCCGTCGAACCACCGATCTCCCTTCCCCGTCACCTCCGCCTTCGTCCTCTCTTATATCTTATATCGATCTCTTCATCCATAGTCAACCCGATCAATATACCGGGGGGGACGAACAGCGAAAGGGAAAGAAATCAGGCGTGATCGGACATTGACTATCTGGCCCTCCCCGCGGGAGGTGGTGATCTGTCGGACGGACCATGACTCGGGCGGCCACTCCACCCATCCTTCTCCAGCTGCAGAACCCGGACTCGCTATCATCTCAGGCGGCGGCGCTGCGCTCGTTGAAGAATGAGACCATTGGTCATGAACAGCGGAAAGAGGCGTGGATTCGGTGGGGCATCTTGCCCATCTTAGCGCAGGTCCTCTCCACGCGACAGTCCTCCCCCGGGAAGACCGCGGCGTCCGAGCGTAACGGAGCGGCCTCCCGTGATCCCCCCTCGCCCACCACGGACGCCGACAAAGCATGTCTACAGGCGATTATCATTCTGGGTAGCTTAGCACAAGGTATCCCTTCCCTTCTCCATACACACGCCTACAATTTGGTAAAAATAGCCGGTGACTGACACGGGTTGTGGTCAAGGAGGTGCCGCCTTCCTCGCTCCCATATTCGCCAGTGGCACGCTATCCATCCTTCTCACCTTCTTGTCGGCGCCCGATTGCCCCCGCTTCTTCGTCCTCCCCATCCTCCGCACCTTGAACAACGTCGCCGATCGTCTCCCCCTGCAGAGTCAGCAGCAAGGCCGCAAAGATACCCGGTTAGCCGACCTCCTCTTCTCCACCGACCATGTCGGAGCCCTGTCCCGGATCATCGCCCAGGATTATGCCTCCCACCATGACGTGGCCGCCATCGACCTGGCGGCCGCCCTGGTGGGGAAGCTCTGCACGGAGGAGGCCCACAAGGCCATTCTGGCTGATTGCGGGGTGTTGGATGCCCTCGCCGTGAAGCTGGCCTCCTTCATCGTCGCCCAGGGCTTCGTGCTGCCCGGCGCCGAAGCCCATGTGCAGGCCCCGGGGGCCCTGGGGCCCTGCCGCCCCCGCGCCGCCGTCCGCCCGGTTGGCCCCCATCCTACGCGCCGTCACCGTCATCGTCGAGCACTCCAAGTGGCGCGCCGAACATTTCCTCTCGTCGCCGGGGATCCGGACGGTGTTCCCCAAGCAGGTGCCCGAATTTGCCCCCGCCGACGTCAAACGCGGGCCCTGGGGCTCGACCTACCTATCCGGGTCCGCCGTGCCGCGGCAGACCGGCGCCAACCCGCTCGAGTACTTCCTGCCTCCCGTGCCCCTGTCCGCGGGGAAACCCTCCGTCAGCGTCGCCAATTTCCCCCCGCTGGGCCCGCAGGCGAGCCATCGCCGCCACAGCCACTCGTTCCCCTCGCCCTTTGCCCTCCTCGACCATCCCGGCACCGCCGATGACGAGGAGAACGCGGTCATCCCCTGGCTCCTCTACGTGGTTCGCGCCGAGGGGGGCATGGCCCGCCTGATGGCCGCGCGCTTGGTCACCGTGCTGTTCCGGCTGAGCCTGACCCGGAAGCATCGGGTCGCCATGCTCTGCTACCTGGTGATCCCCATCCTGCTCCGCATGCTCGACAAGGACTACGCGGTCCTGGGCGACGCGGAGGGCTGCCCGGACGGAGGGCTGATCCCCCCGGTGGACCGCCTGCGCGAGGAGGCGCCCGCGGTGCTGGCCACCTTGGTGATCGACGATCAGGAACTGCAGAAGCACGCCGTCGAAGGCGGGGCGATCAAGCGGCTGTCGCAGCTGCTGAAGGAGACCTACAACCCGCTACACGAGAACGCCCAGCCCATGTGGTCCGCCGACGGCAGCGACGGCGGCGATGACGACGAGACCGAAACCCACCCGCCCGACTGTCGCCTGGGAGCCCGGGGGTTCGCCCCGCGGCATTGCCACGTGATGCGATACCGGGAGAACATCCTCAAGGCCCTGGCGGCGCTGGTCCCCTTCAAGGACGAATATCGCAAGGCCGTGTGCGAGAATGGTGTGGTGCCGTACATCATCGACTCGCTCAAGCCGTGTCCCCGCGATCCGCCGGCGGATACCGCCAACCCGAAGAACACCGCCGTCGACGGCAACCCGACGCCGACGCTCCTGGCCGCCTGTGGCGCGGCGCGCATGCTCACCCGGTCTGTTAGTGTCTTACGCACGAGTCTGATCGACGCGGGTGTGGCACCGCCGCTGTTCGTCCTCATCCGACATCCGGACATCGATGTGCAGATCGCGGCCACGTCTGTGATCTGTAATCTGGCACTGGATTTCAGCCCGATGAAAGAAGTGAGCTCTTTCTTTCCTTTCCCTTTTCCTTTCCCCTTTCCCGTCGTCTTGTGTTGGACACACGGCAGAAATCAGATACGAACGGGGGAACAACTGATATATGAAGAGAAAGACTGCTAACAATACAGGCCATCATCTCGGCGGAAATTCTTCCCGTCTTATGCGAGCATGCACACTCCACCAACACGAAACTCCGCATCGAATCCCTCTGGGCGTTGAAGCACGTAGCCTGCAACTCGACCAACGACGTGAAGATCAAGATCGTCGAGAGCCTGGGATCCGGGTGGATCAAACACATCATCACGCAGGACCCGACGGCAGCGCTGGCCCAGCGCGGGATAGACGAGGAGGGGGACAACGGGGCGGGGACAGGGATGAGCCGCGCCAACTCGGCGGGGGAGCAAGTGAATCTGCTGAACCCGGTGGACCCGTCGCCAGAACGGGACGACGATCTAAAAATGGCGGACACGATGCCGCCGTCGAAGATGAGCCTCGATATGTTCCTGCCGGACGCGACGCGACGGCGCCGACTAGCGCTACACGGCGACCTCGACCAGTCGACGCAGGCGCGGCAGGATGACATCGCAGTGCAAGAGCAAACCTTCGACCTCATCCGCAATCTCATCTGCGGGCCGGGAGCATCGGAAATGATCGACCACCTATTCCGAGAGATCGGGCAGGAGGTGCTACTAGACGCGCTAACAGACAAGCTCCGGCCGCGAGCAATCGCACTTCCACCCCGGCGGGACACAGCCGCACCGCCACAACGGGCACTACAGGTCCCCACAGAGATCCTAGTATCAGTGACATACGTGATCATCCACCTCGCAGCAGGACTCCCCTGGCACCGCCAGCTCCTAGTCTCACACCGCGACCTACTACGCCACCTGGTAGGGTACTTCAACCACAACCACCGCGACGTGCGGATCAACTGCGTGTGGGTGGTGATCAACCTGACATACGAGGACGATGCGAGCGACCGGGACGGGTGTCGCGAGCGGGCATCGACGCTGCGATCGATGGGCGTAATGGACCGGTTGGCTAGCTTGGAGGATGATCCGGATCTGGACGTGCGGGAACGGACTAAAACGGCACAGCATTTGGTGAAATCTATGGTGTCATAGTTGGGGTGGGGGGAGCAAATTAATGCAGATGCTGGACGTATGGCCAGACTGATATAGATGGTGTAGATAGGTATAATATTCTACTCTATCTTATCTTATCGACCATAGCTATATTTAATTAATATGACGTCATCGAGGGATACCAGTCTTCTCCCCTCACATCTCAACTTCACACTTCACTCTCTCAATACGACACCTACATATCATTCACACACATACAACTACTCTCTCTATATAATATCCATCTCCAAGAAAGATCAAAGATATACAAGCAAGAAGATGTCCCCCTCCCACCCCCCATCCTCCAATCCCTCTCCCTCCCAAAGAACACAAAAGCAACCCTCTCAACAGCCAACCTCGGCTCCGGCTTCACCAGCACAGGGACAATCCGCGCGCTCATCCCATCCCCAAGCAATCCCGACCAAGAAGAAGAACGCCGCTACTTCGTCAAAACCTCCTCCAACGGCACCGCAGCCCAGGAAATGTTCCGCGGGGAATACGAGTCCCTGAACGCCATTGCCAACGCTGTGCCGGGGTTCTGTCCGCGGGGGATTGCGTGGGGTGCGCTTGATGAGGGCGGGAAGACATTTTTCCTAGTGACGGAGTTTCTTGAGCTCGGTGGTGGAAGAGCAGGGAAAGGAAAAGGGGAGAGGTCCCTCGCGCACAGGCTGGGAAAGCTCCATTCTACACCTGCTAGCCCCGATCCAAGCACCGGACGCCGTCGATTTGGGTTTCCCGTGCCTACGTTCTGTGGGGATACAAGGCAGGGGAATACCTTCCACGACTCATGGGCTGAGTTCTACGCCGAGGAGCGCCTGATGAGTGTGTTGGGTATTTCTGAGGAACGCAATGGGAGGGGAGATAAGGAGTTAAGGGGTATGGTTGAGCGGACTGCTAGGGTGGTAGTGCCTGCTTTGTTGGGGGATGGGCATTTAGGTGGTGAAGCCGGGGTGGAACCTGTTGTTGTGCATGGGGATTTGTGGAGTGGGAATGCGGACTGGGGGGTTATTGTTGGTGGAAGTGGATCTGGGGATGCGGATGGGGATGCTGGTGGAGGGGGAGATGTGGTGTATGATCCGTCGGCTTGCTACGCGCATAGTGAGTTCGAGTTGGGGATTATGAGGATGTTTGGCGGGTTTGGGAGTGGGTTCTTTGAGGAGTATCATCGGGTGGTGCCGAGGACGGAGCCCGTGGGGGAGTATGAGGATCGGGTGAGGCTATATGAGTTGTATGTCTTCCTTCTTCTTTTCTTTTGTTGTTGGATTTTTGGTGAGATTTACTGACTGACTGGTTAGGTACCACCATCTCAATCACCATGCTATCTTTGGGGCTGGGTATCGATCTGGAGCTATGGCGATTATGCAGAAGCTCATTAAGAAGTATGGGTCGGGTTGATTTATATAGTTATGGTAGCTGGCTATGCTGGCTAGATGTCTGGATATTCAGGTTTGGAGATAGTGATGAGATAGACAAGATGGAGTGTTGATGGTGGAATCATATCTTCATAATGAACACTGTCTCATAACTTCTGTTCATAGATTCTATCATACGATATCTTGATAATGTGATTCTATTGATGCTGCTATATATAACTCAGTAGATGGCGGATCAATGTTAGCTTTGTGTCCACGCGTATTGACACTAATAGACCCGCCCCGTTTTATTTGTACATTCTTTCCGTCTGAATATGATTTATATATATATATCTCCCTTCTATAGAAATATATATGGTTAAATATAAATCTATAGAGTGGAGAATGATATCGAATAAATTGATACTCCCGCCCACGTGACCCGTCCTCCCTCGCCAATCAAATCCGCATCTCGGTATCCTCCATCTCCATCATCCCATCATCCTCTCCCATTCTCTCTTCTCTAATCTCTATCCTGGTAACCACCATGACCCCAGATATGAAAGGCGACGCGAGACTTCCTTCGCCCGCAGAGTCCGTCCTGCCCGACCTGCCCCCAATTCACCCCTCCTTCATCCAGCTAGCAAAACCATACATCTTCGAACAGACCATCCAGCGATGTATTGCCGCCATGGGGGTGAATCCCCTGCGCGAGGAGGCGTTGCGCCTTCAGGGTGTCACTTGGATTGACAACGTTCGTCGGGTGCTCTATCTGTAAGTGCCAGTCACACGATGTTTTGACCAGTGCTGACAAACCCAGTCCCATCCGGACGTTTGACACCGCCGTGGTGTACTATCATAAGTTTCGCCTCGTTCACCCAGATAACGAGTATAGCTACACGGTACTTTGCCAACTGTGCGCTGTCAAGTATTCATCACTGACGGATCTTGTCTAGGACGCTGCTGCTGCCGCCCTATTCACCGCGTGCAAAATCGAGGACACTTTAAAAAAGTCCCGCGATATTGTCTGCGCCGCGTACAATCTTAAAGTGCCTCCTTCCGAGCACTTGTCTGCAGACAACCCGGTATGTTTTTTTGTTTTTCTTTTCATAATAACCTCTGTCCATTTCTGTACTAATACCGCCAGATATTCGAAATGCCCTCCCGAGGCATCATCGGCCTGGAAAGACTCATGCTCGAAGCCTCCGGGTTCGACTTCCGCACGCGTCATCCCCAAAAGACGCTGATCAAACTGGCCCGCAAGTACGGCCTCACCGCGCAGTCCGCTGTCTCCAGCACTGCCTACCGCATCTCCCAGGACCTGTACCGCACGTTTGCGCCGATCAAGCAGACATCGTCGACGATGGCGTTTGCCTGTCTCGAACTAGCCGGGCGCTTGCTGGACGAGCGCATCGACGCTGTAGAGCAGGGGCGAGACTACCATGCGTGGCGGACGAGTCGTGAAGAAGTCATGGGTGCGCCCCCCCCTCCCATTAACACACGCATCCTCCCTATCTTATCTCCCGTGTAAAGTATGCAGTAAGCTGATATCAAATAGAAACCCTATTCGACCTCCTCGAACTCTACACCCACAACCGCGCCTCAACAACACTCGGCCCCCACTTCCCCGCCGACCGCTTCCTCACCGTCCGCATCCCCCTCAACAAAGAAGCCGAATCCCAACGACTCCCACGCTACACGCACTGGGTCGACGACGCTCACTCCCGAGAGCAACAGCAGCAGCAACAAGAGCCCAACGGCAGCACCGTCCAAAACGGAGGCCTTACACGACCCCTGCACCCACTGACGCCCGTAACCGCCAACGGGGAGCGACCCCGGGCGAACGAGAAGGGTCGTGACGGTGCGGTGCGGTTCATGTTGGATCCGGAGTGTGCGGGGGCGGAGAGGGCGCGCGTTGCGGAGTTTTTCAAGGTTGAGATGGAGGAGTATAGAGTTGATGATTGATTGATCTATCTTGATTCTGTTGGTCTTGATCTTCGGTGTACTCTGTCGTCTATCTGTATCATTTGTCTCCATCATCTATGCATCCATACATGTATGGACGTATGATGCATACATGAATGGATGAACGATGAATGATGGAAGGACGGAAAGAAAGGAAGGAAGGAAGGAAGAAAGACACTGACCTCACCGAACCCCCCGACAGTACCCTGAACAGCCCCAGAGGCCAGTCAATCCACCCGCCTGAAAAGAGCGAAAGGCCAGGGCCCATGCCATCTACTGCTCTCACAGATATGAGGCGATTCACAGATTATTTATCCATCCAACCTGTTTTGGATATGGAAATGGACGGATAGATAGATGGTGGGACCACCATATGACCGAAGGATAGATAGTAGAGGATGGACGGACGAGAGTGGGAGCGATACTGAATATAGACCCGTTGGTCTCACAATCATCCAAACTGATAGACATGAACATACAAAACGGACTCATACATTTATCCTAAGTGGTTGATTTTACACACATCTACTCAATACCACTACCACTACCACTCTATCCACATAGCTACAATCACATCACACAAGGCGGCGACCGTTTAAATCCATCCCCGATTAAGAAGCGGTCCATTCCACTCCATGCATCCATGCATCCATCTAGTTTTGTTCGCATGATCTGACCTGACCCAACGGTATAACCCAAAAATAACACATACCAGCACGCGCAGACGAGCGACAGCGTCCGGGAAGAAGAAAAGGTTGGAGAGGTTGAAGTTCGATAATAAGTAGAGTCCATGTCATGTTGAAGAGACGCTGCAGAGAAGAATAAATAAATAAAGTAAATATAGAAAACAAAGTGACATCAAACAGGATAAACGGCAGAGCGGGCGCCGTCTAGCGAGATAGAGAAGAACGGGAGATGGAGAGGGCGGTCATGATCAGGTGGTGGTCGCTCATCGCCGTTTGAGCTCGGTGGTGAGGCAATCCATGATCTGGCAGAGTTAGTGTAAAGTTATGTTAGGGGGGAAATCATAGAGTAGACGTACCGATTCCGACACGGTGCCCTGGTTGTATAGGTACTTGCCCAACCCCCGGACCACCTCGAGCTGCTCCTCGACGGTGAGACCGTTGATGGCGGTCTCGATGATGTCGCCGACGCTGGCCTTGTAGACGGCGATGAAGCTGTGGTAGTACATGTAGGCGAAGAAGCCCATGATGAACTGGCAATCCATGCGATCGGTGATGCCGCCGTGGCCGGGGATGGACTCGCCAAAGTCCTTGATCTTGAAGGTCCGCTTGAGTCCGGAGGCGAAGAAGCCGCCAAAGGGGGCGATGAGCGAGGCGAACGAGGCGAAGACGAGGATGTGGAACTGCATGGGCTCGATGTACAGGGTCTTGTCCAGGCCAGTCCACTCGGGGAGCGAGTAGGGCTGGGGCACAAAGGCCGGGTTGGGGGTGCATTCCAGGCCGGTCAGGACGTTGGAGCCCAGGTCATTGACGGGGCAGATGAAGTACTTGTAGCGCATGAGGATGTTGGTCATGAAGTAGCCGAAGCCGATGGTGCAGATCCAGGCGCCGAGGAAGCCCTCGACGGTCTTCTTGGGGGACAACTTGATGAGCTGGGTGCGGCCGAAGGTGATGCCGCAGACGTAGGCGAAGATGTCGTTGGTAATGACCAGGGAGGCGGGCAGGAAGAACCAGATCATGCCCTCGAGGATGTTGTTCATGACGAAGTGGGCTTGGACGACGATCAGGTAGAGGGCCATGTGCGTCCAGGCCCACTGGGTGAACTGGAAGCGGTAGTGACCCTTCTGCAGGGAGGCCACGAAGAAGACGAAGCCTAAAGGGTCAGCATTAGCATTCTCAAGTTTGATGTTCCGGGGAGAAGATAGACCTACCCATGACGTAGAGCATGAAGCTGATGAAGCGGTGGTGGGTGGCCAGGGGCAGGAGCACCTTATCGACCAGCAGGACATGCTTGAAGTAGTAGATGACGCTCTCGCCGTAGAGGAAGTACATGGTCGTGGCGAGGAAGTACCAGTTCAGCGACTTGGTGAAGCGGAGGTTCTTCTCGCGACTGGGGACGTTGGCGATGGCGATGACCTCCTTGAAGGAAACGATCTGGACGGCGGAGACGATCCCGATGACGTATATATGGCCGGAGAACATGGCGATGAAGAAGAGGGCGATCATGACGAAGGTCCATATCGTGCGGGTGATGAAGGTTGCCTTCTTCTTCTCGTAGTCGGACTGTTGGGGTTTCTATCGGAGAAGTTGTCAGTCCTCTGCATGGATGGAGACCGGGGGTCGCTATGGGGTAGTCAGGCACTCACCTCCTCCGGGATGGTCGCCGGAGTATCGACCGGGCCATTCTTGGAAACACTGCCAGGATCCGAGGCGGCATCACTGGTATCGGAGATACTAGGCCGGCGAGTATCGGAGCCGATGGAGCCGCGATGCTGGAACCGGACGTTCCGGCGAGACTTGGACATGATCAAGGAGTATTAGGGAGTATGAGAAGGGATTAAAAGAGGGACCAGAGAGGTGGGGAAGGAGAGGTGAGGGGGAGGGGAGATGACGTTGTGCGCAATTGGCGATGGTGAAAGATGGGGGGAAATCAAGTACGCGGGGAAGAGGGGAGAGAAGGGGAGGGAGGAGAGGGAAGAGGATAGGGAGAGAGATGAGGGAAAGGGGAGAGAGCAGAAGGAAGAAGATGCGATGGGAGATGCAGGAGAAGAAGGAGTGAAGAGGAGAGAGAAAAGGAGGATGGAAGAAATCCGGGGGAGAAGTCGGAGAGAAGAAGAAGAAGAAAAGAAGGAGAAGAGAGAGAGAGAGAGAGAGAGAGAGAGAGAAGTGGTTGAGAGAAAGATCGGCGAAGGATTTGGGTGTGCAGTTGGGCTGGGAATCAGCCTTTCTATGCCAACAATATTTATATTGATTATCTGATATTCATACATTATTATAGAGATAATTCTCTAATTTATTCTAACTGAATAATCTATTTGAATGAATGAGATGATCAATTATCGTGAAGAATGAGGCTTCAGGATGAGCATAATGCATCTTGTGCAGATCAGCTGACTGCTGACTATTTATGCTGTCATCTGTTTGCCTGTTTGTCCTGTTTATCCTGTTTGTCCTCTCCTCATCTTCAGCTTCATCTTCATTTCTCTCTCTTCTCTTCTTCTCTCTCCTACCTCTCATAATATTCTTCTTTCTCCTTCTCTTCTTGAACCGCTTCTCTCTCTCTCCCTTTGTTGAATCCCCATGGCGATCAACAACACCCGTGGGCATGGATGACAACGATGAGGATTTCTTCTCCGACGATGGTTTCGACGACCTGCCTCCCGGCACCCTCCTACAGTTGGAGGAGAATGCCGTTCGAGCCACTCAATGGTCGCAACCAACCGCGCCCTCGGGCTTGAAGGTGCCTTCGTTTCGCATGGAAATGACCGAAGATGACCAATCCGCTCCCCTCGACCAGCGCATCCCCTCCCACGATCCGACGACCCTCCCACCGCCCCCGCGCCTGCACACCGGTCTGACCGGTGATTACGGGGCCTTAGATGTCGGCGAGTTGGATGCGGAGGTCTTCGACGATGGCTCAGCCATCGTCCTGGACGAGACTTTCACCCACCCGGAGCAACAAGATCTCCCCGTGCCCCATGCGTTCGAAGTGCATGACGCGGACCAAGCGCCGATCCGAGACCACCCCGCGGAGTATATGGAGGTCGAAGGAGACTTCTCCCCCCATGGCGCTCAACTCCAGCACGACTACAACCTGCTTATGGAAAAGGTAGTGGACTCCCCTTTCCGCTCCCGGTAGTAGACGGCGTGGTCCGGACGTGGGACTAATGTTTGTTTCCCGGCAGTTGGCGCAGGAAAATGCACGCTATAAAGAATTGGTTGATGAACTGACCGCCGCCAAAACCACGGCCGCCACCAAAAATGGTGAAATCGCCATCATCCGCTCCAACCAGGCCAAGTTGAGTGACAATTACGAGCGGCAACTGGTAGCCCTACGGAAGCAGCTGGCCGAGGAGATCGGTCGCCATCGCGGCGAGGTCGAGGCGGCGCGGGTTGAAGGCAAGATGCTCGCTACGGAGAATGCCTTCTTGAAGCAGGACCTGGCCGAGGAGTCCATGCGCATCCACGCCCGCAAGCCCAAGGGCCGCCCCGAGGAGACCCCCGCCCCCGAGACGCCCAAGAAGACCAGGGTCCTCCCCTTTCGCGACGGGTTCGACGACGAGGAGATCTTGGCCGTCTCACCTACCAAACCCACCCCGTTCAAACATTACACCACCACGGCCCGCGGGAAACGGAGACGGCAGCTGAGCCCGGACCGTCAGGCCGGCCTGCCCTTGGACGCCCCCGTCGCGCCCCAGACCGCCGAGCCTCTCGCGCCGGACGATCCCGATCCTGATCCGTCGGACGAGGAAGAGATGGAGATGGAGATGGAGATGGAGATGGGGGACGCGGTGGCGGACGGACCGGCCCGGGCCGTGGACGACGACGCCCACGCACGGGTAGTGAAACGCCTCCTCAACCATCGAACGTACCCGAACGAACAAAGCGACCTCGAGGTGCTGGGTCGGCTAGCCTTCCCGTCGGCGCCCCAGCGAACCCTGTCCACCCGGCTGCTGGAGGAGACGGCCACCCGCAATCGGGGCAGCTACCTGATGGACTACGCTGAGGCGGTGATCGCGCTGTGGGCGCAGGCGTTGGCAGAGAAGTACTTCGCCCCGGTGCCCATCTTCCTCGCCGTCACGCGGGAGGTGCTCGCGCTGGACGCCCGGACACCCGGTTCGGGGCTAATCGAGCTCCTAGTGCCCGTGCTACAAGACTCGGGCGACGTCAACGGAGTGCCGCGGTTCCGGCACTCGCCGCAGTCGCGGCAGAGCTCGGGGCAAATCCGACGCACGCCCGCGTCGCAGCTCGAGCCGCGGGTCGACGCGACGGCAGCGCTGGCGCTTCTCCACCAGATCGCCTGCTCGCGCCTCCACGTCGCGGCGGACCTCGAACGGTTCTGGCGGTGCATGCGCTACGACTTTGTGCTCATGATGCTGAACTGCGCGCAGCCGCTCCACGACCTGATCCTGACGCTAAGCTTACTGGCGACCAGCGTGCGCGCCGACGCGTTCGGGTCCCTACTCGACACCGAGGCGGACCAGCGCGCCAACGAGAACTACGTGATCGACCGGGTGGCCAACCTGCTGAGCGAGACGCCGCAGCCGGACGAGGGCGCCGCGCCCTACCCGGCGGCGGCGGTATGCCAGCTGCGGCTAGAGGCGCTATCGCTGCTTCAAGCGATCGCCTTCAACGCGACGGCACCGAGCAGCCGGCACGGCAGCGGAGCGATCGCGGCGCACCCGACGGTGTTGGCGCGGGCCATCCGGGCGATGCACGACGAGCTGGACGCGCTCTACCGGTTTCCGCCGGAGCGGGCGCTGCACGCGATCCTAGTCAACGGGCTGATGCGGCTGGTGTACGGGGTGCTGCGGCGACACCCAGACCAGGTGGACCTGCCGTCCAAGCTCGGGCGTCTGGCGGGGGGGAAGCAGAAGTTTTTGGTCGCGTTGACGCGACTGGCTTTTAGTGAAGGGTTGGTGCTGGAAGAGGGAATCGACGACGAGACGGTGGAGATGGCGCATGCGATCTTGGACGACGCGGTCAATCCGCAGGAAGCGGAGGCGTTGCAGGAGGCATTTTCCAGTTCGCGACGGGAGGAATAGGTCGGCGGGGTGGAGTGCACATGGCTTATAGTATGACACATACGACGATACGAGTAACGACTATAGTAATACATGAAAGCAATCGAGGTTATTTATACACATAAAAATATAAACAAGTCTATCCCATAATACAATGGATCTAATAGTGGTATTACAAGCTACAGATTACAATCTCTTCTCCACCCTCAAGCATATAGCTCAAAGACTGATGAAAAGATAAGATATTCCACAAAGGAAAGGTGCCAAAGAATGCGCCTGTCAATGACCCGCAGGCCGTTGAACAGACTGTTCCGCCGCGCTGTGCAATGCAGGGACCAGACTGTGGTGGACCGCCTTCTTGATCGCAGCCACCCAAACAAGGTAAGTATGAAGAAAGAAAGAAGAAAAGAGAGTAAAGGGTGGAGGGGGGAGCAGAGTATTTATAGGGGATGGTGGGTGAGTCAGCTGGCGCTAGTGGTAAGCGAGAGTAAAATCAGCCAATCAGGGGAGAGTCGATGGTGGCCTGACGAAAAGTGTCGGTGCCTGGGTGATCAGGTGTCTGTTCCTGATGATTAATGCTACACGTGACCGTGAAGTTTTGGCGCCGGAGATACCAGGCCAGCAGCAGCTTCACTTCGACCCGAGCAGGAAGAACCAGACACGTTCAATTATTCCCTGCCCACGTCTACTCCGCCACCATGAGGAACCGGGCGACGACCACATTGACCAATCCGGTATGTCAGACCACATCTCCCCATCCCTTCCATTCTCCAGGAGCGACAACCACTGACAGGCCATCCACCCCAGAAAATCCGACAATCATGGAGCAAATACAACCTATTTAACCTGACGCGGATGCGCACCCCCCAAACCTCCTTCCGCACCCACTTCCAGCAGAAATTCAAAGCCAAGAGCATCGCCCGCGCCTACCATGGCGAACAGGTCCGCGAGAGCCAGTGGCAGCGCATGTTCTCCTCCCGCATCCGCAGCGTCATCCCCATGGATCCCTACAACCTGGCCAAGGACGACGGCGCGGGGGCCGCTGCTGGCCGTGGCTCCGGCCTGGGGAACAAGATCAGCCGGGCGGAGCTGAGCGTCCAGCAGGCGAAGCAGTATATTCCCTTTTCGCAGATGACGTTTGCTCCGTTGGAGCGGCGGCTGGATGTTGCTGTTTTTCGGGCCCTCTTTGCGAGCAGTACCCGCCAGGCTCGTCAGTTTGTGATTCATGGGGCGGTTACCGTTAATGGGCAGAAGGTATTCCTCTCTTTTTCTCCCTTTCTATATGGGTGTGTGTGTGGACATGGGCTAATTTTGTAGATGAGATACCCCGGTTACCTTTTGAACCCCGGAGACCTCTTCCAGGTCGACCCCGAACGCGTCATGTTTGCCACCGGCGCCCCCAAGAACAAGTCCGAACGACGGGAAGGCCGTGCCCTGCGCAAGAAGAAGTCGGAAGGAGAGGAAGCCACCGAGGCCGAGGCCAAGGAGGAAGACAGCGCCGCGGCGGAGGAGTCCAAGGAGCCCGCGGAGGCTGAGGCCAAGGACCAGCCCAAGGAAGACCCCCGGAAGGTCTTGAAGGGGCTGATGGCCCAGGCGAAGGGCATCATGTCCACCGGCCAGGATGTCCTGCCCGCCAAGCGCAAGCAGGAGCTGCGCGGCTTCCAGAAGGCCGTGCGTCGAGTGCTGTCGCGCTCGGCCTCGAGCACCGTGCTCACTGACAACCTCGAGTCGCAGTTCGCCGAGCTGACCCAGCTGCTCAAGGCCAAGCGCGCCGAGAAGAAGAAGGGCGACCGCAAGGAAGGTAAGGAGGCCCGGTCACCCAAGTCCGAGGCATCCGACGCCCAGAAGCAGCCCGGTGCGCCTCAGGGTGCCGCCGCCGCCGACGAGGCCCAACCCGGCGAGGCCCTGACCGAAGCCTTCCGACAGGCGGCCGAGAATCCGGAGCAGGAGCCCGACACGTCGGAGCTGTCCGACGAGGAGTTCGACGTGCTCAAGCGCGCGATGGTGCAGATGCGCGACAACCCCATCGATCACAGCAAGCCGTACGGCACGCCGTGGCAGCCGCGCGATTTCATGAGCGCCTTCGCCTTCGTGCCGCGCTACCTCGAGGTCAACCACAGCATCTGTGCGGCGGTTTACCTGCGCCATCCTGTCGCGCGTCCCGGCGCGTCTGAAGTGCCGTCGCCGTTCGGCGAAGTGGTGGGTACGGGTGCGTTTGCGTGGTATCTGCGCCGACGGTAGTTTCTTTCGAGTGGATGGGTTGATATTTTCTTTATTTCTCTCTCTGTAGACTTGGATCTGCAGGTGCATGTATAACTGGGCTGTCTGGGTTTCTGTTTGATTTTATCTGTCTTTTCTTTTTCTTTTCGAGCATCTGCGACGATCGGATGATCTGGCGCTCTGACTGTCTAATCCTAGACCCACGCTGTATTGTATACCATATCAATGTACATTGGATGTCTCATGCATCACCAGCATTCTTGCTGGTATAGTCTTCAGTATAGAGTAGTCTAGAGTAGTCTAGAGTAGTATAATATGGATAGAATAAGATGGTATCGCTGTATCGAGATGGTATCTACAAAAATACCAATACCGAGGAATACAACCGCCGGTCCATTCCGGCCACTCAACTCCAGACCGCGATCGTGAACCTCTCTTTCCCTCCTTCTTTCCCACTCTGTTACCTCCATCACTCCACCTCTCCTCTCTTCTCATCTGGAGGGTCTCTCCAGATCCCCTCCGTCCATGTATCCCTGGAATACCACCCTCCCCCCGCCGCCCTCCGCGACCGGCCGACTCCAGTCTCCCGCCTCCGCCTCCACCTCCTCACCCGCGCACACCTCCCACCAGATGTCGTCGATGCAATGGCGGCCGTCCATGACGTCGCGCTCCTCTACACAAGGACCCCTCGCCGGTCTCCATATGAACCAGGGTTCCGCAACGGGCTCGTCCCCTACCCCCGGGTCCACCGCTTCTCCGTTCCGCCCTATGTCGCTATCGCGTCCGCGCTCTAATCACGAGATGCCGCCTGTCTCGGTCGTCATCGAGTCGCGTCCCCAGCCGCGCATCGACAGCTTAGATAGCTCGGACAGCGAGCGGTCGGTGGATGGGGCCGCCACGCGGGCGTCTGGATTCGCCCGTACGGGTGATAATCGCGAGGGAATCAACAGTGGAGGACGACGAGGCCGCACAGACACGGACGCACCCGACGACGACGCAGTCATGATCGTGGACGACGAGCCGGACGAAAGCGGGATAGGACGAGCCGAGTCGAGCAGCACCGCCGCGGCAAACACCCACAACAACACCACCAACAACACGCATCCCCACCCGAACAGCAACCGCCGACACGGCAAGCGCCTCACCACCCTAGAAGAAGTATCCCTCTTCGACATCTGCAACCGCCACGCTGCAGACTTCGGCCACCGCAGCAGCCTGTGCAAATGGTGGATGACAGTGACGGAGGAATTCACCCGCGACCAGGGCCACCCATACTCGTGGCACAGCGTGCGCCGCAAGGTCGAGATCGTCACCAAGCAGCGCCAGAAGTTCCTCGAGGAGTCGCGCCAGCAGCGCGAGCCACCACTCGATAGTGCCAATCCGCGCTGGCGCGTCGCTGTCGACGCTTGGATCCCTACCTGGCAGCGCTGGGAGGAGGCCGAGGCCCGCCGCATTGAGAAGCGCGATATGCGTCGCCCGCGGAAGCGCAAGTACTGGGAGGCGTCGTCGCCTTGGGATGTCATCTCGACAATGTCTTGCGATGGGGGGTGGAAGCCTCCGCCGGCGCCGGCGCCGGTGCCGTCGCTACCGGTAGGGGGGAGCGGGGAGTCTCCCTCGAGCACAGCGCCAGCAGCAGCACCACCACCAACTGCAGTGGATGTCAGCGGTAGTCAAAACCAGCAGAACGGGTTCACGTCTACGACTACGCCTGTACCTGCGCCTGCGCCTATTTCCACGCCGACGGCCGTGCGCCTCCCCCCAGGCTTCGATACCATGTTCCAGGGGAACTCGCCCGCGACGCCCATGCACCACACCCCGACAGCACAGACACCGTCCATGGACGCGGGCGTCATGTCCGCCATGCTCGAGACGCTAGGGAAACTAAACAAGCACCTCGACGCAGCAGCCAGCACGACCCCGACAGATGCGTCCCGCGCCCCACAGCTACCAGTACCACTACCATTACAGTTACCACCATCCTCCGCCTCCTCCGCCGCCTCGATTTCATCAACACCGTCCTCCTCGCGAGAAAACCTCTCCCCTCGTCCCAGCGCCCAACTTGACAGCCATAATATCAATACTAATACCAATACCAACACCAACAAAACCAAATCCACTGGCAGTCTCTCCACAGCAGCAATAACACAACTCAAAAACGAACTCCGACTAGAAATGCGCGAGGAAATACACCGCGAGCTGGAGAAAGATCGCGCGGCGCTGGAGGAGAAGTTGGACGCTGTGCAGCGGACGCAGGATATGATTCTGGAGATGCTGAGGCAGGAGCCTGCTTGATGATTCTTATACTTCTTTTTCTTCTTCTTTTTTATATCCGTTTTATTAAACATTGTTGTTATGGTGGTTTTTGGGCGGTTGATATTACTGATGTTGATGATTTGTTTGAGGTTCTTTTGTGATACCCTGATTGCGGTGTTTTTATATCTTGATTATTTATATATATATAATACGGTTTATTTTCTGAGAATTGAGGGGATTTGTCTACTTTGTATATCAATATATCAATCACACTGGATTGTATATTCCTGCTCTCCGTATATACTTAGTGCAGGTACATAGGTCCTGTTCACCATATTTATGTTTTATATCCGGGATATCTTGATCCATACTACCGTGGTAATCCATTATATATATAGATCCATCCATCCTCGACACGTACCCTATGTATGCTCTATACTCCATCGATGCATTTTCATCTGTGATACTCAGACAGATGGATCCAATCAATATATAAACATAGTAACAGATACGGGAGGCTTGTCAACATCAGCCAGTCTTATACAGTTCTAGCTCTGTACTGTTCTTCCTAGCTTGGTACATTAACTTGATATTTAGCTACTCACTTACTTAGGTACGCACCTTTGCAGTCTTTACTTCGCCTTATCTTATGTTTGAATTTGCGTGGATCTGTCAGATGGATCTGGATGTATGTCTATATCTTGAAGAGGAGATGGTTCTTCCATTCGTGAAAATAGAGTAAATAAAGTACTGCAAATAGAAAAAAATCAATGCAATATAATAAATTCAACGGCTAAATTACATAGTAAACATATCGTAGAGAGCAAGGTAGGTAAGGTAGGTAGGTAAGTAAGTGCACAGGAACCGGCCAATCTGATTATATCTCCTTTATATCATGTGCTCCCATTTGACCCCTTTTGATCCCCCCATTCTATTATTTTGGCTTTTCGTTTTTTGTTGGTGTCCCCCAATCTAATAGTAGAAGGTCTCGTCGACGGTACGACCCCGCATCCAGCGGGGCTCGCTGCCGCGGACGTAGATGTCCTCGTAGAGAATGCGAGGGGTGGCATCGGGCACGGCCATGGCCTCGGCGATGGCGACCTCCTCGTCGACGAAGGCGCGGGCCTCCTTGTCCAGGCCCTTGAGCTCGTCCTCGGACAGGACGTTCCAGTCGAGGATCTTCTGCTTGAGGCCCGCGATGGGGTCGTTGGTGCTGCGCATGCGCTGGATCTCCTCGCGGCTGCGGTAGGTCGTGCCCGGGTCGGACATGGAGTGGCCGCCGTAGCGGTAGGTGACGTACTCGAAGACGAGGGGGCCGTTGCCCGCCACGGCCCACTCCTTGCCGTACTTGACGGCGGCCTTGGTGGCCAGGACGTCCATGGCGTTGACCTTGATACCGGGGATGTATTGGCCACGCTTGTAGTACTCGGTCAAGGCGGAGGAACGAGCGGCGGAGGTACCCATACCGTACTTGTTGTCTGTATGGTATTAGTTTCGATCAGTAGAAAATAGAGAAAGAGAGAAACATACTCTCGCAACCGAACAGGGCAGGCAGCTTCCACAGCTTAGCCATGTTGAAAGCCTCAAAGACCTGACCCTGGTTGGCGGCACCGTCACCGTACAGGATCACGGAAGCCGTCTTATCCTCGTTGTACTGCTGGGCGAAAGCCAGACCAGCACCGACGGGCACCTGGGCACCGACGATACCGTTGCCACCGTAGAAGTTGGGGGCGAACATGTGCATGGAGCCACCCTTGCCGTAGGCGATACCCTCACGGCGACCGAGCAGCTCTCCGATGATGGAGCGGACGGTACCACCGCGCATGAGGGCGAAACCGTGGCATCGGTAGGCGGTGATGATCTTGTCGTCGCGGGTAAGGGCGTGCTCGATACCGGCGGCGACGGCTTCCTGACCGGTCGACAGATGGCAGAAACCTCTGATCTTCTTCTCCTTGTATAGACGGTCGGAGGCCATCTCCATACGGCTGGTTCACACCATTAGCATGGACGAATTGGAGACAGCTAGTGTGTGTTGTTGCAAGACGAGGGTAGCATACCGGATGGTGACCATGTCGTAGTACATCTGCTTCAGCTCCTTCTTGGTGACCTCCATGGTGTACGGAGGCGGGTCGATCTCGTAGGTCTCGAAGCTCTCATCGGAGAGTTGAACGGTGAAGGGCTTGTCTTCCTCCTATACACGCGACACGGCGCGTCAGTCTTTCAATCCTTCATCATGATCGGGGAGGGAGGGAAGAGAAGGGCCTAAGGCCAACAAACCTGCGGGATATTCTCAGCATGCGACGAGGCCGCGTCGGTGGTGACGGAACGACGGGCAAGGGGAGCAAAGGCCTGACGGCGCAGAGGTGCGGCCTGACGGGCCCAGGCAGCACGGAACAGCATGATGAAGATGTCTGTTCAAGGAAAAGATAGGAGGGGGAATGGGAGGAAGGGGAGGGTGTAGGGGAGATGGGAGAGATGAGAAGTCGCTGATAACCTCTGGGGAATTTTCCCATTCAACGAGTGAACGAATAATGTTGGGATTTTCCGGCTGGCTGGCCGGGCTGAGGTAAGCAGTTGCTTTCCTGTTTGGGGGCAGCCGGTGTAGATGATGCAAACCAGTCAAATATGTGCTGTTTGTTTGGTTTATCTGGTCTGTTTAGTTTGTTTGATTTGTTTATCTATCTCTATCTTCATCTTTATCTGGATAACACTCGATCTACTCCATACCAGACCCAGACTACAGAGGAGATACTCAGGTATCACCCCAACACAAGAGTCAAAGCACCCTTTTGAATACCCAACCAACCCAACCCTAACCCACAACCAAGTCCTTCAAATTCATCCATCCTCCCAATCTAGTACCCTCATCCCCAATCAACCCCAAACACAGTGGGTCCTGAAACCGACCAACGGTCTCAACCCCCAAGTCCATCTCAGCCTTCTCAGATGTCTGTCAGGGTCCATACAGGGCCCAAAAATCAATCAAATCAGATCGAGATTCGATCGGACAGCCGATGGTGGATTCAACCCGGCTATTAACGACGCCCTAGGCCGCCGCCCTACGGATTAACTAAATCGTCAGGAAGGATCAGGCCATCAAGCCGAGCCGACCCGCTTTTTGTTTTGGGCTGATGGATTATGGGGCTTTTGTTTGACAGGCCGTTAATTTGGGACGTGGGATCTGGGTTGTAGGCGTTGTATAGAGAGTGTGGGTTGGTGGTGTTGGACCTGGTTTTAATGGTGGTAGATGTGGCTGTCTTTTGCTGGTTCTAGATATCTAGATACCTTAGGTGTCTGGTTGAAGTGGAATGTTAGATACCCCATTTGGAGTTATGTGTAGCTTTCATGCTGGTTGAATCCAGCTGATTCAGTCAGAAAATTGTGTAGTATGGTGGATAGAGGTAGGTTAGCAAGAATTATACTTGATCTTTATCAGACAGTGATTGTGCAAACGATAGTGTATAGTCTGAAGACGAATAATAGAGAGTATCGTCCGAAGAAGAAATCTTTCAAAGGCTATCAATTCGAGCTGTAGCAGAGCTACGAGTATGCTACCTATGAATATGCCACACAACCCAGAGCTACATGTTTAGCAGTCATTCATACGCCGACATCAGTGTAACCTCACAGAAATCTATCATACGCAGCACCCTTCGTATACAACTGCTTGGATAGAGATAGGAATTCAGGCCAGGACCCGTATAACCTACTGGAGCTGACCCCACCATGCTCATATGAACCATCAATAATCAACTTCTGTTGACATCAGTCATATCAAGCCGACCAAACCCCGATTCTTCGGTATTTGGCGCAGTGGTCGTCACCCTCGACATTGAATCCCATGATTTGGAATGACGACTTGACAAATCCAGATATCGCCTCCGCCACACAATACATCAAGCCACAACCCCAGCATTTGTCACTCGGAGAACTCCCGATTTCCCCAGTCACATCCGATCGACCTGCAAGGGGCGAACCATACCATAATAACCCGACGAACCTACGAATGGAACCTACGAATCCTCATACTCAAGGTCCGGATAAGGCCGTCCCTGACTCGGTAGGAAGATAGGGGAGGCCACGTTGGTCGTAAGAGCAAAACCCGATGGTGGCGACCGAGCGATTAATGCAATGTGACGTCTCACGCAAGCCACAATCTGGCCCTCAGATCGTCACGAGCCACACGCCGACGGACGAGATTAGATGGTTGTTCCGGAATCCTTCCCATCGGAGAGCGTGTGGGGGAAGAATACTATCAAGTTAATCTATCTATCGTCCGTCCCCTGTATAGCTGACGATGCGGGCGGACATGTGCAGATAGGCTGCTGGGCGTATGGCGTATGGCGAATGGGAAGAGCCACGCTCGAGGGCGTCGGGTTTGAGGCTAGGTTGCATTGCATGGATGCTCGATAGGGAGTACGGGGCGTCGATATTAAGGTTACTCCTGACTCGCACAGAGCCGTGTCACGTCACATTGCGGATCTGTGTATTGCATTTGGCAGACTGGGGGAGGACACATACGAACGCGGTCCGATTGAAGCGGGTAGGGTTTGCTAGTATGAGGGATCAGAATGCAGGCGGGAGCGCCTCTTTTGACAAGTCGGATGAGAGGTCTCGGGTTGAGGAGCAGGGCCAAGTCCACCGGACAGAGTCTGTTCGGCCAGGCCACCATCAGATGCCAGACTCAGTCGGCAGAGGGCCACTGATTCAGGCGTCAGAATCATTCAGGTGACACACGGACCTCGACGCGAACCATGTCCCCCGGCATCCATCCGTCGGGGACCAGGCCGGTTTGGCTTGACTACGACCGTTGCGAGAGGTTAAGCGAAGGGTTTCAGGGTTGTTTCACCGTCCCTGGTGAGAAAGTCAGTAAACTGGAGAGGAGAGAGAGACCGTCAGCCTTGGCCGGAGTCCGTAAAAAGCCAAGGCGTCCGACGGCACGCCCGTCGTAATCTTAGTTGACGCAGCTAGCCCAGCACCACAATTTTATTATTGAGCCGGGATCGGTGGGACCAGAGGGGTTAGTGCCGTCTGTGGGGCGCTGGAATGGGATAACCGTTGGGAAAGTTTGGATGCGCGCCGTCGGGAGGGGAGGGAAGAGGGGGGCATCGAAGAGGACATGCACGACAATCATGGCTCGTTAGTCCGGACGGGAGAACCAGTCAAGAGTGAGAGTGTGGTGGAGGGGACACGATATGTTCCGAGGACTTTTGTTCTAGACCTTGCCATGGGCGAGGGAGTGGAGGATTCTAATGTATCCTAAGTGGGAAGGGGAGGCAGACTATCGACAAACGGGATTCTGCATGGCATTTTCCCACGGGCTTGCGTTCGAACACTTGGTCAGATTGAAGGTCCCGAGACCAAGTGTTCGGGAGTTAGTTGAAACTGGAACCCCCTCCGTGGAATGAGGCGAGGTTAGTCGACGCCAAACCATGGAACAAGTCAGGATACATCATCTTTTCCACCACAACGGGGGTCTGAAACCTGGAGAATCAGGCACCATCGCCACTGTCCATTAAGTTTTGTTCCATGGGTGATTGGGATCAGAGCGTTAGGTTGAGCAACGCCTCGGAATCCTTCCTGCTGGTGCTTTTAAAACTTGACGTGGGTATTGCTGATCAGTGTGGGAGTGTTTTCTCGTAATTCTCCAGCTGGAATTTCATCCCTGCAAAGAGGCCGAGTTATCCTGTTATTCACCGGTTGAATTGATTTGACTTTTTGTCTGGGGAGATTTTGATTTTGGATCGATGGATGTGGTTGCATGATACTTCCCGGTATGGGATTGTATTAAATACCATCTCCGGCCTTCCGTTACTTCTTTCCATTAATGAGATAGAGCAACGTACAAACAACAATGTGGTAATATATGGTAATATAAATACTAGGGTAAAAAGGCCCCGCTTCCCGTTTTCCTCCCATGAAACTGACGGCCGATCCTTACTTCCACTGCCAGATTTCAGGAGTCCTCTTCTAACGGACAAGAGTCATATCCATCCTATGATCCTACTATAGGACAGTCAAGCAGGGAAACGCTCGGGGATCGACACGCTCTTAACCGAGCTCATGTCAATCGTTACTGGATTGTGGCATGTCCACTCGCCATCCTTACCGTACCACAGTTTTCTGTCAACCAAGTATGGACTGGAGTTATCGATTCTATAATTATCAGGAAGGAGTTCCGGTATGGGTTTATAATGAAGTCGATCGAGTGGGTTCATTTCACGCACAGGATTCTATTTTGAGAAGTACGGGGTCCTGGAGATGGACGTTGGCCCGTCGACCAGGTTATGATGCCGAGGTGAGGAGACCCTCCTGATGTAGGGTCTCACTTCTTGCGTGCAGACGATGGAGCGATCAATGGGAGATGCATATGCGACGGGTGGCTGGCACTGGCTGCGCTGAGGATGCTGTTGTCCGACCAGACACTTATGCAGGGTCAGTAATAATATAATTATCCTAATTGTTTAATAACAATCCAATGATTTTTATGATGAATGCTCTACTTTTATCTATCTTTTATCTGTTTGTTGTTATTGGAATTATTTTTTCTTGATTTATGATTTCAGATAGGTACATTGGATAGGTAGAGCTGTCAATTAAGGCATGTAAGGAGCACCAAGATCGGATCATTAGACCTCATCTTGCTGAATTATTGACACTAGTTGGTGGGATCATGACAGGTCATGGATTGTTACTCGAGGGGAAACCGATAATTTATGTCCGGAGTCCAAGATGCTTGGATGACAATCATATTATCCGATTGGGGAGGATCTTAATTCATCTATTGTTCCGTTATTGTCATTCATTGTCTGATCTGTCACCTGATCCCTTCTGCCCTATCTCATCTTCTTTGTTTCTATCCTCATGCTTTGTCTTCTCCAGTCTGTCATCTTCAACCTTGCCGTGAATATTCAATCATGAATCAGTCATGAATATAGACTGAATACTCAACCATACCTCCTATCTCTTGCCTCCTGACGGTCCCTGGATCGGACCCACGCGGGTACCTTGTCGCCTCTTCTTGTTGGTTCAGTGGCCACGATGAAGCCACCCTCCCCACCACCCAGTTCGAACTATTTTAGCATTAAAATGCTAGTCGAGCATCCGCTTGACTTACTAGTACCTGAATGATGAAATCCTCTCTATCCAATGCCATCTCCTGAACAAATCCCCGGCTGTGGCGCCGTCGTAAAATTATTTCCACCACGATATTCTTCCTCTTTTTTTCTCTATATTATTTTTCTTTTTTATTATCATCATCTTAGTGTTTATTCCTTTTTTTTTTTTTTTTTTTTTATCATCTTCTGTTCTATCCATAATCTTTTGCTCCCCCTGTATCCTTTTCTTCCTCTTTCAACTCCCACTAAATCTTCATCCTGGTCCCGTCTGATCATCAATCCCCCCCTAACTCCCTAGTTAATCCTCTTGCTTCATCCCCGGGACATTTTCCCTGTCATCTCCCCCACTCCAATCTCTCCACTAGCCCTCCCTGAAATAGGTATCATCTCTCGACTGCCCATCCTTTTATCTCTTCCTTCTCTCTTCTCTCTTTCTTGCGTTTTGCTTTCGTTGTCCCCTCGCTTTCTACCGTGACCTCCCCTCTCAGGCTCATGTGGAAGCATCGTCCGTCTTCCAGATCGGATTCCAAGTCTGGAAGCACTAATCCACCGGGTTCAACCTCCTCGACGCCCGGGTTACGATCCGAGCGTGGCTTCTTTAGTCGTGCTAAGAAGAAGTCTCCGCTTCGTAAGTACCATATGGCATAGTGTCTCATGCTAGTTCTCCTTACTTGTCTTGTCCTGCTTCATTCTGATCCTCATTTTGATTTTTCTGATCTTCATTTGATTTATTCATTTTATTTGAGTTACTCATTTATTCCTGAATTGATTATATTTGTGGTGTTATTTTATTTTGTTGTGGTGGTGATTTTCTTTGATGTGGATTTCCCTCCCTAATCCGTTCTTCCCCCTCCGATTCATCATGATTCTCCCCACCGTGTAATCCAATTTCTCCCGATCTTCATTGTTCAAAAGTCCACGTTCCGATCCTGTGGTCCCATCTGCACCTCCTGATCACAAGCCTCCTTTCCTTTTCTTTCTTCGTCCCCTCTCTCCCTCTGTCAACACTGTCCGCGCCTCTCTCTCTCTCTCCCTCTCCGTTCGTTCCCCCTCCCCTGTCCCGTCTATCCACACCCCCCTCCTCCTGACCCCCCGTCTATCCAATCCTATATATACGCAACGGGAAGATTGTCAAGGATATCTCTGCGCCTCACATGCAATACTACCCTCCTGCCGCATCCAATTGTTCCTTCGCTCGTTCCATTGTTCCCCCCTCCGTCACTAACCAAGTTGCTCCCTTCCGCGCTCGACAGATTTACCGCCCACTGAATCCCCCGTTCGCTCACCTTTGAGATCCCTTCTCTCTCTCGCTCGTTCAGATCGTCCAGAGAGCACTCTCTCTGTCGCCACTGACGCGCCGCTGTCTCGTGCGCCATCCACGGTCACCAGCACTTCGGTGTACCCGGATTATTCGGAGTTTGGCTGGCGGTCCTCGAAGCACACCCCAACCTCTCGAGCGTCGTTTAACTCGCGATCAGGCAGATCGATGGCCGGCTTGATGGACGTCGACCGGACCCGTTCTCGGAGGGAGAGGACATTCGTCGGGAGCGAATGCGCCGTGTGTGAAGAACCCTTGGAGCACACCCTGCGCGGGGAGCGCGTCCTGCAATTTTCCTGTGCGCATGTCTCCCACGAGGCCTGTTTCTATGAGTATATCCGAGAATGTGAGGGCCAGTATTGCCCAACGTGTGATGCCCCGTTGGGGCTGGACACGAGTCGTGGGGGGAACGTGTTGGATCTCGGTAAGCGATAACGATAACGCCCACGTGCGATAACCACCCGGCCGAATCTAATCTCCCGTCTTTTTCCCAACAGAGAAACTCAGCAACATCGTCCGCTCCGTGACCAGCGATGCCGCCACCGCGCGCAGTGGTCTGACCACTCCTACGCCCTGGGATCAGCCCCAGGGTCGACTCGCCCCCCCGAGTGAGATGACCCGCCGGTCCTCCCACAACCGGGATAGTCGCGACATGTACAGCACCCGACGCGACAGCCGCGACACTAGCAGCCAGCGGGACCGTGTCGAACGACTGACCATCGGCTCGCGCCCCCAACACGGCCGCAACGATAGTCTCGCCGGCTCGTCGGGCGACTACAATGACGCCCAGGTAGCGAGCAACGGCCGCCGCCACGATTACGATCTGCAGGCCATGGAGTCGGACCTGAGCCCGCGGCCCGGCTCGTCCAAGAACCCCATCCCCGCCCCGACCGTGACCATCCGCAGCGAATTCCCCACACTCAATCGGTCTCGTCAACAGCAGTCTCTGACCTGCTTGATCACTGTCGAAGTCCCCGAGGGCTGGCGGGCGAACGCCGATGACATTCGCCAGAGTACTATGGACCAGCCGCTGCCCCTGGACGAGCCGTACGCGGCCGTGCGTCGCCCCTCCGTCCAGGAAAGTCGTCACCTGCCGCCCCTGTCGTTCGAGCCGCAGGAGAATTTAGACGAGGTCGCCGAGAATCTCCGGTCCCGCGTCGACAACTGGCACGGTCTCGAATTCCAACGGTAAGTCTCCTATTTGGAGGGAGGAGGGAAGACGATCTCGACTGACTTGTATCCTGCAGATTCGGAAAGCTCCGCCTGCACGGTCACATGCGGGTGGGCAAGGACCGGGAATCGTGGCAGGAACTCGAGTGTTTCCTGTTCGCGGAGATGCTCATCTGCGTCAAGGAAAAGCGGATCAATGACCACCGCCACCCGGATGACCCGGCGAAACGAACCACGCGGACGACGCTGAAAGGCTCGATCCTCATCAAGCGGCATCTGCGCGGCACCGAGGCCTCGCCTGGTAAGTTCGACCCTTGCTCTCCAAATTCACTTCGTCCGCTGGCCGAGCTAACCAATTCGTACAGAGGAACCGGTGCTGGCCTTGCATCTGTCCGTGAATGAGCTTCCGTGCTTCTATCTCCGGTTCCAGAACCGAAATCAGCTGGACCTCTGGCGTCGGGCCCTGGCGGACTTGAACCCCCCCGACAACGCCTCCCGCCACACCGACTACGATTTCGATAACTCGGGCGCGGAGGAGGAAGACTACCGCGCCAGTCGGATCCGACGTCAGGCGTCGTTGAATTCCTCCTACGGCGCGGCGCGGTCCAACAACACGGCGATCACTGACTACACGAACGTGGCCGGGGACAGCATCCCGGCCGGCCCTACCCACATCCCGCTAGACCTCGTCGTCGTGATCCCCGTGTCGTCGTCCATGCAGGGCCTCAAAATCACCCTGCTGCGGGACGCGCTCAAGTTCCTGGTGCAGCACCTGGGCCCCCGCGACCGCATGGGCCTCGTGACCTTCGGATCCAGCGGCGGCGGCGTCCCGCTCGTCGGCATGACCACGAAGTCGTGGGCCGGGTGGAACAAGATCCTCAGCTCGATCCGCCCCGTGGGACAGAAGAGCCTGCGCGCCGACGTGGTGGAGGGGGCCAACGTGGCCATGGACTTGCTGATGCAGCGCAAATCCGCCAACCCCGTCTCGACCATTCTGTTGATCAGCGATTCGTCCACCTCCGACCCCGACAGCGTCGATTTCGTCGTGTCTCGGGCCGAAGCGGCCAAGGTGGGCATTCATTCGTTCGGCCTCGGGTTGACACACAAGCCCGACACGATGATCGAGCTGTCCACGCGCACCAAGGGATCGTACTCGTACGTCAAGGACTGGATGATGCTGCGGGAGTGCGTCGCCGGCTGCCTGGGCGCCATGCAGACCACTTCCCACCAGAACGTCAAGCTGAAGCTGCGCCTGCCCGAGGGCTCGCCCGCCAAGTTCGTCAAGATCAGCGGCGCCCTCCACACCACGAAGCGCGCCACCGGACGGGACGCCGAGGCCGCCCTGGGCGACCTGCGGTTCGGCGACAAGCGCGATGTCCTGGTCCAGCTGGTCATCGCGCCCGACCACTCCACGCAGGAGAGCATGCCCCAGGATCCCTGGGAGAGCCTGGTCTCGGGCCTGGAGGCCCTGGGCGGCGGATCCGACGGGGATGAACAGCGCGTGCTGAGCGTCGAGGAAGTCCCGCTGATCCAGGCGGACCTCACCTACGGCGATCTGCTCCGGGACGGCCATCTGATGCACTCGCCCCGGCCCTCCCTGCTGGCCATCACCATGCTGCCCCCGAACCCCCGGGCCAAGGGCGGCCGTCCGAGCACGCCACCCATCCCGCCGCACCCGTCGATCGTCCAGCGCCGCATGGAGCTGCTCACCTCGGACATGCTGACCCGCGCCCTCACGCTGGTCTCGCGCGGACAGCACGACCGCGCCCAGCACCTGCTGATCGAGACGCGTGGCATCCTCAAGGGTCTCGGCAAGGGCAGTCTGCCCCCTCTGCCCCCGGGCGCCGTGAGACCGCCCCACGGAAGCGACTCCGGCAGCCGGGGTGGCACGCCCACCTCGACGTCCCCCACCTTCGCCGACAGCCACTCGTCGGGCAACTCCGAGGCCGCGACGGTGACGGGTGTGGCCGCGGTCGACGGGCAGACGATGACAGCGCTCGACGGCGACTTGGAGTCCGCGCTGGAGTGGATCAACCACCCCGCCGTATTCGGACGTGACTCGCGCAAGGCCGTGCTCCAGGCAATCGGGGTGATCTCGTCCCAACGCGCGTTCACCTACCGATCCTCATCAGAAGCCCACTGGGCGCAACGCGTCGCGGGCGTTCGACGCCTCACCGAACGATCCCGGGACTGGCGCGAAACCGGCGACGACGCCTTGACCGAAGAATAAGCCCTCTAAAAGAAAAAGTTTGATGTTGACATGACCCTGCTTATCCCCTCTTTCCTCCATTTCCTCTCATCTGTCTGATTTACCTTTCCCTCCTTGGTCCATCCCATCTTTCATTCATCATCGGACTTTTCACTTGATTCACACGCACACGCACACACGCACACACGCACACACACATCTATACTGCTTGCTACACCCCTCCTTTGGTTACAACGGCTGGATTTTTTTCTTTTTCTTGTTACTTATGATACCACTTTGTTTTGACCATGACTGTGCAAGATGATACCACGGATTTTGGTTCTTCTATATTGCTTTAATTTGAAACTAGTTGAGAATTTTGATTTTTATTATTTTTCATCTTCGGTTTGGTTGTAGTTCTTGTTGTTAGACTGGACAAGATAACCGTAGTTGTTGATTGATCTTGGTGTTATATACCTAGATTTTCATCTATCAATATAAATCTTTTCCATGGTGAGGGCTACCAATAAATCGGATTGTTATACCAAGAGTGGTATACCCAGTAATACCTAGGTTAGTAAGTCAGTAAAAAGTTGACACCGAGTGCAGCCCCCCTTGTTTACTTGACTAGTTATCTCCCGCCTCTGCTATCCTGCATGCGTTAAGTGGGTACCGCACACATGACAGTATACATAGACAAGTCTATGAAGGTAGGTAGGTAGGTAGGTAGGTAGGTACTACCTACCTACCCACCTACCTACCTACCTCATCCCATCTATCAACAGTAGAATCGCACTCAATCAGCCAACATGTCAGTTGACTTGCAGAGCTTCCCCACACTTGCAATCTTGTAGTCATTCGCAGCCTTTCCATAGGCGTCGTAGTCAACGGATTCGCCACTGATTTCTTTTGATTTCTTTTCGTTGCGTCCTTCCACTTCTCCATACCTACCTACCTACCTACTGATCTATCTACTTATCATGTATGGATCATTCACTGTGTATCTCTTATCTACTGATATTGGGATAGATCTCGAGGTTGGTTAGGTTAGGTAAGGTGTATCGTGTTCGTGGGGAGAAGGGAGGATGGGCACTGAGTGAGTGGTGTGGGGAGAGGTAGGGTTGGATGAGTAGGTAGAGACAGCAAAGGGTGGATAGATAGGTAGGTAGGTAGGAAGTGAAGCCAATAAGGCTGGTGGTCTATCTTTAGACATGTGTAGGAGATAGGGAAAAAAAAAAAAAACTCGTGATGTATGACGGACGGGATGAATGGGCGGATAGATGGATGAATGGATGGATGTATGGGAACTCGAAGCGCCGACCTTGAGGTAGCATCCACACAGAACAAGATGAAAGGATAAGGAAGAATGGAAGAATCTTAATTTAGAAATGGAGAGACGTAAGGATCGTGGGATGCATGAGAGATGACGATGCTGAATGGAATAGAAAGAAGAATATAGTTTGGCATGTATGGGGTATATTCGGAGTATGTATGTATGGGTGTATCAAAATATTGACGTATCAAACAGTACTGTATATACAATACAGTAAAGTACAGCCGTACAGAAAGATAAGATCTAAACTACCTACCAGGTACCTGACCTAGTAGAGAAGATGCAAATATGGAACAGAGAAGGCGGGGGAAACGATGCTAAAATTAACTCAAGGGGAATATGTATAGCAAATGAGATACAAGATTGGAAGGATTCAGGTGGAAAAAGAGACGCTGTGGTGTGTCGCAGATGTTGTTTACTGTTACCTAGGTAGGGATGATCAAAAGTGGAGACTAAGGTGGTAGTATACCTGATGCATGGGAATGGCTTTGTTTAACTATTTTCATACAAATCAGGATGTCATTTAGTCTGTTCAAGTCCAATGAGAGGACAAGAATGGGGAGGTCGTTCCTGAGATGTGCATCTGGGCGTGCATAAGGCACTAGGGCTGGGGGTGTAAGAATAGAACCCGCGTGCGTCTGGTGTGGTGGTGGCTACTTACAATTAGTTACTACGTAGGTGCCTACCTAAGAGACTAGATAATAGTTAACGGCACTATCTTACTACTATTTGTTTTATTTAGTTTTCTTGTTTATTATTGGTGGGCAAATCATCGGTTTACGACTAGTGTGGCGCCCATACTTTACATTCCTGGGAGCCAAGACCTGGTTCGATAAACCACCTTCGTCCGAATTTCAGACCTTCATGCACTGGTCGTCCCTACTGTGGTTATTGGGATTCGATGGCCACATATTATCAATCTACAGAGAGAACTGGTCATTCAAGACGGGAGAAACCCCCAGAACAAAATATACAAAGGCCAAAGAAGGAACCTCCAATATTCCGGACAAGAGGTGATGTTGAGATTGAGTCAATTTCCAAAAATATCCTCCTGCGAAGCATATCCCACCAGCCCTAGCAAGCATCCGACCCTGCAGGGGATAGGCTGCAGGGCATGCTTCAAGTGGAGACTGACACACCGATCATCTCCAGGTCTATCCACACAGAGCGGACAGACGGGGTAATGGGGGGACGCCATTGAACACGACTATGGTCAACGGGGAAAGTAACGACATGGACGGCGGCTAGAGGGTAAAAATAGACCATCGCATGACTATAGTAACTTGGGGGTGTTGAAGTGAGCGGGGACTGGCTGTCTTCTCGTACGAGGATTATCCCACAATTGCATCGAGCGCAGGGGACGATGTGGGGTGGAGTGTGTGTGTGATGGTGGGCGGGGAAGGGAGATACGACTGAGTATGCACGACGTCTCTTAGGTTGAAAAGATAGTTAATTGCGGTAACTGGATCGTCGATATGGAGGACGCGGCAAAGAATGACAGGGGGATGGCTTGTTTCACGTCAGGAGTGTTCTAAATATGGATTCTTCAGACATGACACGGCGTCTACTCAGGGTCATTCGCGACAGCTGTTTGGACGGAAGAGAAGAAGAGGTGACAGGGGCAGCCAGAAGAAAGAGTGATATAGATTGCATTAGTTAGTTAGACCATCCGGTGCAGGGGATGGGGCTATTAATATCTCTCCCACACAGTCGATGATATGGACCACGTCGTGTGATTGGAGCATTGTAGGAAGGTTGTAAGCGCTGTGGAAAGGCAAAAGAACGGGGGGAGAAGTCAAGAAGTCTGAATTCTTTGAATTGGAGGACTTTGGCGCGGGGGCAGCTAAAAATAGACTTAAAAATAGCAAAATAGCCGTGATTCGGACGGGAGCTGCAAGCTAGAACCAATAGTTTGTTTATAGAAGCCAATAATCATGTTGCCCGGGGTGGGGCTGGCTGTCATATCCCTGCAAAATTCCCCGCACCTACATCGTAGTCACAATCCAATGAGATATCCCCAATGAATCCTCCAGCGTGAAGAAATAGTGCTAACCCTCAGAATGGGAAAGTGTCTACGATTAAAAATAAAATAGACTGCTAATTAGGGCCACTGATTGGCACACTTGGCACACCAGACGGGTGCACTCAACGGTGACCATGGATCGCAATCGCATCGCATATCGCCCACCCGCGGGGTCTTTCCATCTCATCATCCGTTTAGTGCGCGCCGCGCCCTAGCTCTGATGACGTCCCTTCAATAACAACAGATGTGCAATTCGCTGAATCTCTCAAGTGTCATTCGAACAGCGATAGGCTCATGTCCCCTTCTCATTTACCCGCCGAAACCACATCCCTCCCCACCCCATCCAAAGTCCAAGATCCAAATATAGACCGCGCTTCAAGCCGTACATCTTGTCCAATCCTAACCACGAAGCGCATCAAATGCCACGGCTACCACCCCATTTTCCTATACTGATCTACATGCCACCTCCACCGGGCCTATACGGAGCTTCTCCCCCCTCCCCGCCCACGCTAGGGCCACAAGCAAATCACCACCCACATCAGACCAAACCAGCCCCACCAGGGCCGAGGTGACGAAGTGTCGGTGCGGCCTGATCCATGCAGCCATGCGTGTCTGCAGACTTTGAAAGGGTTCCCAAAGCAGAATAGCTCCGGGCTGGCTTGTTGATCGATTTGCATGTAGTGTCAGCGTTGACCACTGGGGGTGCGCGCAATAGCTTTGCGTGTGGGTTGTATCTATTTTTGCCTCTTTGTCTTGAGCTATGATTGTGCTATAATCATGCTATCACTGATAGGGACTTGTCTGACTTTGCCATTTGTCGAAGTGCCGCTTTGACGTGCGGCTGAGATTCCTATTCTGTCGATGTGGGTTCTGTGGATGAATGTGTATGTACCTTAGTATGTTCCATGAGGCGGGGCTAGAGGCTAAAAGTAGACATCGCTATGACTACAGTAGAAGGGTTTTCTAGGAATATTTCGTAATTCTAAGGCCCTGTGTTTTTGGGACGAATTCAAGAGAGTACCTAGAGTATATGGTTTGCTAGCAGAGGCATGTATGTAATATAGGGCATATAAAATACGAGTGGTAATAAAACTTTCGTCAATACCATGTATTAATTACATACACCCGCTCCATACGTCAACATCTACACATCGCCGTAAGCTAAGCTAACCCGATCTCCACCATGAACAACAACTATATCCTCCATCTAAGCGAGATAACCAACAAAAGCATCAAAGAAGTAAAAGAAGAAAACAACAGCAAAAGATACGATTCGCCTCAGCGCCAACCCTAACCGCGATCCGAAAGCCCCACTCCAGCCACCCAAAGTAGACACTCAATGACAGACCGCTCCGGGAACCGAAAAACCAACAACATACGCGCGGGTGGTAATGGTGGTGGTGGTGGTGGCTGTGAGGCTCGGACGTAGGAATGAATCCTTCTGCCCCCAAAAAGGCGTCTACAAGCGCCTTCTGGATCCTGAAGGCCTTTGACATCGGGTTCGAAAGGCCCAATCGCAGCCAATATCAGTTTGGATGCGGCTGACACGTGGAGGAGGCACTTGGCTGCTCCGGTGCGCCATTGGATCCTTTCGGCGTTTTTTTGTGGCTGCTTAGTGGGTGGCTAGTCATTGCACTTTTTGGAGAGTAAGGTTCTCTTTCTCGGGGTCTACTATCTGGTGGAAGGATTCGGGTTCGTTTTGGGCCGTGCGTTTAATCTGACCAACGGTTTGTGGTGTTTGTGGTTGGATGAGTGTCGGTCTATTTTGTTTTCTTTGATACTACCTACCTAAGGTACCTAATCTATCTAGGTGAAATGGAAGATTTAGTTGTTCCTTCAGGTGGTAGTGATCAGAGGTAACGTTTGTGGGATAGCTACGTTGTAGCCACAAAGCAACTATATCGTTTGGATGAAATAGTAACCCTTGGTATTGATTGACTCATTGGATATCTGACACATAGTAATTTCAGATACCAACGCCACGTGAAAGCGGACGAGAGCAAAGAGATCGTTCAGGATAAGCCCAAGGAAACTGCCGTGGCTTTTCAATAATCAAAACACGCAATAATGCCCAAGACCTGCTCATAACTCCCTGGCCCCCATCTCTTATCCCAACTCGCTTGCTCGCTTGCATCTAGACCGCCAGGATGTGGATGCCGACGCCTCTAAACTGACAATCCCGTATAGTGAAAAGTAAAAAAGATACATCACACGCAAAATAACCCACAAAACAAACATAATATGTGAAAGCGACTGTAAATGCTAGACCGGACCAAACAGATGCTTGAAACGCAGTAAAGAAAACCGAATCTTGATGTTAAACTCCGGAAATCCCGACCCAGACACGTAGGTAAAAGAAAAACGAAAGACCTAAAATCAACGTAAAGAAAAGAGAAAAGAGATCAAGATCTTGATTCAGCGATCTCACGAGTCATGGGTCCTTCTGCGCTTTCCCTTGGGTGGGGGCTCCAGAGAAGGAGCACGCTTGAAGGTCACTGTGTGAGTGACCACATGTTGGATTTGGACCGTTCTCCCGTATGGACTCGCAGGAGAGTCGGTGTATCTGCGTCTCCACTCAGCAGGGGACAGCGTCGTCCTGACAGTGTAAGGGCTCTGGGGTGACTCAGTTGTTGCGGGAGAGTACAAGTAGTGGGGCGAGATGGGCATTCGTCTCACTGGACCGAGGCCGTGAGCAGACCGCGGCGCAAGTGTCATTGGCGATTGGGGAACCGACATGGGACCGCGCCTGACAGATTCACTGCCGTGAAAGGAGCTACCACTCGACGCACTGGAAGGCATTGAAACAGGTGACGGCAGCGGCCGGCCGAAGTGCCATCGTGTAACGCCTGCTGTGCTGGGAGGCTCCGGGCTGCCAAAGGCAGGGCTGAGGGCTCTGAGGAATTCCGTGTAGGCGAGAGGTGGTGGTACCGAGGGGCCCGTTCTGCGGCCTTCTCGTCGGGTCGTCTCAGATGAGACATTGGGATTGTCTTGTAACTCGGAGGGGAAGGACATGTTCTTTGGAGTCTTGAGTGGATATAGGTTGGGCCTGGGTGCCATGTCTTTGATGTTGCTCTGTTTCCCACAAAAGTAGAAGGGAATGGAGGAAGATGGATGTCCAACAAGCATATGATTAAAAGCCTTGAAGCATAGAAGGAGTGCAAAGGATGGTAAGACAACCGAAGGAAGGATATGGTTGTACTGAGAAAGGATTGATAGACTCCAAGGACAAAGGGATTAGGGTAAATGATATACACCTCTAGCCAGTAGGGATGGATGTCAAGAAGTATAGGTCAAGGCAGACCGAGGGGAAGGTAGGTTCTATAAAAATAGAAACCGAATAAGAAGAAGAAATGAAGGATTAAAATAACACAAAAGAATAGAGGAGGGAAATATAGCGTTGAAAGAAGATGGAAGGTTGAAGATGGCGAAGTAGTTGGTATTTCTTTTATTTTTTTGTCTTTTGTTTGGTGTTTCTGTATGGCAACGATCGATACGATACCCGTACTGCGGTAACGGATGGTATGGATACCGAAACGGTACGGCGTATTCAGGCGGACCAGCTAGGGATATGGACCAAACCTAAACCGGTTAGCGCCCGAGGGTTCAAATTCCAAAATAGCAACATCATCATCCATCCCAATTGTTGATTCGACTTACTGCGTCTTCAAGGATTCAATTCGGCCGGTTTCTATCTTTAGAGCTTCTATACTTGGTACAGGCGCCTAATTTCTTTCTTATCGTTTCTTATCGTTCGTGTGAGAAGAATGAATATCCAGCAACACTTGCTCTGCCAGAGACGCAAGTAAGCAATCAATCAATTAAGCGAGTAAACAAATTGTGCAAATCGACCAATCTACCAGCGGCATGAGACGTGGGATCAACCCGACCAAATCTCACCAGTGGTGTTTGCAAGAAAAGAATGAACAAGAATGGATACAAGAAGAAAATGAATAGTATCCTACTGAGAAGAGAGACTGTTCGTCTCTTATATGTTTCCCATCTCCAAGTTCCTCGTTTCATCTTGACAACAACCACAACCTAAGCGGCATGTTTTGCGTTATCGCGCGCTATCTGAAGCATCCCCTATGGCATTCTTCCACAACCCGCATTGTGTATCCTTGTCTATTCTGTCTAAACGCCCATCGAGCTTCCTCTGTGAACCAAATTACGGCGCTTTCTAACGGGCCCGGGTTCGTCTGGCCTGGCGCGCGGCTCACCTGCCTTCAAGCCTCCTGCCACTCTGCTGACTACTGGTTCTTCAGAACATAGGCGCCTATATAGGTGCCCTTTGTGGATACATGCTTTACACTATGCTGCACTGGCAGACAACTGAAGGGGTTCATGGGCTCCTGTTTGAAGAAACGCCGGACAAATAGCAAATAACTGCGATATCCAGTACATGTTTGCTGCTTTACTCTAACAATCAGGACCTCCAGAGTTCGTCTGCAAGCTAGTACTATCATGACCATACTCTACACATGTGTTATCGAATCAATTGGTTGACTTTGGTCCTCTATACCCCCCAGAGAAAATACCCCGGTTAGACTGCCGAGTCTGCCCTGTTCATATCCCCGTTGGTACAGGGCACCTCGCCACATATTGCCCACTTACCGCCCCAAGGGGAAGATGGGGAACTGCAGAAGTCTGCAGGTCATTCTTGTATCGGCTACCCTTCCATCAGGGCCAATCATTTCTCTCGTTCCCTAGGTGAATACCTTTCTGCACGCTCGCACTTGCAATCCTGGCCGAGAGACCCTAGCTAAACGCCCTCAGGTACCCATTCTCCATACCGCGCAACCCCTGCCAAGGAAATTCTATATGCATCCTATTCTTGAATGGTTTGCTATGGTTGGATCGCTTCAAGATCTGAGGATTGCTTCAATCTGTTACTGACGCCCAGGTGCCCAAGTTATGGTATCGCGCTAGCAGTTGGCTATTTTTGTGTCCATCCAATTGTGCGTAGCCGCCTTGGTCTCGGAAAATCTGGGCGGCTCGTAGTAATCGCCTTGCTGCTCAGGATGTCGATGCTGCTGGCCATTCTCTAATTGTGATAGAAAAAAAAGTTCACTTGAGCAGGTACTTCAAGTTTCCTAGGGGGCAATCGAATCCCCACCTGTTTGTACAGCATGGTCACCCTTATCCAGGTAATTTGCGTCTGTATGTGCACGATAAGAATAGTAAGTGGGCGGAAGTCCAGACTTTCCCCTCCTCCAGGATCGATCATCCACTAACAGAAAATAGCCTTCAGGCTGTCTCCTGTCGCCCCCGTTCCAGGTCTTTGGTTCCCGTCTCGCTTTCGATTCCTTCTGTACCTTTGCTCTTGGAAGACTGAACCTGTCTACCGGAGGTACATATGGAAGAAGTATTCCTCTGAAGTCAAAAAGGTAGAGCAACGGAACAGCTGATACATAAGTCCCAAATCTTTCTTTCCGTTTTCGAAGCTAACAATTGGTGTCATAGAACAAGACCTTGCATTCACTACCAACACGACCTCCGTTCCCGCGATAGTTTCAGTGCCTGATATCTTGGTCGATTTTCCTTCATAAGCCTGGCGTCATTCGAATTTCGTCGGTAACATTTAGCCGGGTGGACTCTTTGTCTTATACTATCCATGACTGGGAAGACCGTTATAGATGCGACAATGCTTGCCTCGGTGTTTCGTTGCAGTATAGCAGGATTCCATGACAATAGTCGTGGAGGAAACTCCTGATATTCATTCTGGTGACCCCTAAACGACAGGACCTGTGGCCCTGCAATTGGGGCCATACATCGCTTTCCTGAATGGGACCAAGTAGGCACCAGAAGGCACCATCCAAGGTAAATGGAGTATTGTCGTCGTATATTTCATATTGATGCCTACCAGCGAAGGTCACGATTGCACGTCCAATCAGATTTGGCTCTTATCGCCCAGAAACCATGCGCCATTGCGTCTTACCAAACCGAACCACTTGGATTGCAAAGGTGCACCGAACCCTAATATATTTCAGCGCTCTTTGAGTGAGCTGAACCATCACATTGAACATCTTCAGGGTAGGTGGAGTCTGAAGAGCTCAAGTCTAATTCCAAGGTTGCAATTTTAACGAGCACATGCCACTAATTGATTGCGGAAAGTTGCAAGGGAGATACTAGTAAAATCGAATACGTGTACAGAACCTCCATATTCTTCCCTCAATCCGCATTGAGCGATCCAAGCCTTTCCAGAAACCCTACCATCCACTGTGCAAGTAGCAGCATTTTATCCAATAGACGGCATGACAAGCACTCGTCTTGACGGATAGACGATAGACCCGTAGTAGCTGCGGGATGCGCGAGACGAACTTCATATAAATGGTCGACGTATCGAGTATGGAATATGGCCGTACAGTTCATTCCTGCGCATCAAAAGTAGTAGGAAGAGTAGATGGAATTTATGGAAATCTACGACCCGAGCTTTGCATATCCTGTTGGCAGCGAATTGGCACCGCACTAGAAATAACGAGTTGAATGGGTTGAATGGGTTGAATGGCTATAACAGAGCCTCTTAATGGTTTGTAAAGTCCTGTTTGAAAGGTCATTAGGGAGAGCTAGCGATAAAAACAAAAATAAAATAAAAAAACCCATGGCTGTGTGAAGAAACTCCGTTCTGAGTAGAAGCTCAAGTACAGTACCATATCTATAAATGTATGGTTGTTCGATCGTTGAAGCCAAAGAACCCGAGTCTTCCTCTGACTCGCTCTCCAATTACATATAGATATAGATGATAGGGGTCGATTAAAGATACCCCCCACGCATGTCCTACAAACATGTCGAAACCGAAACTCATCACATGCTGATGAGCCTACCTACCTACCCACCTACCTATCCATCTATATCAAGGACAAGGGGTACTATTCGGTGTCTACCCACTATCTATACTAATCGTTATAATGTCGCTTAGGAGAGACATTTGGGTGACTTGCCTGTCTCGCCGGTATAAGCAAAGCCCCGTTACTGGGAAAAGACGATTAATATATGGCGTAGTGGTTGTTAAGGAATCGGAGTATCACATATAGCAAAAAAGGTTTGATGTGGCTTTGTAAATTGTATGAAGCTTACGGCTTCCATCAAAGGATGGAAGAAAGAGGAATAAAGAAGAGCACAAATAGAAAGGGAAAGAGCAAGAGAGCGAGAGAAGGAAAGGACGAGAGAAGGAAAGAAGGAAAGAGGGAAATAGGGAAAGAAGGAAGGAAAGACCCACCCCTATTAGACACTCGTTGAAACTTTGGTGACATTAATGGGGGTTGTTCCATAAGTATGAGTATAGCAAGTTGGTGCGGACTGTTGCTCATGGTAGTATCAGCAGCAAGACCTTTAGGATGTACTGAGCGGCAATAAGTCTGATTAAAGACCGCGCCGCGAACTCATTTACAAGGACAATCGTCTCAAATCCAGCTGTCTTTCGTCTTCACAGGCGATGATATATGACCATCTCTAATTACATGCATAAATCGATCCTCCCCATCCACCCCTCTCTGTCCCCCTCTTGCCAAGTCGTTGATTTCATTCACGGGTATCAAGTAGATTCATAAGTGCAATTGAACGCTAGATAGAAGAGTATAGGCAAATGCAAATCAAACCGCAATATAAGGCTGCTCAGTTCCGACGAGCGTCGAGCCTCCAATATCATTATCGGAGCCGTCGAGGTTGAGGTCTTCTTCGTCAATGATGGTGCCCACGCTGCCGATACTATCTCGCCGATTAGAGCCAGCGTGGGGCCGTAGCTTGCCCTCTTCGTCGAACCACATCGCTCCGAAGGGGTTCTTGCGAGCTAGGTCGAAAGCCGTGTTTCCCAATCCGGAGCCGTTGCCGTCGTCGGCTTTGGCGCTGTCGGGCGCCTCGAGGGATAGGTCGGCGTCGTTGTCGAGGAGGATTCGGAAGAGGGACTCTCGGCCGCGTTCGGCGGCTAGGTGTAGGGCTGTTTTGCCGTCGCTGGTGAGGGCGTTGATGTCGGCTCCGACGTCTAGGAGGAGAGATACTAGGGAGGGTCGTGGGACCATGGTCATGGTTGCCAGGTGGAGTGGTGTTTCTGCTGTGGCTGCTGCAGACTGTGCGTTGACGTCTGCGCCGTGGGCGAGGAGGAGACGGATGTATTCGGCTGTTTTGTCGAATCCGACATCTGGAACGCCGGTGCCTACGTAGACCGCTTGGTGTAGTGGCATCCAGCCTTGGCTTGATTGAGCCGCCACATCGAGACCGTATTCCAAGCCGAAGGTTAGAATCTCCAGACAGTCGTTGTCGATTGGTGGTGTTATGTGGAGGATGGATTCCCCTTTGGCAGTCTGGACGTCAATACTAGCACCCCTCTCTATCAAAAACATGAACATGACTCGGTTGCCGGCGGTAGCGGCACACTGAAGCGCCGTGTGTCCTTGGGACGTGCGGGCTTCTAGATTGGCGCCCTGGTCGAGTAGCTTGGCGGCGATGGAAGGGCTGGTGGCCTTCTTCGCCTGTTCATGAAGGAGTGTCTCCCCGTCTTTGCTCCATGCGTTGATATCACCGCCGCCGATAAGCAGCAGATCAAAGGCAACCCAGTGGTTTTCGTGAGCGGCCAACTGTAACGCCGTGAAACCGGATAGTGAGCGAGCTTCGACCTGTGCGCACCGCTGAAGAAGTAGTGAGATAGCTTCACAGTTGTCGAGTTTGGCCGCTAGCTGGAGCGGAGTATACCCATCTTCATTGGTCATGTCTATTGAAGCACCTCTGTCTAGAAGAAAGAGGATGATGCGCGGCCTGCGCCAGGCGACAGCTTGATGAAGGGCCGTGTCCCCTGTGCGGATATTCCGGATGTTCACATCTACTCGGTTCTTGACCAACAAGGGGACGGTTGCTTCGTCAGACTCCGTCCCGACAGCCAGCTGAAGACCCGTTGCACCCTGCCCGTTGGCAATCTGAGAGTTGACGCGACGGGCAAGTAACAGCTTCATGACCTTGCGCTGGCCGTGTTGGGTAGCAAGGTGTAGGGCTGTGCTGCCATCATGGGCGACAGCATTGCCGTCGGCATTGTGATCAAGGAGGAATTCCACCATCTCATCGTTGCCCCGAAAAGCCGCACAGTGGAGGGGGGTCAGTCGATGTGAGTTGTCATTTGTGTCGATGCGCGCGCCCTGTTCGAGGAGACGCCTGAACTTGGGCTGGATACCGAAGAAGGCGAGGATGTGGAGGGCGCTCCAATCCTGCGGATACTTCCCGAGACCCAATTTGGAGGGTAGCCCTTGTTCCTTGATAGAGTCGCGCGAGACTTTGAGAGGGGGTCTCCTCCATAGAAGCTTATTGAGGAACGTTTTGACCAGAACCTGGATGGTTTGTTCATCCTCCGGGACCTCTCGTGCATGGTAGCCCCAATACATGGCTGCGTAGTTCAGGAATCCACTACTAGCACCACGGGGTGTCGTCCCACCATTGTAATAACATTCGTCGATAACCTCATCGGGGGTGATCGCAGACAAACAGACTTGGGCGATCTCTTTCTGGGCGGTTGGGAAGAAAACCCTCGCGGCCGTCCCTTTCAGGTATTCTTTCGCCGTCTTATGGACAAACTGCACCGTTCCCGTTACAGCGTCGACGGTAAGGAGCCCGGAGGTTTCGGATTGTAGAGAATGCTCTAAGCTCAAGGGAGTCGCCTCGTTTTCATCGGTGGTTAGGCCTTGGGCCGCGCATCTCAGCTCGGCCACGGACAGAGGCCGATGGGCGTACAACGCCCAGTAGACATGACGGGTGGCACTCGGATTTCGGCTAACAACCTGTTTCATCGCCTCTCCGTAGGCTCCGCTGAGGCTTTCAGGGAGATGCAGCAGGGCTCTTTCGAGAAGAATCTTGTCCGTATATCGCGAGAGTAAATCCAAGTGTATTTTTGCCAGGAGGAATCTGCGCAGGAAACGTACCTCCTCCGTGAGCTTGTTTTCTTCCGCATATGGTAGATTTGGATTAGGCACTAGAACTTACACACCACGGCTTGTTTCCATAACGGCGCGCACCACCTCTTGGTGCAATTGATGGTCGGGCTCGCTTTTAAACAACGATTCCAGGCCAGGGTCTGCCTGCGTCCTAGAAATGGCGTACATCTGCAGGTCCTCTGGAGAGGCCACGACGCTGACGTACGATGCATTCCCCACCTGCGCTACCTCGCGTAGAGTCACCAGTAGCTGTGCGTGTTCCGGGAGCTTTTGCAGTCGGGTGAGAATGCGTTCTTTGTCGGAAAACATGTCCAGGCCGTCGATGACAAGAAAGACCTTGGAGAAACGGTTGACTTCTGCACGGATCGCATTCTGGTATGCTTTGGGCGAAGCTCGCCCCTTCATCAGGGCCTCGGCGGAGTACAAGGACGACGTTGCATATGATAGGCTTCGCTTCCGATAGACCAGCTGGGCGAGGATATCCTTCAAGATGTCCATAGATGTCTTCTCTCTTTCTTTCCCATCCTGACAGTATACGCAGACCGTTGCGACGTCCGGTGACGTGAACGTTCGCTGCAAAGAATCAACAATGACTGATCTGATAGATATTAGAACTAAGGCATGGCGCTTTCCTGATCGCGGGGTGTAAGGCTTACGATAAGAAGGTCTTCCCTGCACCGGCTTCCCACACGGTAGACTGTCAGTATGATCATAACGGCGGATGAGGCGACGATAACCTTACGCGGACCGACACAATAAAGTGTTTTGAAAGAGCCAAGCAACCAGCGCTTATATTGACTATCTTCAAAAATCCACCGACAGCTGCCCCTGAGTCGCCGGTTGCACAAATCTGCCAGAGTGATGTAGTGCTCCGAAGACGATCGGCTGGTGATCCTCAAAACGTCTTCTTCGAACTCAAGGTCAACTTTTGGTCCTGTGAAAAAGCGTGGATGTTGGTCATCGGCCTGGTTTGCGACATGTCATGGAGGAGAGACAACATACCGGACTCGGCCTCACGGTTGTGCTTGAGGCTATTTCTGATCTCCCGATCCAGCGACGACCTCTCACTGGAAGAATGTCAGTGACCACTTTGCATGTGAATACATATATTAAACCACACAAGCCGTGTAGGGCACCCACCCCGAATCCGACTGCATCGACAGTAGCAGTATAATTTTATACTGTTCCAAGCGGGGCAAGAACGTTTTCTCCAGCAGGTGTTTCCTGAAATAGCAGACGCCCACGCCGCCCGGTTGAAAATACAGCTCAATGGATCTCATTGTCGACCCGAAGAGCGCGACCAATTCCGCCAAAGCTCCAAGCCGCGTCGGCTCGACGAGCCATTTCTCCGACCCCCAGCTAATCAGGTCTTTGACACGATACAGCAGGTCCAAGATGTCAGTCAGGAGAACAAGGGCCCGCTGCGATGATTCTTGCGAGTCCCGACCTGTGCTCAGGCAGCGGATGACGATGCACGTGGAGTGAGTGACCTGGGACAGGGCCTCGCGGACCTTGGGAACGTCCACCATATTTCGCTCTATCGCTCGCGCGATTCTCTGTTACAGGCCGGCTTTATAACGGAGAGAAGAGAGCGAGGATCGGCATCGATGCGACGAGGATATCGAGAGGAAAGGAAGGAGAAACAAGGACAAGAAGAGTAGCACGTTGAAGTGGAAGTAGAGGAAGCTTGTTCCCCCGGACAAAGATTGTTTAGACAGGAGGGAGGGGAAGCGGCGCAGTCTGACAGATTCATCGCTAATGATATAAAAGAAGAATCAAAATTCTGGATTGGCTGGTATTAATTAGGGAACTTAACCCGAAAAACGCTTAATGGACTTTGCCAGCCGCCAGATGGAGTATGGAGGGAGGTTGTCGTTGGTGGTAGGAGAGAGGGAGAGAGGACCAGACAAGCGTCATGCATGATCGTCTCCCGTCACACGCAGTGAGGCGCCTAGTGATGGACCGAGTCTTTCCGTCTATCCGTCTATCTCTCCCATCTCTACTCCAGCTGATAGAAACAGACAAAATTTATGCCGTCTTCTACATGGAAGAAACTACCGCTGCTTATCCAGTGGCATACGATCTGACCCTCGATGGGGCCATGTTTGAACACGACACTGAGGTCTGGGGAGGATACCCCAAAGTACAGCAGACACTACCAAGAAAGGACAATAAATCCAACAGCCCCTAGAGGGTCTCATTGGCCTCAGCTCAGAGGAGACAATCAGTGATCACCAGCCCCCGCCCACGGATATCGGTCGATCCAGTCCAATCCTGGCCAGCGATTAAGCGCCCGACTTGGACCCGTCCAGAAGCCGTGAAGCCAATCGTCGTCGCCATATCTCCCTAGTGGGGTGATGGGATCATGGCTAGGACCGTCTTCGCATTGTGACTTAGGTGACTCTGAAACGTTGCCCAGACTTACTTACCTAACAAGGAGAGGACAGAGTCTACGTGATTGAGCTTTGGACCATTGTTCTGTGATTTTTGAAATTTTCATGCATTCCACAGTATAATTCTAATTGATAAGCTTATACATATCCATCTGTACAATCCGGGACGAGCCATGAGTCCAGCTCAAGACCCTCCCAATCATTATAGCAAGCCCGGCGTGAGCCAGGTTCTCGTAGAGCCCGATGTCCTTTCTAGCCATTGCCGACAAAAGAAAATAACCCAAGGCATGTAAGGGAAAAGTCACAACATCAAAACAAAGCAAAGTGGTACATAATGGCATCTGTCTGTATGAAATGGAGGAAGAAATTCGTCAAGTCGTGATCTGTAAAATAGAAGAGAAGGGGCGGTCGTAGAGGCAAAAAGCGAGACGAAAGATGGGTTGATTTTAAATCAAAAACATAGGGGTATATAACGGATGGCAAACTCGGAAAATGCAGGAGAGGGGGGAGAAGGTCAAGGGTGTATGTATCAGAAAGCAGCGCCATTCACATTGACAGATGCACCGCTCTCGCGACCCCGACGGAGCGCCTTGGCTAGCATCAGCTCTCGCATCCAGTCAATGCGCTCGTCTCGGGTCTTGACCGCGAAGTGGTGTGACTTGGGGCCCTGGACAAAGATGGTCTTGCGGTCAAAAGTGCTGCTGCTGGGCGAAGGAATCAAGGAGAATGCAAAGGCGGCCTCTCCTTGACTGCTGTCCTTGCGCTTCAGGACGGTCTTCTTGAAGGCCGCGGTCAGCTTCGAGTTTGACGGGAGCGAGGAACATGCGACGGCGTAGTCATCCACGTCGATGTATTCAAGAGCCTTGGAGGCCTGGTGGGCCGAAACTTCATCGGTGTGCATGGCAAGCCGAGTGCCACGAAGGGTGAAGTGATGGTCCTCCCAGTCGTGACGCAGGAGCTTGCTGGTCTTGCGCTTCTTCATCCAGCCGCTGTGGATGATGTCATTGGCAAACTGGCCGCTCGGGCTAAAGGGGTTGTTCTTGCAGTGAGCGGCGCGGGGAGTCCGGTCCATATCCTCCGGCGTCTCGATCGGTGGGAGCGGCGAACGCTCATCCAGTCGAGCCAAGGGCCGACCATTGAGGTTGAACCCGGGGCGCTTATGATTCTCAGCCTTGGTCGATGTCGGCCGAAGGATGGGGTCAGGCAGGTGGTACATGTGATGGCCGCCAAATCGCATGTCTGGGGGAACAGACTGCGAGAACATGCGGGCAGCCTGTCCGAGGGGGATCGCAGTGGTGGGGACATCCATCTCCGACAGAGGAGTGGATCGTCCATAGTAGGGGTCTTGTCGGTAGAAGTCTGAGGGGGACGGGGAGTATCCGGATGGGTAGGGGGGCTTGTGCGTGTTACGCTGGGCGAACGGGGCCTTCCGGTGCACGAAGGACGGGGTGATGGTGCGATCGGCCGAATAGTTGGGGGAGAAGGTCGAGTCGGCCATCGAGGCTCGGGCGTTAGGGATTTGCAGTCTCGGAAGGTGGCGAAGGTTCTCCGACAATGTCGCATTGTTGGCCTTTGCCGACCCGGGCGAGTTGGAGTCCGGCGAAGGAAAGTTCTCCCTCGGCGGAGTAGCAGGGTCCGTGACTGGTTGAAGTCTGCTGAGGCGCTGGAAGCTGAGGAAATTTCGCACATTCTCCTGGGGGTCACGGGGCTCGACTCCGCCCAGCTTATCTCGCGACAGCTGCTGGACGTCCGTGGGGTGGTCCGGGCCCAAGACATCCGAAGATGCGATGACAGACGGAGTGACGTCGGACTTGGGGGTTTTGGCGAGATTCGGTGCGGTGGCCGCGTTCCCCGGGTCGCCGATGACGACAGAGCCACCGTAACACTCGACGGGAAGGCCTTTGGCCAGGCGAGCCAGCTTGGCCTGCTGCTTCTGCCACTTTCGGCAGTTCTCGCCCTTGGAGCATGTGTGCAGCGCCGGCAACAACTGCTCAATGGCGACGATGGATACCGAGTCTTCCGGTACAAGATCGGTGCCATCGCGGCGCTTGTGACGGCGGCGGCGGCTCTGACTGGATCCGGACCTCGATTTGGATTTGGACTTGCCCTCGGACGACGGGCTTGTGCAATCGGAAACGCCGACCTCTCCGGCCGTAGTCTTGGGAGTGGCTGTATCCTCGCGCGCGGTGGGGTCTGGGGTGCCATCACAAGATGGTACAGGAGTACTGCAAGATTGAAGCTGGCGAATGGCGCCCATCAGTCGATGCCGCTTGCCGAAGGATTGGATGTCCAGTTCCTTCAAGTCCTCCCCTTGGAGTTCGAGGAGGATGGCGCCAGTGATATCATTGATGAAGAACTTCTCCACGATGCCCTCCTCGAAGCCGAGGTTTTGCATCCACACGACAACGTCTTGGGGGGACCAATTCACGACGTCATCCTCTGGCGGCTGATACGAGGCAATTTTGTTATCCTTTGGGGCCGGTTTGGAGTCCTTCTGCTTCTTCGGCGCTCCGTTGGACAGAGGGGTGTCTCTCCGTTCGAGCTCGAGCTTGGAAGCGGGGCGGTAGAATGGGGTCGTGGCGCTGAGCGGAGTATCCTGAACCATCAGATCTACTCCAAGCAGCTCCTTCATTTCCGAGAATTCGTCGGAGTGGCGGAAGAGGTGAGGGCCCACCGGACCTTTGACGGGGTTCTCATCGATGTGGAAGTGAAAGCCAGTAAGTCCAGTCGAATCAGGGGTGCGGATATCATCTGGTGTGGATGCAGTCGTCACGCTTTCCGTGGCCAGCTAGATGAGCTCGTTAGCACTCTGGCACATCGTTCCAGCAGGAGACGAGATACGAACCGAGCCGACGCTTCGGTATGGTGAATCATCGGAGTAGTCATTCAGCGAGTCGGAATCGAAGTCTGTGTCAAGAATCTCCGTTGCGTCTGACAATGACGATGGACCCGGTGTCCTTGAGTGAAGGGAAGAAATCTTCTCCTGGGCTTGAAGAGTCCGGAGGGACGCTTGGATGGTATCTAGGGTTGTCTGTGTCTGTTAGTTCACCGGCCTGTCCCCGACACCTTCGCCGATTGATTATTGCATACCATTTTGAATGATTGATAACCTGAAGCTCCTTGGTCCGGCCAAAGAGTGTTCGAGTTCTCTGGAGGGTAGGTGCGTGGTATAATGGGGAGGGGACGAAGCACGACCGTCCCTTGAGGGGTCGGCGCTTAGCGAGGATAGGGAGAGGGGGCGACGGAAGGAAGGAAGAAGATACAAGGGATAGGGTATAATCACCCTTTTACCCCGAGAGTATGTAAGTGTGGCACAATTAGTGTAGTTGAGGATCAAGATCGAAGATATGGGGAGGCAGGGCGACCCAACCGATATAAGTATACGTATCAAGGCCAGTCAACTCGGGTCTTCCTGGGGATGTATAAAAAAAGAACACGCCATGACACCAGAACGGGCCTAGGAAGCAAATCCGCCATCACTACTCGATGCCAATGAACATCATTTTGCGGGAAGATGTGACAAGTTGAGCCTGCAGGTGCATGAAGAGGGGGGTGTCCTAGGCGACATCGAATCGATTCTCTGGTCTTGCATCCTGACAATCGGATCCACCGTCTGATTCGTTACAGATGAACCAAAAAGGTAACCCAGCGGCCCGTGGTTAGTATGGCATCCGACCTGTCGAGACTATCATTGGATGAAGGAGTGGAGATGAGAGAGGACTCCCAAATTAACATGAACTCCGTTGTTGAGGAGATGGAGGACGAGGGAGGGCAGCCAAGAACGATGAGAGGCTGGAAGCAGATGGCGCTACTGCAGTGATAACGTGACAGCCAACCAGCGGCCTGATTGATATGGCCGACCGTCACATTGGCGCTAAAAACTAAGGCAGGCTAAGGCAGGCCCAGGCAGGCTTCCCCTCCACCGTCAACTTCAACTCTGCAACTCTCACGACTCGTCACCTACTTTGGACAAGGTTGAGGGATAATACGTCCTCCATGAGGGACATTTAGGTGCCATTAGGAGCCTTTCTCGAGGGTTAAATCTTCCCGAAATAGAAGCAACTAGTCGATGTGACGAGTGGAGATACCCCTCTCTCTTCAGTCCCAACGGCGATAGAATCACTGGCTCTGATGGCTTGCTATATTTGGGTCACGCGTTGACCTTCAAATACCAATAGCCATCCCATCACAATCCTTCAATTTATTCCCTTGATGATCCGTCTGTGTTCACTCAATCTTCTTCTGAGTTGACCAACTTGTCCCCAAGTCGTTCAACGTTCGCTTTGTTCTGATATGCCCCTTCTTGCTCCCACCGCCCCCTGATGGGCGATGGTGCTGTCCTCGTGACCTCGTCTATCCCTTTACGACCGCATAGACCTCGACCGTTTCGCCTCACTTCGAGGAACGGTCGGTTCCTTAATACCCAATGGAATGGGTACTCCTACTTGACTCGTTCAATCCCACCATCTTGTCCCTAAAATGTCTAGGGGGATATCCCGTCAAGACAAGGTGACCATGACGAGGTGACATGCCAAGGGGGTGCATTTGGATGATCTTATTCGTCGTCACGTTGAGTCAATGCTCTGGGATGCGGAAGAAATTGCTTTGCACCAACCCCAAGCCAATCTATTCAATCACTCGCTAGTGTTTCCCAAAGACGGTAATTAAAGATAGAGGCGCGGGGTTCGTGGTGTGGTGTGCACCACGGCGACAGCCTGCATCCGGCTGCAGATGCAGGTGCAGAATGCTGATGTTGTGCCCTCAACATTGTCTCACCGATCTCTCCTTGATCCCACACAGTTTGTGCAAGATTTCTGTCTGAATATGCCCCACCGGAGTGCACAATCTTCCCATGAGTTATAAATTCTCCTATGGAACCCTGTCTGTTCAGCATGAATCGAACCTGGCTTCTCACCTCGGGTAGCCCGACAGGCGAGTAATCCCACCAATACCACTGACTTTTACAAGACATATTCTGTAAGCCACGCAACCGGCCATTTTCTTACATGTAGAAGTGAATGTGGCTCTACAACAAGCGTTGACTTTCCAGTCTACGGAGAGAAGTTGAACGCAATGCACGAAAATTATAGCAATCGACCAGAGACAAGTACCATATGCTTGACAAAATGTGTGGGGTCTCAAATCAGTGTTACATGGTTAGACACTGCTATTTGGGACGGGCCCGTACGGCTTCACCTCGTCAGTATACTAGTACGCACGATCAATGTTTGTAACGTGGAGACCAGTGGAGGTCCGTGAAAAGAAGCCACGGCGCCATTCCGTATCTAGCCACCACCCCGCAATGGGATCTCAAACTTCTATTCTTTCACGAAACATCGATTAGACACATGGAACTATGAGTGGTGAAACGCCATTCTTCTGCAAGTTACCAAGCATGACACGAGACGTTCACGCAATACGAGTACATATCGTGGAAGAAGAGCGGGTACAGTCGTCGTTTGGCTACTGGGAACCGGCGAAGGATTCCAAGGGCGTCTATCCTACAAACTACGCACCCGGGAAATCCGAGCCCTGACCATCTTGTGACAATTAGGCTGTCAGAGATATACAACGGTGGGGGGCAGCTGGGCGCTTGCTGTTGTGAGATGTATGGATGACATAATGGAAGGGGAAAGGTCCTGGACGCCTGGGGTTGGGAATTCCCATGTATAGTGAACCCCCGGGTGGAGGGAAGTCGAACGAGCTGAGGGCAACACCATCATCCCGATCGGGAGCTTAACAGCGTTGCTTCATTGATGGCGCTGATTATGAATCAAATAGTGTTGCTAATTATGTCTAGCCCCAAAGTCGACGCAAAGGGTAGTGTCTTACTCCCTAGAGGAGGCAGCGGGGAAGTGGCAAGTGCCCACAGGGCACAGGTAAGTTAACCTTAACCTAATTTTGCTGCAACCCAGGCGGCTGTTATTAATAGCAATGGGAAGTGAACAGGCAAATGTGACTAAATTAATGGGCGTCAAAGAGAGCAAGGTGCCAAAGACAATGGAAGCGCTGAGGTATGAGTATATACTAACTTAATTTGGACCCATCACTTAAGTCTTCTTCTTGCCGCCCAAACAAGCAATTAGGTGGTATTCCTATACAATTTGGCGGCTAAGTGTTGCTAATTAGGGCTACCTTTCATCCAACCAGAAAGTCTCTGGACATTTAAAGATTTTCCTGATAAACTTGCCGATGACAGGCTAGTTCCAGTCCCTGGTCGATTTTCTGTGAGTCCAGATTGGCTGGTTCCAACCAGGATAGGAGATAGCGCCCTCTATCAAGTCCACCGAACCGCTGATGGCTTGCGATGGAGACCAAACCAACCCCCGAAGCTCATAGACTGAAGCTTGGCATGCACCCCCCGCTGCACCTTTCACAGACTCTAGTCTTCCACACCGTTTCAGTAGTCGCTGAGGGAGGCCCAAACGGGCAAGATTCTCACGTTCTAAGTCGATCCCAGCCAATCATTCCTTGCGAATACATGTGGGGGCAGAATTAATGCTATTTTTACCTGGTTTTGGTGATGAGCTGCTATGATGGACGATGTGGGCTCTCTCTGGGAGACCGGTCGTGAGGAAACAACATACGGCAAAAATTCGAGGAAAATTCAGAAAATTCCAGAGAAAAAAGGAGCGCAACTAGAGGGACACGAAGAATGAACGTGCCAACTTATTTCAGAATATTTATTCTCGACAGTTCTGACAGGGTCGCGGGAGAGAAGGAGGAGCAACTTCTAACCGCCCTATTAGGTAGGGCTTTGCGGAGGAAAGAAACCGCCAACGCTAACGATGCAGACCCTGAGATGGTCTCAAATAGCACGATCGACTTCCACCCCCAGGCACACCCGCCCATACCCCGGTCGAAAATGTCCCAAAATTAGTTTCTAGTCGCTTGTCATTTGTCGCGTGCATCAAGATCGCCCCCCACTTCACCTATCCGCGCTTCGCAGTTGGTTCGCGGTTCATGCATTGCGACAAAATATAGCAAAAATAGAAGCATGCACATCTTGACGGTTTATCAGATTACATTTAAAAGGCTTCATCTCCAGGATATTAAGGCATCATGGTCGGCCCCCGGAAGTTCCATCGCAACCTCAGTCAGTCGCACACTATCTTCTGCCTTTGGTTCGTGTTGAGTCGACCTTGTGGTATCATTCCCACCTACGACGGCCTGCCTCATGCAGTACACATCAAAGGGAAGATACTAGCAGCAACGCCATCGTCAACGACATCATCGAAGTATATCGCCCGCTGATCCAGGTCCACTTCCTCACTCGAGACGAAGCGTTACCAAGCCAGTTCCTCCACCATGTATACCACCACCGCATATGCACCCATGCCGCTTCGTGCGCAACCAAGCACTTCACGACCCAACATATTTCCGATACAGGATTCGACAAATCCGCCTATCCCAGGATCCCCCGAAAAGGGCAAGCTTCGGCGCTCCCGATCCGGTTAGTGTCGAGAAATAGCACCAATTTCCACCCTCCGAGGCCTTTAAACACGCCAATATATGTGAACCAGAAGCCGGGAATGACTGACAAGGCAAATTTGCAGGCTGTTACACCTGTCGAGTTCGACGAAAGAAGTGTGACGAGGGTCGTCCTGCCTGCAAAGCTTGTAGCAGCCTTTCTGTGAATTGCGAGTACACTCAACCCGCGTGGTGGTCAAGCGTAGAGCAGCGACGCATACAAAAGGAGCGGATTAAGAACAAAATCCGGGAGACAAAGATGCTCGAAAGGCGCCTGAATCTGGAAGGTATGTATCTTGACCCATTCTATTCCTGATTTTATACATCTCATTCCAATGCCTTTTTTTCTCCTATAGAACAAGTCCGACGTTTACTTCCATCGCCGGCAAACGTCCAATATGATTTTAGTCGACCTCCAGCTTATGGTAGCCCCTATGGTTCATCATACAGCTCTTACCTGCCTACTCCAGGCTTGACCGCAGGATCTCCGCCTTACCCGTATAACTCGGGCGTTTTCACCACTCTACCGGAAACTCCGCTACAAAATACCTCGTCCTGGCAAAATGCAGATACCAATTCATTTTGCACCATGGGAACAAACTTACAGCCAGTGCTCGCACCTGCCAGCATTTCGCCTTGTGATCAAGCGTATCAGAGATATGATCAACCTGCCCCGCCCAGTGAGCACGCGAAAGAGCAGCAGCAGGTCGAAGATACCGACAAACCGTTATCTGCTTATTTGAAGGATACCGAGTCACTGGACGAGCGTGAACGACTCCTACTCTATCACTTCGTCGATGATGTCTTGCGATTGATTTTTCCAATTCTGGACCTTCACAAAGCAGGCCCAGTCCGAGCGCGCGAGATCCTTCATTCCCTAGAGACTAACAAATCCTACTACCACTGCTCGCTTAGCGTGTCTGCGATCCATCTCAAGACCAGCGCCCACCCCGAGGCTAAGAGCGTCGAGCGTGACATAATGCAGCATCGATACAAGGCCGTTTCGCATTTGACCCGGGCCCTAGAATCAGACAGCGGCCACGATCAGATTCTCGATGCCACGCTCGCCATGATCTTTTTCCACTGCTCCGTGGGTGCCCCCGACGACCACCTGCCGGACATCCCATGGAACCAACACTTTAAGGCCGTCGCAGATCTTATCAACCAACTCGGACTGATCGATTCATCACCCTACGCGGCTCTTCCTTTCAGCGTTTCTCTGACGGCGTGGATCGACATCCTAGGCGCCACCATGTTAGGCAGATCACCCCAGTTTGCCCACACATACCGTACGAAGCATCTTAGTGGAATCTCTTCTGGACTGAAGGAATTGATGGGCTGCGACGACCGAGTGATGTATCTGATCTCCGAGATCGCATGTTTAGATTCATTAAAAGGATCAGGCCGTCTGGACGAGCTCAACATTTCCCACCACGTCTCCGCACTAAGGGCGCAGATTGACCATACCGAGCCCGTCGACTTCCGGCTGGAAGACCCATGTTCTGCTTCCGGCGAAATCGACCCCGAAAAATTGACCATGAACATGACGGCCATTTTCCGCGTGGCGGCTCGGATCTACCTGTACAGCCTGATGCCATCCTTCGACCGCAGCGAACCAAGCATCTTCAACTTAGTGGAGGCGGCCGCCGACCTTCTACAGTCCATCCCCACGGGACCCTACGGCTTCGACCGATCCCTAGTCTGGCCACTGCTCGTGGTGGGGACATATTCGACCCCGGAGGGCAGTTTCCGCGGCATTCTGGCCCAGCGAGCAACCGCCTTGGGTGAGTCAGGCGACTTTGGTAGCTTTGGGCGCATGTATCGCGTCCTACAAGAAGTCTGGAAGATCGCCGACAACCCTCCCATGACGCCAGCCTACACGACTCCCAGCATGCTGTTGCCCCCATCCGACCACTCCTACGACCAGCCGTTGTCATTCGGCTCCATCCCACAGGTCAAGACGATGGGCCAGCCCGTCAAAAAACAGCCCGTCCACTGGCGAGACGTCATGAAGCGCTACGGGTGGCGTTATCTGCTCATCTAGCATGTTCAACACATGCACATACCATATACAGACAAAACGAACAACGAGTAAGAGAAACCCCCCTCCCCCCAACATTGTCCATCCATCCAGATCCCTTCCCCAAAGTTCCCAACAGCAACGCTCGACTCTCATTGGACCTCACGGCTCACCAATCTTAGCTCGATGATGCTGCGGCATTAATGCAACATTCCCACGGGTGATTGACACCCGGGCGTTTCGGTGGTTGGGTGGTGGGAGTTAATCAAGGTGGTAGGCGTTTGGAGGCTTTTTTCGATATCTATTATTTCTTTTTTTGTTATCTATCTTTGTTCTTGTTCTTGTTTCACTTTTTACTAGTCTGTGGTGGTTGCTGTCGCTGTTGCTGTTTATATCCCCCATGTTTGGTTGTTCTATTTAATTCTATTTTTATTCTTAGTTTTTATTTTTCTGTTTTCTTCCATAGCACTATTTTCTTTGATTGTATGTCGTCTTTTTCGTTCTCTTCTCTTCCCGTGAGTACAGGGATCGCACTAATAAAAGGCATAACGCAAACTAAGCACTCGTTTTCTGTTAATCGCGCAGGGAATATGGTGTTTTATACATTATTACTATGTAGCTGTTGGTGTTCTCCACTTTCTTCTTTTTTTCGTCTTTTTTTCGTCTTTTTTTCGTCTTTTTTCCTCTTATTTTATTTTACTTCATAATACCTATGAACTAGCAGGGAAAAACTCTCGTGACTCGAAAGCAAATCAACACCTTCGTTCAATACTTTATGGTTAGTATCGTTTTGGATGGAATTTGCATTTATGTCTGTTATTAGGCTGGTTGGCGTTCTTGGTCTTGATCTATATCTATATATTTATTTACTACATTTCTTGTGGCAATATATCTATTTGCTACGAAGTCTATTTGACTTTTGAAGTTGGGAAGTTATTTTGCTTTTTTCCTGTTTCTCTCAATATGTATTTCCAATCCGACATCCACCTATTTCGGTTTCCATGAGGTTTCTGGAAGAGGAATTCATGGATTGGACCTTTCATGGGAGCGAGAGTGGTAGGTGGGCTGGGTAGAATGGTAGTGGTGAATTTCCACATTCTACTAACTTGAGGGAAAAGAGAACTCATTTGATCTGGACTTGAGCCTGGTAACCGGTTTATATACATAATCTTCTACTATATATATGTATAAATATATATATTCACGTAGACCATGATTGTACTGCGTAGGTAGGAGACAAGTTGGCTAGGATGGATGTAGAGAAAGTAGTAACAACACATGCTGTCAAGGTTCATCCCATCATCCGAATAACAACATAAAGCCATCCATCCCCATAAGCACAGCTCCTGACCACCTCATCAACAGGCGCAGACATCGGCACCGCAGCACCATGCAGCACGGGCCTCGCCAGCACAGGCGTCCGCCGACTGGGGAACAAATTCGGAAGAAGCGAGTGCAGTGCGGACCCTATCGTTTGCGTCTGTGGGGCGGGACTCCCGCGCGAAAGCGTCGCCTGGCTGGCTGCCATGCTGGAGGGGGGGAGCGACGGGGGAATGGGCGACTGGACGATTTTGAGGGATGGCGAGCCTGAGTCTGGGGGGAGGGGGAGGAATAAGCGGATGGGGATGTTGCGGAAGGGTTGGTTCGGTGGGGGGAGGAGGATGTTGGATATTCGTTGGTAGGAGGGGAGGTCGACTGTTGAGTGGATTAGTTTTGTGTTTGTCTCTGTGCTTAGATTGGTGGGATTGTAACTATGGGTAGGGAGAGAAGGAGGGCTGGAGAGGACATACCTTCTTCGACAGCCTTCCACAGACCCGAGCTATCTTCCTTGGACAGACTCATAATCTTCTTTGCTGTGCCATTGCGCAGGAAATCCGCTTCCTTGACGCTGTTGATGAACGCGTCGTTCATGACCATGCCGTTCGCATCTAACCGAACAAGCTCCTCATTGGGCCAGTCGCTGAAATGGACCGTCAACCGCCAGGGTAAAGAGCCACCCGCGCTGTCGTCGGTGGGATGTTCTGTCGCGTCCTCGGATGCGCTCCTGTCACCCTTCGAGGCGGGGTCTGCACCCGCGTAGAGGTCATACAGGAGACCAATGGGCAGGTGCCATTTCAGAGGCACGCCTTCGAATGAGAGCCAGCCGTCGTGGGGGCTAGAGCTCGGGTCGATCAGTGACGATGAGAAGAAGGCGTGGAGCCTTTGGAGCAGTGATGGGAGATAAGAGATCCGGGGGCAGGAGATCTAGACTAGTTAGTTTCGAGGAATGTGGGTATCATGAGCTAAAGGTTGCTTACGAGGTATGGGTCTGTCTGGTCAAATGTTCGGCTCTCAGAAGCAGCCAGCTCTATCTGCAGGGGAAGTTTGCCGTCCCAGACTGCCTTTTGGATGCTGCTGAGTGTGGACTGGTTGTACATGTTGGTAGAGCAGGTCGTGGTCCAGCGGTTTAACTACGGACGGTCAGTAAGTTGCCATGCAGAGATATAGAAGGTAGTTTGAGAAGTACCAAAGGTCAGATTCCAACAATGAGGCACCTAGTCAGATTACAAGCTACAGTTGGCGTTGTCACTGCCCCGCAAAGCTCAGGCCATCATCAAGAACTGCTTCCCGCGCGCTCTCCCAGTTCAGACCCGTCGATAAGTTGGGACCCGCTAGATATAGTTTCTGCAAGGAGATAAGGTTTAAGAAGAGAAGTGAAGAGATATCGGGATTGTGGTGGAGATGGTCGAAGGTGGAGAGATGAAGTCTGGTGAGTTTCCTGAACGGGAATCCATGCCTCCTTCCACGTGATGATCCTATTCCTGCCTGAGGCACACGTCATCATCCACTCATGTTCCTCTTCTCTCCTCGGTCTACTGTATATATTATGTCTTTCTGTGGATCTATCTTGTATATCCAGCACATTAGGCGTGAAGCTGTATGTGAATCTTGCCCCGGAACTACGACGGTGACCCTTGATTCCAGCAGCCCTATCCACAGGACAGACCCAGACCTCGCCACCATAAGAGATGCGGTGCCCTACTGGCATTTATCCAGAGATCGGGAGACACTAATCCAGTCCTGGCAAGCCTCTCTCATCAGCCTTGGTCTTCCCAGCTTATGGTGTGTGAGGCATGTATTGATGATGTAAAGACGATTGTAAAAGACTCATATCAGGACCGACAGCCAATGATCCCAGCTAGTTGTCAATCCCCTCTGCTTTGACAATCATCACCATAATAGGCATACCGAGACGATTTCATTATATTCCCTCCCTCTAACAATCCCATCAGGGTCTCAGAGACCTCTGCAGCTGACATGTACCGTCCAATGCTTGGACAGCGTTCGGCCAGCGTTCATCTCGACGCTAACTCTAGAGCCCGTCGCACTCCGAAAATAAACGATTACACGGTCAGTCATTCTCATTGATGACCCAGACTACCGATGTAGGATGACGCGAGGATGGGTCCTCTCTGAATGGGCGTTGGTCAGTTTATCTGGTTGCCTTCTGGTTTGCCTTGTGGGCCAACAACGGCCTTCCGTTAGAGTGGGCCCCGTATTGCGTAGCTTGCAGTCGAAGTCGGACGCAAGGTAGACTAGCTGATACGCCCTGCTTGAGTAGAGATGAACATCTGCACCTTCCTGGCTAGGGTGAGGACTGCGGCCGAGGGCTTGGGGGCTTTTGAAAGTACAATGGTGCTGTATCAAGGTTTCTTTGGCGTAATTAGTTGGAATCGGCGAGTATTGGTAAGATCGGCTAATATGTAAATTTCATATGCAGACGCCGAACGTGACCATGTTAAATGCCAGGAAGGCCTCGATAAGCCGCCAGTGACAAAGAGCGTGACTTGTTCGTCGTCTTAATGATCATTTGAGCACCTGCCAGTCTCTGGCTGTCTAAACCACCATTTTGACTAGCATTGTGCAGGCAGTCGTCAATCCCTCGGCCTGGCTTATGGACATGATACGCGAGAAGCCCATCCGGCGAGTCCCAGTCGATATGGGACCAACAGGCCTGCCCGGATGGCCATTGAAGGCCAGCCCAATCAAGACCTCTCATACCCCGCGCTCTTGAGAGCAGATCTATTTCCATGAATCAATATTGCAATTCCAGGATGATGGCGAGAATGGTGGATACTGGTTGCAGGGGTTTCGCCCGAGTACTTCCGTCGTTTACGTGAGCATTCAGACACGCACATTGGAACAATAATGTCTCGCTAGGAGCGCCTTCGTTATCATGATGCGGGGGATAATCAGCAACCTCAATTCCAATTTCTGTTGGAAAGAGAGAGTATTCCTCCGCCGTCTCCAGATCATGGCAATGAGACGTCAAATGACTGTCTTCGTTCGGTCTGGCGTCAAAAGCGCCATTTGAGATAAGAACGATATCCTACTCTGAGATAATCTCGTCGTTTCGCATCACGAGACAAAAATACTCGACATGTACTGGCTTTCGGGAGAGGTCCCATTCGCTATACTCAGCCCATGACACAAGGAGTTTTGAAGCAAACCCCGAGCATGCAAGTTCGAATCAAAACCACGTGGATCCAGACCTGTCTCAAACGGCAGCCAGGGTAAATTTTCTGACGCCAAACAAACACACAGTGTGATCCGGGCTGCTCTCGGGCTGTCTTGAAGCAATCTAGGTTGATCAGTAGTTTTGGCGTCCAAAGTAAGTCTACAGACGTGACTTGTCCACATGGTAGGGTGATCCAAGGGGAATTGGGGATTTCGAACATGCTGTATGAAACAGCGTGGCTGCGGGATATGGGACCTCCCTCTTGTTTGCTTCGGTGTAACTTTCATCTGAACACTCAGCCGGAATAGCCTCAGTTCCAAAAAGTAGGTTCAGACCGTCCTAGCCGGTTCCGGAGAAGCACCTTGCAGCTCAGGCCCCTTCAGATAGGACTAGGTCAGCAATTCTGCTGGCATTCCATATTGGTTAGAAAAAGACCTGGTTGGTTGTCCAGCTGCCAAGGCCCAAAAATCCTAGACGTAAGACAGTGCTAGAAAGCTTCCTCAGCTGTTGTCGTCACCTCGTTCCTGTTTTCTTCTTGGCGTAATTTGACATTGGCGGCTGTTTCATTTTACAAGCTGTCTGCTCGTGAGTATCATGCGTTTTGTTGTCATCCCTGATTTGAGGGTGGGGGAAGGAAAGGGGCCATGAGGGAAAAGGAGTGAGTTATTGCGAACGAAAAAGAAAAAAGAAGACAAATCCAACCAAACATACAAATGAACAATATAAAATAATCAAGTAAAAAAATTGAACCTTGGCAGTCTCGGCAACCAATAATTCCGTCTCATCGAGCATTATCCATCTAGGGGCCGCCGTTCAAGAAGGATCGACGAACTAGGTGTTTTTCCACGCGTTGATACTTTCCTCATAGAGAAGAGGGAATATTGGCTGAATTGCCGTATGCATAATGCATCTGAAGTGATCGCAAGCTGAACTAAAGCTCCTTCTGATCTTCGCTTGCTTCGCGTCCCACATACTTGTGATTGACTTGACTCCATGCTCTCGTCGACTTGGGTCGGTTCGAGGAGATGGCCCAAAACCACACGGAGGACAGCACACTTAATCGAAGGGCAAAACTCGAATTGACGGTAAATTCAGATAGGTCAGGCCCATTGGTGTACGGCATGGGTGATCACATCGCAAAAAGGGGTCAGTCACTACGAGTTCGTGTCCGATCACCGTCCAATCTCCCTTCAGGGGAACCGTTCGCTTGGCGATCCGTGATGAGACGTAGGACAGAAGGTCTGTAAAAAGTTAGCCTTGGGTGGAGCGTGTCAATCAGCGATAAGGTTGCTGAGCTTTTCGCGGGTGTTGGCCCAAGCGCGTGCCTTGCATCTTGTAACTGTGGCCCCATGCATCCGGGAGCATACCCCATGTCGGCGACGATGGAATCGATTGATCAAAATATTAGCGTGGAAATTCAACGCTGTCCTTCTCATCGTCGGCTCTATTGTTTTCCGAGAATTAGCCGACACCGAAAGGGGCTTTTTGGTACAATTATTGTAGGAAATACGTAGCTGACAGGTCTGACAGGATCATTACTCCGCGGAGTTGTCCCCCGGCTGTGCAACTGTATCCCACTGTGGAGTTCTTGACGGAGTTGTATACCCTCTTTGGTGCCTCTTTTAGACAGACGACCAGGAGAGGGAATAAGATCTCAGCTAGAAAAGAATGTTATACTAACTTTTGACGGCGGACGGCCAAGTCTGCCCCTTTCCGCCGGAACTCCCTGAAAGCCCTTGCAATTTTACTCGGCCCCATTTGGCGGGGGCGCATACCGACTCTCTGGTAACCCATGCGAAGGAAGCCACTAGAGCAAGCTAGCGCTACTCCGCTGTTCTAATGCTGGTCAGCAGCCAGGATTGGGACCCAAACCATGGGCGAATTGTCGCAAATTGCTGCAACGCGACGGTCCAGCATCCCTTCTCCACCCGCTAACCCCATAAACCAAGAGATAGAATAGAAAAGACGGGGAAATCAAAAACTTTGCACCGCAGAAGTTGGGATCCATTTTGAGAAGGGGGAAGGAATCACAAGAATAAAACGATAGTTGCTTATTGTGGCGCTACTTTATCTCGGTCGATTGCGCGGCCTGGAAAGCTCTTAGGGTTACCTCCACCCACTGCAGGGTTCGCCGGGGAGAGCGAGGCTTAGCTCCAAAGGAGGGTTGCTTTTTCTGAATTTGCTAGCCAATGGTGAAATTAAGGGCTAGGTGTGCAATGAATGTAGTTGAGTAAGCATATCTGGGGGCTGTGGTGGTCAAGTATGTGGGAGGTGACGCTGCAGGACCCACAGTAATGATAATTGTCATGTCTCACACTTGAATTGAGGTGTGGACATGAACTGATATTTTTCTTTTCTTTTTGCTTCTTCCAATAAGAAAAGAGAGAAAAAAAAAGAATTCTTAGATTAAAAAATATGAGAAGAGATGTTCGCAGTGCGGTTCTTCTCATACCATGAGAAATGAGAGATTGATCGAGACGTCTGTTCCAACAGGCGTCTATGCGTCTACTGAACCCCCTAGATGAAAAGGGTGTAATATAATGAAGACACCATACTCGACGTAAAGTCTTAGCTGCATGTTGCCCTTGATGCAGCACGGTAGAAATCATCGCTGGTCAGTGCGCTATCGTCAACGGGATCTGATGACGGTGCGGACGTTGATGATCTAGGTCGTGACTGATCATTACTGGATCAGGTAACAGTAAAAAGATGTCGAGGGATGAATTCAGAATAAAAGGATAAAAGAAAAAGAAAAGAGAAGAGGGGAATAGAAAGTAGATCAGATTGAACCACAGGAGCGTGGCCTAGTCCAGGGTTGGACTCTCCACTGAGGCAGTGCGTGATTGCTTTCGACCACGTTTGCCCATTTTCGTTTCAGCCGATCGTTCCAAACGGTTTGTCGATGATCTTTTTTCGGGTCCCGAGGGCACATAGTTTCCCCACCTCTGACACGCTGCCACCGGATTCTGGGACCCAATGTACTAAGGCTCGTGACGAAGCTTTCTTACTTGGGCTGGCCAATCTGATGTCTGTGTTTCAGCTAGACGCACCCCTTTCTATAGGCGGACGCATCCGATCCACAGTGACGGTTCTCGCCTGTAAGACAGGAAGAAAGTAAGAAACCCATTGTCATCTAGAGCTTGGACTGGACGAATCGGACCAGGATCATATACCGAACGAGTGGGTGGTCTCTCGGTTCCTGTAACCGACGTAGGCCATGGCTATCAATCATGGATTTCCCCAGAGTGCTCCTTCCGTACTCGTCCGATCTCTTACCCAAAATTGGATCACACTTTCCATCCCAGTCGTGGGATACATCCTCCATTTCCACTCCCCCACTCCTGTAATCACCGATGTCAGCCTCTTGTCAGGGCTTGGCTTGGGTGTGACAAAATCGATAGGACCGAACGAATGATGTGTCTTTGCTCACTCCCTAGATTCAGTTAGCAAGTACCGAGAAGTCACGGGCAGAGTCCCATCTCATCTAGTGGCTGATCACCAACAACGGCTTGAGATTAAGAAACGATGAGAGAGATCAAGCCTGTGCACCTGAGCAGTTGAAACCTTCCCAGACAGTACAGTCGGCCCGAAGATCTCTATCTCTCTAGGCCTGCTTCTTCTTCAATTAGTGCCCTTTCTTTTCATCCTACCATTCCTGGTTTGGTCTTCCGCTCGCTCCCATACCCAGTCGACTTCTGTCTATTTTCGTATTCCATCTTACCGAATCATTCGTCATCAGTCGACGATGCAGATGTTGAACCCCGTCCCCGAGCTATATAGTGCACACGGAGTCCCTCTGCTGCTTCAATCTTATCGGGCTATAGTTCTCGATTCTCAAGAGTATTCTTCAAGCATTAGCATCGGCATAAGCTCTCTTTCTATCAGATCTCCACCGTCAATCCAAGATTCGTTGTCTACTGTCCAATCGAACCAACCTCGGTATCATCCTCATCTTGAAGATTCATTCTTTGAGCTCCCGAACCATAAGGACGCATATCAACCCAAGGTCGCTTCGCATTTCGACGTCTCTCCATCCTCCCAAGTAACGGAATTCGAGTATCATAGACCTCACATCATCGCCGAAATGCCTTCCGCAGACAAGCAAACCACCAAGTAAGGCTTCTAGTCGTACTCTCTCCTTGTCCGATGTGGTATACTCACAGAGAATTCCCAAGCAGAAACACCAATGGAGTCAGCAACGGTCTCAGTATGGGTCACTTGAACAACGTCCCCGATCAAAGCAGTGGCGGCGTTGTGGATCGATTCTCACAATCGAACGCCGCGGAGGAGCCTTACTTTGCTCGCGCACGAATGGAGGATCGTTCGGATCACGTATCACGTCTTTCAAGCCAGCTTGATGCAACAGATGAGATCATGAAGAAGTGAAAGAAAACAGGAAAGACAGCTTAAAGGGGGTAACAAAGGCATAATCTATATTTAAGAAACGGGCGAGAAAGGAGGATTCCCCACGGCCACATCGGAAGCGTCTATATACAATTCTATCAATACTGAGAGGATAGCTTGGCTGGGATGGCAGGATCATCCCAGAAGTGTAAGGTTCAAGAGGGGAAGTGCTCGGTGAGCCTTCCCAGGGAAAACCGGTACTCTGTCAGATAGTGCAGTTGGGAAAGCCAATTAATGCATAATCTTCCACAGGCAGTCTGCCACCTCGTCGTATTTCGTACTCGGGAATTCGTGTCCAGCGTCGAAGTACTTGAAATCCACGTTCCCTTGGAGCGCTGATGTGGCATCGGGAGCAAGCTCTTCCTTCACGATGATTCCATCATGCATGCCGCACAGAATCAGGACTTTGTTGCTTGGTAGACCGTTGGCACGCTGCTGTTCCGGTGAGAGATACTGCTGCGCTGAGAGGAAGCTCCCCAAGCGTTCCCAATTTCCCCGCTGACGGGCCTGCAGGATCGGACCAAATCGCATGCTAGACATGAACGCATGAACAAAGCCGGCATGATTGTTCACCTGCCACTGCACGGCACCAGGAACACTGACATGGGGATAGGCCCGCGACAAGAGCTGCACATTCGCCCCACCCTGGGACGGGAGTTCCTCAGTCAGTGCAGAAGCGGCGTCGACCTTCTCGTCTTTGGGCTTGGGAGTGGTCAACGGGCCAGCACGAAGACGCCGACCAACGAGAAACCCGAGGACACGCTCAGGGAGGAGACCATTCGAATACAGAAGCCGAGTCTGGGCGCTGATTTGGGAGTCACGGATCAACCCCGCCGGGGCCATCAGGGCCAGGGACGAGAGGAGCTCGGGGAAATGAGCTGCAAACGCAGCGGCAATCCCGCCGCCCAAAGAGTAGCCGGCAAGGCAGAATTTGCCCGACCCAGCACCGGTCCAGGGGATCGGGGACGTGCTCAGGGCCATGAAAATCTGCGTCGCAAACAATCGGTCGTCCTGGGGAAGATCGGACGGGCAGTCTGAGAAGCCTCTTCCAAACCTGGTAATCTATCAGTATCGAATATGACGGTTTGTGTCGCACCGGTACTCTAAGGTGATGGCCTACAGATCGAATAGCATCACTCGGCACCCCCGATCCACCAGGGCGTGTGCCAGTCCACCCAACGCAACGCAAGGCGTTGTAATACCATGAACGAATAACACCTTGGGTCCGTCGACAGGGCCCCACTCATACACCCTCATCGATCCATATGGTGTCGTCAGGTCTCGAGCTCCGGGGAGAACGTCGGTCGGCAACGGATGCTCCCGGTTCTCCGCATCCGATAAGCCCAAAACCTTGGTGCGGGGGGCAGGGAGAAGAGTCTCCGGATGTTTATCGGACAGGGCCGAGCGAAGTAACAGACCAGCAGTGACAGAGGCACCAGTCAAGGCCAGCAAAGGAAGTTGAGTCTGACGGTTGGTCAAAGAATCGGAGAGAACCTCAACGGTTCGGCTATACCAAGCCGTGGCCATGGTTTCGGGCTTTTGTTCCCACGTGGGATGTTTATATATGAGATTCTGAAGGGTCTATTCACAAAACAAAAAACAATGCGATCTAGGAAAATAACGAGGCCAGAGAAGAGAAAACAGAAAGAACGACAGCTGCAAAGAAGAAGGAACAGGAGCAGCAGAGAGAGTAGTGAGTCTGTGGCGATAACGGAGGCTGATACGACAGGAACAATGATAATGCAGCGGCAGTGCCCCGGCATTCAGGCAGGAATTCCCGTCAGCCGAGGTCGCCTGCTAGAGTGCCTGAGGCCAACACTCTCGTCTGGACATTGATATTGACCGTCTTGGAACATCTCCAGTCACTTCTCACTTCTCACTCTGCCATCTTCCTTCCGGTCTTGTTTTCTCTGACAATTCCCACAGAATGATAGACAGAAACAAATCAGTCAGTCTGTTCCACCACATATTGCGCCAGTCTTGCCCATCTATGGATTACCAAAACTTCGTCCATGCCTGGGCAACATCGTCCGTCCTACTTTCCCAGACGATACAGAGAACTTCGCGCGGGGATGGAGGGAATAGCCCCCGATAAAAGCCAACAAAACATGGACAAACCCACCAGGACGAAATAACGGAAAGAAGAAGAAGAAGCGGTCAGAACGAACAATTTCCCAGAGATCCGGAGTAAATGAGAAATTCACACAATCTGGACCATGTGGGATCCGCCGGAGTAAATATCTCCTCGCCGAGTTTCAGAGTGGCAAGGCGCCAAATCTCTCAGATGACTTATCATTTTTCGTAACGGAGCTGAAGGTGTTCACCTTGAAACCGGGAGATTTCCCTGACATCCCCCATGCCCCCACCTTTCAATCATGTGTGGCAAGACCTGGAGGGATGCGGATGGTGCCCCGTCTGCTTCTCCATGGCATGATTCCGGCTAAATCAGGCCCAGAGGATGGCAATGCTTGCATACTGGCGCTAGGATGATTCCATATGGAAATGATCGGCAAGGTACGGCATCGTGTTCCTGGCTTGACGAGTAGACAGCGGACGATCGGAATCTTCGGGACTTCCCTCGAGGAAGGTTGACAAAAACAATCCATGCAATTATCCTTACCCGAGTAATCCTCAGATCATAAGGTCACTGCATGGATCATCCTGTGTCCTGCGCTACTTTTACCGACATGATTCACAGTTGACAAGTCTTATCGACGTCTTGTGCCTGTATAATCTTGGACAAGCTTAAGGAAGTACCACGGAGGACGACGCTAGTAGTCATCCATCCGGAACCTGTCAACATGCAGCTTCGAACGCCGTGGATTTATCCTGCGACCTGGGCAAATCAAAATATGGCTGTCTGATCTCAGGGCCTAAGGATCAGCTCAACACGGACATTAATATTTCCTATCATCTCCCATTCGGGTGGCTAAATTGGTCAGACGCCTCTCTCACCACATGGCGCTGCTTTGCAAAAGCCTCGGAAGCCACGAAGCGCGGGGCAATCTAAATCCATGGATATCATTGATGGGAAGATCTACCCCCGCAAACCAAGGATTGAAAGGGCTAACGGGTCCCTTAATCATCCCGCAGTTCCCATTGCAGCCACTTGTGCTTCAGGTTCCCCACAACGCCCAATAAGCGCCACATACGGTCACCTCGTCACCATCCTTAGTGCGGAGACCCGACGTCGATTAGTCTGGTTCTTACTAGGGATTGTCGGTCCGTATGGGATTTTCGGCTCTTACCCCGGATGATCTGAAGGACTAAGCTGCTGCAGATGTACTCTGGATTGAGGGCTGGTAGTCCAGAAGAGTCACGGCATTCCTTCAGTGTTCATTCCTGCAGTGTTTCGCATATGTTTCTACCTGACATCGCCTAATCATTCTCTAGCCTTATGGCATGTGGAAGCCGATCTGGCTGGAATTCATGATGCGCACGCTAGAGATCCACGGAAAATCCAGAGTTGATTGACACCGCTATCAAGCTCCTTAATCTACCGAGACGTAAGGTCTATAGCTTAACTCCCCACTTCTCGGATACCCGATGGGGCCGATGGCTACCGCTGTCGTGCAGAATTGACTGCCTGGACTCTCGTCTCGTACAAAAATGACCCGGAGCATCCTCCGCGACCATCATCGTCAGTCTAAACCTGATCTTCCTTGTGTCAACGGCAAATGAACTCGTCCGGATTGATTAAATTATTGCCATTAGCTCTCTGACCCCACGGCTTGGCAGTAGGAGCTAATCTAACCCTGGTCATCTGGTTGAATGGAAGTGTCTCTGATCTTATCAGTGCTCCAACTTCAGGGCCTGTCTGAAACAGGTCTCCAGCGGCGTAGCGGTCCGCGACACCGGTCATGAAGAGTAGTGTTGATCCACCTAGAACGAAAAAGAAGCCATCCTCGAAATCCTGGTCCCAAAATGGCTATATAAGGAGCCGTCCGCTCGACTCGGGATAGGAAAAAAAATCATCTCTGCAGGACAGACAACACAGAACAACTCAGACACTCTTTCCGATCTTCATTCAAAATGCATCAACGGTCGCTCCTTATCACCGCTCTCCTCTCTGCCGTTCGCGCCCAACAGGTGGGAACGATGCAGGAGGAAACTCACCCTCCCATGACTTGGCAGGAGTGTGCTAAAGGCGGCGAGTGCACTGAAAAGAGCGCTTCCGTGGTCATCGATTCCAACTGGCGCTGGCTGCACTCCCTCGAAGGCTCTGACAACTGCTACACGGGAAATACTGTAAGTGCTCCCTAAATCCGTTACACCAGAAAAGTGTATCATCATAGCTCACTGGACCAAACGATATAGTGGGACGAGGAGCTCTGCCCGGATAACAAGGCCTGCGCCGAGGGCTGTGCCTTGGAGGGAGCGGACTACGCCGAGACCTATGGCATCACTGCCGAAGGGGACTCCCTGAAGCTCCAGTTCGTCAAGGGTGAAAACGTTGGCTCGCGTACCTATTTGATGTCGGAAGACGACGAGACGTACCAGATTTTCAACCTCAAGAACAAGGAGTTCACTTTCGACGTCGACGTCTCGGAACTCCCCTGCGGCCTGAACGGAGCCCTGTACTTCGTTTCGATGGACGCCGATGGTGGACTGGAAAAGTACGAGGGCAACAAGGCCGGTGCCAAGTACGGAACCGGCTACTGTGACTCCCAGTGCCCGCGTGATCTGAAGTTCATCAACGGCGAGGTAAGTCCATTCACGACCCACCAGCACTAGGCAAGAATGCTGACCGTCTCAAACCAGGCCAACGTGGAAGGCTGGGAGCCCTCCGAGGGTGACAAGAATGCCGGTGTCGGTGGCCACGGCTCCTGCTGCCCCGAGATGGACATCTGGGAGGCCAACAGCATCTCCACGGCCTATACCCCCCACCCTTGCGACTCTGTGGAGCAGACTATGTGCGAGGCCGATAAGTGCGGCGGCACCTACTCCGAGACCCGCTACGCCGGTACCTGCGACCCCGATGGATGCGACTTCAACGCCTTCCGCATGGGCAACGAATCCTTCTACGGCCCCGGCATGACCCTTGACACCAAGTCCCCGATGACTGTCGTGACCCAGTTCATCACCGCCGACGGCACCGACACGGGAAAGCTCTCCGAGATCAAGCGCTTCTGGGTCCAGAACGACAAGGTTGTCGCCAACGCTGAGTCCAACATTGAGGGCGTCAAGGGTAACTCTATCACCTCCGAATTCTGCTCCGCCCAGAAGACCGCCTTCGGCGACGATGACCACTTCACCGAGCACGGTGGCCTCGAGGGCATGGGCGACGGTCTGGAGTCCATGGTCCTGATCATGAGCATCTGGGATGACCACTACGCCAGCATGATGTGGCTTGACAGCACCTACCCCGAGGATGCCGAGGCCGGCAGGCTCGGTGTCGGCCGTGGTACCTGCGAGCCCCACGCTGGTGACCCCGAGAAGGTTGAGAGCGCCTCCGGCGACGCCTCGGTGACTTTCTCCAACATCAAGTTCGGCCCCATCGGCTCGACCTTCAAGGCTCCCGCCTAAGCCACCAAACCATCGCCCAAGGCACCACGCCCCGGTTTCCACCAGGGATGCGATGTCCGGACGATCCCAACAAGAAGACGACCAATTCTTGGTTAAGTTTCAACGAAAAGCTTGTACATAAGGCCCTAGACCCGAGACTCTTCCGTTCTTCTTTTCTTTCTACCCTCCTTCTCTGTTTCTATTCTTCTGAATCCTCTGGATAGGGTCAGTTACTATTACTGCTTCCTTTTCGGATTGTATTCGACCCCCTTTTACTTCTTGTACCTTTTTATCTGTTCTTCATGTATTTAGTGCAAATGAACATTTCACGTTTTGGGAAAATCGATTCATTCCTCAATATGAGTAGATAGTACTATAGTAGGTGCACTTGATAATGCACCACCTAAATACGGAAGATACTTCAGTGAATCCTTAGAAAGAGGAAATCCTCTGCCACATATCTATATCGTGCTTCATTCGCCAATCGATAGCCTTGTTCTCTTCACCATGACAGTGATATACCGTAGCAGTGGCAGTACCCCTGTAAAGCACCTTGTCCATCATTGACTACCAAATTAAGGTGTGTAAGTCAGCAGAAATAAAACGTATTAAAACGGCGAATTGCCGAATCCTAGACAACCTAGTAGAGACCCTCGCCAGAGGAGAACCCAATGGTCTCAGGATGTCCCACTGCCTAAGTAAATTCAATGAATACCGGTGGTGTCTGGAGAATAGTGTGATTTTTCATAGATGGCCAACTTCAACGCTCGTCAAATCGTTCATGGTACTCGAGTTACATGTCTATTGGTAGATGTGGGCATGTAGAGACCTGATTTTGTTTTGCGTGTTGACGATAAATATATTGTCGGGGATCCCACTATATATTTTGTGACATTGGACGCCAGTATAGCGCAAACCCGGTCTCAAGGACGGGATCCCCTTTCGTGTGGAAAAAGAGGATATCGAAAAGCTGCTTATATTGTAGTTAGCAACCCCAGTGGCACTCTGCGAGATCGAACGCTCTCTGACCTGGAGTTGATCTGTCGCGTCTAGCTGATGTGCCGACTGGGTGGATATGTAGATTTCACCACCCTAGGAAGATCACCAGGAGTAGTGATGATTGACTGTATATATTTAGATCCTCATCTTCAATCTATAGGTAAATCAATGATGCAACATAAATATATGCTGCAGGTTATGCGTATACTCCCAGAAGTAATTGGCACTAGTGTTATTGATCTCAAGCGGATGGCGGGGTGAAGATTGGATTAAAGTGGGGGGAAAAAAGAAGTGGGACGATTTCCGTGGATTTTTTCTTCTCCAACATCAACCACGTCCATAACTATCACCCACCACAAACACAATCTAACGGGCCTGATTCTTTCCATCGCTCTAATAAGCTCCACTTATTTCTCAACACAGTGCATGACATGACGAACGAAATGGAGGCCGCCCCCGTCCTCTCAACGCCGGATGATCGCATCCTGGAAGCCACCGAACCCGTCGCCGCGCAGGATGGACATCGCAGTTTGTCGGACGAGGAGCTCTCGATTACCTACGATATCGAGCGCACGTTGAAGGAGATTCGCCAGGCTCGGTACAAGCGCATTGCACTCCAGTTCCCCGATGATATGCTGCCGGATGCGCCGCGGGTGTTCCAGTTGCTCAGTCGCGGTCTGGATGCTCGACGCGCCGATAGCAATGATAATGGAAATGCCCAGGATCGCAGCGATGGGACAACCAAGGTCGATAGCGACTGCGACGGTGCATGCCTCGCGCAGTCGGTAGCCCAGCTGGACGTGCAGGACCAGAGCTATGCGCCGAAACTCTACATCTTGGGGGATACGTCCTACGGAACATGCTGCGTGGATGAAGTAGCCGCGGAACATGTGGAAGCGGATGTCGTCGTGCACTACGGACGGTCGTGCTTGTCGCCAACGGCCCGACTCCCGGTGATCTACGTCTTCACCCACAAGCCCCTTCCTCTCGAGCCCGTTGTTCGGGCTTTCAAAGAAACCTACCCGGATCCCACCGCCAAGGTCATCCTCGCGGCCGATGTCACCTACACCGACCACATCCCCGCCTTGCACGCGCGCCTGACAAGCGAAGGCTACACCAACCTGTACGCCACAGAGCTGGTCCACGACCCGTCGTCCGCGATCCCCAACCGGACGGTGCCGGACTCGGTCAAAGACGCACCGGACACCCTGACGGATTGGCAGCTGTTCCATCTCTCGGACCCGCCGACCGCCCTGCTGCTGACCCTCGCGTCGCGCCTCGCGTCGATCCATATCTACCCCACGGACCGCCCGGCGAGCGAGACGGTCAAGCCGCTGCCGGCGTCGACGGGGCTCGCCCTGCGGCGTCGCTACGCGATCCTGACGCGGCTCAGCACGGAGCCGATCTTCGGGATCCTGATCAACACGCTCAGCGTCAAGAACTACCTCCACATCGTGGAGCACGTCAAGCGACGGATTGCCGAGGCCGGCAAGAAAAGCTACGTGTTTGTCGTGGGCAAGCTGAACGCCGCCAAGGTGGCCAACTTCAGCGAGATCGGCGGCTGGGTGGTCATCGGCTGCTGGGAGAGCTCATTGGTGGACAGCAAGGACTTCTGGAAGCCGGTGATCACCCCGTTCGAGCTGGAGCTCACCCTCAAGGGGGATGAGGAGCGGGTCTGGACGGGGGCCTGGCAAAGTGACTTCCAGAGCGTCCTGGACCAACCGTCTCCGAACCAAGAAAGCCAACCCGATGAGGAAACCAACGGGAACGACGGCGCGGAAGACGACAACGAAGCCGAGATGTCGGAAGAGGAATCCGCCCCGCCCGAGTTCGACCTGCGCACCGGTCGATATGTCTCGCACTCGCGCCCGATGCGGAACCCTGCACCCCGCGTTTCCGGGCGACCCGACGAGGGGGCACCGGCGGGCAGCGGACCCTCCGCTGCGCGGGCTCTCGCCAGACGGGCCAAGGGCGATTTGGCGATGATCGGCGGGACCGTCTCCCCGGGGGCTGAGTTCCTACGGTCGCAACGTACCTGGAAGGGGTTGGGGAGTGACTTCGATATCCAGTACGAGGAGGAGGGCGAGTCCGAGCGGGATAGTACGCTGGTGGTGGAAGGGCGCAAGGGCATCGCAAGGGGATACACGGTAGGAGAGGCAAACGATCGGCACTAGAGTTCCCGGCAAGGAATTTAACCTCGTTAGACTCGATAGACTATGATCGCATCAGCGTTTATTTGATTTCAACTTCCCCCCTGGTTTCCACCATGTGCCAATAAAGTCAGAATAATTAGAGTTCTATTGATTCCTGAAGAGTTAATAGGAGTGGTGATAGTCATCACCATGGACGGACCCCATTACCAGGGCGATAACAGGCTAATAATACCCCCCTGTGATGATTCATGGGTCAGCTCTGTCCTACCTAGAGGGGCAAAGGGAACCCATGCAGAGCTGAAGGATAGAATTCATATGAATCATAGCAATGAATGACAGCAGTGAATGATCCAGACTGAGTGAATACTAATATGACTGCGAGAAAGAAGTGAATGGATACCTTAGGTAGAGATAGCAGTGGAGGCGACCTATCACATGATGCAACCTCAGGCAGATCCCGGACGTTGGATTTGATCCCAATTGTGAGTTGTCAAAGCCACATCTGAGCACCATTTCTCCTCTCTGCTTCTCCCAGAACTCCCCTTCCCTTCTTTTCTTCCCTAACACTCCTTTCTCTTTTCCCCCTTTCATCCTTGGTGGAACTCTACGGTTGTCTTGACTCCTGGGAGTATCTCGTCCTGGCGCTTCCGTTTCCCTCCTTATCATGTGCGGCATCTTCCGCATCCTCCGCCGTGCTCGCGATACCGCGTCCCTCTGATCTTTGGAAGTGCAAGACAGAGTGGAATGAATAATTTGAAAATCAAAAAAGAAAGATAGAAGAAAAGACAAAACCAAAAGAGAAAGAAAGGTCCTCATCTTCGGACAACACCATGACGTCCCTTCGTGATGTGACCGCGGTGGATAGCCGGGATCCGGGCACTCTGGACATGAAGGAGGATGACACCGACCCTGACTCACAAGTGCTCGTGGAGTCGGCGCGGGTACAGTCGATGCCTGCGCAACGGGTTCTCTCCATGTTTGAACGAGTCCTGACCACTAACGCGCCGATCCTGGAATCCCTCCTCCTTCAGATCCCGACCGATACCATTGTCAAGCTCTACCATACCTCTCGCTATCTGCGGACCTTCTTGCGATCCTACCCCACAGCATGGAAATACCTCTCCTTCCGCCTCTTCTACCCGTCGGGCACCCCGTCGCCCCTCCGGTTGGCCGTCGCCGAGTCATCCGATTTGGCGACCCCCCGTCAGTCTCGCCCGTATGCGCTCGATCAGCTGTTGATGAACGTGGTGATCCCCTTCAGTCCCTGTCTGCGGAGCCTGGAGCTGGATAACACGGCCGTGTCGGGTCAGATCCTCTTCTCGACCGTCCTCTACGCACGGCGGGAGACTCTGGAGCACCTGTCCGTCCGCGGATGCAAGAATGTTTCACTCAAGTACCATATCATTCCCTACCTCACGATGTTCGGACTGCAGTACGATGTGGACATGAGGAAGGGCACTGGCAGCTCGCCCTCTACCAAACACCTGGCGCTCAAGAGCCTCTTTACATACCGATGTCGCCATCACCGCAGACGACCGTATCTGTCCTCCTCTTTGGCCCGAAAGGATTCGGACTCGGAACCGACCCACGAACTGGTCAACCTGTGCCGGAAGCTGGGAATTTGGACTGATACTGCATGGTGCTCCACCCCGGCGGCACGGTGTTTCCGGAGAAGAGGCTATGTCTCCATGCGGGTGCCGCAGGGATCGCCAGAGGTGTGGGTGGTGTTTGACCGGCTCTGGCGGTCGAAGAACTGGATTGGCCCGGTGGACACCGGCTCCCAGTCGCTTCAAAAGAATGGAAAGCTGTGGGAACATCAGGAGACCGGCTGTTTCGGGGAAGCTCTGGGGACGGGCGAAGTGGGAGACCTCGGGGAGGGCAGGATGAAGCCGGCACATCTGCGTTGGAGTCACCGACGCTTTGTGGAGAACGTCCGGTGCGACCACTGCGGCGACGCGATCCCGGAAAGGTGTGAGCAATGCAGCATCCTGATGCACTGCGTTGGGTGTCGAAAGACTCTCTGCGCCAGCTGTGCCTATGAACGGCCCTACGTCCACCACGGTAGCCACTCGTCATCCTCTCGCAATAACACATCCTCTTTGTGGTGGGCGCCCAATGCGTCGGTGTCACCGTGTCTCATGCACGACCCCCACGTCAACTCGGACCACGGAAATGCAAACGCTTCGTTACCTTATCCGTCGCTGAAGTTCCACTGGTGCTGCACGGAGCCCATCTTCTCGGGCGGTGGCGGGATCAGCATTGGGACGCCGAATCGGGATGTCGACCAGGTGCGAGCTGCGCCCCTGCCCCGTGGACAAGGGTGGGAGGATCTGGAGTATTCAGCGCAGGAGTGGAGCAAAACCTTCCCCAAGTATGCGTACGGGGACCCGCGGAAGCCCGATTACACACTGGAGACGGGTCACATCGCTATGATGAAGTGGTTGTTGGGCCCACCAGATCGTCAGCCGACGGCCTGTCCGCGAAATCTGTGCCAAGAGTGTTATGATACGCCCCAGTGGAAGGTGCACTGCAAGAGCTGCTCGAAGCCCCTGTGTATTGAACACGACCTTCGCGGCCTTCGATTACGGATCTGTGGCTATCGCGATCTCACGCTGGAGAAGATGGCCATTCAAAATCGGTCGGCGTCCAGCAGCGAGCTGACCGCTACCAACTCGTATCCGTCGCCCCACGTCCCATATACCCATACCGTGCCGGAGTTCGAGCTGCCCTATCGCACGCAGCGGGCGATCGACTCGACGACCAGCAGCTTCACCGAAGACAACCAGGCGGACGGGATCGTCGGCGAGAGCACGTCAGCCCCGCACGCAGCTGGCGCGGCACTGCACGGGCGGTCGCGGAGCTTCTCGGTGTCCAACTCGAACCGATCTCGCTCCTCGTCGCCATCGTCCGTGTACTGCGAGTCACCGACGGAGCCACCCAAATGGCAAGGCTGCCAGTCCTTCTTCTGTCCCCAATACCGGGCAGTGGGCGATCACCGGCAGCGATGCGGCAGCGAGATGCGGGAATGCACGAGTTGCTCGGTGTACGTGTGCCAGGACTGCGTCACGGCGAACCCCCCCTGCAGCTGCTCCTACTGCGAGGTGAACTACCTCTGCCCCAACTGCCTCAAGCTCCGCGAGCGCGACGGCACCTGCCGACGGTTAGAGGAGGAGAAAGCGCGACAGGAGCAGAAGTGGATGAAAGACATGTGGGCGCTAGAGGGAATCCTAGGGAACAAGTTCGCGAACGAAGTCGCCGAATACGCCAGTCAGTTCTTCGACACGGTGGAGGATGAATCCACGCCCGAAGTGCAAGACACCCACCAGGGGTCAGATTCCGCCTGCGGTCCATAGACGGGCAGCTGCGGTTCACTTACCAATGGCGCTGAACATACTTTTCTTTTTCTTTTTTGTTATTCGGATGGATGGGACAGGGGGGAAGGCGTTGGAACAGAGATTCGCATGGGAGGGAACCATGCCGAGAATAGTACCCAGTTCTGTTGTTCTTCGAGCGATGCCGAGTGCACTTTCCTATTTGTGGAGTTTGGGGGAAGGTCCACGGTTGTCTGGAGTATTCATTTCATTCTTCTCATTTTCTCATTAATCTCACGACTTAGCGAGTCATTGTCCATAGGGCATTCGGAGTCCATTGTTGATAATCATGCAATGCACAAAGTCATTATCTCATGTGGTATACGCATAAATGGAGCTGTGTAGATACAGCATAAACCACTAATTTTTACAATGATACCATCTTCAACATAATTTTACCTAGATGGAGAGCGTGCTATACTAGTTTACATGATATAGGCTCTAAGAGAGTATATACGTTGCTTGATCCATATCTAACGAGTTCTCTATAGATAGCGTGATTGTAATATTGTTGGAGCCCTGACGGCTGTAGACCAGATAGTGCTTGCTACCAATAACATATGAGCGATTTGAATGGCGTCACCGGTTCTTTTTCTAATCAAAATGTGGGTACCTAAAAGAATCATTCCAGAAAGCACAGTCCGCACCCTGAAACAACTACACCAGATCGGTGAGATCAAGAATGCCAGGCACCCGGATTTGGCCCCCAACTACGGAGTACATCAGTGTGGCCTACTAGTCCGATTGTATCTACTGAGCTGTTTCTCCCCAAGAGCATTCCAGTCTTGACATGACGTGGTCAAACAGTCATGCCTTGTACTGGTTCAAATCCCGTTGGTGCCCAATCCCTCCGCGTCATTTACGGTTTATAGATAGAATACGAAATGACCTCCCTTACATGCGCTGGCCGCGATAACCTCACCCTCACCCGCAGATTGATCGGCGCAAGCAGGAAGGCTGAGTCAAGATGGCTGTGCAATCCTCCATACCTAGTATAACTATACCTAGTATATCCACTTCCCCATAATTCCAACTCCTCTACTCCGTACTCCTCCCCTCCACCACTCCACCTACCCCACAACAATACATACACACATACATACAATGAAAATAATCCTAACAGGAACAACCGGCTTCATCGGCAAAGAAATTCTCTCCCAATGCCTCTCCCACCCAGCCATAACCTCCATCGTGATCCTCACCCGTCGAGACCTCCCTACCACAGACCCCAAAGTGCAAATCTACCGCATGCAAGACGACGACTTCCTCTCCTACTCGAGCCCCCAATTGACAGCCGCCCTGCGCGGCGCCCACGCCTGCATCTGGTCACTGGGCGTCGTGCCGTCGCGGGCGTCCGACGCACAGGCGATACGGAGAGTCACGGTAGATTTCACAGAGCAGGCCGCGCAGGCTTTTACCAGGACTTGCTCCGGGAGCGGAAGCCGCTTCCGGTTTGTGTATCTTAGTGGTTCCCTGGCGGAGAGGGACCAGTCGAAGTCACTGTGGTTTTCGGGGCCGTATCGGCGCGTGCGGGTTTGTTTCTCCCCCTTTTTCATTCTTGACAGGCTGAGCGTATATCGAAGACAGTTGATAACGATATTCTAGGGCGCGGGAGAAAATGTCCTGCTTGCACACGCTACCCTCCACGGCGACACCTTCGAATCATACATTATGCGACCGGGGATAGTATTGAACAAGACTACCAGCGTCGTGGATCTCGTGCGCGGACTGGCGCCGTCTGTGCGCGTGGATGTGCTCGCGCGAGCGGCGGTCGATATCGCCGTTCGTGGAAATAAAGAGAAGATCTGGGAGAATGGGATGATTGGGGGGTGGAAGTCGACTCAAGCGACATAGACATAGACAGTAATTATCTATAGCTAATGCAGAGAGGAGTATCCGTACTCCGTATAGAAATGATGTTTTTCCCAAAGAAGAAATCCAGGCCCCACTATTTATCCGCCCGAGCTTCCCCCACCTTTTTTATTTTCCAGACAACCATCATCCCACTTCTGTATATCTACCGATCGATCCAATCCCCAGGATAACAACATGTCTTCCGAGCAAATCCCCACCCCCGCCGAGACCGCCGAGCGCGAGCACGAGGAGAAAGAGCGCAAGGCCAGAGAAGCCGCCGAGCAGGCCCAGCTGCCCTACAAATGGACGCAGAGCATCCGCGACGTGGACGTGACGATCCCCGTCGCGGGGACGATCAAGGGTCGTGATCTGGACGTGGTTCTCACCAAGACGAAGCTGAAGGTTGCGATTAAGGGGCAGGAGGCGTTTATCGAGGTATTCCCTATCTACATTACACCGAGCAGAGGTGAGTGGGAAGCTAATCAGAGTACAGGGCGACCTCCCCCACCCGATCATCGTGGACGAATCCTCGTGGACGCTGGAGACGACGTCTAAACCCCCCGGCAAGGAAGTCGCGGTGCATCTGGATAAGGTTAATAAGATGGAGTGGTGGCCGCATGTGGTGACGGGCGCGCCCAAGATTGACGTCACGAAGATCACGCCGGAGAATTCGTCGCTGAGCGATCTGGATGGGGAGACGCGCGCGATGGTCGAGAAGATGATGTACGATCAGCGGCAGAAGGAGACGGGTGGGTTGTCGAGCGAGGAGCAGCGGAAGAGGGATATTCTGAAGCAGTTCCAGGCGGAGCATCCAGGTATGTTTTGACATGAGTCCCTCTCATGAGGGTTGATACTAATGGCTACAGAAATGGACTTTTCCAATGCGCAGATCGGATAGAGGTTAGGTATTCTTACGGTGTATGAAGTAATGCATATAATTGATGCTCATCCCTTGATCTCGTATTGAGCTATTCTTGGTTGATCCACTGGGAGGGCGAATACGAGTTCCCTGATCGGGTTAGCCAGCTGTTCTTCTGGGTGGGTCTCAATGATGCTACTTCTCGACACTTCAACATATCTGGATGGTCATGACAATGTACCATCTACCACTGCGCCATACTCATCAGAGTGAATTGCAGCATGTCCGCAGACCTCTCCCCCAGGATGAAAGGTCAGAAGAGCGTCTTCCGGGTACAGTTGAGATCCCAAGACGCCGGCGATGCGTCCCAAGCGGCATACCACTCTCGTCGGGCCCATCGCAAGTCGCGGGGAGGATGTCAAAAGTGTAAACTCCGCCGGGTCAAGGTATACCCCCAAATCAGTAGTTAGTAGCCCGCCTAACAGATAAATCAGTGCGACGAGACCAAACCCGCCTGTCTCCGATGCCAGAAACACGGCGTCGACTGCACCTACGCTCCGATCTCGAGGGGGAACGAGCTCGACGCAGTCTCAAATATAGCCCATCCAGATACCACAGCCTACACGCTCTCCCTCACCGACATAGCAGACAAGCTGGACTCCCTCCTCCAGCTACCCCCAAAACACAGACACCACCACCTGCACGCCCTCCACCACTTCCACTCCGCAACAGCCTCCACAATCAGCGACAAGAACTCCTTCGACCTAATGCGCACCCGCATGACACACCTCGCATTGTCATCCCCAACAGTAATGCACGCCGTCCTCGCAACCTCCCTCTCCCACCTCCTCCACCTAACGCCCCCCTCATCCCCCACCAGAAACACCTACACCATCCTCGAATCCCACCACTGGCAGCGCAGCATAAGCCAATACGCGCGCGAACTCTCCCACGGCGCGTCCCCCAAAAACATGGACGCGCTGTTCTCAACCTGCCTCCTCCTCACCTCCCACACCTTCATGCTCGACTCCTCCTCCTCCAACAACAACCCAAGGAAAACCTCCTTCATCTACACAATAGACACAAACCCCCACGCCCTATCCTGGCTAACAATGCAATCCGGCCTCCGCCACCTCCTAGCCCTAAACGGCGCCTCCCTCCCCCAAAGCATCTGGTTCACGACCTTCATGACAACCCGCTCCGACAACGCCTTCTTCGAAGACCACCGCCCGGGTCCCAAAGATCTACATCCTGACCTCGCAGCGCTCTGCAATATAACCTCCGAAGACGACACAGAATCAAACAATCCCTACGTCTGGCCGCTGCGCATGCTCACCCCATTGCTGGAACTAGAGCGCTCCCGCCGCTCCTTCCACCACTATTGTAATTTCATGGGGAGGCTGATGCCGGAGTTCTATGAGTGTTTGGCGAGGAGGGAGGTCCCTGCGCTTGTTGTGCTGGCGTGGTGGATGGCGCTTATGGTTGTTGCTGCGGGGGAGGTGTGGTGGTTGGGGGGGAGGTTGCGCTCGGAGTTGCGCGCTGTCTGTATGTTTTTGGAGGAGATGGAGGATAGTGATGGGAGGGTTAGGGCGTTGTTGGGGGTTCCAGCGCGGGCTTGTGGGTATGTGTTGAAGTGGGAGGATGACAATGGGGATGATGATGGGGATGGATTGGGGGTGGATGGGGATCGGGACCGGGAGACTGGTGAGTAGACCTCTTGCTCCGTTCTCTTTATATATTTACGCTTTATGTCTTTATGTCTATGTGGATTTCTTTACTCTTTTGGTATGTAATTGAGTGTTATGACCAAGTGTGTATGTCTATGTATTCGTATATGTATTTCAAGACATGATTAATATAGTTGTAGTAAACCAACCCAAACGCCAACCCACATGCAAGCAGTTATCCATCCTCATCCATCGTAACATTCATTCCACGCATCAAACAATCAAAAAAACACCATACCCCTCCCATGTATTAAGTATATTAGTCCAGATAGTAAGCCAAAACGTTCAAGAAAAAGGAAAGGAAAGAAAGAAAGAGATCAACGACTCTCCCATGAATATCTCCTCGTCGTCTCATCCACACTCCGCCGTCCTAACCCCCCACCCACACCCCGCCGAAGGACCGGCCTCGGCGGCGTCACCTGTGCCATCGGTAACGGGGGCGGCGCCGGCGCCGGCGGAGGCACGCCCGGGTAAGGCAGACTCGTCGCGGACGAGACGGACATAGACCTTGAATGGCGTCTCGACGAGGCCGTAGACGAAGAGGACTGCAAAGGATTGGCAGCTGTGTTCGCCCACTGCTGGCGGTACAGACGCCATGAGGGCGAGGGCGACACGCCGCGCGGGGAGTACGGCGGGGGAGGGGTCTCGCGGGTAGCGGTGGAGGTATTGCCGTAGCTGCTTGTGAAGGAGATAGCGGAGGAGACGTCGGATGTGAGGTCCTCGTTAATTTTACTAGGGAAGTGCGGGGTGTAGTAGTAGTGGTGATGGTGAAAGCTGGACTTGGCGTCCGGGTCGGCGGTGTGGCGGGGGAAGGATTCCGACGATAGGGGCGGATCGCGCAGGTGGGCCTCGAGGGTCTTCTCGCGCACCTCGACCGGATGGGGCGTGTAGGCTGGTAGGGGCGTGACTGCGGCGTAGCCTGCGTCGGCGCAGTCGGGGATGGTCTGAGGGTCGGAGCCCATGGGCGGTCCGTGTTGCGTTGGATCTGGATCTGAATCGGCATCGCGAGGATGACGATGTTCGCGGGGATGATCCTGGGGAGGATGATCAGTGGGGCGGCGGAAGCACCCACAGAGGAGGGAGAAGACGGTCATATTTGATGATTGGGATTCAAGGGCTGTAGATGTGGAGTGTTGGTGGAGGTGTCCTTTATATGGTATGGCCCACAAAGACAGGTGAATCCCCAGGCTTATCTCCGGTGATCAATGGCAGTCAGGACAGGACGGAGATGGTTGGTTGAATGTCGTAGATAACTGCATGCATGCAGAGCCTCCTGCGCAGACGAATCAGGGTCAGAGCATGATGCCCGAGCTGAACAGAAGAAAAGAATGGAGAGAGAAGAGACTGAGGAGTGACAAGAAAGAAGAGCCAGAAAAAGCTCAGCCTCAAAGGAATCCAAAGTGTTTTAAATCGAGACTGGAGGCACTGCCTGAGGCAGGCCACGTCAACCGTTCGTGTTTCCCCGCTTATTTTTCAGGCACCCCATATTCTTTCGATCTCCTACTCCGAGTTCATCCCCGGAATACTATTATAACTCTCAAACATCGCTTTTATGTGCAATTAACGCTAATGATGATATATGTTCATCTCCAACGGCCCCCGCCCCCTCCCCCACCCCGACAATGGTCCAAGGTCACCGTCTACTCTATCCCCCCGAAAAGTATTTACAAGAAATCAGATGATTCCCCCGGGAATCGCTAGATAATGACTCCTTCCATGCTATGCGGCCCAGGAGAACTCCGTCTCTCTCCGCGAGAACTTTATATATGCTCGGGACAGCCGGAGATCCGGTTTGAATTCGTAATCGTCGTACCATCAGGGGTCGTCCAGTCCGGGCTTATTTCGCCAGGTTCGGACACTCCCCTTGGGCCCGCTGGAAGGCCCCCGCGAACAGGTCCTGCATCGCGGTGTAGTGGAACAGGATCCCGCCCAGCACCGCCAGGTGCCAAATGTTGTGACTGCCGCCCACGTAGTCGAACAGCCCCGGGCGCCACCGCTCCGGCACCTGGGACGCGTAGATGAGCGCCCCCGTGAAGTAGACCAGGACACTCTTGATCACGGGCGCGTAGAAATACAGGCACCACTCCAGCCCGCGCGCGTAGGTCAGCTGCGCCAGCGGAGCAAACCCGGTCAGCGCCAGGGACGCGTAAAAGGCCACCCGCACCCAGGCGAAGTCGGCGCGGTTGAAGGTCGGGTGCCACGGCAGGATCACCCCGCCCACGCCCAGCGACATGGTGAGCAGGATGTAGACCCAGCGCGACACGGGTTCGCAGTAGAAGGCCGTGTACTCGATCGTCACGATGGACGCCGCCACCAGCATCGAGATGCCCGTGTAGTCGACGCAGGCGAAGCGTTCCATCACGTTTTGGTTGGCGATGCTGTTCATGGTGTGCCAGAGGGTGCTGCAGACCAGGCACTTGCACGCGGCGAAGAAGAACACCGCCGCCACCAAGATGTCCGTCTTGGAGCTGAGGACGAAGTTGGGGTTCAGCGGGTAGAAGTAAAAGGCGATCGAGAGGACGATGAACAGGCCGACCAGGTGCGACCAGATGTTGACCAGTTCGTTGGAGAAGGAGAAGACGGAAGTGACGCAGTCGACTTTGGAGGTGTGGAAGCGGTAGCCCTTCAGGATGTGCGGGTTGATGCGCCAAGGATGGGGCAGATCGGCGTAGGCGATGAGTCGGCGTTCCTGGGCGAGGATGATGGCGCGGTCGACGCTTTCCCGCAGGGCGTCCTTGGCTCGTCGGGCTCGTTCCATGCCCTCGTCCATCACCTCGCGGGCATGGACCAGTTTTGAATCGACGGCCTTCCACCCATCATCCAGCGCGCCGTAGACGCCGCGGTCGCACACCGCATGGGCGCGAGCCTCCATCTCGGACAGACACGACTCCATCCACCGCACGCCGGCCTGTGCCTTTTGCTCGAGAGTCTCCTTGGTCGCGAGGGCGTCGTTGTACTGTTCTTCCAGCGTCTCCACCAGGATCTTGGCTCGTTTCTTGCCACTGCCCATCAACTCCCCGGAGGCGAAGGAGCAGGAGTCCCGCACGGCTTCGAGGATCTCGTAGCCGCTACGGAGACTGGCGTCGATCTGCATCATGTGGGCCTTGCGAGACTGTTCGATCCATTGCATCCGTCGCTCCAACTCGGTCAAAAACAGTTCGACCTGTAGACGGGTTAGTGGAACCGGATTCCATGGTTTCCCCGAGGTCTTATCGGGGTGTGAAGAGTATGCTGACCTTTAAATAGATAGCATCCGCATCGTAGTCGCACGAGAGTTTCCGTGCCGTGTGGAAGGAGTGTCTTCGCCGCCGGTCTCGGAGCATGGCGGTCTCCTCGGAAGGCGTTGCCGTGGAGGCGGCGGCCTCCTCGGGATAAGATTCAACGGTCATGGATTGAGCGGAGCATGCCATGATGACAGAGAATGGTCAAAAAAGAGAAAATACTAGACGGGCATATCCTGGAGATCAAGGAACATAGGGTTAGTTGGGTAGATTTAGGGCAGGAGTTGTTTTGGGGGGACTCGGGTTGTAGTGCATGGGTATCAATCAATGTAATACATACCAAGCTGCAAGGAACCGTACTACTGAAAAGTGGAAGTGAGGAAGGATCGGATATCATAAACTGAACCAAAAGGAGGGAAGGAGAGAAAGGGACTAGGGAGACATGAATACGGAGGGAGTGGAGAGTATAAAAGAGAGAAGAAGAGAAAGAAGAATGATGATTCAGAGAACAAGAAGTGAGAGAAGTGAGCCTGAGGTAATGAATGAATCGGAGTAAAGGAGAGAAAAAGAGTGAGAGAGCGACGGTCCTGATTGGCTGGCGGGAAAATGGTTGGGGTGCCTGAGAAGTGGGGAATCCCATAGCCTGCCTGCAGAAGGTGGCACCAAATTCTCACTCCTCAGGCATTTTTCAGGCATTTTCAGGCATGTCAGTCACAAGCGTCTTCTCCTCACTTCATGAATCGAAAACAACCGAGGGGAAAAAGGATTCAGTTCTCACCATTTCTCTCCATCGCTCTCTCGATTCGTCCAGATTGCCCTCCACGCGCCTCCTCCCCTTCCTCTGACCTCACTACCTTGCCTGGAATCCAGTCGCCATTGGTCCTGATCGGCCCCCCCGTCATTGCCCAGAGTTCTCTCCGGTCTCCACGTCTTTGCCACCACTCTCGGCACGGGGACTAACTAACCAACTAACTAACCAACTAGCCAACGAACCAAGTCAGCCTTACCTGCTTGATTTGATTGATTTCAGGTTGTGGTCGCGGATTGTGCGTTGAGGTCATACCCAATCATCCACTACTTCTCTCTTCGAAGATCATGGCGGTCCGTGACATCGTCGCCGACGAGTCTCTCTTACCCGTGCTCAATACGAGCGCCGAGACGCGGGAACAGTGTCAGAAACTCCTTGCGTTGCTCGACCCGACCGTCGACTCGACTTCGAGGGATCCCAAGGAGATTGCTCTAGCCGCCTCCCGCGAGCAGAAACAGTTGTATGCGCTTCTAGCTCGACTACGCGGTCAGAATCGGGATGCTGTCTTCCACGTCCGCGAGACGAAGCAGTCCACCGCAGAGGCCCGCCAGGAAATCGATCGGTTACATCTCCAGCTACAGAATCTCTATTACGAACAGCGCCATCTCACCGGCGAAATTGCCGCCTGCGATTCCTACGAGTAGGTCACGATGGGGAAAAGACGGTCGGAAGGTTCGAATTTCGCTAACAGGCCTGTCTAGTCACAAATACCGTTCCCTACCATTAATTTCGGCGGAGGAGTTTCTCGAGCTCTTTCCGGAACACCGGGAGTCCGACAGCCATGAACTCATGATCGCCCGGATCAACCATGAGCACGCGGAGCGAGAGAAATTGGAACAGGCGCGCCAGGAACTGCTCAAGCGCAAGCAGGCGTTGATCGCCGAGAACAACAAGCGAAAGGAGGATCTCGCGAGCCTGGATCAAGATCTGGAGAGGTTTATCGATGTAGGTTCACGGATGACCATGTGTCCGACATTGGCTAATGATGTCCCAGGCGGCGAAACCGATCCAGAAAATTTTCGAAAAGGAGTATTAATCAGGATGTGATCTTGGTATGGTTTGGGATTGGCGCTTCATCATATATACCCTTTGGCATTTGTCTATAATCCGGTGTTGGCATACATGGGTCACTTGTACCCGGTTGGGAACATAAACACCTTTAGGATCATGAAGTAATGAATAATTCGACGGGATAATTTCCATTAACTTGACTAATCTGTAACCGTAGCGAGTAAATCAATACTATCATTCAATGTGTTGGTGGTTGGATCGAGATCTCGGGATTCGTCGATCTGCGCAGCTCCAACGGACTTCCGTCTCCGTGTCCACTTGCTCCGTCCTGAGCTCCCAACTCATCTCACCCACCACCACCCCCATTCCACCCACCCCGCCAGAAAATAGCCTACGCTCTGGCTAAAGCATGCCCTGGTCATGACCAGCAAGCATGAAGACTCGGGGTCGGAGAAGACTGCCGTCGACGCCACCATGACCCCTTCCACGCCCGCCAAAGCTGCCCCCTCGCCGGAGAAGCCAGAGGCCGCCCGAACGCGCTTCAAGGTCATCGCTGCCTTTTGGGCCGTCATTATCTTCCTGGGGTTTCCGATCTGGTGGAAGACTACGTCAATCTACCGGGCGAGTCTGCCGATCGAGGACATGAGCGGTTGGGCCGATGGAAAGGTACGTCTCCTGTCCGCACGCGACCCCCTCCAGAACGGTAAGCTGACCGATGCGATGGTGTATAGATCTGTCGTCCTGTGTTTCCCCTGGAAATCCGATTTGAAACTCCGTCTCTGCCAGATGCAGAGGCTCAACATCTTCTCCGAACCACTCAGCACACCCTGGACGACCTCAACGAATTCTCTGCGCATCACCTCCGGCTGAAACTATCGGACGACCCGTCGGTGGAGGATGGGCTTTCTCCCGATGAGAAGGCGGATACCGCGTTAACGGTGCGCCTGCTGCCTCGGGAGGACCTGACGGCTCCCCAGGCGGAGCTGCAATTGGATGCAGCGCAGCTGGATGTGCTCTACTCCCCCAGCCAAGTCCCGCCTCCCTCGTCCTCCAACCCCCCGCTGTCGGCGTTCATCGCGGCGGAGCTGCAGCGTCTTTTCCTGGAGGAGAAGGCGACCATCGCGCACGTTCTGTCCGATAGTGCCGTGGCCGCCCACACCAACACCAACACGCCGTCGTCGTCCAACAATCAACAGCCATCCGCGATCCTGAACTCCATCTCGCCGCAACTCGCGGAGAACATCGCGCGGCGGCTCCGACGGTCCATGAAGTACGCCGACACCTACCACCTCGCCTTCTCGCTGTTTACCCCTGGCGCCGAGCCGTCCTCCTGGGACATCCAGGCCGCCGTGCAGGAGTACATCTCCCCTGTCCTGCAGTCCTTCGCCCCGATCAGCAACTTCACCGTCGACACGCAAGTGCAGCTCTACGCAACCTTCTCCCCGACGGCGCCCCGGCCCGAGTACGACGACTCCCTGTCGGCTTGGACACTAAAGAAGGACGACCTAAGCGCGTTCATCAACGCCGCCGAATGGCCCCTAAGCCCCAGTATCGGCAGCGGGCCCACCATTAACTTCATCCTCTACGTCCCCGCCCCATCACAGTCCCCCCTCCTCGTCAAAGAAAGCAGTGCAACCAGCTGGATCATCCCCCAATGGGGCGGCGTCTTCCTCCTCAACCCACCCCTCGACACAACCACCCCCTCCCCCACCAACCCACCCCACCTATCTCAGGAGTCCCTCCAGCCCGCCTTCCTAACCTTCTCGCACCAACTCCTCACCCTCCTCGGCGCGCCCACAACCCCAACCTCCCTCCCCCTCCGCCTCCAAACCCTCATCCGCGTCCGCGCCGCCATGCTCCTCCTCTCCGCCTCATCCACAATGGGCTCCCTCGCCCGCCTGACCGAATCCCTCCCGTCGATCCCCATCCCCGCCAACGTCGCCGCCTCCGTCTCAACCACGCTGTCGCATCTGTCTCTGACGTGCACCCATCTCCGCCACGGCAGATTCCACGCTGCGCTGGCGAGCGCTCGCGTCGCCGAGGCAGAAGCCGAACGCAGTTTCTTCGAGAAGAGCATGGTCGGCCAGGTCTACTTCCCAGATGAGCACAAGGTCGCTGTCTACCTGCCTCTGCTGGGTCCTGTCGGTGTGCCTCTGCTCGTGGGGCTACTGAAGGAAGTGAAGCGGTTTGTGGCAAGTCGGAAGGCTAAGAAGGCATAGTCTTAGTTGCGTATATATTTTCACATTAATGCTATTACCTGCAGTATTTACTTTACTATGTGCAGTATATCACTACTATAAACGTAATATAACCTCCCAACCTAATCTATAAATCAATGACGGAATCCATACACGCAACCCTTTAATTAAGATATACGACTATATCGTCTATGCTCTAGCCAATCTAACAAACAAACAGCTAAACCCAAAACATATATACAACTCCCAAACCAACCAAGCATAAACAAGAAATACACAATACGATAACGCCAGGATATCACAACATTCTGACCCGAGATGACAACACCAGCACAGCTGGCTGTCTTATATACTTCTCCAACCCCACCAGACCTACCTCTGACGTTTGAGACAGAGGATCAGCCTAGCTCACCTCCTAGCAGCCCTCCCCGCCCTACCACCACTACCACTCCCACTCCCACTCCCACTATCCCCCCCGGCGGAGTCTGAACCCGATAACACGGATCGCCCCGACCATCCTTAAACCCCACCCGATCAATCATATCCGAAAACGTCGTATTCGGCCTCACATCCGGATACGGGCTCGGTTTGAGCACACTCGTCCCAGCGAACACGCCAGGCGGTGTATAAACTTTGATACTCTCCGTGCTAGGGCGCCGGGCCACCACCGCGCGCTGGGGCGTCGAGGGCACCGGCACGGGAACCGGAGGGGCGTCGGGCTCGGAGATGGTTATTTTGGGGGTCGTGCCGAAGAGGGACTTTACGCGGGAGCGGCTGCGCTGGAGCATTGAGCGGGCGCCTTCGGAGGTTCGTCTCGTTGATGTTGATGTTGTGGCTGGGCGATGGAGGAGGAAGTCCGTGCGGTAGGAGGTCTCGTCTGAGGGGATGGGGGGCGATATGCCGAGGAGGGTACCGCTTGAGGAGCGCTGCGTGTGCTGGGTGATCTTGTCGCCTGGGGGCAGGTGCTTTTCTTGGTATTTGCGGATGCCGAAGAGGGCGAGGAGGGTGGCGATGGCGCCGAAGATGGCGCCGGGGAAGAAGCCGGCTGCGACGGCTTGGCTGGGGTAGGAGGGGCAGGCGGCTGTTAACTGGGGGGCGGCTTGGGCGGCGGATGAGTTGGGGTTGGAGGGGGATGTTGTGGATGGTTCAGGGGTGTCCGCTGTGGCGGTTGGGTCCATGATTGGGACTGTGTGCGATGAGCCTGTTGTTGTGGTCTGGGTGTTGGTGTTGGTGTTTGTGTTGGTGGATGTGGAGGTTGTGGTTTCGGATGCGGTGTTAGTCTTGGTCTTGCTTGAGGAGGACCTGGCCTTGTCCATTATGCAGACGTTGTCCTTTTGACAGGTGTATCCGAATGGACAGCAGAAGTCTCCGCATTTGGGGAGGCGGTCGTCGGTCCGGGTGGTTTTGATGGGACTTTTGGGGTTCTCTTTTGCGTCTTGTCGTTGCACGTCACAGCCTATGGGCTGTATGAACTCGCAGGTCTCTCCCTTTGGGCAGCAGATTGCGGAACTCCCGTCGTCCAGGCTGATGCAGGTTGATGAAGACGGGCAGCAGAACGAGCTTGGGAGTCCCGCGTTGGAGCATTGTGTATAGTTTTTGGGGCAGGTTTCTGCTTCTCGTGCTAGGAAATGGCCTGTGGGACTGGAGGAGGCTGTGCTTGAGAGGATGGCCAGGAGAAGGTATACTGAAGATGTTGCCCTCCAGGCATTCGGAGAGCTTAACCGCACCATATTGTGTGTCAATTTCTGGTGGAATCTGATATAGAAGACAGTAGACGTGCAAGATCAAGAGTAGAGAAATTGGAAAGATCTAATAGAACGCTCAAAGCAGACAAAAGATATCACAATGAGACTCCAACAATGCTAGTTAACAAAGCCCGACACGCTGTACAAAGACAGGGAAATACCTTCCTGCTGTTGAGACAAAGAAGATGCCTAGAGCTAGCCGCCTGATACCCAAAATAAGTCGACTGCGTCATAGATGCAAGCACCCAGAGCAAAGCATTGCACGCGCCGTCCCAGCATTGGGAAGATGGAGTTGGAGAGACATTGTGCCTGATAGAGGGTCAAGATAGGCGCTGAAAGTCATATCCTGGCAAACCATTGGGCCAGCGTAAGCCACCCAACATCTATCCCCGTCGAGTTCTAAATTCAGCTGGAGAAAGTGTCAAGACTGTTGACTGAAAAAGGACTAAGAAGAAATGAGGTTATTCGGCGGCAAGCGAAACACAGAGTAGATCGCCGCCCGCTGATTGGCCGCAGTTGACGCTGGCTTACCTCAGCCACGCTAAACCCGATGGGGAACTGGACGAGGAACGGAACTGACTGAGGAATAATTCTTGCGGATTCATGTCTGAGTTCTGTTGACGCCCTCATTCCTCCTCCGCCTCCCCCCAATCCCTGTCATCATGCTGCACAAACTCCTCCGGCCGCAGAGCTCACTGCGTGGGGCCTCCTCTCTCTTTCAGGTGAGTCGTCCTTCTTCCCTAATGCCTTGTCGAGGCGTCGTTCGCTGACCGTTTGCGCCGTAGAAACCCGTCTCCGCTCTCCCCCAGCGCCAAATTCGAGGAATCCACCGTGTGCCCCAATTAACTCATGACGCCTCCTTCAAGAAGAAGGGAATCCCGGAACTGCTTTCCCCCGAAGCGGTGGACTTCGCGTGGACCCAATACCAGACGCTTCTGATCGACAAGTTGAACCTTTTGACGCAGGGTACGACAACCCCGAACACGTGTGGACTGCCCTCGGCGTGGGCAATGAATGGCCTTAAGAGGGTGTCGTAGGGTTGAAATACTGATGTTGGGTTATACAGACACCGTTGACGCCAATGTGCCCCCTGGAGAACTGCTGGTCAAGTACTCCCGGCGCCCGGAAATGGCGTCCGTGTTCAACTACGCCTCGATGGCCCACAACAACCACTTCTTCTTCAACTGCCTCGTACGTACACAGTCAATTGACCTTGCGGGAAGTTCCCTACTGACCGTGTCTCTCTCTTAGTCCCCCGCTCCCACGCAGATCCCCGACAAGTTCGCCAAAGACATCATCGACACGTGCTCCTCGGTCGAATCGCTCAAGCTCGACTTCCTGGCCACCGCCAACGCCATGTTCGGCCCTGGCTTCGTCTGGTTGGCCAAGAACCTGGAGCGCGAAGGCCTGATGCACATCTTCTGCACCTACAACGCCGGCTCGCCCTACCCGGCGGCGCACTCGCGGCGGCAGCCGGTCGACATGTCGACCCACAGCCCCGACGCGCCCCTAGGCAACCAATACGCCGGCGCCATGGGCGCCCACTCGGCCAACGCCACGAACCAGAAGACCATGGCCCCCGGCGCCATCGACGTGCAGCCCATCCTCTGCGTCAACACGTGGGAGCACGTCTGGATGATGGACTACGGCATCGCCGGTAAGGCCGAGTACCTGGAGCGCTGGTGGGACCGGATCAACTGGGAGGCGGTGTTTGCCAACTACACGGCGGTCAGCTCGGTCAAGGCGGCGCCTGGAGGGAACTGGAACCGCAACCTGAACAGCATGGTCTGAGCGGGTTTGGGTTTACAAGTGTTTTAATTTCCCTCATGTCTGGATAATTGTATTATATTCCATGGTTTTGGTCAGGATTTCTTTTTCCTCTTTCTCTTTCTATATCTAGTCTACTGTACAGCGATTGGTAGAACAACGAAAAACATATCAACAGGACAGACTCCAAGACTTCCCCAGTACTCTACAAACCAAAGGCAAAAAGAAGGGGGGAAAAAACCGTCTAAGCTTCTCCCTCCAACTGCCTAATCCTCCCCTCAAAAGCAGCAATCATAGCCCCAGCCATCTGCCCCTCAACAGCACCCATAACAGCCGCATGGAACTGATTCCTAAACTCAAACCGAATCTCCAACTGCACCCTCGTCTGCGGCCTTCCACCGGGCCCGGCCTCTTCCAAAGGCAGTAACTCCCACCGGGTACTCAAGTACTCAAAGATCCCCTCATTCGCACCGGGGAAAACACTACTGAGACTATTCTGGGCCTGGCTTTGACCATCCTTAGAGTCCACCCCGAAGCGCGCCCCACTCCGCGCTTCAACCGTCCAGTTCGCGCGGTCGCAGTCGACTTGCGAGGTGAATGTTTCCGAGAGGGGCCCGTAGCCGACTGTGAGGAAGGCGCGGGAGGGGAGACCGGTAGCTGGGTCGCGCGCTGTGACGGTTGAGGCTGTTAGGAAGGGGAGGAATTCGGAGTAGGATTCGACGGAGGAGATGACTGTGAAGAGGGGGGTGGGGGCGTAGGGGAGGGTGCGGATTGCGGTTAGGGTGCGGTGTCTGTCGCTGTTGTTGTTGTTGTTGTTTCCGCCATTGTTGTTTGGGAGGAGGGAGGCGAGGGAGGAGAGGTTGAAGGGGCGGGTTTGTTGGTAGGTTGATGTTGTTGGTGATAGTGATAGTGATGATGTTCGTTGGAGCGAGATAGGGAAGCGTGGATTCTGTGCGCGGAGAAGACGCTGCGTTGCGCGACTGAGCTGTCGCGGCGGGAAAGAAAGCTTCATCATGGAGAGAAAGAGAGGAGGTGAAGGTGATTGACTGGATGATGTTCTGTTCAAGATGCTATACAGTAGAACATCCTCGGCTTGTCTTTTTTTTCCCTTTGACCCCAATCGGGATCGGCGCCGTCTTTTTCGGGCCGTGCCAAGATCGGGGTAGCATACTGTATTGTATGTCCGTCATTTCTTCAGAACTAGGTAAACAACGGCATTTTTATATTCCATTGTCTGTGATTCCGTATATTTGATTCGACTACTATCATCCCTCCGGTGGGAACCAAAATTTGTGGAAGTACTCTGCCCCTCCAGCTCTTGAATTATGTTACTTAGTCTACTGCGGTGTACAGTCACATAGTTGACACCGTCATGTACGCACCAGTGTACCAATAGGAGTCTTGGATATCCACTTGATCACTTCCGAGCCCCAATTTTGCTCGATATCAATGTTTGGGCTGGGAGGTCGCGCAAGTGGTCGTCCAGGGCCTGTAGATGTAGAGCTCCAAGGAAGTCTTCTCCGCCACTATACAACAATGACCAAGCTATTTATATCACCAGCAGAATCTCTATTGGGGGGAAATCTGCCTGTCGTTAAAGAACCAAAGACTGGGGTTATTCTCAGTTCAATCCGACAGAACATGATCGACTATGGCTGCAAATATACAAGTTCACGTTGCGCGGCTTCTGTCAAACCCAATGACCATATCTCGAGGCTATGTATACTTCATAAAATGATTATAACCATGAACACAATCGAGACGGTTCAATTCTACCACGATGATACTGATGCAAACCTATGGCCGGTCTGGTAGTCTGCAAGTCGAATTTCCTAATCAAGTCTTAGTGACTGAGCGCCCTTTCTTTCCCCTCATGACTGTCGGTAACAGGGACACGCACCTCAAAAGAAAACTTCGAGTAGGGCTGCATTGAACAGATATTTTGGTAGTAGTGAGTGGAGCTTGACTGTCCATCTTTTTCCGTGAGGGGCCGATATTTCCATTCACTTGACCCGGTACATTGTCTTAGAGACGGAGGAGATACAGCCGACGACCTGTGTTCTCGTTTCAGTCGCCACAACAGTCTCGATTAAGAGTCTATATTCTCTTACGACCTAGTTCCCGACGTGCTGGAAGGCCTCGCGAATAGTCCACTGCCGGATCTACTGCTGGAACCGCCAAACGCAGAAGATCCGGTGTTCTTGCTGTCTCCAGGTGGATGCGAGAACACTGATTGTCCAGTCCTAGGGGTCCCTTCGCCTGCGCTGCCCAGCCCGAAGCTCGAAGACCCTGAGCTTCCGAAAAGCGATGACGTCCCACTAGATGAGGAGGTCGCAGAGCTCAGACTCCCATTAGTGACGTTGGACTGTCCGCCACCACTAGTAACGTTTGCGGGGTGCCATGTCCCAGAAGTTCCCCAGCCTGTTTGGCCGAATGCGCCAGTGGTGTTGCTGCCTTTCCCTTCTGCGTCGGAAACACGGGAGGGGAACTTGTCCACTCTACTATCCTTTGCACCGGGGGAATGAGTGCGCGTGACGCTCGACGGTTCGGTGGTACCATTGATGGCTGGGTCAAGCAGATCAGTCAGGCTTCTGCATTCAATCTTGTCGAACGCACTTACATGGATGACTGTTTTCTTCGTGGGCCATCGAAATTGTGAACTCAGGCTTGGAAGTGGACGGGAGGTTTGGAGGTCGCGATGCTATCCAGGAAACAGGTTAGGGGGGGGGATCTTTGACGATGAAAATACTGGAGCGAGGTTCTTACGAAACGCAGGAGGCCGCGACATTGACCGGGGCTCAGTCCCCAGTACGCTGAAGGTCTGCAGCCCAGCCTGTAGCTTGCCTAACTCGTCCGCCAGACGACATCGGTCTTCATGGACAAACGGTGGCTCGGCAGCGAGGTCTTTCAGCTGATTTTCATCCATCACATTCACCGTCTGATTGGTGAAGATCCGCTCCAACGGGGCAAGAAGACAGTTTTCGACAGCTAACGTTGCAATGTTGTCCACAAACGTGATGATTGCAGTCTACCATCTCGTTAGTATTCTAAGTGAGGGCAAAACCATACTGGACAATTCGTCACTTACATCATAGTATGCCTGCATCTGATCGATTATATCCGCCGCTGCAAATTGATCTCTAGAGAGATCCAAGGCAGAAAGGGCACGTGTGAGATCATCCATCGTCAGCTGGACGCTGCCCATCATTGAATTCTGGCCGAGGTTCCCTTTCAATGACGAAAGTTGACGCTTTGCTCGAGATTTCTGGATTCTAGCGAGAAAGCTTGGACCGACGGGGAGCGGATGACCTCGCTTTGTATGGAAAGTGAGTTCATTAAGCTTCTCCATCAAATGAGTTTTCATTCTTTCCAGCTCTGGCAATAACACGGCTCCGTAAAGTAACGAATGGGTGTGCTCGTCGGTCAGGTGTTGGAGGATTAACCCGATGAAATACTTCACCGACTCCCAGCATTGCAGGAGATGTTGGCGTGCGAGCATCTCCCAAGGCTGCGACTGATCGCGAAAAAGGCTCCCCACCAGGAGCTGGTTAGGACTCCCAGGAAATTCAATCCCTCGATCATTTTTGGCCTGTTCGCTGACTTCCGACTCCATCTTTTTCCGGGAAATCTTGATTGGGGTCCAACCTTCCATGTAGGGCTGTGAGAGGACTTTGCTATCAGCAGTCGGCGCGTCGTGCGTGGTTCCCACAATACATCGGCGATGTCCACGGATTTCCATGGCTTCGGCAAAGCACTCGTTCAACTCTCGAACGATAGCACGGAGACGCCGGAAGTCTTGGGAGTTGTTCGAGTCATTCTCCAGGCTGTTGAAACCCCCGAAGAAATCACCTGTATAAGTGCCGTTGAGAGCCTGGCCAACAATTCGCTCGAAACTACTGCAGATCGCCAGGAGGTACCCCCGTTGCTCTTGTGCGCTGCTTCTTGCAGGTCCCAGTCGTTCTAATTGCTTCTGTCGCACCTCGATCTGTCGCTGGATGTCTGCAACCAAGCCGGGCAAATTCCGACGCACATGCTTCAGGAGGACGTTGCTCAGACGACGTCGGAGACTATCCACGCCCACAAACTCGCGGGACAAACTGGCCCAGCGTCCCTGGTTGAAGAAGGTCCTTTCCTGCTCGTCTCGGACATCGTGCGATGCCATTCTGTCCTCGTACGAGCGGTTCTTCAAGACGTGCCACCCCAGGTTCAGGGGGACCTTCTCGTTGCGAACGTATCGGATATAATTCTCTTCCTCTTCTGAGTCCCTCTCAAGACGGTCGGGCTGCGTGATGATCCCCATTGTCCGCTCACGCTTCGGGTCAAACTGCTTGGCTATGTTCAGCACATTCTGCAAATGGTAGTCGACCTTTGCGCTGATGACCGCGAGGATAATGCTTCTGTTGTTTTCCATGTACCGTTCGGTTAATTCGCGCACAATTCTGATCCCCTCGGCGCCTTGTTCTTCGCTCTCCGAAATATACAATCCAGGAAGGTCCACCAGTGTCAGCTCCGGTTTATCAGGCCCGGAGATCTCGACCTTCAGGACATCGTCACTGAAACCATGCATGCTGTCCGTGATGCCCATCCGCTCCTTTGCCTGTTCTATAAGATCCGGCAAGTCACCCGTGTTCGAGAACGAGTCCGGCGTGAAATCGCGAATCCTCTGCCGCTCTTCTGCGTCCGTTCTCGAGGCTCCGGGCTCGATCACCACTTTCAACCTGACCGTTGAGCTCCTGCGAAGAACGACCTCCGTTGCGAACCGCGTGCACACATTGCTCTTGGTAGGGAAGCTCACGCGCGACACAGCTTCGAGAACGGAGGACTTTCCTGAGCTCTGGGCTCCAACGACGACCAGTTGGGGTAGTTCCACGAAACCGCCTACCCCAATTGTGCGCAGCTCGTCGATCTTGTCCAGGAGCCGGGAATGTTCAGACTGAAGCTGGTTTATCGCTTGGGTCTCGTCTGCTTGCATTGTTGCTGGTACTGATTGATATACAAAAGGATAATAGAATTGGAAATAGAGAAGCGCAAAACGGCAAATTCAAAGTAGAACAAGTAATGGGGTGAAACTTGGGATCTATGCCGAGGGGCATGGGGACTCTATTCCCTATCTATATAGACTTATCGCCGATCCCGAAGGTGCAATTATTGACTGCGCCGTAGTCTGCATCCCTAGTCCGAGCGCGTAGTTAGTACCCCCAAGGCAGAAGCCATTGGAAAATGCATGACACTCCAGGTTCATTTGACGCATGAATGGAGAGGAATTGGGGGTCATTTGAACCTCATTTGCCCGGTTAATATACAACCCCTGTATCACGATCCAACATTGTGGCTATTCTTGTCAGTCAACCGCCAGGCTCATTGTGGTGTGTGAGTGTGTGTGATACTTGATCAACACATAGCCACAGCCAAGCACTTCCCTGGGATGCGCATTCCCCTCTTTTCCCTGACTCATGTCCAGTGTTTTGGCCTATTTTAGTGTTCTGAGACGGGCTATCCTGCTTGGGGAGGAGGTACTACCCAGCGCGAGCGGGGCTTCTGTTTCAAAGATGCGCTGGGTTAAGACACATCCTACATCAGTAGCCAGATTACTCCGCCTCGTTTGGATTGTGAACCGCGATGCTTCCGCATACTGGTCGCTTTGCAACCAGTAAAATCGAGCTATAGAGATATATTACCATATGTTTAAGGCTGAGGTGTGGCCAATTGTAGGATAATCGATTGTGTGGGGTAGTACCGATGAAAACAGGTCAAATAATGAAGAGTTCCAATGATTTCTTGAAGCTATGGGAGGTTGCAAATTATGTGGAGGATCAAGATACAAGCTGGGGGGAAAACTTTCCAAGTCAGCTGACATGTTGGTCGGTTGCCTTCGCTCTTTCCACAAATGGTCCATCGTTGGCAGGGTATTCAAAATAGGTCTGGCAAATTACTGCGTACTAGAGCATTATTAGAGTAGTCTTATGCTCTGATTGCATTTTGCAAACCATGACATCAGGTCAGTATGTCTGTACTACAGGCCTGATCCATGATACAACTTCAGACCATGGTTTTTACGTAGCCTTTTCAAGACTATGTGGTCAGAGAGGAAATCTTGTGTACTATCTAGTGCGAGTCTTGTAATATCGCGTCGTACCACACATGGCACTCTGGGCCTTCTCAGGCAATAAATACATCAATCAATAAACATCACACAATGAAATGGGACGTAGGTAGGGTATCAAAGACGGTCAGTGACTGGGCACGAGTCACGACGGAGAGGGGGGCATATATACACGCTCATGTAAAGATATATATGTATCAAGCAACTCAGGCGTTGAGCAGTCGGTTGACACATGAGCGACTTGAAGGAGCATGGCCAACAAAAGTAAACCCATTACAGCTTGACTTGACCGCCCTGCAGGCTCTTCCACCCTTGCTGCTCAAACGGCACGTACTTGTTGCCCTGAAGCCAGTAGAGCTTGTCCGAGGACTTGACCAACGACGGGTCCACGCCTTCGGAGCGCAGAACGTGCTTCTGCTGCTTGTTGTTGCCTGTGGACTGCATCTCGGGCGCGAGACGCAGGAAAATCGGGACCGCATACCGGGGAAGGTGCTGCAGGACGTGTGCGGCTAGGCTGTCGAGGAGGCCCGGCTCTGGTGTAATCAGGACGGACGGGTTGTCCGCCTGGATCTGCTGCTTAAGGATGATGGCGGCGCAGCCGGCGCGACCGTCGTGGTTGGGCAGCTGCACACCGTAGACGTTGGCTTCGTGGATCCCCGGGTGGGAGCCCAGAACTTCGGCCACTTCGCTGGTGGACACGTTCTCGCTCTTCCAGCGGAAGGTGTCGCCCAGCCGGTCGGAGAAATACCACCGGCCTTCCTGGTCCCAGCGAACCATATCCCCCGTCCGGAAGTAGGCATCGCCCTTGCGGATGAGGTCGCGGATGATCTTGCTCTCCGTCGCCGAGGAATTCTTAAAGTACCCCTGGAAGGTATCCGTAGGGTCGTTGGGATCGATGGCATACAGCAACTCGCCTGGCTCGCCACGCGGAACTTTCCGACCGAGGCCCGTCTTGGAATCGCGCCACGGCTCCTGCTTTTCGTGGTCGACTTCAACAATGGCGATTCCCCCACCCATGATCATCTGGCTGAGAGCACCGTTGCGGCCGATCGCCCCGGCGGTGAAATCGTTGGACGACAGGTTCCAGGAGCCCGAGGTACCCTCGGTGGCCGCGTAGAATTCGGCAATGCTCTCAACGTTGAAGCGCTTCTTGAACTGATTCCAGATGTCCGGTCGCAGACCGTTTCCGAATACCAACCGAATATTGTGTTTCTTGTCGAGGTCCTGTCCCGTTGCAGCGTCGATCTCCGGCGGGACCGCCAACAGGTATCGCAGAGTTTCACCCACGTATTGGACGATCGTCGCGTCATTTTCACGCGCCTCGCGCCAGAAGTTCCGGGCAGAGAATTTGCGACCGATGACCAGGGTGTTTCCGTTCATCAAAGAAGTGATGAATCCAAGAATGGAGGCGGACGAGTGGTAGAGAGGCATGCACTGCTTTCTGTTAGTACGACATTACACCCACGGTGGCAGTGCCATGGAAACCAACATACCGTAAAGAAGCGGTCCTGACGAGTGAGACCCAGAAATTTGCCGACGAACACACTGCCCACCCAACACTTCCGCCAGCTAACAATGGCTGGTTTGGGAAGACCAGTAGTGCCACTGGTATAAATCAGGAGAGCCATGTCGCGAAGGACCGATCCACTGCGCACTTTATCATCGAGGCGGGTGGCTTCCATCTGCATCACTTGAGCCTCCACGTCGGGCGTGAAGAAGACCACCTGAATCGCGCCTCCATCGTCCCGGAAGTTAGGCGACTGAAACGTCGCCATCTGATCCGCCGGGAAGTTCTCGCTCAGCTCCTCGTCCACAATTAGCAGACGAGCCGTGGACGTGCGGATAGAGTGCGTCAACGGCTTTCCAGACAGATTATAGTTGATGAAAGCGGGAACAGCGCCAATGCTCCACAGAGCGAGGGTCATGAAAATGAACGTCGAGGAGTTCATGAAATCGATCGCGACGATCTCCTTGGGTTTGACCCCTTGCACCTCCTTAAACCATGTGCCATATTTCAGCGTCGTAACGTACGCTTCGTTGAAGGTCCAAGTGCGACCGTTGTAGACGATAAACGGACGGTCCTTGGTGTCGGCGGCGAGCGCATGTTTCTCGAGGACATAGAAGAGGTTCAGGGCATCGCGGTGGGCGGCCATGCGCGACGTGAAGGCCGTTTTAACCAAGCCACCAATCAATTTCACATCGTAGAATAGCGAGTACCTGGCGTTCAGGTACGCTAATAGAGCGGCGGCGGTCGGCGCGGCGAGGGAGAGAGGGACATCTGGATAGGTGGCAAATCAGCAAAACCGCCTTCGATCTCTCCATAGTTTTCTTCGTTGATTCTGTTCTCGAATTTCCACCAAGACACTCCTTAGAGAGCATTAGCGCTCTTTTATCACGTACCAGGTAAGGGGATCGGCGACATCCTGCAAACCAAATGGGGCTACAGATAAACAAAGATAGGCGTGTAGAAAAAAGGAGATATGAGGAAGCAGATGGTTATAAATTTACAATACCAAGTCGCGAACGGGGAAGTCTCCAAAGAGGACAGGGATTAAAGGGGATGAGAAAGGCGACGGCGCCATCAAAGAGGAGAAAGAGGGGATGGGAAGGAAGAGGGACAGGTGGAATGGAGGTGAATATGAGACCATCCGTTGCCTCGGCACTTGATGGGTCCGGCACGTTCGGAAACGGTAGCTCGGCACCCAGTCGAATTGTGGGTTCCCTCCACCCACTGGTCGGGGAGTGGCTAGTGCCTGGCGGGGCCCAAGGATTGCTACTGTATATCGACCGCATTTGAAGTCGCCGTGCGAAGATATATAGGGTGAAGAAAATATATTGAAGAGCCAACCTCGCGCTCAAAGAGGGTAATCTCGTTGCTCATGCGCATCTCAGATCGGCTGTGGGAACTCCATGGGGCCGCATTGTGAATCCGGGGAATTTGGCCTTGGCATCACATGCGCTATGGAATCCTCATACCTCCTCATTCGCCGTGCTTCAGCCACTTTAATCTCAATCAACTGTCTTATTTCTTCTTGATCACTGGGACATCCTCATAGCCCTCGTCCATGAATGATCGCAAGGCCTCGAGCCCCTGTTCCAACACGGATGTTTCCTGTACAAATCCAATGCGCACATAGCCCCGGAAGTCTTCTCCCTCCCCAAAACACAGGCTGCCCGGGACAAAGAGCACCCCAGTCTGTTGGAAGACGCTCTCGCAGAATGCCACATCGTCCACCGGTTTTCCCATCTTATTGAACCGGATAAAGGCGGTTGTCCCCGCGCGGGGTTTCACCCATTCACACGCCCATCGGTGAGACTCAATGAATCGATCCAAGATGGCCAGGTTCGTTTTCGCGAGGGCCAGGTTCCGGCTCAGAAGGCCGTGGATGCAGCCCGAGGATAATGCGTAACTCGCAATGGAATCGTCCACTTGGCTCACGGAGATTGTGGTGTAATGTCGGGCAGAGGCGCACTTCTCGACAAGCGTCCGATCGCGCGAGGCAATCCATCCCACACGGATACCCGCCAAGCTGTAGGCTTTGGACACTGAGCCGGTTACGACCGTATTCTCATAGCCAAGTGAGAGGAGGGATGATGGGAAATCTGGATCCGCGGGGCCGATCGAGTGAAACACTGGTCGATATACTTCGTCCGCGAAGACGGTAATGGATGCTTCCTGAGCGATCTCCACGATTTTTTTGAGAGTGGGTTGCGGGATAATAGCCCCAGTAGGGTTCTGGGGGTTGCTATATCGAGAAACCGGCCGGTATCAGTCATCTTTTCAAGGGCACACTATGGAAGCACACACACAAAGGGAGAAATACTTGAGAATGATCAGCTTAGTATTGGGCCTGATAAGCTCCTTTAGCTCGTTGGTGTCCAGCGCCCATCCGTCGGACTCCTTTGATTTCCACAGACTGACTTCCGCCCCGAGAGATTCGGGGACCGAGTAGAGCTGTTGGTATGTGGGGTAATGACAAATGACATGGTCCCCCGGTCCCACCAGCGAATACAGGAGCAGGAAGTTCGCCTGGATTGCGCCCGCGGTGATGAGGACATTGTCAGATGGCAGCGGTGAAGGCGTTTTAGCCGAATATAAATTGGCCAAGGTGCCCCGTAAGCGCTCTGACCCCCGAATCGGACCGTACGTGAGCTTCGTTGACAAGTCCAACGGTTTGGAGGACTTGTCTTCGCTGTGGTTCTGCAAATAATCCACCGAGACGGAAGCACAGCACGTCTCTGCAATATTGTATTTGGCAGTGTCCTCATGTGTGTCCATCCACTTGAAAGGTCCTGTAGTCAGCATGCTGAAAAACACATTGCGATCCGGTATGCGATCCAGATAGTGGTGCGGGGAAGGTATGAAGAGTCATGGGAGTAAGCATACCTGCTCTACAGCAAATTCCTTGATCTGAACCATGGTGATAATCTGTGGTTTAACCGACTCTGAGAAGAGACTATATACAGCGATTTGGAATGCGTTGAATTTTGGTAACCTGTTCGATCGCGATGGTGGGGAATTTCGTACTCCATTTTGCTGCGCCGAACAGCCTGGAATCTTATTCGGTCACGTGATCGGACATCCGATAGGGCCATGGGAGTTACTGTCTCTAAGTAGGGATTGATTAGTAGGTAATTCTCTAATTGCTTATAGAGGTAAACTTTCGTCTTCTTACATGCATACGTACGAGGTCGCTCAGCTTACTAGTGGTCCTACCTTGACCGATTGCTCGGAAAATGACGAGTCTTGGTTGGTGGGACGAATCAGGCACACATCACGTGTACATGACGTCTGCATTATCCCGGGATCCAAGGCACGACGATAGTGGATGATTGACCCAGTTTCCATGTAGATATATGGATTGCATAGAGATATTCTTTCCAGATCCATAAGCAGATGGCTGGTCGCAAATAATATTGCGGAGTTGTGGAGACAGAATCCGTTGACCTTATCAACACGACTAACCGCGGTAGGAAAGCAATGGATGCCCCAGGCTACACATGGTGACCGCCCCCAGTCGAATCTCCCGTCTCCGCCCTCGTCATCGCCCCATCGATCTACTCTCTCAGCCACTGCCACGACACTTCCCTCTCACCAACCTCTCTTCCCCTCTCTATCTCCATTTCTTTCGCGCGCTCTCTCTCTCTCTCTATTTCTTCTATTCTTCTTGCTCTTTTTTCTTTCACGGGTTGTCTGTGATCTTTCCTTTCTTCCGCGGCTAGAACTCCTTAAAACTCCCGACATCCCCCAGTCAAGCTCTCAGCTCCGCTGCCAGATAGAGAATCCACCCATGACGGATCTTCGTCTTTGATCCTCCTCCCTGGCCCATCATCTTGCCCCGTGCTTTCTCCGCTGGCGGCGAGCGTTAGCGGACGGTCAATCATTATGCGGCTTGAATCATTGTTACAGCTATCTCTAGCCACTCTGCTCTCATTACCCGCGGCTACGGGTGCCGTCCAGTACAACTACTCCGACCCCGACGTCGTTTCTCCACTCTTTTCCTCTTTCGATGATCGACCCGGACATTGTCCACCCTGTTTCAATTGTCAGCTAGACGCCTTCCAATGCGGCCAGTACGCCCACTGCGATAAATTTACCGGGAAGTGCGTGTGCCCTCCGGGCTTTGGAGGTGATGACTGTCTTGAACCGTTGTGTGGGTCGCTGGGCGATGGCCATGCAAGAAGGCCACGGAAGGACAAGTACTGCTCTTGCAAGGACGGCTGGTCGGGGATCAACTGCAATGTGTGCCAGACCAATAATGCGTGTAATGCGATGATGCCCGAGGGTGAGGGTGGTGTGTGTCATAAACAGGGCGTCACGGTGAAGGAGAACTTTCAGATGTGTGATGTGACTAATCGCAAGATCCTCGATCAGCTGAAGGAACGGAAGCCTCAGGTGACATTCTCCTGCGAGGCAGAGGATCAGACGTGCAACTTCCAATTCTGGGTGGACCAGAAGGAATCGTTCTACTGTGGACTGGATACATGCAACTGGGACTTGGAGACCACACACGACCAAAACACGACCAGTTACAGATGCGACAACATCAACTGCAGGTGCATCCCTGGTCGGATGCTCTGCGGTGAAGAAGGCTCTATCGATATTGGCGAATTCTTATCGGAATCCATCAAAGGCCCCGCAAGCTTCTCCACGGTTTCGACCGAAGGAGGTAGTCCGGAAGACGGTAGTATTTTTCAGGAACCGGCGATGAATGAGCTGATCCAGAGCGTGTTTGGAGACAAGAGTATCACACTGCGTTGCGATGCTGGCGAATGTCTGTACCACACAGACGTCCCGGGATATGTACGTCCAATCAAGCAGATCAATACGCCTCTCATTGCCGGCGTCATCGCAGGATGTGCCCTTTTTGTCGTTGCAGTCATTCTGTCGGTGTGGTATCTGTCGCGGCGGTCGTACCACGACCGTATCATGTTGCCTCTCTCCGATGATTCGGATGATGAAGCTGCGAAGCTTCTGGCGGACCACAAACCTGCCGCCTTGTACTGGAACAATGTATCCTATTACTTGAATGGGAAGGAGATTTTGGCCAATGTTCAGGGTGCCTCGAAACCGGGTCAGATCACGGCTATCATGGGTGCTTCGGGTGCTGGAAAGACCACCTTCCTCGACATCTTGGCTCGGAAGAATAAGCGGGGTGCCGTTCACGGCGACTTTTTTGTCAATGGAGAGAAGTTGGACGATCATGATTTCAAGAATATGATCGGCTTCGTGGACCAGGAAGATACCATGCTGCCTACTCTGACCGTGCACGAAACCATCTTAACGAGTGCGCTCCTGCGTTTGCCGCGGGATATGAGTCGCGGGGCGAAAGAGCAGCGCGTGTTTGACGTTGAAAAGCAACTTGGAATCTACCATATCAAGGACCAGCTGATTGGATCCGAGGAGGGCAGGGGCCGCGGGATCTCTGGCGGCGAGAAGCGCCGCGTGGGCATTGCCTGTGAGCTGGTCACCAGTCCTAGCATCCTTTTCCTTGACGAACCGACCAGCGGACTGGACGCTTTCAACGCATTCAACGTGGTTGAGTGTTTGGTGACCTTGGCGAAGACTTATAATCGAACGGTTATTTTCACGATCCATCAGCCTCGTTCGAACATTGTCGCACTGTTTGACCGTCTGGTTCTCTTGGCCCAGGGCCGAACCGTATATTCCGGTCCTTTCTCGGCATGCCAGCGGTATTTCGATCATTCGGGATACTCCTGTCCGCCTGGGTTCAACATCGCCGACTACCTCGTTGACCTTACCATGCACGCCAGTACCACTCGGACCCACGGCGACGACTTTGTATCGTCTATGCTGGATTCGCGTACGGGGCCGCCCAAGACTGCCTCGAGTAGTTTGAGAGCGGTGAAGTCGGTCGCGAGTGCGTCGAACGCGAGCGTCGAGGATAATTCGAGCAGCACCGTCGAGGGGTCCCGGCGACCGAAGAGTCAACGCCGTGTCTCTTTGAAGCAGCGACAGGATAAACAGCTTTACTCCCGGAAGAAGGATTCTTCGGAACCCCCGTCCACTCCCAAAACCGACGACGAAGACGCTCGTGTTGAAGCTCAAAACCCCCAGCAGTGGCTTCGTCTCTCCCGCCAGTCTGCCAATGCTCCGCCGCAGATCCTCGACGACCCCGATGAGGTGCCCCCGGCCGCCCCCGGCCATACCGACCTCGATATCCTGGTGACCAACTACTCGACGTCGGATGTTGCCCGCGCCGTGCATGACGAGATTGTCTCTTCCGTTCAAAGTGCGCGTGCGGCCAACGGGTCGGCCAACGCGGAGATTTTCTCGGCCCCGACCGGTTTCCCGAAGACCTACGCCCGAGTCGGCCTCGGCCGCCAGTTCCTAATCCTGTCCCAACGGACCTGGCGGAACCTGTACCGGAACCCCATGCTGATGCTCACCCACTATGCTATTTCCATCCTCCTGGCGGTGTTGTGCGGGTACCTCTTCTACGGACTGACCGATGACATCAAGGGCTTCCAGAACCGGTTGGGCCTCTTCTTTTTCATTCTGGCTCTGTTTGGGTTCAGTACGCTCACCAGCCTCACGGTGTTCTCGACGGAGCGACTCCTGTTTGTTCGGGAGCGGGCCAACGGGTACTATCACCCGATCACGTACTTTGCGGCGAAGGTGGTATTCGACGTCGTGCCGCTGCGGCTCTTGCCCCCGGTGATCATGGGAGTGATCGTGTATCCCATGACCGGGCTAATTCCGGCGTGGCCAGAGTTCCTCCGGTTCATCTTAGTTCTAGTTCTTTTCAACATGGCGGCGGCCAATATCTGTCTGTTCATCGGGATTGTGTTCCGCGATGGTGGGGTGGCCAACTTGATCGGAAGCCTTGTGATGCTGTTCAGTCTGCTGTTTGCTGGTTTGTTACTCAACCACGATGCTATCCCCAAGTCCGCCTTGTGGCTTCAAACGGTAAATCATTCCCCGCTCTGATGAATGAAGGGATCCCGAGCTAACCACGGTTTTAGTTGTCCATCTTCCACTATGGCTTCGAGGCCTTGATCGTCAACGAAGTGACATTCTTGACGTTGATCGACCACAAATACGGCCTGGATATTGAGGTTCCGGGAGCATCGATCCTGAGCGCGTTCGGGTTTGACACGGCGGCGCTGTGGACGGACGTGATCGGACTGGCGGTGATCTCGGGGGCATTCGTTGTGATCGCATATGCAGCGATGCATGTGCTGTTGGTGGAGAAGCGGTGAAGCTGGCCAACTGCCGGTTTGTGATGTCTGTTATTGTCTTTATGTTATTTTATTCCTTATGTCTTGGGGTGGTAGTCGACACGAGTTAATGTTCTGGGATGCTAGTTATGGGGTCAGGGAGCTATGTCCCCCTCGGGCCATATGGGCTATTTGTGAATATTATTCTGGTCTCGAACGTTGGCTTTGACATGTACATATGGCCTGACGTGAACGACCATGGCAGTGTGCTACTGATGGAAGCTGGATTACATGTAGTTCCATAGTAGACCGTCGAGTACGCCCTACTTTAGTATATCACCACATCGTCCCGACACCGGATTACGAGCCGTATAGCTGATCTACTGCAACAATCTTGTAGAGTAGACCATCATTTACATAAAAGCTTTATGTTTATCTACAAATAAGATCAATATCATGGTGGGTCCCCCAGACTGAAGCTATATAAGCTCCCGGCCCTCACCGCCCGGCGGGTGCCTCAGGCGGGTCCCTGTTCTCCTCAGGCTCCCAGTCCTCCTCCAACGAGCCGTCATCCACTCCTCTCTCTCTCTCTCACCTCACCTGTTCTTCTTCTTCTTCTCTCTCCTCCACCTCATTCTCCTCTTCTCCCGCTTCTTCCCCCCCATTACCCTCACTATCCTCCCTCCACTCCTCTCCCTCTCCACTGGATCTCATTACCTCTTTTATTGTCCTCCTTTAATCTGTCTGATATTTAATTTCTTTTTCTCTTTCCCTCCCAGTCAGTCGCGCACAACCGCTTGATTCTACCCAACATGTCTGGCGAGGCCTGGCTCTACCTGCTGGCGGTGTTGATCAACGCCGTCAACCTGTTCCTGCAGGTTTTCTTTACTATTATGTACAGTGATTTGGAATGGTATGTTCCCACCTCCTTTTCTCTCTGGGGGAGCTCCTTTTGTACCCACCGGTTTTCGTGCGGTGTGAAATTCCGGGGTGGTGGTTGGACTGGCCGAACCTCCGTCCACTCGCGATTGCGACACCATGAGCTAATCTGATTTTTTTTTCTTGCTGCAGCGACTACATCAACCCCATCGACCTCTGCAACCGCCTTAACGCCTATATTATCCCTGAAGCTGCCGTTCATGCCTTCCTGACCTTCCTCTTTGTGATCAATGGCTACTGGCTGGCGATCGCCCTGAATCTGCCTCTGTTGGCGTTCAATGCCAAGAAGTGCGTTCCTTCGATTCCGAGAGCTCTCGGGCCCCGAGCTTCCCAGCTAATAAACGTCCGCTCGACTAGGATTTACGAGAACCAGCACCTGTTGGATGCCACCGAGATCTTCCGCAAGCTGAATGTGCACAAGAAGGTCCGTCATTTATATTTACGACATCCCCTGCGTCGGATATCGGTCTTACTGACGCGGAATCTGTAGGAATCCTTTATCAAGCTCGGCTTCCACCTCTTGATGTTCTTCTTCTACCTCTACAGCATGATCGTGGCCCTGATCCGCGACGAGTCCAACTGACTGCGGGGAAAGACGGAGTATGCGATGCGCTACGGCGGTCCGGGATGAAGCGTTGCGTGTATCGGTGGAGGGGTTCGGTAGATGAAGGCTCTCTCTGTATCCATCTCCAGCGCCACACCCTCGACCTGATGATTCCATCCGTTCGCATTTCGCCCCGGGGGTGCCCTCCTCGCGACTGCAGTCGATCAATGCAGCGTGGACTGAACAGACCCGCGGTCGGATGTGGGTCGACGAACGAGTATTGATGACGTGTGCGATGAAGGGTGATATACGTGCAAGATATGGGAATGGGGAGGATGTATGGTCTCATGATGAAGCGGGAGGATTATGGGGGTTTGATTTTTTTTTGTATGCGTGTGCTGGATTCAAGTGCCTTTTCTTTTTTTTCATTTTCTTTCTCATGTTAATGTCTTAAGTAATGCTGTATATACCACACTAGCGGTGCGACAATGATGAGCGTACGATACCCTCGAACTCTCGTTGAAATAGAAGATTCAGGTACCGTTGTTGGCAATCTTGATTGTGAGGATCGAGTCAGGTCCAAGACGTAATATGCAGGGTGCCTGAGGCGGAATGTTCGCGGGGCGGTTGTTCCGCCGCCCGTAAAATTCGCGACTCCGACATTGCTTCATCCTTTCACCTCTCGCCATCGCCCATCACTCATTCCCTTCCTAATTCTCTCTACTCTTTTATTTACACAGAACATCCGTCAGTCAGCAGCGGATTGACTACGATGGCTTCTTTACTAGGCGCTGCCTATGAGTCCAGCGACGATGAGACCCACCAGACACAGGCGCCCGCGGCGACCAAGGTCGTTGCGGCGCCCGAAGTAAATACAGAGGTTTGGTCCCCCATTCAAATTGGCCTTTTCACTACACTGTCATTTCCCGGTGGATTGTTATGGCGTTGGGGATACCCATTTCCCGATCGAAGGAGCTCTGTCGACGGTACTAACAGCTCCACAGGATCAAGCACACATGCAGATGATGCTCGCCAACACTTCGTCCGGCGCCCTCACCTACAACGCAACGTACGATGATCTGTCCCGTCCGTCGCAGGGCCCGTCGAACCCTTTCAAACCCGAAGGACCGGCGAGCGGTCTCAAGCGCAAGAACGTACCGACCGGATTCGCCGAAGAGGCAGCCATGAGCGAGGCCACGTTCGCGGCACAGCACCGCACCTTCCAGAGTTTAGGCTACACCCGCAACCCGACCCTCCCGGGCCAGTTTGTCGGGAATCTGGAGCAAGCGGCCCAATACGGGGGCCGAGACGTCGTGCAGATGAAGCCGTCGAAGGAGGTCTCGGCGGCTCTGCGCGCCAAGCGGCAACGGAAGGGCGATTCCAGCATCGTGGAGGGCGAGGGCGCGTATCTGGGCCCGTGGGCGAAATACAAGGACGACGACCACGTCTACGAGGAGGAGGCGGCGCTGGCGAATCGCGAGCTCGCCAGCGACGAGGAATTCGTCGAAGAAGACCTCGCCACTACGCCCATGCCGGCCATGAGCAAGGCGGCGACAGACTACCAGGACGACTCGTCCAAGGTGGAATCGACCGAATTCCACGGGTCGGAGGAGCTCGACTACATGGGTCGCACTTACATGCACGTCCCGCAGGATCTGGACATCGACCTGCGGAAGGAGCCCGGCAGCGCCAAGAACTACATCCCCAAGAAGCTCGTGCACACGTACAAGTCGCACACGAAACCCATCACGTCGCTGCGCTTCATCCCCAACTCGGGCCACCTGCTGCTCTCCGCGTCGGCGGACTGCAAGGCCAAGATCTGGGACGCGTTCCACTCGCGCGAGCTGCTGCGCACCTTCTCCGGCCACTCCAAGGCCATCACGGACACGGACTTCCACCCAACAGGCTCCACCTTCCTCACAGCCTCCTACGACCGTCAAATGAAGCTCTGGGACACCGAGTACGGAAAGTGCATCAACCGCTTCTCCACCGGCAAGACACCGCACGTCGTGCGCTTCAACCCCAACCCGGAACACTCCCACGAGTTCCTAGCCGGCATGTCGGACAAAAAGATCGTCCAATTCGACACCCGCTCGGGCGAGCTCGTCCAAGAATACGACCACCACCTCGCAGCAATCAACACCATCACCTTCGTCGACCGCAACCGACGCTTCATCTCCACCTCCGACGACAAGTCCCTCCGCGCCTGGGAATACGGCATCCCCGTGCCCATCAAATTCATCGCCGAGCCCTACATGTTCGCCCTCACGCGCGCCGCCACCCACCCCAACGGCAAATACGTCGCCTTCCAAAGCGGCGACAACCAGATCGTCGTGTACGGCGCGACGGACAAGTTCCGCCAGAACCGCAAGAAGAGCTACCGCGGCCACAACAACGCCGGCTACGCCATCGACGTTAAGATCTCCCCCGACGGGCAGTTCGTCACGTCTGGCGATAGCGGCGGTTACCTCTGCTTCTGGGACTGGAAGACGGGCAAGATGTATCATAAGATTATGGCGGGCGGGAAGGAGGGCGGCGCTGTTACTTGTCTTGATTGGCATCCGCAGGAGACGAGCAAGGTTGCGAGCGGTGGGTTGGATGGGCTGATTAGGTATTGGGATTGATCACGCTTTTCTTTGGGACTATCTCGTTTTACTTTGCCTTGTTTTTTTTTACGTCTGTTGATTGGAGTATCCTGGGTGTGTTTTGATTTGATCGTGATAAATGTATATACTACTAGATTCCCAACCAATCTTTCTCTCAGAGGTCGGATCAATCAGTCAATTTGATCAACGGAATGATCGATTGTATGGTAGTAGCACATGTGCATAGATGCTCAGTACCATTATATACGAAGAGCAGGTACAGCTCTAGATAAACATCTACCACAAGGTCAACCGGTAAAGAGTAGAGTAATCATTCCTTATTCTCATGGTATTTCCTCCGCAACAGTACAAAATCTTTTTTGGAAAACAACCAACCCACACCATACACAACCATAAAGAGCTCTTTCAAAAACTAGCCATCTCAATCCAACTAGCCACAAACGCCAACCGCCGTCCCCGATCAGCAGCCATGCGGCGCGAGAACTCCTCAAAATTCAGCTTCGCGCCTGCGCCACCGCGGGTTTTGGCTTCGCGCTCGACGTGGTTGAGGTAGGCCCATCGCGAGAGGGTTAGTGGGCTTGGGGGCAGGCTGGCCCCCGCCCCGTTAGGGGGCAGGGAGGCGGTGGTTGATGAGGGGAGGGCTTGGATGGGGGAGGGGGAGAGTTTGGGGGCGGTGGCTTCGGCTTCTGGGGAGGAGGGCGGGATGGGGGAGGTGGTCGATGGGGCGGGGAAGGAGGTTGTTCCTGGTGTTGGTTGGAGGGTGAGGTTGGGGGGGAGGGTGCGGGGGAGGTCGGTGGGGTTTGAGGGGGATGCTGGGGTTGAGTAGGTTTGGGGGAGGGAGGTGGTGGTTTGCTCTGCTGTCTCTTCTTGTTCGTCTTCGTTGGGACGGTGGTGAGGGAGGGTCGGATCGTAGTAGGAGGAGGAGGGGGAGACGGGACGGTTGTGTTCTGTGATGATGCGAGGTCGAGCGGAGAGAGGGATTGGCGCTAGGATTTCAGGCTGGTCGTCTAGGCCGTCGTCTTCATCTTCGTCTTCGTCCTCTTCATCTTCGTCGTCGTCTTCTGGATGCGCGAGGTGCGTGGGCCTGACGTCGTCATCATCAGAAGAAGCCCGTATCCGGGGTGAGGGAGGGTCCAGGATAGGGCCGGTAGTGGAAAGCTCCCCAGAGGGGGAAGGACTGCGGATGGCATATCCGGCGCGGTCGAGGAGCTCCCCTAGAGGTCTTTCAGTATAGGTGCTCCTCTTGGGCTGCTCGCTGTCCAGTCCGTCGCTCTGTTCGCGCGACGAATGGTTGCGAGGGTCCGCCTGTTCCGCCAGCTCGATCTCGTGAGCCCAAATCTTGCGCTCGGCGCGCGTGCGGCGGACTTCCATGAGCAGGTCTTCCTTGGGCTTGAAGAGGATATCGAGCAGCTCGTTGAACCCTTGCTGCGTGACCTGGTATAAGATCTCCTTTCCAACGTCCTTTTCGACCTCCGGGACTTCGAACCCACCCCATCGCTCTCCGACTAGGATGCTTCGCGATGAGGTCGACGGGTTGGACCTCACGTCGTAGTCGTCTGTGAGATCATCCTGGAATCGCACCTTGGACGAGGATCGGGAACGGGGAGACGGCGGGTGGGACTCGTAACCCTGCGAGTGGTCGTCGTGGGAGACAGCTTCATCAGTATCGTGATCTTCGTCTTCTTCTTCGCCATCGTCATTATCATCTGACAGGTCATCGGCGCTTGAATCGCTGCGATAATTCTCGGGGGCATCGCCGCCGTCCTCCTCGTCGGTGTAGAACGACCGTCGCCGCCACCGTTCATCGATACCCTGCCGGCGAAGCTCGTCCGCCTGTCTCTGCTCTTCTTCAAACATTCGATTGAACACAACGGACCTCACGCGAGCCCGGTCCACAGGATCCGTGATCTCTTGAGGAGGGACGTAGGCACCAAGAGCGGTCACCACGTCTTCATTCCGGATATGTTCGACGCCGGGCCAATGGTTGGGGACGGCAGACGAAGTCGAGGTGCCATCGCTACTTCCATCGTCATGGACATCAGAAAGACTGGCTCCGTGAGGTCCCAGTGTTGACTGTTCAACGGCCGTATCGCGAGGCGGGGAGCTCAGACGTGGGAAAATCGGGCGCGAAGTGCCAAACTGACTCCGGACAGCGGCGTCCCCAATGACAGTATGGCGGTCACCAGTGTCGGTCCCATCTGGCCGTAGGATGCCCTCATTGTCGGTGAGCTCCATGTCACCATCCTGCGTCATTCGCTTGCCCTCTCCGGCCCTTGACGGCTCCCCAGAGGGGATGCTGCCGGGGAATGCGGAGCTGATGGGCTGACTTCCCAGGACTACATCTCGCGCACCTCCCTCCAGGAAGTCATCCTCCATACCCGCGACCATGTCTCTCGTCAGCTCTCTGCTAAGCGTGTAGAACGCACGGAACACCCGTAAGAAATCCTTCCGCTCGACATAACCGTCGCCATCGATATCATAGCCCCGGAAAACGCGGCGTAACCTTTCGTCGTTGCTTTTGTTGTTCAAGCTTGCAAGGCCCTTGAGGAATTCCTCGAACCCAATCAGCCCGTCGCTATTCGTGTCGTAGAATGCAAACATGCGATCGTAGATCAAGCTCGGCGGCGGAGGGCGGATGGAGGTGTTGGGAACGAAACATCGATCGAAGGTCTTCCGGTCGATCGCCATGTAGAGTTTATTCGGGTCGTCGGCCCATTCGTGATTGGCCAGGCATCGGAACTGGTCCCAGAGGGCATCCAGCTCCGTGTTCTCGAAAGCAGACTCCTTCATCAGGCGTTTGGCCAGGGACCGGGGCAGGCTGCGCGGGAGCATGGCGGGCTTCCCAGGATACCACGCCGGCTGGGACTGCCGAGGGTTACCGAGGAAGGGGGCCGGGATGCGGACCTTGTAAAACAGGTGCGTTTTGATATGCACCTGCATTGCCTCACAGGTCTCGCAGAGATCATAATCAATGCAGTTGGCACAGCGATACCGGATCCCTTGGATGGGCATCGCCCCGCAGCTGTTGCACGTCACTCCGCGGTGAATGTACCCGTCTTTCCTCGACTGATCCTCCGCGATGTGGTACAGCAGATTCAAAAGATTCTGCCCTTCGCGCGTCGGCGAGTCATCGTTATTGCCATCGCGCCAGGAAAGCACACTCTGATCATCCACGACCGTCTCAGCACCATCCATGTTCTGTGCCGGCTGAGACTCATCCGGGAACGTCGACGCCGACAGGGTAACTCTCTCGCCATTTTGCCGACGACGTCGCAGTTCCTCGCCGTAGTTGCTATCCTCGTTGAACCGAGTCAGCGCCCGCTCGATACCCGCATGCGAAATCCCCCGCCGCTGTAGCTGCTCCATCAGGTAGTTTCGCTCGTCGCTAGACTCCTCCAGGGTATGAGTCGGCGGGAAGTCCAGAGCCAGGAAAGACTCAAGGAAGGTGTCTTCCATCATCTCCCGCATACGCTCTGCGTGGGCGGGCGGGACGCCGACCTCCTCCATAAGCTGGTCCCGCGTCGCCAGCAGCGACGGGAGAAGACCGCTTTCCACACGCCGGCCATCTTCAGTCTCTATGCGGAATGTGCCGTAGACTCCGTTCTGGCGTTCCAGCTGCTCGAGGTGCGCGATCGCCAGTGACGACGGCGTGTCGGTCACTTCTGGGTGGTCGGGCTCATTCCGTCTGCGGCGGCGGAGAGCTCTGCGGCGACGAAGGCCGGGATGTGATGAGGGAGAAAGGATGTAGTTGTGGATGTAGACGATCGCATAGGCGGCGGCGGCGCCGGTCAGGAGGTAGGCGAGAGGGCGATACCGCGACAAAGCCGGCCGAGCTTGAGATTCCGACATAGCGGTGCGATGATCTGCAATGGCTAGGAAAATGACATCCTTATGATTGAGGGTGCATGAGGAGGTAGGAGAGGTGTTGAATTGAGAGAAGAGAACCCTGGAGTGGAATTGCGAGTCTGAGGTGTGGACAAGAGCTGAAGTTGTGGTTGGTGAATTGGTGGATCGATGCGAAATCAAAGTCCGGGGATAAAAGGCGGACAGACTGGAGACCGCCTTCGTCTCTAACAGCAGCTTACCATTATTCAATCACCTCTATAAAAGCAACGAAAAAGATATAAAATATTTAAAATGGATAAGGCGTTGTCATAGTATATAAACTATAGGGAACTGCCGAAATTTGAATTCAAGCTAAGGACATGTCAAGATTTTACCACTTTTACCCACTGCATACTGTTCCTATCAGTTATATATCTGAGTCTATCCAAACCCGTTAGAGAGCAGTACCCTGAACCAGCCAATCCAGGACCCCAGGAACAGCTATTTTAAGTCCTCTATACTTTTAGACTGCATTGAATCGCCCGTCGTCCATTGTCAGCAAGAAAAAGAAAAAATCCCCTATGCAAGCTTTTTGAGATCCTGTTCAACGCGACAACTTCTTCTCACGGATGAAGAAACTACTAAAGAAAGCAAAGAAGACAACGAAAAACAAGAACCCAAAGCCCTTGTTCGTTGCCCACCCGTAGCAGCCGCGGACGGTTCTGGCGACAGCCGGATCGAGGGTTCTAATATAATCAAGACTTTGCCGCACACCGTCAACGATCTGATCGACGTCCTTGCTGTCGCGTAACGCAGAGCGTAGTCGGGTCCGAAGAGCCTGTTGGACCACAGTGGACGACAGGGAGAGACCGATGACGGATCCTAGGGATCGGAAGAGATATGAGCAGGCGGTCACCACGGCCTGGTCTTCGGGGGTCGAGTTCGAGACTGCAGAGGTAAGTATGTGTGAGAAAGCAAGCGCATATCTACATGTTAATCAGGACTCACTGAGAGAGATCAATGTCGATGTAACGCCGATGCCATTTCCAAAGCCCGAGAAGACCATTCCCATGATCATCCACACCAGACTTTCCTGAGCGGCCCCGGAGGAAAGGAAGATGATAGACATTCCCACGGTGAGGAGAGCGTAGGCAATGATGGTCAGCCAGTAGAATTTGCCAGTCCACTTCATCACGAATCCGGCAAAAAGCGACCCGGAAACGCCGGCGAAGATGCTTGGGAGGAGGCGTAAGCCTGCAACAGTGGCAGACACGCCATCGACGGCCTGGAAATACAATGGAATGTAAAAGAGGGCAGCAAGCCAACCGCCAAAACTGAAAAAGTTACAGGCGTAGCTGGAAACGAAGGCCCGGTCAAAGATGATGTGACCGGGGGCGAACGGCTCCGCCGCGTAGAAGACCTCGACAACAATGAACAGCACAAAAAGGACGGCGGAGACGCTAAGAGAAACGATAGTTGTTGGCATCGACCAGGATACATTGCTTCCTCGGTCGAGGCCGACAAGAAAGCCCAGGACAGCGCCAACAAGCACAATGGCACCGGGGAAGTCAATGCGACGAAGCTTGTCTTTCCAGTGACTGTCTTCGAGGGGAGGCAGTTCCAGCATCACCGTGACAGCTATAAAGGCGAGAATGCAAAGTGGCACCTGCGCAAGGAATGCCCTATGAGATACGTTAGAGAAGGCGTCATCTTCAGACCAGCTAGGAACATGATGCTTACCATCGCCAACCAACGAAATCGGCCAAAATTCCACCTTCTCCAATTAGTACAATGACGAATAATGATTAGTGTGTATGTACTCACCGAGCGGTGCACCAACACCCGAACCAGTGGCGAAGATGATGTTAATAACACCTTGCCAGACGCCCCGATCGCGAAGAGGGACGATGTCACTCATAAGAATACTGACAACAGTCGTCATGCCGCCGCCGCCAATACCTTGAAAAACCTAGAACACACATCGCGTCAGCTTTTCTCCACACAAACAACAAGACTCTTGCTCAGTAATGCATACACGAGCAGCGATAAGCTGGTAAATATCCTGCGCGAGGCCGCAGCACAAACAGCCCACGCCGAAAATAGCATAAGCCGACAACAAACAACCCTTGCGGCCAAAGATATCGCTCAGCTTGCCGTACAGAGGCTGAAACGAGGTCAGGGTCAGGAAATACGACGTCGCGATCCAGCTGGTCAGGTTGAGAGCCTCAAGGTCGCTGCCGATCTGCCCATAACTGGCGACGATGATCGTCTGGTCCGCTGCAGACAAAAAGACCTGGAGCAATTGAGTCAGTTCGTAGCCGAAAGAGGTGCCTTGATAGAGCGGATTGAGTCCATACCCCAATCGATATCGCAGGAATAATGTATCTAAGCTTATTCCTGTGATCATCTACCTCATCACCTGGCGTGGTCTCCTCCCCATCTACCGGGTATGGCGCCTCGGGGTCCGAGTTGCAGATGGCGCCGGTCGAGGCAGGATCAAGGGTCGCATTGCCGTTGCGTTGGGATCCCAGCAACGGGGATGTCTCCGTGGGGTTCTTAGCTATCGCCATCCCATTCACCCACTTGCTCGCCGTGTGCGCCTTTCTTCAAGTGCGAGGAGTTCACGGTAGTAAAGGTCGAGAAGAAGGAGGCGATGAGTCGCATTCGATCTCTTGTTTGCGGCCTCGGGCATCAATCCGAATCACGTGCTGATAAGCTGCGGAGGCGCGAGGGGCTAATGATTCTGGGGCTCTCATTGGCGGGATCGGCTGTTCGGCTGGAACACCGCTCGGCGCTAAGCTTTTCAAGGTAATTTACGCCCCGCCCCGACCCGATCGGCCGATACGGCGCCTTTCCTGATCGGGATTCATTGTATTCAATTTGATATTATCAAACTAACAATGATTAGTATGAAGATGACAAGGTTGTGAATAAAAGATCAAAGGAAGATATACTATGCTGATAGTCCAACATCATCTAATTACTTAATGGACACATCTGACTGCACGCACCTGCGCTCTTCTCCTGAGGGGGGCCTCTGTGAGACTGCACATAGTATGCAAGGCCTATGCAGGAGTCACCCATAAAGATCAAATCGCGCATTAGTTCCAGGCAGTGGTAGACTCCAGGGTCAAAAGGTGTGAGTCAGGCCCTCCAAAGGGTCTACATGGTCCGGTAGTAGAGGAATCAGGCCGGCTCCGTTGGAGGCAGTCACCTGTCATGGCAGTGGCTCTGACTTAACACGTTCTCAGCATTTATCATTGAAAATAATGTCCTCTAGCACTATCTGTCGTTAGAGTTGACGTTAGTGAGCAGCACAGTCTGGCTGGTATCACCAATTGCTGGGAGCGGGAGTTCAGAAGAAAGTTCGTGAATGTCTCTGTTTCGGCCTGCCCTAACATATGGCAACCACGAAAACAAAGCCCCTCACCACAACCAGCACTAGGCATCGAGACGTGAACTTCCCTCCACCAATAGCAATTACACCTTGAGGGTAAGTGCTGCTAATGCCCAACGACGCTCCTCCTCTCGTGCCTTCCCTTGTACAAATGTCTGACAACAGGTCCCAGCCAACACAGAAACATAAATCAGATTCCAATAGTCACGACCCTGAACGTATAACAGCCGGGTATATCAACATAACAGTAAAATCACATGAAATCTCAGGATCCATCCAGGTCACCAACTAATATCGACACAGGAGATAGCAAGGGCTACCACGTTGGTCATTTGGTCAGGATTGTACAGAATAACAGGGGCCGTTTGGCTATCACCGCAAAACATGAAGGAAAAAAAAACACAGCATTACCCAAGTAACACGTCCTCCACTAATTATTGAAAGGACAGTGGGAGGTATAAACCAACAACAGGGTAGAGACCAGACAGTATCGTAGATAGGGCTGAAGGTGATAACCGTAATCATAAAGTGCACGTCAATCGACCGCCATTAGTCGATGGCATCGAATCTCTATAGCTTCATCATTCATCTGGCCAGAGGGGAATATTGGGGACTAGCAGGGGCTGGAGCAGGAAGGCTGGATCCACATCCGGGGCAAAAGGCGGCTACCCTTATCCATGGAGGCCCGAGAGGGAGGCCTAGATCCAACCAAATGGGAAGCCATGGAGTTGGGAAATCCAAGGACAAAATTGAAGATCCAAAGCTAGGTCATTCCTGAGCATGGCATCCACTAGGTAAAAATCAAATCCCGCGGGACCGTGGGATGGGGGGAAACACGGTGGCTTTCAAGAAAACTAGGTCCGTAGCGGAGAGTAAAAGGGCCAGTATACGAAAAGACATCGTAGGCACAAAATCACGGACGGGCCGGGTGGAAACCAACATTTGCTCAAGGGCTGGCAAACTTCACACGGCGGTTACGTCGGTCCTGGATGCGCTTCTCGGTTTCAACATAAAGACGATCAAGGGAGTCCATGGTATTGGCATCCTTGAGGATTTTGGCCACCTGGGTGCCAGCGGAAATCAGCTGCAGCACATTCCGATCATCCTTGATGGGTCTGGACTGATGTTTGGCAGCGTGCCTCATCTCCAGGGAGTTCTCCAGCACGGTGACGAGCTGCTTGATCTGGCCGTTATACAAGACCCTGGCAGGGATGCGGCGCTTGGTGGCCAGCCTTTTCAAGAGATATACCCATTCAGTCCACTCACGGTCTGAGGGAACCCTCACCTGTCTCTTGTCCGGTTCCAGTGGAATCGGAAACTGATACTTCGCGACAAAGTCAAATGCGCACTGCGACAGGCGGTCATTCACTGTCGATAGAATTTGATCTTGCTCTGAGATATCGAGATTAGTAGGAAGATGAGGCAGATCCCTTGCCTGCGCCAATATCATGCGCTGAGACGGCATCTCCAGGTACTGATGGGGGCCATCAAATTCATCCCGGTTCGACGGGCGTCTTTGCGAGTGGTATCGTGCACTGCCCTTAGAAGCGGTCCGCCGACTGGGTCGCTCTACCAAATAATCCGCATTCTCCACCGGTCTGACCAGTTCGGTCTCCCGCTGGAGAGCCTCTGGTGGGAGACAAGCCGGGTGCTTCCACTCTCGGTAGAGGGAAGGGGGACGGGAAAATGGTCCGGCGGGAGTGATGGATATATTGCCCGGCGCATGCGACGTCATCGGGAGGCCATTGTATGGAGTTGGGAATTCGAAGTCGGGTGAGACTTGCTTCGCAGGCCTCGATGCGGCAACTGAAGTGTCTATAGGGCCACAGTCGCGATGTGGAGGGGATAGTCTCTTTGAGCTAGATAGGACGACGCCGCAGTTCTCAGTATGATAAGGCGCGTTTGCAGAGAGGGGCAACAGAGGCGAGCGACGCGAGATGATTGGGTACCTTGGGTGATAAGCCACAGAAGCGTCGCCGGAATTTGCGTAGACTTGGGGGTGTTGGGGTATGGGGCCACTGCGAGACATGAGCCTCTCTCCAAGGACGCTAAGATATAACAAGGTGGGGAGAGGAGGGAAGATGGATGCCCGCTAAAGCTAACCTATGTCGAGACCAAGAATCCGATTCACTGCCGAGAGAAGTTGTATAGGAGCCACTGCCTGACGTTCCAGAGAAATAACTGTAGCTCGAAGACATCGGGACCAAGGGAGGCGATGCAACCGGTGGCATGCTACAGGTACAGAAGGCCGGTTGGAGCAAGACAAGGAAGGAGATAACTGAATGACTGGAAGTGAAACGGGGGGAAGAGGGTTCGATATGATTATTATATGGATGTTCTGGACAGGCAAGGCAGAGAGGCCTTCCAAGACGGCGCCTCACTGCAGTCTGGAATGCCGCTATTGAATAGTCCGATTTAAAGATGAATAATAAGGTAAGAGGATAAGCGCCCAATCGTGAGAGCGCAAGATAAGCTCAGCAGTCTGTCGGTCCCACGAGGATGAGGAAGAGACGGCAGGCAGGGCATTAAGGACCCGACATCAGTGGTCAAGACAGCGGCAAGGAAGCAATCGAACCCCCATTCCCGTTCTTCGACGAGAATTATCCGAAGCATAAGTAAGTTGACGACGATATACGACCATCGGTATCACCAGGATGCCAATTGTGAATTAGATCGGCTTTCCCCACCCCACTGTCTTTTCATTTTTTCTTTTCCATGACAAGGTTCCGATGCGATAGATTGGATCCAAGGTCTTAGCAACAATGAAGATGACGGATAACCCTCGTTATAGTAGGGCCATGTAAGAACCAGGACCGCGCGCCATGGTCCAGCCATCCAGCCCGTCTTCTGTCTCACATTACTCCATCAAGCGGATTGGCTACACTGCACTTTAGGAGGGTCTTCCCCATGGGTGAACCCGGAAGGAGAGTCGAGAACACCAACTAGGGACCAAACGTGGCTAATTCTGGCGTGATGATCGCACCCCGAAAAGAAACTAGAACCTCACGATGGGGGGTAAAAATTCCAAGAGGATCGAAAGACAGAATCCATGGTAGATGCATAGGGTTTTGGGCAGCAATCTCAGGATTTCAGCAGGGCGGGCATAAGTATCCACTAGGCAGGGCGACAGGCTGTCGCTCCATGGCTTGGCTCCCCTCGGAGTTGCTGGTCAGTGAATGACAACGCAGGACGCTTCTGATTTTGAGTTTTGTAATAGTAATGGTGCTTCTCCACCGACGCCCGAAGAGGAATCCATTGCTGGGAGACGGGGGAGCCCTGGAAGGATGAAGAAAGATGGCCGAAGACCCTCTGGACTCTGGAGAGAGAGAGAGAGAGATGGAGAGATGGAAAGTGGAGAGAGTGAGAAGTGGAGACTTCTGGACGGAGGATGAAAGCCGATCCTGATCGGGTCAGTGATGCAGGCATTGGCCTGATTCCTCAGGACGATAATGCTCCTCCCGTCTCGACTAGCGCTTCTTCTACCAAGTATCTAATATCTAGTAATTAATTTCTCAGAAAACCCTCGCCGCCACCGCATCCCTCGACTTGGATTTCTGACTGACAGCTCATCGCTCCAACCTTCTTCGTCTACTATCCCACGGCCCCAAGCTAGACTAGGCGGGGAAACTTCCAACCTCCATGTTGATCCCCGGCTGGTCTAGCTTGGCCTGGACAAGCCCATCCTCATCACTACCACCCGCTATAATCCTCCAGATCTAACACCTTTCACAGGCTTGGATGGTTCTGCTGTGGTCATTTAGCCCCCAGCGTTTCGCAGAGAGAGAGGTTGCAGAGAGCTGATGGCGGCCTGACTCCGATTTTCGCGATTGTGGAGAGCATGGATCTACGACCCCCGGCCGGCAAATTGGCCGCTCTGGACATGTTGGGCATACACGTCACTGCAGGTCTTGTTGCCCAAACTGCGGGCTGGTCAGTATCAGCCAGTCTGCCCTGTCCATATCTCGCAATGAGTAGTGCTCTAAGAGAGTTCCGGGAAAGGTCTCCAACATGGAAGACCCACAATCCAATTGTCGGTTCTGCCCGGATCCATAGATCTGTATGTGCGGGATTATTTTGATTGCTGTTAGAGGTTTCCTTCCCATATCTACCATTAGTGTGGGTATCCGTTCCTATGGATTGGAATGCGATTTCCGATCGCTGGCCGCACGGGTTTTCAAATTATCAATCGGTCGTGCTGGAGTTGTCAGACGCCCATCGATGATTCGAGATCGGAAAGAACGGAACAGAGAGAGCACTAGAAGCGGGATAAAAATAAATAAATAAAACTTAAAACATTTACTTAGTCACCACTGATCCACTCCAGAGTACAGATCTGTATAGCGAGAATGTCGGAACTTGGACATCCCATATCAGTGATATTGTTACCTGATAATCCCGTGATGGGCGCCTGGATAAGGAAACGCAGTCGTAGCTGAACCAGTGTAACATAGGACAAAGGATATGGCGTAAGTTGTTTCAGCCCAATGGGCAGTGCAACGATGGGACAGCGGACAGCGGATTCGACGCTGAGATTGATCCGTCATCGACATGAGCACAAGACCGTTCATGATGCCGTGGCAGTGTAACCCATTCCTAAGACGGACGAACGACAATATCGGGGCATGACGGGATCTCAGCAACCTTGGTCATTCCAGTATCATTCCTCTTTCGGGCGTGTTGCCTTCGGTGGGAGCTCAACTCCCATGCGACGGGCATAATCCTGGACCGAACAAGTCAACAGAGCTGTTTGCCCAAGAGGAAAACGACAGAAGGGCCGGCATCCCTGGACATGAACTCACCTCACAGCTCAGCCGAATGCCTTCGTCGATTCCAACACGAGCCTGGTAGCCTAGTATCCGTCTCGCCTTTTCCCCGCTGGCGTACCGGATCGAGCATGCATCGCGGACACTGCCGCGGCTCAGAGTCGTCGACGTGCCAAACAACCAGGTCAGCCATTCACACAGCCAACCAACCAGGTACAGCAGGAACATGGGGATGTGGACCTCAAAGGGCGGCGTGTGCCCAAAGTGAGCCCATATCGCCAGGCAGAAGTCCCGAAAGGTGATGGGCTCGTTGTTCTGGATGAAGAAAGCCTCACCGGCGGCGGTTTTCGACGACATCAGGTTCTGGGCTGCCAGGACATGGGCGTCCGCGACATTGGTGACATACGTCACGTCCCATAGATTGGAGCCATTTCCAATGACAAAAGGGGTCTCGTACTTGGCGATGCATGCATGGATCGGAGGCAGCAACTGATGGTCACCAGGCCCGCACAGGACGGATGGACGGAGCGAACAGGTGGCCATCGTGCCGCTCGATTCCTGGAGAACCATTGCTTCTGCGGCAGCCTAAAGGATTTGTTCCGTGTTCGTCATTAAATGATAGGGTGACAGGCTTTAGAAAGATGCCAACCTTGGATTCACCGTAGATGAGGGAGGAAGCGGGGATGGGCCATCGCTCGTCGATGTTGTGGTATGGGAAACCCAAGCAATCAACCACCACGCAGCAGCTGCTAGTGTAGATGAAACCCTCTGCGTTGGCCTCTTTGGCCGCATCCAGCATATTCCTTGTCCCTTGGACATTAACCCTCCAAGCATGTTTTTCCAGTCTTCTTCCGAAGCGTTCGCTGAGCGGCGGGATGATGCCTGCTGTGTGGATGACGAGGTCCGGTTTGGCCTGCTCAAAGGCTCTGCGGACTTCATTTAAGTTGGTGACATCGACCTGTAAGAAGGTGATTCCACCCGGCACTACATGCGTGGGGCCAGGGGGCTGCAGGTCTATAATGGTGATGGCACATTCTGGATGGGCCTCTGCCAGTGCTCGGACGGTGGCTGCGCCCACAAAGCCAGTTCCCCCTGAGATGAGGACTTTTGTCAAGGGAACCTGGTTTACGGACATGTTGGGTAATTCTATGACTTTGCCGCCTCTTATTCGCTTCTATTCATAGGCGTAGTATGTATGTTCCTGCGGTGGGCCCGCCCGGGGTGGCGACATTCAACCCTTGACAGGGTCTTGGATATGAATCGATTGCAATCGAGGATAGCAGGTTGGAAGACAATGGCGTACGCCGAGATGATCGCGTTGTTCTGCTTGTCGAAGAGGTTGGACGTAGTTGAGGAGCCTACTGTCCATAGACCACGCAGGGGGAATCCCTCGGATGGTTGGAAGGGAGCGGAGATGCGGACAACCCCATCACATCGTCACTCCGTCCATTCCGCCCATAGCAACCGAGGGACCTCTGACCCGACCCACGCCCACCCTGAACAGACTACTACGAAGAAACGCACCACCAATACTAGTGATCAAAGAATGATACATGAATTCGAGCGTATGTTACTATACAAGGTATCCATCCCAACAGTCGCAAACATCAGATACACAAAGCATGGGAGGAGACATCGCGACTGACCAAACTCCGGGGTAAATGCAAAATCCAACGACGCATCCAGAAAGCGGAACAACCCAGGTCCCTCTTCCTTGTTATCCTCGCGGGTCAGCAACCTATTGAACCCGGCACAGAACCAATCCGCCTATTTGTTTCTCAACACACTCGCGCGCTTCCATGATGCCCCGATCCGTCGACAGATACAGGTTCTCACCCGGCGACCGCAATCCCTCCACCGTCTGATATTTCTCGCCTCGGATGACTTGTCGGAGTCCAGTCACATCGATGGTGATCCGTCTTGTCGGCTTGCTGATCATGGTCATCTTCCCCAGGACGGGCTCGCTCTGCCAGTACTTCAGGCCCAGCCACAGTCGTCGGGAGGCAACGTTGTCCTGCGTCACGGGTTCCACGCCCGCGTTACCATCGCTAACAGTCGGAGTACCCAGGATGGTGTGTTTCGGAGGGGGGGTCGGGCCGCCTCGGATGACGGAGGAGATATAGCCAGAGTTCTGGAGGGCGTGGCTGAGCTTCAGGTGGAGGTTGGAGTTGGGGATCGAGGTGATAGCCAGGCGGGCCTTGCACGCATTGTTCAAATGCGAACAGACGTGAGAAAGGTTGACGAGAGACATGATGGATCGTTATGGGAAAGCAAAAGGCGCGATCGGGGTTCTGGGGATTGCGACTCGGGAGTTATTGAGGTGACTAGGGCTAGAATGGAGATGTCAGCTATGCAATTAGAAAATGCAAGTGTTCAAGTTGTTCAGATATTTACCTTTGCGAGTGTACAACTCCCCTTCGGAATCGAAGTTGTTATGATAGGACTCAATTGAACAGCAGTCTACACTTACCCAGCCCAAGCCAGACGGGAAGCCCAGATGAAATTTTCGGAGACACGATAAGCCGGCCTCCGCTCCGCATTCCTGCCTTGGTGCCTTGGTGCCTTGTGCCTTGCTACCTTAGTATCTTCATGCCTTAGTGCCTGAATTCATGCCCCAGGCCAGAAGAATTATGATTGGCCGATATGGAGTATGCACGAGATGCACGTTATGCACCTATCACAGTGCAGTCACGCCTCTGGAAGCGCTCTTGTAACCGCCGACCTTCCCAATCCTCTCTCTCACAGGCTCAGTCCTGAATCCTTCCCCTCGTCCCAAGAGCTTCTTGCAGAGATCGCTGTTCGTTGCGGTTGCCTGCTATTTATTTCACCATGGCCTGTGACACTCCTCTTCTTCTCCTACATCACCTTGCCTTGTGCCTTTTAGAACCACATATCCCCTGATCAACCATCATGCCTCCATTACCGGGGGAAGAACGCCTGTTGACAGTGTGAGTGCTGACTCTTGCTACCCCGCAGTGACTGATCTGGATCTGTCTCTGTTAATAGAGAATATGAACTCTTGCTGATCAATTCCTGTATAGTTTTGCGGATATTCATTACTACTTCACTGACCCAACCCCCAAACCACTGCAGCATCGGTTTGATAAAGGCTCATATCTCTATCTCTATCACAATGCGACTCAGCGTAAGACCAGGCTTGAAGTAGCAAACCATCCTGGCTCGCCAGAACAGGATGCGTTCAATGGAGGTTGGTCCATGGTCATTCCGGTGTCAGTGACTTGCATGTGGCCAAGCTAACCGTAGTCCAGGTCTGGACAATGTTCACTTTCTCCATTCCACCAACTTCCCCACCCTGTGTACTTTGACTGTGGAGAGAGAGACACGGGACCAGCACCAGCAGGCCTTTCCGCCTCCTCCAGGCGCCACAAGTGCCTGTGAGTGGCAGTTGCCGAGCGGTGATCCGCGCGACGGATCCAGGGCCTTGTTGCGCCTCCATACCCTGGATATCTACTTCTGGACCCAAGACGATGCCACTCAATTTCTCGATCTGGTCGAGGTGTATCTCCCCCAGACGAATATCTCAACGGATCGACACCCCTACCCGCCTCCCCCGCAGAGCACCGTCAACCCGGTTGTGCAACAATTGGAGAATATAGCCATCTCCGATCCCGCCTACCAGCATGGACATACCCGGGGACCTGGCGGAGAAAGTGTTTCCTCGACGCCCGCGTCCACCTTCCAGACAGCCGCTGCTCCCAGCGCTCTTCCACTCCCTCCCCCGCCTCCGCTCGGGGGACCATCCCCTCCAACCCAGCAGACAGCGGCTGTACCTCAGCCTCCTGCAGAGGCGCAAAGAGACTCCCCCCAGTGTGCACCTTTGCCCTACAATCCCGCAGCACCAGCTGCACCCGAGCCCATCCAACATCGCGAGAAAACGCCACCTCCAGTTGACGCAGGGGGTGGCACGGGGTTAGCTACAGCGGCGGTCGCCGACAATGGTGTTCCACATTCGCCTCCACCTCATCTCACCGGCGCCGTACCAGCAGGCTATGCACCTCCTCCACCCAGCGCAGGTCTGCCCTACAACAGCATGCCCGGAGGCTACGTCTCACCACCCCCCAGCGCCGGACTACCCCCAAGTACCGGGTTCCCGCCAGCCCCAGGCCCGACCCACTCCGCCTCTCTATCCTCCCGATCGTCCGTGCAAAGCCCGCCAGGCGTCCCATCCTACGCGCCATCATTCCTCACAGGCAGCACAGGCAGCCCCCAACCAGCAGCGCCCACCCCACCGGGCCCAATGTCCTTTGCCCCTCCCCCCAGAGACCCAAACGCACACCTATACAGCCAACCCCAACAGTCCCCGGGTCTCTACGCCCCCGCACCCCCACCACCACCCACCCAAGCCCAAGTCCAACAACCCGTATCGTCCCCACCCCCAGTCGGCGGCTACTCAAACTACACCTACGACTCAACCCCGCAGAGACAACAATCCTTCGGCAGCGACTACGACATCCACAACCAACTCTACCGTCCCACCGAAGCCGAAGCTGGCACCAAACACCAGAAATACGCCCAGAAGGCAGTGCAGAACCCGGGCTCGCGCCCGCGCAAGCTGGAGGACGGCGCAAGCCGGGTGGAAGCGGGTGTGAGTCGGCTGTTTAAGAAGTTGGAGAAGAGGCTTTGATTTGTCGTCGTGGGGATAGTGTTTATTTATATATTATACCCTGGATCTGTGATCTGGTAGGGTCGTTGCTTTTTTCAAGTTGTGTTATCTCGATTTCTGTCCTCCTTGTAATATGATTGGCGCTTAGGAATAGGGTATAGTATTTACTAGGTAGTATATTCAGATGACCGGTGAGATCTAAGGTAAACTTCCAGATAGACGATAAAGATCAAATACGACAAACTAACATACCAGAATATAACGCAAAGTATATATCACTAGAATCGAAGAAAATAAAGCACACCTCAGTCGAGGAGAAAGAAGAATAGGAAGAGAAGAGAAGATAATAAAAACAACAAAAAAAACCCTAAATCGACTCCTACAGGACATATGCAAAGATGCTGGGGATCACGCTAAACCCATCAAAAGAAAACCTAAAGCAACTCCTCCAAGTCAATCCTCTGGCATGCATCCGTCCTCGGGCGCCATCCGGGTTCATATGGTACATGGATGACCCGTCTGAATCCGGTAAATGATGAAAAAAATAGTCAAAAAGTGAAGATGAATGGTAGAAAAAAAAAGGGAAAAAAGAAGAGAAAAAATATCAAAAAGGGACATCGAAGTGTAAAATAATTTGAAGATGACATGTGCTGTTCATCGTGGCTTTCGCGGGGTATAAATTTGATGTACAGACCGTCAACATGAAAACCCCAAGATGGGGAGAGGGGTAAAGCTTAGAGGAAGGGTCCGAAGGAACCGTGGACAGGTAGACTCAATTTCCTTGAGGTGCAAGTTAGACTCAGATCTAGATCAAGCTAAGCATGTCCATACCGAAATCAACCTGACCCTGGTTCTCCGCAGCTTTCTCGCTGGGCTTCTCAACGGGTTCAACGTCCGTGTCCACTAGCGATTCGGAAACGGCCGACTCCTTGGGCTCCACGGGTTCGGTGACTTGAGGGACTTCGGCGACGGGCTCGACTGCTTCAGGCGCCTTGATCTCCGGAGAAGAGATAGGCTGCTCCGTGGGAACGGTGGAGGAGAGCTCGGTGGTCTGCTCGACCGGAGCCTCCGTCACATTCGCGACGGGCTCGTCCTGAGTGGAGACGGCATCAGCCGTCACCTCAGGAGTAGCAGATGACTCGACAGGAGCGTCATCGGTTGCCACGTCGGCCACGGGCTCCTCTTCGATCGCTTCGACGGACGAGGGATAGGATTCCTCGACGGCGGGGGCCGACTCCTCAAGGGTTCCGACCAACTCCTTAGGCTCAACATCGGTCGCAGGCTCAGAAGCCTTCTCGGGGCTCGGAGTCCGGGTAGGCTGGCTCGCCTCAACTGGCGCGGCCACCGGCTTCTCCTCCGATGATTTCTTCGGCGCAGTCTTTTCCTTGGGCGGGACTGCACGGGAGGTGGTCTTGGGGGCAACCTTCTTGACTGGAGCGCGGGAGGGCTTCGAGGCCCGAGGAGGGCTCTTGACATCCTTGTCATGCACCTTGCTAGCCGAGCTGGCGGTAGGGCGCATCATCCGGGCCAAGAACCCCTCATCAACCGGTCGGGAGCTGCTGCCATTGCTGCTGACTCGGGACTGAGGTCGTTCGACGGGGTTTTGTTTCGACGCTTGCTTCGCACCACTCGGGGTCGTCGCGCGCTGCTGGGCTCCGTTTCTGGCAGGCTTCAGAGTGGAAGGCTTTCGAGACAGGCTCGAAGTCGTGGTCGTAGTAGCAGGGGTACGGGCCGGCTTGGTGGTGCGCGTGGGGGGTGCAGCGGCCGATCTTGCCGTCTCCCGCGCGGGCATCGAGGATCGAGGGGGGCGCGCGGTCGGCTTGGCCGTGGTGTTCAAGGCCGTGCGGCTAGCCTTGTGGGTTGCCGCCTTCGGCGCTTCGCTCGCAGCCGGCTTGGTCGTCCGCGCCGGTCGCGCAGCCTTCTCGTTGTCGCTGGGGTGTGCTGGGGACGTGGGGGTCCGTGGATTGGACGAGGACTTGGCGGCGGGTTTGGATGCAGCCTTGTTGGGGACCGTCTTGCGAACCTCAATGGTCGATGGCCGCTTGGCCACTGTCTTCGTGGCCTTCTGGGGCGTCGCTTCGGTGGTCGAATGGTCGGTGGGCTGGTTTTCCTTGTTCGGCGCCGTGTTCACCTCGGGGGTCTTCTTCTCCATCTCCACTACCGGTAGCTTGACAGGCTCTGATCCCACCTTCCGAGGGTTATCCTTGGCGGAATGGTCCACACCATCCTCAGGAGAAGCCGGGACCGGGTTTCTGGTGGGTGACGCAGACAGTGGGCTTTTCAGGGTGGCACTGGCCTCCAGATCATCCGAATTGTAGCTTCGGACCCTGTTCGTACCCGGAGAACTGGATTGCACGACGCCATCGACGGCAATGAAGCTGGCGCGCACCTTGGACAAGGGCCTACTCGAGCCCGAGTTATCCGACCCAGCGGGAGATCGACCCCGGGAGGGCGGAGAGGTGGTGGTGGTACTCTGACCACTTTCGAATCTGGCCAACAGATTCCTCACCCCCGGATGAGCCATGACTTCCTGTAAGTGCGACGGATGCGACCCGGACTGACTCAAAGAGAGCGGGGGGCGGGCGCCGTATGAGCCTCTCACGGTGGGCAACGTGGTCCGATGGGAAACTTTTTAGGCGCCAGCGGCGGGGTGATGGATGGAAGCAAATTTGATGGGAGATTGCTCCGAGCTGTTGTTTTTAATATGTGTAATGATCAAACCCAACCGCTCGCAAACCGACAGGGCGACGGTCGCTGGGGGATTTGGGGGGGAGGGGGAGGATGCAGGACGCGTCTTTTTCCGGAGGAGGGGGGGAAGGGTGACGTGATATAAACACAGGAAGGAGAGAGAGGGACGCAGGGAGATCAAAGCAAGTGAGACCATGCAGGAAAAGCCCAAAACATGATAGATCGGTTCAGCCAGTCAAAGAAGGAATGGGTCAAGGCATAAGAATAATGAAGGGGAAGAGAGTGAAGGGAGAAGAAGGAAGAAGAGGAGAAGAAGGAAAGGAGAAAGTCCGATGGTGGGACATGGCGGCGGGCCTCAGGCAGCCGTTTCAGGGGTCGGATCCGCGGCGTCAGATTAATGGGATTTGGTTTCAAACCATTCTTCTTATTAATGGGATGGGCAATGATCCACTGGGTTAATGGAAGGATACACTTTTCCAGAGCAATCGAACATCATCATCAGAACAAAAATAGAAACCCAATCCTTCTTAGGCTTCTTCCCCGTTTCGACGAGTTGGTCTTCCCCGGCATCCTCCGTTATCCACTTTCCTCTTTCCTTCCAGAATTCCCCCCCTTGGGGTGGTCTTATAGTGTCAGCCACTATTGATTGACCGTTACTGTTCTGGAAACCAAGGCTGGGAATCTATTGCTGGCATGATGGAATCCCCTTGCAAGATCTGGGAACGGATCGCGTCCCGTCCCGATCGGACGTCCAGGTCCCTCGCGTCATTGACAATCATGATCGCATCGACCATCCTTCGTCCATAGACTCCATACTTAGATTGAGTACGGAGCACTCAGTACTCAGGAGTCTTCGAGAGGGGGAGGAGGTAGTTGCGCTGACTGCGTAATGGGGTCCCTACACAGGGTAATCTCATCCAGGGGCCACTGGGTTTCTTGTCAGCCCGACAACCCGCCTTGGATCATCATTCTGACCCCTCGTTGAGACGAGTGTAATATCCGGGGCTCTCCACTATTCTAAAGGCCAGCTTGCAGAAAGCAGGGCCAATCAGTTGGGGATGATCGGGGGTTAGACGTACTGCGAACCGGCTTCCACCTGGCTTCGATTCTAAGCGATGGTCGATCCTTGAAAGTAAGAGTCTATGATATAGCACAGACTCGACTGGGTTCACAATAACCGGGTCCTATAACTCAGTTGGTTAGAGTGTAGAGCTAATAACTCTAAAGTCGTGAGTTCGAGCCTCACTGGGACCACTTCTTTTTTTCTTTTTTCCTTTTTATTTTCACTATTATCTACATGAATATATTCTATTTTATATTACTTTTTACCTTTTAATCTAACTCTATACTATAATGGGATAACCTCACTCGACAATAACACTGGAAAGGGTCTTGTTCCCTAGTGTACTCCATCACAACTTTATTGTCCTGGCCTAGTTCATCCTCTCCAACGCGTTCATTTATGTGGATCAGTCCAATCCGACCGATCCAGATGGTCCAACAAGGAGAAAAAGAAAGAAATGAAGAAATAACAAAAGAAAGAAAAGGTCCCAATTCCATGGACCTTCCCCGATCACACGAGAACCACAGACCCCTCTTTTGTTTTCATCTGAATACTCCGTGATGTCATCGGACTCTTGGTCTGTCGTACCGCCAACTTCCTGCAATCACCTATTCTACTTCCCCGTCTTTCCTTTCTTATCAACCAACTCTATCGACAGATCCATGTGGATGACGGATTGCTACGACATTGATACCTACGCCTCGCAGCGATCACGATAATACCAACCCGGTCTCACCCAGCGATCTCTCGCTTGATCCTCTCCCTCGCTACTTCCTTCATCATCAACCCCCCGATGATTGTATATTGGGCGCAGAGATTAGTTACCCAAAGACGGGCATCTTTCGCACTCCCCCATCGCTAGCTACGCGGCAATCTATGGTCGTCCATTTTGTCACCTCGTCTACCCCCCCCTGTTGACCGGAAATAATCCCTCGATGGCCGTGGTGTCGGCGACCTGGAATTTAGTCCCAACCCTGGGGCAACACCATCGCCACTACCCCTCCCCGATGGTGGACAAGGACGAGGAGGTGGAAGAAGAGGAGGACCTGCCTTTCCCCATGTCCGACATGGAAAACAGTATTCATCGGGTCGTCAAATCGCCCTTCGAACAGCTCCCCCTCGAACTCCTCCTGCAGATCCTGTCGTATCTCTCGGCGCAGGACCTCGCGCGGGTGTCAGCCACATGTCGCTCGTTCGCCAAACACGCAGCCAACGATCGGCTGTGGGCGAGCCTGATCAACTCCTACCTCCCGGACAAGATCAACGATGCGGGCCCCTTTGACTCCTTCCGCAGTCTCTATATCGCCCACCACCCCTGCTGGTTCATCCCGCAGCACAAGATCTGGTTCTCGGATACGGAGCACACCGGGAACCTCATCCTCGCCCGCTACGACAACCGACGCGGGGTCATCGAGGCCTACCGCGTCATCGCGGAGAGGCGCACCAATCACTTCCAAACCTGGGAGTGGAATACGGACGTCATCATCCAGAACTTCCACCCCAAGGTCAGCCTCTGGCTCGACGACCCTGTGCTGTTTTTGAAGAACCAGCGGGAGGGTCGACCCACGCGCTATCTGCATGGCGAGACCCGGATGCCCCTGCCTCTCGAGATGCAGCATGTATCCAACGCGTTTCTACTCTGCTCCACCGAGCAGCCATTGGACCCCGACCCCATCGAGCAGTGGCCGCCACCGGCGATCCCCAGCAGCGTTCGCGTCCACCGCGACGCCGACACCCAGCAGTCGGGATGGGACCAGCCCCCGCGCCGGCTGACGCAGATGTCAGAACATGCATTTCGGATCCGGCGGTGGGCGCATCTCCGCATGGGCATGCCCATCTTCAGCCGGGGGGAGACCCTGTCGACCTACGCCACGCTAGACCCCAGCCTCTACACGCCGACCCCGGAAAAACCGTACCAGGGCATCTGGGTGGGTGACTACGCGGCGCACGGCTGCGAGTTCCTACTATTCATGCAAGGCGATCGCAGCGAGGACCCGACCCCACCTCCGAGCGAGACCGAGCCCCACGACGACGGCCCGATCCAACGCGGCAGCCTCAAGGGCATTAAACTTACGGGGGACCCGAACGTCCCCCGCGGCGAGATCTCATTCATCTCCGACGACATCGGCCCGGGAGGCTTCATCCGGGTCGCAGAGGAAGCCCTCTTCCAGGGATCCCGGATTGTGCGCAGTAGGGGCCACGTAGCGGGTCTAGGTTTTCGAGATGGTAAGCTCGTCTATCCCTGCCAAACAGACGAGTTCAATGCATGACGTGTTCCCGCTGACTTGCATACAACAGACACATTCATCGACTCGCAGCTGATCCTGATCTCCCCCGACTATATAGCCCATTACTGGGAAGCCATGGGCCATATTACCTATTTCCGTCGCCTGGATATCGACGCGCTGATTCGGACGTGAACGGAGTGCCGTCCCTGTGACTTATGACTACGACTACGACTACGACTACGACTGACGAGACATGGCATCCCTTTTGTATATGGAAGGGTATAATCATGAATGTACTTTTTTTTTCTTCTTCTTTCGATATATGCAAGTTGGTTGTTGATGGACGTAAGCTTATCTATCTACCTACCTTACTAGAGAGACAGGGAGTGTTGGATAAAACAGGTGCCTCCTAGCAATGGCAACAAACTGGGAGGTCAATATCTTGTACCCTGCCTCTCTTGTCAGAGATAGATGCACATGATCCAGCCATGAATGGACCCTCCCTCCTCGATAGTAGGTATCTACGACGACGGACCTACAGTGCAGGCCCAAAAGATAAATATGACGTCTCACATCTCACATCTCACGTAAGGGAGTATATTCCCCCACCCCCTTGCTTAGGTATTCACTTGAGTGTCCCACACTACCTAAGCACGCAAGGTCCATCTGACAAGAGGGGCGGGGGAAACGGAACGGATGTGACAGTCCGTGCGGACGAACCCCACTATCGAACACCCCTGGACGTGGGCTGGCTTGATTCTTACAGGCTATGGGGGGTTGGTTAGGTGTGTTACGGTTGGGTTTCGTGTTTCATGTATGTGTGATTGAGGGGGTGAGGTTCACTGTTGGAAGTTGGATGGATATATGGGAGGTATGGTGTGGTGTGCAATGATGATAACATAGGTGATAAGCTAATGGATAGTTGGATAGCTGGAGTGGAGTGTGCTATGTGCTTGCTTGATTTGCTTGACTGGCTTGACTGGCGTACTTATGTATGTACATGCGAATATGCCAGGAGATAGAGAGACATCCGCTGAGAGAGTCTTCTGGGGAGAAGATCCAGACATGCAGTAAGTGCACAAGCAAACAAGGGTCAAAAAAGAAGAAAAAGAAGAAAACCCATGTCTAACGCCATTGTTGGTGAAAATCGAGCCAAAAAGGCAGTATCATGAAGGATATAGAGATAAGAATGGTGGGTGAATGAGATGAACCCGAGAATGGAAACAGAAGAACAGACAGAAAGAAGAAGAAAACAGTCATCAATCATGAACAGCTAGCTGACAGTCGAGAACTGACCTGACCTCTAGCATGTTCGCCCTGTATAAGATCAAGATCTCCGACAGACTAGACCAAGCCGATTCCAGTCGACGGAGGTAGAAAGAGACATCCAACGTCAGTCACAGACGGAGAGGACCAAGCTGTGACTACCAGGAGGATCTCACCGCTTCCGCTCAAAAAAGCTGGAAGTACCCAACACAGCAACCGACTGATCCATCACCCACTCGCCCACACCAAGGTAGCTATCGATCCACTTCTTAAAGTCCTTGTTATCGGTGATTTTGTCGGATTGTAGACTGGGGCTGTGACAGACCCCACGCGATCCCTCCGGTGGGCAGAGGGACGCAGAGGCGAACCAGTTAGTTGGGTTTCTTTCATAACACGATCAGGGTATACGATCGGATTGATAGACAAGCAAAAGCAATCCCATAAGCGATAAGAGACAAGAGGGGTAAGTATTTACGTAAGACCAGTGGAGCGCTTGACGCCGGCCAAAAAGGCAGAGACTGCATGATACAACCAACGTTAGTTTATCTCGTCCCCTTTAAGAGTTAAGAATTAAGCAAGGGAGACGAACGCAAGACGGCATCAAAAGCGTAATGACCAAGTCGACCGATCTGTAGTGTGTACCCAAGAGACGTCAGCCATTATCCAGGGTGATTTCTCAAATGCGAACAATGCAAGGCCCGTGGTAGTAGTACCCATCCAACGATCCAGTTGCTGGCTACCATGCCAGCACCTAGGTAGAGGCAGGGACCGACGAGACCTACCATGATGACTGAGGAAGGGTAGCGTTGATTGTAGATCGTCGATCGGGAGGATTCAGTGGGGGTGGAGTAGCAAGTAAGGATCAGAGTGATTGAGAATCAGATGTTCTGGTGTAGATATCACTAGAGACCGACAGATCTTGAGATAGAGATCGCGTGTTGGAGAGAATGGAAGAAGTCGGGCCAGCTCACATGACGTGGGCGACTGTGCTGGTTTCAGGGCGGTGAAGAGGGGGCTGGGCTGTGGCTGGGCGGGTGTGGCTGAGAGGTGTGGCTGGGAGGGTTTCAGATTATGCACATGAGTCATCTATCAGCTGTAGTTATGCATGCATTATTATTAACATCCTTCCAGTCGATTACTAGATTACTACTCTGTTCAGTCTGCTGCAACCAAGCCTAAGATGGAGTCGGTGATCGTAGACCGTGGTCGGGTTGGACTGGAAACTGAAAAGTACCTGTTCCTAGACCCACCGGGTTACTACGTGGAATGTATCCAGTAGTGGGACCGTTGAGACTGGACTTGTATGGGCGCCACTGGCCGGTCTTACAGGGGAGATAGCCCCCGTCTCCCTTCTCATTGGGGATTTAATACCGACCATTCGACTGAGCCTTCCATGTCATACCGACCTCATAGAGGAGGAAGGACAAGGGATGATCGATAGAATGCCCAGAACGGAGACCCAAGATTTGGCCACTGTGTGTTCTCTGGATCAACCGGGTGGGCCTTTCCACACTAACAGTATCATAGTACGCTGATGACCATGTCATGTGCGGGTTCAAAGATTGATGTCTGCTTTTTTCTGTTCTTTCTTTTTTCTTCTTCGTTTCTCATTTCTGGGGGTGATCGTCCTGATGAGATGGGATACCGTCAATCCTGATAAGGCGATTCCAATCGCTGTTGGACTTCACCATTGAAACGGTGGACGTGGTAGATGATGGACACTCTGTAGATGGTGTGAAAATTCTATCTCTGTTTCACTTGCCAGAGACTTCTTCTGTACTAGTCGGTAGTGATAGTTGATAGTTGGGATTGTACTCCGTAGTGATAGTGGTCAAGACGGAGGACCGACCGGAGAGTCGGCCAGCTAATAGCAGAGCGGGCCATCAACATTTTCTCCGCTGGGCACACACATTGGACCCAAGGATTCACTCCTGCCCCTCCCCAGCTCTTCTTAGTCTTCTCACCCTCTTTTTCTCCCCTTCTCCTCTCCCTCTCCGCTCACCGGCTTCCTCTCTCTGGACATTCACCCCTCATCCTATTTTTCTTTTCTTCCCCCCTTTCCCCATTTTTGATTCTTCTGAATCTCTACGACCTGCTATCTATTTCCCCATCCTCCCTCACCCTTCCCCTCCATCCACTTCCACTTACCTCACTCTCCCACACCGACCAAATCATCCGTGCAAGATGGCGGCCAGCACCTCTCTCGATCATTTGAGCAACCGTATGAAGCTGGAGTGGCTCTCCAAGCTGAACACGGAGATGGTTCCTGCGAAGAACTTCCGCCGCACCTCCATCATTGGCACCATTGGTATGTCCTTCTGTCCACGCATCCCGCCTCCATCCGACAAATGGGCGACGGGACTCCATCACTGACATCCGTCTCTCTTCCCCAGGCCCCAAGACAAACTCGGTGGAGATGATCAACGCCCTCCGCAGAGTCGGTCTCTGTGTGGTTCGCATGAACTTCTCGCACGGCTCGTACGAGGTGAGCGCAACCCCCCTTTTCGACCCCTCCTCCGCGCCGTTGGGTCTAGTCCACTGACTCAGCCAGTACCATCAATCCGTTATCGATAACGCCCGCGAGGCCGCCAAGACCCAGACCGGCCGTCCCCTGGCCATCGCTTTGGATACCGTGAGTTTCCCTCCGCTGTAATACCTTTCCACACATGACGCTGACGGCCTCGTAGAAAGGACCCGAGATCCGTACCGGTAACACCACCGGGGACAAGGACATCCCCATCAAGGAGGGCCATGAGCTCAACATCACCACCGACGAGCAGTATGCCAACAGCAGCGACGATCAGAACATGTAAGTCCTCCCAATCGACCTTTGCGGTTCGGTACAAACAATCCGTTGCTTTCCTGGAACACAAACTGCGGATCGCGTCGGAAAGAGAAAGGTCGCGCTGACACCTTGGTCTCAGGTACCTGGATTACAAGAACATCACCAAGGTGATCGCCCCGGGCAAGCTCATCTATGTTGACGACGGTATCCTTTCGTTCGAGGTGCTCGAGGTTGTAAACGACCAGACCCTGCGTGTCAAGTGTCTGAACAATGGCAACATCTCGTCCCGTAAGGGTGTCAACCTGCCCGGCACGGACGTTGACCTGCCCGCTCTGTCCGAGAAGGACGTCAGCGATCTGAAGTTCGGTTGCAAGAACCAGGTCGACATGATCTTTGCCTCCTTCATCCGTCGTGGAAGCGACATCCGCCACATCCGCGAGGTCCTCGGTGAAGAGGGCAAGGAGATCCAGATCATTGCCAAGATCGAGAACCAGCAGGGTGTCAACAACTTTGACGAGATCCTCGAGGAAACGGATGGTGTCATGGTCGCCCGTGGTGACCTGGGTATCGAGATCCCCGCCCCCAAGGTCTTCATCGCCCAGAAGATGATGATCGCCAAGTGTAACATCAAGGGTAAGCCCGTCATCTGCGCCACGCAGATGCTGGAGTCCATGACGTACAACCCCCGTCCCACGCGCGCCGAGGTGTCCGACGTTGCCAACGCCGTCCTCGACGGTGCCGACTGTGTCATGTTGTCGGGTGAGACTGCCAAGGGCTCCTACCCCAAGGAGGCCGTGAAGATGATGTCCGAAACCTGTCTGCTCGCCGAGGTGGCCACCCCTCACTTCAACGTTTTCGATGAGCTGCGTAACCTGGCCCCTCGTCCCACCTGCACGGTGGAGTCGATCGCCATGGCTGCGGTCAGTGCCAGTCTGGAACTCAACGCCGGTGCGATTGTTGTCTTGACCACCAGGTAGGTTCAGATGTCCCCACATGATTCGGCGAGTCCAGCGCTAACAGGTTCTTTGCAGTGGCCACACCGCTCGTCTCGTTTCCAAGTACCGCCCGGTCTGCCCCATCTTGATGGTCACCCGTAACGCGCGCGCCTCGCGGTACTCTCACTTGTACCGGGGTGTTTGGCCCTTCCTGTTCCCCGAGAAGAAGCCCGACTTCAACGTGAAGATCTGGCAGGAGGATGTCGACCGCCGCCTCAAGTGGGGTATCTCCCACGGCCTCAAGCTCGGCATCATCAACAAGGGCGACAACATCGTCTGCGTCCAGGGCTGGCGCGGCGGCCAGGGCCACACCAACACCGTCCGTGTGGTGCCCGCCGAGGAGAACCTCGGTCTTGCTGAATAAATCGGCGACGGCGATACCACCACAGGTGGGTTCATGTGGTAACGACAACGATATGGCAGTAGGCGCCGGGGGCGTGTCTTGAACCGTAGTAGACAGGTCGCTGTGTGGGACGAAAGTGATGAACAACAAAAAACCGCGACATGCTCTCCGCTCTAGCTGGACGGTCTCTCTGCGGTTGGACATGCGAGACGCAGTGTGCGCGGCGGCGAAGCACGAAACATACCCCGATTTATCCGTGTACTTGGCGACCAAGAGGGGGGAGACCCAGGCCCATAATCCGGGGCCGGGTGCTTGACCCCGGGTCGGTATTCATTGCGAGTTAGGCGTTAGTGCAGCCAGCCATCATCAAGATGGCTTTTCAGCGATCCAAAAGCTAGGAGATCAAATCAACTGATTTAATATGATCATTCGTTCCTTGAGTTAGTAACGTCTGTTTGCATGTATATCCCAATCCATAGACAGGAAGGACGGACGGCGCATAGCTGGCATGAAGAAGCGCAACTCATCACCATGAGACTGAGTAGACCAAGCAGCGCACATCGACAAACAGACGCAAGAGAAACCAAGCAGTGTATCAGGGAAGTGATAGTGGAGTGAGTGAGTGTTGGTAGGAAGAAGAAGAAGTCAAGGCAAAACAAGGAAAGAGAAGTAAGAAAACCCCTCAATGCGGGGGCATTCAAGGAGGCGGGGGAGAGCAGCAAAGCTTTAGTCAGTGTCTGTCTGTCGGTTTTGCATGTGCAGCTTTCTCATCTGTGTGCTGGTAGTAATGCGGTAATGCGACGCGGATGAATGGAACGTCCCCCAGTTGTTGTAGCTATGTATCTATATTCGGTAGAAGGTTAGTTAGTACCGTGCTAAGTAGGTAAGCAGTAAGTAAGTAGACCACACTGGGCACTGAAGACAACATCCAGGTGTATCCAGTTCACCACAAAGAACCAAAAAGCAGAAAAGGAAAGTAAAAAGCGAAAACGGACAGAAGGAAAGAAAGAAAGAAAGAAAGAGGAAGAGAGAAGGAAGGAAAGCGAGAAAGAGGAGCAAGACGGAAATCCCTCGGGATTAGGAACTCTTCGTCCCGAATTCTGCCGATATTGTACGCTCGGACCAAGGGGGTTTTTTATGTATTTTTTTAAGTTTTGTTTGTTGGGTGGTTTGAGGGGGTTTTTGGGGGATGATTGGTTTTTGGGTAAAAGAATCTGAGTGTTCGATTATCATATGAATATTTTTTTCTTGTGTGTAGTATTGAGTGTGGATATTTGGTGAAGAAGAAGTTGATGGTGGTGGTGAGAGGATCTATCGTCACATGTTATTCTCGGCCCCAGGATCCAGAATCCGAGTCCCATCGGAAACCCCACTACCATCTGAGATGCGATACTGCTCCGTAGGATACTAGATCCTAGTATTGATAGAGTCGATGGTTATATTTCTGAACACTTCAATGCAAAGAATACATTCAGCCCAATCCCAACCTAAACAATGTCCCACCCCATAACGCCGTCATCACATCGTCCGTCTAATCATATACTACCTATTTCCTGTGTATTCACCACGAATCTATAGGCCCATCAGGTCCCTCGGATTCAGCAATGGAAGCGTGCCGGGCTTGTCCCAGAGGCATGTACCGGGGCACCTGAGAGGCCTGGAACTGATGCCAACAGCTAGAGACGAGTCAGCAAGTCAAAACATGGGTCAGAATACGTTGGTGTCTCCATACGTAGGTGCCTGCAGCACATATCGAGCCATCGCCTCGCGGAACCGCCCCTTATACTCCTTAGGACTGGTAACAGTAGGCCTGTTCTTGCCGCCGCCCGCAAACCCACGGTCCTTGATCCACGACTCCAGCTTCTTGTCCCACGTGTACGTGCGGATACAGTCGATGATGCCCACTACGAGCTCCGAGCGGCTTTCGTCGATGGCGATCATGAGCGAGTAGTCCATGACGTCCTGGCGGCCCAGGAAGAGCGTGTCGTTCCAGACGCTCTGGCTGAGGAGCTTCTTCGAGTGCTCCCGGGCGAACAGTGGCGTCTCGTAGATGAACTCTACCATGTTCTCGTCGAGGAGTACCTCGTTGCGTTCGCCGGTGCTTTGCACCTTGCGGTTACGCATCGAGCCCTTGAGGTCGAAGATGCGGGTTGGCACGCGATCGTAGAACAGGTTTTCCATGAGCAATAGGAACCAATTGAATTCTGTTCCTGTGGCGGGGTTCTTGATGATGACTTGGTAGAAGCCGAACATCTTGGCGATTGCCGATGGCAGCTCGTGGAAGAGGGCTTCGGACATGATCTGGAAATACGCCGGCGCGAACTTGAGGAATGCCTGCGTTTCAATGGTGGATAGCGACTTCAGGATGAACCGGTCGTCGAGAGTCTTCAGGAAGAGCGACTTGGTCTTGCCACCCTGCGAATCCCACTTGGCACACCGCGAGAGCGATTCCACGATCCGCTCGGACACCCCACACTTTTGCCGCAGCGCGTCGAACTGTTCCGCGTAGAACACCTTGCAGAGCATCTTGGCTTGTCCTTCTTGGAACTGGTATTTCAGGTGTGTCCCCGTGGACCGGAGAAGCGCGTGCTCGACCCGGGTTTCGGCCATCGCCTCCGTCCCCTTCTCCAGGCCCATTTCTAACTCGTCCTGCGCCTCGTAGCGCTCTTGTATGGTGGTCAGCTTGTCCTTGTAGTCTTGGGAGTCCAGCGCGAAGGCGATCAACGAGCTCGGCTCATCCTCCCTCACGATGATGTCGCAGTCGGCAAAGACGTGGTCGGACATCGTGAGCGGGTAGCTGAGAGGGGCCCATCCGCTGGCTGAGCGTTCGGACCAAAAGGTCGTCAGCAGCCGCAGCAGCGTGCTTCTCTCGTGTTTAGGGAGCTCTCTGAGGTCGAGCTGTTCCTCTTCAGGGGACATCTTGCCAAGATCCTCATTCGAATCCGTGATATGGAGTCCGTCCGCTGATGTCCGGTCTTCGTCCGTGTGGGCTTCCTCCTCGTCCGACAGAGCGTGGTCGTCGTTCTTGTCGTTTTCTGGTACCGGGGCAGATGGTTCGGGTGAAGATGCTCCCTTTCTCGGTTCTTCTTCGGAGGCCCTTCCCATAAACTCATCGCTTCCCCGGCTGGACTCGTCGGCCGGTAATTTCGGAATGGACGTCGCGAGATCCTCTCCCTCGGCTGAAGGCTCTCGTTCTTCAACAGCTTCCCTGACATTCTTATAGACTTCGACAATAGGTTTCGAACTTGCGAGGGGAAATGCCCGGGAATGGGTACCCCGAGCCGTTCGTCGAGCTCTCTCCCGTTGACGTTCTTTCTCGAACTCGCGACTCAGCTGTTCAAAATGCTTCGCTAGATTCGACACACGAGAACTACCTTTCCTGCCTGGGATTGAACGAGGTATGAGAGAAGGACCGGGTGTAATCTTCGCATTCCTAAAAGCACCGAGACCGAGTCGATCCGTCAACTTCTTCTCAGGAGACTTGGCTTTACCCTCAGGAGGAGACAGGTCGGGAACATCCCCAGATCCGCTGGCCTTGCTAGATCCCGCCTTTTTCCCTTTCGAGGACACGTTTTCATTGGACGCGTTCTTCTGAAACTGGAGAGGCTGGGACTGGGCGCGTAGAATTGGTGGTGAGGTTGCTTTCCCACTGCGCCGTGAAGCATTTTCAGCTAGACGTGGGATACCCGATGGGGCATTGTTCGCAATTGTGTGGCTCCTTGTCCTGTCCCCGTCAGTGCTGCTCCTCTGGCTCATTTTACGAACGATTGGCTGTTCGCTGGTAGGCAGCTCTGTCGAGTTGTTTCTTGAGCGGACAGGCCGAGTATCTGACTCTGGAGATTTCGCCGGGGGACTCGATTCTGACGGAGGCTTTTCAGGCTGAACAGTGGTCCCTATTGCCTCAGGGCGCTCTTGTTGACCTTGGTCGAGCTCAGATTCGGCTGGAGGCGACTTCATCTCTGGCGGTGGTGAGGGAGCCGTTGAATCAATCTCTTCGATCCTGGGAGATTCCAGGTCTTGGGCAACGGCTCGATTCTTGTTTCCTGAATGCTCCTCAACTACAGACACAAGAACATCCTGCGCCTTTTCGGGAGAGAGAGTCATGCGACGCATTGGCCGCACTTCTTCAGGCTCTTCAATGCTCTCACTCTCCGTCTCATTCTGGGGCGTCGGTTGCTCATCAGATGAGGTGATGGACGTGACGGAAGCGTCCTTGTCCAAAAAGATCTTCTTGAGTTGTAGCGTCGCCAGCCGCCTGATATCCTTTTCGGAGGGGAAATAGTTCTTTTCAAATTCAGTGAACACGGTATCCCACTCCACGACTCGCTCTTGCACGGAGCGCAGAACCTCGTTCAAAGGTATGACCTCCCAGTACCGAGAGTTTGTGTATTTGTCTTGCAGCTGCTTGATCAGAGTCGCTTGATCCTCGAAACTTTTTCGGGTCAAAACTTCGATCTCCCTCTTGCATTCTTCCGCCTTTTCGGGGATAACACCACTTTCAATGTTGATTCCTTTCAATCTGGCTCGGACGGAGTCCATGAACTTCTTGATGCGGCCCTCATTCCTAAGGTATATCTCATTGCGGAGCTTCAAATCATTGTCCACCTTCCAAGTAACTCGGGTCCTTGGCACTATGATCTCGAGCAGATTGATGGCATCGTAGTGGATGCGTAAAGCAACGTCTTTGAAACCGAAAAAGCGAAGATGATCTCGCTGCAAATCGTGAGGGCAAACGCCTGCGCGAGCATGCAGATTCTTGCTCCAAAAAGAAAGCTCCAGGTACTTTCCAAACGAATACTTCCACGTATTTTCCGACATTGGAAAGACCTGTGTTTCATTGCCACAGATCTTGCAACAGCTCCACATCAAGATTGTGTCCTGGAGACCCCTAAGTTTTGAGGGATAGGGCTGGGTAAAAATGCTGATCTGGCCTTCTCCATGGACGTACTGACGATGGTGTTCAAAGTATCGTTTCTCGCAGCCGTCCGTACCACAGACGGCATTGGCGTTGATGCAGACATCTTCCACGTATTGGCCAAGCGCACAGTCAGGCTCGAATATCGTTTCGTCTTCGTGCTCGTTGTAGTACTCCATAGCAAGCATGTCCGGACCGGTACAAGGGATTGACGTTTCTGTACAGACCAGGCTGAAAAGAACAACGATATTCTGATGCGCAAATGGGTCAAACAGGCCAACATCAGTGCCGGAGATATAAGCTTCCCACTGTCGTTTCTGTGTCAGGTAATTGTGCATCGCCCTATCGTATTCGGCATCGTGGGCCGCGTGCAAGACCTCCATTACCTTGGGCGCGGCACCCGTAGGAGATTGATGAACCATTTCAGGGGTTATGAGGACAAACTTCTGGGCCTTGGATTTCTCGTCAGATGGCTGGTTGACTTTGAGGTCTTGGTCACGTAGGCGCTGGAGGTAAGCCAGTCGGCGCTCCATCTCTCTCGCACGCATCAACAGATGAGGAGGCTCAAATTTGACAAAAGGAGACGCAGATAAGATCTTGGTCTTGTGGTTTTGAACGATTTCTTCATAGTAGGTCGGCATCGGAACATCATCGGGCACCTCGGTCGCCTCGCTTGCAACGCTCGGCTTATCTTCAGAGAAAGAGTCACCCTTGTTCTCGTTCAGATCTTGCTTCTCGCCTGGTATTGCAACGCCGGATTTATCGTCTGCTTTTGCTGCAGCAGATAGGGCACTTGCCCCCACGTCCTTCGGCTTTGTCTCAACATCCGGTTCAAGTGAAGTTGGTATCTGGGCGAATTCGTCTCGCATCAAACAAGTCTCCAATTTGAGGTTGTAGACGACATAGGCCATGAATTCGGTGATCCTTTTGACTCTGGTAAGCACTTCGTGATTACCCCCGCGCAGAACTATAGTGCAACCAAGCTCTTTCCGACACCCCGACAGATACATATAAGTCTTTCGGCGGCCGTTGTAAACGTAGGTTTTGACGTCGAAGCTGCCACAGACACTAGTCACTGGGGTGGTGACCAGTTTATCCATGGAAGTAACGATCCTTGTTTGCGTGCAGCGAGATACTGCTTCGAGTACCGACGATTTGACATTGTAGGCTGTAGTTATGTTGGCTTTCTCCAATAGCTCCAAAGCCAGTCGCGAGATATTTTTCTCCACCAGTAGCAGAGTAGGTCGTAAAGCTGTTATTCGGCTGACTAGGTTTTCGAGAAACTCACGCTCTTGGCGAATGACGGGCTCTAGACTCATGAAATGTTGCTGGTGACGGGCATATTCGAGGGGGAATGTTATGATCAAGATCTTTGGCCGAGGAATGCTCCTGGGCATGCTTTTAAGAGCGAGGTTCTTCGTAAACACCAACCCCGAGACGTAAGAAGTATCTCCCGGTCGACCGCCCACGATCTTCTTCAATTTGATATAATGACGGATATCCATGTCATCGCCATTTTGCACATCGGGGTCGACTTCATCGGCTGCTTTCAGCAAGATCGGGAGGAGTGCCGTTTCCCAGCTTTGAGCATGAGGGATAGATGAGTCTTTCAACAACTGCCGGAGGAGCCTATGAACATGGTGTAAACTGGCTTTGTTGAGCTCGACCGGTGGGGCGCCGTCTCCTCGCATCGACGAGCTCCGCGTTATTTTGAAATCGCTTCGGGGCACCATGGTGGGCAAGACCTGGGCTGGGGTTGATAACTCGGGATGGTTGAAAATACTATCTTTTGAGGCCCTCGGGGAATTGCGTGGGTGAATACTACTAGCAACGCTGAGGTTACGTCGTCTTGACATACGCGGGATGTTGGCCGCCTTGGAGCTGGTAATACTGGCGTCATCAGCATCACGAAGGTTCGCACTCGCGATGCTTCTATCTCCAAATGCAGATCGGCCCTTTTTCATAGCTGCCAGGAAACCTCCAAATGTGGACCTCTCATTGTCCCCGCTATTCTTTGGCAGTGACCCTTCGGAAACAGCTGACAGCAGGCTTGGCTGCTCATCGCCACTGGAGGCATCGTCAGAGAGGTACTGCGCCAGATCAGGGTCAATGATATTGTCTTTGTGAAATGCAGGGAGCTTCGACTCTGGTGCTGCGTCTTCCCCATGGCGTCTTTGAAATGGAGCCCTATCGTCGTGAAATGATTTGGGATTACGGATATACTGTTGACGGGAATGATGGCGCTTATGGCCCATTGAATGTGTTCTCCCGCCGAGCGAAGACCTTAATGATCGGGATGACGTGGGTCTCGCTAGTGGACGGTCCGGGCTAATCTCTAGGACTGCCGACCGGCGATTATGACCTTCCCCAGCACGTCTCGTGGCGGGGATAGCCATTGTAGGTGTCTTTATGACGTGGTCGAGAGACTGCGACACGATGGAAGAAGTGTCATCATCGTCTGCTCCTGTTCGCGACTGACCCCCGAAACTAAGTTCAGATAGACGAGGATTCACGATGATCGGGCTGTGTTCGCTGTCGGAGATATCAGAGGAGTCATCATCATGGCCGTTTATCATATCCTCGCACGGTCTGCAAACGCGTATGGAGCCCGGCTGACCGAATCCTTCTCCTGGTATAAGAAGAGTGCACTTAGAGTCGAATATCTGGCCACAGGTCCGACAGTGGTGTTTTCGCCGAAAGGTCGAGAAGGGCTCGCCACAGTGAAAACAATCCTTGGCATTCTCATCGCGCATCCAGAAGTCCTTACTGAGCAGTTTACTTCTCAGCTGCGACATCACCCCGTCACCACCGGTGTGCCAATTCCTCCCTTCTTGGCTTGGCACGCGATCGACTGTTGTGTTTATGTGCGGTAAAGCGGCAGGCCGTATTGAGGTCTCAGAGACGGACGACTTCGACGGCACATGGCCAGGCCTGCGGCTCGGATTTCCAATTGCCGGTCGGTCCCTTGGTTGATCGCTGGTAGCGCTCATTTTTGGAGAATCCCGCGGCTGCATCTGATCTCTTTTCAAGGAGATGGAAGAGTCATCGGCAGGAGTCTTCTGGCCTTCGGAGATAACACTATCCTCACGCGTGGGAACTCGGGAGATGCGGTTTGTACTAGAGAGCGAATCTCCCGCTGGTTTATCGAGAACGAATGAGGCACCGGAGTTGGACCGTAGTCGCTCTTGATGGAGTGCCGCCGCGGCGCCGTCTTGCGGGCCGTCGATCGAACGCTTTGCCCTCCTCGCAGGGCCGGGTAGGGTCTGATCAAACTCATGAGTTACCTGCCCCTCTATCCTTCTTGAGTGATCGGTCGCCTGGCTGCCCGTAGTCGGAGTCCTGCTATGACCTGTAACACTTTGCCCTTCGGGAGCAATTCCATGGGGTTTTGGCTGTATGACTGGAGATTGCTTGAGTCGCTGGCTCCAACCAGAGGAGGCCAGCGACGTATTAAGCGTACCATCTTCTTTATCGAAGCCGGATGAGTCCAGGGTTTGTAGGCTGTGAGTAGAGGGATTGACCGATTTAATACTGGAAGGATGTGAAGGCTCCTTGACTGCATTCACGTTGACTTCAGTTACGGTCGGATCCGCAGCCGTGGAGCTGGTGGTAGCCTTGGGCAGAGGCGGAACGGGGGGCTTGATCGCGAGGGAGGTGGAAGCCGAGGCTTTGGAGGAGATACTGGGTGCTTTCGAAGAGAGTTTGGAGCCTTTGCCAAGCCCAAGGGGTTGCTGGCCATCATGGATCGAGTGGTGTATAGCGGACACCGGCGAAGGTACCCTAGAAGTTTGAGCGGAAGAATGACTGTTTCGCTGAGTCTCTGCGATGGAAGCCGCCGACTCATGGGCAGATCTCGCTGCAGAGCGCTCCGACGGGGGACTTTTCAGAGGGCGTGGGCTTTTGAGAGCGGGGTCCTCCGCGGAAGCCTTATCGGTGGATCTACCCACGCCGCTCACCATTCCACCAACAGAGGTTCGGAACCTGCTGTACAATCCACTCAGACCCCCTTGTAGTTCCCCCGATACACTCTTGTCGTCAGTGGCGGACCTCGTGGCGGGAGGGTTCGTGAAATCATTAAAGACAGTGAGGGAGTCAGATTGGTATGCGGCCGTATGGATTTGATCGAGGGCGGCGTTTAGGTTCTCCTGTTCGGCCTGCGTGGAGAGAGACGCGCGGGAGCCTCGTCGTCCCAGCGGAAGGAAGATCGAAGACGCGGACGGACTTGACGTCCCTTGAGACTGTTGAGACGCCATCTGGACTCGCTCGTCCCCTTGAGTGTAGCACCACCTCGCCTGTCCAGCTTAGTCTGTCAAGAGTACGATAATTCCAGCTTCCTGATTATCGAAGCAAGGTGAGGGGTTGGGACCAAGCATCTGTGATCGCCCGCCGCGGAGCTACCGGAGCTCGAGATATAGGAAGATGATCGGAGTCTGCGTCGATTGTGTCCATGCGTATTGCGTTGAGATACTGGATCGGCATCCTTTGAGGCCTCTTTAAATGACCAGTCGGTTCTGAAAGAAAGTCGAGGAGAAAGGAAGTGGGGTGGGGAATAACGATACTCGGGGTTGATCTCGATCCCGCATCTCACTCCAAAAATAGGAACGGATGAAAGACAGTCATCATGGATGATGCTAATAACCGTGCAAAGAAAATGGAAGCTAAGCAGGGCGTGATGGCACTACTCCTACCTGGTACTAAACCGTGTAAGTTGGAGGTCCGGAAGTGCCAGTGCTGCCCAATGACGTGGTGTGGCTAGAGGTCAGATATGGGTTAGTATAAGTAGTCGTATCTCCTGTTCTTTCAGATATCCTGCAGCAGAAGTGGGGCGGTGGGAGGCGGGCGGTGAGGCGCGTGCAGGCGCGTCTTTCTCCAGGCATGAATTGAAGATTACTCCGATCTTGTCGATTGATCACGGATTGAATTCTTCCCACCTCGTCCAGAAGAAAGTGAAAAAAAAGAGACTACAATCAAGGAAGATTCGAAATCATGCAGAATGGGAATAAATTGGTTACTCCTCACTAACCTGGCCATCTCCAACGCCTATGAACCTGTCCCGGCCTATAATGCTACCGACTAATACTCACCCGCGGAGACCCAGTTGAATCTCGCACCATGGAGTCCATCCAGCCATGGATAGGACCCCTCATTGAACGCTCTCTGTCTCTTTATTCGCATGGGCAACTAGATGATCTAGAAGTCGAGGACGATGGAAGCAACCTGCGATTTAAAGTTCCTTCGGGACGCCATGCCATGATAACCGCGGTAAGTCTACTCTTTGGATACGTTCGCTGGACTTGGCTAATCGCTCCATTGTTTGGATAGTGGGATAACATGAAGAATTGGTCCAAAGCAAGAATCACGGATCAGTTGACCCAACTCGATGCGATCATCTCCGAAGAGTCACTCGAAGTATACAATCGATCATTCCCCCATCGACCGGTGGACATCAAGGAAGCCAGAGGATGTTCCATTCGGCTACTCGATTTTGAGATGGTTCTCGAATATGCCGCTTCAAGTCCAGGGATCCATCTCTACGTCAAGCGTTTCGATGTTGCATGGGAGGGGTTTAGGTACAAGGGCCCCGTTCCAGGGAGATTGCCGAAAAAATCGAAGGAACTCATGGAGTTGGTAAACCAGGCCTTCAAACACGCTAAGTCGGCAGGGAAAGGGGGCCAAGTTCCGAAAGATCCTCGCTTTCTTGGCTCTCCTGGCTCATTGAAGGGTCATGCCCCCCAAGCTCCTGGCACACAGAGCGTTTTGATGTCTCAGGTACCTTCAGATCTCTATGGAAGGAATTGGGCGTACAGTTCACAAACAGCCCCGCTGCCAGTAAACTCGGATCAGCTCCTGGGTCATCTTGGTGGTGGCGCCCACGTTTCACAGAACGGGTCCCCGTCACAGGCACCGCCTGAGATCGTGGCCCAACCAAATAGAGCAGTGGGAACTGACCAGACTCGTGGAGGTGATGTCTCTATCGGGACCGATAGTAGACCTTCGGCTCAAGATCATGTGCAGCTCCCGGACCCGGTGTCTGTTACTAGGCTCAAGACTCCCGATCGAAATACTCCCGGCATGGGTGAACACACGAGAGATAAGACGGAAGAGTGTACAAATCCCGCGCAGAATCCAGATCGAGAAGAAAACGTGGAAAAACATGCCAAATCGCCAGCTCAGACCGGCGCCTCGAAACGGACATTAACGGACAGCGAGGATCTCAACAGCCCAAAACGCAGCCGAGAAAATCCTTGGGAAGGTATGACAATGATTTCCAAAAAGGACGTGGAAATACCCAAGGATCAGAGGAAACTCTTTGAACAACATCTCCGTCGTTGGATACCGGCTTCACCGGGAAGGGATGAAATTACAGGGAACGTACCACCTGCACTCTTGCACCAATGGAATCAAATTGCGCTGAAGAGACACCGCATGGCCCAGCAACCTGGCCCGAGGAGCTCAACACCTAACCCAGCCATTTCACACGATGCACAGCCCGATACACCCAACCGTTCCCCGGAGCCAGACCCAGAGTCCGACGAAGGCTCGCCGTGCGACTGGTCCATTAGTAATGATGCATCTCCAAGCCGAGGAATTCCAGCGGACAGCAGCCCCGTGCGAGAAATACCCAGGGGTAGACGAGGCGACTTGCGATGGGCTGAGTTAGATTCCACTCATAACCAGCCAGAAGCCGATGCAGAGCCAGAACAAGACATACGGATGGAAAGCCCACCAAAACAAGGCCATGAGCCAAAACCCGACATGGCTGATGGTGATACTGGTATCGAGGACACCAGGGCTCATATACAAGAGACACACGAGTCTGACAATGAAAGCGATGACTCTACAATGGAAACATCTGTCCCGTGCGCCCTCGGGAGCAATTCCCAACAAACAAACCCGGCCAGTCAGCCAGAAAACGGTGTCAACAGCTCGGGCTCGGCACACGAGCAGTCTGTCCAAGAGCATGTGCAGGTCATGGAAACCCCTGCCAACAAACGTCGAGCGGCGAAGCCCAAAGAGAGTCCTAACCATACCGACTCAAATTCGCAGCCGTCTGGGCAGCCATCGTCATCGGGGCCAGAGTCGTCTCAATCTCGTATACTCAACACATATGCAAGCAACAACGGTGATCCCGAACGCACGGAAGATACGAATGTTTCAATCGGGTCAGAAGATGGCTCAAACAACGCCAATATACTGGGCACGCAATCAAGTACGGGACACTGGTCAATGCAAGAAACAACGTTCTCCCAGTCGGATATGTTGCTCGATCCTTCGGTGTCTAGAAACAGGGAACAGAGTGTCGGAGTGGTCAATTCTACGTGTCAGTCAGAAGAGTCATCGAAGCCATTCTCATCGTACCGAGAGGTCTTGCACTCAACTCAGTCGGAAGATATCGAGGATGCATCGGGCCCCAGCAGCTCGCTGCCTGATCTCCTTGTCGAGCATGCCAGAAGATTAGCGTTGAAGCGAGGCATTTCTGAAGTTGATAATGACCTATCAATGGCGAAGCGATTCAAAGCGCAACACGACGAAGACCACGATGTGAGCCGGTCGGTATCGGACATCGTCACCCGTCGACAGAGCTATATCAGCGGCTCCCCTGAGCATTTCGAAGCGCAGCGGATACATGAGAAATTCCGGAGGGCCTACCCCAGCTACACGGGGGACTTCCTTCATTTCACAGAATTATGCTCCATGCTGCGATCTCTGCGGAGTCAAGGGAATCTCACGCGGTCTTTCCTATGGGACGACTTCATCATCAAGCACTTGCAAGACTACCCACAGCATCGGGAGCAGTCATCCGCCGCCGAAACCAAGACACTGCCATACGAAGAGTTCTTCCTATCAACGTATAACAAGCCCTCGTACAAGAAACGAGATCTCACCGTTAAGAGCATCGAGGTCGCGGCCGCACAGTATGTGCCCCTGAGCCAGTCGAGTCCGGTTCACCAGGCCGACGCAAAGGTCTCATTCACGGGCAGTCTGGTGGACCGGTTCTCCAATTTCCACGCGCACTCGTTTGGACCCTCCAGTCAGAGTGCCCAGACCGACCTGGATATCGACCGGATGCCGTCCACCCAGTCAACGGACTCCCAGGAAGACACGCAGGCGGCCGCTGAAGAACAGCTGCTAGGCGAAGTGTCCCAAGCATCCGCGCGCGAGGAGGCAGACCCCGAGCGCAGTGGTCTCAACAAAGAACGTCGCACAGCGCCTCCCAACCAACATCCAGAGGAAGCAGGTGCCAGACATTCCCCGAGCCCCACTGAATCACATTACGACGACGCCATCGAAGAGGCACGACGAAGCCGCGCGCCTGATGGACCCCCCAACCGCTCAGCCAGCGCCTCCGAAAGCGAATCATGCTACAAAGACGCGATGGACGAGACCAGAAGTAGTCCAGCCGGCGAAATCCAAGTCGAACCCGACCACCAGTCCACCATCGAACGCAGCATCCCCGAAAGCGTTTCCGAATCTATTTACGACGACCCCATGGACGAAACGCACGAAACAGCCAGCATCGAGCTCGGCGACGACGAGGACAACGACGCAGGGCCGTCCTCCACAGCAGATGCAAAAGGTCTCCCCTCGCAGGAATCCGAACCCGAGAGCGACAACGAGAACTGGTTTGACTCCCTGCACCACATCTGGGAGCGTTCCGATGCAGACCCGCCATGGTCAGACGACCGCAACACACCGTTCAAGACGTGGGCGCGGGAGACGCTGAACGTGAAGTCGGAGGTGAAACGGCGGGGGTGGGCGTATGCAGTTGACGAGAGGGGGGTGGTTCAACGGCCTCGTTGAGATCTATCTCTCTCTCTTTTGTTTTGTTTTGCTTTTATGGTGTTTACTGTTTTGATATCCCGAGTTATAAACAGGCTCACGGCGTTGGTTTTGTGCGGTGTGTTTGTTCAGGTATGACCAGAATGGCAGCTGACCGTGTCCTAACTATGAATGTGTACGATATGGACTGAACTTGTTGATACTATCTCACCTAAGGTACCAAATTATAAATACAATACACCCATCTTTCAAGTAATGCGGTAACCATAAGTAGTAGATAGATTTCATATCTAACAATAATAAATAAAAAGGAGGGTATCTAAGCCGCAGCCATATCTATCGATAACAATAACAAAACAAGTAAACCAGTAACCAGTAGCCCGAGCGAAAATACTAGACAAAAATCAAAACCCAAGATATAGCCTGCCCGACCGGTAACATGCAAGTGATGACGATGACGATGACGATGACAGGAAGATGAGTTGGAGGATAAACGCTCAGATCAAGCAATCACAATCATGAGGTGGGTGGCATTATGTTTCATAATACAAGATGGGATCTCCGCGATCGGTCGCGTATTTCTTGTTTGTTGTTTTGTTGTTTTCTTTTATTTTATTTCAGTACGCTCTCTTTCAAGAAGTAGAGCTTAGGCGTGGCGGAAAGGCTCGTAGGCGTTGTTGTGCCGGCTCTGGGGAGGCAGAGGGGGGTAGGAGGTGTTGGCCTGGTTGTTGTCGTACGGGCCCAGGGGCTCGTAGGTGTAGGGGGTCTTCTCGGCGGTGACGGGACGGGGACCGGCGCGGTTCTTGTGGTTGTAAGGGGAGCGACCGGAACAGCAGCAGGTGGAGAGGAGCCAGAAGAGGGCGGCAGCGAGGGAGAAGGCGACGGCGAGCCAGGAGGCAGCGTAGATGTTCTTGCCGATGGAGCCGACGATGCCAAAGGGCTTAAGCTTCTCGTTGAAGAGGCCGAGGATGACGACGAAGAGCGCGGTAGAGGTCGCCGAGGCGGCGGCGGTGAAGAGGAAGGCGACGACGGAGATGAGGGTGGTCACGCAGCTGCCCCAGCGGGAGCAGATGGCGAAGACGCCGACGACGAGCTCGATGACGGTGGCGACGAAGGCGATGATGTAGGCGACGGACATCCACTTGGAGACCTTCTTGTAGACGTCGAGGGCCTTGTCCATGCCGTCGGGGAGGGCGTTCTGCAGGCCCGTCTGCTCGAGGTTCCAGACCTCCATGGGGTTGAACCAGAACTCGGTCTTGGGCTTAGAGCACTTGCTGGTGTCGTACTTGTTGTCCTTGGTGATGTTGCCTTGGCAGTAGCCCCAGAGACCGATGTCGTAGTAGTCGGCGACGGTCACGCCGAGTTGCTTCTGGACCTGCTCGAGAGCGGTCTTGATGTCGCCATCGTCGACGTGGATATTGGCTTGTCCCAGTTTGTCGAGGGCTTGATCGACCCCGGATTGGACTTCGGAGGATTCGGTGACATTTTGCAGGTTGGCCTATTATATGGTTAGGATTTATCATTCGCTTCTTATGATTTGGAGAGGGATCATACTCGGAAGAAATAGAGGTTGTTGAGAGAGCCCGAACTGGAATTTGTGCAGCCCAGCCCGACCATGATCAAACAGATCAGGGACGCGATGGTCAAGACATATGGGGTGATGATACAGAGCACGCGGCCGCCTTTACCCATGATGACGTATTCCTTGTTTTGGTGTATTTCCTCTGTTTTTTATTGAACGGTGGAGTTGGAATATCGTGTCAAGTGGAGGAGAGAAGGTGAGGAGGGAAGGAAGGAGGACGGAGAATAAATGTGGATAGAAGAGAAGATGGAAGAGAAGTGGAAGAATGGAGGAGAAAAAGATGGAGGTTGGATGAAGTTAAAAGAGTTGTCGGCCTGAAGATCGATGCCTGTTTTTCTCTTTATGACGGATACCTATTTTCTCGTCTCCTACAGGGGGCGCAGTCCTTTCTCTCTTTTCTCTGCTTCTTCTCCGCCATGGAGATCGACCGGCCAACCATATCCGTTACCCTACACTACGCCACGCTCTGTTTCTAAAAATTGACCAACCCAAATATGGCCAAATGACGCGGTGGGCCAAGGAACTGCATCCTGATCGGTCCATGATCGGCAGACACAGCACCAGCCTTCATGGCCGCCACGTCATGCGAGACCAGTGGCTGGGTCTTTTTCATCATCAGGCTGTCTCTTGCTTATTGCATGATTGATGCCAATTGATATGGATTGATATGAATTGACATAGGTTTTCTGATGGTTAATGGTCAGGATGGCAAATATGGACGAGCCGAGAACCGTATCAGATTGATGAAGACGTGTCAGACAGAGTCTCCAGATCCCTCAGTGGGTCGACAAGAATCACGGTCCATGGTCGAGTCAGGAACACAGGACCACGACCAGGCAGCAGTTTACCGGATCCTTTTCCATTCTGCCTGGTAGTACATAATTTCCCTCTCAAACACAACAGGGTCGACGAATGAGCACTACTCCTTCTTCCCCATGTACCCCTTGAGCAGATCGAACATCCCCGCATAAGCCGGTCCCTGCTCGGGCTCCATGTTGAACATGTAGTCCGCCCACCACGGGCCCGCCGCCCACCAGATCGCGCCCTTCCAGACATCCTCATTCTCAACCAACGTGTCCAGGAACCCGGTCAACGCCTTCTTGCACACGTCGTTCACGCCTCCCGCGAACTCTCCGATCACGCCGACCTTCTTGTTCTCGCGCAGCCACTCCGTCGCAGCCTGCAGACGTTCGGTCCCGATCGTCTCCGACACGCATGTCTCCGAGGTGCCGGACCCGTCGGCGTCCAGATACTGGTGCATCTCGTACGCGAGCTTGTCCGAGGGGTCCTTGAGCGCCTTCAGGTTGTCGTTGACCTCGACCCAGGTCCACGCTCCCGACCAGGAGTTGCCCTCGGCGAAGATCCACTGCTTGGTTGCGCCCGAGGCACGGATTCCATCGATGGCGGCCTGGTTGAGGTTGAGGACGAGCTCTTGGTCCATCTCGTGGTATTCATTATCTATATGGGTTAACGACGAGAATATCTAGTTATGGGTGATGATGACGTACTGGTATCGAACACGACAAGCTCATTGCCCTTGAACTTGCCGGCGAGGTTCTCCCAGAAGGTCTGGAAGTCGGCCGTGGCGGTGATGATCTCGCCGTTGCTGAACCTGTTAATGATTGCTGCCATAGATGGGGAGACACTCACTATCTGCCGTAGTTGTGGGGGTCCAGAATAGCATGGACGCCTTGGTCGGTGATGCCATTGATCACCTGAAGATTCCAATCAGCACTGGTCACTCTTCTGAAAAATGTTTCGCGAGAAGGAAGCGTACCTCCGTCAGATTCTTCAGATACGCCTCGTCGTACGTCCCGGTCATCTTCTCGGGCACCAGACGCTCCATCAGGAACTGGACGCGGAAGATGTTCATGCCCTTGCCGACGAGAGTCTTGATGGTCGCGGGGTCAGGGAAGATGTATTCCGTGCCCTAATCGGTCAGCCTCTTTCTCCATCATTTGTGTGTATTGCATACCCAGACTCCGGGAACGGTGTCTTCACCAAACTCGGCTCCGGATTCGTTGGTTCCCAGCCCTGTGCTGTTAGTATTACGTATAAAAGGACAAGACAAAAGAGAAAGATGTCATACATTGAAGAGCACCAGCTCGCTTGCTATGCGCCGGGGCAGCCACAGCGGAACCGGCCGCCGCGGCGAAGATCAGAGAGCTGAGCTTCATACTAACGACCAAATGAATGAACAAAGTCTGGATACAATAGAATATACAAGAAAGAAAAGTCAAAAGAGTGTAGCCGAACAAGGAAAAACCACCCTATCCTGCAGGAATAACACCAACTATATATACCCCCATTCCGACACCTCAAATTACACCCCGCAAAGTATCACACGATAGACGCACATCGTGGATAACTTTCTCCGTCCACCCATATTACATCAAATCAAATCTACAATGAAACAAAAAATCCCGGATTACCGGGCCGAATCTTCACAAAAACCAAGAAGTATGCAGTATAGAATCATAAGGTCGATGTTCCTTAACGCAAGGAGAAACAAACACGCCAATTGGCGCCTATTTGTCCCGACAGGAGATGGATTTTTCCGGATGGAGTCGCAGGCTGCAGAAAGGTAGTGTTTAACGTGAAACGGTGGAGATGAGGGATGGTTGACTTGGGGGGTTAATCTTGGACGAGACGGACTAGACCGGGGTGGATCAGGTACGTACATGCATACTAGAGTACAGTAGGACTAGGGACTAGGGAAGGATGGGTAGATCTACGCCCGCGTCATTCTGGGAATAGATTATCGATAGTAAGTGCATGTATATTACTAGGTACCCAGTTTGATATGCCCATGATGAACATGTGAAGTACAAATTAACTAAACCATCAAATATACAACACCTCCTATCCGTACTATACTATCTAGCAGCAAAGATACCAGTTAACTCACTAGGTAACTAGTAACTACCACCCCCCCAAACCCTTCACCACACTCTTCATATCCCCCGCCTGCAAACTCTGATACTTCGCACTCGGGTGATAATCATTCCACCAGACACACGACGTCCCGTCCTCATTGAAGCACGTCGCGTCGGGGAAGCCGCTGTCCGCAGGGTTGTCCAGAACGCTAGTCATGAATGTCCAGGAGTCGTAGACGACGGCCGTAACCTATACCATCATAGCATAATTAGCATCCACACCTCCCATAGTACAATCAAGCTCAAGAAAATCCGATAGGATGGAAACATACCCCCTCATGCTCCCCCTCGAACCCCTCAACCATAGCCGCCAAGTCCTTATTATAAGCCGCCACATAAGCAGCATGCTTCTCGACGACCTCTTCGCCCTGACCCAGGAACAGCGGGCTGCGGCTGGTGGGCGGCACGTTGAGGAGGAGGAATTTGCGGCCGCCGGCTTTGTAGATTTCGTCCAGGAGGGATGCGATACGCGAGGTTAGTTGTGGGATGAATGTGCTGGCGTCGGTTGAGGAGTAGGCGTTGCCGATGCTATTGTACCATTCTGGTTAGTGGATGTACATATACATATAAATGTATACTCTCAATTCTTAAGATTACGAGCGCAAACGAAAGGAAAGAAAGGAAGGAAAGAAAGCAAGGAAAGAAAAAGGGAAAATACTCATTAACCCCAATCCAAAACCCAAATACCGCATTCTCCGCCGTCCAAGGCGCAGTCTCTGGCTTGCTGGCATAAGCATCCCCGAACAACTTCACCTGAGACACGAGGTCGCCGTCGACTCTCTTGACAAGGGTATTGTCGACCGTGGCGCCGCCGATAGCCAGATTGTACGATAGGACCAGCGAGGCGTTTTCCGCTGTTGTGAGGTATCCGACCCAGTTTGCGCCGCCGGTTGTTGTGCCTTCGCCTGTTTTTTTATATTAGTGTTTGTAGATAGCGATTGGATAGTATGTGTTGGAGGGTGTACCTAGCGCGGGATTACCCATGGGGTTCGCTGGCGAGGGCTGTTCGCCTGTGGTCATGAAGTTGGTTTGGGTGTATGAGTTTCCGCTGCGCGAGGGTTAGTATTGTATCCATGCTGTGATGGGGTTGATTGAGGGTAAGATGTACAATGTGAAGAAGTATGTCGCGTCGGCAGCCTCCTGTTGCTGTTGCTGAGGCTGGGCCCAGGGCCGTGCAGCGACGGCGACGGCCATAGTCGTGGCCGTTAGCCATGGGAGTTGAACCTTCATGATGAACGAAGAACAATATCAAGATATTTAATTTTTAGTCAGATCCAGAACAGAAAAAAAATCAAGACACTCAACCCTGAACAGAGGACTAAACCCCCGTAGACCCATTTTATAAGTAACCAAGTACCACAGCCAGACCCGGAGCGGACATCTCCTGTCGCTCGAGTCATGGTCCGTACAGCTGGCGAAACTACAGTCATACATGCACGCGCATATAAGCAGAATTTACCCGAGTCGGCAGTTGATAGGAGGACAATTACTCAGTAGTCGTTATATGAATTTTGCGGGGTAGGCGTCAGCCCTGAAGGATGAGGCTAATCACCGAGTTTAGTGGGTTTTGGAGAGGGGCGTGGGGTGAAACGGACTATACCGGTTTGATCACGGATTTGGGGTGGGCTGGATGGGGTAGATCCTTTGGGCCGAGTTTTTTTGTTTTCATACTTTAAGGGCGTTACGAGAGAGAGAGAGAAAGTATGTGTATGTACGGATGTATGGATGGATATACGTATGTACAGGGAGTATAGGTAGGTATGGTACATGCAACACGCCCACTTTGAATCTAATCTATGCATGACATCGTAATCAAGTCGTGTTGAAAAACCTCTGCGGCACACCAAACAGCTCCATCCCGACGCCACAGACCAACAGCTTGGTCTCGCCGGACCCCTCGCGAATCACGTCCACCGAAGAGATGTCCTCCACCGCGCTGTACTGATCAATTAGGTTCTGGACCTGGATGCCACCGTCCGCCGCAGTTTTTCGGGCGTCGACCTCCGCCCGCCAAAGCTTGACGCGGTTGTCGTTCCCCGACGAGGCAAACACGATGTGCAGGGCGTCGCCGTGCGCAGACGGGCGCTGCGCGAGGACTTTCGTCGTCGAGATGCACGCCGCGTGGGCGTCGGGGATGGTGACCGTGGAGATGGCATCGCTTGCTCCTCCTTCGGTATGAGTGAAGTTGGTGCGCACCAGAGACAGCGTCAGGGCGTTGTCGTCGCCGCCGGCGATGACGAGCGATGCTGTGCTGGAGATTTCGACCAGCTCGACGGTCTTGATGCTGTTTGAGTGGACTTGGTAGCGGTTCTCGCAGGCGATGATGGTCTCCGCGTGGATGAATGTCGCGTCGATTGGCTGTTTAAGGCGCAAGGTGGACCCGACTGTGTAGAAGGGCTCGATGACAGGGTTGAGGTTCCATAGCGTAAGGTGTCCGTCAGTGGAGGCTGTGATTAGGCTTAGGGATGAGTCGCGGAGGATGAAATGCGCTTGGGTGAGGCAGTTGCTTGTGTAGGTGCCTTTGGATAGGAGAGTGAAGCCACCGAAGGAAGAGTAGTGGAAGAGCTACAATATTAGCGATAATTCGGCGTGTAGTTGAAGGTAGCTATCTCACCTTGATCTGGGAATTCGAGTACGTCAGGCAAAGGAGGAACTCCCCCTCAGCCTCGCCATCCACTTCGAGCAGGTCGAAGCTGGTGATTCGCAAATCAGACTTGGGGTCGTCCTTGGGAGCTTGGGCCACGGAGACCGTGGCCAGACCGAACATGGGAAGCGTCCGATTCTGCCAAACATACAGTTCCTCTCTTCCAGAGCTGCTGAAGAGAAACTGTCCGCTCCGCGACCAGGCGACGTGTTGCGTCCCGGAGTCGTGTTTCCGCAGCGTGCGCAGACACTTGAACGCGCCCCAGAGAACTCTGTTCTGTGGGTCGATGGGGGCAAAGATACGGATATTAGTGTCTTCTGAGCCCGTCGCAAACAGCTTGGTGCCTTCGTCCGTTGATTGGCAAACACTCATGGTTTGTATCTCGCGGCCGTGGCCGCCCGCCCGCACAGTCCGTTGGGAATCCGGTTGAATCTGCAGGATCTTGAGACTGGACTGGATCCACAGAAACACGCCGGCCGTGCCGTCTCCGCGGCCGGGCTGGAAGGTCCAGACGCGGCGCGGTCCTCCGCACCAGGCACGCGCAAGCTCACACTGCTTGGTCTCGTTCCAGAGGATAAAATCCATACCCCGGAACCCGTACAGCATGAGATCCCCGGATGGCTTGTCAACGTACGCACCTTCTAGGGCGATGTCGATCGCTGGGCACGTCTGATGAACCGTTTGCACATCCACCGAGTCTGGAGATTCGTCTGCGACCTGAAGCTCGTGGACCCGATAGTCCCCGCCGCGGCTGCAAGTCAAAAAGTAACCCGACGGCGTACAAGCGTCACCGTAGAGAGACTCGAATGATATAACCTGGTTCACGACCTCCCTCGTGTGTATAGTTCGGTTGAAGATGAAGGTAAGGGGGGTTTCTGAGCTGGTAACACGGTATGATGCGATTTTGCCTTGCCAGGCTCCCAGGACCAAATATTGTTTGTCACGGACGAGAGATGCGCCAGACACCTCAAAGTGAGGAGGAAGAACCAGAGTCGTTTTATCCAAGTGCGTCTCTCCACTATCCATCAAGGTGGCAGTGATCAAATCAGCTTTCTCGCCGGAGACGTATGTTGCGATGAAGGTCAAAGTCTCAGATGAGCCGGCCACATCGCGGTTATGATTTAGGATATAGAGCCTCTGTGGCCGCTGTCCAATGTCCGTAAGGCTGCGTAGCGTTTTGTTTTTGTGGGTGTACAGCCGGATCAAGCCCCGAGCGTTGCTTAGGAGTGCCAGCTCGCTCTGCGGTAGAGTCGCGATGATTGCAAAGGAACGCAGGTCTTCTTCCGTAGTCAATGTTTCCTGGAGGATGTGCTGTTCGGCAGAGGTCCCGTGGGACCCGATCCAGCCAAGCTGGACTTGCCCTCGGGTGGTCGTTCCAATGAAGCAGTCCGCGGTGACAAAAGCAAAGGCCTTCATGTTGTTTTCAGTGCGGATTTTCGAGTCTTGCAGATCCACTGTGGTCGAGATGACGTTGTTCTTGTTTGGCAAGATCGCCGCGCCATTCTCGGCCGCAACGATTTGAAATGTCTTCAAGGCCCCGTCCGAACCGCCGCTGTAGACTGTTGTCACCGTGCCGCTGGTCTGCAGATCCGTTGACCAGATGTGCTTTCCAGCGTGGTTGTGAATTGAGGCCAGCTCGTTGAGCTTGTATACTGTATCCTGAGAAGGGGACAGTTCCCATCTAAGGGCCCACACGACCGACGTTGCATCCTCGCCACACGAGACTAGATTCATCTCACACTGTTCTCCTGTCATCTGCGGCAGGAAATGTACACTCCAGATGCGAGCGTTGTGGGCAAAACAGCTCACAAGGGAGGATTCGTGGGCGGGTAGGTCGCCAAATCCCGTGCTACGGAGTTCAAACCCATCCGTCGAGTAAGGAGAATGGTCGTGCCGAGTCGTTTGCTCACAGTTCGATATATCCCATAACTTCACCATCCGGTCATCACTACAGCTGGCCAGTAACCGCCCCGTAGGACGGCCCGGCAAGGACGTGATGAGGGGAGATATCCGAACTCCGAAAATAGACCCCTCATGGCCAGTGAAGAAGTGGTGGATTGAGCCCGCTCCCTGAGCGAGCCAGTTATCCTCATTAAGAAAACAGGACCATACAATGATCTCGCCAAAGGCAGTTCCCGCCGTGATCAAGACATGAGATGGGGAAAGCGCGAGGATATCAGCGGCGTAAAGGATCGACTTGACTCCGGTCACGAGTTGTCGGACGTGAATCTTCTTCGCATACTTCGAGGATTCATGATCCGTGATGTGAACTCCCAGGATGGCATTATGAGCCGTGACTACAAAGGCTTTCTCTCTAACATCTTCGGGGGCAGACGTGCATCCGGTTAGGATCCAGTCGGGCGCCAGATATTCGGCACTCGTGGCTTGCAGGATCGCTTGCCTTTCCCCAGACGCACTGGGACCAAAATTCAGGTCAACCCCTCTCAAGGACTGGCCTCCCCACGCGATCAGTTGAACATGGGCAGTGTCATCCGGTCCTTGGCTTTGCTGCAAGACCATGAACCCATGGACATTATTTCGCTTGAAGGTCTTGAGTTGGGCCAGCAGGGTCCCGGTCTCATCCTCAATAAGACGGGTATAGGAGCCATGTCCTTGAAGAATGAGCCGGGTACCTCCCAGGTTGAGCACCTTCAGTGCAGCCACTGGGAGACATGCATCAATGTGCTACCGATGGGGTCAGATTGTGCGCTGCGGGGACGCTGAGGGGCTGGCGACTGACCTCGAGTGAGGGATGCATTGGGGGTATCAAGGGAACGCATTGACCACCAGGCTCTTGAAATGACCAAATCAAGGTCTTTTGACGACTGGGATGCTTTCAATTAACATTCACCCCGCGTGGTTTTTCCCTGGCGATCCAGAATTTCCATCATATTATGCTTATGTAAGACTTTTATCCAATCATGTCTCTGCTATCCCGCACTGCATAAGGCATGTATAAGGATGGATATATGCTTTGTCATCTATGTGATTATGCATCTTGCAGCATTCTCACTCCACGTTGAACGAGCAACCATGCACGATAGATTAGATGCATTTGTACAAGTAGCTCACTAAACGTAGCTCCAATTGCTCAATTATTGGGATTTGCTCAAATAATCTCATCCAATTGGGGGACTGTCTTTTCTTGAATTCATCGTATGATTAAACACTGCCCCGACATTATAAATTCCATGTAGTTTATATTGTCTGGAATTGAGAAGAAAAGAAGTGAAAGAACTACAAATTATGGATTCCATAGGAACAAGGAAAGAGATCCAGAGAACCATTATGATGACCCAAAGACACAAGGATTGCCCCTCCGATCCAGACATGAACCCATCCTGGACTTCCAGGACATCTCCTGCCTTAAATCTGTTCACACAATAAATATATACCGACTATCATCGTGTAATCGACCTCTGACCGACTCCACCGTCCACTGCGACGTTGTCATTGAATGGAGAGGACGATAGTAGGGGGGAAGATCCGAGCAATCCACGGGTGGAGCCCATCCCCACTTATCTCTAATTGAGTGGTCATGGAGAGACCCTCCTCGATCGACTCGGTTGGGTAGAGATGGATGTTAAGGTTGAACAAATATCACCCTCCCCATGCGCCCAACGGACTTCCCGACCAGTCATGACATTTTCGAGTCGACCCGAGTTGTGAAGATTTGGCAATGGGTTGATCCATGACGTTGGACTCAGCCGATGACGTTGTTGACGGGATGAGATTTGATCTGGTTCAGGTGGTTGGACGAACATCCATAGATGGGGTCACCATGGAATGTGTCGATTCTGTCCCCTGCAGGGCCCTATTCTCCCTTGCCTCGATCCTGAATCCCACCTGAGGATCCAATGTCGAGGTCGAGAGATGATCATGATCGTGTTGTTCACGTAGAGGAGAATTAGTGGGTAGATCGTAATCGATCTGGCCCATCATCCCAATTGGGTTAGTCCTCTCCAAACAGAGTCTCGACGTCACCAACCTCCTCCCTCACACATACACACTTCTCTCTTCTCTTTCTTCTTTCTCTTCGTATCAACTTCTCTCTTCTCTCTTCTCCCCTTGAATCTTCACTCTCGTCTCTCCTACTCTCCTGTCCCACTCGATCCACTCGATCCACCTTCATCGTCTCCATTTTCTAGGAATCAAAACAACTCAACATCTTTCGAAGTAACCTAGTGTCATCCATCTATCCTTGGGTCATCGGTTTCTCCCCTTATTTAGTCCCTCCCGGTCTCCTGTTCGGTTGCAGTTCCCCTCTTTCTCACCTGGTTGTCCTTCCGTCACATCCCGTTGCGCCTTCTGAATCACGTCACCGCCGCGCAGACCGTCCTTGAAAGAAACCGTCTTGCCCAACTGAAAACACCTTTCCTTCGCCTTTACTCACCTTCTACTTTTTCTTGTACTTAGAGTTGACTGCTATACCGAGCCGAGCCTTTCACCATGCATCGCACCTATTCTATGCGCCAGACGCGCATGCCGACCGCATCACAGGTCGAGAACCCGCCCCCGCCCTTGTCCACCACCAAGACGAGCAGATGGCTTGGCAAAGGAGGCTTCGGTGAGTATTTGCCCCTCCAGATGTGATGGATCATCGGGTCGTGCGCTGTCGCTCGGATATGATAAATAACACTCCTAGGTGATGTGTCAGGCCACGCCTTCCGCAAGAATGCGGCAGGGGCGTTTGGCCCCGATCTCGCGAGGAAGCTGGCGCAGTTGGTGAAGATGGAGAAGAACGTCATGCGCAGTCTCGAGTTGGTGTCCAAGGAGCGCATGGAGACTGCCGTAGGTTACACTGGCCTGACCCGAGTCGCGATGAAGTTGTACTAATCGTCCCTTGCGTACAGCAACAACTCTCCATCTGGGGTGAGAACTGCGACGAAGACGTCTCGGATGTGACCGACAAGCTGGGTGTTCTGCTGTACGAGGTCGGAGAGTTGGAGGATCTCTACGTCGACCGCTACGACCAGTATCGTGTCACCATCAAGAGCATCCGTAACATCGAGGCTTCCGTTCAGCCCAGCCGTGACCGTAAGTTCCAATGGCGCCACGTTGTGTCTCTCACCCACCACGCACACACACGTACTCACATCCAATCTCCCCCCAGGCAAGCAGAAGATCACCGACGAGATCGCCAAGCTGAAGTACAAGGACCCGAACTCCCCTCGTATCGTCGTGCTCGAGCAGGAGCTGGTTCGCGCCGAGGCAGAGTCCCTCGTCGCCGAGGCCCAGCTGTCCAACATCACCCGTGAGAAGCTCAAGGCGGCCTTCTCGTACCAGTTCGACGCTCTCCGTGAGCACTGTGAGAAGGTGGCCATCATCGCCGGCTACGGCAAGCACCTGCTGGACCTCATTGACGACACGGCCGTCACTCCGGGTGAGACCCGCCAGGCCTACGATGGCTACGACGCTAGCAAGGCCATCATCAAGGACTGTGAGGGTGCCCTGGCCGACTGGGTGTCCTCCAAGGCCGTCGTCAAGTCTGAATTGTCGACCCGGTCGCGTACGCTCTCCCAGCGCCACCGCGAGAACGTCAACAAGCAACGGGAGGGAGTCGACCTGTCTAACCAGGACCAAGCGATGCGGGGTGACCGTGACTCGTGGGTACCGGCGGGCCAGCACGCGACCTACCACGTCGTGGAAGACGGCGAAGAGGGCGCCAGCACTGTTGACGGCGAGGCCCGGGGACGAGAAGACGAGCGGGTGACCGTCGTCCCAGCCTAGGGGCGTCTCTCTCTTTATTTTGGAATAATAATATATTAGAGTACCGTCCGAGGTGAAAAGACGCCGGCGCTCTTCTTCAAACATACGAAGTGACCCATCCTATCGTCGGCTCTGTTCTTTTCTTTTCTTTTCTTTCTATCATGGGATTCCCGCTTGATGCGTTGTCAACTGTTTGATGGTTAATGTTTTAAAACCCTTTCTTTTCTTTTATACAACCCGATGAGCTCCCGACTTATAATAATAATACAACTTGCACAACCTCCTTCCCATGAGCCAGTCCACCTTGCATTTCTGGACCTTATACGAAAGGGTCAGAGGTCTGGACAAGAATCAGACACGGGACGTGCCTACTGTTTAATGGAACGATGTAATAATACCATACTGTCTGCACGGGGTACATGATAACTCTGCTTGATTGTTTGATCAGTGGTAGTAATCAATGTGTTTATTCAATGTGCATATATAATATATATAGTCAAATATTATTATGGAGTTTGATGCGATGTTCTAACTCTAGATGCTATACGGGTAGTCCAACCGGCTAGGTTGGATAAAGGTCGGCTTGCCGGTTTTCGGATGTCTACCTTGTCTCTAGGTAGGTAGATAGACTGGAGTGATGCTGGGGGTTGAGGATGGTTAACTAGATACATTCATAGTCCTCTAGAGGTATATTAACAGTAGTATCTTCGGTCTAAGCTAGGGACATGAACACACTGTATTCGTGTAGATAACGACTGAACTGTAAGTAGACGGGGAGGTATATATCCGTTCCTATCGAGCAGTGCTTACAGTCCGAATCGACTCTACATAATCGATTTCATCCAACTGAGATGGATTCGGCTATCTCAACGTAGGTAGTGGCCAGTACCGCTTCTAAAAGATAAGTATCTAGGATATGATATGATATGATATGATATGACGGGCTACATCTAGCTAATCGACATCACGATATGTAGAACTGCGTGTCAGGCGATACAGTGCAATCTGTATGCACATACTACGCGCATCACATTGCTTCCTATTCATCTCAAGGAGAAGAAGAAGAAGAAGAAGAAGAAGAAGAAGAAGAAGAATTATAATGATGATAAAACCATACCAATTGCAAAAGGTACCTACCTACCTACCTACCAAGGTACGTAGGTATCCCCGGTGTCTCCAAAGTCACTTCAATTACCTAGTCTGGAAACGCCGATACTTTCCCTATAGGACTACCTGGGTATGTACCTACCCTAGGTACCAAGTATTATAGTACCCACATACGAGTTCAGTATCGATTAGCGGATGTCGTTTTGTGGGAAGTCGACAGTGGGCATTGACAAGTGACACTGGCATTGACAGTGGATACAGCCAACCAACCCGGTCTGACTCCCTTCATCCACTGTTTGGAATTGGATAATAACAACTACCCGATAAATAACAATAAGTCCGACGCGTACTCCGCACTTGAGTTGGTTTGCACAAGTATTTACCTGGTGTAGCTTCGATGCACTCGCTACCTACCCTACCTACCAAGGTACTGAACAGGCTGTGGATGATGTCAGACCTACTTACCTACCTACTCACATTTTAGGAATGAGATACTCATACCTACCTACCTCAGTACCCAGTCAGATACGTACATACATATTAGGCCGTTAACAAAGACGTGCTCAGACACTCAACGCTTGTGCTCGTGCTTGGGCTCACTTACCACCTATTTACCTTCCCAATCTGGGAATCCAATCGACCCTGTCTGGCAAGTACCTTAGGTAAGTAGGTAGGTCGTAGGTACTCGATCACGTCTTGTCTGTGGGGAATAAGGTCATACCTGCCTGCATGCCGATGGCCGGGGTCGACCAGTCAGATATCGTCGATTGTCATGTTGTTTGGCTCGGATATGCATGGTTTCGTGTGGTGTGGGGTGTTTGGTTTGCCCTTTCCCGCGCTGTCGTGCCCATAGCTGGGCGTTAGTTCTTACTTACCTCCTACCTTCTACTTACCTGCCTCCTTAGTGCTCCGTACCTAAGGTTACTTAGTACCTACCTACCTGTGGTTGTTATATCCATTAGTAGACGGTCATCACGTGAATCTTGCGAATGACGCCACTGTCAGACGAACCGATCAAACCTGGGGAGGAGTGAGACTACTCGTGCTTGGCTCTAGGCTCTTCATTCAAATAGTCAATCAATGTCAATGTTCAAGTTCGCGAGTCCAAAACGCATAAATCCAACACCAGCAAATAGAACGTATCAAACAAATCACAAAGAGGCAAGAACCCCGTAGCTAGCAAGTAGATCAGAACCCTCCTTGATACTCCGACGGCGGGCAAACCCATAATCAAAATCAAACACGAAAAGGGAGATAGATAGACCCGGCTGCTATTCCCCGCCCACCGAAATGACCTTAAACTCGATGCCCTCTAGCGGTTCCATCGTGTGTCGCAACGGAACCATCCACTAGATACCCCTATCCCTCGAACCTCGCGTCCCAGATGACAAAAAGAGAAAGTCGTGACATCGTCATGTGACTTCATCCAGTGGATGATCGGTCAGATATAAAGAGAAAACCAGAAACAAGACGAGACAGGATATGAAGACAGAACGTGACGAAAAAGACCAGAACAGGTATAGCAAGCAAACAATCCCAGAGCTCAGAAGGTGTATATCACAAAAACAAGAACCAAAAAATCACTTCATTTTGACAACTAGTGATCGGTCCCCACGCCCTTCTTTTTTGGCTGGATATGTTTTTGCCCGTTGCTCCCGTTGCTCTTCTGATTCAACGTGTCCTGCGACGGAGGGCCCATGCGGGTACCGGTCGCCTCGTGCTTCTCGGTCAGGAGGTTCTTCAACCACCGGTTCTCCATCTCGAGTTGGGCCACCCGGGCCTCGAGACTGGCGTTCTTCTCGGTGGTCTCTCGTACCGTGCGCTCGAGAATCTGCTCGCGCTGCTTCTTCTTCATGCGGAACCGGGCACTGGCGGCCGTATTCCGGCGCCGCCGGTCTTCCTCGGCCGCAACCCGCCCGCCCTCTTCCTGGCCGAGCGCGGAGGCGATGTGGTCGCTCGAGATGGACGTGCTGTACTTGTTGTTGCCGATCTGGCCGTTGGGCGGGGATATCGACGACGAGACATCCGAGGGGGTCATGGCCCCCGCACCGTGCCCGAGGTCATCGGATGCTCCATAAGAGATAGGAGGATAGATGGGGTGGGCTGAATAGGAAATCATTTGATCGGGCAGAGAATAGTTCACTGACTTGTCTCCTGCTGTGTAGAGTCAAGTAAGCAAGCTGGCTGGTAGAGGCTCCACGCGTGCGGCGAAGGGATTTGAAGTGATGGCCAAGTATCGACAAGAACGGAGGTAGATAAGATCATCGACACCATCGTGATAGGAGGAATCAGGATCGAAGCGGGCGGGGGAGCGGGAAGGGGCACTTGAAAGGGGATTTCCCTGTGGAGAGGAAGACATGGGGAGAAGGGTTTCCAACAAGGACAGGGTTCCCGAACGTTGTCATTGATGTGGTAGATTGCGTGCTCGGATGGAGGTTATCCCCAAGCCGAGATATCGCAAGTCTTCCCACCCTCCCATTTCAAGGGGGAAACAAAATTCACCATGCAAAGGAAAAGGAAAATGGAATGAAAAAAAATAAATAAAAAATAAAAACAAAAGCCAATGCATTGAATAACAGACGCGCACGTCATGCATAAGTTTCAACTCGCATGGCAACGATCCAACGAGACGGAAAGGGGACTGGACGAGAGGGCGGCGGCGGGCTACGCCATCACCCACCGTTTATGCGAAAGCAAATGAAATCAAGGGGCAGAGAGGGATTACGAAAGGCAGATACAGGGAGCAACATGAAGCAAAGAAACCCAACCATGGGGTCAGACAGGGTTGCAGAATGAAGCTTCCGCCGGACTCAAGACAACGGCCCTTGGGGGTCAGATGCCATCAGCCCCAGCAGTAGCTCATCACTTCATTCCATAGCGCCCAGACAGCAATAATCAGGAAACAACGCGGATGGTGGCCCAAGAGAGAACAAAATGGCGCAAGCAATGCAACGTTTAGACTTACCATGGTAGGGATACCCTCGCACGTCGATGGGGCTGCGGTCGTCTTCAATGCTGTCGTAGGAACTGACGGATAGACCGCCCATTCCCTCGGTCTGATCGTAATCCATGTTCAAATGTTGAATCGATGCGAGACCAGCCGAGTCGGCGTCGAATGAGTAATGTCGACTCTTTGCCACGGCGGGATCGTGTCGAGAGAGAAGGAAGTTGAAGTTCTCAAGCCTATCGAAACTCGAGGCTGCCTGACGAACGTGCTCGTCTGACATGTTGGCTGCAGCGCCCTGGCCAGGATATATTATTCTTGTTTTTTATAAGAATAAAAAAAGATTATTATTCTGCCCTCCTTCCTTTTTCCTTTTTTGTTTTTTTGTTTTTTTGTTTTATTGTCTGGTAATTTTTCCTTTTTTTTCTTTGGACGTTTTGACCTGGTCTTCCGGGGAGATGAATTACCACGTACTTCCCCGATATGGATGGCGGGTTTATTATTGGGCCCCTTATTATTCCTCTTGCTTTAATTCGTGCTTGATAGCAGGAACCAGGACCAGATGATGACAGAATAGACTTTACCCAGACCGACGTTGGACCCCAAACCTGATAGAAGGAGGGGGAAAGGAGACGAAGAAGGGGGAGGAGAAAGGAAGGAAAGAGTGGATGATGATACAAGAGGAAGGAGAGATTTCAACAGGTCGAAAATGAGATGATTTGCTGCAAAGATATCGGGAGTGGCATTCACAGGATCGAAGTGGTATAGCGTGGGGCCACGTACGTCAGGGCACGAGCAATGACCGGCCGAAAAGACGAGGTCTGGGGGGGGGGGGGGGGGGGGGGGGGGGATGAGATGGGATGGAAGAATGGGCAAATCCAATCCAGAGGTATCTCCAGGCGAAGTTGGATGGGAATTAACGGGAGAAAGTGGCAGTCAGCAGCAATCAAAGAGACCACACAAGGTCGTGTTTGGGTGAGTGATCGTCTCAGGTCCGTCCAAGGCTAGTGGATGATCTGATAGAATGGAGAAATGTCGTGATCGCGGGTTCTTATTCGTCGGATGGAGGTCCTCGGTATTTTCAGGAAATTGGATTTGACCGCTTCGGGCGGAGACAGAGAAGGACTTAAGAGGGAGAAGAGGAAGGACAATATAGAGACAATTATCAAGGGAGGAGTGGAGGAAGAAGCAAGAGAGGAAGAGAGAAGAGTCAAGGGAGAAAAGACAGGAGAGAAAAGAAAGACTAGAGAAAGGATTGAGTAGTTTATGGTATTTAAACTATGAACGGAGACCCAGCATAAAGTCAGTACTAATCATGGAGAGGGGAAACTCCATTTCGAGCAGTAATTATGCTCACTAATGAATATCTACAAATGCGGAGGAGATTCCATGGGTGGTTCCGACAATGGAATCGGGATACAAAATTAAATAGAAACCGACATAGAAATAGACATCAACAGGAAGGAAAAGAAGCAAATATCATCACAAGGAAACCCACAGACGGACACAAAAAACAGAGAGATGACGACGTAACGAGGAACATCATCCAACTTCGGCTTGACAGTTGACTGGTTCTTCGGTCTCCCGCCCCGTCCTTAAGGGGGCCCGGAACTTAATTAAGGCTTGGTTTACTTACGTGTACTGGTAATGACCGGTATGGAAAGTGGGGAGGGTGGAGTCGATTCCTGCTCAAACAACGGAGGAACGGACGAGAAAAGAAGGAAAGAAGGGTCCATGACAGGGGAGCCGCCTTGTTCTGGTATGGTCATCAGTATTGAATATCAGTTTCAATTCCGTGGTTAACACGATTTCCTTCCTCTCCAGTGTCCACCCTCGGGAATAAACTCCCTTCTTGCTCTCTGGATGGGACCGTTTCATCCTGGTCCACGCGGGGCAATCACAATATAAACAGACCCAAGGAGCCCTTGACGATTCCAGACTTTCTTTGAAGTCTCCTGAAATCCATGACCTGGATATTGAAAACAGCATCGAATCTATTAACAGTCCCGAGTCAATGCTCCGGAAATCTTGGCGTCTTCCAGAGTCGTTGTCTACCAATGATTCTTCGCCACTTCCCAAATACTCCATCAAGGCTAGCACGACTGTTAATCCCCGTATCATGCTTCTTTTCCTGTATTCCCCGCGCTCCATGGCGGGAAGTTGACCCTCTCCCTGGTCAACCATTGGACTCACTTCCGTCGGAGATCATCGATCCTACTACCGGATAAATTGGGAACCTGGGTTACTCCCCTCCCCGTGTCTCGACTCGGGGCGAGCGACTGTCTTCTTGAGACTCGTGTCAATGCCGGTCTCTGCGTCTGTGGCAGATAGATTGGTCTGTAGGACTAGGTAGGAGGTATCAGGTAGGGAGGTAAAATTGCTGTATCTCCACGTATCGTGAATGAGGAACACCATCCTCAGGGCAGCTCGGCTCCCATCGACACAATTGCATTGTCAATCGGTGGCAAACTTCCCGTCCACGGGGCCTCTTACCTTCTATTCCCTTGCACGAGACGCACCCGCCCGCAGCGCTCTTTTTAAGGCTGCATGCAGCACCACAGACGGTCTAGGCGTGTTCACCAGAGCTAGTTAACTTTCTTCGACTGCCGGGGACCACCTCAGCCGGGACTGACTCCCAAGCTTCCCCCTACCTGCACTCCCATTCGCACACCATACTAGCACTCCTCCCCGTAGCGTAAACAGCTGCTTGCGTGGCGTGCGAGGAACGGAGAGGAACAAGCGCGGTAAGCGTGGACGGCGCACGCCACGAAAAGCTCAAGCGTCCACTCTGTTCGCGCGTTTTAAATCGGCCAGTAGATCGGAAACGGTATGGCGGGAGCTGTGCATCAATATCCTGGTCAGGCGCGAAGCTACTTGGTCGTAAGGGATTGTATTGTTGTACGGAGAGTAGTGTGTACGGAGTACTCCGTAATGGAGGATAAAAGTACGGCGAAGGCTGGACTGGCCCCGATGGCGTGATTCCTATCCCGGACAGCATCATCGTCTATCCCAAATTAGAAATGGCGTGAGAGGTTGCCTGGTTTTCCAGGCTGTCCATTCTAATTCAAGGACTCGTGGGAATCAGTCATCAGAATCATTTCACGCTGTTGACATTCCACGGGTCTCCACTGGTTAGACTTAGGAATGGACATACCTTGCGATAAGCTGTTTCTTTCTTTCTTTCTAGAACGGCGGCAGACCCTGGTTTGATACCAGTGTACCTTCTCCTTCCAGATTTGGCTGACAGATAAATTGACTACAAGCGACGCTCTCCAACCTTGGAGTGACCAAGCGATCGAACGCAACGACAGTGAGATCGGATCGCATTGAACCGACTCTTAATTAGAACACAGACCAACAAGAATGAGCCGTTCAAAGCTTTCTAAATTCGCACACGCTGACCTGACTGCACGCTCTAGATCCTGAAAGAACAGACAAGCTCTAGCTCCTGACGTCGGTCGCTCCTCCTCCGCATCTCTTGGCAGATTTATCCCCGAGAAATCACATCCGACGATCCTACGATTTCGCGAAAACGGAGACGATTCCGAGAGTTGGTCCGAACGTCGACGGCGGGTGTGGCCAGGGGCCTGGCCACTGGCCACTGGCCAGATAAGGCCACGGTAACATCAAGGGGAACCGGTAGGAACGTCGCGATAAGCACCAGACCAGCCACCCACTAGTGTCTGCAGGAGCTTTCACAAAGGCCTGGATCTACGAGCCCGGAGTTATCGCCGCCAGCAAAGTTTACAGCAAACCCAGAGCAATGGCAGCTCGGGACGTTGAGGAACCTTCCCGTCGTACAGTCTGTCGGCCACTCCACGTTCCGTCCTTGGCTTGACCCCGGACAGGCACACGTGGACTCCTGTTATCTGGAGTAATCCCGCTGGTCACGGGACAATGTCGGTCGTTCTAAGCAATTGACGGAGTATCCTGCGAGACTGGCGCATTGCAAGAGAACACGGTCCAAGACGGACATGCGATCTAACAGTGCTTGAACTCGCATGCGCGCTATAACTAACCATCTCGATCCATATCAGCGACCGATCTATACATATATCGCACGTATATGTAGTGCATGAGTACACCTGATGATAGTAAATCGGGGAAAGGAAAATCTCCGACCGCAAAAGAGCAGACGGAACGGAAGCTGGAGACGCCGGGAATCTGACAAATCAGGGTTATTGATTCCACCCTCGGTTGGCCAGATTGCGAAGGCAAAGCAGAATAAACCAGAAAAATTGAGTAAAATAGATTGAGAGTAGAAATCATATCCTCTTACCTTCTATCAGTATAAACTACAATAGTCAAGATCAATGTACCCTCCTTAGCCTGATCAATCTCCAACCCGTGAGCACTATCATTCGTCCGCGGCTGATCTGGACTCGAACTCCTCACTCTCGCCACAGCAACTAACTAACTGCCCACCTTCCCACCCCCATCACTTTACTCTCCTGTCCACTCCAGCCACGACCAAATCCGGTTTAACCAATCTGTCCCCGCTCCGGGAGCTAAGTAGGTTAAGTAGATAGGGAGGATTTCTCCATCCGCGCGATTGAGAGATCTCTGGTTGTTGTTGGTCCAGGCCTTGGCAGTCGGCTTCCCTTGCGACTCATGCCCGCGACAGCGCTTTTCCCCACCCCGCGCTTGGTCTAGATTCGTTTGCCATGCAGAACTCTCCGCTGGATGGTAGGAATCTGCCGTCGTGGGGAGCGCCGAATCGTCCTACGTCTGGTGTATCGGGATCTCATCCGACTCCGGGGACCCAGAGTGGCTCGACCTATCAAAGTCGGAGGCGCAATCAGCTGGTATGTTCAATCTTTTCTTTCTTTCTTTCTTTCTTTCTTTCTTTCTTTCTTTCTTTCTTTCTTTCTTTCTTTCTTTCTTTCGCTCCTCCTCCCACCCTCTGTCGTATGAAGGCATTAAAGTAGTGTCATACAGGCGTGTGAGTCGTGCTACAAGAAGAAGATCAAATGTGAGGTCGACGGCTCCAATGCAGCTTGTGTCCAATGCATGCGCCGCAATATCAGGTGCAAGTTCACCTCCAGGCGCGAGAAGCGCGGGGATCTCAAAAGGTATTGATTATAGTTTAACAGCTTGGTAGACTGGTAATGGCTGACCTTCGCTAGAACCCACTACGTGAAAGCGCTTGAAGAGCGACTCCGGAAGACAGAGGACTTGCTCAGAACGGCGGGCCTTCTGGGTGAGGACACCCTCAACGAGGAGAATGCCAGCTCGAGCGAGGATGAACAGCTCGAGGAGGGAAGCGACGTCGACCATGAACACGACGATTCGTCTAATCCCAACTTAGATCCAAGTAAACGTAGTTCTGACAGGGACTCCGATCGTGGCCAGAGGGGCCTTCTTTCAGCAGACCGAGATCCGCCTTCCGATACGGCCGCCGGCAAGGATGGCTCTGAAAGTACGACCGACGCAACCGGCCGCCAACGGTTTGGTCAGAACCCTCTCCAACAAGTCCCGGTTTTCAAATGGGATGCTAGAGAGGAGCACCGATACTATGGTATGCTAGCTATCTCCCCTTTCACTGTGTTGGCACGAACATTCGCTGACATGAGACAGGGAGGTCTTCGTCCTTGTCAATCCTCTCCAGGGACGGGATCGAGTGGATCAAGAACAAAACCGGCGAAGTGAATTTTCTCCGCCTGTTGGTGTCGGACTCAAGTCATGATTGCCCGTGGGACTATTGGCGGCCCGACGTGTTCCACGACGTGTTCTCCTCCCAGGTCTTCAAGCCTTTACCCCCGAGGGCGGAGGTGTTCTCTCTCCTACGAGATTACTTTCGGACTCTAAACCGTTTGTTCCCGCTGTATCACGAGGCGACCTTCATGAAATTGGTCGAGTGGCAGTACACGCAACAGACGTGCGACGATGCCGCTCGCTGGGCCAGTATCAACATCATCATCTCCTTGGCATACGAATACCGCTACTCGAACACGCAGAAGTCTGAAAAGGAGCGAGAGAAAGCATGGCTCTACTACAAGAATGCCATGTCCGTCTTTGCAGAACTGACCCTCCGCCGGACCGATCTGTTGAGCGTGCAGGCCCTTTTGGGCATGGCGCTGTTTCTCCGCGGCAACTCGGGGACTCAGTCCGCCTTGCCTATCATCACCGCCGCCATCCGCTCGTCCCACCGATTGGGGCTTCATCGCAATATCCCGAGGCCTCATCTGCCTCTGGCTGAGCAGGAGCAGCGGAAGAGGGTGTTTTGGATTGCCTACATCCTGGACCAGAGGTAAGATCCGACTCATTGTTCTTGGGCATATCGGTAGCTGACTGTCCGTCTAGCACGTGTATCAGGTCAGGAAATGCACCGACTCAACACTACGAGGACCTTGACGTTGAGTTTCCGGTGGAGGAAGAAAGTGAGTTCGTTTTGACCAACAACACGTCCTTCTTCCAGCAACTCTGCAGCATGACCGTGATCAAGAGCCGAATCTACAACAGCTTATATGCTACCACGGCCTTGGAAAAAAAGTCCGCTTTGGAAATCATCGGCATCGTGCGCGGTCTACACGCGGATCTGGAAAAGTGGAAAGCCGCCAGTGCGTTTGACCTCGCACCGAAGCAGGAGAGGGGCGGCGAAGACTTTCTGGTGGGCTTTGCTTCGGCAGGGCTGCAATTCGTGTACTACAATTCTATCATCATGGTCCATCGCGTCCCGCTCGTGATTCACTTCATTTATGCCCATCGCCTTGCCACCGGAGGGCAGGTGCCTATCGACCTGAAGGTGATCTTGGACGAGTCGTTAACGTCCACCGCAGTCTGCGTCCAAGCTGCGCGGGATACCTTGAAATTGGTGAACAACCTCCCGTGGGGCGACATCGCCTGGATATGGTAAGTTCTCTTGACTCGGCAGGGAGAGATACAGTATTTACTCACACGTGCAAGGTCCCTACTTTACTACATCTTCCTCGCCGTAATAATGATATTCGTCAATATCCTCCGCGACAGCGGCCACCCCAAAGTCAAAGACGATATCCAGTCCCTAAACGTGGCCGCCACGTTCTTCGCAACGCTCATCCCCGGCGACGGGCCCTGCAACTACGCGCGATTCATGACGCGCATGTGCGCCAACTTCGAGCGCACTGCCCGTACTGTCTTCGAGCGCCACCAGAAGACCGCGACTCGACCTAGCGAAAAACAGCTCCAATCCCGCGATCCAACCACCACCACGGAATCAAACACCGCTACTGCTCCCCTTGCATCATCCTCGCTGCGTGACCGACCCTCCGCTGTCCCAAAATCACCGTCCCCAGATCACTCCCCCGCATCGAATATCAACGTCCCCAGCAACATCAACGGCTTTCCGCGCGTCAACTCCAGCGGCTACGTCGTCGTCCCAGGCAGCCCGCCCCAAAATCCGGTCAATCTTCACACAGCTCCCCCCATCCTCCACCAAAACCACCACCAAAACCAGAACCATCACCACCAGCACAACCACCAACCACAACCACAACCACAGCAGCAACAGCAACAGCAGCAGCAGCAGCAACAACAACAACACCAACACCAACCCCCACTCCACCAAACCTACCCCCCACCCAACACCCTCCCCACAACCCAAACAGACCCGTACTCCCTCCAAAACTTCTTCCCCTTCGACCCCGCCAGTGGAATCTTCGCCCAGCCCGACCTCTGGCAAGTCCCCCTAACCGCAGACTGGGAATTCGGCGGCCAATTTCTCCCGGGCTTATTCGGGGGTCCCACCCCCTTCTACCAGGGCGACATCCCAGGACAGTCATCGCATCCTCCTCACCCCCATCCTCAATCTCATCCTCCTACCCACCAACACCAACAACCAATGACATCCACGCCCATGGACATGAACTACAGCTACATGCAGCATGGTCCAGGCCCGAACCAAAATCAACACCAAAATCCCAGTCAAAATCAAACTACAAATCATCATACCCCACAGCAGGGACACGACCCGACAACGGCGAGTATGTGGACGAATACCGGCTACACGGATCCGTTCCGAGGCGCTACTGCCATAGATGGGCAGGCTGATGGGCGGATGTATTACTAGCATGCGGGCGTGGGCGTGTCTTGCTCGATATAGATATATATATATCCAGCACGTAACGAGTTATGATGAAATAGTACCCTTTCTTCTTTCTTTCTTTTTTCTTCTTTTGTTTGTTTGATTTATCCTGGCTGGTGCTTGGATATCGGCGCTTCATGTGGCATATATATCCCTCCCTCGTACACCTACCGAATTACTTAGTATACCTATATAGATATATTCCAGACGCTAGCTGGATCTTGTTTCTTCGATTGAGGGAAGTACTGGGTATAGATACTTTCATGCCTAGGCATTCGGTTATATACCTTTGTGTGTAGCACCGCCCATTTGTAAAGTTCAGAGCGAGCCGACAGCAGTGGTTATCATTTTTTGAAATGTCTTACTCATGTTAGTGTTGGTGTTATTCCAGCATGTGATGCAATTATTATGTATATGCATAATCCGCAGCAGCGGTAACTCAATTCTCAAGAATCAACTTGTAGGTATGTACTAGGTATGTAGACGATCGCGAAAAAAAAGAAAGCATAACCCCATACCATACCATACCATCCGCACGAAAAAAAACCATATCCATCCATCCATCCATCATCCATCCATCCATCCGTTCAAAACGCCAGCGCTGAATCGCGCACACTAGAAGAGTAAAATAAAATAAAAACAATAACACCAGAATCAGTTACCCCTAAAATACCATCCCACTAAGCGCTTGAATCGCCTTACTCCAGATGCCATTCCCAAGCTGCAAGGCCGCCTTCTTCCCGCCCATCTCCTTGTGGAGGATATTCCGCATCTTGTTTTCCGAAATGCCCGTGCCGTTGCCGGCTCCGAAGCCGTAGACTTTACTGGCAATGACGTCCGTGTCGAAGTCCATCACGCCGATCGCGCCGGGCTGGTCTGCGCGTGTGATGCGCGCTTTGACGGCGAAGTCGACGTCGATGCGCTTGGGTGTGGCGTCGTTGCTTTTGTCCCTGGGGCGGGCTTCGAATAAGGTGCAGCGGGCTCTGAGAGAGGGGGTGGCGTCGATTTCGCGCAGTTTGAGCTTGGTGACGCCGCAGAATTCGAGCATGCGGGCTTCTTCTTCGAGCTTGAGTGTGGAGTCCCAGGCTTGGGAGACGAAGCGGAGGAGGTGGGTGGGGGCGAAGTTGGACGGCGGGGTGGTTGAGATGTGGTTTTGGAGGGTCTTGAGGACTAGGGAGCCGATGGGGGTGAGGTGTGTGTGGTGTGGTGTGGAGTTGGCTCCTTCGGTAGGCTGGAATCGAAGTTCCACTGGCGTGCTGGACTTCTCGCCGGCTGCGGATTGCTTATTGTCGTTCTCGATGTAGAAGCTTCCGGGGTGGAATACCAGTTGGAGCTGGTTACGGTAGGACATGGTGACTCGGGGACCGCTGGAGGAATCGGAGGTGGCAACGGCCGAGGCGATCGACCAGCCCGTTTGGGACTCGATGGTACGAACAGAGTCTGTGTTCTGTTAGTAGGGTTGACAGTATTTGAAGGGTAGAATGAAACTCACCCTTGAGCTCGTTGATCTCCTTGGCGCTCCAGCCACGGCATTCTTCCTTGACCCTCTCCGCTTCTTGGATCTGCGCCACGAACTCCGCCTTGAGCTCAGCTCCGGTTTCGATGGTGTCGGTTCTGTCTTGCACCTCTTCCTGCATGGCTTGCAGCTCTTGCTTCTTAGCAGCAATTTCCTCGTCGATGTGGGCTAGCGTCTCCCGAGAATCGCGCAGTTCATCTTGGTCGTAATTCTCCATCTCGTCCGCCATCTGTTGGAGGCTCGTCGCTTCCTCCTGCAACGAAGTGTGCTTGTTTTCAAGTGCGGGTACAGCTTCGTCGAGGAGAGCCTCATATTTCGATACAAGCTGCTCGTCGTCTTTCATCTGCCCGTAATGCTGATCAAGCCCCTCCTTCAGGCCCTCGAGGAGTTTCATACGCCACTCATACCATGTAGCTTTGCTGAGAAACCTGGCATGGGTTTTCACGTTCCGGAATTGGTTGTCCATCAGAAGACGGATGTCCGGCGCCGCCGTCATGTACTCCCGGAACAGGGGTGGGTTATCCTCAAAAGTCTCGGCCTCGATGGACCGAATGACCTGTCGCCCTTCTGAAATGTAGGATTTCAGCTCGCGGCAAGAATGCTGGTACAGCTCAAGCATGGGGACTGTACAGAGACCAGCGGCCACACAATCATCGAAATTAGCGGCACTCGATCTGTCCGCAAACTCACTAGACAGCCTAGCTACTCTCTTGCTAGCACTATCCAGGACGGTCGTATGCCGTCTCTTCGTCGTGGTAAGCTCCATAAAGTGGATGTTGGTCATGTTCAAGAATTCCTGCAGTTGTATAGGCTCCGACTCTGGTACAGGTTCTTCGGCACCTGCGCTAGCCTCTTCTTGCGGTTGCAAGTCAGAGACATTGGGAGAGCCTGTTGTACCCTTGGTAATCTCCACTGACACAGAACTCGTCGTTGGTTCCTGAACAGGTGTCGTGTTGAACTGAGGGGTCATGTCGCGCTCTTTGCGAGGAGTGCGACGGCCAACGGTTTCATCCTTTGAGGGTGGTGCTGGAAGATGGATCTTCTTCACCGGACTAGCTGGACGGCCTTTAAGGCGCTTCGGTGTATGATCAGAGTCTACATCCTCATCATCTAGATCCAGCTCCATAGGTCGTTTGCCGAGTACTCCGCGCGCAGCACCAACATGCAAGCTCTTGCGGCCACGGAGCTTATTCTTCTTGGGCGTCAGGCTCGAAATCATGTCCTTTAGGTTCGCGGTGGCATCGCGTTCACTGGGGTGCATCGGCGGGATATGGCCATCTTCCCGGTTCTCTTCCTCTTCGCGCTCTTGGTCGACCTCTTCCTGGAGTTTGATGGGGTCTTCGAAACGCACACCCTGTGGCCTTTGTTCCTTGGGAACGAACGCAGGGGAATCTTCCCCAATTGATCGGCGTTTATCAAGCAGAGCCGCCACTCGGGGCGAGCCCAGTCCCTCCTTGTCGATCCCAAGGCCAGACGACCGTCTCTTTTTGCTGTGAGGCTGCAACACAAAACGAGGGGTGGACTCGCCGGTGGCACTGGATCCAAACAGGCTCTTACGGCCAGGGGACTTTCGCTGGTTTGCCGACTGTCCAAGTTCGGGCTGGAAAAGTTTTCTCGGGGATGCGCTTCGGAGCTGCCTCCCGGTCGAAGGTGGTGTTTTACCAGGTGTCGTGGGATGAATAGCCTGCGGTGTCAAGTGCTCCGCAGGCGGCTCTTCATGAGGAGATGACTGCTGCGCGTTGGAAGTGGGCGTGGTGGACGCTCGACGGCCTAAGCTCTGCCTTGTGCGGCGGGTTCTGACGCTGGCCAAACTGGGGCTACCACTTTCGGAGGCGACAGCTGCGAGATGGAAAGAAACGGGGGTTTTCGCGGGCGACGGCTGAGCATCCCGGACAGGCGAGTTGTCTATCGTGCTTGGGGCGGCTTCGGGTCCGGTTGCTTGATCTGCTTCGCTCTGATCGGCCTCGCCATTCGGGGGCAATATTTGGCCCAGGGCCGTCGTAACATCCATGCCTGTAGTCTGATCGTCGTCTTGTGACTCTGTCTCTTCTTCCTGTGCAGCCGGAAGAATGCCACCGACGGCTCCTGTCATTTCCATGTCCATCCCCTCATCCATATCAGCTTCTTCATCCCACCCAGAACCATTTTTTCTCTTGGTTTGGGGAGTGTCTGTCTCCATTGGAGCATCATAGCCGCCAGCATGTTTTGACGGAGACTCTCGGTTCAAAACACCCCCAACAGCCGTCGTAAACTCCATAGTCATCTCTTCATCCTCGTTTGCGTTGCTGTCGCCACCCACTGACTTTGCAGGAGTCGATAGGGTTATACCTCCGACAACATTTGTAAGCTCCATTGTTTGTTCATCGTAAGTGGTCTCTTCCGAGACCGACTTGCGACGAACGGCGCTTTGGCGACGACTTTGAGGTTTGGACAGAATGCGTCCGATGGCGCTTGTCACGTCCATACTAAGTTCCTCATCGATATCATCAGATGCAGCGTCGGAGTGAGCGAAGTCATCGGCCGCCTCACGGGTCGGGGCATTTTCTTGGTCATGCCGAGCGCTAATGTCTTCCCAGTCGAAACTTTGTCTTTGGCCCTTCTTGATCCAAGGCTGGAAAGCGCCGGTAATCTCTTGGTCGGCAATTTCCATTGACATCTCGCCGTTGTCATATTGGTCCAGTCCCTCCTTCCCAGCCTCTCGGGCGGCTTGCTGAAGAGCGTCGTTGAGGCGAGCGCTAGAGGAGGTAGGTTCAGATGCTTCGGATTGCATTGTCGCAGACGATCGCACGGTTTCGTCCATGCTCATTGCAGTACTCTCGCCATCAAATTCGGAATCGGATGAACTCTCATCGTCATCCCTCGCTGGGCTTGGCATCCCAGCGTCTTCACTCCCGCCTACGGAACTTCCACTGAAGGGACTCGAAGACATCTCCTGGGAGGAACCCATCCCGTCATAGCTTGAAGGTTGCGGGCGATTCGCGAGTTGTTGCAAGTCTTGGTATTTCACCGGAGAGAAAGTGATGTCTGAGTCGGCATCGTCGGGAGAGGAGGGCTCTTCTTGGGCTGGCGCTGGTGCTGGCGGCTGGTTTTCGGCATTCTGTAGAGACGACGCACGTCTGGTGGAGTTCGAAGTGGAGGACGAGGTCGAGTCGTCGGGAATTTCGACCACATTCCAAGTATGCAACGTTGCCTCTGGCGCGAAGGAAACTCGGCGGTTTGCTTTTCGGCACTGGTTAGCCTACATGAGGCCCCCAACAAGGGGGAAGAGCTTACCCATGGACTTCCGGCGAGCCTCTCTTTGTTGAAGGATTGCCTTTCGTTCCCTTTCCGCCCTCTCCTTCTCCTCCCGCTCTCTCGTGGCTGCCATTTCGTCGCGAATTGCCTCCGCATTAAAGCTATCGAACGGGTTGGCGCGTTCTTCCGAGGCAGAGGCTGATGGATGGGCCGGGGTGTTCAAATCGATCAGGAAGCCCTCATTTCCTCCATCATTCGCGTCCTTGTTGTTTTCCTCTTCCTGTTGTTGCCTGCGCGCCGGGGTGCGTCTCCGAGTCTCCTCGAAGGTTGGTATGTTGCGAACTGGCGATACCGGGACTGTAGGCTTGAGGATAGATTTGAGGGGGAAAGCTGTGGTGGACTGCAGAGTATGATCACGCAATTAGCCTTCCGAACGCGATCAGGGGTCCTAACGCAGAGTCTTATTACCTTGCGTCGATTGCCATTCGAGTCTTGGAGGGCATCTAGACCCCCCGGCCCCAAGCTCTTGCTGCGGGATTTCTTTTCTTTCGCTGCAGCCTTCGCCGAGTCATCGCGCGTTTTCGGGGCGCCGATGTCCAATGTGGCATTCTCTTTATCGCCTGCAGTCGCCGTCCTGGTTCGAGGTACGTGAGCGATCGAGCGACGCGATCGAGGACGAGGACGAGTGACACCCGTAGACTCCCGTCGGGACGACATCATGCCAGTAAAGGGGGAATCATAGACCGATAAGGAATTGAAAATGAAATTCCAGTTGTTCCGTCAGCTACGCAGATGGCAGCACTACTGATAACATGGCATTGACAGGTGGATTGATAGCGATTGCGGTGACATCTTGCTCAGCATACTAACTAACTAACCCCCCAAAACAACTAGTCAAGGCGCGCGTCTCCACGGTTGCCGCTCATGTGATCGCCGGATGTAAACAAAGCCCAAAAAAGCCCTAGCCGAACCGCACCATCCCCGATCCGGACTAGCGTGGCCATCGCACACTCACCACACTGAATATCCGGCTTGACTTCGCTAAATCTTCTCCAACATCGACGTTCGACAACCGCAGGCCCCGACAACCCCTTTCGCGACGAATTTTCCCAACCCAGCTCGACTTCGCTTCCCTGTCGACCTGAATTCTCGCAAAAATGGCGACCGAGTTGAACGTCCAGTCGGAACGTGCGTTCCAGAAGCAGCCTCACATCTTCGTCAACCCCAAGACCACCGCGAAGAGCAAGAAGACCACCCAGGGTCGCCGCTGGTACAAGGATGTCGGTCTTGGTTTCCGTACCCCCAAGACTGCCATTGAGGGCAACTACATCGGTATGCACGACCTCCGCTGAATTTTTCACTGGGACATCGAACCATCGGATTTGGAGAAGGACTGGGCACAGTATTGGGAGTTTGGAGATGAAAATACCGTGTGGCAAATGGGTTATCAGATTGGATATACGACACTTTGCGACAAGAAAGAAAGATATAAAGAAGGAGACGGGGATTTTTCATCTCTCTTTTTCAAGGGAGCGTACCAAAATTCGAGAGCCCAGACTGCTACACGGACTTTCATCTTCAAATTTCAAATGCCCAGACCTATCATGATCTCCGGTCATCACCCAATACACTGATAGCAGGTTTGCTGATTCCAAACAGACAAGAAGTGCCCCTTCGTCGGTCAGGTCTCCATCCGTGGCCGTATTCTGACCGGTCGTGTCGTCTCCACCAAGATGCACCGTACCATCATCATCCGCCGTGAATACCTCCACTACGTCCCCAAGTACAACCGTTACGAGAAGCGCCACAAGAACCTTGCCGCCCACGTCTCTCCCGCTTTCCGTGTTGAGGAGGGTGACTGGGTTACCGTCGGCCAGTGCCGTCCTCTGAGCAAGACTGTACGTGCCCCTTTACAGGCTTCCAGGCCTTTCGCCCTTCCGCATGGAACTGGCGCAACTGCCGAACATACTTCTATGGCTTTCATTCGCATATAACAGGCGCTAATATATAATCCAACAGGTCCGCTTCAACACCCTGCGTGTCCTGCCCCGCACCGGCAAGGCCGTCAAGTCGTTCAGCAAGTTCTAAGCGTGTCGATGACGAAAAAAAGGGGGTATTTTCTCGAGGAAAACCATCTAGGGCAGCGGCGCGACAGGGGCAATAAGCGAAATAGTACAAACGGGTTGGGATTGTTTCACGATTTCATGTCCCAGGTACCCTTGTGAAAGGAGATATCCAATGAATATTAAAAAGAAAAAAAAAATCGCTCACTTTTGATCCCTAATATAGAGATCCCGCCTGTTCTCTAGAAGGTCGGGTATGGGTGTTTTTTTATCTTACATTCACTGGGTTATTATAATCTGGGGCGCTACGCATATATTTCCTTAATGTGCTACTTTTGGTGGAAACCATTGGTCTTTCTGCTTGTTTAAACTAGGGACTCGTAGTACGCTGTGGTTTTGGTGTTGAATACAGTAGACTGGACTTCTCCATTTGTGGTAGCTATGCTTTACTTCCAGTAGACACCGCCCATGCAACTCTGATGTCAACCATGTCCCGTGCCAATCCATCACCCTGTGCCTCTGCCACCTGCGGTTCCGGAACACCACGTCTATTCCAGCCAACCGAAAGAATAGCCCCAGGCGCAAGAGACCCTCGCTCATACAATAGATCATCCGATCAACTCCCAATCGACAGTCTCATATCAGTTGATGATCTGCATTATGCGTGCTCTCCGCATAGCAAACGGGTCCTGGTCTGCAGGTTCCGGGGCCGGGGCCGGTTCAGGCTCACTTACACGCCACTGTTCGCCATACGCTGAAGTTGAATGTTCATCGTGACCCCCTCCAACGGTATGACCCTCAATAATGGTCCCGACCACAGGAGGATCTTGGTTGTAGTGCTGGAGTAAGCCGGGACGGAAAGGGTTTCCAGGACTGGGGAGTTGCCTCGTGTCGTCCTCGTCAGAGGTGTCTATCGTGTTTGATCCGGATGGGGACGGCGCATGATCTTCTGGGTGCTGCTGTCCTGTGACCCAGAGCTGGGTGTCGGCGTCGAACAACTCGACTGTGGTGGTATGGTCCGTTCTAGAGGGTACAGGACAGGGTGTGTCGAAGATGCGGCTGAACTCGTCTCCGAGAGACTCATCCTCCGACGACACTTCGTCTTGAGTAGCTGCTGCTGCTGCTGCGGCAGTGTCGGGCAAGGGGTACGGAGTAGCGGATCGGGGGAGGCAAGGGGCGTCATTGACACTGGCGTCTTCGTTCTCCACTGAATCCTCGTCATCGTTGGCCGTAGCGGCAGGAACAGGCGTCATTGGTAAAGAGCTCTGAACAACAGGATCGGCATTGTAAGAATGGGCATTGTAGCCCTCTTCAACTCCGGCATGAAACTCCTCCAAGGACCCGTCTCTCGCAAACCTCCATGAATACGTCAGGCCCTCGCTCACAAACTTGCAGTGTTCACGAGAAACCCCAATCATTGATAAGAGTTTTCCAATGGTCATGCCGGACTCAAGATCCCTTCCTCCTGGCCCGTTTCTAAGAGCGTGGTGCAACGCCGGTCTTGCAAGTCTAAACGAAGAGATCGTCTCAAGTTGCAGGATGCTCCCGATATCCGCAACCTCATTCGCGATCTTCAGTAAGGTACTTGCTTTGTACGAGCAGACAATGGCGGCGCTGGGGACTTTGGCCCAAATGAGATACTCCCCGCCTCCGTGATATCCCCTGATGTTGATCTTCAGTCTCCTGACGAGGTCACGCGCAGAGAACACAGGAGATTGCAGTTTCGTGGTGTCGATGATTGAAATCATCGCACCTTCTTGGTTCCTCAATGCCCGGTGGAGCGGGGCAAGCATTGAGGTGAAAGTTGAGATGAAAGGCGTCGGGGACTTCTCAATGCTAACATGTGTTTTGACAAAGTTATCAAACTCGCCCTGTTCGAGCTGCTCGGGGGAGAAATAGTCCACACCATCTGCGAATAGGCCCGCGAGGAATAGCTTCTTGGAGTTCACGCCTTGAGAGTCGACGTTGGACCACCGGTACAGAACTGGCGGTAGCCCCTCCGCTCTTGCTGCGTCCTGAGTTTCCTGGTTTTCGAGAGTCGGATTCTCCAACATGCACCAGTAACACAGTTTCCCGCAACTATTGACAAGGCTCGTGTTTTCTTTCAGTGATGGCGGAGACACAGGGGGGGTCTGCATCTGTACATCGGGGCTTGTTGCTCTGGCTGGACTTGTTTCCGGAGACCGTTCAAGCTCATCGAGCCCAGGCTGCGCGAATCAGTACATGGATTCCTATTGCATACTGTTAACTTACGGCTGTGGCCTCTCCCTCTCCCTCAGTCATCCCCAAAGCTCTCACCCGTCGGTACCGGAAATGTGACAGATTAATATCATCCGTGGTTTTCTCGCGGAGATCAATGCCCAAACTCGCCGCTGTCTGCTTGATCTTCCTCAGGTGACCACGCCATTGACCATTCGCATCAAACGCAGACAGATGAACCTCCCCAAACACATGGTCTCCACTGCGCTTCATGTGCTCCCACTGGGTATTGATAGAAGTCTTTCTCGCACTCTGAATCCCGCATTCCATCAACTCGCCTTTGAAGATACAGCTGAAGATTTCTTGGAAAGCGGTGAGATCTTTCTGGAAGTGCTTATAGAGAACACACAGGATCACTCTCTCTTCCCTGTTCCACTTGATTTTGGGGACTTTCTTTCCGAAATTGAGAGACGACCCCTGGGGGGACGGCATCTCTGCGGGAGGGTTATTAGACTGAAGGTGGTGGGGGGTGGTGAGGAGGAAGTATTCTCATTGATTGGGGTAGGCTCAGGTACAAGGGCATTGTCGAGGGTTGGAAGTCATGAGACAAGATGACAGAAAGGGGGTGTTGTTTTGAATCCATGCTGTCCACGAGTGATTCCTGAGGTGTTTGTTACTGTGTGATGGGATGTTTTGATAAAAAAAAATCAAACAGCAGAGGCACTTTTAGGAAGAAGAGGGTGAGAGTGAAGGAAACAGTGAAGAAATAAGTGAAGAGATAAGTGAATGTTATGTGAAACAAATCACTTGCGAGCAAGGAAGAAGGTCTAAGTCAACATAACAAATTGATATCAGACCAAGTGAAACAAGCGAAACATGTATTTTTGAAGCTTTTCAACTAGACATTATTGTGAGATGATCTCTGCTGAGAAGCTTATGTAAACATCTTATACGCATAAGATTGCATGTTAGAATCACTCTTGTATGTAGTAATATAGTTATGCCTTCTAGTTGTACTCGGTAGGCAGCAGTGGATGTATATATAGAGCAATATAGGAGATAATCTCCGACCAAACTGATATAATTCGGAAAAACAATATAGATCAGAAATGAGACAAAATTACCTCTCAAATCTAGTATAATGGAAAATGGCGATCATTCTCATCTTGGTATTCATCAATATTCATTAATGCAGCCAAGGCAGGAAGAAAGAACGGCGATGGTGACGTCGGGAGGAGACGGACTAGTAGTGACTACGGGTACCTAGGGGGCACCGAGAAAGAGAAGGGAGCTCCACCGAGAGTTCATCTCACTTCTCCCCCGGTCGCTTTGAAGCTTCTCCCAGTTTCCAATCGGTCCCCCCTCCGTGACTCCCATGATTCTGGCTGGTCTTTGAATTTTTATTTTTTCCTAAACTCTTCATAATCTTGTCTTTCTTGACCTGGTAGGACCACCATCGATCCATCCCCATCACTTCCTGATTTCCCCGCTTCGTTCCTGACTGGCCGCATAAGATTCACCGATCCGCAACATGGCCTCTTGAGCCACGATGATAATTTTTGGTACTCACGTGGACAAGTCGTTTTGGATTCCACGAGAGCTGTACGCTTTCTACTGACACAAGCGATATCGCCCACCTTCTTGCAACACCTGTTCGTCGAATTGAACCTTATCGCGACACAGTCAGCCTCCTGATCCTGATTGCGGCCCAATTGAGGCGTCCCGACAATGTCCAGTGGGAACTTTGAGAAGTCGGTCAAGGGGGCCACGAAAATTAAAGTCAGTTCGAGACATTGCGCTGTGCTGTGATTCTACCGGGATTGGATGTAATACTGATGGTTTTTCTTGCCCCGTGGACAGCTTGCGCCCCCGAAATCCAAATACATCGAACACATATTGGTAGCGACCCATACTGGCGAGGCTGGCGTGGCGGAAATCTTTCGCACGCTGGAGATCCGGCTTCGTGAGTCAGGATGGACGGTCGTGTTCAAGGCCCTGATTGTCCTTCACATGATGATCAGAGAGGGGCAGTTGGACGCCACGCTACAGTATGTGGCGGAGAACCCTCGAAAGATCGCCATTAGCGGGTACTCGGAAGGTGAGACGATCACAGACAGCGAACGGAAGGAGAACACATGCTGATGCAGAGGATTTTCCAGTGCAAACGCAAGGACACAATATTCGGAGATATTCCGATTACCTCATTTCACGTGCGAGGGCGTTCGAGAAAACGAAGACAGACTACGTGCGGGGTGGACAAGGCCGCATGAGACGGTTGACAGTGGAAAAGGGTCTTCTTAGAGAGACGGAGATTGTCCAAAGGCAGATTCGCGCGCTGCTCAAGTGCGACGTATGTTTTCCTCTTGCTGTCGCGATACCGGAGCCCACAACTGACTGTTCTTAGCTCCTGACCGACGAAGTCGAAAATGAAATCACGTTAACAGCCTTCCGGCTACTCACGTTGGATCTGTTGGCCCTGTATTCGGTAATGAATGAGGGTACGATCAACGTCTTAGGTATGACCGTCCTCCAATGCAGGTGGTGGCTTGCTCTTACGATGCCTGTGTATAGAACACTATTTCGAGATGTCACGACCGGACAGCGAGCGTGCGCTGGAAATTTACAAGACCTTTGCTGCCCAGACGGAAGAGGTAGTGAAATTTTTAGGAGTGGCTAGGCATTTTCAAAACGCCACCCGTTTGGAGATACCGAAACTGAAGCATGCTTCGACGGACTTGACGCGACTGCTGGAAGATGATCTGAATGACCCGGACTTCAACCAACGTCGAAGAGAATATTTGCTGTCTAAGGGACGCAGCAGTGCAGAAATCAATGCGTCGCTGGCTCCGTCCGGCAACAGCAAGAGCAACAGCAGTAGGCCAATGAGCAGAGTCGTCAACAACTCGGAACCCGCACGGCCTCGGACAGAGCCTGCGCCGCAAAAGAAGACGAATCAATCTGACCTGATCGATTTCTTCGATACGATTGAGCCCCCCGCTCAGCAACAACAGCAATTTTTACAGCAGCAGCAACAGCAGCAACAGCAAGCACTGCAATTCCAGCAGATGGGGTTCCAGCCACAGCAGCAAGGGTTTTACGCCCAGCCGACAGGGTTCCAACAGCAGCCTCAAGCCACTGGTTACGGCGGGCAATTCGCTCAAGCGAACAGCAATCAATTTGGACAGCAAGTCCAGCAACCGCCACAGCCTCTCCAGGCCACCCCCACTGGTGCCGGGTTCGGCGGGTACTCGGCGCAGCCGCAGCCACAGACGCAGACGTATGGATACCAGAATCATCTCACCCCTCAGAACAATGCGGCACCTTTTGGTCAGCCACAGCAGCTACAACCGCAGACCACCAATCCGTTCCGGCAATCGATGTTGCTGAACAACCCCACTGGGTCACAGTCACCTATGAGTGCGTCTCCTTCTCCTGGATTGAATCGCCAGAGCACAAATCCGTTTGCGCGACGATTGTCCATGGTAAATCCGCAGTTTAGCGCCGGTGGACCGGGATCATTCTCTCAGCAACAGCCCCAGTTCCAACAACCACAGCAACCCCAACCACAACCGCAGCAGCAGCAACAGCCCCAATTCCAACAACCGCCTCCGCAGACTGCCACACTGCAGCCTCAGCGGACTGGGACCAACCCGTTTGCCCGCAGCTCTTCGGTTCCGCCCCAGCAGACACCAGGGCTCCAACCTCCCGCTGCCGCGCCTCTGCGCCCGAATCCCACGGGCAGTACGAATCCCTTCCGACAAAGTACCTTTGTCAACCAACAGACTGGCCAAGGGTGGCAGGCCAGCGGCCAGCAGGGCACCCTTGGAGGCTATGCACTACCGGATACGACGCCCGTCTTTCCGCGACCAGGGATGTAATGACGCAGGGGCCAGTTCTAGAGTGTCGTTTTTCATTTCTTTACCCCCTTTCTCTCTTTTCCCCATCCTTTCTTTAGTCTCATTGCTGTCCAATCGGTCGCATTTTGATCTGTCTTTCTGTCAGTCTTTTTTATCTTATCTTTCTTTCATTTTCCTCCATGCATACAACGATGGCTCGCAGCGCGGCCACTGCTGGATTCTGTGGCAATAGCGAATATAACGATCGAGGGTATGTAATCAGACACGCAGTTGGTACAATTGTATGACGAGAGCTGTCTGAGGATTGGATAGACTAGGATAGACGTGTTCATTGATAGGATTCACAGAGTACAAGTACAACCTACCAGCTTATAGTCACCCCAATCCGGATGGAATGTCGGAGAGAAGTGTCATTCCGTGCATCGATCAGTACCTGTAGATAAGATACGGTATCCGTACGTATACACCTTTCAATACACTAGTAACCTACCGTTGAAAGTCTGGTCCAAACAGCCAAATTAAACTCCCCCACTCGGTCATCGGCAGCAGCAGCTTCCGAGATCTAGCCTCTCTCGCTTTTTCTATCTTATTTACAGTCGCTCCTGTCAACTTCACTTCCAAGAAGGGAGAGCCTGTCATCGCGATTCTATCATCCTGTGGTAGACAATGGCCCTTACCACATAAAGACAGTGCGCGGGCTATTTCCTATCTTCGCCATTGGACTCGGAGATCTGTCTCTCTCTTTAGCGTCTCTCCAGTCGCGCCACGCCACTCTAGAAGAATGAAACACACCCATGAAGATCACCAAATAGGATATTTGAATACCCCCTCTTTAGACTCGCCTATGAAATGGATGCCAAGAACCATCCTCATCAGCCAGCCGACCCGGCGGCCTCCCATCACGGGCCTAGCTCGGCTGGCTGGTCGGCCCCGCTATCTTACTCCGATGCCATGAACCACGCCTATACCACCTACCCGGCACCCGACGCGATAGCCCACCCTCGTCCCCCTTCTCCTACGCCTTATCATGATCCTCACGCGCCTCCACCGCCGTCCTTGGCGACGCCACCGGTCCAGGCCAATCGCTCGCAAAACCCCACTGAATCCCATCGCGCCGATGCGGGCAAGAACGGCGCCGTGTCCAAGATGCGCAAACCGCGCAAGGGCAACAATGCGGGGGGAGGCAAGTCGTCGCTGTTCTGGGTCCATACCGATTCGCAGTCTGTCTCTGAGGGGACCCGTGAGGATACCCTCAAGCGCATCCGGTCCCATGTCATGTCCGAACACAATCGCAAAAAGCGCCTCGAGAATACCAAGCGGTATAAGACCAAGGCGTGGAAACACTTGGCTTTTCAGCCGGTCGAGACGAGTGCCTCTACCTCGTCTGCTACCGCTGCGTTGACGGCGTCCACTGAACCTCCCGCTTTGATCAAGACGACCTCGCCCGATAGTCGAGGATCGTCCGCGTCGTCGTCGCCAGGGCATATTCCACCGGAGAGGCGTGTGAAGGGAGAAGACAGCCCAACTGGGCTTGTGGTTGCTCCGGTCGTCCCGGGGAGGCACATTAATAACGGTCACCGGGGGAGCCCGGTACGAGTAGTATCTCCATGGGACTATGTCAGCCAGGGAGCCCAAGACCCATTTTGTCTGGGACATTCGCGGTTGTCGGATCGTATGATGCGGCATTTGCAACACTGTAAGTGCTGTACATTGGCATACTAAGAAGTCTGGCTAATTAGGTCACCAGTTCTATGCAACTTGACACAAATAGCCTACCCTTTACAACGTCGATACGGACCCAAGTTGCAGGCTCACTGGTCGACGTTGGTCCAACAAGACCCTGCATCCCTCCATGCCTGTATATGTGTCGCGGCGTCTAATATGGCCCTCCAGGCGGGTGAATTCCCGCTCAAGGACCCGAACAAACGGTCGTCGAGTCCGTTGTTGCTCGACACTTTTCATCACCGCGGGGAAACGATCCGACTGGTCAACGAGGGCCTATCGGATCCCGTCAAAGCGTCGAGTGATGTGTTGATCGCAGCGGTTTCGATCCTACTGACAATCGAGGTATGTTTTCCTTCACGGGGTGATCGGGGTGTTTTCTTGCTGACTGCCCAGATTGCGTCCGGTAACCCCGACTATCTCAAGATCCACCTGGCCGGCTTAAGGCAGATGGTGGGCATGCGGAATAGTCTTGCGGATGTACCTCCGGACGTCCGGTTCCAGATCTCATGGTGAGCTTCGCCAATGCCCTCTTCAAGCGGAAGCACCGACTAACTAATGTAGGACCGACATCCGCGTCGCCTGCATGGCATTCACACGACCCATCTTCCCCTTCATCCGCTACGCCCGTCCCACCCACCTCTCCGTCCGCCCTCCCTCAACAGACCTCTCCAACACCGCAGCGCGCTTAATCGCCCTAACAGAAATACCCGGAATCTTCAGCTCCGCCCTCGTCCAAACAATCTACGACCTCGGCGAGCTCACCTGGTGGGCCGAATGGATCAAAACCGACCCGACCTACCAAGACTTCGACGAAGAAACCGAAGACTACTTCAACACCGAAGTCCTCTACATCGAATACGCCCTCCACACCGACCGCTACACCGACACGGGCGTCTCCAAAGGCGACGCCTCCATCGAAGGCTGCGTCCGCCTCGCCAGCCTCCTCTTCCACAACAGCGCAATCTGGGACTTTTACCCGCAGATCGCGCCTGTCTTTCCCAAACCCATCACCGGTCTGCAGAAGGCTCTGGAGACGACCATCCCAGCCGGCTACTTCCACCTCTGTCAAGATTTGCTCATCTGGCTGCTCTTCATGGGCGCCTGCGCCTCGCGGCTGATGGTCCGCGAGCGGGCGTTTTTCGTGACAGAGCTGGCTGCCGCTGTCCAGGACCATGGCGTCCACTCATGGCAAGAACTGCGGACATTACTCCTGGGGTTCTTTTATGTTGATAGAACGTATCTGGGCCCGTTACGGGAGGTGTGGGACGAGATTCAGATGCGCCGGCCCCCGCAGTATCTCACCGACGACCGATGATTCCACTTTTTTAACTTCAGCATATGTATGTATGTATGTATACTAATGAGATATGGATGACGATATCAAGAAGGCCCACTTGTGGATTCACAACGTAGTCTATACCCAGTAGAGCATGCCCAGAATCAAGCGTATTCCAGCTTGTCAGGATACAGCTAGAGGGAAGGATACTAACTATCATAGTGTAGGATACTTCACAGGTACGCAAGTAACATGTTGGATCTCGGGGTTGGTTCGGAGAAAGTAATAAAGTAAATACCTTAGGTTAGGTAGGTAGGTATTTCTGGGCGTAGAGAGGCTGGCTAGCCTTTAAGGTGGATGGGTAGGAATCCATGGAGAGTTGTTTGTGATCTGCCTGCTATGCAGTTCATCCCTTATATGGTACATACCTAGCTAGCTACCTAGGTAGGTAGACTACAAATAGATAACGATACCAATAGCATAATGAATAGTAGTACTGTACTATACCCAGGCGCAATAGGTAGGGACCTACGTACGTAGGTACCTAGGTAGGTAAGAAGCCAACAAGTCCAAGGCAGACAAGACCAGGAGGACAAGACAAGACAAAACAAGACAAGATAAGAAGATAGCAAAAGAGTAGGAATTAGATGAGTAAATGAGTAAGACAGATAAGAAAAGAAGAATGATTTAATCCCTCAGTGGCACCAAGAACCTAGAGCCTAGACTAGATAGAACCTATCCACCGAGACGATGAATTGCCTCCACAGTAGCTGGCTCCATAGTCTGTCTTACAATCCCTAGTAGCTTAAACTATCAAGTACTATAGTACCTACAGTACCTAGTTAGTGGTATCTACCTACCTGCCTGGTAGGGTAATGTCATATAGTGCCACGCTGTATACTAAGGAGGTACTTACTGTATGTAGTAGGTACTTAGGGAGTAGTAGAGGTACACCATGGATAGCACAGCTGCCTCAGGTACTCTACCAGGGCTCACTCTTGATTCTTGAATCTCTTCGAGTAAATGTAGTAAGCCTGAGGAAACAGGAAGGTACGTACCTGCCTAATGGAGTAACATCTCCCACATGGGTAAGTTACAACATCCTTCGTACCCCCCTACCTCCTACCTACCAACCAAATACTATCAACTTACCAAGTAAACACAATCATTCTAGGCAGGTACATCATACCTACCTACCTACCTACCTAAAACAAGTACCTCATAGGCAAGAACTATGAAAAGAAACCGCCGAGTTTCACCCGCCCAAGATAAGCAAGTTAGGCAAGTCCTACAGTGGCGAGATCCACCGAGAAATTTCCGACTGCCAATTTCCTTCCCTTATCCACACGGTACACCAACACCCAATGAATCAGGGAGGACCGAGAAATGCCCGACAGGTTGAGGTATTATTTCATACTTATGTACCAGCTGTTTTCTCTCTTTCTCTTTCTTCTCTTTTACTTTTTTGCTCTTTTGCTCTTTTGCTCGTTTGCTCTCTTTTACTTGTACTCTTCGATGGACCTACTGAGTAGGTACTTTTGTTGAGTCAGTCGTTGGGTCTGGGTTGTTGTATACTACCTGTCGACCTTCATTAACTCTACTCTGCTTTAGCATGTGTCTGTCTGTGTCTACAGATAACACTCGATCGAGTGATCACTGCTATACTACCTATACTAACTCTAGGTTCTGACGACTAATGTCGAGTGGTATGAGCTGTCAAATGTTGAACTAATCCGAACTTCAGGTGCCAACATGACTTCACCTTACTCTACTGACTACTCTTTCATCCAGTTACTTACTACTTTACAGTAAGTCATACAACACAAGATCATTGATTTACATCATATTCAAGACGCTAACAAGCTAGATACACCCAGTCCGCTGAAACAGCCAGACCACACCTTCATTACAAGTCTTGTCCGTCTTCATCGTGAACCAACAAAAGGAAAAAGCATATTAAACCAAAAATGATCAGGTATACCTGGAAAGACACGGTATATCTACCGGGATTGTCTTGATCACATCACTGAACAGGGATTGCCCACTGTCATTTTATAAGAAAGGGTATCTGGCAAAAGCAAATGCAGGGAAACACCCTACACCAATACTGAGTCACGCCGGACCGTCGCGGAGACACCGCGTTTAGACGGTCTCGCGCTCGGTCTTCTGCTGCCGGCGAGAGCGGGCAGTCGGGGACCAGGGGAAGTGGGCCACGGGGATTATGAAGAAGCTATTGGTGTTGTCGGCAATACCGGCCAGGGCGTTGTACCAGGCGGTAAAGGCAGACAGGAGACCGAAGAAACCACCGGCCATGATGACGGGCGGGTTGGGCTTGCCCTCGGCGTTACGGTGGAGGTACCCGATACCCAGCAGCAGGAAGGTCAGGTCCAGGAAGAAGAACAGCAGGAAGAAAGCCACCGTCGACCTCAGGGTGCAGAAGAGGAGGATGGTGGTGAAGATGAACCAGCCCTGAAGTTGGAGTCAGCGTGTGCGCATCCCGACATGGATTGTCGCGAACTTACGAAGAGCATCAGACCGAACGAATTGTCGAACATGGCCTTGCCTCCGGTTTCCTCCAGCGTGGATTCAATTCCAAAGCCACCCGGAGTCAAGACAATCGCAAACGAGATCCAGAAACCGCCGTACGAGGACAGAGCAGTAGCACCGAACGTGTTACCAACGGCCATTTCCCTAAAGATCGTCAGACCTGCTATACAATTTACAATGACTGCGACAGCGCAAAAACTTACCACATGCCGGCCAGCAATTGGACGAGACCACCATAACCATAAGCGGAAGCGACCACGATGTTGGGCGCGGTGATGTCACGGGCTTTCATGTTGATGGCACTCAGGATGAAGGTGGTGAGGGCGAAAGCACACAGGCCCAGGGGAGCGGGATTGCCGAACTTGCGCGAGTCGACCGACTTGTACAGACCGGGCTGGAACTCACCACCGAAGGGACGGAGGTTGGCCTCAGCGGTGTTGACGTGGGACAGCGGGCCGTAACCAAAGCGGGCGGCGGCGCGCGCGGTCTCCTCCGCCGTCATGGTGTTGTGCAGGTTGGCACCTTCACCATTGCTGTTGTTGCTGTCGGGCGACGGCCCGAAGTCCTTCTCCAGATGCTGGTTTTGCTCGGCGGACATGATGATGAATTGACTTGACGGTATTATCGTCAGATATTATATCAGGTAAGGATTAAAAGACAAGTATAACACCAGTGCCAAAGACGACAAAGGGGAGAAGGGAAGAAGAGAATTAATCCAAGCACACAGCACGGCTGGGCGGGGAGAACAACAACAGCTTCCAAAGCTCTTGAATAACAACAGGAGAGGAGATCAGGGACAGGAGAGAGAAGGGGAAGAACCAGAGGAGCGGAGTTGGGGGGGGAAGGAGGAGAATAAGAAGGGCGACAAGCAAGGACAGGCGGAACAGACAATGAGACACGTCCGGGCAGGTGAAAGTTGCAGGGGAGTCCAGTTACTTACCGAATTGGGGGGAAAGGCCCGTTAGTTGAGTTTAGTCGAGTTCTTTAGCGGAGGCCCCAATTCTTTTAGTCGGTTTTAATTTTTGCGTGGGATGGGAATGGGGGGGGAAGAATGAAAAGAAGGGTAAAGAAAGAGTAAGTGGAGTACGGATTGCAGCGAGTTGAACGAAATGGAGTTGACACAGACAAAGGAAGAACCCGGTGAGTTTCCTCGACAAGAATCCCTTATAATCTTGAGATGTCTGGGGGGATCCTTGGGAGGGAGACGAGAGATCCTAAATAACGAGCATCAATGAGGTCGTGACTTCCCACGCATTACGAGAATCCCCCCGTGGCAAAGCCCGTACTCCATCTGGGGAAAATGAATGAGCTCCATGGAAGCGAGCATGGTTGGTCCAAGGATGAATGGAAGTTTTCCTCTCTTCCCTATTTTTTTCCTTTTTTTTCCCTCTTAATTCATCCTTGCTTTTATTTTCTTAAATTTGATTTGACTCTCCCTTGCCACGACCGTGGAAGCTCCCAAGAACTGGGGGAGCCAGTGGAGCCAGTCTGGAGTCAACCAGTGGATTTCAGGGCACCAATGACCAATCAAGAGGATATTCGCTAGCATGGATCTGACTGACCCCAGAAGGATATTATTATTATTATATTATTATTACTAACACTTGATTGAATGGCACTGACTTGAAAGCCACATCGTGTGAAGTAAGAAACACAACAAGCCCTAAAAAAGTACTCTGTAATTATCCTAATTATGCAATGCCAATTTCCACCGGAGAACCGTGTCCGATCCGCAGGATGACTAAAGTTCATCGATGAGTAATCAGGCAGTGGACCACACTAGGGTGATCGTCATTTGAACAAACAATATCTTTCTGGCTGCTCTTTGCAAGATACCAGTTGGCTATGGTATTGTATCGGATATCTGCATTATTGTCCTCGGTATTGGTTTCCATCAAATGACCCAAACAATGAGGCCACAAACATCCAAAAGAATAGAATGAAATGGAGAAGCACGGAGACGGAACCCTCGGTTCCACCGATAATAGACGACGACCACGTCCCGGGGAGGCAGAATGCCAGCAAGTGACAAAAAGTACAGTGCTTAAGTGTCGTGGACTAGCAGAAGTAACGGTCCACCTCGTGCACATCCTCATGGCTGGACCACTTTTTACTCCCCCCTCACAAATCAGATTTGCTCTCCCGTGTGCGAACGGGAAGCTTGTCCGTGTTCTAAATTTCTTTGCTTCCGAGGGATGGACAGTGGTATTGTTGAGTTCGTCGGAACGACACTAATAGACTTCGTACAATCCACAAACCATACAATCGCTCATCGGGGAAAACATACCCTAGGCAACTCAACGGCCCAGGGCTCTTCTCCAGATGGTACCCAGATATGTACGGGATACCAGAATGAGAGTGAGATTGAGATTTCCCACGGAGAAAGTGGCGGATTACCGCACCAATGATGTACCATGTACCCCAGCAGGGTTAATGAAACCATGGGTCGTAGCGAGTGTAATCAAGCGTTTGAAGCGATGGGACCGTCCTCTCTGGCAGTGGCAGTTGGCACAGTAGGCTAAGGTTTAGGGGGGCCACGGCCCATGAGCTTCGCTGGAGTTGTCGGACCCGTTTTTTTATCATGATTTGTGATCCTCCCGTCTGCGTAAGTTTGTGGGCGGACGACAAGCTCACAGGCTCTCGGGAGGGACCTGTTTTCACCTTATCCTGATTAGAGGTCGGGTTGATGATTGTAATTTGGCCTTAACTTTGGTACTACTCCGTACCTAGGTGGTCAATTGACCAGAAAATCATAAGGAACGGGTTCGGACCTTGTCCGGGTTGGTACGGAGGGGAAGATCATCTTCTATCCGCCGTTTTGTCGTGTCGTCGGGAGCTGAATCGGTAGTCGATTCTCTTGTCTGTCTCTCATGCTGCCAAACACGAGGTTAGAGGCCAGACACCACAGGATGAATGCAAGGGGTTGATCGTGTCCGATCATACATCAACCAGGGACCCTTGTAGTTGTTCCCAGGGGAACCTCTACCACTGTTTACAGGGACACACCTAATTAATATTTGTAAATCTAATCCATGAAAGGGGCCAGCCATCCCCGGCTAACTCAAGTCAATACCACCATACTCAAAACCACACACGCAAACCATGGACAAAGCGCCAACAAGGAGTATGAGAGTTGAAACGAAAAGGGTGTGGACTATTGCCAGCTAGCTGATCATTGACCATCTCCTTCCAATTATGACCAGGAGTCTAGTCGGGGGACACCTTGGCGGCCTGGCAGCCTGGCGGGGAGAGGAATTAGTTAGTTACTCCGTAGTTAAATGCTGGCCTGGCCCCAGCTGGCAACAGCTGCAAGTCATCACGACGCTAAATCCAAGATGCATCTCTAGCTCTAGCTTCCCCCCGACGGGGAGATTTCAATTGGTGTCGTAATCGATTCCTGCCGTCTTAGCGTCCTGTGCCACTGCATTGATTGAAACATTAAGACCGTTGTTTTTGTTGAGGGTAACTAATTAACGAGTGTATTTATTATTCTCCTGTTTATGGGTTTGAATAATTCAGAGACATTAGTACCTAGATTCGCCCAGTCCAGTCCAGCCAGCCAGCCAGTCCAGCCGGGCCGCCCGGGCTGAGACAACCGCCTTGACGGGCAATCAATCCCGCTTACCAGCCTGGATTTAGCCGGCAATCTGGACTCTCTCTCGCGAGTCTGTCAGGCACGCACTATATTTCAAACTCGACTGTCAATATCTGTCGACATGGAGAAGGACGCTTTGAAATAGCCTGGGCTTTTAGCCACACCATTTCTTGGCGGAAATCTCTTGATTATGCTAGGCTTATGGTGGCTGATTGCTAGGATGATTTGCCTGTACCTTTTTGACTCACTTCGCGTCGTAGTAAAACTGCAATCATACTGTTTCCTATTCAATCAATCCTATGTAGTCGTGGACCTACTCCGGTCAAGCCCACGGGGAGAAAATCAAAAAAGTAAGAGAAAAGTCCCCGAAAACCTTGGTACAACCATTTCATCTCATTCCATCAACCGGATAATTGAATCACATTTACAATTAGAATTTCAATGATAATTTCCCCCAACAATCCCCATACCCACCCCCATCATATCTATCCATCCACTCATCCAAAGGAAACGGCCCTCGCGTCGACCAGAATCCACCGGCAAGTACGGAGTAAGTCTGGGGTCGATCGGGTCCGACCACTCCCACGGCAGAAAGGTATAACCTAGGTTATACTGTCAAATCTCCCTTCCCCCGAGATGCTTGGCAGATCCTTGGTAGAGAATGAGATCAGTTTACTCCAGTCCCAACTCCCAACTCCTAAACCCCAACTTACGATAAATGTGGGGAGGTAGAATAATCTGGAGAGGAGAAAACACGAGGTGATCTACGGGGTATTACCCAATCCTTTACGTTTGATCCTGGCTTGTAACTTGTCTGGTCTTCTGTATAGCGGGGAAGTGGGACTTTTTTTTCGTTTACCATGTCCGTGTTTGGTAGACAGTATATCGTAGTGTAGTGACTAGTAGAGCTATATAGCATGGCATGACTACCTTAGTTGGGATTGTTCGTCCGTCCAAGGTCTTGGTTTGAGATTAGGGTCTTGTCATGGTCTGAGCGGTAAGTACTGGGTAGGGCTTGCGTTTCCCCGGATTGCTGCTGCTGCTGCCAATCCTGTAGCTACGATGCTAGACAAGCAGATCAGCACGAACAGTTCACACACACACATTCCCAACTACCTATCATGTATTTTCTCTCCAAGAGGAGTGCATGGTACAGCCAGCAAAATCACGAAGATGAGGGGGATCGACAGTTCTACCGAATCCTTCTACGGAGTACCGGATGAAGAAACCAATACAGATCAAGTCCCGACAACTACGGGCTTTACCTATATCGCTTGCTTAATAAAATATAAAACTAAGTAATACAGAATGAGAGAAAAGAAGGCAAATCTAGACAACTGATACAACGAAATTGGAACCATGGCTTAACCACCAGGTCAGGCCCGGCTATCTCCTTTCTTCACGCCCGTGTAATCCGAGCTTCAAAGACTGGATAGATTCCAAATCAGGGCCCAGATGTAAGAACCACAAATTGGGCATGAACCAAGTAACTAAGTCATGATCATGCCATGTCGGGGAACTGCAGTTGGGATTTCCCCAACCCAGCCAACCCAATCAGTCAATTGGTCTGGTTCCAGACAGCGGATGTGCTTCTCCACGACGGGGTTGCAGCTCGGTTCGGGGGAGCGGAGGGATTGAAGATCTTAGCATTCCCTACCTACCGTACTACAATCAGAGCGATTTCCAGATTCGGTCAAACTCAATGTTATATAATATCGCAGTCATTGTGATAGCGACGATGATGATATAATGATGATGATAATATCTCCAATGTGGGCCTGCATGGATAGAAAAGAGACTCAAATGCCGTGCCGGAAACGCGGAAGCCCGCAGGAGTCAGGTGACACTTGTGATAGATGGATGGATGGATGGATGGGCCCACTTTAAAGGGTTCAGATGGGCCGGAGACTGAGTTTATGAAGTAACTACCCGACCAAAGGATTGGTAAATCAATGTGCATGCTGTGCGGAGTGTAGTAAATAGGCTTGGTTTGATGGAAACCGGTTCGAGAGGAGTATCTCACCAATAACCTACCTGGGTAATGGATAGACTGATCTCCTAGATAGATATCTACGGAGTATTGCCCAGCAAATAGGAAAATGAACCACGTGGACCGGCACATGTGTCCACTCACTGTCCACTCCACAATCCACTGGAATCGATAGTTTCGCTGGGCATTGAGTAAGACGCGGAGACGAATTGCTGATCATGACGAGTCTGGTTTTGTTTGCTGGAATGGGGGGGGTGTTTGTCTGGTTTGTGATTGAGGTGGGTCACGTGGGATGAGACTGTACTGGTACGGAGTAGATCAAGTTTATCTCGTCTTTGACAACAGTGATTGCTGGAGTCTATTACTGGATCAATTGCTGGGCAACTTGTTGAGGGTGTCTGGCAGCAGAATACAGTTGCTATTTGCATCCAATTCATCGACCATGATATCCTCAACTTGATACTAATACCCGAACTAAAATGAACACAGCAATCAGAATCAAGCAGCTGTACAGATCTACCCGTACTGACTGACAGTGAAGTCTACAGTCTCCTACCACTGACCGCGAAGGTTGTATCTCCGTGTGGGTTAGCAACGCTGCCCCTGTCAGACTTTCCGTCTCCTTCCATCTAGATAACCGCCATCAGCCTCATTACCAGTGCTATCAATCTGACACCCCTTGTCCAGTGTCATGGTAACTGCAATAATTCTGAAATTGGACATCTCTTTCAGACCTGAGCTGCAATAGCGGCAATTTGCTAGATGCTATATCAGTGGCTGCAATTCGGCTGTCAACAGGGAGAGACTTCTGCTGTGGCAGTATGCCGTATCAGTGATGATACATTGTGTTATGGCTGATATACAGCAGAGGTGATGATTAAAGGAAGCCTCCTTTGGTCTGTTCCTCGAATCATCTGTAGGAGAGACTACTAGTCGACTATGTCTACTTTAACATGGGGATCCAAAGGCCAGGTACCTCTTCCTTCACGACCGATATGGGCAATGCTGAAGAAATAATACTCTCGTCCGTCCACCAGGACTAGTGCAATCCTGCAATTCCTTTGCACTTGGGGGCAACCACCGTCTCAATAGTCGACGAAAATGCGCTTATCCGAAGATCAACTAGGTGATTATGCCATGATGTGAAGGTATACCGTCTACAGTACTTGATAACCCCCGACCAACTACGCCTCGGCCATGGCCCTCTTCAGCAATACGGGATGGACATGGACAATTTGGCATAAGCGAGAGAGCATGTACGTTGGAGCATGTATGCAGAGTAAAATCCCAACCAGAGACTGCGACCATCGCCGACGCCCTCGTGCTGTTCAGACTTGACTCTAACATGGGGAGCAAGTTTCGGTCAGACAGATCACAGTCCTGGTACTTGGGCTCCTCGCGACCGCGGCCGGCGTCGCAGTCGCCGTGTTTGTCCTGGGTTATCAGACGATGTCTCACTGGGGCACGAGGGAAAGGTTCTCGCCATCGAGCGAGTTCTCCAGAGCCCCTCCAGCCAATTCTCTATACACTGGCTTCCAGTGGTTATCCAGGTGGATATAGCACTATACATAGGATCTATGAATCTATAAAACCGTATTACAAAAAGCGTATATCATGCTAAGGCCATCTATACATCCAGGGTTAGATAGTCTTAAGTAGTTCTTCAAAAAAAGGCACCGCGTGGGAGGAGTGAATGGTTATATTTTTCCAACTACCAACCAAACCCCTTCTAACACATCACTAATTTGAACAAAAGAAGGCCAACATAAACCGGGTTGTAAACAGCTGAATTAAAAATAAAAGAGAAAAAGAAAAAAAGAAGCGACTCTGGCGCGGCTCGAACACGCGACCTTTGGTGCCGGAAACCAACGATCTACCACTGATCTACAGAGCCTGATCTGTGGAATAATTTGTACTTCTAATTGATACATAGGCCATAACACAAAATATTGATTCCAACGCGTTAATACTGCGTGAACGTTGTGTGTATAGGTTGGGGTGGTTGGTTTGGGGGTGCGTGTTGACACTTGTTCGTTATGGTATATTTTTATCTTAATATTATTATTAAACTCTGAGAAACTCAACTAGTGTTTATGAAGGGGTTTCTCTTCTGTGTGAGAAAGAATAACAATTTCATGTGTGTAGTACTCGTATTGGGTATGGAGTTGAAGATATATTGTGGTGTACGCACTTGACAGATTGTCGAACCATGGCGGCTTTCTTACCCACCAGTATCGTCCCATCTCAATTGAAGCCTCGAGTAGTCTACCAATACATATACAAGTACCAAAAGAAGCTGTGTAACTAGGCCAGAACAACAAGAGGCCAACAATAGACATGACTTCGTTTGATTCACCGGCCATAACCCCGGTCTCAATGCTAGAGCTATATACTACACAAGAATCAATCCGAACCCACGCCCATATGCTCTAATAAAGACAAGACAAGACAAGACAAGAACTCGCGACAGGGTATTCAACAAGACAATAACAAGCACAAGGACAAAGAACTCAAGAACATGTCAAGCAAGCCAGGTCAGCTCTCTAGCTTCCGCGCAGCAGCTTCCAGCCGCGCATTGAACGCCCGCATCTGGCTCAGTAGTCCGCCTTGAGAACCGGGCGCGCGAGAGCTCACGTTCTCTGCAACGCTGCGGAGCATGAATTCTAGACCGGCGGTTGAGGGGCCAGTGTGGATTGGGGTGTTGACTTCGTCGTCTGCGGTGCGGTTCTGGCTGCGCTCGAGGGCTAGGTCGAGGCTGTGGAGGGAGTTGTTGATGGCGGAGCGGGTCTAGATGGTGGGGTTAGTTATCCCTATTATAAGAAAAGGGAGAGAGGGACTTACGGTGTTTGCGCTTTCTTCCTCGGAGTGCTTCTTGCGCACGGCGTCCATACGCAAGGCGACATCTTCCCGCTGCGCCCGGAGGTGGTAGAGCCGACTCCGCATGTCGATCATCTCTCGCTTGGCTCGTTTGAGCTGCGTGCCCAGGGTGAAATTGCCGTCGAGCATGTCGCTCAGCTCGAGGAGACGGCCCTCGAGCTCTGAGCCGTATGCTTCGACGGCCTTCCGCTTGTGCATCCATTCCGAGCGTCGCGACGCGTTGCCTTCGTTGGCAATTCCGGTGCTGAGTGTCGCAATGGTTTTCTCCAATGTCTCTCGGCAAATTTGGCTGAGCACGTCCGCTGCGTTCACGCCACCCCTGCTTGGGAGCTTCATTTTCTGGCGCGTGGAGAGCTCGTCACCTGATCCCTCTCCGTCGGATGCACCTTGGGACCCGGTGTCACCTCCAAGTGTGGCCACATTTGCCAGTCGATGAATAGTGACGGGGATTGCCTCCCCACGAGGTTGTCTGGGCTTCCGTGCGGGCCGAGGACGCTCCTCGGCAGGTTGTTCGGGAGCAGGTTCTTCGGGCTGTGCGGATGGCTGGGTGTCTTTCTTCGATGACGGTCTGCCCTGTCTGCGCTTCGTAGGTGGAGGCTGCTCAGGCTCCGTTGGCAGCTCGGGCTCCGGTTCGGCTTCCGGTTCGGCTTCCGCCTCTTGGACCTGTTCAGACCCAGGTTCTGGTTCTGCTTCTAGTTCCGGTTCCGGTTCTCGTCGACGCTTCTTGTCTTTCATAATCCGGGGAGGAGCTTCTGTAGTCTCAGCGGCCTGGAGAGTCCTCTTCGCGGGGCGGCCAGCGCGCTTCGCTGGGAGTGTCTCATGTGACTTCGCTGGAGGTTGACGCTCTCCACGCTTGGTCGTGTCATTCGGCTCAGTATCATCGGGGGTCTCGGTGTCAAGCTGCTTATTTGCCCGTTGCTTCGTGGTGCGAGGAGCTTCTGGTGTAGGGTCGCGGCTCTTGGAATTCTTGCCCCGAGCCCTCCTACCTCTGGCCGGAGGCGATGTAGTCTCTGGCCTGCCTTCAGCAGGGGAAGTCGTTTGTGATTCTGGCTCTTGATGCGCGGGCATAGATGATGAACGGCGAGGTCCTGGGCGGGTATCTGGCCGTTTCTCGCGTTGCGATCCCTTTCTTGTCGCGGGCATATCTTTTTCTGCCTGTGTCTCTGCAGCCTGCGTTTGTCGGGCATCGTCTCCCGTAGGCGTTTTTCGTAATCGCTTCTGCCGCGGGGGTACTGGAGCTTCCGCATCCACCTGAGCATCCTGGGTCTCCTGAAGATCCTCCGAGGCCTGCGTCTGTTGAGAGTCTTCTGTGGTGGGTGTTTTTCGTGATCGCCTCTGCCGCAGGGGCAATGGGACTTCCGTATTCACCTGAGCATTCTGGGACCCTTGAAGGTTCTCCGAAGGCAAGTCCACCGTCCGTGTTTGCTGTGTGTCTCCCGTTGGCAGGTCCCCCCGTGTTTGCACCGGTCGCGGGGGCGTTGGAGCTTTTGCACCCACAGAAACATCTCGAGACTCATCTGGCGATTCGGGAGGCGTTGTCTTTTTCCGTGAATCCTTAGCTGCTGGTCGGCCTCGGGCGCGTTTCGCAGGCTGTGGCTTTGGTGAAGTTGTTTCGGGGCCAGCGGTTTGTTTCTCTGGTTCAGGGGCCTGTTCTGTTTGTTGGGCAGTTTCGACGGCGGTGTCTGGTTTCGTGACATCCTGCGCCGGGGGTTCATCGGCGCTGGTACTTCTTCGCTTGCGCTTACTCCTCGTCTTATCGCCGGGCGGAGATTTCGTCCCGTTCGGTCTGAGCGACCCATTTCGAGACGATGGACTCCTTGACTTATCATTATTTTCGGTTGTCCTTTCGTTCTGGTTCTCCTGACCGGACGCTGGGTTGTCAGGTAATTCAGGAACAGCAGGCGTGGGAGCTCCTTTCGGAAGTTCTTGAGGGGCTTCTTGAGGGGCTTGAGGGGCTGTTGGAGGGGTTGCCCGAGGCGCCTCTTGAGCCGGCTGTTCTGGGCTCAATATTCTATCTGCAGCCAAAGGTTGCGCCTTTGGTTCGTCGCGTGATTCTGGTACGGCGTCCGATTTATCACCGTTCTGGAGGGGTTGCACGGTCGGCTGTTCTGTTTGGGCGGGGTTTACACTGGCAGCGGCCACCGGTATCCTGCTAGGAGGCTCTTTGGGAAATTTAGCAACAAAACAGATACTCATTTTGAAGCCTTCAAACCTACCAATCCGTTGCCTCTTGGCACTCCGCGAAAGTTCTGGAGCCTCGTTCGCGTCCAAGTCGAACGTCGAGGGCCGCGGAGGAAGAGCATTACGCGCACCCCCCGGCGTTCGCTGACTTGTCGCTTGTTGCGGTACTGTATTTTCTCCTGGAGGTGATAACGGAGGCTGTGTTGGTTGCGGAGCCCCGGTGGTTTCTAAGGGTGGAGGGGGAGCGGAGGCGATGTCAACATTGGCGGGTTGCGACGCGGGTTGCGAGGACTCCTCGGGCGGAGGCGCCAGGCCAAAAGAGAAGCCAAAATCGACTTCTTTAATCTTGCGTGTCCTGATCCAAAGAGTTGTGGGTTAGCTGTGAGTCTTCCAGGTCAACTCGTCGCGGGGTGGAAGAGGCGCGTACGCAGCTCCGCGCTGCCGCATTTGGCGGCGCTCCTCTCGATCTAGAGGTATTCGGTCAGCTCGCATCGATTGAATGGTTACTTGTAAGAGATAAGAGGGATCGTACTAGAGGCCATGATCGAGAAGTAGCGCCTTTGCCAGGCTCGACGCGCAGATACACGCGAAAGAGAGCAAAGGGGTGGTGGGGGGTTGACAAGAAGATTGTTGTGGCAGAGTTGGGGTTGTGATCGATGATGGAGAGGATGATGATCGTGGATTGCATGCCGCTCCGCCTAATCTGGTTTGGCGGCAATTCGCCCGACCTGCACCAACTCTCCATCTTCTTTCGTTCCATCCGTACTCACGAGCCCGGATCTGCAGGATTTCCCAATATTCTACAACTATCATTGGTATCTGTGTTGAATTAGTCTGCAATCTATTATATTCCCTCCCCCGGTTGCGCCATGGGTTGGTTCTGGGGAAGTTCGAACAACGACGACCCGGTCAAAAAGCTTGACCCGGGTCTCCGCGAGTACCTCGAGCACGAAGCTCCCAAGAAATATGTCCCAGCTCCCTCGTCGACGGAGTCTGCAAAGCCGGTCGATGCGCAACCGCAGCCTCAATCCTCCGCGACCTCTGATCCATCGCAACCCTCCGTGCCCCACAAGTCTCTTTACCCCGACGGCCGTTACGCCCATCTCTGGAAGAACTACAAGCCGCCACCGGAGGAGACCAACGAAGTGAAGGGCGCAGAACGCGTGATCGAGAACTATAAGAAGCGCAATGACACTGTACACCGGGCGGCGATGGAGAATTGCGCATTGGAGCATGAGGCCTTGACCTACTGTTTCCAGACCGGCAACTGGCAGAAACAGCTGGAATCCCGGCTGACTCTGTGCTCCGATGAGAATGCCAAGTTCTCCCGTTGCTTTACGACGCAATCTGTAAGTGCAGCGTGGGAGAAGTGGCTCTGTGAAGTCTACTGTGTGTGTGGGTTGGGTGGTGGTTGCTAACGTGCCTCCAGAAATTCCTCCAGGCTCTCGGATACGCCTCGTCCTTCCACCAAGATGAGGAAAGAGAAGAACGGATACAGATGCACGCCGACACGCTCTACCACCAGATGCTGAGTTACGAAGAACAAGCCAAGGAGGCCCGGAAGGCTGGTCAGGAACCCCCTCCGCTCACGTCGCTGTTCAACCCGCAGGCGCCGCCGTCGTCGCAGGAATCGGCGAGTCAGCCCGGTGCCGTGGAAATCTCCGGGGGCGAATCGATTCCCGCGGGCTTCAGGCCGCCCAAGAACTGGGAGACCCTGAGTCCGCACGAGCGGGAATTGGAGATCCGGACGCACAACGCGAACTTCGAACAGCAGAAGGTGTATGCGCAGGAGGCTTCTCCGTTCCTCAAGACCCACGAGGATAACCGAGCCAAGCGACGCGAGAAGGCCACCAGCTGGTTTGGGGAGAGAGTAGGGAACTGGATCTCCTAGGAGGTCTCTGGTGTGATTGATATCCTTGAAAATCTAACCCCTGTATTATTACCGATCTTCCACATCTTATTCCCATGATCTGTGAAAATGACTGGAGTTGTTGGTTATGATTATTATGATTATCCTGATGATTATCATTGTTTCTCCCCGAACTGCACGTAATTAGCTGGGTTATGCATGGGATAGGTAGTTTCTTGTTGTCTTCCGATGCGACCTCGGACATAATGTCAGAAACCGGAATTCATAAACCAGGATTTGAGAGGATTCCAGTGTTGAAACAGGGTCGGAGGTGATACGGACGCGGCGAGGTGGTAGTCATAGTAATCGTCGTAGTACCAGACCAGATCTCAAGAATCCGAATAAAAAGAACAATAGAAAACAGTAACAAGATACAGAACAATAAACCTTTAGGAAGTGAAGCCACCATTACTGCATTAGTTGCATGGGTGGATGCAGAGACGCTTATGGTTCAATCGCCGGGCGCATTTTGACGCCAAAGCCGGCACGAGCTCATTCATCCGATCCATTCATCGTTCATCCATTCGCTCATCTTGGATCACAGTCGACTACACTTCCTATTGTCCCCTGTGATTGCCCCATTTTCTTCACTTTCTTCTCGCTATTCTCTTTGGACTTTCCCCTTGGATTGATTGGCTCTTTGTTTGGTCCCTCGTCCATCTCCAATTTATACGCCAATTGCTTGCTTGTTCCCCACCCCTCGAACGGCTTTCACGCTCCCCAAAGACATTTTCCCTTCGACTCTTCCTCGACTTCCTGACTGTGCTTCTTTCACGTCTCTCGAGATCTACTGGATATAGCACCTATATCGTCGGCGAGAACGTTTTCGAGCCACCAGGGCCGTGTCGTGTGATTTCGCCATAAGCAACCGTCTTGGGGAGCCACCCGTGGAGCTTTCGCGCTCACCATGAAGGCTACCCCGTTGCTGATCGCGTGGCACAACGATAATGCCCCGATCTATTCGGTCCATTACGACCCCAATGGTAAAGGTCGTCTGGCGACGGCTGGAAAGTACGTGGCAATTTGTTCCCCTCCCCCTCCAGATCCGTGAGATCGGAAGGCTGATACGTCCTACTTTTCTTACAGTGATAACAACGTTCGAGTGCGCTTCCCTCGTTACCCCGTCCATCCCTTCCCTCCGTGCCTCGATCTTTCTAACTAGGAATCCTGGAATAGTTATGGCGAGTCGAATCGACTGGGGAGGACAGAAAGGTCACGTATCTGAGTACGTTGATAAAGCACACCCAAGCTGTCAACGTGGTGCGCTTCAGCCCGAAAGGTATGGCTGGTTCGGTCGAAATACCCTCTGGGAGATGGAAATTTGCTGGAGACCCTTGTCTGACACCTTCTAGGCGAGATGCTGGCATCTGCCGGGGATGATGGTAACGTGCTCCTTTGGGTTCCGTCGGAATTGCAGACCCAGGGTGGTCTAGGCGAGGATCACTCGGATGATAAAGAGACCTGGCGAGTGAAGCACATGTGTCGTTCGTCTGGAGCTGAGATCTATGATCTGGCCTGGTCGCCGGATGGTGTTTTCATTATTACAGGCAGCATGGATAATATCGCCCGGATATACAACGCCCAGACCGGTTGGTTCGCCCTCGACTGCGTCGGAGAGATCCCCTCCCTTGTGAGTGCCGTTGGCTGATGGTCGAAACCCAGGACAAATGGTGCGACAGATTGCGGAGCATTCGCATTACGTGCAGGGCGTCGCGTGGGACCCTCTCAACGAGTTCGTGGCGACGCAGTCATCGGATCGATCCGTGCACATCTATAGTCTGAAGACCAAAGACGGACAGTTCACCCTGACGTCTCACGGAAAGTTCTTGAAAATGGACCTGCCGGCCAAACGAATCTCGTCCAGCAGTCCGGCTCCGCCAGACCTTTCGATCCGATCCCAACCTCCTCCGAGCTCAGCGATCATCGCTTCCCCCGCCTCGTCGACTCCAGGAACCCCGATGGCTTCGAATCTGCCCATGGATCCGCCCCCGGTATCGCATAGCCGCCGCTCTTCTTTCGGCTCCTCGCCGTCGATTCGCCGTTCTGCATCCCCTGCGCCGTCGCTGCCACTGCCCGCCGTCAAGCCGATGGAGCTTCCATCCCCCAATTTGCTGGGCGGGCTCGGGACCCGGAACTCCAATATCTACGCCAACGAGACGTTCACGTCTTTCTTCCGCCGGTTAACCTTTGCTCCCGATGGGAGTCTCTTGTTCACGCCCGCAGGGCAATACAAGACGTCGCACTTATCCGCCACAGATCCGTCCAAAACCACGGACGAGGTCATCAACACGGTGTACGTCTATACGCGCGCGGGGTTCAACAAACCGCCCATCTCCCATCTTCCGGGCCACAAGAAGCCGTCCGTGGCTGTTAAGTGCTCGCCGATATTCTACACCTTGAGACAGGCGCCCCAGGCGGTCCGCCATATCACCTTAGATACCTCATCCGGAGAAGAGACTTTCGCCTCTCTGCCTGACCCCGTGGTCAGCTCCGCGAATGGCACTACTGCGATGGAGCCGCCTTCCTCGACACCCGCCACCGATTCCTCAAAAAGCATCAAGGGCGAGGGAGAAGCCGCGCCTAGCCCCGCACCTGTCTTCTCCTTACCCTATCGCATCGTCTATGCGGTTGCGACCCAGGATGCTGTCCTCGTGTATGATACCCAACAGCAAACGCCGATTTGTGTCGTCAGCAACTTGCACTTTGCCACATTCACCGATCTCACATGGTAAGTCCTCTAACGTTCGGAGTTTGCCCTTTGTCATGCTCTAATCCACTATCACCAGGTCGAATGATGGCCTCACGTTGATCATGAGCTCGTCCGACGGCTTCTGCTCGACTCTCTCTTTCACCTCTGGCGAACTCGGCCAGCCATATACAACTTCGAACCCGGCAACCCCGCAGGTGAAAACCGGCGCACCATCTACCACCCAAGCGCCCCCGCCAACGCCGGCGACCTCTGCCGCGAAACCGAGTCCGGCCTCCACCCCTGCTCCTGCTGTCCCGGCACCGCCAGCGAGCCCAGCACGCTCGAACTCTGTCTCTTCTGTTACAACCCAGTCCACATCCCAACCACCAAACCGGGTGGTCAACAACCCGACCCCTACTCTCGGCTCCGTGCCACTGGTGACAGCAACTCACTCCTCCCAACCCCCAACTCTCCCGCTCACCACACCCCCGGAGACGCCCTTACCCACCCCCCAAGGCGCATCCAACCAGCAGAGCGTCCTGGGAAAGCGAGCCAGCGAGCCAGAGAAGGAGGCACCCAAAGAGCAGACCTCCGACCCACAGGTCCAACAGCCGCCCAAGAAACGGCGTATCGCACCAACGCTCGTGTCAGCTGGCAACGAAACCCCTGCTCCAAAGGACCAGCCCCCAAATGCAGACGGCGGTAACTAGACGCACCTACCCTTCTCAAGAAAAAGTACCCTCTCCCACTCTCCTCATCCAGTGCAAAACTCCGAATCATTTCTTCGAGTCATGGCGAATGACCCCGTGTGCGCGATACCTTTTGATGATTTATGCTTGTTTCTTTCTTCTTTTTCTTCCATTCTCCTTCCCCCCCTTCCGCCCCCCCTCCCTTTTCGGTTTATCCAATCCCATAGGAGTAAGCACCGATACGATACCTAGGTCCCTTAATCTGTTGGGGGGGGGGGAAATAAGGGGGTCATCGATCCGAGATTTTGGTAGACGTGGCCGGTCTGGTTGTTCTATTAGTCTTTTTATTACTGTGCGCTTTTATTCTATCCCTGGCGTCTTGACTTTATTTTGTGTAATCAACTACGAGCCTCCTTTTATCGCACCTTTGTTATCTTAAGGTGTACTGTCTTCTCTTTTATGGCAGGTTTCATACGCGTCTCTCTCTGCCTCTATAATATCGCCCTCCCAACCGCAGCATGAGATCCCTACATTCCGGAATCGATGAAAGGGGGGACACTTGTTGACAAGCTTCCTTCTTTGGTTGGTCATTGATGTTGTACAAGCCTGTAGTCCTGGATGAACGTTAATGATACGTGCCCAAGTTAGGTTTAGTAAGTGAGCGGTGGTGGTGGTGATGGTGGTGGTGGATTGATGGATGTCTACGAGATGACTGTGCATCGATTCTTTTCCTTTATTTTTCCTTTTCTGGATGTGTATGACGGTGGTAATTCTGGTCGCGATACTCCTTTGTTTAGAGCCACAGCGTTTCCCGTCCTACAGACTATATGATATGTTTGGGGTTGATTGCATATATGGATCTGGATGTGCTGGGATGGTGGGGATGGGTTGTTTACTTAGTTACCTGCCTTAGGTAGGTACCATATTGGAAGAATCGTATTGGTATTTGATCTTCTTAGTTCCTAGCAGGCTAGATCGAGTATCCTTACGTACTTGAGGGCTACTATGCTGGATGATACTGGCCTGGTGTAGTCATCTTACCTCCTATCCATTTATAACTTCAATAACATTATGAAAAACGAGAAAAAAAAAATGGATTAACGCACACAGACTATCTAGATCTATGCCCTAGCCAAGCCATCCATGTTCAATCCATACCTAACACACATGTAAGAAAAGTAGCATGAGAGAGCAAAGAAGGCTGTTGAATTGAGAAACAGAAATTGCTACACATGTGGTCGTCTTTCATGATCGTTGTCATCATCATCATTATCATCATTATCATCGACTCGTGATAGTCAGCCAGATACTTAGATGGGTAGATTGAGTAGATACGAGTGATCTCTTGCTTCTTCTGCCCACCGTGCACGGTAAAAGGAGGCGAGTGAGTGGTGAGTGAGGGTTTCAAGAGATGGGACCGACTCCTCCAAGCAACGGATCGTCTCTATCAAGAGGTCAAGGCATTTACGACAGCGGCCAGGGTCACATTATCGGGCAGCACAGCTTTGGCCTCGGTGGCGTGGGCTCCCACGGCGAGGGTTGTCACGCTGTGGATTTTATCTCCCGAGAAGGAGTTGTTGTTGGCCCACCGGAAGAGAGCCTCGTCACTGCGGGAGCCACCGACCACAAAAAGGAAGTCTGGGAGACGGGGGAGCGACTCTAGGATGGACGCTGCGGCTTTAGCCTTGGTGACGTCTAGGGGTTCCACGGTTAGGAGGCCCTCGGTGAGCACGACGCGGATCGCCTCGCTGCCGCGGGAGCCGTTGACCTGGTCTGCCAGCTCGGAAACCTGCCGCGTTGCGACTTCTGGGTCCTGGGCCTCGTTGTACCAGAAGTTTAGCAAACAGCGTCGTTCTTCAAATCGGCTGCCTTCGGTTCGCTCGTGGTAGTACTGTAGGACCTTGCGGATGCCATTGCGCCAGTCCTTGGCCTTCTCCAGGTCTACTAGGGTCTTCCAGTACGTCGAGCCGATGTCGCGCTTGAAGCATCCGTTTTCGGCAATGTACCCAACACGCGTGGAGAGGTCTTGGAAGACAAGCTCTAGCTGCTCGGGGCTTTTGTCGCTGGTCACATATATTAAGTTGTTGGGATCAAGAAGTAGGTTTTTAGCCACGGAGATCAAGTTAGCAGCGGGTGGTTCCATATTGGGGGAAGTGACTGCGCTTTCTTCAAAAAGGAATAATCGATAGTTAGTCTTGTCATATGCCTCCTTGAGATCTACCGTGGAGAGCGACGAGATCTGGTGAAGTTCGCGAGATAATTGCGTTCTGTGAGCTGTAGTTAGTGCGCCCTGAAATGTGTGATACCAGGCAATCGCAGTAAAGGGGGTCTTCTTCTCGAGAAGATATCCCCAGTTACGCTGTTTCTGTTCCGGCGACATCTCTAATGCCCGGTTGATTGCCTCGGCAACTTCGGTATAATCCCAAGGGTTCACTAGCATCTCGTGTCCTTGGAAGATCGACGCACTACCGGTGAACTCGCTGATGATGAGGGAACCATGGCGCTGGGGGGCAAGCTTCCCGTCTTGACAGTGTAGATAATCGTGACTCATAAGGTTCATACCTTCTCTTAAACTGGTGACTAAGAAAATTTCGGCGACGCTCATGAGCGCCAAGAGCTGGGAATAGCTGGTATCTTGCCTCAGGAAGACCAAGGGCTGATGGGTGAGAGTTGAGTAGGAAGAGTTGACTCTCATGGCAATCTGGGAGACTTGTGCCTCGAGTTCGGGCATTTCTGATGCCGAGGCAACTTGGATCAGAACGACCTAAGTGGGTCAGCTTCCTGTTTGGAGAGGGGACGGAGGGTCTTACGTTTTGTCTCCATTTGGGGTACTTCTTCAGAAACAACTCGTATGCCAGAAGCTTCTGTTTGATACCGCCTGAAGCATCCAGTCGGTCCCGCGCGATGATCAAATGTTTTCCCTTGTACCGGGAACTAATATTGGTAATCCAATCCTTGACTTCAGCAAACCGGCGCAACTCGTTCAGCGCTTCGACATCAATACCCATGGGAGTCGTCTTGACATGAACGAGACGGCGCTGAAGTTGTACACCGTCGACGGAAACCTCTAGACGGAGAAGGCGACTGCAGGCTTGGAGGAAGTGGTGGCAATACTCATCCGTCTGGAAACCGACCAGATCCGCACCGAGAAGACCATAGAGCAGCGCCTCTCGCGAGTTGAGACACCGAAAAACTTCCGAGGACGGGAAGGAAGAGTGCATGAAGAAGCCAATTTCAGCTGTGGGAAGTTTCTCCCGCAGCAGCGAAGGCAACAGCATAAGGTGGTAGTCGTGGACCCAAATGCTATCGCCAGGGCGCCAATGGGCAATGATGGTTTGGGCGAATGCCTCGTTGACCTTGACGTACTGTTTCCAGGCATAGTCGTCATATTCAGTATGTCGGGGGCTCTCCTGCATCTGATAATGGAGCGCTGGCCATAGCATCATGCGACAGAAATGGCTATAGTGTCCTTCGAATTCGCTATCACCGACGAAGACCGCCAGCGACTCGAATGCATCCCCCAACATCTCCGAGATACTGGCACGAGTTTCGTCTTTAAGTGAATCGGTCGGCATCCCCAATGTGCCAACCCACCGTTTATCAGGGAGGAACCCTGACTTTTGTGCAATCTTGACGGCATTGCGGAGGCCGCCGTTGCCCTGTTCGGCTGCCTTGACAGCCCAATCGACGTCGGAGAGAAGAGCACGAGGACTTCCGTAGTCCTCCTCCGAATCCGGCGTTGGCAAAGGGTCGAGAGAAGTGTCAATCTTCATGCCATCACCTGAGCCAGGACGGCTCAGAATAGAGGACTCCGGATAGAGCGACGCCTTGGAGCGTGGCTGGTTGAACTTCCGGCTTTGACCCCATGAGACGTTCCGCGGTTCGTTGGGACCCGGTCCATTGGGATCATCCGCCAGGGGAATCTCGCCTGCCGAACGTGAGGCATAGGGCTTGAAGATTCTCTCATCTTCTGTGGTCGCACCCGGCGTGGGAGAAAGGCTATATGCTTTGGAGTCGCGTCTCCGACGAGCTTCCGCCAAGCGTCCTATAATCTGGTCGCTTGCATGTGCGTGGCTTACGGATGACAGGCGACGAGTACGTTTGAGCTCAGTCGCCTGAAAGTCGATGGTATAAGGAAGAAAACTATCGAGAACGATCAGTGATTCCTGTTATCACCAGAGGCAAGGGCGCATACACTGAGGCGATAAAGACTGTCATTGGGCCGGTGGGTCGGATAATCGATCCCTAGATTCAACGGTGTCTTATCGGTCTGGTAGTCTCTACCGTTCAAGGGGGTGGTCAATCGAGAAGAGCACGAGGATCCCGAGTTTATAATAAACCTGTCGTTAACGCGGACCAAATGATGGCACTGACGATCGTGATGACGATGATAGATGATTAAGAGCCATTTATCTAAATGTCTCACAGAGCGAGAATGTCCTGGAAATTAGTAGGCAATTCGACACCCGCAGCACGGTCCAAAGGGTCACGGAAGGACAATGGCAAACATGAATGATTGGGCCATGGAACCCTGCAAGCTTTCCGTGAAACATCCGAAAGAAACAAAAAGAAAAGCGATCTAGGCACCCGAGGGAAAGACATCATGAGGGGAGTGAGGGGTATGAAAGTCTAGGCATGGCTGGCAAAGAGATGCAAGTTTGTATATGGGGAAAAAGACATTGTATATAGAATCCACTCGCCAATGAACGGTGCGATTTCCATCCAGGTAGTGTTACCAGACCATGTTCTAACCTCCTGTAAGCCACTAAAAGGAACCTAGACTTGCCTGCAGACTGATTGATACCCTGGCCAGATCCGGAGAATCAACGGTCTCCACCACGCTAACCCGCAACCAGAATCGGAGACGGAGACGGAGATGGAAGGGGAGGAAGTTGCAATTGGAAGGTTTGAAAGAAGATGGAAGAATCAGAGATAGAGGAGGACAAAGGTGATAGAAAGGGAGAGAGAGACAGAAAGACAGATGGTGAGAGAGTGAAGGTAAAGTAGTTGAAGTGGTGATGGTTGTTTTAAAGGAGGAAAACAAGGGCGATGAATGAAGTGCATAAAAAGTCACTGACTTTGACCCCACTACATTCTTTCATTCTACTACCCTCTCTATCTACTACCACTTTATCTGCTTCATCTTTCTAGATTGTATCTCTTTTCCATTCTCTCTCTTACATACTATATCACAACCTAATTTGTCTCCATCTCAACATCACAACGCTACTATATTATACGAATCACCTGACTCTCCCACCCCTCTGATCTACACCGACTGATATCTCTCGTGGGTTCCGTCCTACCCTCATGCCATCCATAGTCTCTCCGTCAGGCAACTCTCGCCTTCTGATCGTCTCGAATCGTCTCCCAATTACAGTGAGACGGTCGGAAGGCGGTAAGTATGAATTCTCCATGTCATCTGGTGGCCTGGTGACCGGGTTGAGCGGCCTCTCCAAGAGTACAACCTTCCAGTGGTTTGGCTGGCCAGGCCTAGAAGTGCCAGGGGACGAGGTCGCGTCGGTGACACAGAGACTGAATGACGAATTCAATGCGACGCCGGTATTCATGGATGACACATTGGCTGATCGGCACTACAATGGCTTTTCTAGTATGTGTTGAACCCTCCTGTTCGACAGCCAATCCCGTGATGGTGGGAGCTGATGCTGACGCCCCCAGACTCGATCCTCTGGCCTCTCCTGCACTACCATCCCGGGGAGATCGTTTTCGACGAAGGGGCCTGGGATGCTTATCGCAAGGCCAATCGTCTGTTTGCGCGGACCATTGCTACCGAGGCACGGGAGGGAGATCTGGTGTGGATCCATGATTACCACCTTATGCTTCTGCCCCAGATCCTCCGCGAGGAACTGCGGGCCTTGGGCAAGGAGAACGTCCGCATCGGTTTCTTCCTGCACACCCCGTTCCCCAGTAGCGAAATCTACCGCATTCTACCCGTTCGGGGCCAACTTCTCCGGGGCCTCTTGCACTGCGAGTTAATCGGGTTCCACACTTATGACTATGCTCGCCATTTCTTGAGCAGTTGCACTCATATTCTGTAGGTTCATCTGCGGGTACTAACTGTGCGACATGAGCTGACGGTACATAGAGGGCTAGTGACCACTCCTAGCAGCGTAAGTTTTAAGGGTAGATCGGTCGCCGTGGGGGCCTTTCCAATCGGGATTGACCCCGACAAGTTCACCGAGGGCCTGAAGAGCCCCAAGGTTCAGAACCGCATTGCCAGCCTAGAGAACAAGTTCAAGGGCACTAGGCTGATGGTAAGCGTGGATCGTCTCGACTATATCAAGGGGATCCCGCAGAAGCTGCACGCCTTAGAAGTCTTCCTCTCCAACCACCCGGAATGGGTAGGCAAGGTCGTTCTGGTGCAGGTGGCTGTCCCAAGTCGCCAGGACGTGGAGGAATACCAGAACCTGAGAACGGTTGTCAACGAACTTGTGGGGAGGATTAACGGAAAATTTGGTACGATATACACTGATGACCGCTTCGGGGGGTAGTAGATACTAATGGTTAGTACAGGAACGGTGGACTACATGCCCATCCATTTCATGCACAAGTCCGTCAACTTCGACGAACTGATTGCGCTGTACGCCGTCTCTGACGCCTGCATTGTCTCGTCGACGCGCGACGGAATGAACCTCGTATCGTTCGAGTACATCGCCACGCAGCAGGCACGCAAAGGCGTCCTAATTCTGTCGGAATTTGCGGGGGCCGCGCAGAGTCTGAACGGGAGCCTCGTCGTCAACCCCTGGAACACCGAGGAATTGGCTGCCGCATACCAGGAAGCGGTCTCAATGAGTGATGGTGAACGCGCCGCGAAGTTCGGCAAGCTCTACAAATACATCTCCAAGTACACCAGGTTAGTCGTCCGAGTTACATCCGCCGGTCGAAAGATGACTAACTTGCATAGCACTTTCTGGGGGCAGTCTTTTGTGGCCGAGCTATCCAGAGGCTCATCATAATAATTCTCTGGCTTTTCTTCTTCCTCCTTCTTGCATTTAATTGAGATTTGTGCGGGCGAAGCCACAGGAGCGGATTAGCTCGTGCAGATAGCGTAGCACATGAGCGAGTTCAAAGATAGATTCTAGCATACATACAGTCATTCACCATACACAGACCATCTAAAGTGATTTGCAAGACAGGAATTCTTATGGCACTATCACTTCAGTCCCCACAATCTTCAATTTCCAGTCCCCACCCGGTGACGAAACCGACAGTCGTCCGCCGTTAAGCCAGTCCATAGCAGCCAGTGATAGTCATCATGAACAACCAACCCATGATCTTCAAAGCGCAACCATTACACCTTGCAGCCTTTATGCCCTATCTCGTCATCCGGCCGATCGATCGGCATCTCAGTCTACGGAGGATCATTCAACCGGTAGATCAAAATTTTGAGAGTGCTGATCTGCGCGTATCATCCCTTGTATATGTACCGCTTTGAGATAGTTGATTGATTCATAAATATGGGGTCACCGTATGAGATGATCCATGAAATTATCCAATGTTTTTATTTCTCTTCTTTTACCTTTTTTTTTTTTTTTTTTTTTCTAACACGAAATACCACGACGGTGGATCTCACAGCGAGGAATCTTCACGGACGAGTTGAATATGCTTCTATGTATACATCCAAGACATTCCAAGACAGCATTCAAGACAAAACAACGCAAGCAAGCAAGCAAGCAAGCAAGAAAACAACTCACCCTCCAACCACGGGGATCGCGCATACACACCGCATAGCCATCTCCTATCTCATTACGAAGCATACTTTATTTATCCCCGACTTACAATACCAACAGACAGTGGAGAACATCCGAATACTCAAGCAATAGCCAAGCAAGTCCACCGACATATGTATTCCACTATGACGCAAGACTGGATCAACAAACTAGTAGAAAGAGAAATGCCGATTTCGTCATCGCGAGGCCAGTATGCGTCTATCCAGTATCCACTTACATACCCACATACATGTTACATACAGAGACGTATCGGGTTTTCGGGATAGGGTCTTTTAATAGGTGTTGATTCCTGCTGTTTCTTCAGACCAGGAAGGGAGGCAATCAATGGGAGCCACAGGTGAGGAGACCGGATGTATTGATAGGTATTGTCTTTTACCATATAAGATATATAGTACTATTGAAATCTACTTGGACTTGTAGATGACTTTAGGGACAGCGCTGTATGTAACTTGCCTAGGGCTTTTAGCTGGATTATGACACTTCACAGCATACGTTCGATATGAATTGGGATTTGGATCAAAGTCACCCAATAGTTATAGTAATTGATTAAATTGAACACATATCACAGTGTTTTCCATTGATAGTTTCTCCCAACGCCGCAGCCCTTAACGATACCATTTCTCAGGTTGGCGTCGGCTATAGATTGCTTCCAAAGAGACATGTCCATTTGACACCCACTATGGTAGTAAAAAATGCAATCCTTGATCGTCCAAATTGTAGTAGCATCTAGTCTAGATGATGGGGGGGGGGGGAGATCCATAGTAGGGCCTCTTATGAGCCCCACCTTGATAGTGAATTCCAGAATGTCTATTTTATGGATGTCTATCTTGTACATGTAGGTTGAACTCAAAAGTCAAATCCATAGATGGATGTTTTGTGGTTGGCGGCATGGAACTCCAGGCCAGCGCTAAACCCCCCGGGATTCCCCACACGGGATCGACCCCGTGATCGCCGCTTTGTACAAATAGACTTCGCCCATTGTCTTTCATATCATTTTTCATTCTATAACCATCCACCAGCAAATGCACTGGCCTCTCCGTAGTCATGGAAATACGCCAGCCACAGTCATATCGGCAACCGATCCTACAGCCTCTCGCGATCTGGTCTCATCTATAGCCTCCAAGATCCTATACCCCTCCCATGGCGGACGGGGTCATCAAGTCGAGCGGTCCTCGTTCGGCCTGCGACCGCTGTCGAGGCCAGAAGCTGCGATGCATCTGGGAAAAACCGCTCGCAGCAATGTCGCCGCTGTGACCGGGCCAAAGCCGTATGCACCATTCCGCGAGCTCATGCCATGGGTCGTCCACCGCGTCAATGTACCAGCGCACCAAGACCACGACGACCCGTACCAGCACGACCGGAAAGAGAATTACTCGGCACAATAGTATCAGCAAGATATCATAAATAATATATGCGAAAGTCCTTCTATTTAAAGTATAGCAGGGAGAAGGATAGCATTAATAACAAGCATAGACTTGCTCACACCAGGCAGGAGGGAACCAGCGCTGTTAGAATCGCCGTCATCGTCGGAATCAGAGTTGTCTTTACTATCCTCGATCGCTAAAAAGTTCAAACACAAGTCAGACACGCATACACACATAACGGGAAAGGATCTAGCTTGGCTTACACAGGGCTAGACAATGACTCTGCAAACCCTTGAGGCGCTTATCCAGACCATCTAGCTTGTTGCTATTATCCTTGTACTCGGAATGGGTGCACACGTTCTTGAAGGCACTGTCCAGGTCGCTCACACCGGTCATGGTGGAGGAGATGATCTTTTTGATTTTGGGCTTGCACAGACAGTCATCGGTGGCCTTTTCAGGGGCACCACACTCCTTGTCCACAACGCCATCTTTGTAGAAGATGTTCATGGACTTCTTTCATGCAGTTGGGAATGTCACCCATGACGTCGTTCCAGGTCTTGAGATAAGCGTAGGTATCGGTGTAGGCATCGGCATTGGCAGCAGCGGCAACAGAGACGAGGCCCAGGACAGTGACAGGGAGGAGACGCATGATGAAATTATATCAATGTGTAGAGTTCAGTAGATAGAGAATAGTCCGGTAGAAAGGAAAGAGTTAGCTTGAAAGATAGATAAGCGAGAAGACCGCAGATTCTGATGGTCTTATAAGTCCTTTTTTACTCACTCAGGCACTAGAGGCTCAAGCCAAGCAGACCCCATCACCATCCCACAAAATCGCTATGGGAGGCGTTGAGATTAAAAGCCTGCGCTAGAGATGAACTAAATGCTGGGCATGATACCACCTCAGGATCGCGGGGGAAAGGGAGCTAGTCTCATTTGTTGATTCCTGGCTTGGATCTTTCCCGTCGTGCTCTAAGCCACTTTATTTCTCACTAGCAGGGTCTGATTGTGTCTGCAATCTCCACCCTTCAGTCAGTCAAAACTTAAGACAAGGCTGCAATACGCCGGGGCTGGATTTCCATGGCACTTCATTCATCAGGCGCTAGCAGCTCTGCTTGCAAGTGGCCCGTGTTTGGTGGTCCTGGCTTGAGTTGACGAGGCAGAAGTGGTGATTGATTCACGGGAGGAATGGAATACACCGGTGGTGAAGTTAGATTTGATAGCCTGGTAGCATTCATCGTCAAGACGTGTGTACGATTTACATAAGATTTCTTGATCTATGCCGTTCTTGCGTGAGAAAACAGCAGCAGATGATCCAAGGGAAGTATATAAACATGAGATAAGATTATCAAAAGCTTCAAGTCTGTTATAAGAATATTATCTTTATTATAAGTTATAACTAATTGATTCTTTAGTTAGAATTAACAGAGTTCTGTTTACTTTATCAAGAAGAAAATCTGAAAATATAGATTTATTTAATAAATATAAGCTAAGCTCTAGAATATTATCAGCTCTATTCATTATCTCCAATCCACAAAAAACTAGAGATTATTACTCTTAAGAACCTGTATTAATAGTTAGTCTCGGAATCAATCAGGACAATCTACTGTCCTAAATATTTCTAATGTGATAAGCGAAGGGCGAAGTAAGTCAGGTCTTATTGCGTACATGTACAAAATGGTATATGAAAGAGTAGCTGGCGAATCGAACTAGCTTTATACTCAACATTGATAGTTGTTATTGAACGCAAAGAGCCGAAGAGCAACTGCCTAAATACAGGATGATGAGTGTCCTTCTATACCCATCGTCCTCAAGGGTGGTAGTCGAGTTGGTGTTTCCGTGGTATACGATATACTAGATATGTATATACCGCTGTGTTGACTGGATGGATGGTTTCAGTGATTTCAGTGATGCATTTACCTCCTTCAGTGTCCACTACAATTTAACTAATCTCCATCCGTTCTACTATATCTAATCTTGACACTTCTGATATAGACATGAGTAACTTCGTGGACTATTAGTAGACTCGACTATTGAACCCCATACTGATATATATAGAGAACTTAGGGCAAGCGAGTTTCAAACAATCACATAACCACCCAGGCCACTCTAGCGCTCACCAAGGTAAGCCATAACAGAATACCAAGCACTCACTCAAGCATTTCCATCCGTTCTCCGAAAGCTTCGATTTCAATACTAGAAAGCCCAATACATATCCTACCCACCATCATCCTGCAAGGGCGCCAACGTCGCCACAGTCCATCCATCATCCCATCCTAGGAATCCAACATATGAAGTCATACCCGTCCCATAGTACTACCATCAGCATAACTCTCCCACAAACACAACCCTCGAGTACAACATAATCCCACCCCAGGGCTAGGCCACCTCCTGTGCAGCATACCAGATCGAACTGTCCGTTCTCGGCAACTACACCGCCACGGTCTCGATCACGATCGATGTGCGAGAGTTATTCAGGACGTGCATGCCTTGAACCCCTTCAATTCGTTCATCTCACGCAGGCGGTTGTTGCAATGTAGTAGTTATGCTGGAGGAGTTATGCTGTAAGAGTGATGGTGATGATGGGATTATGTAATGTTGTTGTGGTTGTTGTAGTTCCTAGGCAGCAATTAGTGCGAGAGCCGGGTCGGCTCCTGGCGTGTGCGTCCGGTGTTTCGGGATGAGATTGCAGGGGGATCGGGTCGACGTTGTTATTATTGTTATTAATGGATGGTATCGTTGTATTGGATGTTCATGTTGAGCTAGAGTAATAGTATGAATATCAACATTATAATCTGAGTATGAAGATCGAATAATAGATGAATAACAATACAATGTGAATCATCAAGATGTAAACATCATCTCACCTACTCGCATACTCCGATAAACATCCCGAACCAAGGCATCCACGCCAAGCCCCCTTGTTGAGCACCCGTCCAGGGACTCCTCCTTCTTTTAGGGCTAGGCAGGTAGGCAGGTAGGCAGGGCGGTTGAACGCCCAATACAGTATCTGTTAGACGATGAAGAAAGGGGTCTAACGCGGTGAGTGGGTCGCTCTGGCAGTAAGTAACTAACTGATGAAGCTCTCCCTATCCCCTAGCCCGATCTTCAATCTTGAGCCTGGAGCCAAGACGGACGCTTGCGCGTCTCCGCCACTCATCGAACTGGTTTGAAGGGAGAAAAGGGCGTGCATGGCCTTGATGGCTGATGCCGTAAGCTCGTGATACCGACCCGACCGGTTTTTGTCATCGCCCATTGTTTTGTTAATAAATGCTAATCCTATTTTAGTTGTGTTAGTTTGATTTAGCTTAATTTATCTAGGCTTGGTGGGTTGGGAGGGTAGTTAGATATTTTTTCTTTATTCTCTAAAGTTACTTTTTTTAATCTTTCATACTGCATTACTAATAGGTATATAGCGGAGAGGGCTTGGTGCCTTAGGTCCTGACCAGTAGTACTACTTTATTAAGGTTCCCACCAGTCGGTTCGTCTCCTTCCCGGGGGCTGACTGAGTCAGTCATACCCGGTAAGTAAAGAAGCTCGCCGGTGGCAAGGACGTGGTTCGTGCAGTCAGCGTCCACAGTCGGTGGAGACGCAATACATCAAAAGTGCATCACGCCGCGTGTGTGTGACCCCCGCCCATCCTGTAGGGGATATATTTATTTGGACGACGGGGGAAGGAGACAGGGAGGAGGAGGGGTGGGTGATTCTTATATGTACAGCAAGCAAGCCCATATTATGTGGGCTGTTGGGTCATCGTTACGTGTCCGTGGAGTCTGGGTCTTGCTCCAGCGATCAACTCGTTGATCTTCACCTCCCAGTCACAGTCATATCTTGGACCCCACTGGGAAGAAAAATAAATTGGAGACAACGTGGATAGAGGTAGAGATAGGGAAGGGATTTTTTTCGTGTCCATTGTCCACTGTCCACAGGATTTTCGTGTAAATCCTATCTCAAAGCAAAAACGATGGTTAGTGGTAGAGTAAGTATGGTACGTATGGAGTTACCGACGAAGCTGGAGAAAATCGGAAAAAAAAAAAAAAATAAAATAAAATAAAAATCTGTGGCTTTTTCTAATCAGGATCACCGGGATCATCAAGGCCGTCCGACCTTCTCGCTGGACAGTCCCAACCGATTACCCCAACTAAATCAAAGACAACCGGTTTGACAAGAACCGAATTATATCAATAGGATTGACGTTCTTCTTCGGAAAGAAAAGAAGGATGTCGGCGACGGGAGTACCTATCACGACAACTCAACAGACCCGTAAGGATTTCCGCGTGATTCGTCAGCACCCGGATTGTGGACTGAAAGACTGCCAGGTGGACTCGTAAGGCCGTTCTGGATACCTATCTTACTATTAGTAGGTAGTATAATAGTATTGAGGTGCTCCCTAAGTCCCTCTAGGTCCCTGTAGATGGATAGATTACTAGGAAGCTAGGATTGATGGTATTGGTTGTATAGATGGTCACAGCCGCGTAAGACAGCTGACGTTGAGTCGAGATCATGGGAGGCGTCAGTCTTCAAGTCGTACAAGCATCATCCTCCCATTCGGTGGATGGCCATCTATCAGTGAAGATCGGGATGACTAGAACAAGGTAAAATTTCAATAGGGGTCAAGCGTCAAGACTGGACAGTGGAAGAGCTTGCGTATGGGCCCAGAGGAGCACCAGAAGCCAAGCTTTTTAGTTGATTTCGTCAGCCGGCCTCGTTGACAGTGTGTATTGTGGAACTGATGATCTTCATTCATCCATTTTGCCCAGAATGGACGAATGAATGAATGAAGCAAATAGAAAGTGAATCAAGTTCAACCGAGATGAGGTGATGATATTCCTATCTTCATAGAGAGAGAGATGATGGATGGGAGAGAATGGAAGAGGAAAACCGAGAGAGATAATACGATACCATACATACCGTACATACCGTACGGTACGGGCGACTGTTTCGGGGCGGCACAGCAACAACACGCGGCTTGCGGTGCTGGCGGGCGGCTGTGATTGGCAGGACAGGACCAAGGCTGACGACGCTTCGCCAGTTCGCTCTCAATCCCATGTAATCTTCTTTTCTGACTCGACTAGTTTACTAGTGAGAAGTTGACTTGGTTGGAAACCGGGGTCGATGTTCCTTGTCTGCTCACCACCATTTTCCTCTCTCTCTCTCTCTCTCTCTCTCTCTCCTCTTTCTCCTTCTCTTGACATACTCTCGTCGCCTTTCGTCTCTCTCTCTCTCTCCCTCCTCTATCCCTTCTCATTCGTCTCGACTTCTCTTGCCCTCTCTAACTCTCGCTTTCCTTTTCTCTTTCCATCCGTCTCCTTTCCTAATTAATATTAATCCTTCTCATATCACTCTTTATTCCTTCCGAATCCCTTCCATCTATACGCCATCGCTGAACTCAATAACTTCATCGACCGTACCCCCCCTCTCCGGCGCTAAACGTGGCAACCGTTTAGCTGGGCTGTGCGATTTACTCGTCCTTTCTACCGTCCATATTTCACCATCCATCCTACCCAACCTTCGATTCGTCCGTCCGTCCGCTGTCGACCTTTCGTCTCCTGTCTCTCCCGAATATTTACGCTTCGCGAGACAAATTCCTTCTCGCCAATATCCATCGATATCCATCGATCACTTCACCCTGGAGATCTCGGGTCGATAGGATCGGTGTTGTCGACCTGCCTTGACCATCATGCCGGACGGTAGACACCACCACTCCCGACGGGGTCAGAGAACGGACCACTTCGACCCTTCCGAACTCACCCAGGCCTTTGAACAATTGATGCGCACCAAGCGATTCAACCGTCTTCAGGAACAGTCTCGGTCCCGTTCTCGAACCCAGTCACCAGCGCCCATGTCCCCGAGCCCCTTCAACACACCGCCCCATCCGTCACGAGCACCGCCGCCGCCGCCGACCGCAGCTCAATCCCCGATGCCATCCACCCCGCAACCTTCGTCACGGTCGCCGCTCTGGGGCCTCCCTATCGTCCCAGCACCCCCTCAAGATTCAGCTTCGCTCAAATTCCGCAACCTTCTCCACGTCCTGTCCGTGACTCCGACCAAATACGAGAATCCCGGCCTCCTGGACGAGGCGCTGGCCTTGATCCCGCTGGATCGACTCTACTCGGAGGCGGAGGAGGAGAGCCAGATCTTCCAGGCTCAAGCTGCTAGTGTGAGAGGAAAGGCCGAATGGGGCTACCAAGATTGCGTGATCCGCGCGTTATTAAGGTGAGTCTTGACACAATGATACCCTCCCATTTGAAAGGCATGGGAATCGTTACTGACACCGACCGTGCCCCTAGATGGTTTAAGCGATCCTTCTTCCAGTTCGTCAACAACCCTCCGTGCAATCGGTGCTTTATGCCTACTATCGCCCAGGGCATGACGCCGCCCACTCCTGATGAGACCGCCCGGGGAGCCACCCGTGTGGAACTCTACCGATGCTCGGAGCCCACCTGCGGTGCTCCTGAGAGATTCCCTCGATACTCGGATGTTTGGCAGCTGTTACAGACCCGCCGTGGGCGGGTTGGTGAATGGGCCAACTGCTTCAGCATGTTTTGCCGGGCGCTGGGTGGCCGTGTGCGGTGGGTGTGGAATTCAGAGGACTACGTCTGGACGGAGGTGTACTCGGAGCATCAGCGGCGGTGGGTCCATGTCGATGCCTGCGAGGACGCGTGGGACCAACCTCGCCTGTATGCTGAGGGTTGGGGTCGCAAGATGTCGTACTGTGTTGCCTTCTCGATCGAGGGGGCGACGGACGTCACGCGGCGGTACGTGCGCAGCCCCGCCAAGCACGGAGCCCCACGAAACCGCGCCCCGGAGGAAGTCCTCGTGTGGGTGATCCAGGAAATCCGGAAGAAGCGACGGGACAACCTGGGCAAGACAGACTTGAAGCGGTTGACCAAAGAAGACGACCGGGAGGAAAGGGAGCTGCGCGCCTACACGACCTCGGCCCTGGCCGCGGAGCTGAACAACATCCTCCCCCGACACTCCAGCAGTCGCCTCGATGAACAGAAGCGACAGGAGGCGGAAACAGAGTTTCTCACCACTCGACGGGCCGGTCAGTCTGGACCGGACCGATCGTCGGATGGTCAATAACAGTCTCTGCTTTTAACCGGATTGGTTGGTTGCTCTCTGCTTTACTTTCTTCTCCCGTTCGGCTTCGTTGGAAGGGGAACGCCACGCCCGTTTCACGGTCCGCGCTGCCGATATACGAACGCTGCTTGGCTGGACTGATCCGATCGGATCATTGAATCCGTGGAAGCGACATGTCCGACGGTCGGCCAGACATCAGCCGACCGGGACATTCTGTCGACCCGCCGCAGCCCCGTCATCACACTTCCCCGAGTTCAACTCAGGTGAAGGTGACTACACCGTTTCGGGGTTAGCCCCATGGATCTACGGATCCCCGTCTTCTGGAGGCATCCAGTGGACGATTAACGAATCGAGATTGAAATTCGTTGATATATCCACGATCTTTCTATCGCATTTTCTTTACTTGTGGTCTATGACCAGCATACAGCATACAGCATCGATCATGATGATTTCCTTGGCTATTATTACCGTCGTTGAAGCAATTCTCCTTTCCTTTTTTTTTTTTTCATTTCATCACTTCATTTTTATGAGCATACTGGAAAAAACACGATTCATCGGGAATCATGTTGGGAACACGGCAGAGGTTGGGTCCGTGATATGATCATCTTAATTTGGCTTTTTTAATTTTCTTTGCGGTTGGGCGCGAGAGGTCCGACCGAGCATGTTTGTACGAGACACTCGAGTACGTTTAGTACATAGGTTGCATGATTGGAACTGGAGGAGCATTTTCACTACTTTTTTATCTTTTTTTTTTTTTTTTTTTTTACTTCTTTTTTCTGGCTCCTGGCGATCTCAGATTCGGATACCTCTTTAGTTTTGAATTTGAATTTGAGCTTTGATTGGATTTACCAATTCCATACCCTTATGAATATCTAATGGTTAGTAGACCGAACCAGTAACCGAACCAAATGGATCAGGGACGTCCCAACCACGTTACTTACCACCATGTACATTGAGTACAGAGTAGCACGGTAGTACTGTAAGTAGGTAGGAAGTACTAAAAGTAATGAATATCAACCCAACGAGCGTCCAGACCTTGAACCACCCAAGTAACTAGGTACTAGTCGGCCTATCCTAACAATGGACAGGTCAAAGGTACCTTACCATCCCTGGTACTAGTCATCTTGTAGTACTAGCGAACACGACACCAACGAACGTCCCGTCCACTTCGATACTACTAACTGGATTAGCCCTAGGCACGGACGATATCAATATATCTATACGCGCTAAGAGTGGGAGATGGAGTCGCACCCCGGAAAGTTGAAAGATTCAACTTATTGATTGAGGGGAGGGGAGGGGGTGGTTTTATATGGTATGTATGGTGTTTTGGTATGGTTGGCTGGGTTCATTGGTATTGGGGTATACGTAGGTAGTATTGCAGGACCGGACAGGACAGGACTGGTAGGTTCAATCAATGAATGAGTATATGTATAGGGACTGAGGAACTTCAATCAATGGGATTGGGAGAATAGTTTGTCTTTTCTTCGTGATTAACTCTTTGGTGCTTGGGTAAGGGAAGAGAAGAAGAAAAGAAGAAGAAGAACATAATACAATAAAATACCACCCACAATACACTCCATCCACGTTTTCAAAGCAATCCTTAGATCCTCAGTCTACTACTAGTAAATACTAACTAACCCAATACCGACAATGCAAGTCCTCCATTACGGTAGTAGTAGTAGTAGTAGTAGTAGTAGTAGTAGTAGTAGTAGTAGTAGTAGAACCCCATAGCCAGGATCGCAATCGAAATCTAAATACACTCCCAAAAAGAGGGAAAAGGGTCGATGCAACCAGACAGATCTATTTTTAGCGAGGCAGTGCGGGAGAGCGAGATGATCGACAGGACTATCTCTGGTTTGGGTTAAGTTTGATTCTTACTAGTAGGTAGGTACTAGTCGTAGTTACGGAGGAATTGACATACCGACCTCCTCTCTTCCATACATGCTGCGTGCTACGTTGGACGTACTAAGGGAGTGGAATGCTGGTAGCTAGTTAGTCAACTTGTTTAGTATGGTCGTATTAGTAAGGTATTTCTTTAATTTTGTTATTTTTGTTTTGTTTGTTTTGTTTTGTTTGTGGGTATAGGGTAGGTTGCTACTAGTATTATAGTATACTACTAGGTGTTTGCTGCTTGCTTGAGAGTGTGGGGGACTGAGACATTGATGTTGAGGTCATACTTGCGTAGACATAGTGTCTCTTCTGCTCTAGAGGTAGAGTTGTTGTGTTGAACTAATTGTTGTACTGCCTGTATCCACACCCATGCTGGGTGGATACTACTATACTCTGATCCAGATACAAATATACCTACTAGATATCGAGTATAACTATAGTAATCAATCAAACCTACGTATACGCACCAACAAACTACAAAGAGATAATAATATCACCCAAAAGAAACCCGACACCCCCTCCCCCCCAACTCCCTCCCAATCCCCTCAAACTCCCCCCCATAACACACCTGCTTCGGCAACACCAACTTCCATCCACCCCCACCACTACAGCCCATCCCGCGCAACGGCTCCAAAAAGCTTGGGATCCTCTCCGCGGGCTCACAGAACCACGCCCCGCTGACCCTCAGCGTGAAGTTGCGCAGTCCGCGCATCTCCGCCACAGCCTGGCACGTCTCGATCCACTGCGTCCGGCCCGCTGCGAAGTACACGTGCTTGACTGGGTCCTTGCTCGGCAGCCAGTGGCCTGGGAAGGCCCAGCGTAGCTCGACTGCTCGGATTGCGTGCCAGTGCTCTGGGGCGATTGTCAGTCGTAGGTAGGGTAGGGACCACGTCGTGCTGAATTCGAATGTTGGCTGGGTGTAGAGGAGGTGGTGTGATTCTAAGTGGCTATTGGGTTCTCGTTAGATTTTACTTCATGATTCTTGTGTGTTTGTATGTTGGTGGGCTTATAGATCGAATGCATGGATGTGATGGACATGGTAAACATGGTAAACATGATAGAGATGGTAACATACGTCTGTTTACAAACCATCGACAGCGCAAGAAGCCCACTCGGCCCCTTTCGCGGACACGGCAGTCCTCCCTGGCATATCTCGCAGGATTTTGCGGTGCCGGGACACACGACGTGGCCCATGCGTCTGTTGGGGCGCTGCACGATGTGCAGGCGCAAGTCTGCGAACACGAATTCCCAGATGAGGAGGCGGAGCTCTGGGGACAGTTTGCCGAGGAGGAGGCTCTGGGGTTGGGGGGTGTAAGATGGGAAGTCTCCCGTTGCTGTCGGGGTTTGTGTCTGTGTCTGTGTGTCTGTTTCTGTCTCTGCTTCAGCCTGCTGGGGCTGGTTCTTGAGGTTAGTGAGGGCGGTGGGTTTGTTGTCTGTTGTGGTGTTAGTTTCTCCTATTGACCATCCTCTTTACCCGTATCTATATATTGGTAGACGCACTCTGGTACCGATGTGCCAGCACATCCTCCCAGGAAAACACCCCCTGCTTGATCCTCGCCATCGCGGTTCTGTATGATATGGATTCCCTTAACTGCTGACAACCACCTGTTCAGAGTCCGGGGGCATATTCTAGTTGGCCATCGTGTGTATACTAATAGAAATAAACACGATATGTGCAAACGAGGAAAGAAGACAAGAAGAAGAGAAAGATGACAGTATAGCTCCGAGGCCAGAGGTCAGGTCAGGTCAGGTCCGAGGTGGAGAAGGTGCGGAGAAGAGGGGAAGAAGCCGGGCGTAAGCGCGATTTTCCTGAAGGAGACAGCCAGGCTGCGTCTTTTTATACCCGCCTCCCATGCTCACAAACGTGCGAGACACTCATCCATGTTGCTGGCCGAAAAAGGCTGAAGAAAAAGAGTCGGTGAGGATGAAGTCGATTTGACCCGGGGATGTGAGGCATTTCTTAGCCGGTGTTTATTGGCGGGCAGAGATAAGATAAGGAACCCGGTCAGGGGTTCATCTGTTCCTATTGATTTGGTTGACCTCGGAGTCTAAGCTGGAAACCCACAAGGCTGGACTAGTGGGGGGGTAGCCTGATGGGAATGAATGGATTTTCTCGATCTTAAAGATTCTTCTTTCTCCATATTACAGCTACCTTGTATACAAGGAACCGCTGGATGACAGATTCAACATGTCCGAACCCCAACCGACCATCAAAACCCGAATCCTCGTCATCTCAGACACCCACGGCCGCGACATCATACAATGCAATGAATCCGCAGACGTGGCCATCCACTGCGGCGACCTCACTCGGAGATCCATGCTAGAAGAATACGAATCAGCGATCACTCTCCTCAAGAGGATCAACGCGCCCCTCAAACTAGTCATCGCAGGCAACCACGACTTCACCCTCGACCCGCCCGCTTACCAGGACAAGATCCGCGAAGCAGAGAGACTGCAGATCATCGACCCGCGGGTGATTGAGCTCATGCACGGCACCTCGGCGCAGGTCCGCGAACTATTCGACCATGCAGACGTCAGGGAGAAGAGCGGGATCCGACTGCTCGACGAAGGGACCCATCACTTCACCTTGAACAATGGCGCGTCCTTGACCGTGTACGCTAGCCCGTACACGCCATGTTTTGGCGACTGGGGGTTCCAGTATAGCTCCGATGGACGACACGACTTTGCAATCGGGGATGCGGATGTCGTTGTGACGCATGGCCCTCCGCGGGGTATCCTAGACGACAATACCCTATCTGATAAGCTAGCGGGTTGTGAGTATCTCTTCGAGAAGATCGCTCATTCCAGACCGCTAATGCACTGCTTTGGACACATCCACGGGGGATGGGGCGCCAAACTGGTCACATGGAACGAGACACAGAGTGAGAAACCATCCCATCTGGCGGATATCGACCATGACAAGTCGACGGTCATCGAGGATCTCGCGAGTCTCAAGGCGAGTGGGCGACGCCCGTATTGCCTGACCGGGCACTCTTCTGATGATGCGAATCCCCTTCAACACGGGGCTCAAACTCTGTTTGTCAATGCTGCCGTGGAGAGCTCTGGTCCGGATGATCTTCCCGTTCATCCTGCTTGGCTGGTTGATTTGGACTTGCCGGCACAGAGTCATCATTAGATTCATTGTCTGAGTAAAGCGAGGACCTGTGAATTCCCCTTTGCGATCAGCTTTTCCGCTTCATGTATGGCGTCCTAATACACCTATCTGTAATTAGCACCGCCCGTCCAAGAGAATATAAAAGCCGACTTCTTGCTGTTCTAACACTCCATCCTTCCAACTTCTTCAATTTTTCTTCTTCCCCCCTCTCTATTCTACACCCACCCGATCACCTGCGTGCGCTCGCTGACCCCCTTTCCCCCCTGTTTATTCCCCCCTCCTTTCCTTTTTTTTTTTTTTTTAATTTTTAGGTTGTCAATCGTCGGCGACCGGCGTTCCGTGAAAGCCCAGATTCCAAGTTCTAGACTTCTGCCTAGAAGCATAGCACTCAGCTGTGCCTCATTACTCTTCTTTCATCGCCTCCGAGTTGACTGGATGTCTCAGTTTTATGTATCCCGCCCAGAATGGTTAAATGAACACTTTGAATTCTCTCGAAATATCCTCAAAGAGTGGCGCGAGGAAGACATCAGCAATTGGCAGTGACTGCCCTTTATAAAAAAGGCTGTAACGTGGTTTGGAAGAGCGCATGATTTTTGGAACGGTCTGGCAATGATTGAACAGTGTTAGCCGAATCGGAATATGAATAGCAGGTATTATGATGGTTGCTAAGGTGCCTGTGAACGTGTCTAGTCTTCTCTTGGGAAGGGTCATTAGGTTTCTGTCACTTTTTGATGGTTGGCTGGATGTTCTTACCACTGCGGGTGAAGATTTTGGTGGCTTTACGTGTATGGTATTATCATGTCTGTTCAGTCGCCAGATTATAAATTTCTCTGTTTCCTACGTTAGGAAACAAGTGAGCAACAAATATTATTTCAAGCACATCACGTTTTACACTCTGCCCAGAATTATTTCTCTGAATATGAACTGTCAAGTTTTCTATAACAGTCCACTACTTGAGATCCCCTCATGCCCTCCAGGATCCAGATGAATCTGCTATTTCCACTCCTTAACACATCCTATATGATCTCATCAAAATTACTTCCAGCTTCCTCAATGAATCATCCTCTCCCACCTAAAAGCCCTATTTCCAAGTATTTGATTCCTGTAAGCTTTACACCTGCAAAGGTCTTGGGAGCTCTGCGCAGCATTCCACAGGCTCAGGCAAAGAGTAATCAACTTGTGAGATGTTCTGTTGTCTGTTTAGGGGCATTGTTTGCAACACGGGCTATTACAAGATCATTACAGTTCACAGCTTGTGGCGAGGTCTTGCAAATAGAATTGATAGTAAGTGATGACTCCTTTGCCAATAGCTTGGAAAAGAGGTTAATTTGTTGTAGAAGTTGCGACTGAAGCAGAAAGAGGCCAGCTTCTAACCCAACAGGATCCGAATGTGTATGGTCGCAGTTATATTAACAGTACTTCAGCTTTAAGCAGCATGGATGCTTTTCTTGGAGAAAAGATGCGCCTGGATCATATTGAGTATCTTTGAGGAGTTGGTAAATATCGTGAGAAGGGTTATCCACAATGTTTGCCAGCAGAGAGAGAATATGCTGTTCAGAATAATCCAACCCTACAGCAACTTCAACATGAGCTTAAAATCCTGGTCAAGGATGAAGGTTCTGATCCATTCGGAATTGGCATCACAAAGAAGCAAGAACAGGCTCTCAGGAATTGACTTCACACTGAAGGTCTGAATGACTACCAAGAAGAATGGATTCAAAATCATCTAGAAGGAAAAGTTATTTTGCAAGGAAAGTCAGCCCCAAGAGGAGCTTTACTGAATGATATAACTGCTTGTCTTTTTAACGTTATGCCCGAGTGTCAGTGTGTTGCCATGATGATCCCATTGGACAAGATTTTGTCTTATCATGAAATGCTCTCTCCAGTCCATGATCTACTCTCATTGCGTGTTTGAAACCATGACATCTTTTATCAATTGGGTGAAATGCTGACCGATGGCACGTGCCCAATTAGGAATTGCCATTTTAAATTAGAAAAGTAAGAAGAGAAGGGCCCTTGTCTAAATGTTGGATGCACGGACTGCACTGACCTCAGTAAGACTCTCTTGGCCTCAGTGGGGTAATTATATCCAGGATTGCCAATGAAAGGAGCTTTGCAATGCCCTCAGTTACAAGGAATGCAAACTGGAATACTACTATGAGTGTTTTGAGTTTTATTCCCTTGTTCAGTGGGAGAACCATTGTGGCATTCATCTGGTAAACGTCTCTACTAGACAGTGTGAAATCGTCACATATTGCCATACGCTCATCCGGCCAGGCTATTGCCCTTTTTGCTTGGGTGACCAATCCCGAGAGTCCTCCAAGCGTATGAAGTATTGGAAATGAAGTAACGAGCTGCGAGCTCACATTGAAGAGCATTTCAGAACACTAAATGAATACTCCTGTACTCATCTGATGTGTCGGGAACAGTTCCAAGACAAGATGGGGCTCTGCTATTACCTGGAAGATATCCATGGGTTGCAGAAGGCCATCTGGGATAGAAGGGAGCATTTGGTTACTCCTTCAGTACAGAGTCCGGAAACCCAACTTGATGAACACTTCAAAAGGGGCAGCCAAAAGAGGATGTCCAACCAGACTGAAGGTGAGCATTTGGACCATGGCCGACAATCGAAGAAGGGGAGAATATTTAGTGCAAGCTCAAACAGCACCGGTCAGCTACAAGATTTATGTCTTGTTCAATGGAAGCCTCCAAACCCGGTAATTTGCTTCAGCGAACCCAAAGAGGATGGTTCGCATACCATAAGGGACTTAAACTGCGGGTTTGCTGCCTTGGAAGAACACATGCCCAAGCATCCCAGGATCATCCATTCTGTTCCTTTCCCTCACTGTCCTATGCTAGGTGCAGATTGGTGTGCTGGGACTGACTGGGTCATTTCCCTATAGCAAGTGGACTAGCCAATGTGAACTTCTGCAAATGTACTGAGACCCCTTCTTTGGCTACTAATGGAGTGCATGCGCTGCTTCAGGCTGTAGAACACATCATATCAGACTCTGAGATCTCAAGTTTTATTGGCCTGCAGTGACTGCACGGTATCTAAACTAGTGACAGCATGGGAAGGACACCAGGCTAGCTGGGGCCCAGTGGCTAACTTGATCCCATACCCCCAAGGCAGGAGAACAGCCCTTTCATTTGATCAATTCACACCATTCCACCTCGCGGGCTGGTCCTGCCAAAATGATAACTATCACAGTCAGCCTCAAGGTAAGTGAACCAACCCAACCCAGTTTCATTTACTCACCTCACTTGAAGGAGAACCAGAAAAGGGGACCAGATTTAAATAAGGACAGTTATTCCAACTTCCAATATGAGTAAACTCTCCTTAACGCCTCCTGTGGATGACGCTTACTCTGGTGCAGCTGGTCAACCATATTGGCAAAGAAATGGAGTAGATTGGACGACTAGATGATTCTCAGAAGACGGATGCCCTGATGCGGGCCCAAAGTGGGGGATTGGGATGTTATTATAAAGCCCTCTTTGGTCGCCATGTCGCGGAACAAACTGACCATATTTGAGAACCAAGTTAAGACATCGCTTTCCCTCGCTTTTCCAGGCCACTCCCGCCATCCACCCTCAGCTTAGGCTTTTACACTGTATTGAAGGTTACCCCAGTAAACACATTTTTCAAGAATGCCCCCATCGCGCAAAGTATCATTGTCGCCCGCGATGTAGCCCGAAATGTTAGCCTGCGAAAGTGTGGCATCATATCCACCCTCCCTATGACCGTGCTGATCCACAATAATTCACTAAAATGACATGATCACAGTTTCATGGCACACAACTTTGTCATGGTTCCCAGCATGTCGTCAAGAAGACCCTCGGCAACGTTGTCCTCACACCGGCCGTTATACCATTGCAAGCTGAAATCAAGGCAGCCATCTGACTCCTCCACACCAACAAAGATGTCAAATCCCCAAAGATCACGGATGCTCGTCGGCGAAAAGCTCAAGACCCCATTTTCTTTGCCCTGGCCATTGCTTGTCGGCCCAAACTTCCGGTAGTTAACCACCGTACTGAAACCGGACAGGGTGTGAGCCCCGCTCTGCGCCGCGGTTAACCCAGCCCCCTCGTGCTCCAGTGCTTCATAGATAAAATGGTACATGTCTTGCATATGAGTCCGAGCATCCTTGCTCAAAGCATTATGCAGCACACACGGGACAATGTTGAGACGAGGCCCTACAGGGGGTTTGATATCGCCCATGTTGGGGAATGTGCTGTCCCCCGAGGTCACCATTCCAAAAACGATTTGATTTTGCTGCATCTTGTGTGCCAGTGTCAGGCCCCACGATACACACAGAAAGTTGCTCGTGGTAATGTTGTTCTCTTGGCATGTCTTGCGAAGTGCGGACATGGATTGGAATCGTCGCTCCGTTCGTCGTGCATTGTCCATGCTCATTGGGACCAAGCTGTTTACAGGAAAAGAGCCGGACAGACCTGTCAAGGCAAGGTGTTCTTCCCAGAAATTCAAAGACTTCGAAGAACGCTCTTTATCAAGGATTCTCTCTACGGCTGCTGCATAGTCGAGAGACGCATGTGGTAATGAGTCTCCGTGATAAATGGCAGACCAATCCTGAAGAATATGATCCATGGCCAGCTTGTCAGTCAAGGCGTGGCTTATCTCCATTGTGACTGTGACTCCAATAGGGCTGCCAGTGAAGGAGATGGCATGCGCAGGCCCTGAAGGTAGGGCAGCTGAATCAGGCGGGATTTCACCAGGGAAAATGACCGAGTCCACATGTTTCAACACGACCTGGTAGTCTCCAACAAATACTGTTCGGAGTATTTCATAACGCTTCACGGTGTTTTTCCATGATTGAGCCAATCGCCCTATGGCGTCTGCATTGTTGGATGCTGGGACCTGGAATGAAAGGCGTACGTTGTAGATTCCCTCGCCGGAGTTTCTCTGTGCCATCAGCATGTGCTTTTGGATTGCAGTGCAAGGCAAAGCACAGACCACGCTGGCAGAATCGATCCCGTTCTGGGACAACAAATTTTGTATCGAGTTTAAGTTGCGGGAATCATAGAGTTTTTCTGTGTTCCCAGGAAGAAGCTCATCTAGTGTGGGCCCAATCGCTCTGAGTTGACGGACAATGAGATCTGCCCATTTGGGCAACAATGCCTTGTGCTTTATCCTTTTGTGTTGCTCGAGACGAATGGTCAAGTGATCGTTTTGGATACCTGCCGATACTTCGAGCATTCCAAAGCGCTGGGCCACCCCTGGGACCTGGTTTTCCACGTGCAGACCACCGTCCCTCTCGAACAGATTTTCAGAACGTTCCAGCTGTTGATACGCCCCAGCAAAGTTGAACATGAGCTCCATTCCCTCGTTGTCTGCATTGCTGGGATTCTTACGGCCTGTGCCCTCCCAGCGGAGCGCGAAGTAGGGCCGTCCCTTGCCTGGTGTTTTGCGGCGAACATCCCGCACAGATTGAATGACAGTGCCCAGCGATTTGAGTGACGCCTCGGCTATCTGGACGGGGCAGATTGTGGTGAACCAGCCGACGGTCTCGGAGAGATCAACAGGGTGCAAGTCATCTGGGGATTCTCGACCATGGCCTTCGACATAGACTGCGGGGACTGCACGATCCGGATATGACTGATGAAAACTGTGGAGCAACACTCCGATGATTATGTCTACAAGTTCAACCAGAGGAATTAGTGAGTTTTTCTCCACTATGAGCGCGGTGCTTTTCCGATCGATTTCACGCTGCTCACTGGCGCAGCCGGCGTGAGTGTTCTCTCCCGGGACCAGCCCCCAGTAGTCCAACAACGGAGGCTGGACTTTGAATGGAAGAACATCTTCTTCTCGCAACATCTCGCAGTGCTTCCTCTGCAGCTGACACCATGAGCGGAACGAAGTAGGTGGCTCCTTTGACATGAAAGATCCAGTCAGGAGCCGCTGCAAGTCCAGCCAAATGATGCGCCAGGAGACAAAATCAACCACCAAGTGATGGGCTGTGAACAAGATTGCCTGTCGATCCCGGGGCCCATCACGGATCTCATAAATATCGATTCTAAACACCGGACCGCGCTCAATATTGAGCTCTTCCTGTCGACATTGGGCATCTGCGTAGAGCTCCTCTTGCGTTGAGACTACATGTGTGGCCCATCCAAATGTATCTGCGTTGCCATGCTCATCGAGATTCTTGCGCAATGATAAGCGAGAGGGCACACAGTATTGCTGCCATTGTCCATCTTCCCGGCGCTGGTACCTTGCTCGCAGAAGGGGGTGACGGTCTACCAGCCGCTGAGTAGCAGTAAAGATACTGTCGGCAGGCACCCTATACTTGAGCCGGAACAGGAATGCCTGATTGAAGTGGTGCAGACTGTTGTGTACTAGCTTGAAGAACATCTTCTGAATGGGGGAAAGGTCCCATGGTACGCTCAGATCGTTCTCTTCGTCCTGCAGTGACAACGGTTGGCCGTTGGAAATGGAATTCTTGGACTGTTGCAGCTCAGCAGCTATACGCTCAATGGTTTGATATCTCAGGATTTGGATAACTGTAACAACCACTCCGTGTATACGACAGGCCGAGACCACCTGCATTGCTGAGATGGAGTCCCCTCCAAGGCGAACAAAGGATACATCCATTGGGACATCCGCGATAGGAATATTGAGAGTATCGCTCAGGGCCCTCTGCAACGCTTCCTCGGTGTCAGATGCTGGGGATCTTCTTTGATCTGGTTCTTTGCCACCACCATTGGTAATCTGAATGTCTGCTACAGATCGCTTCGCAAAGACTTGTCGCAGGCATCGGCGGTCAATCTTGCCGGTGACTGTTAATGGGAATTCGGCAATTGGAGCGTATGCGCTGGGTACCATGAAAGATGGAAGCTGCTCCATGAGGATTTCCTGCAGCGAGAACTCCGATTCACACAAAAGACTTGTTGCCTGGCTCTCTGGAGCAAGAATGGCGAGAAGCATTGGATTCGTCTTGCCGGCCAAAGTGACTACCTCGGCAACTACCCCCACATCGGACGAAGCCCCAACCCTGTCGATGGCCTGCCGGACGTGGTATTCCACTTCGGTCAGCTCCACCCGCTGGCCGCGAATTTTGACCTGGTCATCGGCTCTCCGCATATATGTCAGTCTCCCGTCGGGGTTGTATCGCACAAGATCACCGGTCCGGTACAATGTTGCATGGCGGCCTTTTGCCGGGTCTGCGGCGTCGGTTAACCATGGAGGATCGGTCACAAATACTGTAGCTGTCTTCTGTGGTAACTCCAGGTAACCCTCCGACACAAGGGGCCCTTCGAGCCAAAGCTCTCCCAGCTGGCCGATGCCGACCAGATTGTGATGAACCGGGTGCACCACCCAAGGGACAAGGCCCACGCCGCGGCCAATGCTGTTACCAAGGCGTTGGGGCTGGCTTTCAAGTGTGCTGAAAACAGTGCACTCGGTTGGTCCGTAGCCAATGCCAACCTTGGCCCCTCTCTCACACCAGCGCTGGACCAAGTCATCTGGGACTCGTTCACCTCCAAAATACACATCGGTTAAGGACGGTACTGAGGACGGGTCAATGAATTTAGCCAGTCCCGGAGGTAGAAATGAGAAATTCGCTCCCAAGCTCTGAATGGCGTCTGCGAGGTTATTGCGTCGATCATCTTCTGAGGGGATGCAAATGCAACCCCCGGCATACAGGGTATGCAAAGAATTGAACCACGAGGCATCAAAGGCGTGAGAAGCAAAGTCAAAGGTCCGGGTGCTCCTATTAAAGCCCAGGTATGCGCAGTGGTGTTTGATGGCACTACTGAAGTTCCTGTGGGTCAATATAGTGCCCTTGGGTGTCCCCGTGCTACCAGAGGTAAAAATGATACAGAGTCGGTACGAAGGTAATACAGCTGGCAGAAGGGGAATCTTGGAGGTTTGATCAACACAGTCCGATACAATGATGACCTGGGCAGGGTCCTCTATGAGTCTCTCTGCCAGCCCCCGGTTCATCTTGGAAGCCAGGACCATGCGTGGCCGGACCTGTTCGAAAATGGTTTTTAAACGAGCCTGTGGCTGGCAAACATCGACCGATACAGATGTCAACCCAGCCTTGGCTACCGCGAGAAGAGTCACCGGGAGCCACATGGACTTCTCCAGGCATATGGCAACATTGTCGCCCGGCAACAGCCCGCGGTTTACTAGCATACCGGCAAGTTGGAGGTGATGTAAATTGAGCAGTTCGTAGGAGAGGCTGCCATCCCATGCACACACAGCTGGTGCCTCAGGGGGTACTTCTTGTATCGTTCGAGAGATCAAGTCGCCCACGGACAAATCCACGGGTTCTGGCACTACAGCATTCCAGCTCGAGATGTCGTGGAGGTCCTGCTGGCTTGCCGTGGTCACCTGGCTGAGCTTTACCTCTGGGTCGGACGGCATTGTCTGCATTTGTCGCAAAACATGCTCTAATTGGCCTGCCAAGTAATTAACTTGCTTGGTGTCAATGACGCCTTCATCATAGACAAAGTGCATCGTGACACCATGACTCTCTAGCAGACACTCTACCAACAATGGCGAAGTGTGATACTGGTACTTTGAGGCCACTTGCTTATGGTCATAGGCTGTATCCCTGAGACGGAAGATTTGACCCGCATTTGTATCGCCACTGTTGGACGCGGGTTGGACAACAAACAGTGAATTGAAGTCACATGCGACAGCAATGTCCGGACTGATGCTCCGAATCTTGCGCAGACCAGTATGCTCAAATGGGATCATGTCAATCTCCTGCTGTTGAATTGTATGCAGGAACTCCTCCAGCGAGATCGTATCGTCTACCGTTACACGCAGAGGGACTGTAGCTATGACAGGCCCTGCCATTGTTTCGATCCCTGTAACAGAGCTCTTGCGCCCACTAACTGTCGCACCGAACAATACTTCCGATGAGCCGGTATAGCGAGCAGTGAGGAAAGCCCATGCTGCGCGGAGGCAGTTGGACGGAGTGACGCGGTTGTCGGCCTTCCACTGTATATTAGGACACCGACGGGTTATCACCCGATCTGGTTGTGCTTCATAGTTTGGTGCCGGTAATGATGGAAAGGCTACAGCCCCGCTATTTCCCAACTGTGCCTTCCAAAAGCTCCGTGTCCCTGCTTCGTCTGTGTTCTGCAAATGCTGCACCAAGGCCTGCAGCGACGGTAGGTGTTCTGGGGTTTCGCCGTGATATGCCCTAGCAACCTGCTCTAGGATCAGTGGCATTGACCAGCCATCATAGATAGCATGATGGAGGGACCATATAAAAAGTGTGTGACTCGACTCCTGAACGACCCCAACCCTATTTAGTGGCATACCGAGGTCACAGGAATCATCTTTATTCCTCATGAAATACTCCTCAAGGGAGTTGGCAGAAGACCAACACACAGGCTCATCCACTATTACTTGGGCAAATGTACCTGTGGAGAAGCTGATAACACGGGTGCGAAGGATTGGCGTTTTCTTCACCATTGCTTCCCAGGATGCACGAAAGAGCGAGACATCAGTCAGTTGGAAGCTCAAAGATGTATTGGGCCATACCATGGTGGACTGTCCATTGTGCCGAGCTGGCTAGAAGGCTCTCTTGTATGGGAGTGCATGGGAAAATGTCCATGATAGAGTTTGTGGGAATGCTACACACACTCGCAGCATGTTGCAGGATGCTTTCTTGCCTGCCATGGTGGGTGGGAAGTAGTGAAAATGGTGGACTTGGACCCCTGCTTGATTGAGCCCTGGTCCCAGGATCTGCTATTGATGCAGCCTGGGCGTACAACTGGGAATGGCGAAAAACATCCTCGACTGAAAGTGCCAGGCCTTTATTGCGGGCAGCGGCCACCAGTTTGATTGCCGAGATAGAATCCCCCCCGAGCCTGAAAAAATCGGCATGCCGCCCGATGTGTTTCGACTTTACCCCGAGGACCGACGCCCATAGTGACTGGAGTTGTCCCTCAGCCGCGGTATTCGGTACCTCTCCATCCTGTGAGAACCGGGGGTCGAGCATGATCAACTGCTCCAATGACATTTCGTTTCCTTCTTTCTGGAGTCGTCGACGGTCAATCTTGCCCGTGGGTGTCCGGGGGAGCTCGGACTTGACAACCCATACAGACGGTTTCATGTATGTTGGGAGTGAACGGTCCATGTGCTGGTCCAGGTCATGGATAGCAATGTCTCCTAGAACGGCTCCATTCCCCACAACCAAGAATGCGGTCAGTACAGACTGGAGCTCGTCACCATGTGGGTGAATGATCTCGACTGCCGCGATTGTCTCCGCGCCCAGATGCTTCAGAATGTGGTGCTCGATGGTTCCAAACTCCACACGCTGCCCACGGATTTTAGCCATTTGGCCCTTGCGGCCCATGTATATGAGCCGTCCCTCGAGGTCGTATCGCACGAGGTCCCCGGTGCGATATAGTTGACCCGGGCGTCCATCATGTTGCCCACTGCCGCTCAGAAGCCATGGAGGATTTTTAACATAAGCAGTAGTGGAGCTCTTGATGTCTCTCAGGTACCCCTGACCCACCGTTGGACCCTCGATCCAAAGCTCTCCGATTGTGCCTGTGGGAGCAAGATGCTGCCCTGTGTGGGGGTTCACAACCCATAGGTTGTTGGCAATACCGTCTCCCAGTGCTAGCTTTCCGCGGAATTCTTTTGAAATGTGCGTTACGGCTGTTTTCGATGGACATTCGGCCGCACCGTACGTATTGAATAGATTGACACGCGGTGCCCACAGCTCGATAAGAGCTGCATTTGCCGGTTCCCCACTCAGGAGTACGGCTTCTAGCCCTCGAATTTTGGGGCTGATAAACTGCAGAGCAGAGGGTGTGATATTGATTATATTTGCGTTGAATCGTTCGATTGCGGACGTCAGGTCATTCTTGATATCCTGAGGGGCAGGCACGCAAAGACATCCACCAGAACACAGAGCGTGAAACAAGTTTGTCCAGGCGACATCAAAACAATACGGGGCAAGATCAAACACGCGAGACTGATTTGAGAAGCCGAGTCGGGGTCCTAGATGGGTGACCGCGGAACAGACATTACTGTGGCTTATCACAGCGCCCTTGGGCATTCCGGTACTGCCAGAGGTATAGGATATGTAGACCGGCTCATGGGGGTCCACAGGAGGAAGCAGAGTGGAAGAGGTATGCTTTTCTGCCGGCTGACCCAGGTCATTCAAAACATTGTCAACCACATGAAAGGGAATATCCCCTGCCAATTGGGAGGTGAACTTTCGAGTGGCCTCAGTGCATAACATCAATGATGGATTGACTTGTTGCAGTATAAGTTGAAGCCACTGTTCGGGATGGTTGACGTCAATGGCAATACATACACCTCCGGCTTTCGCCACCGCAAGCACTGCTACAGGCATCCATCTGCTTTTTTGAATGCACAAGGGTACGATGGCACCTTTCTGGAGGCCGAATGCGACAAGCCACTCAGCCAAAGCTGTAGACATCTCAATGAGATTACCATAGCTGAGTCGGCCATCCCAAGCGTGAATGGCTGGGGCCCCCATTTCGTATTGGGCGATATCCCAAATGTCGTGAACACAACGCTCGTGACTTTCAGGGAGGTCGCGGTTCTTCCACCAAGCTTCAACGACCTCGTCTTCGGGTGCCCTGAGAAACTGGCCAAGTGATTTTGAGCCCGCCTGTTCCTCGAGAAACAGATTCACTAGCTGCCCCATTTGCCGTGCAACTGTCCGAGTCTCTTGGTCCCTATTCTTGCTGGAGTTGTAGAGGAGTTGAATCTGGTGACCATGCTGGTTGCACGAAGAAGCAAATGCAATTGCTCGTAAGTCTGTTATGATTGATTGACTTTCCCAAGTCTGGTCATTTCCAAAGGCCGAACCATCCCCTTCCGGTTGTAATATGAGTATTGAGGGCTTCTTTCCCGCGATCCCAGGGACCTCTAGCGGGTTATCAGGGGACTCTGCCTTATGGCCCGTCTCATCACTTGCCAGGGCATTTTGGCAACGTAAATTGTTGAATAGGTTCTGCGCTTTACCGTCAAAGTCCACTTCCACCTCCATATTAGGGGCCTGGTCTTCCAGCAATTGCAACTGGAATTTTGCTGCGGTCTCTTCCCGGTATTCACGGATCGAGTACCGAATTGCTGTACAGCCTGTGTGACTTCCAACCAGCACAGCCCATGCTGCCTGTACCAGGATCTTGAAGTATTCTGCACCGGGCTGCTGGTGGACAATATCAAACGGAGCACAGGCAACTTTGTTCTCGATGAGTGTAGTTGAACCCATACCTGCGATTGATTCAAACTGCTCGCAAATCGAAGAAGCAAATAGGTAAATGTGGTGTACTCACTACTAAAGATGCCAATCGGAAGATTGCAGTGAGGAGGCAGCAAGAGGATAAGACAAGTGAGCGGAAGGCGAAGCAGCAGAGAACTTTCAGCACCAATTCCAAACTAAGCTTATAAACATTGAGTCTATACTGCAGTGTTTGCCATAATTTGACTGCTTAAGGCCATGTGCTTAAGTTCTGGGAGAGGCGTCTTCTGTATTAATTCTAGTTATTTCCATTGGGCTGCCATTATTTGCTGAGGATATCTACAAAGTCAAACCGCAGCTTCGAGTCAGATGTAGACCGCACCTACTTTTGGGATATTATTTCAGCCAACTCATCCCCCCCAAAATTCCTTGCAATCAAGGCACAGCCTCCTCCACTGTATTTTCCGAGTGCACTTTCAAACTATGGGCGGCGAACTTGCTGTTTTTCCTCAGCCGCTCCCCATACATCCTAAGTAAAGGCGCGATGCCACAGAAAATAGTGGCCACTATTGCCAGGACTGATACTGCCATGTTAGGACCCAAGCCGTCGAACATTCTCCTTGCAAACAAGGGAAATGAAGCTGCGAGAATGCATCGAACTATGCAGAGGGCGGCAAAACTACTGGCTGAAAACAACAGGTAGCTGTCCATCATGTATCCCACGAGCACAACTCCAAATTCATTGATGGCAAATCCAACAAAGAATAGGGGGATAACCGAAATGAACCAATGCACATGAATATCAGGTGGGATCGTCCAGGAAAACCACCACAATCCTCCCATCAATACAGGAGCCGCGATGATATACCCGATCAACTTCTGTTCAGGAAGAACAGGGTCGCCTCTCTTACGGCATTTGTCAGCCATACGGTATTCTATAAAGCGGGTCAATATATTTGGCAGAAAGCCGAGGCCGATGGCGATGAATGGGAGGCTGGCTCGGGTTGTTGAGAAGCCAAACGATTTGTAAACGGGAGGGAGCACATCTGTAAAAAGATAGATGATGCCGCTAGAGACCCCACAGACTACCGATACTGCCATAATAATAGGCTCCGTGGCAAGCAGTTGGGCTGGTCGAAAGACGACATTGCGCGCGAATGTCTGCATATCTGGCACCTTATCCGGGTTCAAGGCTTGAAGAGATTCATCTCCCGTTATTTTGCGCAATTGCGCTACTTCTCGTTCAAGGACAAGACTTGGTCGGGATTCTCGGATCGTCAGTAGTAAAACGGCCAAGAAGGCCGTCACAATTGCCGCTGAATAGAAGACCCATTGCCTGCATGTAGCAGTTAGTTCCTTGATCTCTAGTTTCATGTAGTCGTGGGTGTTTCATACCATCCCCAATCAGCCGTGATGTATGCACTCATCACTGGGCCTGCTGCAATGCCAAAATTCGCAGCCGCCAGGTAAGGAAAAGTGATCCAGATTCTTTCCCGTATATCGAATATATCCTCAACACTTCCTGCCACTACAACACTCGGGACTGCCGAAAGGAAACCCGTGGCCAGGCGGCCAACAGCGCCGGCAGCGGGATGTGAGATCGCGCCAGTAGCAGCACAAAAGATGCTATAGAATACTGTGCTCACCACATATAATCGCTTGCGACCGAAACATTCTGAATAAGGAGGAAAGATGACACTTCCAATACCCTGGGCGAGCAGGTACCTGTTCTTGCCTGATAATCATCTTCAACCCGCCCTGGATCAGGAAAATACCGACGTTGATACATAGAGAAACAAAGATAGGGTTGCGTCAATGCCGAATTGTTGGTGTGCGTTGGCGGCGGCCGTTGCCTGTGATATAATACATGATGAGTAACAATGAACAGCGTGCTTTGAAGGATGCTAAATTATACCCCTGATGTGCTCACTGCAGTTCTGAAATGCGATCATCGGTTAGCATGAGGATAATATCTCGAGGCCGACAGAGCAGAAGGGGTACCAACGTGTAGAACTCGAGTAAGATAATTATCGTGACATCGTAAGCCTTCCTGAGTGGGGACCAGTTCTTGGGATGTTTTGGGTTCGTGGTCGCCCAGCGCACGAGATTCTTCTCATCACCAGTCCGCTCCAGGCCCTGGTCTTCAAGAGCGTACTGCAGGGCTACCTGATTTGTAGGGGCCGCTTTAACCATTGCCGCGAGAGATGACTTCGACATGATGTCGTAGAGGGAAGAGGAAAGAAACCTCGGGTTGCGGTCAAGAAGAAGAACGATGGAAGCAACCCATAAAAGGGATGTATCAGAAGGAATGGAGGGTGGTAGGAGAATGTCGCACACAAATGTAAGGTAGATACCCAAACCATCACTGGGAGCATATCAAAAGATGGTGATTGAATGTACACGTAACTGAGTGTACCTTATCCCTAATTCCAAATTCTATGAATTCTGCCTTTACACCCCTTACTGCTGTTTTCCACCTCTACATTGTGGGACGCCAATCTAAAGGAGGCAGAGTTTAGTTGGCACCGTATTTCAAGTAAGATAAGCAAGTGCTTTAGCTTTTCATATTCCCCCATCACTCCGAAAAGTAGCAAAGTGCTGGAGATTATCAGCTGTAGAAGAATCTGCACACTCAGCATGGATTTTAGATATGTAATGATACGACCGGCTCGGAGGTGCAGAGCCTGAAGGGCCATTCAGACCCGGTTAACTCAGTGACATTCTCCCTGAATAGCCAGAGGGTGGCCTCCGGCTCTAGCGATGGAACTGTGAAGTTATGGGATGTCACGACCGGCTTGGATTGTTCCCAGGCTTCACAAAAGTCTGGCTTTCGGATATCTGTAGATGATGACTGGGCGGCATTTAGAGATGGACAAGTATTATGGCTCCCTCATGACTATCGTGAACCCACGTGTTTTTGCCATTAAGAATGACAGACACCCTTTCCCTTGGGTTACCATGACGGGCGCCTTTCTATTCTGGGGTTTTGTGCATTTGAAGGTTGACTGACATTTAGTGTACCATTTGATACTGCACAAGTAAAGTTTCGGGAATATGCCAGTTATTCCGCGTATTTACTCGAGAGCTTCATTAAACGTAGCTGGGGCTTCTATGAAGAAAATCCTGACCAAGGGTTCGATGTATTTCTTGAGTGGTGCATTAGTACTGTGGGTCCAAAAGAGGAGAGCGAGCGTTAGAGCCCGTTTTCAGCACGCAGGGATGAAGATTGTGGAAGCCTAAGAATTTGCAACAGTAGATTTCGAAAACAGAATCCCCCTCACTACGTAGTAGAAACTCAAGCTTTATTTCTCGGTCGTACCCGAAACCGCGCTAATCCATATTAAAACAATGCTTAAAGAGTCCTTTTCTGAGAATAGATGCTTTCTAATTCTGGAACAACTGCATTACATATAATACCATATTTGACACAAAACTCCTATACGGTCCTACCTAAATGACCCCTCCAAGGGAAGAGATGCCGTGCCCGTGAGGGGCCCAGACGATCATTTCTCGTCGGAAATTACAACGAACCTGAGAATATGAAGATGTTCCATGGATTACTGCCAGGGGAATATAAGGTGACCTCATCCATTGTGATTGGACAGCAAGCTTTTACAGTTTCCAAAGATCGAAAGTCATTTCCACCCAACAAGAGGCCGTTATCCAATATATATATCCCTGTCAAATGAGAACCGCCTTCGGTCTTTGCCAACAACAAACTCAATTGCCCCCTACGCATTCCTTCCTATCAATTGTGTCAATTTCAAAGATCTACTGGCCCTGGTACTGAAGGTTGGAGCTTCAGCGATCCCGCAGCGGTAGCCGCAGTAGCCCCCACCCAAATATCAAAAAGGGGGTCTCATGGGTCCATTATCCTGGCACCTCAGACTCCCACCTTTTGTCCTAGCAAGGCGAGATAAAGAAATAGTTCAGTTGTCATTGACTACAGAAATTCTCAGCAGCTATCCTGAAGGCAAAGCTCTATGAGCTGAAAGAAAACCAATTTGATTATCCGGTATTTCTTTGGTGGCGGAAGCGAAAGTTCCGCGCCGCAGCTGCCTGTGCCAAGTATCAAGAAATGAGGTCGCACTGGCCCGTTATATGTATCTATCGCCTGAGGAAGTGGATTACTACCACGGTAGGTACCGCAGTGGCATCCCATTTGGTGGTCCTTGGTTACCGCTGCGGACCGACAAGGCCCCCCGGCTGGTAGATTCTAAATTGGGGCTGAGCCAGAGATTACTACCTTAAAATTTATAATGGGCCAATAAGACCAAATGACCCGCCCCCAAACAGACAGAGCGACTGCAGCACTAGAACTGCAGACATTGATGGCCTGGCTCAGGACAACCCATTCTTGTGTAAAAGCAGTGACCTACTCTGACCAAGGCAGGTTGGATTCAAGAAAATCACCCCATTTCCCCAGGCTTGAGGCCTACCACCCAATAGTTATCGTGACAAGCCTGAGGCGCTAGCAGTCTCTTTGACCGACGTGGCGGAGGCTCCATGGCAGCATAGGATCCCATCAACGGCTGCGGCGCCCAAGCCTTGAGGAGGCTGGGAGTAACCCAGCCATCGTGAGTTTGAGCTGCCCAACACTAGTTCCTGATGTTTTGGTAGGTTGTGAATCTACTGAAATTTGCTACAGTTACAATGCAGAAACTCGAAGTATACCAGGTGTACATATTAGGCATGTGTATCAGATGGACAGCCACAGCCATAAGAATAACAACTTCAACAGCAGTAGCAGCAGCCAAAAAGGGAGCGGAAACAAAAAAGCCTAAGCAGAGGGTTCAGTACAACAAAACTTTATAGTCTAACTCATAAACACTGTTGCGACAGAAAATGCCCACCCTCTTCCACGCCATAATTAGGATTGCAATCTCGTTGACCGACGCAATGGAGGTTGTGTGCTGATGGTGGTGCTGGATTCCAACAAGCGTGGGTCGATATTTTCCATCTCAAAGCCAACGGACGAAGCGGGAGTCTCGGTGTTTGAACGACCATTTGATTTGAGAGAAGCTTCCGAGCTGTCGACAGATGAAGTGTCGCTGCAGATTACCCGGGGTCTTTTTGGGAGATGCTGCAGTCTAATTTGGACGTCATATTGGTGAATGGTAGCCGCATGGGCCAAGAATTCAGTGACTTTGGTGAACTTAGGGACACCGCCGCAGGCTGCCCAGGTGCAGCTGATCCCGTCGTGCACACAGGCAAGATGAGGATCAATGAGATAGCGGCGAAGAGCATCTTGTCGCCTGGAGGGGAATTTATGAGGAGGATTAGATGCTGAACGTCGGGATAGACCATAACAGATGATGCAAACATCTGTTGGACAATCCAGGGTTTTCTCTTTAGGAATTAATGGCTCTTCAGATTTCTCACTTTCATCACCATCATCCATATTCCAGTTGAATCGGTTGCCCCGCTGATTCAGATCGCAGAGCTGCATGAGGGCAACCATGTCCTTGGTAACTTGGATACGTCGTGCAAGCAGCTTATCCTCATTAAAATTCTCCGCTTCAGGTCCGTAGAAATTTTCCTGGCGGGTGCAGAATAGTGATGCGAGACGTCGTGGGACGTTAAAGCGGCGGCTCGCCGCTGGGCGTTACAGGTGGAAATGCGGCCATAAACGGCCTCAGAAGTGGTCATTTTCGGCGTCGCTTTCACAGGTCCTCACATTCTATTTGTGATATTGATTCCTACTTGCCATGGTACAGCTGACCGGCTCCTCTTCGAATAACGCCCTGGAAGGGACCACGATTGTAACTGACCTTATACCAGCAATGATCGCATGTCAGGACAATCTTCCTGTCAACAGGCGGCCCCTTGTAGACAGTGCTCTCTCGATCATTACCATGAATGCTCTCATAATTGAATACTCACTAACTGGGAAAGATGAGACAGATAATATACTTTCCTATGATTGACAAACACAAACAGTATGTATATACCCGTACAACTATATAATATATAACAATTTCCCGGTATCCTTCCTATCCCGAGATGACCATGTAATGACCGTGCTTGCTATTCTTCCATAACGAATGACGAGTTGAAGAACATATCAACAACAGAGCTTATACTCAACCAGACATAAACGAGTGACTCAACCACCATGAACGAGTGGACAGTATGAACGAGTGACAGTACTCATAAAACCAAGGAACGAGCGAATCTTCCGCAGAAGTAAAGAGCGAACCCACCTCCAAACGAGTGTCCTCAACTCTCCTATACACCTACCAAACCTCACCCCCATAACCACTAAGCCGTAGCAGCAGCAGCAGCAGCAGCAACCCCCAACGTATTCGTCGGACAAGGCGCCTTCAACCCCTGCGACAGCATCGCCAACCCATCCGCAAGCAACTTATCAACCGGTTCCTCAGCGGGCACAGTGCCCACATAAGGATTGAAGTTATAAAGTCCACAAATACACTCATCCACAATCTCCTTCAGACTCGCCCCCTCCATAACAGCCTTCCCATCGCGACTCAGCGAGAAATGCTGCTTGCCGAGCCCCATCGGCGCCGTGAACGCCGCCGCTCCCGCAGGCGCCTCGAACGACTCCGTCTTGTCGCCCGAGCGCACCTCCACCGTGCCGCCTGATTTCAGCAGCGACACAACGAACACCGCGTCTTCCATCGTCTCCCATCCGTTGGGGCGGCCGCGGAAGAAGTTCCCGCTGGCGTTGTTCGGGCTGCCTTGCATGGTCGTGTCGGTTTCGTCGCACTCGATGTCCCGTGGCGTCGGCCGGTACCAGTAGATGAGCCTTTCGTCGGTGATGTACTTGTCGGGGGATTTTTCGCCCGCTTTGTAGGCTGCGATGAAGGGTTTGGACATTTCGAGCCAGCCGCCGTGGGGCCTTTTTTGTTAGTTTTTCATCTTGTTGGGTTTGCAAGACGTAAAAAATAGGGGGGAGGGGATGACAGAAAAGAAAAAAATAGAGACTTACATGTCCATCACCCATTTCGAGGCCCCATCGTCCGTATGAGGCGACGATAATGGCCCGATATAATGCGACTCGCCGTAGTCGTTCCAGGTGACGATCTCCACAAATCGGGGCCCAAGGGTCAGGATCTCCTGCCAGCGGTTATACCAGAGCAGATCACCAGGGAAGACCCAGTTCTTGCTGTAGGACACCTCGCCGCCGAAATGAGTGAAGAACCAGCCGGAGGCGGCTACTCTCATTAGTCTTTTCCTTTCTGTTTCAATCTCCCTGTGATAGAAAAGGAAAAGGAAAAAGACATACGAGCAATATAAGGCTTCCCCTTCAACGCATCATTATAAGCCTGATCCCCCTCCGCAACAGAAACATTACGCCCCGACGTCGGCGCCTTATTATTCCCATCATTATCCCACGCCATCCAATTCAGCGCGCCATCAATAGCGCCAAAATCGCCCTGACCGGGGTGGAAATTCGGCGCGAAGAAGATGTCTTGCCCCGCGCTGGCCTTAATCTGGGGGACATCGATGCCGTCGCCGGCGAAGGACGACACAAACACCTTGCCGTCGACTTTGAGCTGGGCGGGGCGGCTGGCGTACTGCTTGATTTTGTCGCCGACGGCGGAGGCCTGGCCCGTGTGGTACCAGTTGAAGTCGAAGGAGATGAAGACCTTCATGTCGTTGTTGGCGGCGGATTCGTAGGCGAGGTTGAGCTGCGCGTCTGTGTAGGGGTCGACGCCGATGTTGAGCGCGAAGGCGTCGATGCCGAGGGCTTTGGCGCGCTTCATGTCGTCGTCGTAGTCCGAGGCGCTGTGGCGGTTGCTGGTTATGCCGATCTACGGCGTTCTTTGTTAGCTTAGGGGGGTTATTGGGGAGAAGATAGAATGGAAGGGAGGAGGAGGGTTACCATGAAGTGGCAGAAGACGAGCCGGTCATTGTTGGCAGATACATCTGGGGCTGGGATGGCACTGGCTAGGGCTGAGAGGCCGGCTAGTGCGAGAGAGAGTACCCTTGCCAGCATGATGTGAAAGAAGAATGAGAGTTGGAGTCTTTGAACTATCAATGAGTGGATGAGATGGCTCTCTCAGGTGGAGATCTATCTAAGTTGGAGGAAAGACCGATGACAACCGAGACAGACAGAACAAGCGGGTTGGATGCATTATATACACGTCTCTAGATATGGAGGCATTGGATGAAAAACATTGTCTGAGGGAGATTAAAGTGGAAAAAAGCCATACCCATCCAAACAAGACACAAAGTCGCACATCATCTCCATCCGCTTCTGTGCGCGTTTCAAACAACCCTCTCTAGGTCCAAGCCTCGACGTCATTGTGTGCAGTCGGCCCAATCCAATCCAATCCAATCCCAAGTTGACTTATATCCCTGATACCCCGAATTGCATCGTCATGGGGCCAGAATTGCGACTATATCCCTCACTTGTCCATCACGGGGTGGCTATCCAAGAGCCCTTGACGCTTGGACGGTGTGCGAGGATCCCGGATTGAGTCGAACTTTCTTCGATCCCGGCTCGTCTTAGAGTTTGTTGTCCGGGATGGGATGGCACTGCCGAGACTGTGGAAATAACGCGCACTAGGTTGACTGAAAGGGTGAGGTCTAGGTCAATCGATACGACACCAACACCGTCAATCGGGTACAGCAGTGGCATTGAGCCTCAGACGACGACCCATTGCATGAATAAGACAGTATAACAATGACATTGGAATAGCCTCAATCAGGGACAGCGAGGGCTAGCGTCGCGGAAGTATCCGCAGCGGGAGCGGGAGTCAAGAGATACATCTCTCAATTAACTTCCTTGGTAACCCAATATAGTCGCCGTAAACACTGATGTATGCTGTATTTCCTCCCATTGGCTAGGGCAAGCACACACGCGGAGACTTCTATGCAAATTGCCCTATGCGCCCTATTTTCCGACGATGATGACATGACCAGTGTGCATCGGCAACAGCAGCCGTCGTCCGCGATCTGCAATAGCAGATAGATTATCGTAGTGGCCCAAGTACAACATCAAACAAAACTCGGGTTAATCCGACTTGGCTCGACGTCCGCGGAAAAATTCCCATCGAATCGACGTACATAAAAGCTCGTAGCTCGATCGGTCAGCCACGCGATGCTATCACCAGACAGCCTTAACACATGCTTCATCCGCTCATAGGCCTCCCCCGTTATGCGGCGCCTGGGCTGGTGAGGTAGTACACTGCTGGGGATCACCGACAGCAGCGCCTTGCAAGTCCCAGGTAGATAGAGACTAAGACACATAAGGAGGCTGGGCTGGGCGGGCTGGCTGGCTGGCTGGCTGGTCATGCTGCGACGCCAAACGAGGGGCCCGCGTCGGGGCTTACCTTATTTCTAGGCCGTCCTCGCAATTTCATGCCGTGTAACGCTTCTTGGTGTCGCGCCACGTCTAATCTCATGTGATGGGAGGGAGCGATCAGGGTTGATTGATTGGGTGTTGGGGCTCTCCTGCAATCTCGAAGATTGCCTGGGTTGGTGTGGGCGGTGTGGTTGTGAGTCTCACGTTGCATCATTAAGTGGGATTCCGCAGGTATCTGCCTGTTTGAGGGCCAAGACAAAAGGAGTGCTTCTTCTTCCTCTTCTTCTTCTTCCTTTTTTGGGATTATGGGGAGAACAAGGGTTCTACTTGGTTATGGATGGCAAAGTTTGAGTGTGGCGGCTGAGTCTGGGAGGAAGCCCAGAGGCAGACCTTTACATGCAGACATGTCCGAATGAGGATTGAGCCCACGACCCTATGGCTGGGAGGAGGGAGTTGTAAGTCTTACCACGCCTAGCAAGGCAAAAGAGAACTCGATCACATTCAGTGTAAAGAACAGTAGGAGTATCTTCAAGGCCCCTCTAGAGGCCGGCTCTATAGAACAGCAAACGCAGACACGTAGCTCACAGAACTGTCGAGGACGTCGACTGCATCGGAGCTTCTGTCATATCTAACGAAGTGGAACCTCCCTTGTTTCACTTCCTCGCGGCGACTCGTGATCTCTTCGATGGCCGCCATGACTACGCCGATGGGGTGGCGACCGCATACGGTGTTCCCTGTCCGCCGGATGATTTCTAGAAAATTCTTCGAGGCACCCGTGCTGATGGCGGCCATGGTGGCGATGTCAAATGCGGAGATACTCTCATGGATGGCGGGCGCTCGACTTCCAATACGGTCCTGCCGCTGGAGGGTCTGACCCGCCGAGCCCATCTCCATCTTGTCCTCTAACTCTTGGGTGTCATCCTCGGGCTGCGGGAGCGAGTGAGCGGACAGCGGGAGTTTAGGCCCCGGGGTGGGCGCCTGCGGCACGTAGAATGTGTAACGGAAGCGTGACCCCCAGTGGCAGAAGTCTGAGCTTATGACAAACGCATTGCCTGGATCTTCCAGATACGGCGCGAGAAGGGCCCCGAAGGCTTCCTCGGTGGATTCGGAGGTGCTTCCCACCATGATTGGCACAAGCGGAGGGTATTGTGAGGTGGGCTTGTCGGGGTGCTGGAGCTGCAACAGGCGGTGGATGTAGGGGAGGTGGAGCTCGATACTGTGTTCATCCTCATCGATGGATCGTGTCATGGTGGTGAAGCTCATTGTCGAACCACTGGGTTTCACCGCCTTGGTGGAGAGGAGCTTAGCGATGAGCTCGGTATCCAACGGCAAAGGCTCATCGGAAAGCGGGGTATAATACGATGTGAGCTCCGGAAGGGCCAGAGTCGAGAGGTAGTGGTGGTGTGAGGGGCCGAGAACGAAGATCCGTTTCCTTTGCTGTCATTAGAGCAGTACATCCGACTAAGAAGAATGTTACTCACGCTTTCGATAAATCCAGGGCCTTGTAGGCATACGCGGCACATGATCCGGAGTAGGCATAACCAGCGTGCCTAACTTGTCAGCCGAAAGACCAGGGAGGATGAGGGGGGTTTGATACGTACGGGGCGATGATTATTCTTGCACCAGGCACCGGAAAAGATCCAATCCCCTCAATCTCATCGGGAACCTGAGCCAGCCATTCATCAAGTTGGCGGGTTAGAGCGCGTTTGCTATTCGAATACCATGAACCAGCATGGGAAGCCTCGCGAGACTGCATTCTGGACTGGTGTTTGCTTCAAGAGAGATACCAAGGACGACAAGACACAATACGTGGAATGGGAGAGTGACAAAAAGTTCTGAGTGGTGGCGATGGAGTGGAAAGAAGGGAATAGATACTGAGGGGGCGAGATAGATGGTCAGTAGATGGAACCGACCAAAAGCGGGGTTGCAAATCCACTGGAACTGGTTGCGATGACGTCCTGCGGGATGCCGAGAGCCTAAATGCGGGATGCCGATCAAGGCATTCAGTCGAGACTGCTCTATCTGGGCTGATCTCAAGTATTTGTATGTCCATGTCAGAAGTTCATATATTTGTTGTTTTCTTATGTTTTTACCATGCAGATTTTACCAGTCATGATCAACATTTCCAGACATATAGGATCTGTATCTGAACGCCTGATGACTGATCGCGTGGCTGGCACGCTTTACGGGCCTCGGGCTTCTGGATATACGACTCTGAGGACGAAATTATAGATATATCGGATGAACCCTCAAGAATGTCAACTGATTCAGATTATCCCCATATTATGAGAACCAGATGGATACTGAATCCTGCCAGTAGGATTTACTGTTCAAACATGTCGCGACCATGTCCAATTAATCCCAATCGGGAATAGCGCATGGTTAAGTTGTGACCGGCATTTCGGACGCGAAGACGCGACTTCCCAGCCTCATCTGAATTTGCGATCTACTCCCTCCACAATCTCTCTGTACAGACTTTATTAGAGATTCACTCCAACTGATTGTGTCCAGTCAGACCATCGACTGTTCCTCCTATATTTCTCCAAAACTAGTCCCTTCCCGGTACCACTCTGGTACTCTGTATACGACGCGAAATTCTCCACCCGAGGGCGCAATTTCTCCCCAGTCCAAACAGCTGAACACCTCTCTGCAACATGTCTCTCAAGCGCAAGGCCTCCTTTTCGACCCCGACGTCTCCCAGCACCCCATCCGTCATCGGCGGACGATCAATGATGCTGGATGACTCGCCACAGCACCTCAACAGCCGGACGCGAAAGCGCTTCCGCGACGACCGTCCAGAAGACCGGGTAGTATATGGTAGGCCGATCTATTGAATATCAAAGAGTTATAACATCTCATATAACAGTCAGCTAATCAATTGGACCACTGCAGAAAACACCCTCCGCTGGCTCTTCACAGCCCAACAGCGACCGGAACCATCCCCGGCAGCCGAGACTGAGGAGATGGACATCGAGTCCCTTCCCGCACCAGAAACCGTCGACCCACGCCAGCAAACGCTGCTTAAATTCTTCCAACCTGCCAAAACATCTTCCTCCCAGTCTCGCTCAAAAGGCACACACCCGCAGCCGATGACACCCAATCGCACCCCGCAAACCAGTGCCCTGTCGTTTCAGCAACCGAGTCTGAACATGGACGCAACGAGTGCCTCAGTCAGCAGTGATACCCGGACTCCCAGTTTGTCCTCTCAAGGTCCGAGCATGGATATGGACGTTGATATGGACTCGGGGAGTGACGGGACCACCCGAGATCCCAATATGTGGGCTGGTGGGCTCGGCTGGATGTGATGATTTGATACGACCGACACTGTTTGTGCTATTTCTTTAAAGTGACGATGTGCATCATTTGTTAATCGCGTTTCTTGTTGTCTGTCATCGATGGCTGGCCTTGGTGTGGACCATGATGTGCGATCAAAACGACTCTGCTCATCCGTCATCCGTCAATCGCCCGATGTTTGCTTGATTATATACCTATTTGTGCTTACTGTGGGAGCTTTCTGGACCAGTGGGAACGATGCAGGCCATTTACCCCGTTTATGTATATGGAGTTGTGCGGAGCTTGTAATTAGTTATCTCTACGTGAAGAATACAGTGGATGTTCGAACATATTGGGACATTATCTGAAGATTTCTACATGTTCGATCGAGAACCTGTAAAACACCACAATCCTGATCAACTCAAAAATAACAGTGAAAATTATGATATATCAAAGAAGAAGAAAAACAGATAAAATAAACTATATCGACACATCGAACGGGTCACATGCATCTGCCTGAGGCCCCCAGCGGCTCTCCGCCTTCGGAGTTGCTCATCCATGATCCAACGTCCAATCCACTCCCACTCCCAGCCAGATGATAAATACCTTCTTCCCCCTCATGTCATGAACAACCACAGGCCACCGAACACACAGTCAGACCCACCGGAAACCGCCTAGCTCGCCCTTTAGCTTTCAATTGAACATGCTCCTAGGCATCGTCTAGTTCCAGCGCATCCATTCAGCTCGTCCATTCAACTCGCCTGCAGAACAGTCCAGACCCCGGCCCTTCTCACTCGATCGTATTTTACCTGTTTTAACTGGTTCAATCCCGACCACGCCTCCCGAGCACCTGGGATCGATTGGAGCCAGAAACCAGGCTCACCATGGATGCGAACCAGGCAGTGCAGTTTCTGGAGTCGTTAATCGGCCAGACGATACGAGTGCACGCGACCGACACGCGCATCTTCGTGGGCACGTTTAAGTGTACTGATGCGGTGGGTGGCCCGATCAAAAACCGGATTCAACGAATTAAAAAGAAACCCATCATATTAAAGACGAATGAAAATAAATGAAATAAAAAAAGCAAAATCGCTAATCGATGGATCGATAGGCCCGCAACATCATCCTCGGGAACACGTTCGAATATCGCCCTCCCACGCCTTCCGCCGTCCGAGACGCAGCCGCCAGTGCCGACACCGACACAACCTCGGCGGAACAGCGCTCGCCCAATATCAAGGTGAATATGACGAGTCGATTTATTGGGCTGGTGGTTGTCCCCGGCCGGCATCTCACGCAGATCGAGCTGGAGGAGACCCCGCAGCAGAGTCGCGTGCGAGATGCGCTCAGGAAGACCCAGGGTTTTGCGTGATAGGGTGGGTGGATATGGATGCCAGGTCTACGCAAGGGCCATGATCTTGTTCCTTCCGTGCGAGATGAAACCCTAAACACGAATGTGTCGCTATAGTGACTCATCGTTGAAGTCTTTCTTTCTCTTGTTTTGTTTTCTTACTTTTACACTCTGGTTGTTCCCCTATTTTATTGGGTCGGCCATTCTGGGCGTATATATATATACACATGGATGAATGGATGGGAAAGGAGGGGTGGGGAGGAGTTGATTGGACGGTTGACACAGGCGAATATGCAACACCTTCCTGGGCTGGCCAGAACTCTCGATACACTTCGCTACCGGGAAGTTTTTGCCTACATGGTCGAAGGAGGGCCCAGCGCCAAGATCTCGAACCAAAATGGACCACCCAACGTTTCCCACCGCCAACGTGGGTAGACTTAAACGTCGGAAGAAGATTCGCTGTTGGTAGCTTGGCAGCAGGACAGCCCAGGCTTGGCGGTCGACGCCACGAGTACACCCCCCCCCACTGCGATCGAGCTTGAACTGGCGGTGTTCCTGGCAGTCGACGAGGGGACGGGATTGGGGGGGGAGGGAGGGGGGGGGAAGGATGAAGAGACATTGGATCGACAAGGGTACCTAGTACCTACTTACCTAGCAATGAGCATGGTAGGTGGTCTTTGCTTGAGATTTAACATGCGGATAGGACCGGTAACGTCATTCCGAATGGATACTTCTAGCCAATGGAGATGGATGCATGTACAGTTTCAGCCTCGATATTCGGGATGGATCGGGGATATGTGTTAGAGGCTGACACGGCTGATCGTGTCTCTCACCGATGTGACTGTATTAGGGTATGGAAAAATTTGAATTAAAATATATTACAATTGTGGAGAGTCTTCGCGGAGGGGAATATTCATTCAGACAGACTTAAGTTACGTGGAGAGAGGGGCGAGCCAAGACAGACCAGGTGGGGGGAAGGAAAAAAGGTGAGGGGAGGATCTCTGGCTAGGATATGTCAAATTCAATGAAATTGCAGACGGTGGGGAGACTAGTCCGTCATAGGGTTGATAGTGGAGGAGAGGGGACTGGGGCAAAACAATGATGCAGTAGTAGTTTGATTTATGATACTAGTTATTGTAAAAAAAAAAATAATAAAAAAGGAATAAAAGATAAGATAAAATTACTCGTCAGAAAATGAAAGAACCAACAGGGTCAAACAGGGAAGAACAACACCATTGGACGGGGCAACCACCTATATAAACACGATCTCCCATCCATTCCATCCATGATGCCGATAGAAATCATCCCGAGAGCTCCAGAGTGGATCGACCGGCGAAGAAGACGTGAGCTGAGTGATAACCAATCAAAGCCGGTCATTTGTCTGACCGCCTTTGTGACAAGCTCCGTTCCAGCCTCAGGCCTGTCCTCGGGCCGACCGATTAATCCGAGGGGCAAAAGAAGGTCACTGACACTTGGGTTACCTCAGGCTGCGCAATACCGACTCATTACCTGGACGGGAAACATCATTATCTCTCTCTTCTTACTTTCCCTTCTCTCTCTCTCTCTCTCTCTTACTTCTCTCTCCACTTCTATCATCAATCCTATCCAACCCCCATTCAGGTGGCTTGAATTCCCTTTTCCTGTCGATCTCTCTCTTTCCTCGTCCATTATTGGTAGGTTCTCCCCGCCTCCCTTGTCTCTCTCCCCCCCAGTCCATCTCCATCCATTCCAATCCCGTAACCCCATAATGACGCATTCCCATCATTCTTCCTTCCCCCAGTGCCACTCCCATTCCCCTGCTGCTTTCACTCGTCCTCTCCCTCTTCCTCTTCCTCTTCCTCTCCCTCTCTCGATCTGTCCTCTCCACATGCCACTCCTCCCCTAGATACTGCCACCCTCCCTCCCCTCATCGTTGGTCGTTGCCTACTGGCTCCTCCTCACGCCTTCTCTAACCGTCTTGTTGATCAGGAGCTTTTTGTTCGGCGAATCGGAGCCGTCCCTTCCGAACCGGTTAGCTCCTCAGTGGCTTTGCAATAGGTGGCTGCCGACCTCCGCCGTTTATTGCCTCCTCCTCAGCGGTCTCTCTCTCCTCCGTCAGAACGTGACCAGTCGACTTGAGGATTGATTCACTGTTTCATCGTCTTTCTATTCTCCTCCTCTCCCTCTTCTAGAGTTCTCATCCACCCAACAATCGGCTTCGATCCCTATATTCTGACGTCTCCCACGGTGGTCTTCGTCAACCGCGTCCGGTCTTTTCCATAATCTGATCAACAGGCCCTCGGGAGATAGTTAGCAGCCAAGTCGGCTGCCAACATTCCATCACCCAACGGGTCCTGTGTTGCTTTTTGGGTGACCGTATACCGGTGGTTCTGATTGTCTCATCATGGGCCAGTCGCATTCCAAATCCAACTCGAACCAGGGCGACACCCTGCAGTCGTATCCTTCCTTCTCCCGCTCCGAAACCAAGGAGTCTCTCCGCTCCATCCGGGGTTCCCTCCGATCCAGGATCCTCAGTAGTGACAGCCCCCGCGCGTCCACCTCCGCACTATCGGATGACCGCTCCGAGACCGGGTCCGTCAAGTCCGTCGGCAGCCGACGCAGCTCCACGAACCTCAGCACCACCCAGTCGGGCGTCGCGGATGACACCGCCTCCCAGCCCGATGCCCCCGACCCGCCGCCCTCCCCGTCGCTGTCGACCAGCCTGAAACGGGGCCATAAAGATGTGGGTGCCATGCAGCAGAGTGGCGAGGTCGACCATGTCTCCGATGCGCCGCTCAACGCCAGGGCGGCGCCCGTGGGCCCGTCCTCGCAGGCGGTGGGCGAATCCATCCTCATCAAGCGCGAGGGTCAGATGAATCCCATCCTGGATTTCATCATGAACCCGCCATCGGAGGCCTCCTCGTCGCCGGGCATGGGCATGGGCGCCTTGAAGTCGATCGATCTGGATGACATGATCTCACGTCTCCTGGACGCGGGTTACTCGACCAAGGTCACCAAGACCGTCTGTCTCAAGAACGCCGAAATCACGGCCGTCTGCAGCGCCGCCCGCGAGCTGTTCCTGTCCCAGCCGGCCCTGTTGGAGCTGTCCGCCCCCGTCAAGATCGTGGGAGATGTGCATGGTCAGTACACCGACCTGATCCGGCTGTTCGAGATGTGCGGCTTCCCGCCGACGTCCAACTACCTCTTCCTGGGCGATTATGTCGACCGTGGCAAGCAGAGTCTCGAGACCATCCTCCTCCTTCTCTGCTACAAGCTCAAATACCCCGAGAATTTCTTCCTCCTGCGTGGCAACCACGAATGCGCCAACGTGACCCGCGTGTATGGGTTCTACGACGAGTGTAAGCGCCGGTGTAACATCAAGACCTGGAAGACCTTCATCGACACCTTCAACTGCCTGCCCATCGCGTCCATCGTAGCGGGGAAGATCTTCTGCGTGCACGGCGGGCTCTCCCCGAGTCTCTCCCACATGGACGACATCCGTGGCATCGCTCGACCCACCGACGTGCCGGATTACGGCTTGCTGAACGATCTGCTCTGGAGCGATCCGGCGGACATGGAGGAAGACTGGGAGCCCAACGAGCGCGGTGTCAGCTATTGCTTCGGAAAGAAGGTGATCATGAACTTCCTGCAGCGCCACGACTTCGACCTGGTGTGCCGCGCCCACATGGTGGTCGAGGATGGATATGAATTCTATCAGGACCGGGTTCTCGTGACCGTGTTCTCCGCCCCTAACGTAGGTTTTCCCTCGCGTGACAACATCCGTTTCGCATTGCTGACCCTTTTTAGTACTGCGGTGAATTTGACAATTGGGGCGCGATCATGTCGGTCTCGGGCGAGTTACTGTGTAGTTTCGAGTTGCTGAAGCCTTTGGATTCGACGGCGTTGAAGAATCATATCAAGAAGGGCCGGAACAAGCGAAACAGCATGCTGAGCAGTCCGGTAAGTGCCCCTTGCGTGGCGGTCGATTTTCCTTGTTTTCGCCCAGCCCAGCACGGGGTCTTGTGCAACCCTGCCGAGACTCCTGTGCATTTCATCGCCCGCCCTTGCCGTACAATTTAAATAGAGTTGCTAACATTCGCCACAGCCCGCGACCGTGTCTGCGCAAAGCTTCTAAACACCTTGGGGTTCGGTGCCGCGAAAACGGCTAACTGCCTTGGGATGTCACCATCGAAGATCTGGGTGGACCTGGCGGTCCGTCCCCGCCAATATTCTGTCTCCAACCGTGGTCTCTTTGGGGCCTTGACTAGGACGGTCGAAACGACAGCAGATCGGATCCTCCGCCGTGAGCATGCCGCGGCTGATCATCTTGGCTGCAGGACGCTCCAACCAACCCTGTGCTTGCCAGTAGTCAGGCTTGCAAGTTGGACCGCAAGTGGCAGGTCGCTGGTTGGTGGTCGGCATGAGTTTGGACGGATAGCCGATCTGCCCGTGACCACTCTTCTCCTTTTTTTTCTTTTCTTGTCTTTTTCTCTTTCTTTTTTTTTTTTCCTTTTTACTTCCTCTATTCTCTCTGCTCTACAACCAGTCCGTCATGAAAGGGACGCTATGGTGCAACGACTAGTTTCGATATCGGAAAGAAACCCACGCGACAAGCGCAATCCCGTGTACTCTCTATCTTCCGTCTCCGCTATCCGCGAGCGAGACCTTTTGACGCGTCATGAAATTTTTACATACGTATGCTGTGTTTGCCTGGGATCGGAATCAATCAATTGCAACGATGACATTTGCGTGCTTTGGCTTGTTTCATTTGCTCATAACTGCATGGTGGGGTCTTGATAGTTAGATATGATATTGAAACAGCTGGCGTTTGTGTTGCTTTGCTGGCCTGGTTTGGCTTGAGCTGTACATGATAGCATCATCTTCGCGTTGAGCAGATAGTTTGTCTTTTTATTTGAATTCATATCACTATGACTATCATTTTGGTACGTAGATTTATCTGTCTACTGATTTATTATAGTATGTATGCAACCACCTACAAAATAAATCAAGACAGACATGTAGAAGAGATGAGAAGAAGGGAAAACAGAAAAATGACTTTTGTGCATTGATATAACATTATAACTCCTATCCTGCATGCCCACAGCTTACTACCTTGATAATGAGTATTCTGAATGAAATTTGTACGTACATTTATTCTCTCCACACCAACTCACTATACCCATAGTCAGGCTACCTACCTACTTGCCTGTCTACCTGCCCACCTGCCTGCCTGCCTGCCTATCAGATTGATAATGTACTACCGTACTGTAAGATAGCCAGCAAGCAAGACAGCTCAGGGTAAGGACGTAGGTAGGTAGGTAGGTAGGTAGATAGATAGGTGATAGGTAGTTAGTTAGTTACATCCACGATCATCCCACCAAAAAGAAATGAATAAAGAAAAAAAGAAAACAAAACCAACAAACAAAGACAACAAAAAGATATGCAAGAAAAAAAAAAATGAAAAGAAAAGAAAGAAACGATATCCATCTATGTATTAATCAAATCAAAATCATTCATAGTCCCGCACATACCGCCCCGGCAACTCCACATCCCACATCGGCCGCTCGATGATGGCTACTTCGAGGGTGTTGGGTGCGCCGCTTTCTTCGCCGTTTTCTTTTACTTCTTTGACGTCGGCGTCGGCGTCGGAGTCAGAGTCGGAGGAGGAAGAGGAGGCTCCACCGAGAGGTACAATGCCTAGCACGTCACGGTACTTGTAGGTGTGCCACCAGCGGCGGGTGCCCTGGTCCTGTTGCGTCTGCGAGAGCTGGACCTGCTGTTTGAGCGGGGTTGAGTCAAGCGCGGCTTCGGTGAGGAGGTGCTTTGATTTTTTCTTCTGGGGGGTAGAGGTTGAGGTGGACGTGGAAGGGTCAGCACGGCGGAGACGCGCGAGACGGGCTTCGTGCGCGGCGGTGTTGTCCTCATCTTCGTCGTCGTCTTCGTTATCCTTTTTGGAAGAAGTGTTGTTGTTGTTGTTGTTGCCACCCTCGAGAGACACCCACTCCGAGTGGGACTCGTCCGCACCGACGACTGTCTTGCGGAACCGGGAGAGGTAGATCTCTTCGGAATCCGGGATGCGGTCGCCTGCGCCGCTGTTGGGTTTCTTGCGTCTTGCTGCTGCGGCGTCGTCGTCTTCGCGCTTGCGCTTGTTGGCTGAGGAGGAGGCTTCGACGAGGGCGGTTTGCTTGGCGTCGTCTGACGCGGCGGTTAGTTCCTCGGGGGAAGGGAAGTCCTGGTTGAGGTCGAACATCCAGAGCCAGGAGGAGCCGAAGAGCCAGAGGCGTTCGCGCTCGGCGGTCAGGTCCCAGAGGCAGCCCATGACGCGGTCTTTGACGCCGCGGAATTGCTGCGGGAGGTAGGCTTTGGGGTTGCGGCGGGACCAGTCGGAGAGCTTGCCGGAGAGGGCGTCGAACTCGACGAGCTGGTGCTCGCTTGTGATGGCCATTAGGCGCGGGGTGGAGGTCGCTGTGGCCGGGTTGGACGGGCGGAAGGACAGGACCGCGATGCCGGAGGTGAGGCGCGGGATGGGCGGGTCGGAGGCGGCCATGCGCCAGCGTTCGCCTTCGAGGGTTGGGGAGGAGTCGTCTTCGGATTCGGAGTCGGAGTCGGAGTCGGTGGTGGTGGTGGGTTTGGACGCTTCGGTCGCGTTCTCCAGGGTCCAGGTGTCGACGCAGCCGGAGAGGTCGCCTGTGGCGAGGACGCGGCTGTCCTCGGAGAAGACGGCGCAGCGGATGGTCCGCTCGTATTCGCCTAGGGTGCCGTGGGAGGCCTTTTCGTGGCGTGACCGACGGGGCGCGCGGTTGAGTTTGACGAGCTGCGACAGGATCTGGGGCTTGTCCTGCGGCGAGGACGCCGGCTTGATTCGCGCGGTGTAGACGGCGCTGTTGGGCCGCACGACGCAGACCCAGCGGCTGTCGGGGGAGACCGTCACGACGCGGGCGCCGTCGTCTGCCAGTGCGGCTGGGGCCTCCAGCTTCTGTATCCGCAGTGTGCCCTTCTCGTCGCCTTTGCGTCGTCGTACGCTGAAGACCTTGACGCTGGATATCGTGGCGACGACGAGGATCTTTCCGTCCGAGGATAGCATGGCCGATGTGATGTTCTCTTCGCCCTGTAGCAGACACTTATTAGCGTAGTTCGCAGTTTTTTTTGTGACTGTTATGCGTACCTGAATCAGAACCTTCCCGACAAGACGATGCTTCGGGCCGTCGACAGACTCGTGCACCGACCCAGGCCCACGAGACATGCGCCAGATGCTGACCTCTCGGTCCCAGAAGCTCATGACAAGTCTCGACGAGGGGGCAGAGGCCAGTTGAGAAACCTGAGGGAGGGTCGACAACGCCCGGTGGTGTTCCTTTCCGAATTCACGGAGGGGCAGGATAACGGGGGTGGCGTCGGGGCCTAACATTGTCAGCATGGTTCGCAGGTTAGAACAGACGGAGTAGAACCGTACCTCCAGACACGACAACACTGATGTCTCTCGTCTCGTAGACGGCAAAAGTCTTCACGTCGTGGGTGTGATACCGACGGTGCATGACCTCAGCCCATCTGCTCTTCTTGTCGCCCTTGTCCCCGTCGTTCTTCCTGTAGACGACGGTCCTCTGGTCCGCACCGCCACTGATGACCGTATCTCCGTTCGCACTCACAGCAACATCCAGCGTATCTGCCAGATGGCCCTGCAGCCGCTGGATAAGCGAGTAGTTCTTCGCGTCCCAGAAGCGGATCTCGCCAGCCGAGTCACCGGACACGATCGTCCCGTCAGGGAGACACTTGACCGACCAGACCAGCAGCTCCTTGGAGCCACCAGCAGGGCCACGGCCCAACGAGATCGTGCGCAGCAGCTGACCATTACGAATATCAAACAGACGAATGGAGCTGTCGGCGTAGCCGGCAACGATCGTGTTACGGTCCTGGAAGGTAACGCTGAGGACACGCGAGCGCTTCGTCGACGGACGCATCAAACGCAGGAATCGAAGGTCATTATCCGCCGTCGACAAGATCACGATCGACCCGTCAGCGCAGCCAGCCGCCAGGTGCTGACCCGTGTATTGACCCTCCGCGGCGGCGGGCAGCTGCTTGCCATCCTTGCCACGGGAGCCCGAGGCAGGGGCCTGCCAGCGCGGCTGGGCGGCCAGACACCAGATCTCGCCGTAGTTGCCGCTGGAGTTGCGCACGGGACGGCCCTGCTCGAGATCCCACTCCGTCACGGCCGTCGAGTACCCGATGCTGAAGAGGCGCAGACGGCCCGGCAGCTGGGTCTTCTCGTCGGGGCCGGGCTCGGCCGGATCCTGCGTCCAGGCTAGGCCCTCGATGCTTCTGTCCTTGCCGCCACGGAGCACTGTCTCTTGGAACCAGGCGCCGCGCATGGGGTTCCAGATCTCGATGTCACCATTTGCGCGACCGACTGCCAGGCGGAGCGTCGGGATACCACGGCCCTTGAGGTCGGCGGAGGGGGGATGCGAGAACGCCAGGGAGTTGATCGCCTGCGGGTTATAGGGCACGAATCGGCAGCGATGGATATCCATTGTTGAGGAGGTGGGGAGGGAGCGGAGGGAAAGGTGAGGTATGCGGTTCAAGGTCTGGCGGAGCTTTGCCCGCGAAAGAGGTTTTGAGGTCGAGCAATAGATCGGAAGAGGAAAAGGTAATTGTATCGCGGCTCAAGAGTTGGAGCCGTCCGTTAGACAATCATTCCGGGGAATGAACTAAGATTGGAGGTGGTCAATGGGTGGTGTTGAGCAGACGATTCTGCTTGATGTTGCTATCGCGGACTTTTTTTTTTTCCCATCTTTTTTTGATATAATTTTTAGCGCGCCCGCGGAGGATCCACCGGGGTGGTCACGTGCCTCCAGTTGTCGCATTTGGTATTCCACCTTGACAACTCAAAGTAAAAGAATCATTGCTTTGACGAAAATGTTCATAAGCTATGGGCAAATGTATTGGGAGGCATTAATAGATAGATATAATAATATACAATTGACGACTGTTCACATAAATTGACAACTGTGCCAGCCATTAATTTGGTACTGCTATCCCCTTGAACCAAGGGCATCCAACCATCGACGAATATCTAGTGTCCTGGATAATATGCCCTAAACAAGGCCACCAAGCCTGTACAAGCATCGCCAGAATTATAACTCGAAAGATAGTCCGGCGTCCAGAGAGAAACCTCTGGCTACACAAGTCACGGGACTAAGCTGGACAAGAAGACCAACAACAACAACAACAACAACACCCATAGGATCACATCCAACAGCGTAATAAACAAAACAATAAACTTCAGACAAGACGCAAGCAAGTGCAAGTGCTGGTAGAGACCAGAGCAATCAACCCCGTCGGATTCGCGCATCCGTTACACGCGGGGGAGCCAACAACCACACGCGCACACACCAAACAGAATGACTGGAGAGTAGTCGATGATCTCGGGCGCAGGAGGTCCCAAGTACTCCGTACATGATGCATCGGTTCTGCGAGGAGGACCTAATCCAACTTCGTGCAGCAAAAGTGTATGTTTGTGTGTATGTATGTATGGACATACGTACACACGTATTTTGAGTAAATGTATACCGCGAATTTGTATCTCTTCTGTATGTGCCTGTGCGCGTCCGTCTCCTCGGTAAACAGGGACAGACGCGAGCTGACAACGCTAGTGTATGCCGAGAAATATTAATTTAGACTCGGCCAGAATATCAAGTCCCTTCCTCATGGCGGCAGAGGGTGAGCCTTGCGGGCCACCAGAGGGGAGAGGAGAGGGGGAGTGGGGAGGTGAGAAGGGAGAAAAGTCGTATCGATGACACAATTTCTAAAGCACTTGCATTGGCGGCGGGGGACGGTAGGTCCATTCAAGATCGGAGAGCCTGCCACGTCAGTCGCGACCCTGGTCGCCATTTCTGGGATCGCAGGTCTAGCGAGTGCAGGATTATGGCCTGATAGGATGTGAGTTGATATCGCATCAGCGAGCACTCCACCGACGGGCCCATTTCCGACGAAACACCCGGAGCTTATGCATGGGTTTTGTGGAGGCTGAAAGAGAGGGGAGAGAAGCAGAGTCCATGTGTTTCTGGGCACTGTGGCCGGGCAAGAGGGGAAGGGCTGATGGTGGGCCGTGTGGCTGCCGTCGTATATTGGTTTCTGCTTGATTTAAACCCGTCTCAGAGGGAAGAGAGTTATCAGGGTGAGACCTAAAAGAATATCCATGTCCAGCTGAGGTGCGGGGTGAAGAGACTAAATTAACTGGGGATCCGATCATGATTTGCAATCATCCAGACTGAGTTTGAGAACGCCCTCTGGGATTGCCTCCCGACAATATAGAAATCCTGCACCAATATAGAAAACACCTTGCGACGGAGAGATATGGCCCATCTACTTCGTTTGGCTATCACTATCTATGGAGATATAAAAAAATTTTTTTATACTTAATTAAATTTTTTTTTTTATATTTTATAAAAATAATGATTTCCTAAATAAGTACCTTCTGAAATTACATATATTTATATTTATATTTATATTTATATTTATATTTATATTTTTATTTTTATTATATATATATTAACGCTTTATAAAAAGCATGATTTACTAAATGGAATAAAGCTAAATTATAACTTGATAAACCGTAATTAAGTTTTTGTCTATTATAAACAAGAAATTCAGCATTTGATCTTTCAAATATATTAAATAGAAAAAATAAAATTATATTAGCTTGTGTTGGTGCTACAAATTCTTTTAGGCGTAGGTAGCGACAGAGTGAGTGTTCACAGCCAAACGGCCTCGCAAATAATTTCCGCCGGACGGGACGTAGCAGTGTCTATGCTATTTTTACAACATCGGCATGGGTGTGTTTCACCTCTGCCATGTATGTTGGGCTGATAGCCTGATAGACCTTGGGAGTGTTTGGAGAGTGTCAGAGCCGTGGTCCGATCGGCGATGAGACAGCCTCGCGGCACGGAAACCTCCTGATCCTTAGAGTTGTCGCGACCGAATAAGGTTGATAGCCAACGCAATCCCATGCGTCCCTGCCGATAGGACATTGAATTCAAGAAAAGGAGGAGGGGAAAAGCAAACGAAAAGACCCTGGGCCAATTGATTGGCGACGAACGCGACCGATCGGGGCCGGGTCCATTATCATTGTCCGGGTCGCGACTCGCGACAGATGCACGAATGGTGGTTGATCTACCCCCATCGACTCGGTACAATTCCAAATTGTCATTACGAGGAATCAGGCCGACCGAGTGAATCCTGGGTCCGTGGTCGAACCAGGAAACATGTGAAGGCGTAAGTGCGGATGAGAACCAGGATCTCACCACCTGTAGCCGGCCTGGGCTCAGGAGGTGGCTGACGGGATGTTGGCCCAGGCGTCTGGACGGCAATCCTGTCGCGCGTAGCAGCATGAAAGGTGATCCCGTCCAAATGATCGGACCCCAAAATATAGATTTCAAGACGACTCTGGGGGGTTAGTTAGAATTAAGCAGGATTGCAGATGAGACGGGCGCGTCTTAGCCCGAGGAACTATCGCCACACCAAGGCGGTTTAATCTTGTCTCCCTATCCCATCACATTAGTCGATCTACCACCTCGCACTACAATTTTCAGTCCTGGCCAAAGGGGAAAGGAAAGACGAGAGCACGGGCGAGGCAGGATTCTCTCGGGCTTCTAGACCAAGACAATAGTCCATGGAGGAGTTGGAGAAGGCCGAACAACAACACGTCCGGTAGGCTGAACAGGAAGCGCGATTGACTTTGGCAACGCGATCGTCGAATCAGGGCGCGTCAACATGCCTTCAATCCCGTCTTTCCAGGGTTCGTCGTCGAGGGTGTTTTTGTGAATGAAGTCATACATACCAGGGAAAGTGCCCGAGAATAGAAGCCAATTTCGGTTGGACGGCTTGATCGTAACTCGAGATTCCAGAAGGAGCAAGCTGAACGGATGGAACGTGGAACGCGAGTCAATCAATAGTAATGACGACATACCCCGGAGGACGCGAAGTCTCTTGGCCGTCTCCTTTGATGTTCTCCCCTGTATGAATGACCGGGGAAGATTGGACGCGATGGAAACATGGAACTCCTGCATACCCCATATTTATTGAGCAATGGATACACTCGGCTTGCAATCTATTCAAGAAGAACTGTAGAATTGGATTGCAGGGAATGGAGCCCATCAAGTAGGTAAAATTCGGTGAATTGATTTCGAGCTTTGGGGATAAATGTGGAGTCGTTTGTTTACACTACAATCGGGATCCACCTCAGTCCATGCTTTAGTCTGGTTGTGGATTAGTGTATGTATTGTACGGAGTATCTTAGTAAGGTATTCTGATTCACCTATGTATTCGTACCTAAGTTAGTAGGTAATAAACCAACGAATTGGTTCCGTACTGGACAGTCTTAGATGACTATGTCCCTTCGATATACTAGATTACCCCTAGTCGTATACAGGAGCAACTCCAAGCCATTGAAGGCTGTCTCCGTTACCCAACCAGCCACGGTTCCAGCCAAGACCGGAAGAAAAGAAGACAGAAAGAAAGAAGAAAGAAGAAAGAAGAAAAAAACGACGACCACGAACCATGGCTGAGGCTCTCCGCTATCCCCGCCCCAAAGACACGTCCTTACCGGATCAGGTCATATTGTCTCGGCTCCGGCGTGGGTTTTTTTCATCCTTTATTTCCGCGTCGCCAAATAGAAGAGTCGTTATTCGTCCGACGCACCGCGGATGCCACCGTGGATCTATATAGATACTTAGGTATGGAGTACTCCGTACCTAGCTGGAGGTGTAACATACTTAGATACATTAACTTGCTCCATTCTGCTGTGCTTACCGTACCGATCCATGTGTGCCGGGTAATTGCCTCAAGTGGCTGATCCCTCCGTTTGACGTTACGGTTAGGTTGGTTGTGCAGGTTTTTTTCTGGTTTCTCCTCCGTGGGTCTCTGGTCAATTGATAGATATAGGATAGGACCTTGATGAGGTGATATGTTAGAGTTCATCACATATGCATCCGACCGTGAACGGGGTAAGAAGGGACAACAGGGTAAGCCCAATTTGAAAGACACTGTTCGTACTCTGTACAACAATAGCATCATATCAATTGGACCAACTGCTTCGTAAATAGCAGGGTGTACAGAATTGACAGTTGTCCGTCGTCCACGACCCTGATACCGACCCGGCTTAAAGATCTGAAAAAGAAAATCGCCCACCGGGTGGATCAAGTGACCGTTGAATATGATACTTGAAAAACACGGAATTGGTATACTTTTACTACTAGTAGGTACTAGGTACGGGTCCCAACAGAACAAGCATGTATGGAGAGTATTGAAGTGGTAGGATAGGTAGATAGATCAACCCACGCCTCCGATAGAGTCGGCGAGCTTTTACTCAATCGGTCCATCACGAAGCCATACAGATGATCCCTCGACTCGTCCACATCGCTGAAGCGATCGGGGTTCAGCGAGCCACTCGGCCTGCATTGAGTATGGAGCACGACGGGTCATCATGCATCGGCCCTGTTCCTTTTGGAGGCTAACCGAAGGTTCCTTCTATTTTTCTAGAACAATATTTTACCTTTTCTTTTCTTTACCTTTCTGTTTTTTTCTTTTTTCATCTTTATTTTCATTTTCACCTTTTTTTTCTTCCGAGATCCACCTCATTTAATGGCTCGACGTTAGTATGTAACTGCGTAGTGTACTAACTGTACCCGTCCCTTCCGCAAGGATAGGAAACATACGATGGAGATTAGATACTAGATACTAGATACTAGACCAGATACAGGATCCATAGCTTAATGCAGTGTTTTACGTGTAGCCTCTGCAGGTGGACCGACTGGTCGGAACTGCGGGGCTGCAAAACATCCGCCACAGAATCGTGACTAGATAATTATTATTACCCAGGCGAAAGAGTAGGTATGTTTGGTGTGCGATAGCTGGGTAAGTAAATAATACTGGATCAGCCTCGTCCGGGAAGCCGAGAGGCGGACCGAAAATCATACGGTCGGTACGGAGTAGAGGATCTAAGGTAGAGAGGGCGACAATTTCCCATTGAGGCAAAATCCGTGTATTATTCTTCTTACCAGTGGTCCAGTGGCTACTGGCTAGTAGTTACATACAGGGTTTTCTGGCTAGATCCGCAGTGGATTTCAACGCAAGTGCGGTGTGTTTTCTGCAGGAGCTAGAAACTGTATGGGTGGAATAGAATAGAATACTGAATGTTAGGTAACTTGTATCTTGATCAATTGGTGATTTTAACTGACTATTCTATTGTATTTACTATATATATATATAATATTGATGGATATAATCAGTGAATGATAGCTCAAATTGACCCCGGTCTAGCACCAACAAATCCAACTAGTTCCAGCTCGGGGAGATTACTTTCCTGGAATTGATCGATGATGGGCCTCTTAATGATACATCGAACGTTCTACAATTGCCTCCGGCTACTGTACTGTACGAAGTAATATTTTGGTAGTAGGGAAATGTATGAAAACACACATACAGCCGGTATTTACCCTCATGGAAATAGATACAATACCCAAGTCAGTATCATTAACTATCACACCAGTTGATGACGAGGATGAGAGAACAAAAGCAGCGAACCCCCCAGACCGCTTTGCTTCACTACTAGGAAATAATGATATGCAATGCAAACGGACGATGGTCCTCAGATGCAGCGGCCCTTGCAGGATCGCCCGAGTGATACGAAGTACGGAGTACACATAATCAAATCATCCTGTAGGATTTGACCATACCTAAGTTATAATATATATACCTCCCCCGAGCGAAATAGTAACAACCTATCCAATGAGCCTGACACTTATATAAACGAGTCAGTTTACGACAATGCAAAGCAAGCAAGGCATGGATGCCATGGCATGATAGCGAGCAAAGACATCATCGTGGAACCCAGCATGCTTAGTTAAATGAGAGGGGATGATGGGACCTGCAGGTACGCCGCAAGGGGAACGCCTATAATTATGATTATCCATCCTGGTCGAGGGAGCAACCTGGTTGCTAACTAGCTGGTGAGGCGAGGCGCATTCTAGGTATACACCTTAGAATTGAATGTGGTATACGTGGTCTGTAGGAAGGGTATGGTTGTGCGCTTGATGATTCCGATATGTAGGTGGGATACAAATGTAGGAGTGTACATCCATGATGTAGTTTACTATTTGGTCGATTGTTTTATGATGCTACCTATGGGCACAAAGATTGTTGCTTCGTCGTGGCTGGGCTATTGCGAATAGCGAGAGCACGGAGATATACATACACATAGGTTGCCTACTTGCTCCGTACTCCGTTCATATTGAGGCGCACGTATCAAATATGCAATTAATGATACCAGGCTACGTAGTATCCCAACTCCTTTCCACCAGCCGACCGACCAAGAACCCCAACCTAACATACCCCTCGAAGATCGCGCCCATCATTCCAATAATCAGTATCACCAGTGACCACGGAGTGACGGGTGCGACAATCCCTTCCAGTAGCGAAATCAAGTCAGTCTCACCATTTCACCACCATTGCATTGGCAGTACCTAGCCCAATGTCTGTTCTCAATAATGAACCGGAGTTGAAGGGAGGCTAACTCGCTAGGTAGTTACATACTAACTATGTATAGCTACTATAGTAACCGGATACCTAGGCGCCGGTCATCAGTTGTCAGTAATATATAAATCAGTAGGTAGTAGCAACCCATCCGGTGCCATGACCTATACATAGAATACATACATAGTAACATACATAACTCCGCTGGAAATCACTAATAAAAAGGAAATCGCAATCTCAATAGTAATACGGGGTCCGGTGGCCCGCGATCGGCTGCAAAGCAGGGCAAGCCGGGTTTGGGGCACCTATCCTTGCTAGTGTCTGGGGCCCCTTTTTCTAAGGTAGGTAGGTACCTACCTTCAGCGGGCCCCTTTATTAGTTTCATTACGATGTAGAATGGGGATAGGTAGGGAGGAAGGAGTGGATGAATGTATAGTCTGCTGGTGCTTGGATTGTAATCCTGATCTATATTTCTATATTATACTACTCGTAAGGTATAGATAGGATAGGATAGGACAGGGGCTCGGGAAGTGATGTCGCGTTTGAACCGCGTTGACTGACGAGGGATCCATGGTTCCGGTTCAGAGCCGGTTCGGGTTATTATCATCTTGGCTGGGGAAGGGGGGGATTAAGGGGTTGTGTAGGTTTGAATGGGCGATACGTGGATACTCCATTGGGTGGTTGTTTGGAGATACAATTTTCTAGTTTGTTCAACTTCAATCGTATGTTTTGCCTACTGTATGTATATGTGAAATGCTGAACAGATTTAGTTAGTTGAATACCACAATATAGTTACAGAGTAAGAAAGAATGATGATATGCATCCGTGGGCCAAGCCAGTCCAACTGCAACAAAGGAGATCTCCGCCCCCAACCGGTCAGTCAACCACCAGCCAACCAAGTAAGGATCGTACGGATCCTTGATTGATTCGACTCAAGTCCGTCAGAATGCAGTGGCACAGTGGCACTCAGACAGCAATTGAAACCTCAA